GTATCTGCGAACCTTTAGCTAATAAAAGGGCCTAATACCCTAAGTTAATTAACACACAAGTTGGAATAGTACACTCTTGTATTTATAGCTTAACCATAGTCTTAATAGTATTATCTTTTGGATTTTCCTTCTTTAGGCCCAGAGCCGCAGCTGCTTGTATTACTGGGCCACCTAGTTTTTTTACCTGGTTGTTGTTCCTTCTCGCATGTTTAGGATATTAAGGTGTAATATATCCCTTTTCTCTGCAGATATAGTATTTAATATCAGGGTTATGCAACTACTGTCGCTTATAACCTTAGGACCTATTAAAGTTTCCTTTAAAGGCGCGATTATTGCCTCTCCATGGCTTGTCTAGGCCCTGTTAACTAGAAGGTTATTGTCTTTCCATGTTGCCTGGGGTTATTATCCAGTGCCGCATAGCTAAGCTGTGTTGGCTTCTCTTATTTTTCGCTTGCGATATTTCCTTGCGTCGACCCGGTATGGAATCTTTAATTATTTAAAGATAGGTAATATAGCCTTTATATATCTCTGGTTTATTAGGGTATTTAAGCGCTTTATGTCGCAGGTCTTACTTAACTCTTGTCCGGAGGTAATCCTTTCATTAATTTTCTGTGTATGCTTCTGGGAGCTGAACTTCCTATTAGTTAAGGTAAGCTGCGAATTCCCGTATGTTTTAGTAATCTTATTATCTGGTATTATAGTAGCGTTGGCTCGCATCTCTTCGCAGGTTAATAGGGTTATTTAATTGGCGTAGTAGAAACTTGCGAAAGTCCTCCCAGGTAGGTTTATCAGCGACTTCCTCCTTGTGTTGCCTTTATAGGTGGATAAATATTGTGTATAGATGTGCCGTACCTTCTATTACTTTTATTATATTATTAGTAAAGTAGTAGCGATTTCGTTTAAAATAGGTTTCCATGCGTGTGATAAATATCTGGTATTCCTGTATATTCTTTCCTATATATTCCGAGACATGTGCTGGGGGTGCTAGCGGTTTTAATATATGCATAGGATCTGGCATAGGCTGGGGTGTGGTTTCTTGTGGTATTCTATGGTTAGGTGTGCTTATATTAGATTCTAGCCGCGAAATTATTACACTTTGGTTTTCTTGGATGCATTTCTTATAATTAATAAGCTCTTATAATACCCTCCTTTTATTTTCCATGCGTAATCTCTTGAGTTCCTGCTTTTATTAGCGTATCTAGTCCCGGAGTTCGGCAAATTCATTATCCGATGAAGAATTGTTTGTTGTTATAGACCTAGTAGCCCCTTTTTAGGGGCTATTGCCTTGCAACACAGCTGTTTCCTCAGCTGTTTCTTCAGCTGGGCCAGGATTCGAAGCATCAGGTTGTGCTTGGATAGATGCGGTATTCTCTGAGACGGGGTTGACAGAATCCTCGGTGTTTCGGTTAACTTGGGAGCCAGCACGCTGCACGCGTCGAGGCGCTATAGTGCTCCTTTCAGCGGGTTACCGTTGGGGTAAGTGATTAGAACTGTTATGCGTGGGGGTTGGTAACGAGCTGAATAGGGCGCTACGGTGCGAAAGGGAGTGTCTCTATGGGGGAGAGAAGATAGGACCACGTATATTGCAGAACTAATCGCTGGCCTTCAGGAGTTCAGGCCCGCGGGTGCGAATATAAACACTTCGCACCTGACTAAGCATCTTAGCTAAGGATCTAGCTATCGCGCTTCCGAGCGCTCCTAACATACGGAAACACTATAATCCGCCCGACTTGGCGGTGCGGAAATATCTACCGATCCATTCTACCCCTCAATCCTTTAGCTAGTTGAACACCTCAATGAGAATAGAGGGAACCGCTTAGTAGGCTCAGTTGGTTGAGATACTGCGATTCCTGGTGTTTCCACTGAATGACATCTACTTCCTAGTTAGGCTAGTTGGCCTGTAGCTAATAGAATAGCTCCCTACGCCCATTTCCCCTGAGTTCACAACACTTTGTTTTCCTAGATGCCATAGACTGAGTAATTTTTCTTCGGCAGATCTGTCAGATATAAGATGTCCCAAAGTACGCAGAAGGGAGACAATTGCAGCATATACTGAAAATAGACTCTCTACTCAACCTAGGACCTGTCTTACTCTCACCTAGAAAAAGAAGATCCGGACGCAGCGAAAATGCTGAAGTTTTAACTTTTGGCCTATTAGCTTCGTGAAGTCGTTACTAATGACATGACTTTTAATAGGGTGATAGGATTCCTGATTGAATACTATTTCCTAGACGTTCACCAGACATCTGGGTTATAGAGCATGCATAACTGCGTATATAACTAGACTGCGGCAAAACCGCGGTTTTGGGTATCATAGTCAAAACCACAACCGCAGATTTGCGGTTTTGGATATCACTTTGAAAACCGCAACCGCAACCGCAGATTTGTGGTTTAACCACGGTTACCCATGGATAACCGCATGAAAACCGCACTAGCATAACTCTCGCTTCTTTAACCAATTCTAGCATATCAGGTGACACTTATGCAGCTTACATACTCTTGTTTTTAATTTGAAAATACACCTGTTCTGGTTAATACAGTGAGCCCGGTTAACCTCTCAGGCCAATTGTTCTTATTGTCCCTACTGTCCCTATTGCCCCTATTGGTTGTAGCTCCTCTAACGTTTTATATACGTGTACCCAGGCAATATGCTCCTGGGAGTGTACGATAATAAGCTATTCCGAAAACTTAAAGACAAGGAATGTGTTGCAGGCCACGCCCGTATATTACTCCTATTCGCCTTCGCTGCAATTGGCGCACATGATTGGTCCGCTTATTGCAGTTATATAACCTCTTGTAGTATAAGAACACACAATTCTTCCCTTTACTTTCTTTATCTTAACGATTCCTCTTTGTATATATCTAGTTATTAGATAGCAAGGCATTTCGCCCCTGTTAAAGTATGTTTGTTTGCCCTAAAAGTTAAATAAAAGCATGTAAAATAATAAAAATATCTAAAGGTCCTCCATAGGATTAGGCACTGGACGAGTCTATATTAGCCAGCTGCAGTACAGATGGTCTAATATAGACACAAGCACCTACTAGGAATCGAACCCAGTACCTCTAGATTACTAGATCTAATGCATTACCACTAGACCATTGGTATATTATAAGTAACCAAGAAGGTACATGGCATTATATCACTGCCGTGAGGTCCTGGCCCGATCGTAGCATCACTATTCACCAAAGTCAGCAAGTAATATTGCTTCCTTGCAACGCATGAGTTATTGTAGCATTAGTTTGCAATGTTGGTTTGTGCAGTTTCTTGCTTATTTTATCTTCTATATTTGGTCGTGGGAGGGCGATAGAGCATGGTAATATATATAGATATCTACTTTACCGCTCACCTTGATCCTTATTCTTAAATAACGAGCCGAATATTGATATATCGCCTCTTATTTTACGTAGCTAGTAAGTGGTGTTTGTCTGAGATTTTAAGATTACTAAGGAAATCAGGATGTTGTTGTAAAAATATATATTTTATACAAACAGAAGTTAGTACACTCACTGAATGAACTTTATAAGATTTCGTAGGTTGACTAAATCAGGCTATTATAGATAAAAAATTATTACTAAAGAATACAGAAGAGCCTATTATACTTATATTTTACTTTAAATTAGTATATTTACTTAAAAATTCAGGAGAAACCAGGTTTCTATTTCAAATTGCTTGAATTTGGTGATTTTTTCCATTGCGGTTATCTTGTGGTTATCCATGATAACCGCAAGATAACCGCGTTAAAACCGCATTAAAACCGCACTACCATCGCTAGTCACCCAATTAACATAGAGTATAGTTTTGTACAGGTCGAACTCGCGGTTGCGACCTGTTTATCTCCTAAATAATAGGGGAATTCCTGTAAGTCCCTCTCCCTTTCTCTTCTCCTGATGTCTCTTTATTATTTCTAGTTTCTAATCTTTAGGAACTTACGACAATGTCTCAGTCCCAAGTATCCTTTTATTCTGATTCCTTTATCAATCCCGATCTTCTTCAATCAGATGACCTTCCTGATTTACCAAGCAGTCAACCAACTGTGACTTCTATTCCTTTTACTCCCCCCTCCGCGATTTTCTTATGCGCCGAAGTCACTTGAACGTGTCGGATCTACACTTCGAAAGTTCTGGATTCTCTATGCTACTAAACCTGAGATGGATGACTCCCGGAAACAATTCGTGGAATGGTGGTTAACAACTACGTTTGGATTGAACTCTCAATGCCGAGATAGCTTACATTGGGATGGGAAAAAAAACATCAGTGCTTTGGGAGCATTTTGAACAGGTTGCACACGAGAAGACTGGCGAGCCCAAGGTTATGTGTAAGCGGTGTTTTGCAACCCTTACTCATCCAGGTTATAAGCGTACGGGAACCTCTGCACTTAAAGCACATCTGAACGGTGGTACATGTCGCTTAGAAAAAAAAGAGGCAAGGGATTGACCAGTTAATACGTGAATCAGTACGTTTTGAATATTGTTTTAAAGATATAGAGAGAGACTACTAATATTAGTATTATCTAGCCGCGTGCACTAACAAAGGTCTTTACCAATGATCTTTTCCAGCGAAGAGAATTCTTAACTTTATTACCACCGCCCGTCTCCCATTTCGTATTGTTGAACACCCAGAGTTTAAAGGCCTTCTTGAAGCTGCCCAACTCTCTGAATCAAGGCTTGATATTCCTTCTGCGCGGACTATCCGACGACTTTTAGACAACACTGTCCAGGAAAGGCAACAAAATATGCTTAGCAAACTTCCAAAAGGAAGCTATCTCTCAGTTGCACTTGACTGCTGGACATCTCCCTTTTCCCAGGCATTTATGGCAATTACTGGATATTTTCTTGATCAAGAATGGAATTACTGCGAGGTCCTTCTTGGTTTTGAGCATCTCCAAGGATCGCATACCGGTGCTCACTTAAGTCAGACTGTGATTCGAATACTCATGGAACATAATATTGATAATCGTGTATTATCAATTACCACAGATAATGCGTCAAATAACAACACCATGATGGTAGGTGTCCAAGAGATGATTCAATCGCAAGCTCTAAGTGGGACTTCTGTCTTCCGAATTCCATGTATTGCGCATGTTATCCAGCTTAGCCTAAAGGATCTACTTGGAAAGATAAAAGCAAATCCAACAAATAAGGAAGCAGAGACTGAGTGGTCTGATTCGCGTACACAGTCACTACAAACTAGCTCTCGGCAGCCTACAAGGAATATTATGGGAACCTTAAAAAGGTAAGTATATCTTCGCGCTCTCTTTATACTTATACTAATATATATTATCCTTAGATTCGAGAGCTCGCTGTCTTTATCAATGCTAGTCCACAGCGCAGGGAAGCTTTTCTTACCCTTCAAACTACTGAGCCTAAGCTTGTTCCGATCCAAGATGTTCGCACACGCTGGAATTCTACCTTTCTGATGCTTAATCGTGCCAGGAAATTACAATCAGTCTTTGATCGGTATTGTATAACATATCAACATATTCAATTTAAGCTAGATGAAGAGGAATGGCGCCAAGTTGAATATTTGCTTCTGATCACTAAGCCTTTCTTTGATTTTACTAGTGTATTATCAAAGACCAGAGATGTTACAGTTCACCATGTCTTCAGTATCTATAATCGGCTATTTAATCATCTTGATGACGTTGAGAAGAAACTGAAACGTAAAGCTGTCCCATGGAAAAGGAGAATGCTTCAGGCACTTCAGTCAGCAAAAAAAAGCTCTCAAAATACTACACTGAAACAGACAATGAGTCATATGGCACAGTCTATGCGATTGCAACAATTCTCTGTCCATCAAAGAAGCTTCGATACTTTGATAATGCGGATTGAGAGGAAAAAAATGAGAAAGGAGAGGAAGTCGATTTCATGAAGCATTACCGGGAGGTTTTACAGAAGGAGTTTAAGCGATATCAGCAGCAGGTTATCCAGGAAACAGAACCGGTTGATAACCAAGCAATCTTTGATCCTGCTGAAAATGAGCTTGAGCTATTATGTGAATCACAGACAGCTCTACAAGCTGAAGTGGATCAACCGGAGGATGAAATAACACGGTATTTGGCAAAAGGTACATATTCTCTATTTCTATACTATTCTGAAGTTAATTAATTTTATAGGGCTCACAAAAGGTAATCCTCGGGTCTTCTGGAAGGAGCATGAGCACGAGTATCCAGTCCTTGCAAAGATTGCACGAGATATCCTCTCAGTTCCTGCAAGTGGCGCTGGTGTTGAGCGGCTTTTAATTGTGCTCGTGATGTCTGTCACTATCGTCGGGGACAGTTAAAGCCAGGCACAATTAAAGATCTAATGCTCCATCTCTTCTCATCTAAGTTTGATCTTGAACAAAGCGAGCTAGAGATGATTAAAGAGTATCTCTCTGTCGGAGAGGCTGCTATGCTTGATCAGACAAGACAGCCTGTTCCATCGCTTAATGAACTCGAACCAATTAGTGATAATGAAGAAGAGGGTTGCGAAGCAGAGGATTTATCTGAGGATGATACAGATGAATCTGATAACGAGGCAGAAGAAGGGTTATCTACCACGCAGCCTGTAGCTCAAACTAAGCAGGTACAACGGAAGCGGTGCCGAAGTAACACCTCTGAGGCTATAGATGATGCTGATAATGGTCTCCCACTCCGATATGCCAATTGAGAAGACGCAGGCGCGGTCAGGGAGGGTTCGGAAGAGGCCTAAGCTACCTGAGGGATTTGAGATTGATAAGCTGTAATATTAGAGACTTAGAAGAGAAATCGAATTTGGTCTAAAAGTGTATTCTAAAGGTTTCAAATTAAGAGATATAGGTAATCTATTACATACTAGATACTCCAAAAATACTGCGAAAAGTGCACAATTTATGCATTCACTGGAAAGTCACGAGTTTCAGCATGTTTGTAATGTTTACATATCCATGGATAACCGCAAAAACCGCGGTTCTCCAAAGTGAAAACCGCAACCGCCCACAGTGCGGTTTGCGGTTTTTAAATCAGCCCCAAAACCGCAAATTTGCGGTTGCGGTTTTGGTTATCCGCGGTTGTCCATGGTTTTGCCGCAGTCTATATATAACTGGACTTTAGCAGCACTCAATAAGAATATCGATACACTCTAATATTAGTATGCTTTGACTGCGTTAATGCATCTATCAATGTTGTTGATGTGAAGGGCTGAAGCAGGATTGATTCAACTGTACTAGGCCAACATACTGTTTACAACAATCTTGAGGGAAAGAAGAGAAACGGTGAGAAACGGTCCCGTCTCTGTAGTGAAACGGTATAGGATCCTTTCTGCCGAAGGCAGTATCCATCCTTCATCGTTCGCCAACGTATCCATAAGGCCATGGCACATGGTTTACTGTCGGGCTCTGGCCCACAGTTGACGATCCTTCTTTTCACCATATCTCTTACGGAAATTTGCTCGAGGGGCCCCAGGAAGAGTGTTGGCAGCCATGATGATAATCGTATCATTTTGGAACCAAGGAAGACCAGGATATGTTAACGCTGTTGCTCAGGAAGTGGCTCTAGTGATGCGAGATCAACGAAACGCAAGTTGTCGCATGACAGCATAACTTCTGACATCAGATATCTAAGCGATTGAGCAAAGGAACTAGAACTTTGTAGCGATGTTCAATGTGAAATCTGTTCCGACATGGCTTAGAGCAGGATTTGTACAGGGGGTATTCCATGTGCCTGTTTGTGATCGGCCTCTGCCTGTTTCATTCCTGCATGTTCCCGACACTTCGGCGTAGTGTCGTATCGCGCTCACTGTCTGTCAAGTCATCACTTCATTGTCAAGAAGTAGTTGAACAATCTCAAAATTCCCTTCTTCAAGGGCTGCTTGCAATGCAGTCGTGCCACTCTCTTCCGAAGGGGGCGCATGAACATGGGCGCCATACCACAGAAGCAGCTGAGCTACTTCAAGATTTCCTGCTTCAGCTGCTGCCTGAAGTGCTGTTCTTCCACGAGCTTTGGCTGGTGGAGCATTGACATCAGCACCAGCACTGAGAAGGAGCTGAACTACCCCAATGTTTCCTCCACTAGCCGCTGCTTGAAGTGCTGTTCTTCCGCCTTCTTTCGCCTTCATTGTCGTTGTTCCTGCTTCAGCTGGTGGAGCATTGATATTGGCGCCGGAACTAAGAAGAACCCGGACCAGCTCGAGACTCCCGCTTTTAGCTGCAGCCTGAAGAGCTGTCATTCCATCAAGCAAAGAAGGAAGAGCGTTGACATTGGCACGAGAGGCGAGGAGAATCCGAGCAATCTCAAGATGTCCTCCTTTAGCTGCTGCTTGAAGCGCCGTCATTCCAGATATAGTAGCTGAAGGAGCGTTGACATCGGCTCCAGAGCTAAGAAGAAGCTTTACTAGCTCAAGATTTCCCCTTTTAGCGGCTGCTTGAAGCGCGGTCATTCCATCCACTACAGCTGGGAGAGCATTGATATCAGCGCCAGCACTGAGAAGAAGCTGAATAATATCAAGGTAGCCCCTCTCAGCTGCTGCTTGAAGAGCTGTTCTTCCACATACTTCCCCTGGAGGAGCATTAATATTAGCACCAGAGTTGAGAAGAAGTCGAACCACTTCGAGATAGCCTGTATCTGCTCGCTGAGTTTCTGCCGCTAGTCGAGCCTTGGCGTCAGTGTCAGAACTAAGAATAAGATCACCAACTAGACTTCCTCCTCCAGCGGCAGCTTGAAGTGCTGTCATTCCAAGGTGAGCTGGGGGAGTATTCACATCGGCACCAAAGTCGAGAAGAAGCCGAACAACATCAATATTGGCCCTCCCTGCTGCTCCTTGGAGTGCTGTGGCTCCAAGGGTTAGTGGCAACGCATTAACGTCAGCACCAGAGTCAAGAAGAAGCTGGACTATTTCGAGATTTCCTCTTTCTGCTGCTGCCTGAAGTGCTGTTCTTCCGCCTGCTTCAGCTGGCAGAGCATTAACATCGGCACCAAAGCTAAGCAGGAAACGAACCATTCCAAGCCTCCCTCCTTCAGCCGCCGCTTGAAGAGCCGTTACTCCAGCATCCCTAGCTGGAGGAGAATTAACATCGGCACCAGAGCCAAGTAGGAAACGAACCACTTCTAAACTTCCTCCCTCGGCTGCTGCTTGTAACGCGGTTCTTCCGCCCGCTTTAGCTGGTGGAAAATTGATATTGGCCCCAGACTTAGCAAGGAACTGGACTATCTCGAGATTTCCGCTCTTCGCTGCTTGTTGAAGTGCTGTCAATCCGGTATCTTTAGCTGGCAGAGCATCAATATCGGCACCGAAGCTAAGAAGGCGCCGAACCACTTCGAGATTCCCTCTCCCTGCGGCTTCTTGAAGTGCTCCTAATCCACGCGCTTTAGCTGATGCAGCATTAATATCAGCACCAGCATCAAGAAGAAGCTGAAAAATTTCAAAATTGCTTGTTTCAACTGCTGCTTGAAGGGCAGTTCGTCCATGCGCTTCAGCTGGTGGATAATTAATATCGGCTCCAGAGCCAAGAAGGAGTTTGACTATTTCGAGATTTCCGCCTTCAGCTGCAGCTTGAAGGGCTGTTCTTCCGCTTACTTTGGCTGGTGGAGCATTGACGATGGCGCCAGAGCCGAGAAGAAGCCGAATTATCTCGATATTTCCTCCACTAGCTGCAGCTTGAAGAGCCGTCACGCCGCTATCTTTGGCCGGCAGAGCATTAACCTCAGCACCATAGTCAAGAAGAAGCCGGACCATTTCAAGATTTTCATCTTCAGCTGCTGCTTGAAGTGCTGTTCTTCCACCCGATTCAGCTGGGGGGGAGTTGACATCAGCACCAGATCCGAGCAAGAACCGAACCATCTCAAGATTTCCGCCTTCAGCTGCTGCTTGAACTGTTGTTCTTCCATGATCTTTAGCTAGTGGAGTATTAATATCAGCACCGGCAGCGACAAGTAGTTGAAAAACCTCAAAATTGCCTCCTTCAGCTGCTGCTTGAAGTGCGGTTCGTCCACGCGCTTCAGCTGTTACAGAATTAACCTCAGCTCCAGAATCGAGAAGGACCTGAACAATCTCAAGATTTCCCTCTTTAGCTGCTGCTTGAAGGGCGGTTTTCCCGCCCGTTGCAGCTGGTAGAGAATTGACGTCAGCACCATGGTTGATAAGAAGCCGAACAACCTCAAGATTTCCTCCTTTAGCTGCCGCTTGAAGTGCTGTCATTCCATATACCGGAGCCGGCAGAGCGTTAACATCTGCTCCAGAACGGAGAAGGAGCTGGACCAGCTCAATATTTCCTTTTTTCGCTGCCGCTTGAAGTGCGGTTCTTCCACCAGTCTTAGCAGGCGGAGCGTTAATATCGGCCCCGGCACGAAGAAGAAGCTGAAAAACTTCAAAACTGCCTCCTTCCACTGCGGCTTGAAGCGCGGTTCGTCCATATGTACCAGCTGGAGGAGCGTTAATATCGGCATTTAAGTTCAGAAGAACTTGAACCATCTCCGGATGACCTCCATGTGCTAGTCGAGATGTAACCATACTAAGCTCTTTAGCAGGTAAAGCCTTAAATTCAGCAGCAGTCTCCAAAACAAGCTGGGTCTTAAGATCTCCTCCTCCAGCCGCTGCTTGGAGTGCCGTCATCCCGCCCGCTGTGTCCGGACGGGAATTCATATCAGCACCGGACGCGAGAAGGAGCTTAAAAATCTCAAGATTTCCCCTCCCTGCTGCTTCTTGAAGTGCTGCCAATCCATAACCCGCTGGTAGGGCGTTCACCTCAGCACCAGAGTTGAGGAGAAGCCGAACTATCTCAAGGTTTCCGCCTCTAGCTGCTTCTTGGAGAATTGTCCGTCCGCCATCTTCGGCTAGCTGAGAATTAACATCGGCACCGGAGGCGAGAAGGAACCGGACCACATCTAGGCTTCCTCCTTCAACTGCTGTTTGAAGCGCAGTTCTTCCGCCCGATTCCGCTACCCGAGAATTGATGAGGGCACCAGAGCTGACAAGAAGTTGAACTAGCTCCAGATTCCCTTTTTCTGATGCAGTTTGAAGAGCTGACAGTCCGGATTTTCCTGACGGCGCATTAACATCGGCCCCGCACTTCAGAAGAAACTGAACGATCTCGATATGGTTTCTTTCAACTGCTCCATGAAAGACCTGAGCCACCTCAGGATATGCTGCTTTGGCCGATATTTGAAAGATTCGGGCCACCTCAGGCGCATGTCCAACAGCGGCAGCTTGAAGGGACCGAGTAACCGCATCCTCGAGGTATCCGCCCCTTTCCGCTGCGTCGAAGTGCTCAAGTAACTCGAGAAGTTGATTATCATCCGTAGCTTGAAGCGCTGGTCTTCTACCCTCTTGTGTTCGAACGGAGTCCCTGGTAGTGCCACTGGAGCTGACACCTGATAGCAACTCCATTGCGTTACCGTCGTTCAAGGTGACCGACGGCACGTTGGAAAAATCTCCAGCATGACCAGTGACTTGATACGGGGATTGAGACGTGCGAGAAGGTCTCTCGTTGTTGACGAAAGCATGTTCCGTTGCATGGGCGTGACCTAACTGCTATCAGCATTTATCTTCTAGTCCACAGACGAGAGAGGATTTTTACTTTGGTTGTCATGAGATGGTGGACGAGGCGAGCCAGGTACGCTGATTTGGCTCAGCTGTTCAGACAACTGCACAGTGCCAAAGACGTTTCGCTGTGGTTGCTGGTGCTGCAGATGCGCAAGTGATAGCTCTGAGGCGCGCTCTTTGAGGATAAAATCAGCCATAGGAGTGGTGTAGCCGGGTTCTTCAGAGCCACCGCTAGGACCCGCCGGGGTGTTTGTAGCCTGCGAGTATGGCGTTCTCGGAGTTTCTGAAGCTAATGGAGTTCGGTAGGATATATCAGACGGAGTTTGGCCTAAATAGAGATTCTACATCAGCAAGGTCCTCGAGTTGGTGATCATCGTGAGTCCTACCTGGCGGTGAATTCATGCCACCTTCAGAATTGTGCTGTCTCTTCAAAGCACGGTTTATCTTTTCATTCGGAACCGGGCGACCACGAACATAGAACTCAGTCTCCTTGCTCTGTAGCTCCTTTCTTGTTCGCATCAGACGATGGATGTGGTTCATTTCACTTGACGTGACATTCTTCTTCAGCCCCCATTCTTCCACCTTGCTTCTCCATTGCTTGTCGCTGCGGAATATTAGCGCCGATAAAATACACCCTGGGAGTCTAGCATTAGGGATCTTACGTTGCGATGAAACCGTGTTCAAGCTCCATTATTGCCATGGTCTCTGAAAGTGTCTTGTCTTGGTCCCAGTAAAGATCATAGATAAGATCATATCTATCATTCCAATCTTTGGGACAACTGGGCCTACACGGCATAACTGAGCTAGACATAGTGTATCAACGGTATGACAAGAGAAAATCACAGGGTCGTGCATTGCAAAACAAAACAAAATCGCAGGAAAACGCGGGCTCATGAGCTATTCAAATAGCAAAGGTCTCCCATCCGAGGAGCTGGGCAAGTGCATGGGCCTCCCCAGTCGAGTTACAGACATCCCACATCCTTGAACGAGTGCTTGTTCCCCCTGACTGTCTAACCGGGCCCTTACAAAAGTTGCCATTTTGAGGGTCCAGAAAAAATGGTAACTTTTGTAAGGGGCCGGTTAGGAGAAACTCTAGAAAAAAACAACTAGGGTTGAATTGAGACTTGATCTCCATGAATCGCCACCACTCATGGGTCACATGGACCGTGGGCGCGCTTGATTGGCTGAACAAACTTCCCATGCAGTGCCACGTCAACTAGCCATTGGCCAGACGGGGTTACAGTGCGGGAAGTACGGGAAAACCTCCGTCCCCCGACATTTGGGGCGCAATAGGCTCACAAGGCGTCTCCCGAGACCCACGATCTGTTTTCATCTTGCCGTTTGCATCTGACTGAGCAATAGTGGACCTAGTGGACTCACCAGGGATCGACAATTGGTTCAGATAAACTTCCTGTGCATATATATTCATCGTAAATCAAGCTGCCAGGGCGTATCCCCACACTGTTAGTTTCGCAGAATAGTTACCAATGGGAACCCGTGAATATTCTCCCTAGACAATATTATCGGTTAGTCCAAGAACAAAGAACAAAAAGAGCTGCAGCACAATGGCTCAGAGGCATGGCCACCAAAGAGTAGGCATCGTCAAATGCCCGTACCCCCCATCCTTTAAATTCATGCCCGTTTCCCTGGGACAGTTATTCTTCATTTGAATTCTCCCCTGACAGAGATATCCATGATTTTAAAAACTTCGACTTTGATATCGGCATCTGGTAGTGACTTCATCACAATGACGTCGCCTTTTTTCTCTCCTCCAGAACCTACTTCATACAATGTTGTGCCGTACAATATCTCCCCTCGATTATCATCTGCTTCATTTGTGTTGAACGATGGAACGCATTTGATGTCGAGTGAAGTTGTCCCTAACACTGCCCTGTGGCTGGACAACGGCGATGCCAGAGGGTCTGACATCGCCCAAAATCTACATGGGATAAACTATGAGCATGTCACGTCAAGTAACCTTTGGCCAAACCTGCAAACCTCTAATCCCTACGCCGAGAGAATGCCCATGTTGAAGGCCGACAACAATACTCTTTCGGATGGAGAGCTCCATGACAGTATATGCAATGACAAAACGAAGGTCAAGTACGTCTTCCTCTACCACCTATTATCCTAAATCGTTCTGACTAGTTTATTCCTAGGGACCGCGGTAGCTCCTTCACATGCCGCTGGGAAGGATGCTCCTACACAGGCCAATTCTCCCGCGAAGCAGTTCTAATGCGACACATCAAAACCAAACATATCTCTCCCGACCTGTATCAGTGTCCCATTGCTGAGTGTAAGAAGTCATTTGGTCGCAAGGATAAATTCAGGACACATGTGCGAATGGTTCATCACAAAGTGGAAGGTAGTAGGGCTGAACACTGTTCTCGTTGCCATGCTTGAAATAGAACCTGTATTCTTTGATATGTTAGCTTCCTATTAGCGTCTGTAATTAACGGTCATTCTATTTCATACCACTTTAGTGTCACAAGCTCGCACAAGTACTATTCTTAGGAATGGGGTGATCTGTTACGTGCCAATGGGTGTGTCCATTCCGACGCGTTCCTTCCTCATCTAGCCAACGTCCTGTTCCTTCCTCGCCTACGGCTAATATCGCCATTCTCTGTCTACTTCGTCACATTGCCCCCTTCTTTGAAAGGACCTGGTCCTCTAGGTCCGTTATCACGCTGGTCGGTCGTTATCTGGGTGATCTGGGTCAAATTCATTATTAAGAGCCGCTTCGATCAACTCATTCAGACGCTTCGGGGGACTAGGAAGATGAGGATACTTGCGGTGGAAATCTAATAGCTTCTGCGGCGCATTCTTGGAGTCCTTAGCCGGGTACTAGGTATCGTCGTTATTATGGCCTATCTATTTGGCCTTGTACTGGAGCTTCCTGTAGCGTAAGCGAGTAGCAATGATTTCCTCGATCTCCTACTTATCCTCGCTATTGACCTCCACTAGGGGTGAGGGATCTAGGATCTGTCCTTCTAATGGCGGTGATTTCGCGGCGCGACGTAGCTTCTCCGGGGCGAATACGGGATAAACCTTAATCGATAGTAGTAAGTCTAACTTATATGAATGTCTAATCTTGTCGACGATCTTATATGGTCCGCTGGTTTGGTGAGTAAGCTTTCTTCTGGGTCGATCTATTCTCTAATGCTTTATAGTAATATAGACTATATCCCCTACGTAGAAGTCCTCTGGTCTGCGGTAACGATTTACCTATCGTTTCTGATCTTCCTAGGCGCGTGTGGCACTTTTCTGGACGTCTTCCTAGATCTCCTATAAATAGCTCGTGTAGTCGCGCGCCTCTCGCGCTTAGGGATCTGTTTGATTATTTGGGGGGTCTGAAGTGGTTGTATTCAGAAAGATTGTCCGCCCAACCCCTCTATGAGGAGTATTGGGTATATATTTCACATGATGTCCCAATCTGGACTAGTTATTCTGACAAGACCTTAAGAGACTTATTCTTTTCATCCAGATCCACATTCTTATATGATCGGTGATACTAGCTTATACGCGTATTTAGCTGACTGATACTTCCCTACTTCTTGTCTGTATTCGAAAAGCTGGACGGAGGTGTAAAATTGGCGCCGAACAGAACACTAAGCGCTTTCTGCTGCTCACCCGTGAGGGAGCTAAATTTGTCGACGGTCACCGTGAGCTACAGTGCAGCTGTCAGCGTTCAAAGTATCGCAGTTTGTCATCTGAGCTTCGTAACCGGGGTTTTGAAGAAGAGCTCCGGCCACCGGTCGTTCCAGTTACCGAGCTTGCAGCCGTTTGCTTCGCCACAGACAGTGCAGATCCGGTGCGTCTCGTCCGTGAGCGACACTATGAACTGATCCACCTTGATACTGATCGTGGCGAACTTGTCCCTATACTCCTGAGGGTAGAAGTGGTGTAGCTGCGTGCGCTCCCAGGTAACGGCCAACAGGTTGCGCATTGTCGTTTCGCCTTCGGCGGCGCCGCCTCCATAGCTGGGGTAGGCGGCATTCCAGCCAAGTCGGCTCGGATGTTTTGATCCTGGTATGGCGGAGCTTCATCCGGTGCTCACTCTGTTCCTTCAGCGTCTTCTGGATCGTCTTGGTGACCCCCAAGCCTGCTGTTTTGTCCACATGTCCCATTTTGTTCTTGACTTTCACGAGACCAGATGGATCGGAATACCCTGTGGGTTTGCAGCTCATCCAGCTACCGAGCCAGGGCGCGTAATATCCTGCACCCAAGTAATAAAGCCCGCCCTCTTTGTCTCGCTCTTGCTTGCCCAGCGGAACCGCTTTGGCCTCTGCGGGTCCTGCATCTGAAAGGTGCTGCCGTAGGGAGAGTATTCCTCGTACGAGACCAAGACTCCGTCCTTGTCCACTTCGACAGCGACCGCATCGAGGTGGGTCGCTAATCTGATACCGGGCAGGCCGGTAGAGATGATCACCACCAGTCCAATCTTTAACTAGTACGATCCGGCCGTTTGACCCGTGAACGTGGAATGTCTCTCTTTGTGAAGATATCGCCACTCTGTCGCCGGCGTACGTACGTCCTGGTCAAGGATTGGCTCCCGTCGTCGGCGGTGCGGTTCTGGACGGAGAGAAAGTTGTGGGCGGAGTCGTACTTGTAAGTCTCGACGTAGCGGCTTATGGCGATACCCCCTCGGCGCATCTAATGCAGCTTTAAATATCTGGAAGGCTCCTAAAGCGTTCGGACTGCTGCTCCCGCCCTGCAGATCGTTTCCCTTGCCTAGCTGTTCGCGGCCTGAAGATTCGATGAGGCGGTACGTGGGATTGTAGGTATACTCGACATCTGGGTTGACCACGCTGTTGCGAAGACGACGTTCTGTTGCCGGATGGGTCGTATGCATACTCGGGACGCTGGACTTTAGAAGAGGCCCTTTGGTTTGGTGAGACAGAGTCCGGCGGATTTTCAACTGCAGTGTAACAGCATCGAATTCGTTTATCGTACGGTGGCCGTTGACGAAGTAGACTGTCGTTGCATATGAGAGCTCGTTATAGTCTACGCCGGCGACATACGTTTCCCACAAGAGATCTCCGGCTGCCCTCTTCTTGCCTCTGACATTTGCCTCGATCGTCTCCGGAAGTCCGGCGTCGTTGTAAGTATAGCGCAAGTTATACTTCCGTCCGGACTCCGGGAGCAGGTGACCTGGCCGAGAGCATTTTTTGCGTCCCCTCAGTGTCAATGTCCGGGTCCAGCACGATGCGTCCCGCGTCGTTCCAGTCCAGAGTTGAACTGTACGCGAACGCAAGCTGCCTCTGTGGGTGACTAGGGCACTTGTGAAGTCGTAGTCGAAATTCGTTTCAGTCCCTGCCTGGTCGTATATTTGGAAGAGCTGACCTCTCAAGTTCCACTTCTCCGGCTCTGGTTCGCTCTCCCCGTAGGTCCGCAACTCGAACAAAACCTCGCTCTTTGTACTCTCGAGCAAGAACTTCTTCGTCTCTCGACCTAAAGCGTCGTACTCCTTTCGCCACTGCTGTCCTGGCTATGCTAAAATAGCACCAAGCTACCCGTGATATCGTAAAGCGTCATTGCCGGCTTTGTCGTACCTTTTCCGCTCAACTAGGCGACCCTTTGCGTCTCGCGTCTCTCGTGATAGCCCTTTCGCATCCATCGAACACGCGGTACGCGGTAAACTCTTCATCACCGTTATCCTTGGTCAAGAGGAACACGTTCCCATGGCATCGACTGTAACGATGTCGGAGTGTTGCTGTGCTGACTTGTCAGCCGCATTATTATCTGTCGTTCCCATCGCTCTGCCGCTTCTCTAATCGTTCTATGGGTAGATATTCGCTGTCTGCCAGCCTCGAAAAGTAGCCGCCCACATCCGCGTCATGCTTCGGGTCCATGAGCATTGTATCGTTGGCGTCAAATGTTTTCGTCGCCCATGAACTGTACATCACTTTGGACCACGTGTTGTTCGGCATCGCTGACGCCGGCTCTATGGTCGACCTGGAAAGCGTGTGTGCCGTCGAAAAAGGGTTGAAGACAAGCAGGGCATTTTGCCCTTGTTGTTGAGCACTTTTCAAGCGCTACCGACCCAACGGGGTCAGCGGCGTCTCCGGTTACACTCAGCGATGGCCTTGGTTTGGATGGCACGGCCAAGACCGTCAAAGTGGCTGAAGAAGATTATGATCTTTGTCTTGGACCCGTCGGCGATTTTGTGCACGTGTGTGACCCTGCTGAGTGATGTAGGGTAGATCGGTGTGATGCCCCTTTTCCCTTGGAATACTACTCTAGATCCTAGATGTAACGGACCGTAGCGCCCTTGAGCAGATCCGCAGAGTGTTCTAGGGGTTCCACGGCAAAATCTGCTCTTTCGTGCTCTGCCAGCTCTGGTGGATGTCTTGTAGTGAGTCGCTAATTTGCTCGTTCGCTTTTCCCGTGACTGAGCTGGCGATCAATCGCTTGAGACAGTCGTACTTGTAAGCCGAGCGGTTCCCATTCGGGTCCGTCTCGAGCACCAGCTTCATGATGCGGTAGCCGTGCACATAACTTGAGACATTCCCAAGCGCATCGGTGCTGCTCTTGAAGGTCAGGAGGTAACTGTCGAGCTCAATTCGTGCAAACCGAGCCATAAGGGTCGGTGATCCGGAGCGGTGTGAGGAAGTGGCTTTGGGCAGATCCGGGTGCGGCGGACGGCGTCGCAGCTGGGTCGGCATAGTAGTGTATCTGTGCTGTCGGTAGCCACCGGCTCCCGTCACCATGCAGGTTCTCGTACTTGTAAGTTTTGCCCAGGATATTTGCTTTGTCTGGGATCAAGGCTTTGCCAGCGCGCTGATACTTTGCAAGGAGTTCCGGCGTCAGAGAGAGTGTACGATATGCCCTCCAATGCCCTGAAGTCTAGCTCGTCTTGGCCCAATATGGCGGTCGGATCGTTCTTGCGGAACAAGGTGAGGCTTTTGGTCATGACGCGCTTTGCAAGGGCATCGTCGGCGATTGGACCTTCGGAAGGCACCTCGCTGAACTGGCGAAGAATGAAATCGTCGGGCTGGTACCTCACTTGGCCGTCCTTGATGGCGATACCAAAAAGCTCAAACTTGGCCGCAGAATTTTGCAGCGGCGTATGGTACTCAAGACTGTCCTCCACAGCGCTGGTGTACAACATGTCAAGCGCTATGCGCATGGTCTCCTGCAATTTCTTAGGCTCTCCATCGAGCGGTGACTTCCCCGCCGCTCGCCCGTATATTTGAACCGAGCTGAGAATGTTGCCGTAGTCATCCATCTTGAGGGTGATGCCGTGCTGGATATGCTGGTCATCCAGAGCCCCCTCCGAGAGGTACGTAATCTACTCTCGCTAGTACATCTAGCATAAGGCGACGTCGCTGATACCATGCTGTTGGAGAATCTTGACGCTGACACCATAATCTTTGATATAATATGTACGGTGAGCGGCGGCAGTGCCGTCCATGGCATACTCCTCCTCGCGTAAAGAGCCGTTGAGAGCCCTAGAAGCGTCTCTCGCCTCGACAGTGCTCACACCCTCTGATGACTCGGTCACAGACAATAGTCCCACAACAGCCGAAGGAGGGCAAGAAGCTCCTGCAAGGTCTCGTACAGGACGACATCAGACTCTTCGCCGCTCTCTACAGCACCAGAAGTATTTCTCAGGCCATTGATGCTATTGGCACAAGTGCAGGCAACTCCTCCGAGTCGCAAAGCTGACTCGCCCTCATCGCAGCATTGGACAGAGCTACTGCTGGTCATGTCGAGCTAGCCAGCCTGTTCTGGGAACAGAAACAGGTCTTGTCCATCTCACATGTTGCACGGTGTTACAGCATTCTTCTCAGTCGCGATGGAGCCGGCGTTCAGGAGTTCCAGGTAAGGCTGTTTGCCGAGTAGCCGACGGCGACCATCTACACAGCTTGGTGTCGGCTGGACAGGTCACCGTAACACCGGCGGTGGTCAAGCTGCTCGATACGGCCGTTCCGAAAGGGTTCAACATAGGTCAGGACTCGACAGACAGTTGCTCGGCATGGCTGAAGCACCGAGTGCTGGGGAGAACACCGACATCGAGCGCTCAAGGCCTTCGTCCACGAGCAAGGATGGACGGCGCTCCTGGCGTCTAGAAACGACGTCTCGCTCGCCGCCTTGAGATCCAGCTCCGTCAACTTCTTTGGCGGCACCGGCTGTAGCTCCCTCGGAGCAGGTGACGAGCTACTCGAAGATCTTTGGCGATGTCACGATTGAAGCCTGTGACGACAGCAACTCTGTCACCAGTCCGGCGGCCTATTACGTTGACCTCCGGATGCTTAAAACACCCCTAGAAATCCCACCAAGCCAACCTCTCCAAGTCTCTTTGACAAGCTTGCTGCACGACCGGGCCTGTGGACTCTGCAGCTGTCCTGTATCAACACAAACGTCTTGATCCCGTACATCGACCTCGCCAATGGGGTGATGGAGTCCTTCGTCAAAAACGTCGGCAGCCTTGTCCCGCCATCGCCAGAACCGATCCAGGGGTTCAGTATGACAGACCAAGGCATCTACCATGATCAGATTGCCGCCCAGACGTTTCCTCTCACCGTGTTCCTTACACCCAGGCGCTCGATCTCCAGTGCCTCTCTTCGCACCTCTCAACACATCGCTCTCGGAGGTGGTGGCGCTGTTTGATTCAGAGTCTCGGCTGTTTCCGGCAGCAAAGGATAGAGTCACACCTCCTGACCCTTATTTTCTCAGAATAGCCAAAAGCGTGTTGGAGAGCGCGTGTGCGGCCGAGTATCTTAGGCTGTCCCCGCAACTTACGTACAACCACAAGCTCCTCCATCGTCCCTCCCAATTTCTTTAAGGCGATATACGACCTGAGCATGTAAGACGAGGCGTACATACAAAAGATAGAACGGTTAGGCACGGGGCAGCACTGGTGCTACGAGGCGGCTGACGGACAGACAGCAGACCAGCTTATGCTGTCCAAGGAGAAAGAGGAGAGGCTGCCGTTCGTAAAGGCCCAGTTGCTCTGCCAGGCGTGCATGACGGTCGAGCACTGGAGCTTCTCAGGGCGAGACTCTCCAGGGCCGGCTCGTGCTCGAGGCGCGGACTGGTCGCCCACCTTTTCGGAAAACTCGAGGACCTGAGACTGCGCCAACTGACCAAGACAAAGTAGACGCTCCTCTGACGGAGCCGGGTTATAGGCTTTGCAGTCGTGCATCCGGCTCTGGCGCAAGACCTGGTGGGACGTTGCAAGATCTCGGCTGCATTGTCATTTCCTTTGGCGCTGGCGACGCAATGAACGGCACGAATGTCGTAGCGTAGACCGTCACTACAATGGCGGCAGTGCAGCGCATATCGACTCTCACGGACATTAAGATCCTCAAGCTGATGCCGCTCTAGGGCCTCATGGACACGAATAGGGACAAGTCGCGCTACGCACGGCTCTTCCTGAAAGGCAAAACCGGCGCCGGCGCAAGCCTGAAGGCGAACCATACGCCGCTGCTGGTGGCATGCAAGCCGACTGAGGAGGGCTTCTCGGCGACGGTCGCTGCTGCGAAGATTGACAACAACAAGCTTGACCTGGCCAACGTGACTGCTATGTACCACATATCCGCCTTCTGTCACATACCCGCGGTGGAATCGGCCCACTTTGAAGCGTTACAGGCGTTGTGGATCCGAACAATTCCGCTTTTGTGAGCCCCCAGACTGCACTCGACATCAAACAATTCCAGCAGTGTGCGTATGCCGGCCTAAGCTTAGAGTAACTTCCGTTTCCTCACCGGCAACGACGAAGCCTTGCGTGCGAGGAATGTAGACTCGGAGCTCTTGCCCCAGCAAGCGGCGTGCGCCGCGTGGGAAATCATGGTCAACATCCAAAGCAGCAAGGAGGTGTTGCCAGCAGTCGACAAGGACAACACAACGCCTTCGCCATGTGACGCCGCGGCCGCTTTGGCTGAACTATTCGATCCTCTGACCGCACAGCTAACCACAGCATTTATCGAGAGTAAGTTTACCCGATTGCAGCCTTCACGCAATGACGAAGTTGCTCACGCCTTTCTGAACTTATATATCTTTCGTGCTTCCCGGACACCCTTGACCGAGGACTCAACCGTGTACTAGAATAAGGAGAGGGATAGTGCACACGAAGAGACGCTGAATGCCCGGCGCGTGTTCTTCTTGTAACACATCATAGGGCCACTTCAAACTCGGCTAGCCAGTGATACTGTGCTAGAATCCCTCACGTCCCTTTTCCCAGACTCGAATACTGCTGTGCTGAGTCCCTTGCTGAGGACCGTCCGTGGACCTGAGTCGCAGGACAAGTTTCCAACCCGAAAGCCCATACTGGATATCCTGAGGGTCCTCGCAGCTTCAAACGAGGCTGCTCTCGGGAAAGACTCGTCTGATGTATTCTTCAGTCTCACGTCCGCAGACTTGTACCGCTTCTACTGCCAGAGTAGCCTTGGCATTCAGCACCAAGGTGGCCTTAGACGGCAGCGCCCTCATTTTCGACAAGGCGCAGGTGGCTGGACGCCAAACAAGCTCCGTCTCTAGAACGGACAGGCGTACAGCTTGCGGGCTCCGTGTTATGCGTGGGGGTTGGTAACGAGCTGAATGGGGCGCTACGGTGCGAAAGGGAGTGTCTATATGGGAGGGAAGATAGGACCACGTATGTTGCAGAACTAATCGCTGGCCTTCAAGAGTTCAGGCCCGCGGCTGCGAATATAAAGTAGTTGGACACCGAGCGGCGCAAGACACCGAGCGGCGCGCCGCTCACCGCTCCGGCTCTCCCTCACCTCCATCTTACTTTAGATAATATTCATACCATTTATCTCCATACAAATGAAATATATTATAAAAAATACGCAGTAGAACTATCTGGTAGGACATTTTAATCGATTATGGCCCTGAATATTGCAATTACTGCATGTGGGAGGCCTTCGCTGCCCTAGGTGCCTGGGCCTCGGCCTGAATCTTTGCCTCCTTCTCGCTGATTATTTGATGTGCCGTATCAGCAGTTAGACTGCCTCCATCTTAAATAAACTGTCTAGGCTCTTCCTTTTTTTGCTCTTGGTACTTATCACCTGCCTGACGTCGATGAAGTTTATCCTTTAACAAAGACATTTGCTGCATAGCAATCTCATTGCCTTTCATAGCTTTCTCAAGCAAAGTATCAGCAATCGATGGAAAAAAGCCTTGGTTTTGAATCTCAAGAAGTTGCTCTTTTGTCGATTTAATTGGTAGAGATTATAAGGTGTTTTTCCCAAGTAAAATAACTGGTTACTGCCTGAAGAAGATGGTGGACTTGGTGTTTTCAACTTGATTTTTAACTTTGATATCACTGTCGAAGAATCAAGAGGAATAAGGCCAGTAGCCTTAAATCCACTTAATATATTTGCCGATGACAGTGCTTTTGAGTGAACCGATGAATAGATAGATAAAAAATCTACCTTATCAATGGTTTTATACCACTATTCATCATTTCTTGCACTTTTTGACCATAAAAGTGCTTTAAAAGGTGCAAAACAGCTAACATCGAGTGGTTGAAGAAGGTGAGATGAATGAGGAGGCATATAAAGTGGAATAATTAAATTTTCCATGCAGTATCAATCAAATTCAGCAGTTGCATGGCTCCCGTGGCCATCTAAAATAAGTAATCGATATTGACCAACAGTGCGGGATCTTGTATGCTTGTTAAAAACTTCTTGTAGCCATTCAAGTCCCAGATTATTATTAGTCCAGCCATTCTCACTAAGACTTAGTCGATAATCTTTAGGTAGAACAGAATACCACTGAGATTGATGTTTTTTCCAGCAAAGATAATCTGGGGGTAAAACCCAACCACTTGCTCCAACAGTTACAATTAATGTAACCCATTCTCTATTACCTGGTTGGATTGATTTAGCATCAGATCTGCGTGTTTCTGCACCGCAGACAACTTTGGCTGTTGATGTTACACCCATTTGGAAGCCAGTTTCGTCCATGTTGTAGATATCTTGTTCTAAAATGCCATATTTTTGTATGGTATTTTGAACCAATTGAAACTAGCCTTGAATAACCTGTGGATCTTCACACTTCGCCCGCTGGTAGTCATATCGACGATTATATCTTGACTTAATATCATTATGGCGGGAAATAAATCGAGTAACCCATTTACTACTGACTAGATCAGGGATAGAGGCCGGGGATAACGACGAAGTCTTTTGACGTGCAGATATTAAAAGACCAGCAAGATATTGAATTTGGGAGATCCGTTGAGGCAGACCACGGTTAGCCATATCAATAATCCATCTTTTAATGTATCCTCTTCAAGATTGGACAATTTCCGGCTATTAGCAATAATATTATTGCGGTTGCTTCTTCCTTTAAGTCGATAAAGAAGAGTTCTTGAAGAGACATCAAATGCCTTGGCACAGGCAGTTCTGGATGAAAATTGGTTATTATTCCATGCATCAACAGCCATTTTCATTCTCTCATCCATTGATATGGCACTCATTTTGGTATATTAATAAAATACTGATGAAAATCAAGATAAAAAGGCTTCGAATACTGAGATGTTTGAATATTTCCAGGAAGAGCGGTGAGCGGCGCGCCGCTCGGTGTCTTGCGCCGCTCGGTGTCCAACTACTTTAAACACTTCGCACCTGACTAAGCATCTTAGCTAAGGATCTACCCGTCTCCTCCAGCTCACCGCCCGGCAGACCCCTACAGGGGTCTGCCCCAGTTCAACGCAATTCCCGGCTCAACGCAAAAAATCAATATATTGAAATAAAAAGCTCAAAAATTGCCTACTTAAAAACTATGAAGCCATATTTCGATCCCTATATGAATCTATATAGAAAAGACCTTCAGAACCTCCATTTTCTGCATTTAATTGAGTTGGTGTGGCAGTGGCACTTGCAATATTGGCAATACGCTCAATAATGGTGTTTGAGCTCTTATCTTGTTTTTTAGAGGTAGATTTCCAATGTCTCTCTATATCCTTTAATTTTTTCTCTTTAATATGACGTTTGACATCCCGTACGTATATTAGACCATCCATTTTGACTGTGCGGCGTGATTGGGTGGTAGAATTAGAAGGTCTTTTTCTTGACTTTAAAGCTTTATCTAACGCAACCGACGTCATTGCATTTTGTTCTGCCTGAGTTAATACACCACGAAAGATTCGATTAATTGTGGGAGATAACTCTGTTTTTGACCTCCGAACAATCATAATCTCCTTCCTAATCGAGCGAAGTGTTGTAGGTGTTTTAATCCCTTTATCTAATAGTGGCGAAGGTGTTCTTTGCACTGTGGTAGTGGTGGTGGTAGTGGTGGTAGTGGTCGTAATAGTGCAATTCAACGCAGAGATATTTTTAAAATTCTCAATTATATGACATTATATATATTTTTAAAGGCTCTTCTTCATCCACCGTCCTACCAGCAATTTTTTGCAAGATAAGAGAAGGATTCCATGGCCGGATTCCTACCTCCCGCCAACCGCTCGAATTGTACGCTCGGTAAGCGCTCGCTTGCGGATCTTGTCAATATCATACAAAAACTCCAATTTATCATATTTTTCACCACGGAAACGAGAGACGGAGTTGACTGCAAGACCGTGAGCTAATTTAAGCTGCTGAAAAGGGACGAATCAAGCGGTTGAAGTCGGTGAGTTAGGTGAGGTGGAAAGGATAGTAGTAGAATCCTGTGATCTTGGCAATATTGGACAAATTCAACAGTTAGATGAGCCTCATGATTATCCATTAAAAGGAGCCGATACCGGCCTCGTTGACGTTGGGCAGAGAAATAATTAAAATGATAAAGCCAACTAAATGCAATTGCATCATTTATATAGCCTTTTTCAGATACCTCTATGATATAATCATCTGGAAGATCTGAAAGAGTATACCAATCCTGCAGGTGGACCTTGCCTGGTATAATTAACACTGGTGGAATCCTCTCACCAGTAGAATTAACACATTCAACTAATGTCACAGTTGTACGGGTTGAAGCGCTTGCAATATCATTTTTCTTGTAGGATATTGAGTCACAATCGACTCAACACGACCTTGACCGATTCGGAAGCCAGTTTCATCAAAATTCCAGATATCTTCGTGAAGAAGAGAATATATCTCCGTCTGAAGTTGAAGATAATTATACCACTGAGACACCAAGACCTCATCCTCTGCCTCAGCCCGATCAATATAATAACACGCCGTTTTCCTTTAAAATATTGCTTATTTTGTTGCAAGAAGCGTATGGCCAATTTTTACCAACTTTTGTGAGCTTTTGATGAATCTTCATGGCTATTCTGCAGAATAGTGTTGGCTGCTTTCGAATGGCAGGTATACTAATTGGAGCCCCAACGTCGTATATATAATATAATCAAATAATGCTTATATTGCAGGATCAAGGTGTTGGTTAGCCGGTTTCCGTGTGATTTTACTCTTTTTGCCTTGAATTCTTCTATGAAGCCGGTGATAGCTGATCCCATGATCACGCGCAATTTTGGCAATATTTGTACGCGATTTTTCCTTTTTTTGAGATTCGTACACGTGTAGAGCCTTTTGAATAATAGCCTCTTCCTCTTTATACGTTGACTTCATGGTTTCGATGGTGGGAATGGCTTCAAATACAAGGTGTTTTGAATATATTGATTTTTTTGCGTTGAGCCGGGAATTGCGTTGAACTGGGGCAGACCCCCTGTAGGGGGTCTGCCGGGCGGTGAGCTGGAGGAGACGGGTAGCTATCGCGCTTCCGAGCGCTCCTAACACTCCGACAGCGGCGGGTTAGCAGAGTGCTCCTATTCGACTCAACAGAGTCCCTGTCAACTTTTCCCACTAGCGCTTTGCTTGCGCACGATACCATTGTCCTTGCGCAGAATGCCCTGCAATTGCTCTCCTAGGCTATCAATCTATCTACTGGCTTCAAGCCGAGCCTGGACGAGGTGCAATTTTTCCAACGCCAGTGTCTTTCTATTAACTGGGGAAAGATGGATTACAAGGCAATACAGCTTCTGTAGAGCTACAGGGAGCTGTCTAGCAGGGTTGATGAGCCTGCATTTATGCTGGGCTTCCTGAAATGGACTCAGGGATCGCCCCGTATGGAACCCCGGTCAGTAAGCTCACCGGGCTCACGGATACCTGCATCGCAGATTGCAGACTATCTGGGTCAGAGGTTCTTGGGTCTGAGTGAGTAGCTGATGATCGAGCTCTTCCGAGGAACGGCAGAACAGCTACCGGACCGCGTCGCATTCATGAATCACATGGGAGTGGATGGGCTGACTCTTAAGCTTTTGTTCGCTCCAGCGACGCTAGTGCTCCCACATACTGTGTCCACTGACTGCGAGAACGCGGCGGGACCAGCGCGTTGCGCTGGTGAACTACCTCCTACAGGGTCGTTACATTTCGGGAAGAGGCATCACAGACGCGGACGGGATATTCGAGTTCCTCATCGACTGCAGATTGGGGTGTGTTGCAGGGTCACGCATCAGGCAGGCCTCTCCACGGTGCAGCTCTACTTGCGAAGGTGCACCCTCAGGCTGGGGAAGGTGGAGCAGGTTGCGAACAACACGGTTAAAATGGACCGTTACAGGCTGTGGGAGGTGAGCCGCAGGGTCTTCCTCCACCTGAAAAACTAGCTGGACACAACCAAGCGCGACGACAAGACCAAGGGCCGCGCCGTACATTGACTACTGTCACACGCTCGACATTGTGCCGAGTCCCATGGGCAGGGGGATCAAGATGTACTGGCAGCCCTGGACCAAGATTGATGTCGAGGTCCCGGTACACGAGGTCGGCGCCGACGACAACACTTTGCCCAAGTCGGAATCGCACCTGATTCCTGCGTTATACAGAGAATGTGCGTTCCTCTTCTTCACCCAGATCACCCTCAAGACAGCTCCCAACGGCGCAACCAAGGACAAGGCGATCAATGATATTAGCAACGAGAACCAGACGCCTCATGGCGTCAAAGTACTGGCAAGTTCAGATCGGCTAGACCGAGCACCGCAATGGCCACCAAAGCAGATATTGCAGACCATCTAGATGTCAGAAGTGCCCAGAGCACCGACTTCCTATTCAGGGGGCACGCTTCCGGCGAAGGCTGTCTGGTCGAGACAGAGAATCTCCCAGACGTATCTCGCTCAAATTCTGGATCCGGTCTACGCCAAGCTCCTCGCTCCCTCCTGCTGATCAAGCAGGGCGGCGGCGCCTTCGCCATTGCCAAGCATGTTCCCGCACCGAGTACCAGTATTTTTGTCATCGATGTGGAGCGCTGGATCAATGCAGGGGAAGGCCAGCAGCCTCGGTACCTCAACTATCCGCTAGGAGGTGGTAAGTCTGTCTACATAGTGGGCAAAAATACAGTACTACGTCGTAACAATACATCGGTCTTGTTCGACACGACAATTAAATAATGTCGGTCAGCTAAATACGCGTATGAGCTAGTATCATCGATCATATAATATGGATCTGCATTTAAGAATGAGGTCTCTAAGGTCTCTCACTATCTGAATCTATCTGGGAGAACTGAATAAAAGGTACAAAGTCGGACCGAGCGGATGCTGAATAATAGGTAATATTGGCCCACTTTGGTCGACAAATAAGAACCTGATTGGTATTCCGTCCCCGTTTACCACCAGAGGAGGCCTACGACAAATAATTATATGCAGCATAAACAACGAGGACTAAAATCGAGTAAAGATTGACATCGTAAAACCAATTTACGAGTCCATTATCTTCGTTTACAAACCCCTATTCTGTCGCATGCACAAATCCTATAATGACCAAGAGCTAAGAAGCTGCGTCTTGCCTGCAGCAGTTGTCCAGGAAACTTCAAAAATCGCACATTTTTCCCCCTCCACAACAATTGCATATCTTAAAGCTGATAACCAGTTTGATACCAGTATATGACTAATCATTATGGAGCTTGTCTAGTGCTGGTCGTATCACTTGTCCTCTCGCAGAACATTTAAGGAGAGCCTAGCATGCATTATGGTCATTTTGATCCAATCATGGAGAGGGATTGCCGCAATTCTGACTACGACTGTGAGTGTCGCTCATACCGTGAATTTACGTGTCTCACACGCATATGCAGGAGCTAGGGTCTCCCATGCGTTTCAAATAGATTCGAATGCTTTAGGGAGAGCTGCTCTGTAATTCGAGAAAAGATCCAGCACGGGTATATTATCCTGCTAAAAACACCTACTTCCTGTTTTGAGGTTCTACTTGCACTAAATCATGAAAATGATGATATCATGAACATTAATACGAAAATAATATTTTTGGGTGGCATGCGAGGGCATAGGCTAGCTTCCAACTTCTCACCCACTGTAGCCTTTCTCTAAAATTGAATGATCAGCATACGCTAGCCATAACCTAACTGGAAATCAACCTCTCAAAGTTGGTGACGATAGTGTCATATAATGATGGGAATAGTTTAATGTAAGATACATTCATAGTAGTAGTAGTAGTAGTAGTAGTAGTAGTAGTAGTAGTAGTATTCATACGCTAAACCCTCGCCTTCGGCGTTATGCAGGTAAACTAACTAGTTATCTCTGTATGTATCTAATTATAGGACTCTATTGCTTAACACGAACGTAGCGTCAAGGCCTGTGGTGACCCCTTTGCCTTGGTATTATCCTATGCAGCCCCTCTAGACCGCGGCCTTCACAGCTCCCTTTAAAGAAACAAAGAGAAACAGAACAAAACCAAACCAAAACACAAAAGAAGGGAAAATAGGAAACCCTCATAGACATTTCCAAGAATACTTTTTGCCCCATTCCTAGGGAGGAATTCGTAGTATCTATTGAAATAAGACACATAGTGACTGGTTTAGCTGTAGGTCACTCAAGACCACGAGCAATAAGTTTGGACAGAGCCACGTTGGAGACCACACCAAGAGTATTTTGTTGTAATGATTGTTATGTTCCACTGGAAACAACTACGAGCAGTTGAGCGGAAGCATAGAGAAGACCACACCGGAAGAACACTTTGTTATATCGATTGTGATAGCACTATCAGAACCACAGACAGCAGCTGAACACATGAAGAGACAGGAATTGAAATATCTCTTTTGTCGAAACCATTAGATACATAGCCTTAGAACCACGAGGCAGGAGGCGGACAGCCGGGAAGCCATGTTGGAGAATGGGTTGGCTCTAGTGTAGATGTCGCGATAGACCCAGACAGCGGAGGTCTAGTCATCTCCCACTAACGATTATAGTGATAATCATTGAGCTGATCTTAGCGAGATAAGGCAACCAGGTAAGCCTTAGTTATTCTTCATTGTCGCTGGTATTGTTGGGTGGAGGCAAAAGCGCATCCGTTAAATTCAAGTCTGTCGACTATCGGCAACAGGATAAGCCACAGAACAGATCTAGTCACCGTATAGGCAAAAGACCAGCAGACTTCTTCAGTTCACCAATTATAGCGAGGCAAGCTGGGAACACAGAATCTTGACTATATCTCTGTTTGTTGTTGGCTGCTTGTCAGTACTTTCACGAACGCGCCGGGTTCGCATTCAGCACCACCATGAATTGCTTGAGTACTCGTCCCCAGCACCGCAAAGAGGTGTTTGCCCATCGCTGGGGCTGTACATACATAGTAATAGTCTGGTCCCCCAGTCTTGACTTCTCCCACTCACTCAGCTAAAATCATTTTCTTGCGCAAACCGATTTCCGTACCTATACATGTTCTATCTTTTAAATGCCAGTTGCTACACGTTCGTTTGTTTCCACGTCACCGGAGTTAAGATCGTATTTTGAAAATGAGAATTATCTCGCAAAGGGGAAGTCTGAACCTAACAGTCGCTCACAGACTTTGATCTACCATAAATGGTGGATTAAAGTGACATTCAATGGCGCAGTTTTCCATGTGAGTAATATTCCCAAGTCAAAACGCGAACGACGCGAAGAATACCAAGGTTTTACTAGATGAAAGATTTTAACTCACTCCCTCTACTCGATGATACCGTGACAGAATTAATTTTGGAAGAATCTCCGGAGTTAGTAGGCCTTATCAAGGCGAAGAGGGAACCAACGAATGCAACAACAGGTTTATAATACTCGTCAGCAAGATGCGATACACGATTCAGGAAGACCCACCAATGGTCACGTATGCATTATGCCTGGACTTTCATTCTTTCCAGGTAGTCCACTCGGAACTGATGTACGAGGTAGAGATTACTGATGGAGTGTTCAAAGTTTTCCCTTGGCATCGAAAAGATTCTATACATACTAAAGGTCATTAATCGACCTTGTTATCAGCCTCAGGTCATGGACTTCATACGAAAGGAGCTGGAAAATTTCGAACCCTTGGAGGGTCAGGAGAAACAGTACAGAGATGCACGTAACCGGATTCCATGTTCTGTATATACAGACTTGTTTTCTATGTTAGGGACCTACCATATTCGGTATGGTCACGTGTCCTCATTTTGTTGTTCGCGAGGCACAATTCTCTGAATTCAAGGGGCTCAGGCGAGCTGACTATCTAGATGGGTGACTAAGTGAGGCCATGTGACCATACCGAATATGGTAGGTCCCTAACATTAGTCACCCATCTAGATAGTCAGCTCGCCTGAGCCCCTTGAATTCAGAGAATTGTGCCTCGCGAACAGGTTATGAGACCCTCTATATCTTCCTTTTAGAGCTGATATTACGTGGTTTTAAACCACCTGTTTTGTCTATTCAATTGCCTCTCGAGGAATTGATAATAACTTCAATTAAAATGGGCCCGAAGAAGGGAAAAGCCCCTGCTAGGGATGAATCTCCATACTGTACACCTGGCCCTTCCTCTCCTGCGATAATACGACCACCACCACGAGATACTAAGTCAGAGGAGGAGGATCGCATGGAATATATATCAAGGGACCAGTTCAGGGATTTTCAAACACAACTGCAGACTTAATTGCAGAATTAAATGCAAACTCAATTGCAGCAAATAATAGAGCTAATTCAACGCAGTTAATCGCCCCTTTAAGTACGCCTACTCTAAATCCGAAGCCCACATCAACAGCTCTACCGCCACCAAGCGAGGATGACGCCGGCCGTGCGAGTATAATACAGGCAGTTAGTGCCATGTGGAAGGATATTGGTCAAAAGCTTTAATATAAATTACAATCTCTGAAGATCTCCAATTTTGCAGATTGGAAAGAGGATCTATATAAAGACGCCCGTATTATAAACGCGGAGTTAATTTTAATTAACAAGGAGCTTAGTCCACTATATAACAGTAAGGAGCTTAATTTAGCAATTTAGCAGATAAAGAATAAAGCTTTGGCTATCCAAATCTACTAATTAATATCGCGAGAAGTGCAGGATCGCCTAGGTAAGATAGATATCTCGAAGGCAGCTGTATTATATATACAAATCTATAAGGCAATAGGTCAGACAAGGCCCAGGAGCACTATAACCTAGTGCGAGAAATTATTAATATTAAATTATATAATAGTGATTATTTAGTATACAAGAGCAAGCTTTTAATACTCCAGGCACGCGCGAAACACCTCTATGTGACTGTAAATAATATATTTTATAATATCCACTATATTCGCCTACGCAATTGGCAATCAAATTTTATAATAAATAAGCTTGATCTATTCCTTGCCTTAGGGGCAGGAAATCAACTGATTAAGAATACCGATCTAGTTAAGATTAGATAATAGTTAAAATTGCAACAATCTAATACACACTGTTTAAAGACTTCTGGATTAAATCAACAATCTAATGGCATTAAAAAAAAAAAAAGCAGGATAACAAGTCGGACTCTATCTCTTTTAAAGATATAAAATTGTCTTGCAGTTATTATAAATAATATTCTCTCTTAAGGATATGCTGGTATCAGAATCCCGAGGCAATTCCCTTTAATAAAATAACACCAGTGTTTCTCAAGCGAATTAATAAGTATAGGGCTACAAAAGGTGATCCTGCATATACACCACCTGCACCGAAGCCCTTTGTATCTACAAATTATATTGCGGAATCAAGTATATAGCTACTACCTAAATAGTATATGGATACATGCGCATTGTACTACATAACCCCTAGACAAGATATTTTTTCAACATACGAGATTCTACTGACTGGTATGCCTAATATTGGCGGATTCTTAGGTGGACAAAAACCTTCCCTTGCTAAGGGAACGGCCCGAATAATGTTAAATAATATTACCTTTAATATACCAAAGGTATGCCATATACCTGGTTTATTAGCAAATTTGTTAAGTTACGCGTAGCTTCTAAAAGCAGGTTTTAAACCATCGATCCCAGAGGACGCGTACACCAATATTATTTTTACTAATAAAAATAGCTTAACTATTACTGCAGTCCCTTTAACAATGAACTGTTATAGGATTTATAGTATAGTATACAAGATATTTTTAAAGGAATTAGCTCTTGCGGCTATAGCCTCTAAAGCATCCAATCCTTAGGTAGCTACTATAATCTAATAGCATCGACGATTAGCGCACCTAAATTACCCTGATATTTTACGATTATCTCGTACGCCTGGCAGTTAGATTAAGATCTTTAATCCCCAATCTCGGCCCTTTTGCAATATCTGCCATGCGGCGAATCAGAAACACAGCCTATTTTATACCTTGGTAAAATATACCACGAGACCTCTTCAACGCATTTTTATTAATATTGCGGGTAAAGGCAATACTTTGTTTAAATACTATAAGCAGCTTAACGACCCTGCTTCTTGTACAGGTTCTTGCTATTATATACTAATAACAGACAATGCAACTTGCTATTAGTGGATCTTATTTCTAAAGAATTAAAAGCTTGTCCACTAATATCTCGAGCAATAGCTTAGCTATATAAAAAATTAAGGCTTTTAACCACCTGCATTCGTGCATTGCGATAACAAATTTGTGACTAAGGAAATAATAAAATAGGCAAATAAAAATAGTGCGAAGTTAAAGTTAACTAATCCTTATTTTTTATAGCAGAATAAACCAGATAAATATACTAATTAGATTATTATTAAGCATACACGCGTGATTCTGCATGATTCTGGATTACTATATTAGCTCTAGTCAGGACGCTATATAATATACAGTTTATATTATAAATAACATCCCTATATCTACTACACTATACGCAGATTACTTAGTTCCAGGGGGTATTTACTAATCCAGATATTTAGCCCTTGCAGCATGTTATACTGCATTCTGTATTTTTAACAAGTATCCGCAGATTGCTCACATTCGTTCCTTTGGTTATTATGTTTGGTATTATAATAACCCAGGATATCAAGATTTCAACAAGATTGTTGGCCGTGGCACTCCAGGTATTTATATTAGCAGCGATTCTTTAACCAATTATAAGGTCTATATTAAAGAGACAAACAAGGCTATTCGGACTAGCCATGTTTTATTTAACAAACAGGCTCAGAGGGAACAGCTTACAAAAAACCAATTAATTTTACTGTACCTCCGGACCCTAAATATCTCGCGCAAGAAGCGCTGCATCTCATAGGGGATTCTCCCGCGGAGGATAGCAGACAATCTGACTGGGTTCGACCTGCTAAAGGCTTTGCTCTATTCGCAGGATTTACCCCTACTTCGCCTGCTTCTGCTGAGGCAAATCGGCCCCCGATTCCAAATACTTGGCAGGAAGCAATAAAATCACCTAATAAAAATAGATAGTTAGCAGCTTGCAAGCTTAAAGCTTCCCGTCTCGACAAAATTAAGGCATGGGACTTGATTAATAAGCAATCTATGCCTAAGGGCTTAAAGCCTATCCCTGGTCGTTGGGTTTTTAGTGTTAAGGACCTTAATAACAGCACCTTTAAATACAAGGCACGTTGGGTTATACATGGTAACTTGGTTAAACAAGATCCTTATTTTGGGGAGACATATTCGCCAGTGGTTTATCCCCAAATAATTAATATCCTATTCGCAGTTGCAGCTTATCGCAAATAGTATATTACTTAGGCGGACGCGGTGCAGGCATTTTTTAATAGCAAAGTTAATATGCTAATATATATCCAACCAACCGGCTTTAAAGGTAATCCTACACCATGGTTTGCAAGCTAAATAACACCTTATACAGTCTCGCGCCTTCCGCATGTATATAGTACGACCATCTCCGTAGTAATCTTAAAGTTTTGGACTTTAAAACAAGCGACTATAGCCCAGGCCTATAGATTTACCAAACTCCCAAGAATCTCTATATAACTACTTATATAGATGATTTTACTATTATTACTGTGCTTAAAGCAAACATAGAATAGCTTCTAAGCGCAATGCAACAAAAATTCGCGATTAAAAAGACAGCTTATCTTAAGTATTTCCTCGGCATAGGGATTACTCAATCTAATAATTAGATTAAGCTTATGCAGACATCTTATATTAATAATCTTGTTACTTCGGCAGGGCTCGCAGATGCCCATCCAGTCTCTTTACCTGCAGATCCGGGTTTAGTTATCGATGACAACCCCGATCCCACTGTAAACAAGGAATATAATCGACTCACGGGTAGTTTTTAATAGCTTGCCTTAAAAACCCGTCCAGATATTGTGTGTATCGCGAGCTTATTAGTGCAATTTAACAAGGCCCCTACCAAAAAGGTATTCGGAGCGGCTAAATACTTAATTTGATATTTAAAAGGATCTTATACACGTGGTATCACCTTTCGCATGTTAAATAGACCCCTACCGCAACCACTGGTTTATACTAATTCGGGCTGGGGAGGTCCTTATTATAATTATTGGTCAGTATCAGGCTATATCGTACTTTTAGCCGGTGCCCTGATATTATAGTAATCTGCCAAACAAACATCCATTGCCTTATTATCTAATAAGGCAGAATATATGGCGGCGTCGGACACAGCTCAGGAAACTTAGTGGCTTCGTCGCCTACTTAACAAAATAGAGATCTACTCTGCACCTTTAGACCCTATTGCATTCCACGTTAATAATAAAGGTTGCAAGGATCTTATCAGTTCAACGGTCACCACCAAGCGCTCTAAGTATATTAATATTCGGTATTATTATACACGCGAGCTCGCGGCGGACCGCATTATTAATATTTGGCTATGCCCTAGTAAGGAAAACGCTGCGGACGGTCTCACTAAACTGCTTCGATCTGAAGGATTCACGGCTTTTCTCGATAATATAGGTTTAGCTTAGTTTTTTTGCTTATTTTTTGGCTTTACACGCGATTCTGTATGTAATGGTGCTGGGTGAGCACGCTTCGGCCAAGGGGGGGTGTTAGGGACCTACCATATTCGGTATGGTCACGTGGCCTCACTTAGTCACCCATCTAGATAGTCAGCTCGCCCGAGCTCCTTAATTGAAGAGAATTGTGCCTCGCGAACATCGAGGGCCAATGGGCCAAAAGGGACAGTAGGGACAGTAGGGACAATAGGGACAATAGGGATAATAGGGACATTGGCCCGAGAGGTCAAACGGGCTCTAGCCCTTTACAGGATACATGCGTTGAGACTAATAGAATTTAATGCAGCAGTGAAATATGGATAATTTCCAGATTACTTACTTAGATCCTGGAGGGTGACCCCTATTTCATGTAAGGGATAGATAACATTCCTTGCTGCCGCAGTTGCATCGCGCCCTTTTGATGAACCATGACCATCGCGGATCTCATGGTACAAGGCAAGGAATAATTAACTCAGATCCAAGGCCACTCATCAACATAGGTTCGGTTTATCTTCTGGCTGATTAGCGGGTTTGTAATTACGAGCGATATCCTATAGCACGGCCGCTATTCTGATGTTTCAATATGCGTCTGGAATTCCAGGCCAGACATGCTCTACACTCACGCGACTATTGTCACCGTGGACCCCGCGAGGCGCATCATTGAGGACGGTGCGATCTATGTGCAGGAAAATATCATTGCGGACCTTGACGCGACCAGCGTACTTCGGAGATATCCCTATTGAAGAGAGTACGACCTTAGCGGCACGTCGCCATCCCAGGGCTCATATCAACACAAATGCATACTATCCAGTCACTATTGCGGGGTACGGCAGACAAGGAGGCACTAGAACCATGGCTAGCGGACGTAATTCGTCCCCTGCAGCGTATCATGACGACTGAAGAGGGATCGGTGGCCGTGCAATTGAGTGTAGCGGAGATGCTCAAGTCCGGCACGACGTGCTTTCTAGAGAGCATGTTTTGCGTGTGTTGTGTGTGTTCTTGGTAGCCCTTCGAAGATACATCTGATATTTTTCATGCCCAGTCCTTGGAACATCATGATTGTGACCAGCTCTGTCGGGTGGTCCAGGACAGCGGTATCCGGGGCTGTTTAGGCCAGAGGGCCCTCCTGCTTGCTCCGGCTGATAATGCCACCGATCGTTCCATATCCAATATAGTGTAATCATGGAGGAGATGGAATGGCGCAGCAAATGACCGGATTCGGGTCTGGTTCGGAGCCCTCACCCCAGGACTGTAAGTGGCACGCAATCTGTCTGCACGGAAGCCGCACGTCTCTCACAGGAACCACCGTCAGTACTACCGATGATCGATTTAAAGAGATAACAGCAATCACCCATACAGGATCCCAATTACAATCCTGCGCAGAATCACCGCTCTAATACCACTCCTTCGCCTCGCTTGGACATACGCCCGTCTCCTGGGCCCAGTCGGTAGGATTGTTGTCCCCATCGACGGTGCTGGTTCACATGGTCCATCTGGATAAAAGCAATAACATCGCCAAGCAGGCCGCCTCGGGAGCTCACATTGCGCATTGCCTGACCTCGAACGCAAAACTGGCGTTGGGAATCACCCGGGTGCCAGACCTAGTAGCAGCCGGTGTGAATGTTAGTATGGCTGAGACAGGGCTCCCTGCCAGAATAACTGCAACTTGCTGCAGGAGCTGAATCTGGCTGCAATCATCCAGAGGAGTATATCCTATAATCCAGTATTTTTCCCGCAGAAACCATCCTGGAGATGGGGGCAATCAATGAGGCAAGGACCTTAGGTCTTGCGGGCCAGATAGAAAGTCTGAAAATTAATAAAAGAACAGATTTTGTTGCTCTTAATATGCAGAAGCCGTACCTACAGCCTTGCGTTAACCCAGTCAGTAATATGGTGTATTCTGCGACTGGGCGTGATGTGAGCGTGGTTGTATTGGACGGTCGGCTGGTAGTAGACCGTGGGACAGTATTGACCATGGACGAAGAGGCCATTTTTGAGGCGGCAAAGCAGAAGAGCTACAGCCTGATACAATGAGCTGGCCTGATTGACCAAATACGGTCGACATGGCAAGTAGACTAGTCTTAGTAGGCACAGCAATATGCAGCGGTGTCCATTTCAGTGAGGGCTTCGAAGTATAAGATATATATATGATTTGTAAATACAAAGAGCTCGCTTAATGGGCTAAGAATCGTCGCGCAAGATATTCAAGATTCAATTCTTTCGACTTCTCCAAGGGCAGCTGCCACGGCGTGGAGAAGCTGTTCCTTGTCCTCAAGGCCAACACTCATACGAATAATATGCTGTGGCACGCCGTATTTTCCAACCTTGTCACGGTCCCGGTAGTTTGCCAACTGAACATATGGAAGGGCCAAGGTAAAATTTGTTCCAAAGCTTGTGCCCTTGCATATGTTTAAGGTATTATAAAAGTGCTCTGCACTGCGTGGTTCCCGAAAAACCACACTCAGGACATTGCCGTAACTACCACCTTTCCGCATCAGGCGCTTATATAAAGATGCAGTTGGCGACGTGGACGGATAGTTAACCTGAGCGATCGATGAGTGACTCTGAAATAGATCCACCAGAGGAAGCGCGTTGTCACTGCATTGCTTTATCCGCCAGACCAAGTCCTTGCTGTTGTTCCGGAGAACGTCAACGTCCATTGGGAAGTAGGTACTCTCATACTCCGTACATAGAGTGCCATGGATTCTGCTGTAATGACGCGAGTTGGGATTGACCACAAGTCTACAAGTTGTCAGTGCCGTCCAGTATAGCAGAGAAACCAAGAACTTCTTTTAAAACGTACCCTCCTCCAGTGACGTTAGAGGCTCCGCTGAAAGTCTTTGTCAGGCTTGAAATTATAACGTCCACGTAAGGAAGAACATCGATATTCACATAACCGGCAACTGTGTCGTCGCAAACTATGATAAAACTATAACGTTCTGCAAGGGCCCGGATTCGGAAGACATTGGGTGATGACAGTTTAATATTGCTGGGCAATTCGCAAAACAGCGCATCAACCAGTCGACCGGATGCAAGCATGCTCTCCAGTTGATCCAACTCCTCCTCCGTTCCGTATTTATATGAGATGCATTCTTTCCAAGCACATCGGTGGAGCGCCTTAACTGTCTCGGGATATAGCCACCTAGAGGATAGGATATAAGGGAATGTCATGACACGGAACGGAGTCTTGGATAGCCATACCCATATGCCACAACTGTGGGTTCGGCCTTGAACGAGGCCAACATCTGCGATAGTAAATATATAGCGTTTGTCCCATTTGGGTACAGGAAAACATCGTCCGGCTGTACGGGAAGTTGTCCTGGCTGCTCGGAGGTAACGAACTGCGCAATAACGGATTGTATTGCGGGTATGCTAACTAGGGCCGAGCGCACTGACATGTGAAGTTGGGAGCTGGATTGGTTCTCCCTTTTGCATGGAGATGATGTTTGATATGCTGGATTGGAGGACTTGGACTCCAGGTAGCATAATTCCTCGAGACAGAAAGGAGCATGTCGTGTGGAAATACCAGTACCAGTGTCACGCCAAAAGGCCAAGGCCTCACTCCACAGCTCATCCGGGAATAACGTGGCCGAGAACTGAGCCCAGTAGGCCGTCCCATCTCCAAGGTCGGAGGCAGGAGACATGACGAATTCAACTATCTCTATAACCGATTGCTGCCTCGAGGTGGCCTTGAGGGTGGTAGCACATTGTTGAGCAGCCTTTGCAGAACTGAATATCATACATCCTGTCATTTCATCGGTGACCTTGAGCCGGTGTAAGACGGCATCCGAGAGCTCCTTGACTTGAGCGTTTATTTTGAATCTTCGTGCCCCGTTAGCTAATCCCACTGAGTCCGTCAACGCCAGATATAGATCTGGTTGCCTCACCGTGGATAGCCCCATTTGACCGTCTCCACTACCCAACTGTCTTGGCGGGCCATGGCAGACACCGAGTCCCAAGTCGGTAGGGACGTGCTAATAGCCTAGATGGACATTAACGGAGGGTTTGCTTGGCAGGGATCGATTGACGTACATGGAGTTCATCGGGGGGTTGATAGATATTAGCCTTTCCGAGCGGAAACGACCGAGGTGGTGGGGGACTATCGTGTCTTGTTGAGGGGGTGATTTCAGAGCTGGGCGTAATGGTCATCGTAGCAAGGGGAACTATTGTAATTCCGTTACAACTGTTGGTGATTGAATATGAGGTATGTATCCAAGAGTAGGTAGGTTAATAACAGCAACTTATAAGGGAATTGTCGACGTATCCATTTCCGTTGCTATAAGGAAGGAAGTCCATGCGTAGGCATAGCCAGTTGATATTCCTTGGTTGTAAGATGATTTAGTGGTTCATGGATGCTTGCAGAGGAATGGCAGAGAGTGGCGTCTTTACCCAACCCCTTTCCGCGAACAGGCATGCCAGGGAGAGAATCCACCGTTCCCGGCCCTCGGGAGTAGTAGACCTGGTTCATATGGTCGTCCTGCCATATTTCATCATCGCCATGACAGGTTGGTTGACCTTGATGTAGGTTGAAGCGTTGAATTAATTACTAGATGACTTTGAAACTGGGACATGTCACTTCCGGAGGTAGTGCGGTGCTTGAAGCAGTTCGACCATCGAAATTGATTTATGTCAACCTTTTAAGATACCGCTACCTAACATATTTCACAAGCGAGCATTCCACACAAATCGAGCGTTCCACCCTCCAAATTTCAACGCGTCAATTATCTGAAGCAATTCAACCTCCCAAAAGTCTGCATTTCTATATAAAAAATAATTACTACATTGATTTGGACATTTACTACTGATTTTATGCCCCTAAATTCTACATAGCCTTTTTAGCTAGGTAGAGACAGATGGATAAGGCAATATAACATTCTAAGTGTAGGGGGACCTTAAAAGGAGTTGAAACTGGAGTTAGTTGTAGGAGGCTTGATGCCTATAGGCCTCTTGGTATAGTCAAATCTGGGACCAACTACGCATGGACGGGCGGGTGAAAATTTGTGCCAGCTCCAGGGTTCGAACCCGCGCCATACAGTATCAACACCCTTTCCCAAGGGGTGTATTTTTTACTGCACGGATACCAGATATCAGTGGCGGTTCCGACCACCCACCTTCCACCGGTGGGTGGTCGGCAGCGTAAAGGAATTTTCAACGTAAAGGAAGAAAATGAAGCAATTCGCATTATTATCACTAAACGCCTGTAGAATCAATAAAATAAAGTTGATCGCCTGATTCCTCTGCCAATACTGTATTTGAATCTGTAGTTTTATTTTCTATATAGGGCGCTGGTGGGGGTGACCGTACGCCTTTAAATACGCCTTATTCGCCGCTTTCCTATTCTTTTCATCATCTTTGGCTTTCCTGTCCGCGATAGACCGATTCGCATCCTTTACGCGTAGTATGCCACTATCCCCGAGGCGTTGAACCTCTCGCTTAGTCTTTTTGCGCTTTCGAGGTGCTTGCGCGGCCTTAATTCGCTCAAGAGTTGAATTCATAACGGCAAGCTGTTCGGATTAAAGTTTTGCTGATGAAATAAGCGCCCGAGATAGCGCTCAACGCGAGGATTAATCGGTGTATCGCTATTTAAGAGTTTAAATAGCTTCTTCTAATTCTTTTCGACTTGCTGAGCGCTTTTTGGAGGCGTATTTTCAACGCTTAAAGATAATGGGTTCAGAGGAGGCGTATTCTCGCTATACGCGCGAAGATCGGGTGCAGAGATTTCTGGTAGCGGTGGTAAAGTATTTTAAATAGCTTCAATAATTAAAGATCCATCTGTAGGGAAGATACCGCGTTCTTTAAAGGAGTTGCGAATAAGGCGTGGATTAAAGGTCTTCTCACGTACGGCAACAATATCGCGTAGAAAATCTGCTTTATCTCCCGGAACTCCACACCACTGCGCGATGAGGTTATTCGCACTGCGAAAATGCGTTTTATATGTGAGAAAGGGCTTTCCATAAGTGTTGGCAGAGATGAGTTGTATAAGGCCGGAAGTAAAAGGGAGGATCTTATAGGTCTCGCAGAGTTAAGAAATTCAACTTTTATAGCTGTATGGCCGTCGAAGATAAGTACCGTTTTTCTCCTTTTTTTGTACGATCTTTGTCTCCTCGTGAAATTTTTAAGCATTTAAGTGTGATTTCATCGTTTATATAGCCTTTATCGGTGACTGCAGTATAGTAATTGGGAATTGCTTCATCATACCAGGCCTCCATAAATTTTTTTCCTTTAAAGATAAAAAAGCGGAGTTATAATCCAGCCATCTGCAGCAATACACTCAAGCGCAGTAATATTCTCTGCATGCTCGGCTTCAGGAAGATCAGAAACTCTCCCCTTTGTACCGAGCACTTTTTAAGGCTTTCCACTGCCTGGTTGAAAGCCGCATTCATCAAAATTATACACGAGGCGAGCGGGGACATCTTTAAGCAAGTTGGCAAGCTGATTATACCAGAACTGAAGCTGTCTGTTATGCGTGGGGGTCGGTAACGAGCTGAATGGGGCGCTACGGTGCGAAAGGGAGTGTCTATATGGGAGAGAAGATAGGACCACGTATATTGCAGAACTAATTGCTGGCCTTTAAGAGTTTAGGCCTGCAGTTGCGAATATAAACACTTCGCACCTGACTAAGTATCTTAGCTAAGGATCTAGCTATCGTGCTTCCGAGCGCTCCTAACACTATCTTCCCCTCCAAGAGGCTTCGCCCTCGAAGCCTTAACAACTGTAGTGTGAATTTATGCGTTATAATAGGTAATATGTTATAGATTCCAATCCCTTAAGTCCTTCCTATAATAGTTTATGCGGTTGATCGATGTTTGGTATAATGTCTTGGAGCTTGGGTAAGTATAGGTATGTTTTCGCAGGTAATTACTTTATAGTAATAGTTCTGCTTTATTCACTGCAGTTTTTCGCCCGTTTAAGCTTAGTTCTGTTATTAAACACTAAGCTTTTACTTCCTCTTCCTCCCTTCTTCTTCTTTTTTTTTTTAAAAAACCTTTAAAGCTTCTTGCGGTACGTGCATACTCTTTTGTCTTAGCTAATAAGGGTAACAGCTCCTCCAGTGCTTTCTCGCATGTTTTGAGCTTACTAATATAGGTGTTTTCGCAGATAGTTTACCGCAAAGCTTTGTCGCCTCTATCGGGAGAATCCGCACCACGACACTGTTGCCTTCTCCGTGGAGTTCGTCCTTATTTATCCTTTAAAGATAATGTTGTTTTCACACCTGTGCCCTGCTTGGTTTTGCTGGAATAGGAGGGATTTCCATCCTCTCCTGCTTCGGCACCATTGCCTTGTTTGTTTGGAGCGAGATGCTGCGTCAGTATGTGTTTTCTTGCCAGGTTGTTTAAATTGTGTTTATTATACTAGCCAGCGACACCCTTATATCGCTCCGGAGGTTGCTGCTGGTCCCTTGGCTATTTTTATAGTTACTGCACATCGCACGTTTGTTAGACTTCCCCAGTCTAGTCGCCCTGCTGCGCAGGAGAGGGTGGCTGGGCTGGTAAGGGAGTATAAATATATAGTTTAAAAACCTCAAATACCACATATGGATAGTAATATATTTATACCTGTCCCTAAACACACTCCATTGCATTCGCCCATGGCTCCCGTTCCTGTGACTCCCAGTTGCCTGGGTTGTTTTGTTAATACGGTCCTTTCCCCCTTCAAGGGTTAAGTTGTCTCTTCGGGTGGGAGGTTGGTGTTATTAGGCCATTGCACTATCTTGTCTTAGTTAAATAAAATACTATTTTCCTTTAGCTATGTAGCGCGTACGTCGTCGGGTAATAGGTACTATATTAGTAAGCTAGATATCCAGGGCTTTAGTGTCTCTTTGAACGATGCTGTGGCATGAACAGTAAATAGAGTTTCGGCCACAGTATCCCTTCAGGCCACAGTAAGCTGATTGATGATGTGGCCTGGAATCCTAAAAAGGAATAGCCTGTATTTATGAAGCCCTAGCCCTAGATTAGATTGTATTTGGTTTACGCCCCATACACCTACAAACTAGTAATATATTTGAGCACAATAATACTTGCAAAGTACTTCTTAATTACTTCTTTATTACCTCTTAAGAATCTCTCACGCACTTTTTTCTTAAGCTAAAAATGGTGCTCAGTACTAATATTTCTGCTTCTCTTGAAGAGAGTCTATCAGAAATGATACCTCCTTTACCAGAGGATATTGATTCAGCCTCTAATTCTGAGCAAGACACTGAAACTCTTGATCGACCACCCTCTCCTCTTCAAAATGTTGGGTTCCATATCTCAAGGCTACAAGATGGGGACAGTGATTACTGTGTAAGTACTTATAGCATGTTTTTAAAGAACTTTAAAAATATTAATATAATATAGAGGATTCCAGTTGACCTGACTGATACAAAGAATCCTAAGCATCAGCTGAAGGCTTTATATCTTGAGTATCTTAATGATTTACCAGAGTATCCATCTACAAATCCGGAAGGATATGCCTACGTGGTCCCTGTAGTTGATCACTTGCGAAAAACAATTGATTATAAGATTCAAAGCGTAAGTATTTTTATAGTGTATTAAAAGTACTTTATAATTATTAATCTAGTACTTAGATACAATATGCAATGAAGCAGCGGTATCTTAATTGACCAGGTCAACTTTCCACCTTTTTAGGATCAGGATATTATCATTGCTCCTCAACCTGCCAAGGGGTTAAGCTTTGTGAATGGGCTGGAATAAGATTAAAATCCCTACACCATACTCATCTATCTGAAGAATTATGGAAGGAGATTAATAATATTCGTCAAGGGATTACATTAATTAAGTCAGACCCTATGAAGCGGAAAGCATATCAGTAAGTATCTCTTAAGTAAATTATTTTAAAGTGCTTTAAAGCATCTAAATAATACTAATTAAATATATAGTTTTCTAACTGCTGCACGGCGGTTCTGTGGTAGTCATGGGTGCCTTCAGAAGAATAAGGACTGTCAAGTACAGCTCACAAAGGCACCTTTTGCAGTAAGTACTTTTTAAATACTTAATAATTGTTTTTTACTTACTTATAATATGTTAAGAACGTTTTTGGAGAATATGAGCCATATCTTTCCTGTGTAAATACTGCAGTGGATCCACGCGGCCATTATACTCAAAAGATACCCAAAAACGAGCTTGATTTTGAATTTCTAAAGGCTCTTCTTCAGGGTTCAATTATTATTAACCCTGAGCAGTGTGGTGCAATTGAAAGTAATGACACACGAATGAAATTTTGCAGTAAGTCTGTTTTTAAATGCTTAACTAGTACTTATAAATTATTTACTAAGTACTTTATAGACTACGCTCATACACAAGGCGTTGGGTATCTAGAAAAGACATCTTGTAAAGTTATTTTTCATTGGCTTATTCCGCAAGATCTCTTTAAATATCCATATTTTATTTTTGTTTCATATGGTGTTCATACACATCCACCACCACCACCACGAAAAGCACCTCAAGAGGTTATTGCAGGATTAACGGATCTTATTAAGCAAAGTGCTTTTAACAAGAGTCCTGGTAAGTATTTCCTAAGCACTATTTAAGTGTTTATTAAACTACTGATTAAATACTCTAGCACATTTTGCATTTAGCAATCAGCTTGGGGCCTGGATTAGAAAATATGTTCAAAAAAATGCAGGAAATTCAGGACGGGTTCTTGCAAAATTACATCGAGCATTTTCAAATCTTGACATTCTTCGTGGAATAATATATAAGCAGCGGCTTCTTCGATTTCTATTTGGTCAAGATTATAATAGATTACGCTTTATGTTGTGCAGAGACTCAAATTTGAATGTAAGTACTTATAAAGTATTTTATTAGTATTTACTAAAATATTTTTAGACATATGTTTCTTCACAGTGTAATACAAATAGCTCATTTTATATTTTCTGTCTTACAAAGGAACAAGCAGAAATATGGCTTTCAATCCCACATTTTTCTATGGATATGTCTCATAAACGTGTCCGATCAAGCTCAATCAAAGAGGTAGTATTTGCAACAAAAGTCCCAGAAACAAATAAGAGTAGGTACTTCTTAAGCACTTTTTAAATATTTTACTAACACTTTTTAGTCCTTACTCTCTGCCGCTGCTTTATTACACGTGAGGATGCTGCTACATATTTCAATATGTTTAAGTACCTTGAAGAGGTGATCAAGAAAAAGGCAGGACAGGACATTTTATGGAGGCATTTGCATGGCACTGGATGGCATACAGTTACAATGGATATGGATATGGCACAAGCGAAAGGTATAAATTACTAAGTACTTTCTAAACGCTGTTTAAGTACTTTTAAAGTGCTAATTATTTAGGTTTCGGGCAGTGGCTTCAGATGTTGGATCCTGAAGGACGTGATACTGAATGGCAATTAAAAAATACTATTCGCTTTTGTCAAGTTCATTTTCTACGTGGAATTGAAGAGATAATTACAGGTGACTTAGTTAATACGGGCCTATTTCATCGAATGAAAAGCCTACTTGATTGTCATTCAGAGGAGGAGTATAAAGAATTGATATCTTTACTAATTAGTAAGTATTTCTAATGTACTTTTAAAGTACTTTTAAAGTACTAATATAAGACAGCGCATGAGGCACCAGCTATTCGAAACTGGGCTTTACATAAAAAAAATCCAGTTATTGCAGCAGGCTTAAACCGACACTGTTCTTTGATTCCAGCACATAGTTGGGATTCTGCTCTAAAAAATACAAATCCAGTTAAGCAGACTCATCATAAGTCTAATGCATATGGAAAAGGCTTAACATTAATACAAGTAATCCAAAGGTATGTATTTAATACTTAAAAAGCACCTTATAAACAAATATTAAAGGCTGCTAGGTCATGGCCACTTGATGAGCAGGATATCGAGCAGTATAAAAGCTTTAAAGAACATGGAATTCGTTATGAAAATTGATCACGAAATCTTGAGACAACATATCTTGATTATATGCATCGGACAGGTATGTATTTTAAAGTACTTATTTAGCACTTTAATAGCACTTACTAATTAAAATTAGCAAAACGGCGGAAGAAGTCTCAAGTCAATAATTCAGAAATAAGCTCACAGGTTGATAAAGAGAATACAGCTTTTTCAACTACAGGAAGAGAAATATCAAGAACTCCAGCCCCGAGACAAGAAGTCAGAATAGTAAGCATATTTTGTTTAACTTATAAGCATTTAATAAGTGCCTATAAAGTACTTTAAAGTATATACTAACTATATTAATTGTACAGATGGACTACAGGATAAAGAGGCGGAGCTAAAAAGGCAATTAGAGATTGAAAACTTAAAGATTCAGTTACTGCGCAAGCAGAGGGAAAGACAGCAGTTAGAGGCAGAGATAAATAGTAATAATAATTGAATGTTAAGGGCTGAACCCGTAGAATGTACAGGATAGGCTATGTATAATAAAAAAGGAAAAATAGAGACAGTAGGGACAGTAGGGACAGTAGGGACAGTAGGGACAGTAGGGACAGTAGGGACAATAGGGACAATAGGGACAATAGGGACAATAGGGATAATAGGGATAATAGGGACAATAGGGACAACAGGGATATTAGCCCGACAGGTTAAATAGGCTCCAGCCCTTTACACCTACAGTCCCTATAGTCCCTATTATCCCTATTACCCCTATTAACCCTATTGTCCCTATTATCCCTACTGTCCCTATTGTCCCTACTGTCCCTATTGTCCCTACTGTCCCTATTGTCCCTACTGTCCCTACTGTCCCTACTGTCCCTACTATCTTTATTTTTCCTTTTTTATTATACATAGTCTATCCTGTACATTCTACGGGTTCAGCCTTAACAGCTATTTTGTATTGTATATATATATATATATACATCTTGGGAATAACTACTAATAAACTATTAAACAACTATTAAACACCCACTAGGAAAGCACTTTACTAGAATTTAATAAATAGTTATTTATTAGATACTCGATGTATTTGTATTAAGTACAAACATAAACGCTATGTAAAAACTATTTAATAAACACTAAAATACCGTGATTTTTAAAGACAAACCTAAAATTCATCGCCAATAACACCGTCCATTGCTAGGGTATTGTGATAACACATTATTTATCAAAGAATAAGCACTAAAGAACTGCTGAAGTACTTTAAAAGTATATTACCAGGGGTTAAGAGGGTCAAGGCCTAACCTCTTTAGCTCGGCAGGGTCAAGGATTTCAAAGTAGATGGTGAGTACAGTGCACGCCGAGTTTATTTCTTGGCAACATTCTAAGATAATTAAGCGGTTAGTTAGTACTTAATAAATACTATAAAAGTGCTTCTCTAGTTACTAATTGGCTGAGGTACTCACTTCGGCCGACATTTGCCGCCTTGCAACCATCGCAGGGGATCTGGGCACCAAGCTCCTTAGCCCTGGCGCGCGTCTTGTTCGAGTTGATCTAAATTAAAGCAGTGAGTAAATACTTTCCTAGCTGTTTAAAAGTAGAATAATTACTTACCTCACGCAAGTTCACCTTCCATGGAGCATACGACTTTGCAATTTCAGGGGTAGTTGTACTAGCCACAGTTGGCTTACTATTAATCGATTCCTCCTGTGGATTCTCCTCCTCGAAGAGTCTGTTGTACCAAGCTACAAAACACTTAATATCAGCTTAAAAAGTAATTATATACTGCTGGGAAAGTACTTATATAGTACTTCTCCAGCAGTCTGACTGTACTTACCGATTACATCATCCATCTCTGTCATTCTGAAACGTCCAATGTTGTGTGCAGCAACTGCCACATTTGTATGACTAGCAACATGAACACGAAGGTTAACAGTCTTGGAGAATGGGACCTAAATACCAGGTAAGTACTTATTAAGTCCTTAAAAGTAGTTAGCAAGTACTTACACGACGTTTGGGGCAGTGCTTCAGGCGACAGAACACTTCTCCAGGTATAATAATAATTTCGTTGTTATTATTCTATATATTGAATAAGCACTAATTAATTACTGGAATATACTTTTCTAATATTTGTTAAGTACTTACAAGGTCATATTCAGGGAGAACAAGTTTGCCAGCAGGAACCTCAGCAAGATAGCGATTATAGCTTTCGCCAGGCTTGGCAACGATAAACCGATAAGTTTCCGATCAATAATCGTTATCAGTGATAAATATCGGAATTATCATGATAATTTCTTGGCATTATGGTCAGTGCATGGATTCAACAAACATTCAATTTAACTAGCTACCCCTCGAGTTTCTCCTCCGAAATACCACTCTTATGCCAGTGTTTTAAGCATTCTATTCTCTCAATATTTTCAGCTGATAGCTGCGCCCTTTCCCAAGAGATTGTACGACGTGCACCTGAGAAAACACGCTCAGGTTCATCACTCATTGCTGGAATCGATAGGATGTCAATTGCCATATATGAAAGCCTTGGCCAGCGTTTTTGTTGCTTATCTTGACACCACCAGGTTAGAGCACTGGTACGAATCTTGCATGGAGGCTCGCTATTATAATCTTCAAATTTATCCTGACTTGCTGGTCGAGCAAACTTATCGAGATCCTCAATAATTTGGTCAAAGTCGTCAAGATGTTGAGGGCGATCATTTTCGTACGATCGCATAATTATAGGACAAGGAGTGTTATTGCGATACTCTTCCCAAAGCTTTTTAACCTTTTGCAGTGCAGGCTTTTGCCAACTCTTTCTTCAATTCGCCTGAATATACTTTGTACGACGAGCTGGATGAAGAATAAGTGCTGCAGCATAAAGAGGTGAATCATCTGATTTACTGTAGTACTTGTCAAAGGTATTCCAACCATTTTGAATCCGAGCACAGAATTCCTTATCTAACGCATGTTCAACCTGCCATATAATATTAGACAGGTAGTACGCCAAAGTAGGTAAACTTACCAGAGCCTTTTCAAAGTGCTTTATAATAACATCCATAATAAAAAGAACATTGTCAATTGTTGCTTGATTCCCTTGAGTTTGTAAGGTTGCTCGGTCAAAAAGACTTAGGAATTTACTTGTTGTACGAAGCTTTTCCCAGTCTATTGGAGATAGATATTCTGCTTGAAGAGTATCAAAATGCTTTTTTGTATAGCTATCTACAGCGCCTTCATGCTGTAGAGCCACAGATAGCATATGATACCAGCTATTCCACCTTGTGCGATTGTCAAGTGGAATTAGTCTCCCAGCCAGATCTTTAAACTCCTTCGTACGGCCAGCTGAGCCACGAATATATGTTATAATATTGTGAAGCTTTCCAAGTGGCCCAATTGAGCGGAATATAGCTTGTTTTTCTGTTTTATCTACTTCCTCCTCTTCTATTACTTCTTGCTCATCGTACAGGCTAAGTTGCTCAATATCCACTATATTTTGAAACAGGAAGGCTTGTACAGCCAAGTTAATAACATGGCCAATACAAAAGATTCGCCGATATGTTGGATCCCAGTCAATCTCTTCTTGTTCACTAAGATATTTGGCTATGGTACGACAAAGCTTATCATTGGCAGTGTGATTGTCACAAACAACCGCTCCAAGCTTTTGTATAATCCCATAGTCTTTTAAAACTGGAAGAAGAGTATTAAATTGCTCTTCTCCGCTGTAATTTGCTACCGTACGAAGGGCAAGAAGAGCCTTTGATAGCTTCTCCTCACTCTGCTTAACAAAATGTGCGCAGATCCCGAGAAAAAGAAGCCGATTAGGAGAGGTCCAGATATCTAGTGAAAGATGAACAGTTGACAATGCTGACTGGAGCTTTTTCCGTACAATATCCTTCTGACTCAGCCATGATTGCTCTATTCTTCTGGGGATAGAATTATGTGCTGTAACAATATAGCTCTCTGATTCTGGATTAAGCACTCGGCAAAAAGCATGGAACTCAGGCCATTCAACAAGAGAGTATGGAAGATTTCGTACAACAATTAATAAGACTAATGCCTTATCAATAACATCCTGACTTAAGATTCTTTGAAAGGCCTGGGTATCAATCTGTTCTGCTTCACCTAAGGATACTGCCGTAGAGTAGAGTTGTTGTAGTTGATTAATTGTTGATTGTTGTAAGGGACTTGAAGTAGAATTAATAATAATCTGATGCTTCGATCTAAGATGATTTCGCATATTTGTAGTAACAGACGTACTGTACAAGGATTCTGTACAATAAATACAGTATCGAATTGGTTGATCTTTATAAAGTTGAACCTCCCCATCATAAGCTGGACGAGTATGCGCCCATGTCATTTGTGATGCTTGTGTTCTTCCCTTTTTTGAGTCAGTTTCAACTGAATCAGCGGTAGGTAAAGGTTGGAGAAAGGATGAATTTGTCTCAGAATCCATAATAAAAAGTGTCCGGGTAGCAGTAAAAATAGTACTTGATACTTTAATATAGAAAATTAGATAGATACAGAAGCTAAATCTTAAGTTATTTTCTTAAGCTGGGGGGCTGCTCGTACAAGTAATCCGCACAACAGAAGTAGAGTAATATACACTATAAACCTTTCCAACATTATCCCTTTGCAGATCACTGACAACAAATAGATGAGGGGTAATAAATCTTATTATGCTGCAGTGATTTCTTGATTAAATATTTGTGATTGGATATCTAGGCCGTGACACGTTGACGAGTAGAAACTATGCGAATAATTTTTAGTATGGTACTGTAGGCGGTGAGGTTCTGCCAATTATCATGATTAATCGATCGATTATCGGTTATCACTGATAAGCGATAATTATGATTAATCAGAGCGGGAACTTATCATTGCCATCCCTGGCTTTCGCAGTCGGCGAGAAATTTGGTGCCCATTTTAAAGTAGTTGCAAAGTACCTAGCAACCGCTAGATAAGCACCTTCCCAGTTGTTAAGTAGTAGTTAAATTCCCCTTTCCGAAGTAGTATTGAAGCAATTAGATAGCTAAATTTTTTTCGAAAGCACTGTGGGGTGTGGATAGGGGAGAAAAACAGCGATTAGTCAGAAATATATTAGAAGGAAAGTTTAGAATATGCGGAACCGTGCTTTACATACAAGTAAGTCCCGTGACTCAGGGCATGTGATACTTAGTAATCGCGTTTCTTCAGGCCACATATAAATGCCTCAGGCCACATAAAAAATGCCCAGGCCACATAAAGTTTATGTGGCCTGAGGCAAATATTCTGTCAATGTGAGCCGCGTTCTCTCTTTAACATGCAATCTTGGTTTTTAGGTATTATTATTAGGTGGATAGCCCTTTTATCGCACTAAATAGCTTATATTACCACTCTTGTTGTGTTTTTCCTCCAGAATTTAATTAACTTCCCACTCCTCTTTGCTGTTAATTAGTATTAGCGGGGGTCGGCTTTATTAACCCGGTTGTTTATAGTATAGCTTTAATAAAAACACGTGGAAAACAGGATGCAGATAGTAATATTTTAGTAGTAGTTAAAGCTTGTACGATTAGTTTCCCCATGTATTAATAATAGAAAATAAGCCTAGCTAGTAGTGGTTTAATTTTATATTAGGTCGCACTGTAAAAATATTCTTTGCCTGTAGTATAATTTAATTACCAATCTTAAATTGTTTGTTAATCCGATGCTTATTATATTACCTTATTATAGCTTTTTACGCCTTTTTAAGTGTATCCTTAACCAAGGATTACTTTTTCTTAAGCTATGTTACATGCTCCAACGCTGCTAGCGCATGGCCAGTGGGATTAGGATTAATATTGTCACGGGCTACGCCTGTATGTTGCTCGGGTTCACCTTCGCTGTGATTAACACATATAATTGGTCCGCTTATCGTAGTCACATGACTCCTTGTAGTATGAGAACGCACACTTCCTCCCCTTTACTTTCTCCCTTTCAGCGATTCCTCTTTGTGTATATCTAGTTATTAGATAGCAAGGCATTTCGCCCCTTTACAGTAAAGAATAAGCAGTGATATTAGAAAGGCTGGATTTTTTAGTTCTATAAAAAGAACTACCTATAATTTAAGCCTCCAAAATTGCTTCCTAAGGATAAGGGAGATGTCTCTCCAATTAAAATAATAGTATTTAGTAATAGTTTGGTTTTTATATTAAGTTACTAACTTTGTTCTAGGATATTAATACCCTATTCTGCCGTCAAAGGCCAGCACAAAAGGATACCACATAATAGAATAAGATAGAATAATATCTATCTAACTAACTACTTTTATGTAATTTAAAGATTAATATACTTGAGCATTGGAGATTTATCGAGTCGGTTTATCCTACTGTTGCGCGAATAGCTCGTGATATTCCCTCCCAACGGTCAGCCTAGATACTACCATAGCTTTGCGTCACATCCAGCTTATTGATAAGGATTCAAGACCCGAGCTTGGCCGATTCTCGTCCTATCCTTCACACCCTTTCCCCATGAAAGTGAGGGAGCGCAGCGGAAAGAGCGCAGATAGAAAAGGAAGCGAAGAAGAAAAGGAAGCGAAGAAGAAAAGGAAGCGAAGAAGAAAAGGAAGCGAAGAAGAAAAGGAAGCGAAGAAGAAAAGGAAGCGAAGAAGAAAAGGAAGCGAAGAAGAAGAGAAAAGGAAGCGAAGAAGAAAAGGAAGCGAAGAAGAAAAGGAAGTGAAGAAGAAAAGGAAGCCCGAAGGTCGGGTACGGGTCGCTCAGGTTGGAACCTCACCTCGCGCGGGGCGGTGCGAGGTTCTGGACCTTGGAACCTCCGCGAAGGTCACGCAGAGGTCTAAAATGGAGGTCACTGGGCTTTAAATTCGCTTGCCTTGGGCCATGTACATTTGAAAACCAGATAAGAGCTGGCTGAGCCAGCCACCCTCAGTATAGGTATTAGCGCCTCAGTCTTCCCTGCAGGACGGATCATTGGGCAGACGGTGACTCCAGAAAGGTTCTCAGTGCTCAAAGTTTAGCAGCTGCACTCAGGCGAAAAACAAACGATTATTGGCCATAAGTTCAACCTGAAAAAGTGAGGGGCTAGGTTCGGGGTTAATTCTTTTCTCCATTCATCAAGCCTCAAAAGTAGTTTTTGAGGTTTTGTATATGCAAATTAGGGTTGGCAACTTAGGCTGAGTAGGAGGTCGCGGCAGATGAACGGAAGATCCGAGGCATCTGGGGAAGCTTTTGTGCGGAAGCAGAATGATTAAGGTCAGCATAAGAAATTGCACAACACAAATTCGACCAATTATAGGCAATACTTGTGCATATGCCCTAATAATACACAGTCGTCGCAGTACTCTGGCGTTAGCACTTGTCCAGTCTGGCTTCATTTCGGTAACAAAACTCTTGGTATCTGCTAACTCGCTTATATAAAGCCTTGAGTTGATGCGGTAGCGCATTAATTGTAGTCCTTGAAATATGTATTGTTGTGGATTGTAGATATGGGATACTGATAAGGAAGTAGGCATCCGGTTATTGAATTTCTTATTTACTATGAATTCTAAACTCGATCTGTGATAGGACAATGCGTTCATCGTTCTCTGCTAAGGCCCAATTCCTTTCTATGATTTCTTGTCTGTGAGGACTCCGGACTTGGAATGTGGCCTTGACTGCAGCCGGCGAGGATTCCTCGGTCAGTGGCTCCTTGCCCGCGTATGTGATATTGAAACCCCAAAGCAAACGCGAAATGACAATGAATAAGCTTGACCGAGCCAGGCGATGACCTGGACAGGCTCTCCGGCCAAACCCAAAAGCCGACACTGGAAGATCCGGGTCCTCTACATACCGTTCCGGGTGAAAGCTGGAAGGGTCGTTGAACAATGCGTCGTCCATATTCATTCCGAATTGATTCGCAATGACTGTTGTACCTCGGGGGATGAAATATCCCATGTATTCGTCATCTTGTATTGCCGCATGTGGCACGGCAATACGGGATATTGGCCGCCATCGCAGAAGCTCGGAAATGATCGCATTGATATACGGCAGACTTTCCATGTCGTCGAATGAAGGCAACCGATCTGCGCCCACCACCGAATCCAACTCTTGCTGTGCCTTGCGTACCACGTCAGGATACAAGATGCTCACCATGACAAACAGCTCTAGCACCATTTTGGTTGTATGAATGCCTGCTATATACAGTTCCCCAAGCGAGTAACATACATTGTCCCAAGGGAGCTGCATGACATCCGGTTTCTGTGTGACTTCTTTGCTCCAGTTCCAGCACTCTGCTGCAAGAGCCTCCTCGCAGCATTCGCGATACACAACCATAGTCTTGTCATGAAGTCGAGCGGCTTCTGCCCTCCATTTCCAAAAGATCCGGGGTAGACGGTCGAGAATGGGGAACAGGTCAATCAGGACGGTCCAGAAAGACGCCACTTGCAACAAAAACCTGCCATATCGTTGATTTGCTCCAATCTTCTGTGATCGTTGTCGTCCCTGCCTTTTCCTTTTCCATACACCAGAGTAAACATTACATTCGACGTGTATTGATGAAAGCAGTGGGAGAAGTTATTGGTCGAGAGAAACTCGTGCTGGAGATGCTTGCTCTGGATATCTTGCAAATGACGATATGCAGTGATGTGATGAGCACTCAGCAGGGAGCCATGCAGACGCCGATTCAGCCTCCACTCAGGGCCATACGGCATGAATGCTGCTGCCAGTCCCTTGTTGAGGTACTTTTCCATCCATACCGAAGGGGGCCGAGAGCTGTAGATGCTGCCTCGCTTCTGCAGCAGATCCTGTGCGGCTCGGCGGGTTCCGAGGACGACAAACGTACGTCTTCCAATCTTGAAGCTAACTAGAGGGCCATATATTTTATTCCATTTTCGAAATGTGGTCGCGATATCTTTCTCGGGAAATGGTACGGAGAGAAGGGAGGGCCCTGGAGGCAAAGGGAGTCGGGATGTTCTAGGGCGTACGAGATGAAAACAGCAGTATACAAGAACAATGGCCAGCAAAGTGGGGGCGACCGCTTCCATCCTTGTTAAAATGGGCGTCGTAGACGGAGATGTTGACCCGTTGGTTAAGTCAAAATTTGTGATGAAAATGATGACTCACCTGCCCAGATTGACTACAGCGCGAAGTGTCGTTGCTTCGCAGAGGGTTGAATAAGCGAGGAGTCGGGAAGGAGGGGCTGGCAGACAGAGGGCCGGTCGGGAAATCGATCACCACCTCCCATAATAATAGTAATACAGCTGCCCTGGAGATCAAGTAGCTTCACCAAATAACCAGAGCCACGGTGCTATGGACAAACAGCGAAGAAATAGTAACAAGAGGTCTCAATACAAAGGATTCTTTTCATCTCCCGTGGTTGTGACGATGGCCTGCAACGTGTCTTGACGTCAGCCATTCTGCGAGTGTCACGTCTCTGAGCTGCAGTATGTTGTGGAACTCAGGGGAAATAGGGCGTAGGGAGCTATTCTATTAACTACAGGCCAACTAGCCTAATTAGGAAGTAGATGTCATTCAGTGGAAACACCAGGAATCACAGTATCTCAACCAATTGAGTCTCTTGCATTCCTATCTGGTGCTCAACTAACTAAAGGATTGAGGGGTAGAATGGATTGGTAGATATTTCCGCACCGCCAAGTCGGGCAGATTATAGTGTTTCCGTAACACAGTAGTTGGAGCTTTTTTTGTTGTCGTTGTTACTATTCGGTACTGTAAAACCGTCAGATGTCAAGTCTCATCAGTCCTAACAAGGTCCTCAGGTGATGGCCATTGTCCGAGTGATTGGCTATGGTTGTGCATGAATATTTCAGACAGGCTTGGCAACGATACACCGATACGATACTGATCGATATATCGGTATCAGTGATCGATACGTCTAGGCTCACTTCGTTCGCACAGAGGGGCTCTGCACCTCAATACCTCCACAAACACACCAAAACCTACAGGTCTTTTCACCGCGCTCGAGAAACTCTGCCACCAAATGTAAATATATATATTTTCAACAACCTCAAGCATAATGCACCGTCCTTGGACCAATATACCTACTAAATTCGTAACAAACACTCAACAAGTCCTCACTTATGCCCTTCCCAGGCCCTCCAACCTGTTCTCCGTCATCACCCACCCAACAACCAACCTCAACCTCCTCAGTAAACACAACCCTAATCGCCATATATCGTTTACCAACGGCCTCCTTACCACCAGTCTCAATCATCTCCGATATATCATCCCCTATACATTGTAACACCTCGTGCCTCTCGCCCACCCACTTCTCACCCACCACCAGGCATCTATACTCCACCTTTTTTGCCATAGCCCTATAATCCGGCCACAGACTAACCAAATGATGCCCAGTTCCAAGCACCGGCTCACGACATCCATCCATTGAACCAAAGAACCATCCCTGCTATAAACCCCTTTCAGGCCACAGTGTGAACATAAGATCCAAGCCTCCCTCATCTCCTTCACTGACGTCACACACTATCGCTAACACTATAATATCTTCATCGTCTTCCTCAACCTCATATTTGCCCCTCAACCACTAGTAATCTATACTTCTTCAAAAACCTCCCTGTATATACTCCAACAACCCCTTCCATAATCCTACCTCCGCGTGAAACACCGTTGATACCTGCCTTGCATCACCCCCGTCTCTCATCACCTATTAGACCATTCCTCCGCGCCCTACAATGTTTCCCAAACATCTCTGTTGTGATCTCAGGGGAAAGATGGGCAGGATGAGGCTGCATCTGCTACACGTACGTAGCCTACTGAGGACCGGATGCCATTCGATAGATACTCAGTTCTATGGACGACTCTATCCACTATCTCAACCGCTTCCTTGCTTGTATTACTGCTAGCTAATGGGTAAAGCCTTCAGGGGTTGGAGGTGATCAGCCAAGGCGCTAGTGATAGCGATCACGTGGTCTCGTATCGTAACAGGTTTTATTCCTCCGGCTGTGCGGAACCTAAGGCTGCATGTAGCCTCCTTGCTAAGTTCGTAGAGTCATTTAATTACGCGTGTTCTTGTGTCCTATCTCCGGTGTTCCAAGCACCGTGTGACCACAGCAAACTATATTACTATCTTAACCGCCACAGTCAGATGTTGGCGGTTCACAGAATTCCAAGAGTGGTCAACTTACCCTCTATACCAACACCATCTCACTGTCATCTGCTGTCATCTCTCATACGATCTTAAGAGATTCAACTTACCTCCAATGCAAGGCCTTGCGGGTTTGTCTTTCGCGTTCTTTCAACTACTAATCCGTAATAAGTTCCGACAATTATCCGCACATTTTACCAAGCGTACCAGACGATACAGTACTGTAAGGAAACCATGCAGCTCGGTCTTGGCGAAACCGTGCCCGTGGGGCAAAGTAAATCCAGACCCGACCCATGGAAGGAGACCATTCAGTTTCGCCAGGGTCCACAACTTCCTTAGCTGCACGGACGAGTACTTCCAGTTGTAGGTTAAAGTTAAAGAGTAGGTTAAAATCCTAGAAATTTGGCCTGAGACATGCTGTACAGCATGTACTGCTTTTCTATGATTGATATGATCCCAGGTAGATGGCTAGCCTGTCGAGTGAGTCAGCCTTACAGGCCACGTAGCTGATCACCCTTCTTCCTTCCCTGACTTGTTGATTTCCTCCATTCAGTTCCTGTAGCGTGCAGATTTTCTCTGGCGAAGTGAGTTTCGACTAATCTACGACATATCTCGCCTGTTCCTGTTGCGACGGCGATGGCTTCCCTCACGCCCGATGACTACACGATGCGATATGCCCTTGCCCCTCGAGGCGGCACGGCCCGCGCCATGCTCGACGAGCCCACATCCCACCTCAACTCCAACTGATTCCAACCCACGAATTTGGCGAACTAAGCGGGATTATATAGTCATTGCCTACTTACCAGCTGAGGACACTGTAGAAATGATTATGTTCCACGAGACAGGTACAATGACGACTCAAGTGCGAAAATTCGGTTCGGAATATTGGTTGGGCGTTCCTGGCGAGATAAAGATGGGTAAGTTAGGCGCCAGGCGCGAGGCTGTGATCCAAAGTACATGCATCTCATGAGCCAATGCGACTAATCCCGTGTGTTTCTGATGAAACGCCTAGACTAAAGATGCAGAGAGAGTAGTCCACATGAAGCAAAGAGTGTCATATATTCAAGGTGGAATATCAACTTCTTCGTTAACAGCACGACAACACTATGGCTCCCCGACTTGCACCCTCCCAGCTTGTGATGATCCGGGATGTGGTCAGCAGCATATTGCTAACTACTTCTTAGATGGCTGAAGCGACTGGCTGCAGCAAACGTTCGTTCATAACCAGCAATGCCATGTCCAAATGTTTGGCGTCGTCCGAGCGTCCCTGACCCCTGGCGGCCGTCCCGGTGTGATCACACCCGTCATGCTCGAAGCGCCATGCGAATACTTGGTAGCGAACCCGGATTTATATCTGGATAATGGCAGAGCTCTCGTAAGATGAATTCGAAGTGCTTATATCCACATACACAATCAGCCGGACCCTTCGATCGCATGGATGGACAAAGAAAGTGGCTCGACAGATAGCACAAGAAAGAAATGCGGATCTAAGAGACTATCACTTGTACCAGCTGTCAGATTTTCGCTGATTTCCCATGAGTCTGATTCTATACGGAATTTATTCCATATATGAAGCTCTATAGCTTACTTGATCGAGCCTCGATTACCAACAGGAGCTATCGTTGGCTGATTCTGAATATATTTCTTGAATCCTGTTCCTACAATAGAAGCATCGGTTCACCCTCCTATATATATAGAATGTCACGACGTATGAAGGCTCGTTCGGATTAAGGTGCTATAATGAAGGACCTGATTGGTGGAGGGGTGATGTCCATCAATTCGAAAAAAGTTATATGCACATTCCTTTGAGACAACTGTTCCGATGTGCTCGGTATTTCCGAGGGTGAGTTATGTAGAGTACGGGACTCAGTTTGCGGCGCCAACCTCAATGATGAGGCTTGTTGTAGTATCATCACGCTGAGTACCTATATCCGCCAGATAATACTCAATGCGTTCTTCCCATAGATTTATTTCTATCCAACAATGCTTTTGGCATACCTTTAACGATTGGATCTACTTTTACAGCGCCCAACCTTCCTCCGAGCTCGGTCCCAGTCCGTCTGGCGATGCCTCAGTCGAGGTTGAAAGGCACGCTCGGCCTTTCATCCGTAAGCTTTGTGGAGAGACATTTACTCATCCAGCGGATTGCAAGCGACATACTGACAGTGTTCAGGAAACTGTACTGCAGACGTGAAATAGCGCGTAGTCCAGCAAGGCAGAGTAGCGTGATCGACAGCCATCACTACAGAGTCTCTATGCCTTTGTCTATATCATAGGAACTGGCGACTCCCTTTTAACTTTTAGGCAAATATCATAAGACAATAGGTTCGTCATAACAGTTTAATTTGGTCATGCGTAGTAGCTAAATTTCTGGTTTTTGCCCGTAAACCAGCGATACCTCGACGTATGCGTGAATGCTTGGATTATTTAGTGCCTCTCGCATCTCTGAGAAAATCACTTCAACCTCTTCTCTTGACCACTAATAGCCACTATTAGCTCCTCTTCCTTTGTTCTAGATAGCTGCTACTCACTCCAAGGACCTTTTCCAGAGCATCATTGCCCACATCTCCAGGCTCTCACTGATAACGAGTCGAAAGTACCGACCCAGGTTCTTAAGATGCGGGTCTTTGGGCCAGGGGCCAATGGGCAGCTTAAAACGTTGTTCAAAAACGTTAACGAAGCCAGCATCAATCATTCGCTGCTTGGACTCATGCACGATTCGCAATGTTTTGCCAAATTTATCACCCGCTTCGAGGCTCTTTTCGCCCCATGTTTCGTATACCGTGCCTTCGGTGCTTCCATCATCCGAGATCGGGGTAACGCTCATTTCGATATGTTCCAGATATCCTCCGGAGCCAAGGTGCCTAATTAACAAGGTATTCAGCGTCAGGTAGCGGCTGCTTTGGTTACGGAAGCATACTTCAGGGCTTGCTGATAAAATTTCCCCCAATCCGCCACACACCCATATAACCCGCGCACATGTATAAAGTCAAATGGGGTTTTGTACAGCCACTCATCGCAACAATCATCAACCTCAAAATATACGTTGGGAGGGACAAAATTTGGCTGGATCGGGGAAAGGTCCGTCCCAATGACAGTTGCTTCGGTGTGAACGTCGGCAAATTCGATGGCCCAGGACCCAGTTCCTGTTCCGATATCCAAAACCCGCTTGGGATTCATGATCGGAGTGAGGTATAACTGGCCATGTAATAGCAACCTATATAGATGATGGCAGATCTCCATTGCGTCAATGGACTTGTCGTCGTTGGATCCCCAATAGGATCCCGCATGGTAGGCGTGGTATCGTCGACCGTTCTCATAGATGTAGTCGGCGATGCTGCTCCGAAGTGATGTTACTTCCGAGTCAGTCGCCACAAAATTGGAGCCGTAATCGTCGCCGGAGTCGACTTCGATCACTTCCTTGCCACTAGTCATGTCGACAAATCCTATTATAGATCGACGTTAGGGGTATAGGAAGGTATGAAACAAAAGACCCGTCCTACGTGCAAGCAGCTATATATACGTCAGTCAGCAGGCACGATCATGAGGTTACATCTCGGGAATTTGTCTTTAGTGCTTATGTGGGAGGGAGTCCGCCCTGACAGCACAGATAAAGTAGTCCGCCGGAACTAGTACACTAGTCGCAACGGTTCAAACAGTGGGCCCGGGGAATCAGGCAATTGGGGCCGCTTTTCAATCACAGCTCCCAATAGAAGTCTCTGAAACTAGGAGACAGGTACAAAACTCCATAATGTTGGATGGTGAATGCTGCTAAACCTCAAACCACCCTCTCCGACAATGCAATTACCAGCAAAGTCTTGTAGCACTTCAATATGGTGTAGTGCGGCACACTGATAATGTTGGAGCATATGCTAGTATTTGTTCTTGTTATAAGTTATAGTGATTGATCCTTTTCTAGATATAAGCAGGCAGAACGTGCAGAATTAACTTCGGAGCACAAAGTTTGCTTATTGGAAATTAGCCCTTTCTAACCATTTACTGCAGAGGTAAAGACTCCATGAGTTAATAGCACCAACATCCAGTCAATTTTCAAGTAATTGGTCCTTCTTCGCTGGGCTTCCTGGAAGTGGCGAACGATACTGAAAAAATAGTCCTTTCCTTCAACATGCGATCAGGCGGGTTTCGACGATATGGGGAAGGCGGATGTACATTAAAAGGGGTATAGCGTCTGAACTGCGCTTGTATTATAGATTTTTCAGTAGCGTAAAGTGAAAGCGGGCTAAACTATAACTGGAACGGAAAGGAACAATGATTCTCCTAAACAAGCCTATATGCTGTGATTATACATAGTATTAGACAGAATAATCAAAGTATGAAACGATTTGCTTGACTGTTAGGTTTAAAATCTCTTCGACCTGGTGGGATGCAATATACACTTGTCGAGGACGCTTTGGTGCTTCCAATTTTGTGCCCAAATCATGGCTCGATCTTGAGAAGAGTTCCACAATGATTCTGATTCAAATTGATTTCCAATCAGTCCCTCTTGGCGCCAAGGCGGGGCCAAATTCACGGGACTTGTTAAGGCCTATGGTGGACAAGCAAAAAAAAAGATGAGGCGTTACCCGACAATGGTGAGAAATGGACGATGCAATCTCGCTAAATCGGTAACTCCGGAAAAGAACCATCTTCGATTGAGTGGGAATCAGTAAGCGCATCCCTAAATTGCTGGAAACTCAGAAGCAACAATCTACGTGGATACGTGGATTTGCGTGACGTGGGTAGATTACCAGCGCTATTGTGGGGAATTTCCTATCCTAAAAACGCTTTGCCCCTTTTTTTCGAGATGTAGCCACCCAGATAACTACCCCCCCTAGTAGGTTAGACCCATCTTGCCAATCGATAAATGCGGCCAAGCCGCCGACGGATTAAACGGCCATGAGTTGGGTCTGATAATCTGAACTAAAAGCTGATCTGCGTCCAGCTCTCTCGTTCCTATGTCTGACATACAGCGGAAGATCATCCGAAACCGAAATGATGTTAAAAAGGAATAGTTCTGCATGCCTGTTCCCGTAGCAGACCAGTACACATCTGCTGTAGTAGTTTTGCTCGGTGATACGGAGAGGACAAGGGCAAGACCCACGGACCACATCTCTTACGAGTCGGGGTCCCACATATGGCAAGCAATCGCTAAATTTACTAATTTGATGCCTTTTGCATTTCCCCCTGACATATTTTCCAACAGACGTTACCTAACAGACGTTGGCTTCGGCGAATCCACGCTGTGGGCAATCTAGGGAGCCACGGCGCTTGCGAAGGAAGCCCTATTCAGACTAGGAAAGAGATTTCTTTAGCATCCCATGGAACCCAGGCAAAGCTCCGGCGCCCTTCAAGCACCCGCTAAGCCTCAACTGATCGAGTCATAATTACATACGTTGGGGTCCAAAAAAACAAGTTATAAAGCACAAAGCCCGTTCTTTTACCACACAAAGGTCGGATTTACCAGTCACTCATTCAAGCGTCTTGTGATTTGTGGCCTTCGGAATCACGAGAATCTGGTGCTTGGCAAAGTTTTGTGTCTTCAGCTTCGGTCTTCATTTTCTCTCAAATCTTACATCATGCCAAATGCAGCCATACCCGGTCGGAACCCGGTTGATCTGCCTCGACCAGGAAAGAGACGACGTCTACGATGTGAATTCGACACAATTCTTTCGGTGAGTCGGGCGTCTAACCATAATCCTGCCCCTGGACGATAGACTAATTGTACTAGGAGTCTGATGGAACGATCGAGGACCATAACTTTGCGAACATTTGATCAGCACAACCACGGAATCGAACAAGAGGCTCAGGTCCGAGCTCGCGGAAACACGGATAGAGCTAGCAAAAGTTCAAGGAGATTATGATGAACTGGAATCTAGTCACTCACAGTGCCCCTTCTGGATACAGAGAAATGAGTTTCTTGCTTCGGCTTTGGACGATCGCTGTGAAAAGATCGAGCGAGAGAAAGAAAGGCTCCGGAATCTGTGCGATAAGCTCAAAGCTGAGAACCGACGTCTTCGTGGTCAAGGCTGCGACGAAAGCAACAATATCAACGGAGAGGAGCTAGATAACATTTAGTTTTTGTTCATGAATGGAACTTGTTGTTCTTCACACTCTTCATCCGAGCTTCTCACTCGCTAGGAGCGTTTTGGGAGGCTCTTAATAGGCTATACTGGCCAGGGCCTCACCACTCTCACGATTCAGGCCCTCCCGGGTTAATTATCTCCTAGTCTGATTATCATTTTCTACTAACAAACTCTCTTTTACATTTATTTACTAACTACGTAATGCCTAAAAATTCCAGCGAAATCGAGGATCAACTCTGTAATGCGCTGCGCGCGTATAATGAGCGCAAGGAGCCCAAAATCGCACTGTTGGCTCGGGTGTTTGGTGTCTCCTACCAATAACTGAAGGGCCGCATACACGGTCAAATCTCGTTCAGCGCGTACTGGCCCGAAGAAGGTGCTGGATGAGGCCCAGGAGTAGGCATTGTGATGATCTTTATGTCACGTGGTCAGGCAGGCCTATTTCTCACAACACAACAATCCTTGTATGATAGTGTTTCCCCTCCCATAGTTGAATTCCGTTGGAAATGCTACCATACCTAGCTGTCCATCGTGGACATTTCTATGAATGAGCAGTTATCACAAGCAGCACCATTCAGAGTTGAACATCAAAATCAATTCACCTCAGATAAGAACGGGAATAGGCTGACCGTTGGGAAGGGAAATTCCCATGGGAAATCGGGATGGGATTCCCGTCCCATAAAAACGGGACGATTTTCTAAGATTTTATGGGAATGGGAATGGGAAGGGAATGCCAAGAGATTCCCACTGGGATTCCCCCTTCTTTCTGGATGGGAATCCCTTCCCATTTTCTTGAGACGGGATTCGGGACCACCCCCAGGATCCTTATGGGAATATGGGACGGGACCAGACCTCCCTCGGGATCCCGAATCCCTCCCAACGGCCAGCCTAGTCCCACACAAACAGGTGCAGCTGGTCGGTCGTTCTATGTTTCTTTCAGCTATCTTGCCACAGTCGCGGCAGTTGGGCTTTGCACAATCCTGTAGCTTCAAGTAGAAGCATGAATCATGGAGTGGATCTCTCCGTTGTCCGATGATCAGAGTCCACTGTAGTATAATATCTTGGCCAGAGTTATATTTACCATTGCGGCCGGTCCTAGATGTTCATCGAGGGTATATATGCCCTCGACTATTCGCAAAAAGTAAAGGCGGAGAGATTCCTACTCAATTACTCTTTTGTATTAGCATGGGCTATTCTCCCTTGTAGAGCTTAGCATAAGAATGCTCGGACAAGCGATATGAACTAAGGATCTCGTGAATTAGATTATTTATCACAGTCTCGTATACATGTGGTACCTTCGTGCGCTGGAAGCCCGGGACATAAGAACATCAACATCAAATTATATACAATGTGATGGCATCGTCCGAGAAAGTCAGGACTTCGTATAGGCTGCCATTATTGAGCAACCCTTCCTGACTGGGATTTCCATCACCGGGTTATGGGTTTCAAAAGATCTACTGGGAGAGACCCGTCTCTCGGTAGGCAAAAATAAAAATAGGAAGCAAAGGAAAGGGAAAGAAATAGCATAGGAAGATATCTCATCGTGCTAATCCGCTCTCATGAGCGCGCATTGTCAAGCAGGAGCTGCGTCGCTTCGCTCCAGCCAGAGGCATTCACCATTTCCATCACGGTTTTGCCAGTTTCATCTCGCTTCCCCACATCCACACCACCTCCTTTCTCGATGAGAACTCGAAGGAGCCTAAGATCTCGGTTCTCAATGGCTTGCATCACCGCGTTCCAATCGCGGTAGGTCTTGTTCGGATCTGCGCCCTTCTCGAGAAGCAATTCGATCATGGTAAAGTCCCCATCCATACATCGGCGCACCGCTTTAACGATGGGAAGGTGCTCACCGGGTGCGTTAGGGTCTGCTCCGGCCTCATCGAGCAAGAATCGCACAATATCCTGATGGCCCTCGCGCAACGCGGTCGTCAGGGGCGAGAACACTCCGCCGTTCTTGTACTCCACGCTGGCCCCTGCAGCTAACAACAACTTGATACTGTCGAGTTGATTTGCAATGACGGCCAGCTCCATGACCCCCTTATGCGCCGACAGGTCGGTCACGGCGGGGAGAAGTTGCTGCAAGATCGTGGGGGACCGGACCGCCATACAAACCGGCCAGTCCTGGCCACGCTGGTTGGGGTCCGCCCCATGCGCCAGAAGGAAAGTCAGCAAATCGAGGCGGTCATCTCGAATCGCGGTCGTGAGAGCGGTATGTCCTTGTGCATTCCGGTCATTTGGATTCGCACCGCCATGCTCCAAGAGCCATTGTACGGCCTCCGCGTTGTTCATCTGCACCGCCATCTCCACGATGCCGGGCGGTTGGTGGAGGTCTGCACCCGCGTCGACAAGGTCGGGCAAGAGATGCGTCCGGAAGTGAGTCACGCACTTCCAGGCGGGATATTCTGATGCCATGACGTTGGGATTGGCCCCGTTGGCCAGCAATAGGGCGAAGATGTCCCCGCGGTTGTCGCGAATGGCGGAGCACAGCGGCGTATAAATTCCGTCCTTTTTGGAGTTGGGATCAACGCCCGCGTGAAGGAGGATCCGCACAGAATCGATGTTGTTGATGCTAGTTGCCTGTTCCATAATACCAGGGGCCTTTCGCACGTCTGCACCACGAGCCATCAGGATCTGTAGACATGCCGCTCGATAGATGGCTGACCAGAGTACATGCTCCGGTCCAGGGAGATTGGGATTCGCACCACGATCCAACAGCGTTGTCACAATGGCCACTTGGTCGGCCTGCACAGCTTCAAATAAAGCCGATTTTCCTTCTCTGTTCTTCAAATTCGGATCTGCACCGGCATCCAGGAGCAGATCGACGAGTCGCTGGGGGGCTCTCTTCCGGATGGCTTCAATAAGGACCGTGCTCCTATTTCTCATCTCGTGGTTGGGGTCTCCCCCATGCGCAAGGATGAGGTGGACAAGACCGGTCTTCAGGCTCAGGATAGACAATCCGAGAGGGGATTCCAGCTCTGACCGAGCCATGAAGCTTGGATCGGCGCGGTATTTCAATAATATTGTGGCGCCATCCGTGAATGATCCTTCCACAGCCGAGAAGAGAGGTGTCTTTCCGTCTCGATCTGGCGCATTCGGGTTGGATCCAAAGGCAAGGAGGAGTCGCATGCCCTCAATATCGCGATGAAGGATAGCTTCATTAAGCGGATGAGTATTCTCTCCCATATCCGGAGATACGCCACTATCCAATAGTTGTTCCATTAACTGATGGTTTCTCGCCCGAACCGCGGATACCAAAGCGCTCTGCAAATGGCCCACGCTTGCAGCACTCGTATTGCTAGGCGTTCGACGTGGCATGTTAGGTAACTCACGCTTCCGGTAGGTTGATATACCCGGCAAGAAAGGGGTATGATCCGTCTCCCCCTCTTGGGCGAGTGTTGACGCTGACGAGCTCTGGAGCCGTTGACAGTCTTCGGCTTTGCTCGCTGTGTTATGACTCCGGATATGAGATAAATCCAAGTCCTGGTCTGTGGATATCAAGAGAGAGTCTAGTGATAAGACCGATGACAGAGTCTCCGGCATTGAGTCGACGGGGGCTCTATGTGAGCTCCCCACGCCAGTGACTTTGCCCACATCGTCGTGGCTAGATGATGGCTTCGGCGGTACAGGGGGGACTGGGATAGACGGAGGAGGACTCGCAGGCGCGATATTCACAGCCTGGGACGGCTGCTTCATCCCAGCCATACCTTGTTCGAGAGACTTCGCCTTGTTGATTCCCGTCACTGATCTGCCTTTCGCCATCCGATCGAGGGCTGCTGCAAGTCCTGCGTATCCAACTCCAACCGATTCCTCCGGCTTTGCATCACCGAGAGACCAATGGAACGCCAGGACACTGATCTGCAACGCCTCCATTATCTTCTTGAGCGACTCGCGGATTCTGTGCAACTCATTACTCGGCCGATTCCATCCTTTTTGTAACTTTCCAAATGTCCCACGGTGCTCGTACTGGATCAGCTTGGTCACAACGCGGTCCAGGTGCTGAAAGTCTCGGTATGCCTCGGTGAACTTCTTCTCCACCTCTTGTACAATAATCCGTGGAAGCGGTCGCTTGGCCGTGGTCGACTCGCTGAGGCCAGCTTCAATGGTCCACAGGGAACGACAGGTATCGAGAAAGACTTTGGAGAGATCGCCAAAGCCATCCGGGATGTCATGAACGGTGCTTAGGTAGTCTAGCATCCGCACAGAGATACGGTTTCCCAGCAGGGTTGCCTGGGCGGAAATTGCGAAGACGGCATCCTCCGGAGCCATGACACTGTGATGATCGAAGTGTTTCGCCTGTCAGCAGTGGGGATGGGTCTTTCTTTTACACTTTGGGGGTCAGTTTCAGTTCACGGGGGTTTTTATTTCTTTTCGAAAGAGACGCCGACGTCGAGGTTTGCAGGATAATAAATTTCGGTGAGCGTGCAGCGTCGCACACGATACCAACAAGACCCCAACCAAGCAACCAACCCTCCTGACCGGCTTCGATTGGCCTGAAGCCGAAGTTTTATTGGATGCCATCAATTGCTCCGTCGGGAAAGTGGGCCACGCAACCATGTGTTTAGCCAAACAATCGGGGGTTCTTGGGTGGACCCTCAGCTTACAGCTTTAGCCATGATGATCCTTGTGCCTGGAGCTAACCAAGATCTTGGGTCATTGGGACGCCCCCATCCTCGCTTCATGTAATTTTATTTCTCAAACGTTGGTGAAACTGGGCCAAAGTTTGACCCCCTCCCCCCCGGCGCACGACCAATTCAGAATCCACCGTCTTTCCGTGCATGAATTATCCGAACTGTCTCCATAAGGTATATAATGAAAAGAGAATAGAGAGTATGTACCTACTATCAGTCTATCAGACGCCAGCAGATCATGGTTCTCGCTCTGTTTCCAGTATTCCCCTCACCTCCCGGCATACATATTTTCACCAGGTCAGAGATAGTTTTTCATTTTTTTTTCTGGTTAATGTGGATTCAAATACCGTCAGCCTTTGGTAATCGACAATTCGAAAGGATTGGAAAGCCTCAGAAAAGCCATGGATTGGATTTGGAGGAGACTATGCCAAGGGAAGGTTTTGGCGAACGCCTTTTAGGGTTTCTTGGCACGTGTTCTCGACTTCGAATCGGAAAATCCCGTCCGACGCCGTCGATTATGGGTTATGGTTGCGAAAGATTGGCTACTGGGGCGAAAAGAAATCGACAAAAACTGTTGATTGCGGTGGAGACCTGAATAAAACCATCATAGCCGGCTCCGTATCCCACCTTTATTCGAACCTCCCGCTTCTATGCGCTATTTATTTTAGAATTTGTCGGGACTTGGGTATAGAGTTTTTTCTTCACCCCTCCTTTTTTTTTTTCTGTTTTTTCTTAATTCTTGACATCTTGCTGTGGAATTCAGGGGAAGTGATGCGCAGGGAGCTATTCTATCAACTACAGGCCAACTAGCCTAATTAGGAAGTAGATGTCATTCAGTGGAAACACCAGGAATCACAGTATCTCAACCAACTGAGTCTCTTGCATTCCTATCTGGGTGCTCTACTATCTAAAGGATTCAGGGGTTGAATCGATTGTCAGATACTCCGCACCGCCAAGTCGGGCGGATTATAGGGTTTCCGTAACAATTCTTGTTTTTAAACATATCCCTACTGAACCATGTCTTTCTTCTAATCTACAAAGATTCCATTTCTTACTTCATCACTCCCAACCTCGTGGAAATCTCGGAAGAGAACCAAAGATGGACTCCGGAACGAGTGAAACTAGGGCAATGGCTAGCGGTAAGCGCTAGACCTCAAACCGCTCTTGATGGCGTGAGATCGGCATTGACAAGCCCTGGCCAGGTCTCATCCTGCGCTTATCCTTGTTTCAGACTTAGAAGGCTTCATCACCTCTTTGTGCTCTTTTTTTTTTAATTCCAGTAAATCTAACCACCCTCAATCCCTTTCGGGTGAAAAAAAATCTTCCCCTTTGGTCAAGTACCTCATGAATTAGAACACCCAGGGTAACATCGCTGCCCCCGGATCCAATTATTAGGTCGGCTCTACGTGGTACAGGCTATCTAAACGAAGGACAGTTTATATACCCATGAGAATTTGCCACGAGGTGCGGAGTAGAGCCCATCGATCTGTCGTAATACAGTAGTTTAAATTCAAAAGGATCCTATTTGCCTCTTGATCCAATCATGCCCTCTTATACTATACCCACAAGCCCCCATTATTTCCAGGTGATCAGCTCCTGCAGAAGACTTTTAGGTATTAGCCACAGCGAGATAGGCAATCCAAGGAAGAACTTCTTATATTCCATTGATTTGACAGACTAGATAATACTAGGCAAATATTCCCTAGATAATGCGGAATTTCTCCATCGGGGGTGGGTCACTATGCAAAATGAGTTGCTGCAGGCTGCAGCACCTTCTCATGATCAAGCATAGTCGCGATTATGTTCGGTCCCTGTCCAAAGTCCACGCCAGTATCTGCAGTTCCTTCCGAGACTGGTTGGTCGTTCAGATAGCATGTTCGTGGGAAACGACTGGCAGCTGGTCGATCATCTCCAACGGACAGGCTGCAGCACCCCGTTAACTTTAGTGCAGACTGTAGATGCAGAAGTGGCCGCTAGTCGGTCGACTCAAAGCCTCTCGCCGCACAGACCTTACGTACAGGATTCGCAAGTAGAGGGAGAAATGCCCTGGAGGTTAAAGGGGTAGTTACGTAGTGTCAGTAATGCCTCACTATTAAGAGTCTCGTGTGAATATCGTAATCATCTGCATTATATCTCCCTGCTGTTCAACTTTTCTCTTAATTGCGCTTTGTACGCGCCCCTCTGATCCGCTGTCGGTGGATGATCAAGTATCAGGTTGCCTTGATTCTATTGGTCGCCCCCTTTTGTTGGCATATTTCAAATACAAAAGTTAGTTCCTAGGTTGTGGATCACGTAGCATCGAAAGAGGGGGGGGGGTATTGCGCTCCGTTCCGGTAGGCTGACCGTTGGGAGGGATTCGGGATCCCGATAGGGTTCAAGTCCCGTCCCATATTCCCAATGGGAATTAAATTTTGATTCCCTTCCCATGCTAAGCTATTTGGGAAGGGATTCCCATTATATAGGATTCGGGAAGGGATATTCCTATTCCCTCTTATTTTAAAAATCACGTCCCGTTTCCTGTCCCACTTTTTAATATGGTATAGTCTAAAAATTTTTATAGCATAAAAATATAAAATATTACTATATAAAGTAATATAAAGTAGTTAATTATTATATAATTAAAGTAAGGGAAATTCCCATGGGATTTTCCCAGGAATCAGGATATTCCCATTCCCTTCCTATTTATAAGCTCGTTCCCGTTTCCCGTCCCATTCCCGAATGGGATATTCCCTAAAAACCCTAATTCCCATCAATATCCTGAAATTGGTCCCGTTCCCGTCCCAGTCCCATTCGGAGGGAAATCCCAAGGGAAAATCCCCTCCCAACGGCCAGCCTACTCCGTTGTAGGGATCCTGAGTGGTCTAGACCGTGCGTGCATTATACGGGGACTTGCAACCTCGGTTCTATCTGAATAGCCCACTACGGTAAAGTCCGTATGCCCTTTAACGTACCGGCCAGTCTGCCCTTAGCCAAGGACTGCCCGAGATGATGCCTAAAGGTATAGACATCAGGAGGCCAGCAGCTCGATCGTAAAATTACCCAACACCGCTTGTGACACGGTCCTAACCTAGAAAGAATGAAACAAGATCTATTCAGAACGTAGGGCGACTCATATTCGAAACAACTAACTTAAGGGAAGAACTACGTGTAGAGGTGGTGGTCGGGTTGAAGAAGGTGTGGGATCACGTGTCAACTTAGGGTTGGGGCTGAAAGTCTGGTGACTGAGCCATGACAGCTTGGACTGTCATTGAGACGGCGGGCTGTAGCTAGTGTGTGACAAGTCCCACGGGACTCCCACCACGGGACTTGGGACTTCCCGTCATAGACGGGAGTTGGGTGCACGATATCGCTCATCACACGGCCGGTTAGGTAGGGGACTGGACGAGGTAGTAGAACACTATGAGCTGTAGGGACAGTCGAATAGGGGACGGGGGCCCCCAGGGGCCGCCCTGATGGCGGCCCTGGGGAGGACTGAGGGAATTCTATTGAGTCTTCTGAAGGAATGTATTGCCTAAGCTATCCTTGATAAGTCCTCTGTCTCTCTGGTCTGCTACCTTAGGTAGCAGACCGCTATTTAACCTAATGTCTACCGAGGTCTTCCAGTGCACTGCCGTGGGATCCCATATCATACGATCTGGGATCGTATGATGTGGGATCGTGTCTTCGGAGTGCCTACGTGTTGGAGCCATATTCGTCAGGCACTATACATCTTAGTCATCCGGGATGACAATTTTATATTTTTATACTATAAAATTTTTTAGACTATACTATATTAGAAAGTGGGACAGGAAACAGGACGTGATTTTTAAGATAAGAGGGAATAGGAATATCCCTTCCCGAATCCTATATAATGGGAATCCCTTCCCAAATAGCTTGGCATGGGAAGGGAATCAAAATTTAATTCCCATTGGGAATATGGGACGGGACTTGAACCCTATCGGGATCCCGAATCCCTCCCAACGGTCAGCCTAAGTTACCCCCTCCCACTATAATTCTACGACATGAGAAGGTAAAAAAGGGAATTCCATAATATATACTACTCAAAAACCCCTAATTAGCCAATTTAGTTTAACAGGGGCAGTGCGGGTATTAAACAAGGATATCTTGTTAAGGATAGTGGTATGGTATTGTCAGCATATTAAGATATTCTAATTACTTAATTAGGAAACAGAAATCTCGGCGGCCCGTTCCGAACTTCCGAAAGTATATGAAACCGATTTTAATCCCGAGATTAATTTGGAAGGAGAACCTTAGGATATGAAAGGTATAAAAGCAGGTCAAACCCCTGCTTGAAATGTGGATGGAACAATCATAACTTATCCCCATATACCATTATTCTTTTACCATACTATTATAGAATAGTATTCACAGCCCATTTCCCCTAAGCTAATTCTAAATCAATAGGAATAGCCCATGGCTATTCCTATCCTGGTTAGTCTAGTGGTCCACTTCCGACAAGTATACATATTTTACATATTTTATATCTACAACAAATATTACTTAGTATATATATATATAATACTAATTTTACATCTAGAAAACATGCACAATTTTTTATATTTTATGTTTTCACTGTTTGTGGAACCTAACGTGCGAGAAGACTTTTAGAGTTAGATCACGGTTCCAAGTTAAATCAAATCTAAAAAAAGGGTCGCGACTCTTTACGAGGCCTACCTGGCATCCAGATACCAGCGCAATCCCTGCATTGTAGTTCCTTGCGTTGCGGTTCCTTGCGTTGTGGTTCCTTGCATTGTAGTTCCTTGCGCAATTTAAGCCGACGTTCGGTTATAATTAGGCGCGCTATAAGTAACAAACTTTAGTAACAGTTAAGGGAAAATCCCATCCCTTACCAAGACTTTCGGGAAGGGATTCCTATTATATGGGATTCGGGATGGGATATTCCCATTCCCTTTTCCTGTGCCATTTCCCACACGGGAATTTCCCTTGGGATGTCAAGGGCTAAACCTCTATAACCTAATAACTAGGGTGGATATAAAAGGAATCGTCGAAGAGGAAAGAGAAGAGGAAACAGCGATGAGACGATTGCGAAATAAGGGGGGGAAGAAGTCACATGATAGAGTGTACTAATCAATATACTAATCATGTGGCAGGCGAGGAGAAAGGAAACACGAGGGCTGAGGGCCCGAGTAGGCTGAGGGGCGCTAGCCCCTTACATGGGAATTAAGATTAGAAAGGGAAAATCCCTTTAAAATATTTAGCATCCCGAAATAATCCCATCCCTTCCCTTTCCCGAATTTCTCAAGAAAATTGTCCCGATTTTACGGGAAGGGAATCCCACCCCGATTTCCCATGGAAAAATCCCCTCCCAACGGCCAGCCTAGGGACAGCCACCTTGTGTAGGCGGGGGTAATGTGACGACTTCGCACCCTTCGGGGGTTTGCTATATAAGGCGATGGGCATATCAAGTACGGCGTACTTGATATTCTGGTCTTTTTGTGGCTCAATGGTTAGCACAAGCGGTTGAGATCCTAGAAGCCCACCTAGCAGCAAGGCCGTGACACAACCCAATTATTGGGCATTATGGGTATCCTTACCTGATCCGGATCGTTTGCAGGGATGGAAATTTGATAGGCAGTCGTGACTATCAATTATAGTGGGTTGCAAACGCGGACGTGGCCTAGTTTTGATTGCCGAGGCTTCATCACAGTGTAGATTAATTATTAACCCATTCCCCCTGATCACATGCTTCGAGCTACCAGTTATAATAAACGATGTCGGGAACTCGCCGCTGCTATGTATGAGCATAGCGTGGCCTATATGCTCCGAGTATATATAGGCCGCTGGTTTTATCTTATCCAACATTGTTTAGCGATGCTTAATGTCCGTCCTTTTTAATTTGCTAGATATCTGCCCTCTGCCCCCTCCTGTCAAAACGCCCTTTGAACCGTTATTATATTATCCCAGATCAAAAGTAGATTCGCATCAGCTCTGGCGCTATCAAAGTAGCAATGCGAATTTCATATTCTTACAACCTCGCTGTACTTATCGGCATGAATGTCATTATCTGGACAAATGGTCTCCCACTCATTCCAGACGACAACGGCTCCATTTTACCTCGCCAGGACATCACAACACCTCTTGGTATCGATGTTAAAGATCTTGACCTCGGCGATATATCTCCTATCGAGGATGGATGGCTCGAATTGGATAGCGACGATGGAGATGGGAACCATCTTGGATCCAGCTCTGTTTCAAATGCGAACGGATACTTAGGTTCGATTGGATCCGGCCAAGCAAGCCAGAATGGGAAGTCACTGGAGGGCAGCAGTGCTGCATGCAGTGAGTTTAAAGGCCAATTTTCGCTTCTCTCTATGCTAACCTACTTGCCTTCAGGTTTAACTGGATGTGTAACCTCCGCGGCAGCAAGCAATGGCAACCAAACAAGTACCAGTTCCACCAGTACTGGGGGATTAATCAGTGCACCATTAATCGATGGCCCTCTCATCGAAATGAATAATTAATCTTGATTAGTGTGTGTATATCGCCGTGATGGTGTTACCTTTTAAACAGTCGCTCTTTCTTGTATTATCAGCAAATTTCTTATATCTTGGAAGAGAGTTGATATTTTAAGCTTCATCGCCTGTATCATAAATCTATATGTTTGCTATGCTTGTACATTTGTCTTGAATAGTTGTTGTGCTGTTACAAAGTCCCTGGTCTGTCTCATTGAATCAATAAAGCGGAGCTGGTGCCTATTCCAGACTTCGTGGAGGGGGCCTGTGCATGCGTGCCAATATATTCACCTGTATTCCCACATATTCCCATGCATTCCCGTAAAGGTCTGGCGTCTACCTGCTTATGTCTTCCACTCAAGGCTAACGCATCCAAACCAACTGCCAGATCATCTGGGGCAGTGGTGACTATGATATTAATGTTAAAACTGACGATTAGACAACGTACTATGCATGTGTCAAAAAGGACTTTGGGACCTCCCTTAGACCGCCCTTGACTATAACTGGGATATGTCGCTCGGAAGACCATGCATGGAGAGAGTTAGATCGGATGCTAGAAGTTTGGGCTGCACAAAAACAGAGCGGACAACCAATAACAGACGATAAAAAGTTGGAGATATTTGGTGGACCCAATGGGCAGAATAAAGCCATTTTGAAGCAGTTTCTCGCCAGGTTGTACTGGTATTATATAACAGTAAGACCCGCTAGAGTCACCAAAAGCATAATAATAAAAAGTGCGAACACACTTGTTTCTCTTCCTCTGTCCCATGCATGGAGTATCAAGCTCGACCTTATAGATCAATTTTAAAATGTCGGAGCCAGAAATTACGTATCTCCAAGTGCACCAGCAACTAACGACTTGGAATGACGAGTTGGAATTTCTAGGCTATATTCTCATTGAGATAATCAACCCAAGTAGCTTTGAGACTGAGGGGTTCACCTGCCACCAGGCTGCAGACCTTCCTACAATTATCAGCATATTACGAAACGCATCCAAACAGGAAGATAGCAGACTTCATACAGTTACTACTGATAAGGAGCTGAGACATCTTCGAACACTGATGCGAAAATCAAGACAGATTAGGAATGCTATGGCTTACCATCAGCTACCAGATAAATGGAAAATGGGAAGGTTACGAAATGTGAAGGATGAACTCATGTAGTACAAGGAAACAATATTCGTGGATTTGTCCGTTGCTTTAGCCAAAAGGTTTAGCTTGCTACTCCTTCGAACGACGATATATTGTTTAAGCTTTCCATGGTGGTGAAGGTTGAGAGCACAACTATGCTTAATCTTCCCCAATTTTTCTGCTGGGCCGCCAATTCCGATAATATTTGGTGGTTTAAGTACCATTAATCCGTCGCCTTGGTAGAAGTGGTACTGTAATTCGAGCCTATTTTTCCAAGAAAACAGCCTTTTTAGCGGAACATATGCCACTTTATGTCCGCTAATAACCTCGTATATATTAATGGTGATTCCTGAGGGGAAATAGAGCTTATACTTTTCTTTGTTATATTTGAAACCGTCCTGAAGAGAACGAAAAATTTAGTTTCTTTGTATCTAAGATCACCAGAATGGTCGCTTGCAAGGAGGGTAATATAAAGGCGATTTAATGGCTTGAGTGGTCGGAATAAGCTAAGGTCGCGTCCAACTAGTACAGGAAGACATCAATCATATGTAAGAGCTAAATCAAGCCAGGTTGTGTCTTTAAAAATAAAATTCTATAAAGCTGGAGCTGAATTCTCAACATCGATCGGACTAGGAAAGTCCCTCAAGTCGTACCAATATCCTCTGGAAGGTCCCCGAAGCTTATAAAAAAAATCCATGGCTTAAGAGAAAGAAGCAAGACAGTCTAGTTATATTATTGGAATATAGATCTATAACATAGTCGAAGTCTACTAGCAAGGGAAGGGTTTATATATGTATCGGTCTTTCACAAACAAGTTTTTATTCTTGTCGCGCTAGATACATATGTAGCGCGAGAAAAATAGAACCAACTTCTTTGGTCCATTTCGGCATGGTTTCATATTTGCACGATTAAGACGGTCTGGTTTTGCAATGCACAGTATAACCCCACAGGACATATATGTGTCTTGCTTTGTTACAATATAAGGGAAGGGCACTTTGGACATAAATGGTTGAGTTATTCTTCTGGCCAATGAGTTATATCATTAAGTCTTTATGTACTTTGCCTACCTATTCCTCAACTAGGGTATAAAAAAAGGCGTTACTGCTTCTCCTGGATCTCCTCGGTCTCCTGGCCACTGTCACTGCTAAGGCCAAGCTCTTTCCTCTCAGGCATGGCATGATCGTTGGTATCCAAGCCCAGCTCGCGAGACTGTTGGACGATCTGTTCGAAGTTGAGCTTGGGCATGTCGTGGGCGACCCTGAACGGCATCTTCCCTTCGATATGGGCTTTGGCGTAGATGATGTCGACCTCCTCAAGCTCACGGCCGGCTGTCTCAACATAGAAGAAGAAGCCGAATATCAAACCGACAAAGTTAAATAGTGCGAAGAAGAGATAAACACCCCATGGGCTCTGGCCAGCGAAAAGCGGTGTGAACATAACCACGGCAAAGTTACACATCCAGTTGGTACAGGTTGACGCCGCCGCACCCACAGTGCGGGTACGGAGGGGGTTGATCTCCGGTGGGTAGATCCAGGGCAGTGGCAAGAGAGTGAATGCAAAGAAAGTAATAAAGAGAAAGATACCAACAGCAGCACCCTTAGAATTCTCCTCGGTTTCCTTAATTAAGCAAGCGAATGTAATAACAAAGCTAAGCCCCTGGCCTAGAAAACCAATCAAGTATAGATTACGACGGCCGACTTTTTCAATCATAAAAAAGGACGGGATAGTTGCAAGGGCGTAAACAGTCGCGAATACCCCGCCCATAATTAGAGACAGATATTTCTCCATATGGAGGTTTTCTTGGAAAAGTAATGTTGAGTAGTAGATAGCAGCGTTACAGCCAGTAAACTGCTGGAAGAACTGACCAGAGCAACCGATAAGAAGGCGCTGGAATTCCTGGGTTTTGCCAAATGTGAATACTAACTTCCAGCTTGACTGTACGCTCTTTGAGGATTCCACGTCCGTTTTTAAGAAGTTGAAGTCGTGAAGTACTTGATCGGAATCAGGAGAGGTGCCCTTGAGCTTACCGAGAACTTCACAAGCCTCCTTGTCAAGCCCTCTCATTACAAACCATGACGGGGAATCCGGGAGCATCAAGGCACCGGTGGCCACAACCAGAGCGAAAAGGATCTGGAGCGCCACAGGGAATCGCCACTGGACAGAATCCGCTGCGTGCGAGATACCAAAGACCACCCAGTAGGCAATAAAGGTGCCACCAGCGATCATCGCGCCCTCAAAGCAGACCAGGAAGCCACGATTGTGAGCGCCGGAGCATTCTGATTGCCAGACCGGGATCGTGGCCGTGTTCATGCCATTTCCAATGCCCGATACAACACGGCCAATAACGAACTGACCAACTTCCCATCTACCAGTGAAGCAGACCGTTGTAAGCAAGGCGCCAATGATCAGGACACTGGCACCCATAAAGATCAGGCGAGTGCGGCCGAGTCCGTCGCCGAAGAACATGGAGAATAACGCGCCGAAGAAACAGCCAAGCTCATAGCAGGATGTTACAGCACCGCGGATGACGTCGATGTAGTGTTTTTGCGCCGCAGTCGGATTCTCGGGCATTTTAAGGATTGGAAAGGAGTTAACAAACTCGTCGCCGTTGAGGAGGCCGGCCATCATGCCCTGGTTGTAGCCAAAGAGCGAGAAACCCATGACAGCGGCCAAGGTGATGCTCAACCGGAGCGACCGACCACTCAAGCCGCTGGTGGTCGTCCACATGTTGACGGTAGGAACAAAGTAAGAGCCGTAAGTTTGTTTGGGGGGGAGGGGCGTAAAAGAAACCTGGGAAAAAGTAGTAAGGAAAGAAAGAGTACGTCGGAGCAGAAAAATTCGCGGTCTTATAGCAATATGGTAAGTTGAATAATTATCGGACTCTTACTGCAACCTTGGTCGGACCCCAAACGGGAAAGGTCCAGCGAAGGCTATGGAGTTCGCGAGGCGGGGAGAGGCGAAGGAATCCTTTCCCTTGGCACTTGGCGGAAGCACTTGGCACTTGGTAATTTGCGGGTCCACTGGTCAGGGTGTGGATGTCTAATCTGGAATCCGCAGGCCCGATTTCCAATACCTGGAGCCGCCAAGGCCTTGTCGCTCCAACATGATGTCAAAAACTTTTTGCCAAGTTTCCAACTCGGCGCTAGGCAAACTTTGCCCCGCTATTTACGAACCTTCGGACCCAAATACTTTGTGGCGAAGCACAAGGCACACGGACCGGGGCAATCTCGCTGAATTGTCATGCCGACCTTCCGACCACGCTGTAGGAGTAAGTGGCAGGTGGCATCGGGACCGACTCGGTATGGCTGTATCCTGTCATATGTATGTATTAGTAGCATGATTTATATAAATCTATACTAAACAAATGCTTTCCGGGAAGTATGGACCCCATTACTCACCACCTGGATGGCCCACGACCCACAATGACGATGCGGTCTAATGCTACCATGACTGGGTCCATTTTTACGTTCCTTTCCCCATAAATCATACATAGTAGACCTCCAATAGAATTTGCAAGATGCCACGTTCGCAAAAGCTGCCGAAGGATATGAGAGAGTGGTTCTATCGTGAAGTGTGAAAAAGAGGGATAAAACATAATGGCGTCGGAGTGCTGCCCCCCACCCCGATCTGAAGTTTAGAGTCCACGATCGGCGGGGGCGGGAGCATGCAGGCAAACAGGCCATGGCCAAGGGAATCTTTGCCGAGTCCGCCGCCACTTCGTTTAGGTCGATTGGCGCCCCAGAGCTCACAGCGGGGCTCTTCATATCCGGGGCAGCCCATCAGCTCGTGGTATACCGTTTCAGGGCATCGCCGGTAGGGTCATCTCGGCTTACCTTCCAAACTACTTTTTGCCAATCTTACTCTATTTCCTCTTCGGGACTCGCCGAAAATTTTGACATATATCTCCCCAAGAAACGCAAATATCAATTTGACGAATTGCTAGGTGTAGTGCCTCGGGGTATTTAGGTGGGGGCTGTAGCCCAACATCCTTAACGAGATCTGTCGAGGCGTAACGGGATTAGGTTTCCCCAGGTGACAGCGGCGGAAGTTATTCACAGCTCTCCTGACCTTTCTCGATGTAGAACGGTTCATCGGAACGAACCCGCTTGACAATGTAGTAGAGGCAGGGTTCTTGGCCCCTAGTGTCATACATAGTGTGTGGTGACTGAAGGATTACCGGCCCTTGTCTTTGTGATGCCCTCAGGTACTTGCGGGTTTGATCTATAGACTGGAGCAGTTAGTCTGTACACGGTTTAGAGAACCGGTGTTCGCGAGGCACAATTCTCTTCAATTCAGAGGGGCTCGGGCGAGCTGACTATCTAGGTGGGTGACTAAGTGAGGCCACGTGACCATACCGAATATGGTAGGTCCCTAACAACCGGTGTTAGTCACGTGGGTGATGGAAGCGATTGCTTGTTCTATTGAATGGGCGGCCGGGTGGCCGCTAACTAACTACTACTAAGAGCTAGCTTACATAAATGATGACTAAGCGAGGTCGAAACCGGGGGCAGGCGCCCATGCTTGGCGATATGCTCCAACACCACCCCTCGAACGAGCGAGTCATCGAAAACATGCAGAAATATGACATAAAAAGCAAACAGATACAGTTGCCTAAATCGGAATTAAAATAATTATGCGCTGCGGAGTTGAAGCAGGCGTAGAAGTCTGGAATAACCAGGCGAAGAAAGTGGCTTGGTGAAGCCATCCGCAACCATTTCTGCGGTTGGAATCTGCTTTATGCGTAAAGCGCTGATAGAGATTATATCACGCGTATAATAATATCGGACGTTAATATACTTGGAATATTTAGTTTAAACATTTGCGGAGGTAAGATCTATTGCGCCTTTATTGTCTATATGCAGTAATATGCTTGGAGCAGGCAGTTCCTTGAATAATCAGAGATTATTTATAATCTCACGAATCCAGCGCGCCTCGCGTGCAGCCTCGGAAGCAGCGATATATTCCGCTTTATTTAAACTAGCCGCTACGCAGGTTTGGCGCTTAGCTTGCCAGGAGACAGGTCCTCCTGCGAGCATGAAGACATATCCGCCTACTAATCTGCGGGCCTTTGTATGTGGGCCTCCCCAATCGGAATCACTATACGCAATTGGGGGCGAAATATTAGTGGTGGTGGATTAACATTAATATTTAATACCTAGTATTGGCGTGCCCTTAAAATATTTAAGCACGTGCATGAGCGCTGCCCACGCCTTTGGAGTAGGCGCGGCGTTGAATTTAGCGAGATAGCAAGCTGCGCGGCAGATATCTGGCCTAGTTTTACTAGCGAGATATTGCAGACTGCCTGTACCGCGTTGATATTCTTTAATATTAATAAACACGTCGACAGTGTCGTCGATAACAGTGCCTGGATTAAGTGTCGTCTTGGTTAGATAAGTGTCTTGGAGGCCATAGGAGTTAACTAATTTATGAATATAGTCTTCCTGTGATAACCTAATACCTGTAGAGGACGCGTGAATATTTATACCTAGATATTATAAAAAATCAGGCACATCTTTTATCTCAAAGCGAGATTTTAAGTTAGTTAGTGCTTATTGTGCAATTTCAGCGCTTTCTGCAATAATTTTGAAATTATCCACGTGGGTGGTGATATAAAGTCTTTTAGCTGAATAAACAAATAGGCCGGAATCATGTGGTGAAATATTAAATCTAATAAATTTAAGAAATACACGTAAATTATTATACCATAAACATGCGGAAGGTGTGAGACTATACAGGGATTACCAAAGTAGGCAAACCAGCACTCCAGGTTCTCCTTCTGCAAATCCCAGAGGTTATTACACATATACAGGAGTACCATGCAGCTTCGCGTTAAGAAAGGCGAGAACTGCGTCTGCTTGAAGATGCTATCCGTAATTCGTGGCAGTGGCAAATAAAATGCGAGCAGTAACTGTCTTGACAACCAGTGCGTACGTGATTCCTTTAAATATTAATTTATTAAAAAGATTGCCGCGGATCACCCATCTAGCTTTATACCAAGTTGAATTATTAGGATTAAGCTTTTTTTTATAAATCTAACGTCCCGGGATAGCGCGCGCGCCAGAAAGTATATTATTTTTTATACAAGATCCCAGCATGCTTGCGTTTTAATATGTTGATTTCCTCAAGCATTGCCTTAATCCATTTGTCGGCTTCTAGGCTGGTAGTGGCTTCGCGATAAGACGATGGTGCGGTGGAGGACAAGTCTATAGATTTTAAAACAGCGAGTCCTTTAGCAGGTCGATATAGGTCTTTATGTAAACCAATCTCGGAGGTGTCCTTAGATATTAAGTCTAGGACAGCTAATACTTCTTTAGCTAAGGGCTAAGGCGCTGTCGGTGCGTTATTTTGCGCTTTTGCGGGAATTAGACGGAAAATCTTATTAACAGAGACGTCACTAGTCTCCCATATAATATTTATTTTAGGATCCCATACAATGTACATATAAGTTCCGCGATATCCAACAATATAAATATTCTTTGTGTGCGGCTCAAGCTTGGTGTTAGGCCTGCCGGTTGATTTTAACGCGCCGTGCAGGTGCAACGTGGCGGGTGATCCAAATTTAATAAAATACTAAAGTTTAATATCGCCATTTATCCACGCGGAATATGGCGTAACATGCGAAGAAGGTTTCACGGTAGGATCTGCTGTGGTAAATCCTGGGCGTTGATCGTTATATAAAAGTGCTTGCGGCCACAGCAAATAGGGCAGGCCGGAGTCAAAAATCATGGCACGGACGCGGGCTATAAGCGTACGGATTCCACGCTCGCTAACGCCATCTTGCCATGGAGAATCGGCTGCAGTTGGTTCCCAATGGATGCCGTATTCTTTGCAAAGTTGCTAAGTTTGTTTAATAAGGAATTTGCGATTACTGCGTGTGTACGCAGGTGCATCGAGTCCTTGATATTTAATATTTTAGCTATTACCCAAACATGGGAATAGCATCACTTCACGATCGAAGAAAATAGACCCAACGCTTTCAAGTAGCGTTGTCTGTGATTAATATAAAATATCGTATATTCTTAAGGCCAGGAGGTGCGTGATTATTATCACAATCCAGCGTTGCATCTCTACCTATAATATTGATGTGAATTCGCATTAGCAGTTTCACCATACAAGGAGCGGGATCCTTGTGATTCCGCCTGGGTTGACGTGCTTGTTGGCAGATTTCGCAGAAAGGCATGGTTTTTGGCCCTTTAACTTTTATTACCTTAATCCTAGCGAGTTGCAATATAGCACGAAAATGGGCATGGGATAGGCGTTGATGCCATTCCACCATGGTGGCGCTTGGAATAGGCGCCGTGGGCTTATATTGTTTGGACTGAATCGTGTTAACAACCGGACGAATAAGGTATCGATCTAAATTTTCTGTTGGACTAGCAGATAGCAGGACGCCTGTCATGAAGTCTGCGAACCAATTTCTGCCGATTGACCTTGTGAATGGGTTGGCGGAGCAGCAAATTCAACCCCTGGGCCGCGATATATCATCCCCAGTAGAGGATGTTGTGCAGAGGGAATGGTTCACGTATACCGGCTCTTCGAGATCAGGTCTTCTTACACCAGATATTTCGTCCGAGCAAACGCAAGTTGACGAGACGTACCGGGCGAATCTGGAGGCTAAACTGCAGCACCACGTTCCTATCTTCCCCCTTCCATCTACTGACTTTCTGGTAGGTTGATTCCCATTCCAAATAATGCGACCTAGGCTGACGTTAGATAGAACATCTGCATCCAGGCGTATTTTACAAAGTTTCACCCACTATTTCCCGTTATACATGCCCCGACTTTTCGACCATCAGCCAATAGATCTCTCCTCCTACTATCAATATGCTCTATGGGGAGTCTAATTGTTGGCTTATCGCACGCCAAAGCCCAAGGTGTGAAGATTTTTGAGACGCTTAACAAAGCAATCCTCGCCTCTGTAAGCGCCTGTAGTGTTTTTTTGGGATTCAACCTAACCGACCTACAGTGGGAAGGCATCATGTCTGGGAGAGGGGCGGAGGTTACCCCTATGATCCAAGCGGCTCTAATCGGTCAAACGTTTGGTCTCCTTTCTGGTGTAAGCTGGCTGTTGCTTTGATCCGGGCGCTTGTATGCTGACTGTATGAGATAGAGACAAAAGGACCTCTTCATAGCGCAAACGTTTCACGGTACACTACTTGCGGTGAGTATCCGCAGCTCATCTACCCCTTGCCACAGATCAGGACCTAACCGACTGCAGTGGGCAAGAAGGTACCAGATGTTCAAGTCGAGAAAACCATCTGACTGTATCTCACTTGAAGACCTTTCTCGTCATCCCCAAAGCGCTTGGCGGACCTGGGTACAAGCAGAGGAGCAAAATAGGTATATACTTTCGCCACCTGACAACTTTCGATCACAATCATAGGCTAACTTGCTTTTACCTCAATGAATAGGATCGCCGCAGCACTCCATATCCACGATATCGAGTTCGCGGATCTCTTTGTTACGGACACATATTTACGACATACTGTGTCAAAGCGGCCAACCCTATGCGATGATGAGCTTTGGGCTGCGACCACAGCTGAGGAATGGTCCAAGCTCATGGCCCATCACTTAACCTCATCGCAGATCGCTGAAAACGGCGGTGCTTTGCGGAAAGCGACTCCTAGACTAAACGCGTACCTCGAGCTTGAAGGCATTGTGGCCTCCGTAGTCGAAAGCAGGAGCCTAATATTAGACACCGATAAATCAGAAGAACTCGCAAACCATGTTACCCCAACCCTTATCCGCTTTTACACCGCTCATATCAAGTCGCAACCAAAGCAATACGACAAATTCTGCCTCCTTGCTCTCTGGCACTCAATCTTCATATCCATAACCGCAAATATTGACTACCTTGAACTCGCGATCGGGAAAGAAGACTCTCGCCTGGCCAACTCCACGCTCATCACCGAATATCTGCGCACCTGGGCGAACTCGCCAAGCGGCCAGCGAGCTGCCTTCCACGCAGTGCTCATTCTAAGCCACCTGGAGCAGGTTGCCCTAGCCACTGAAACACCGATCCATATTCCCCGGGTTATTTTCCGAGCGGCTATAGCCTGGTTCTGCTACACAAAGTATCAAGACAATTCAGAGCCCCCGCAACTACAAGAAATCCGAATAGTACAGTTCCCTGAGCTGAACGAGATGAGCATAAACGGCCAGAAGGTGCTTTCTGAAGCGAGAGGATCGAGATTGGAGAGGTCTGTGATGGCGGAGTCGTCGACATTGTGCGAATTTATTGATTTATTACAGCGCATGGGCCACTGGGCATTATCAAAGAGATTGGCAGGGATACTGAACTTGCTTTTGCCAGATATTGATGTGGAAGAGCGATAGCAAATCCACCTACGTGGACACAGTAATATTATGCAACTGCGCTTATGAACAAATCACAGATATGATACGCCATTCGATATGCAAACAGTAGCCAAAACCTAAGTGGACAGGTACTCTACCGCAGCACTGATCGCTCTCTCTAACTCCCCACGAGTTGCACAAGCAGCGAAAATGAACCTATCTGGGCGCACGATCACATAATTGCTTCCTCTTAGGGATTTCGCAAGGTAGTAGGGGTCATAGTGTCGCGGCTCCGGTCGTCCCTCACAAAGTGGGGAGGCCGCAAACTCGTCAGCGCTTGCCAACTGATATATCGCCGCCAGACTCCCAACTCCACGCCCGGGCTCGCCCACCATATCCTGGATAATGTACGTAGCCTCTGCGACACAAACCCCATTCCTTGCTACTGCCTTCATGCTGGCAACCGTCTCTCTGGCAGACTCAAGCTCAGACCAGTGCTCCAGATAAACAAGCACCTGAAAAAGGCCCCTTTTGCTCAAGCTGAACACAACGTCATCTGTAAAGAAAACCTCTTTATTCTCTCCCACGGACTTACAGTAAACCTGCGGTAAGCAAAGCCCCCCGTTCAGCTCCGGTATAAATGGCATTCCGGGGCGGTGCTGGTATCGCACCATCCCCTCCTTCCGGCGTCCCAACTGCAGCTCGTGTCGCCACTTGGGGACAAGATTCATGAGGAACAGATAGCAGGTACGGAAGATCTTAAATGGGTTCACCTCTGTGACAAACTTGCCGTTATCGATGGTCGAGGCCAGAGACTTTTCCAACTGTTGTTTGCGCTCTAGTGTCCCGGCCATGCAACCATCTGTTACACGCGCGTGCTGAAAAGCGGAAGGGCCGCGACCTCAGGACGCGGATACAGTCCTCGGGATACTGCACGTCAGATGTAAGCCTAAGTGGAAACAATGTCAGTCAGTTCCTTGGGGTAGGTACTCGCGGTTCCGCACCCATAGCGCTCGCCTGTGTGTGTCAGGTAGGGCAAAATGACCTCTCGTGCTTTCGAGTACGTTGCCATCTCATCGCCGTCTTCCTCAGATCTCACGACGAATTCGAACCGCCAGAGTCTATCTGAGGGGAGTCCAAAGCGTCCGCATATTGATGGGCGCAGAAGATTGCACAGGAAGCGAAAGTTCACGGGGAAGAACAGATCATAAACATCTTCTGGTGTGTATCCCAACGACCATAAATGGAACTGAGGATGAGTCTTCTGAGAGGGGAGCTCAATCTGCCAATTCACGGCTACCCATGTTTTATCGTAGAATGCTCTATTGGAGATCAGCCCTTGCTGCTTCTACATTGTGACGGGAGCATACTCATGAGCTTGCTCCATTTGGATCCCCAGTGGTTCAAGGTAGTTCTTGTGAATCCGGTCTTACCGTCGGCACCGACAAAGAATCGGGACATTAACTTATGGATCTCCCCGCCTATATCACGGTATTGCCAGTAAGACCACTCTGCACCTTGTTGAATATCCATGACCGTGCATCCAGATCGCAGTTGGCAGGATTCGGATGCTTTCATCGCACTTCGGAGATGTTTCTCCAGGACCGGCTGTCGATGACAGATAAAGCCTACATGTCCCGTTCCTCCCTCGGTCTTAACGACATCAGCAACTCTGCCATCAAGATGCATATTTAGACGAGGAGAGTCGAACCGTAGCATAGTCCATTTCGACAAATGCCTTCCTTTGGAGGTCCTTCTGTATCCCGCCAATGAATTTAAACCGATTCATGCCTAGGCAATGGTCAGCACGTAACCATTTTCTCCACACACCGACAAAACCCATGATATTAACGAAGACATACAGGTGCCTATCTCGCTGTAAATTTGTCTCTATATCCCAATTCCCTGAAGTAACCGGATACCGTCCTCATCGAGAGCAATTCCTCGCGGGTCAGTGGTTATTCCGCTCTCCTTTTCGAGCACGATGTGTTTCGTAGACAGTCGACCCAGATAGGCTGATAGCAATGCTCCTGTCGGTCCGCAGCCGCAGATGACCACATCCGTGGTCTCCCATTCGTGGTGCTCGTCCATTGTGTATGGCCTGGATACAGGACTGGAACGGGAACGGACTTAGGTAATCTACTCTCAAATTTTGAATAAACCTACGAAATGCTTCCCTACCTGAGCTCTCATAAGCTACCTACATTCTGCTTTCGCTCAGCATCATCCATATCCGACACTAATACTGTATGGTCTTCTGTCCCGCATTGTGGGGAATTGGCGAGAGGCAGGTGCATATTTGAATTGATCGCTGAATATCTAATTTGTGGTTGTGGTTGTGTGCCGAGCGGAAGCTAAACACGGCCCGATTCCGCCCGTCGGGGATCCCGAAAACACCTCAAGGACGCTTGAAAACTCTGCGAGGAATAATGACGAGCCGACGCTGGCACCAGCCCATAGGGTTAGGACAAGGAGAATACACACATAAAGCACGGCAATCCCACCTCTGGATTTCAACGTACCGGACGACACCAGTAAACGGATCACCAATCAGAGAGTCTGGGAGATAATCGTCAACCTAAAGAAAACGATCCCCCACCAAAACACTACCATTAAATCGGCCAGAGCAGAAATCCAAGAGATTAAAACTGGACAGCAAGATCTACAGAATAAAAATGCAAAGTTACGGGAAGAGATACAGACCTTTTAGTCCTAAATTAAAGTACAGACCCTACCAACCCCGAAGTCAGGGGCAGCAGTCGCCGCCGGCCCACCCCTTTATAATCCCAACACAACTGTTCCACGCCCCCAAAAGGAACCTAATTGTGTTCGAATCAGCACCGCGCCAACTCTGGATAAAGATATCGACAATGATTAGTTTACAAGATTCCTGCTCACCGAAGCGGCGAGCACACATATCAGGTCTGCCTTGCTGAATGCACAACCTACCAAGGAAGTGCAAGTCGCAGGTATTAGCATAATAAAAAGAGGATACATTATCAGATTCCGAGACGCTTAGTCTACTAAGGCGGCCCGGAACAGCTCCAAGTGGTTAGTAGAACTGGGAGACGACACTAAAATAGTAAAAACTTGATTTGGTATTATAGTTTACCGAGTCCCGACAGAAGACTTCGACCTGGAAGGGAATAAGAAATAAGGATTGGAGAAAATCATGGAAGAAAATAAACTTACTAAATAAGGTTTCCAGGTAGAAGATATCGCATGGCTGAAGAAGAAAGATAGGCCCCTAAGCAGATCTACTTTAATAAGTATCTAGTTAAACTCACCAGAGACAGCAGAATGGATTATTAACAGTGGACTTTTAGTAGGCCAAAGATATATTGGGAGTGTTAAACTATACCAAGTCGGACAGAAACAGTGCCGAGACAGAATCACCGAAGAGTGGGAACAAGAATAGAGGGCCTTAAAGAAAGGAGGGCACCTCTGCCGAATTAACACAGCCTTATCTTTAATTTGTACTCGCCGGCTCTACAGCTCACTCCCCCGGAATCGAGCCTATTTGCTTACGCAACTCCGAAAAGGCCACTCATGGCTTGCGACGCATGGTATGCGGCACGGCTTCCGAGATAACAAACTATGCAGAATTGGAGCACCGGAAACTGTAGTCCATGTACTGATTAATTGCCCGCCGCTAATCGGGCTGCGACAAGAACTACGGCGAAAGATTGGAAGGGCGTTTAATAATATTTTAGATATGCTGGGAGGAGCAGGGCAAGGTAAGAAGGGTTAAAAGATACCGCGCAAGACAGTAGCATCTTAAATGCGGTACAGGACTTTGCAGAGGCATCTGAGAGATTTCAAAGTCGCGCGCCACGAGGGCGGCAGAACAGAACACCAGGTATCGGCCAACACAGGCCTTGACGAGACTCCAAGTTCGTCAGGAAGTAATGGTTTGCTGTAAATAGTAGCACATATAGTGTAGTGATAGGGATATCCTGCATATCGCCCTAAGGCAAGGGGTCGGAGTATGAATCATCATCATCTTCTCTGGTTATAATATGGCTGACTATAAATAGACCATCATACAAAGTACCCGGTGCTTTTTATACTTAGCCTGGACTCGCTACGTGGTTCTAATACTACAGAGGAATGAATACTTCAGTAGTGATAAAACTAGAGAAGTGAAAAGCTGAGCAGTGCATTGGGGGCGGCAAGTCTGGGTGCCTGGGGCCTCCATAGATTTAGGAAGAGTGTTTTCTGGCCTGTGTGGTCCCCATATAGGAAGAGAATTCTTCAGGTCTTCGATCACCCCTGGAGATACGCCGTGGTTCGCGACGTTAAGAAAGCCAACTTGAATTAAGGCGTGACGAAGCTGCTCGAGAAGCCGGGGGCGCGTGGAGGCCGACTTGGCAATCAAGAGATCAAGAACAGGTTTTGATTGGAGTCACGTAAAAGATGCTGTCAAAGACTCATGCAAGGATCTCATGCCAATACACAAAGGTGTCAACAATTATGGTAATTTTGATTATTCAGCACCTTTTTTCGGTCAAATATGGTTGATACAACATCATCGGATCGCCTATATTTCCTATATGAGTTAGTTTGCATTCTTCATTTGTTTACCTCGCCTTTATAAACGCGAGATGTTTTGGTAGTTTAGTTGAATCAGAGACCTAATTCAATGAAAGATCGATACTTGCGAATACGCGTAATTTTATGGTTGACAAAAGGATATTGCGTGTCGATGGGAGTCGCCGGCACGTTGGGAGTACTAAATGCCAAGACTTGACCCACCGCTGCGCCGCGATAGGAAGCAAATGACGACATGTTCTTGTGATGTTACGTGAGAACTATACCGAATATTATTCTTCATTCGAGGTATGTTTGTTGACTGATAAATGATCTGAATGTCAAACAGGAAGAGTCAATCAAGGAGGGTGGGGTTGATGGCAGAATACATACGGCGGAAAAGAAAAGAGGCCTGCGGCGTGTCAGGAATGAGGGGGACGGGAGGGATGGTCGGCAGGAGAAGATAAGAAAGAGAGGAACCATCCTCAAAGAACTTATACCATTCAAGTCCAATCAAAATCCCCAACCGAGAGACCTGGTGGTTTCTCAATTGAGCATTTGCTAATGTTCGGATTCTTCCCAAACTAGATATGGACTGGTAAGACTGCGTTACTGAGAGTAAAGATTTGAATATTCATGGCCTGAAAGGGTTCTCTATATTACAATTGCCCGTCATGAATAACTAGGCCCGAGGCCAGATTCTTCCCTGCTGGAGGAGCCCCCAGCCCTCCAAAACAATCGACCTGGTCTGGCCAACCAAAAAGGACCGATATCTCCATGCAGAATGACCCGCGAGTCCGATTGACCCCACGATGGTGGCCAAGCCCAAGGCACTAACTAGAAACATATCCCAGTTGTTGGCCTTGAACGCTGACATGCGCGAATCTGCCGTCTGCAGATGCATCGGGCGCAGCTCTCTGCCATCCGCGTCGAACCGCAGCTCGTTATCGTACATCATCTCTTCGACAAGATCGGCGGCATGGTTCTTGCGACGTGCTGCAATATGTGCGATGCGCTGCATCCGTAGCACGTTGCGGTGATAAGATCCATTTTCGTCGGCTGTGACGATCTTCTTGATCTTGGTGTAGACCTCGTCAGCGGTGAAGCTGACTTTGTCAAGAGACTCTGCCACTCCGCCTGCGACGAGCCTGGTCGTGTTTGCGGTCTGGTCAAAGAAAATTCCCATGGAAAGAATAGGCTTCCCATGGAAGAGAGCTTCGTTGGCACTCGAGCCGCCACCATGCGTAAAGTAGACTTTGGTGGAATCGTGATCAAGGATCGCACGCTGGGGCGCGAAGAATGGGAACAGCCAGTCCGGGTGCTTGTTGGAGAGGAGATCTCCTAGGAGAAGATCTGTTGATTGACCATCCCCCTCGGTGGATAAAGTCTGGCTCCCATCAATATCGCCCCGGCCAGTTTCTGGAATGGCCCAAATCACGCCGTCGATCAGAACTTCCTCCATTAAGCGAAATATTCCGGTCACAATAGTGGCGACATCGTTATGTGGTAGAATGATATGCGTGCCGAGGGCAATGTACAGAACGGACTTATGCTTCTTCAGAAAACTGTCGCAGGCCTCATCCAAAGGAGCCCAAGTGGGACTCAGTAAAGGACCCACTGGAGCACAGGTCGGAGGCAGATCGCGAGGGATTTCAAGACCCACAAAGGAATTCACAAATAAGAGATAGTCAGGTTTCTTGGGTTTGTGAAGTGGGCGGAAGATGCCGTGATCACTGCGCATTTTCCGAGTCCGCTTGAACAGTCGCATGATGGCGGGCAAATCCGACAAAATGATCAACTCGTTTTTGATACGAAGCCACATTGAAGCATTCTCCGAGGTCATAGTCCCGGGCAGTTGAAACCCTGGTTGCCCCGGGATATAGGAGCAAGGCAGCTGGAGTGGTGGCCAGTTAGGACACACAATAGCAAGGGGTAGGTTATACTCGACCTGCATATCATGAGCTGCCTCGACAAAGAAGTCGGCAATGATCATGTTGGGACGGGTGGCTGGATTCTCTATGATTTTCCTGAGGCCGTCATATGTCTGCGGCCAGAAGGAATCGAACATTGTTTTAGAGATAAATACGGGCCCTATACCCTCGCGGACATCCCATGCCTGCATTCGCCGATAATGGTCATCGAGCTGCTCATCTGTCGGCCCTGGACCCATTAGATGGAGTCCGCTGATGAACCCGTATTCGTCACGTTTAATCCAGTTTTCTTGGCCGTCTAGTGTCGCAAATTCTATGATATGGCCACGTTCAGCCAAGACTCTGCCAATCTCTAATACAGGGCCTGTGAAAAGTCTTAACACTTAATGCCATCCCATCGCCATCGAATGCTCAATAGGAACAAGGAACTTCGATGCCATTTTGTTTCTTACCAGCATGGGTGAATCCTCCCGTGGTGACCACGAGCAATATCTTCCGCGGGGGATGTACTTGCGACCGACTCATTTTACAAACCCCAGATGAGTCTAGACGAGATGCGTGTAGACAAGAGGAATGGAAATGAACAGGGCACGTAGATTAAATGTGGATGCGACTTCGCAAGGGGCAGCGCAGCAGCTTTAAATCTGACAAGCACCGACTCCACTTAGGCGCCTGATTTGGCCCCTGCAAATGAGGGCGTGTGGGCGGGTTTCGCTAGGCGATTCGAGGTGAATCCCGTCCGAGTCGGGTCGCCTGAAATCTGCAATGGAACATGTCCCACTTTCAGGCAAACTTTCCTCGAGCTCAATTCGACCAACATAAGCGAGGGTTTCTATCAATTTTCAGGAGGCCACACATCGGTGTTGAAGGTTCGGAGGTGGGGGCTAGTGAATGTAAAGATTGTGTAGATCCAACTGCCTATATATCAGAGTAAACGGAATCTCTTAATGACCATTTGAAACAGATCATTCGCAAACAAGGTCGCTGTGTTATCGAGAATATCGAAAACCGAGGCTCTCATCTATTCCCGCCCGTTCTGGTGGTCTCGAACCATGTGGGATGATTGTTGCATCCGGTGGACGCCTAAGAAACCCAAAGCCTGCCCACAATGAAACCGCTCAAAGATCATGTATTTAAACAAGAGATGTATTGATAAGTCACTGCTTAGTTTGGAAGTGTATTTTTGAAGACGAGAAGCAATAAAGGCCACGACTATTATCTCAAGCTTTCCATTATCTGGATGTGCTTGGGTCCTGTACTGCTGGTATGTTAGAATGATACGCGCAAGTCATTTATTCCAGAATTAGCTTGGAATCCACCTGGCAGACCACAGGACCACCAATGACGCAGTGATGCCTCTACATTCAGACCGCACAACCAGCTGATGATTGGTTTACAGGAAGATGACTAAAAACATGCCTCTGTGACGGAACTGTGAATATTTCCCCAGAGGGTGTACGAAGTAAGTGGGATGTTGTAACTAAGTTGCTATTCAGAACCGCGAACTGCAAATTGCGAACAAGCCCTTTGAGGGTAGGCAATGGTTGCTATACTGCGAGTCCAGCCGAGCACAGCCCGAGCGTAGAGCGACAGTCAGTGTCGCAGGTCTGGAGCGTTGAGCACAACTCTAAGGGACTTGGAGCCCTTATTAATAGAGACCCATTGGCCTAGAGGTTTAGCAACGGAACCAAAAGAGTGTCGCAGGTGTTCGTTATGGCATTAATGTAAAATTGACAACAGACATGTCCATGATTATTGGGTCCAAAGAGCTGACTAAACATACTAAGTAACAAGTTAGTTAGAACAATCTAGTTAAAAACATCGTAATTTTATAAACCTCTGTGGTTTTAATATGTACAACTGAGGTGTCAATACTTCCGTGGTGATCAAATAAGAGACTTGAAAAAGCCCTGAGCCGTCAGACTGATTCCATTAGTATAAGAACTAGAGTAGTCTTAAAACCAGAGAAAAATCCAAATTTGGCCCCAGGGACTAGCGTCCGAAATATAAGTACTTCAGTAGTAATAAAACTAGAGAAGCCGTAGAGGCTGAATATAAACAGACCATCATACAAATTCCCCGGCTCTTTTTAAGCTTAGCCTGGGATCGCTTCGTGGTTTTATACTACAGAGATATCAATACTTCAGTAGTGATAAAACTAGAGAAGTGAAAAGTAGAGCAGTGCACTGGGGGCGGCAAGCCTGGGTATCAGAAAGAGTGTTTTTTGGCCTGTGTGGTCCCAGGCCGGAAGAGACACATATCCAGTGCCTTGTGGCCAGTCAAGTAATAGAGCTGTGGAGCCGTGTCCAGGCGGGCTTCGAGTCTGGAGATGTGGGTTCGCGCTAGGCAGATGTGGTGGGAAGGCTTTGGCTTTAGGCCCCGGGACCCAGAACAGTTGACTCGAGTCGACCGTCTGGCGGCTGTGGACGCGGATCCACTTTGGACGTACATCCACAGCTCCCAGTCTAGGTGGGCTTTCAAACTGTCAAGTAGCGGCCACCCTAGCTTAGTAACAGCAAAGGCTTCATGTCCTCTGACTACGATCTATGTGGGACCTGCGGCCCCAGGAGACAACAACCTTAGCCTGGAGATGCGTTCTGACCTGAACAATAGGTAGAAGGCGCTGACAATAGTTATGAGCACGAATTCACCAGTGGGTTGCCTGGACCACGCCAGATTTACATTGCTTTAAACAATTCCCAAAGGCGAGATCTTGTGGCAATAGAAGTCATCGAAACCTAGTAGGCCAAGTTTAAGCATGTTTTTTGTTTGAAGGTCACCGTGGTTTGGGCCGGAGGCGTCTGTGATGGAAGTCTTGGGATAGCCAAGGCTGGCCGTTGGGAGGGGATTTTCCCTTGGGATTTCCCTCCCGAACGGGACCGGGACAGGAACGGGACCAATTTCAGGAAATTTATGGGAATTAGGGATTTAAGGGAATATCCCATTCCCTAGAGCGGGATTCCCTCTAACTTCTGTTCGGGAATGGGACGGGAAACGGGACCGAGCTTATAGATGGGAAGGGAATGGGAATATGGGACGGGACTGAAACTCTCCCGGGATCCCGAATCCCGTCCCAACGGTCAGCCTAGGATAGCCTCCGTCTTGTGCATATCACTGACCTAAGCAGATCCTCTCAAGAGGAAATCAGTCTTGAGACGGCATATCCGAAAATGGACTGGTCTTAAGAATGTCTTCACATGACTGCCTTTTGAAGAGCCCAGGTCTCTTAAAAGCTGTCTCTGAGGGTCCCTGGTAACGAATTCACGGCCGACCAGGCCACCCCAAAACACCATACTAAATGCAATATTTCACAACATCATATTTCAACGCTCAAGGCTAAATATATGGACTTAGGGTATCTTGGTCTTGAATATATCATACTAGGTATTTTTCTGAGCTCGAGAAATATTTCGGGGTGTGACAATGTAGATATATATATCTACATCTCGATCGGAGCGTATTTTTGGTAATGCAAGGATATAATCATTTCTAGTATGTCAGTTGTCTATACATTTCTAATGCTAGGAAATCATAGCCTACTAAAAATCAAGTAAAAACATCTTCTGGTTGTTATATATTGTGATCTGAAAAATCGCATTTAGTATGGTGCTTTGGGTGGCCCGGTCGGACGTGAATTACGTTACTCTACAGCGTTGATCCATGCTTCACTCAATCGATCTAGGGTCTATAGTGTCTAGAGGTCCGAAATCGCTCCTTACAGTGGCTTGGTGAAGATGGGCCTTAGGCGTCCCAGCTGAAGCAAGCGCTGTCCATGATGCTGAGTGATGGGAAATCTTGGGCACCTCAGCTAGTGAGCTCTGGAAGGAGAAGCGATAGTCTCAAAGGCTTCCCGTGGATAGGTAGGGTGATGATTCACTTGGCTGGCCTGAAGTGGCTGAGGCTTTGTTGAATCAAGTATAATGTCTGTATTGAATAAGACGATCAGGATTTGGAATCTGGTCACCAGTCAGTGCACGTTAACTCTTGAAGGGCATAGTGGGTTGGTCTACTCGATTGCTTGGTCGCCTGATGGAAGCCGACGGAAAAGAAAGGGAGCGGGTGGGCAGCAGACGGGAAGTCCGGTTGGGCAGGCGGAATTGCAGGGGTGCGGTATTGAGTGCAAGATAGAGGGGATGAAGTGAGGAAAGAAAGAGAACGGGAGGTCGAACAGCCCGGTGCTGGCTTACTCTGGATCCTTCGAGGGATTTCGAGTCTGTTCTAGAAATAGCCGCCATACCAAGCAAAATCCCAGCATGTGGATTGAGTCAAGCGGATTTTAAATGGGAACTCGGCCACTATCGAATCCAAAATCATCACCGTCTCTCCACAATTTTCTCTTCTTAAAACAAAATGACATTCAAAGTCCTCGTCTACGCCCACCGCCTCCCAGGAATCTCCCCAGAAGATTTCAAGCAGCACTACGAAGCACACATCGAGCTCTTCAAGCGCCTGGTCGGCGACGACTTCCCGCTCTCCCACAGGCGCGTCTACATTGCTCGCACGGCCGTCGAAGCGGCGCCAGACGGTGCCTCGGCACGCAACGCGACAACTCCAGCAACCGTGGTTGTCGGCCAACAATCCGACTACGATTATGACTGTCTGGCCGAGATGACGTTCGCGGATCAGGCGAGCTGGGAGGCCTGCGTGGCGAAGGCCTATGCCCCCGAAATCAGTGCGCAGATTGCGGCGGACGAGGATAAGTTCTATGACCGCTCGAAGACGGGGGTGGTCATTGTTGGGGACGTCACGGAGACCACGAAATAAGATAAACAGACTTAGGCTATGATATTGGTGCTGGATGGTACCTGGGTAGATTTAAATGGGGGACGGCGAAGAAGGTCTTTACATGAGCACATCTGACACCAGTGTCACCAAGTACACTGATTATATCTTAAACCCTTATCCAAGGAAATGGATAAACCAGTGAAACCGAAATCTCCACCTTTCCATACATGAGTCCGTTTATCACCGTCGCACTACAGAAGGGTGTCTCGGCTTATGTTGGCGAGGGCGGTGGTCGCTGGTGCGGCGACCACCGCGACGACGCTGCTAAACTGTACCAGCTAGCTGTGGAGAAGGCTAAGCCCGGTTCCATCTTTCATGCCGTGGCCGAAGAGGGTGTGTCAGTGAAGGAAATCGTGACTAAGGTTGGGAACCAGCTTAATATTCCTGTTGTCAGCATCCAACCGGAACACGCCCAAGATCATTTCGGCGGGCTTTATTTCAGCGCACGGCTGACAATGCAGCCTCAAGCATCAAGACGAGGGAGCGGTTGGGGTGGACTCCTATGGCCCCGAGATTGATAGAAGATATCTCGGTTATTATCGACTTCATAAAATCTAGGGCAGCCTAATATGCTGGGCTAGAAATTTTTGCATCACTACGACCTGCGAGAGCAGCTTTAAATTAACTAGACTCCTAAGCGACTGCATCTTCGCAAGTGAAAATTGAGCGAATAGATAGCTACAACACCACCTACTTAGTTCGCTCGTTACGAAGGTGATGCGAAGTTAGCGTGTTCTTACGAACTTTCGAAGTCTCTGAATGTTACAGCCCTGTTATCGCCAAATTTACGACTGCCAGTCAGGATTCTAATTTTTAATGCAGCGTCGCTCGCATGACCAATTATCCTCCGATTTGGTTGAGATACCAATGGGGTTGATTGCCCCTCCCATTGGGAGGTCCCTCATCGAAATGCTAATTACGTTGTCGTAACACCGTGTATCTTAGCCATCCATGGGGTATTTCAACCCGCCCCATGATAGTCGTTCTTTTCTTCAATCAATCATACCCAACCCGCCAGACCCACTTGGGATTTAGTTATACAACCAATCAGCGCTAAATAGTTTTCTCCACACCCCCATTTATGGTAGCAGTCCTGGGTTGAGGGGTACAGTCAAACCTCGTTTAGTCGATACCCCACTTAGTACAATTTCGCGTTTAGACAATAGAAATCTATAGCACCGATTCTCTCTTTTATATGTAAAATCCCCCCGGTAAGACGATATTCACAGTTAGTCGATATTATTTTCCTGAAAGTGGAGTATCGACTAACCGGGGCCGCACGGATAGTTGGCCAATAAGACTTCAGTTCTGATACCTAGCAGAGTAACTGCGGTGCTAAGGCTTTGGTCTGCGGCCATCCACTTCCCCGCTCTCATAGGGACTTTTTGCACCTGAACTACAGATAAAATTCTAGAGAGTTCTTGGTTATCTAAGATTTAAAATATGTAACTAGATAAATCTAGAAATAGGGACAATTGGTTTGCCTGTGATGCTTTTGGACGTATTTTGCGACCCCGACTCGTCGCGAACATATACCCCCTGAAGCCGAAAAGCATAGGGGGTATATCAAATCCCGAGTTCCTTGGCCTTTCAATATGTATATAAACTCAACATTTAGAATCTAAAATGCAGTTTCTGTCGTGACTCAGGCAAGAAGACTGTTCGTTCCATTAAGACCAGCCGATGATATCAAGCTCCATCATAAACAAATCGTTATTCGTGATAGTATGTTAGTATTAACAAGCCGACTGCTTTATTTTATCCTCTGTCCGACTGTCTTCTAATTCAAGGATCCCTCGACTATCACTCAACTCCACTATCGACTCTCCCGGAAGCTCGGCAGCAAAGTGCTGCTTCTGGTTTTTTGGTGGAATAGCCTCAGCCTCTGAAGGCAATTTCTCCATCGACTTTGATTCTCCTGCTACTGCAGCACCTTCGACATTATTATCTTCATCACCACCACCACCCTCTGCCTCCTGCTCTTCGGAAACCGGAGCAGATCGTCGCCCTATACGTCGCGCGAGATAGATTATCGCCCCGATGAGTCCCAGCCCGACCAGAGAGCCCACCACTACCCCGGCGATTTCCCCTCCGCCGAGTGACGACCCCGAGGAGGCACTTGTATCCGGAGCAGACGTACCCGTAGGCGCTCCCGTACCTGTACTCGTGCTAGACGGCATCTCCGTGGTTGTAGAAGACCCGGTGCTCTTCGTTAGAGGCACCTTGAGCTGATCCCAAGTTACTTTCCCGGGCCACCCATCAGCGTCCTTAGTTGTGTACCCAAGCTTCTCCTGCCAACACTGATAAGACTCCCGGTCCGCCTCAGTCCACTGGGGGCCCGGACTCTCTGTGTACTTCCCACAGTCTTCCGCCACCAGTCTCTTTCCCATGGCAGTCACGATCGGGCTGTTAGGAGATGACTTGAACCAGTCGGCTCCGGGGAACGGCTCAAGTTCACCACCAGTGCTCGTATTCGCGCCTCTTAGGTCAATGACCGCGAACCCCCGTATCAGACTACTCGAGTTCTTCGCGAGATAATCTTCGGCCCTACCGCCGGCGCTATCCGTGCAATTGGGTGATCCGTACAGGTAGATCCGCACAATGCTGTCCTCGGCGTCGAATTCGAAATATTTGCCTTTTGCATGGTCGATTGCCTTGCAGGGCTGTGCGCCGGTGCCTTCTTCGACGGTGGGGGTGTCGCTGGCATTTCTCCAGACAAAGGTCCAAGCGGAGATTAGTGGGAGAGAGTAGAGTGCGTATAGAGCTGTGAAGAAGTTTGTGAGTCGGGTCATGTTTGTGATGCAGGTGACAGAAATAGAATAAGTGCGGGAGATTGGCCCTTTAGAAAGAGTTTCAGAAGACCAAGAAAAAACGTCCTGAGCCGGAGATTTAGTGACTTTCGACTCTCCGCGCGTTCAGAACAGGGGTATCAAGAGCATCGTTCAGGATGTTGGATTATTTAGGACGCTGAATCGTTAAGGGTTATTAGATGTAAAATTCCCCGGATTCTCCTGACAGTGAGTTCGGCTCTCCCTTAAATACGGAGTACGCATTAGCCTATTTGTTCATTGGTGGATAGCCCTTCATATTTCTCGCTGTGGGGGCTGACTTGATCTGCGCAGGACCAGCATCTCATACGTTGCTTACTGCAGAATACGAGCCCCCTGCGCGTTCTTGGCATGTTGACCGGCATGAGGTTCAGCCTTGTATCAAAATATTCTCCCGATAATTATTATTCCGCAACAACATGGTCGGCTGCGGATAAGAACTGGCATCCAAAAGCATATGCTCTCACTGGTGTAGGTCCGTTTGGTTTATCATCTTGCAAAGCCTAAATCCACTGGGCTATTGGTGAAAGTATCCCTGGTTGTTTCATGGTTGATACCCCGCTTCACATGTTTGCCCGGATGGACCGTCACGAGACTTGTCACAATATAGGCATACCAGTTGGTATAGTGGTACAATATGAATCCGCAACGGTGCAGGATACCCTGTCCAAGCGCACATTGATGATGAGGCAGGCTGTGAAGAATAGCCATAGGATTTCTATCGCAGGCATCGTATTCATCCCGGTGTGCTCGTATCAAGCGGGAATTCACAGGTCCTTACTTACACAATCAAATATGGGTTTAGGTCCATATCTTGCTTACAATAGTATTTACTACGGATGCACTATATGTGAGCGGTCTTTTGGTTCCAAACTTGCTATTTACGCCCATTGCAGACAGACATTACGAGTTTACGACACGTGTGGCGTGAAAGGTGTTATCAGGTGTTTATTTAAACTCCGGCCAAACATGCGCATCTTCGAGAGTCCAGCAGACATAATATCTGTTCTATCTGTCCGCAGTCACCAGATTTTGAGACCAATGAAGAGCTTGAAGACAATTTGGTAAAATCTCATTACCTTTGTCCCGATTGCGAGATTTACTGCAATTCTATTTAACAACTTCAAGAACATGATATTACCCAGCACCACCTTTGTATCAAATGTGGTGACTACTTTGCAAACAAGAACAATTTACAAATGGTAGGGGACCAAGTAAAGTTAAATTCCTCAGTTTTTTTAATTCTAACGGAGTCTTCTCTTTAGCACCAACAGAAGCATCAACCTCGAAACATGGAATGCTACGGTTGTTACTAGAACTTTAAGTCTCTGTCCGGGAGGTTAATCCTTCTGGAGTCTGGAAATTGCGCGTCAGGTGTTACTGAGGAGGAAATCGATAATATAACCCACGAGTTTGCCAGAGCTGGAAGTATATAAATGATGATCTTAAAGATGGAGGGTGACTATACAAATGTCCAAGCTGCGAGAAGGAGTTCTTAAAAGCTTTCTGCACTTTACCAACATGTTGAGGATGTTCCACTTTGTTCTTCTCCTCTGAATAGCGCCTGTGTGAGTAAGCTAGAATATTACATTGCGAGCAGACTGTAGTAGCCTTAATAAGTCCTCCAATGAGCCCTTTGTTCATTAACTGTCTTCAATACTTTTAATGATATCATCAACAATGCGGCGTGCCTCCACCTCTTTATCTTCGCTATATGAGATCCTTTGCTTAAATTCAACGAGACCTGCCACCTTTTTAAAACAATGGCATCCATAACAAACTATTCCATCTCCTCCAGTCGCACCTCCAAATTGGAGTCTCACTCCAGGATGGTAACGCTTGGATCGCACACCACATGGAATGCAGAAGCGGGACTTTCTCTCTGGAGATAAGGTAGGGGATAATTTTCTACGACGGCCCTTCATCATTGCATTGGAGAAATATATTGCTGACCGGATCTTCAAACAGATATGGCAGGCATAATAATCAAGTCGTGGTATTGGTTGGTTAATGCCCTCTAATTGTTGTCCCCTAGAGAGGAAAGGCCATCGCTCCATCTCGAGAATATCCATCATGGTGTAGGCTCCAGAAGATCTGTTTTCCTTCACAACCGAGTAAAGTGATTTGTACGTCCATTGCAGCGATAATTTCGACGAATAGTCAAGGTCACGCAAAATCATACCGAGGAGTGCGGGTGGTAATGATACTAAGTAGACTGCTATTGTTAAAGAGCGAGCCATGATAGATATGTGTCAGTAGCTCATAATATGTATTCTGAGAATTTTTGGCTTTCAATCAGTTGCTGAATTTGACCAGCAGAATGACTCTATTTAGATGAAGTCTAACTAACCAACCTCTGCCAATAAACCTCTAAAACGTGTTTGGCTGCGGATGGGTTCTGACGTGTGATTGTTAATGTATCCTATTGGTGAAGAATACAGATAGGACATGTGTCCTGTCACCACCATTGTTTAGTTCCCCACTTTATCGAAGACTGAAGTACAGGCTTTAGCTGTAAAAGTACTTTCTAATATATTTGTCTGGAAGGGTATACCCTCCCAAGGTAACTTGTAAGATTAAGACAAAGATTTTCAACCCTGCCGAACTGTCAATATTATCTATATCTCCTCATTGCATCACCCTCAACACAGGCTACTAAGCCCTCCACCACCTCCAGTGTCATTCTTTCTGGGTTCAGCACAGTGTCCCACGTCCCAATCGGAAGGCTATTTGACAAACGTCCAAAATTCCGGACTACCCTAATGCCACAGCTCCTGTCGTCGTCCTGTTGCGGAGTGGGCTTCCGTCGTCGGCGTTTATTCTGGATTTCGTGGGCCTAGAGATAAAACTTACGGTTTCCTGATAGGAGAATTCCAGACCACCAAATTACTCCTTGATTAATCGCGACATCCGCGTCTCCTTGACGCCTTGAACGGTATCAGCCTGGGCCATCGATCGTAGTGGCGTATTGCAGCTCGTTCATTGATCTCAACTAACGTAAAGTGATTGTTATTATGATTGATTGGTGTAAACACAAAAGCTCAGAGGAAGAACATGCGTTATTTCATTGATTAGTGTGAAGTTTGAGATTGAAGGTGGACGAGGTCAAACGCTCGAAATATGGACGAATGAACTAGGGCGACTGCCGAGAATCACTTATGCAGTTCCGACCTGTATGAGTGCGCAACAATTTTTAGCAGCTTTTGCCTTAGTATCTGTATTCACTACTAATCTAACTTTAAAATTAAGAATACGGAAGTAGATACAGTCTACTAGATCTCCGCAATTTACATAGTTGGCTGTACTGGCCGCTGTATATATCCCGTGGGTTAACCGATCGACCCATGGACCGGGGTCCACAATAACCCAGCCCATTCCTTGACGGGTTGGGCCGGGTTTCCTGGGCTGGGCCTAACAAGTCTACTCAAATCCCACCCGTTGAAGCTTCGAAAATCACAATATTACGGGATGAGATAGACGGGGATCTTCCTCGACGGCCGAAGAAAGTTTCAGTTGGATCTAGTGCGATACGGTTCTACAAGCCCACCTACTGCAGCGAACAAGCGGATCGTGAGATATTGGCATTGGTTCATATTAAGTCCATGGCGGCCTGGCAAACGTTGTACGCACCCCTACGTTACATGAGTTAGTAAAAGGCCAGTGGGGACATTCAAATATCTCAGGGATTTAAATACATTAAGCATCGCGATGCGTTAGCGGATATCGATAGAGATGTTACACCTTGGTCTGTTCGTGTAAAGTGGAAAAATCAACTGCAAAATATGATTCAAAGGTTACAAGCCGCAGGAATTATATGGGGTGATGCGAAGCCAGACAATGTATTAGTTGATATGGACGACAATCTTTGGATCATTGACTTTGCGGGAGGTGTTACGGAAAGATGAGTTGATAAGGACAAGGCCTAATCTCGCAAGGGAGATCTTCAAGCGTTATCCAGGATTACTGAAATTCTCGACCCTACAGGTCTTGCTGTGTAAGAGTCGATCTTTGTCTATCATTCATAGCCTACTTGTGAAACACCGTATTCCTAAGTTTTAAATCGTAGTCATCCCTGATCGTCCCCAGTCTGGAAAATTCAATTACAGTAACATGACCATATTCAGCCACAGCACCACGGAACGAGTGACGCCAGGCATTTATTATTGTAAATGAACAGCCCTACCGTCACTTTTGTACGGTTGATGATTTAGGATTTGAAAGTGAGAAATTAGGCCGGTGACAGAGCGACAGTTAACTACGATTCTCGGATGGGGTTGATTCTCGCCTAACCTTGGAGCTTCGGCCTCGTGTTCCTTTCAAAGCTGTATGTGCTGTTGTCTGATCTTTTAATGTCGAGAAATTGACTTGTACTAAGCTGCATGGCTGTGTTCTCTGGTTTTATGCAGCCTACTCCGTCTTGGTATGGGATGTCAAAGGATTACCCCACAGTGAGTGAACTCCTTGATTATTATCCTGAAATATCACATGTACTCAGTTATCAAATATCAATTAACATTTATCTACTTAACATCCATCCTCTTTTCGCCATTAAATGATATGTAAATTGAATATCTTAAGTGCATCATCTCAATTTTTCACCCATTTGCCATCTACGAGGCTTGCAATCGAATAGCTGCTCCAATACGGCCTGCACATCACCAGCGTACATAAGTACAACTCCTTTGGCTGTCCTTATCCCCGAGGTATATATATTTGTCTCGTGATTGTCAGATTTTGGCCTCTTCCTAGAATCGTACGAGATACGCACATCCTATAACTACCTGTCCTTGTCTCCCGTTGATTAAAGCGGGATAATCATAACCAAATATCCCAGCCTTCGAAGTTTCATCTCATCCAGTAGGTAACAGCTCGCTTGGCAATAAAGGGCGAACAAATTGTCTCTGTATACTCCCAACGATTTGTAGCGGTCTCTCAAGAGCATCAGCACACCTACTATCATCCCTACTCGCGGTTATAATACCTGTTCATTAAGAATAGCAGCAGCTTCCATCCTACATCACAACGCACCCGTCTACTCCCTCATTCGTCTTTGTGCGCTGATTGAGGCTTTTTATCCTGGTCCCCATTTCCTCGATATCCTTCCAGTAGATATGAGTCATAAAGCCTACTCGCGGGTTCTGGAACTCCCTCGCCATCGTCTGCAAGCACTCATTATCCTCCCCTGACAGCGCCATCATTGTAAGCCCGACCCTCTTATGCCATCTCCACTCGCGCTCAGTCTCGTAGGCGCGCACGTACAGCGGGTTTTTCAGCCGGCGCAACTCCTCCTCTATTTGCATGAAGAGCATTATAAAGCGCGCCGTAACCCAGACGTAGTTAAGACTTAACAGTGGCTGTTCACCGCATACATCTGCGAAGATGTCCCATTTCAGAAGCTCTAACAGCTTTTGTCCTGTAACTTTGAGGTCATTGTGCACGTCATTCGGATGCGTGGCCCCACCAGTTCTCTTGCTGAGTTCCGGCAGCCGTTGTCCCTTGGAAGAAGAACCAAGTAAATTTTCCGGGAGACGCACATCATCGTTTGCTTTCAGCCGGCCTAGTAGAGATAACAAGTCTAAAAGGGCCAATTCGTCCATACCTTGGGCTCTCGCACGGTTGACTAATTCGGTATCTTCCAGTCGTCTTTCGCCTGTCATCGGACCGATAAGCTGCTTCTTTTGGCCAAGGCGGGCCATGCCCAAGAAAGAGGTCACGCGAATGTCGCTGTCAGCAATGCGCTCAGGGTCCCAGTCAACCTGTCGATAGAGAGTCAGAGTTGACTTGGTCCTGAAGAAGCGATTCGCATTGACATCCAAGAGGCCGTGAATGTCTACAGCAGAACGGGCGGCAGTTCGCGCAGTAGCCTTTCGTTCGAAAATAAGCCGGCGGGATCCAGTTTCGTTTATCCGCGCAAGAAGAGCCCCGGCAAAGTTCGATGTGGGGACTTTGCCAGCACTAAAGAATGAGCTTGGAAAGAGTTCCTCAAGGGATGCGTATAATCCAATCGGCTTTGTAATATAACCTTTCTGTAGCAGCATATTATGAAGGTGTATTAGCAACACGGGCTCGGGGATTCGATCCCAGATCTTCATGTTCAGGAGGTACGTAATTTCCAGGCCCTCTATTAGACCAACACCACAGAGGAACGGTGAATATTCCCAGAGGCCGTTTGTGCTGGAGAAGCAAGACAGAGGGATGGTCTGCAAGCCGTGCATGTAGTTGGATTCCCCTAGCCAATTAATAAAGTCCTCTTGAACGCCCTGGAGCAACTCGGACTGTGCTTGATGGCGATTTGGGTCTGCGTGCAGTATGCTATCTTTTTCTAACAGTTGCCTGAGCACATCCACTCCGTTCAGATATCCTGAGCCAATCATCTCGTTGTTCCGATCCAGGAAGAGATCGACGTCTCGTCTTGGTCGGAATCCCCGCGCCGGAGGACTAAGAATATGGCCTCTAAGTGTACTTAGTGACCATCCGCGTGACACTGTCAGGGAATCGACGATGGACTGGAGTTGGAACACATGATGAGGAAGAATTTTGTCACGGATATCTGTATTTGGCTGCTGCATTGCAAGAGAAGTAATGGTACCGGCGAACTTGTTCAAGCCAAAGAGCCTCCTGTGGACACTCCAGGGGCCGTTTATAGACCAGTCTATCTTGGTGTAGTCGTGATTTTCGCCCTTTATGGTGTTGCGTTGAACAACGATAGATAAAAAGACGTTGACTAGGTTGTAAAGCCAGTTTATAGTGTATAAACGTCGCTATTTAATCCTTTGTTCTTTGTTGGCTTGTCGAAGATCAAGCTAAGGGTCCCAGTTACGAATTTCAGCCAGCATGCGCTTAGTTGGCTTCCCACTTCGGGTCTTCTGGAAGTTAGTGATAAAGTCGAGGAGGTCTTGATACGCATGTATCGAGAATTGCTCTTTAATATCAACTTTATTTTCCTGAACCACTTCACCCTTGGCGGAATCCGGTGAAATTTTGAGAATGTGGGCAGAGAACATGGTCTGGGCTTTTTCCGGATCACCCCGCGTGATAGTTTTCATGACCGTCTTGTATAAATCATGGCCGGGAAAATCGACAAATATGGCAGATTGCGTTCGCTTAACCATAGTAATTGCGACATTACACAGGGTCCCAGCAATGGCGCTGTTGAGGCCGTCGTATGCAACCTCATGCCACAGACTCTGGAGGTAATCTCGAAGGTCAGCCCATTCCTGTACGAGTGTATAGACAGCCATAAGGTAATCTGTGATAATTCCATCCTTATCTTAAATAATACGATAGCTTTCCAAAGGAACATCATCCAGGTTTCGCTCCTCGAAGCCTGCCTGTTTTTGCCTTTTTTTCACTTTCTTCCCCCTACTCTTCTTTCCTTTGCCCGACTTCTTCTTTTGCTGGCGTCTTCGAGGAGCCGCGACAGGCTTGAATTCCTTGTCAGGCTCTCCATTACTCATCTCATCACCCTCTTCGCTAAGCTCTTTAGTCTCCCTCAGATTGAGCACATTGAACTTATTAGTGAAAATAATTTGTTTAAGGTTCTCTTTATCTTCGGACTTGTCGCTGTTAGCCTTCTGTTTTGATACCCAGTCTTCACCTCCAAGAGCTTTAAATGCTTCGGTTAGAATATTAATAAAGTATTTATAGGAAGCATTGCTCCTCTCTATTTCAGCATCTGGATTCTTGGCCACAATTCCCTAAAATACTTCATGGATAGCGGTTCTAGCCTCTATTACCGACTGGAATAAGCGATAGATAGTTAACGGAATAGGGTTGATGTGCTTTGCTATGAGCTTGGACAAAGACAAGAGACCTGGCACTGTTATCAGACCTGTAGTGTTCAATTCGCTTGGTGCATCATCTTCTAAGTTTAGTAAGGACTTGATAATAGCATTCGAAGCACGGATGATCCAGTACACTAGATGTCTGGTATCCCGCTTGTATGCAGTATAGGAGTTGTATGTTGTCATGATGCATTTGATATACAAGTTGGCAGCTCAACGCCTAATTAATTCTTCTCACATCACGGTCCCCTTGAAAGACCGGGGGTGGAATATGTGGGCCATTTTTGGCGCTAATACGCAATCCAGTAATGCGCACTCTCACATGACACCTACCGAGCTGTTGTGGTGATGGGTTGTAGATTATCCGTGCCTTCGCCCACCCACACCGCTTCCCGCTGTGGGTGCGCCACACTGTAACCGTCATTAACACTGTCACCGTCAATTTGATGCTATTTATCACGGGCTAGTAGCCGATTCAACCTATATAATAGATTTGGACTAAAAGAACTCGCTGAGGAGCTTCGCGGCAGCCGAACAGGTAAATGTGTGTGCGGTAAACTAGATCACGTGGTCGAGAGAGTTCTCCGCGAGTGCCCAGTATAATTACGGGCTCGAGCATTTTGCGGGTCCTGCCCGCTACAATTACTTTCCCTAAATTAATCAAGAACTAGAAAAATTCTCTAACTGTTGGTAAGCTGCGGTAAAAACTCGGACACTCACTTGCATTAACTGACTAAATAGTCTAACTAAGTTGGGAAAGTTAGTAAGGCGGTGTAAAGGTTTGGTAAGGTAATAAAAAATTTAGGTCACGCAAAGTGGATTAAATACAGATCTGTGGGCGGCACATCACATGACCTCCAAAAGCGGTTAAGCTATTTGCGCGAGGTCCGGCCCACTCGCTGACCTGTAGTCACTATCGATTGTCTAGTAGCGATCAGCATATTGTTATTGGCTGACTAGTATTGACAAGTCTTGGCATACCCCACAATAAGTCAGTCCACGAAACAGAGATGAAATAAGGCCAAATCAACTATGTTAGGTGCCTGCAACGAGAATACTAATCATGGAGAGGAAAGGAAGAGAATTAAGTTAAGCAAAGGAGTAGATATCCCCATACCATTTCCACTGCTCCTGCATGACTAAACCTAGTAGATAAAACAAATAACACAAAACTGACAACGCAAGCTGACAATGCACCAGTCGTCACAATGGCTCATATTGCTTTTTCCTATCTCTGTTGTGCCTATCACATATACAAACATTCCCCCAGCTGGGCTAGCTAGGGGGTGCAACATGCCTGCCTTGCAGTAGAGGTTGGCGCAGGGTAGGTTGGTTGGCTAGGCTGGGCAAGTAGGAAACAACTTAAGAAGTTTCTTAATAGGCACTGGGAAGTTGTCACAGAAAGAATTTCGATTGAAGGAAGGGAATGCATTCGCTAGATCAGTTATCACGCTCGCCAATGCAACTCTAGCTGGTACAGCGAGCGCAATACTCTGCCCGTGGAAAGTTACAGGCGCTTTCCTTCTCATCAACTGCAGCAGGATCTGTAGTATGCCCAGGGCCAGACAAGCGCCCGAGCTATCTCCTGCGAGCACTATCGATGATGGCGGGATGGATGGCTTTGGGTGGGGACCGAGGATACGGTGCCAGCAGAGTAAGATACACCTATTTCAAGGAGTGTACACTCCGGCGTTGTGGTAAAGAGATCCATTGGATTTACGGCTTTTCCTATCTAGAGATCGTGAGTGTACACATCCTGAGACTCGTCCTGAGTCGTGACAAAGCCCATCGCACGAAACAACCGCATGGTCTTGGGCTCCTGCCGGGTACACAACACCACCCCTTGCGCGCTGAGATACTCCGTGATGACCTGGTAGGCTCTATCCTCCTCCGCGCGATGTACCTTGACTTCCAACTCCAACAGATGCAGGGACTGGACGGCCACATCGTCTAAGACAGCCCTGTATCCCTCGACTCGCAGCGTCTTCCACTTAGGATTTGGGTACGGACCGTAGCCAACGAGTTTCTCCCAGGTGATGTCGCTCTGGAAATCCTCCGCCAACTCCCTTTGCCTTGTGGTCCAGAGGTGGGATATTTTAAGAGGATCTTGTCGCTTGCACACAAAGGTTGTCTCATCACCATACCGATCCCATCGGCAGACCTTCGCGTGATGGCGCATATGAGATTTCGGTACCGCCGGCTGAATCTTCACCACAGAGATCTCTCGACCACCGCGAACTTTGGTTCGAAACATGAGCCCCTGGTGTGTGTACACCGGGGGAGAAGTATCATAGTAGGTGATCGGGTCCAGTTTGTCCGGGTTGCGGCCCACGGCGCCCAGTTTCGTCAACACCGTGTGAGGATTCGCTTCGCAGATCGACCATTGAAGGCTGACTTGGTCTTTGATTTTGGGCCAGCAGCTGGAGGGAGCGACCAGAGAGAGCAACGCAACAAGCTTGGGAGGCCTCATGGTTGGATGTAGGAGGGAATCAGTCGTCGACACAGAGATGGATGGATGAGAGAAAATCGCGTCTGCTCCGTGCTCTAGTGTATGATTTCGTATTGACGCAGATTATTATAAATTGGACCTTTGCATAGTTACACAAGAAGATCGTCAAGCCGTAACATATCCTACGGGTGGGTTCGGGCCGTAATGATTCATTCCCTTCAATGAAACCCACCCACAAACCTCAAGTCTCAATGGGTCATGGTAAGTTCTAGCCTTCGTATCCCAATTTTAATACCAGAAGCAAAATTATGTGCCCTAATATAGCATATGAATTTCTCTTTTCAGCAACACTCCACTGGTTCGGAAGTCAATTGGAAAGTATATTACGTCAGGACTTATTTTGTGATAACTATGGCTGCGTTTAGCGTTTCTCAAACCATAACTGTCGCATTTTTCAGGCTGACTCAGCTATTCACTGCATTCCCCCCATTGCGGGATTGTGGGATTGGCGCGCCGCGTTTCTACGTCAGGACTGTCATCCACGACGAAATCCGTTTCCGCGACAATAATGGCTATCATCGACTATCTCGAGACTTTGTGTGTGCACCGGTCCGCCGTCTAAACAGCCTGCCTCACACTGGTCCACAACTCACCCCGACTATCGAACATTGGGCACGTCACACGCCCTCTTAACCACCACCCTGTACAGCCCAGCCCCAGATCCCCTCTATTCCTCCCCAATGGCGCCCATGTCATCAGCAAGCTCATTTCGTTCCTACGCACGCAATACCTCCAATACGTACTCCGCGAAGTCCTGACCCCAACCATCTACAAGGGTTCCTAGTGGGAGGTCTCGGGCCACTGGCAGAACTACTGACGTGTACGAGGTCCGCGGATGCGGAGCGACCGGTGAATCCAACGGGGAATCGGCGAGAACGAATCGTACGGACAGAAAGCGATGAACTGCCCCGGCTACTGCCTCCTATCAAGCTGCAAAATCATTCCTATCAAGAAGTCCCCATCCAGTATGCCGATTTCAGTCCCCTCCGTCGAAACGAATTCTCGGGTTCCCTGAGCGGGTTGACCCGGGTGCGTCGATTCCACCAGGACGACGAGCATATCCTCTGCCGACCGCAGCAGATCAAGGGAGAGATCGCGTCGATGCTGTGGTTTGTTGCTCTGGTGATAACGACCTTTGGACTGGGTCCCTACCGACTGGTGCTCTCTAGGAAACTGGAGATGGATTTCATCGGGAGCTTGGACCTGTTGAATAGCGCCGAGGCTTAACTGCGCGAGGCGCTGGAGAATAATAGGAGAGAGTGGGCTATAAACGAGGGTGACGGGGCGTTCTACGGCCCCAAGCTCGATATCCAGCTGCAGGACCAATCAGGCAAATATTATCATCTGTCGACTGTTCAGCTGGATATGAATATGCCCCAGCCGTTTGGGCTGGAGTATTAAGTCGCCGATGGAGAAGAGGACTGTAATCCGGCAACTTCAGGTCGAGCGATGCCTGCGCTGATCCACCGGGCGAATTTTAGCTCCTTGGAAAAGTTTCTCGGCTGCTGATCGAGCGATACGCCGACGATGGTCGTTCTGGCTATCGCCGCGTCAAGGCGTTATCCTCACCGTTAACAGGATAAATCGGTTGTGCGGCAGGCGTACAACGTGGCGGCAAAGATCTCAGGGTTCGGTATGCTACAGCACGATCAGAATACGGACGCACCACCGCAGCCACTGTCCGCCATCAACTCGATGTTCCTGATCGACGTGGCTAGGGGCAGTCAGACGCAGGGGAAGAAGATGCAGCGTGCCAAGCAGATGAAATATAACTATATTTTCATCCTGGGTCCCAAGGATGTTGCCGAACCTCTCGTCACAATGGATATAACCAGCCAAGTGCAGTGCAAGCCGACTGGGAGTACCCAGAAGCTGCAGGACATGATTCCTGCCGATTGGGAGAGCAGGCGCTACAGAAATCCCGGGCCATTCCATGAAAAATCGATGCCGTGCATGATCTTCAGGTGGAATTAGAGAAGGGGTTTGTATGATACGACTTGCTTTGAAAACTGGACGATAGATGGACTTGGTTATATATTTCCTAGAGAAAAATGAATAATTTGATGATTACCAGAAGTATGTGTTTTTATGCTATCCGGCTCGTTCAAACTTTCAATCATTGCTAATTCCAAATATCCATCCATCTCAGCTCTTTTATACCGACCAGGATACTTCTCCAGATTTCTCTCCATCGCCTGAATACCCAAGGGCCACAGGACAGAACAGAACCTTCAACCCTCTATCCTCGTAAAAACCAGCGTACAATTCTTTGGCCTCAGAATTGCCTTCCGCAATACCAGTCAGCTTATAATCAGCATTGTCCCCTACCAAGAAATAATTCTCTCCCACTCACATTTATCAATGAAAACGAATACTCCGAATCCACCCTCCAGGCACAGCCTCTTACGAGCTCAGCAAGCCCAACCCGAAGTTGCAGCAGCGCGAACTCCATCCCCAAGCATCGTCTATGATACGCATTGAAAGGAATATAGGTGCATTTCGCCTGAGTGCGACGTACCTTGTCCCTTATAGCATGGATATCGTGACCCCATCTGTCGGGTTGGAAGTCGTGCGCTGCCGCGCCCCAGTTCTGGGGGTCTGTGTGGACGCCGTACGCGTTCCATCCCACCCACGTGCCCTGGGCCACAGTCAGCGTGTCATCGAGAGGGAAGGGCTGCAGAGCTACGCGGTTGGTTAGTTGACTAAGGGGTGGGTATAGCCGGAGGGTTTCATAGATGACTGCGTTGAGATACGGTAAGGTCTTCAGCGTTTCTGGGGAGGGCGGGGAGCGAGGTGCGAGAGACGATAGGATCTCTTGACGGAGCAATTCCTGCATGTGGGTGTGACGACCTAGTTCCCACATGGCGGATGTGAGCACCGACTTCACATTTTCGTGGCCGGCGATGAAGAGAATCTTCAAGTTGGAGCGGTAGAGGAGATCGGATATCTGTCCCGTACGGTGGGCTTGTTGGAGGCGGTGAATGAGCTTGTCTGGGCGAGATGATGATGCTGATGAATCTTTGCATGGAATCTGGTGATTCTCGACGGCGTTGAGTAGCGTGTCTTCGAAATCGGTAACCAGTGCAACGGCACGACGTCGCGATGGGAGAAGCTTGCAGATCCTCTCGAGTAAAGGGAACGCCGCGTAGAATGGTCCACTGAGCTTACCGAATAATCTCTGGAAGGCATTTCCCACTCTACTGAATCCAGTCTCCAGTGCCGCGAAGTTCAAATCCAGAAAATATTCTCCGCAAATATCCACAGACCAGTTCTCCACGAGCGGGTCGATGTTAACACCGCGTCCGGGCGGCTTCTCGGCCTGACATTCCAGGACACGGGAGACCAGCTTTGTAGAATGTCGTATCATGAACGAGACGTCGACCGATCTCTGAAGAGCTGGTTTAATGATCAGGGTGAGGTTCTTCCATACGGTCCCGCTGGAGGTGATGATATTCGGTCCGAAGAGACGCGCGAAGATTCCATGGGGTGTTTTCCTGTAGAAGCCTCCCTTCGCGATGATACTCTCATTCCGGAATATCCTGGACAGGTATTCGGGATTCGTGACGAGGAGGGTCCATCGACCGGCGTTCCAGGTATAGATGGCGCCACCGTGCCTTTCGAGTAACGGGCGCTGGCGCAGGTTGTAGATCGCTATGGGTCCGCTGCCTTGCCAGCAGTCGTATAGGGTTTGGTAGAGAGGGACTGAGAGGAGGGCGTTGTGGGCTTTGGAGCGGGTGACTATGCTCTGGAGAAGTAGTACGGCGGTTAACAGGAGGCTAATTTGGATGATCATATTTCATTGAAGGTTTGTTTGTGACGTGTGGAACCAGAGTGTTGTTGGGGATCCTGGCTGTTTTGCGGTGTACGGAGGAGAGTGAGGATGCCCCCTCTTTACTAAGCAAGGGATGCCATTTATGCATGGACAACCCTTTTCATTGATCTGGCCATGAGGAAAAGGTTATTATTGCCAATAGAGGAGCACTGTGTGGGTCTGGGGGTATGGGAGGAGGTGTATGTATCAATCCCGATGAGATCCGACTTCTTTTAAGACGGGGGGCACTAAGCATTGAGATCCAATCCTAGGAATTTTCTGAGAGATTTTGTATGTTCTGGGATCCATTCTATATAGCACCGGTCGAGTTGTCCATGTGGTTGCTCTTCCCGGCACTTATGGAGCTGCGTCGACATAGTCTATTATGACGCTCCAGGCTGAATATACGTATATTCAACGGGCAGAGTGGCTCGCACGCTGGATCGGGATTTGTTGGGTGACAATCGCACTGCGTGTTGCTGTAAGGGATGAGCACTGAATCGATCAATCAGTGCAACCGGCCAATCGGAAAAGGCAGGAATCTGAAAAGGTTAGTAAAATATGCTGGAGAACCCTCCATGTTCTAAACTAGGAAGTTCTGTAATTTGACCTGTAACCGCAAGCTGGAAAACCTTGCAGCACAACTTGGACTGGGATGGAGGGAATGATAGCGCCCTTCTGGCAAAAGACTCTCTCTCTGAAGTGCTCTTAAATAGCATTTAATCCATACCTCTTCAACCCTGGCCAGCCACTTTGTCAATTCAATGAGGAAAGAATGCGCCTGAATGCAGTTTTCTGGATACCAGCTATACTGCAGGGTGCAGTATTTGCCCCTAATGGGGTTTATGGGAGCCAGGTGAGAGCACAGTTACTGGATTTTGGTGATACCGAGTTCGTCTACTAAGTGAAACCTCCCATAGGGAGGCAATGACATGTTTTCAGTCAATGATTTGCCCCAGAGGTGCGTTTTGCGTGAATCCAAGAGTCTAGGGTGGCAATGCCTTGTTCAATCAAGTTGTATACTAATATTCTGTCTGGAAGACAGACCGGACATGTGGATGTTGCAAGATGTGCAGTCCCATAAACGCTGGCTTTCCAATATTATCGAAGACGTGGACCGGAACCCGCGACTCCTGCACCCTGTGATGAAGGAGTTCCAGGAGTTCATTGAGACCAACCCGCGTATCTATATGCTCTTCAGTGCCATGTTCCAGGAGATTCCCAATGCTCCTCTGTATAGCAATGATCTAAACGGCTATCCCCGCCTTCGAGACTATCAGCATATGTTACAAGTCTTGAATTCTGTGGTGGGAAGCGCACCCAGTTGGAACAACACATCTCCTCATCCCAGCTTTATGCCAGTCCCCATCAATGCTGTCCTGGCATGGGCCATGGGCACCCCTAGTGGCTTTTCTGCATTTATCGACCCTGCAGTAAACGTCATGCTGAAGAAAGTGCTAGATAAATGGGGCACCTATTTGCAATCACCCGCATCTGCGTCGGTCTTAGACGGCGGCCCAACGGGCTGGTTAGGTGAGACCGCAATACACAACTTGACCGTCGTTGGGAATGCGGGGCGAACCAACTATACCTTCTGTGAGATGTATGTTTGTGACCCAAGGTCTCCACACCATGGTTTCGGGTCCTGGGATGACTTCTTCACACGCTCCTTTAGAGAAGGTATTAGGCCTGTGGATTCGCCGGATGATAACAGCGTTATCGCAAATCCATGCGAGTCCCAGCCCTACAATATAGTGCAACATATTAAAGCCCGTGACGAGTTCTGGCTGAAAGGACAAACATATTCGGTCATTGATATGCTAGGACAGGATCCCCTGGCGGACCATTTCGTCGGTGGTGTAATCTACCAAGCCCTTCTCACTGCAATGAGCTATCATCGATGGCATGCTCCCGTGTCAGGACGGATTGTTAAAGCGTATGTTATCCCCGGGACGTACTACTCTATACCCCTATCCAGAGGAGTCGGGAATGTATTCAATCACTCCCAAGAGATCAACATAGCAGGCCAAATGGACGCGTATGCATACACAACCGCAATGGCCACGCGGGGTTTGATATTTATAGAGTCGGACAACCCGGACATTGGGATAGTAGCCTTTATTGGAGTAGGACTGGCTGACGTGTCCTCTTGTGAAATTACCGTGAAAGCGGGGGACCGTGTCAAGAAAGGGGACGAGATAGGCATGTTCCATTACGGCGGTTCGACCTCGGTTTTGATGTTGAGGAATGGGGTAAATGCCACTGGATTTCCCATGAGAGGAAATGTTAATATACCAGTTCGAAGTCGGCTGGCGGTTGTGCAGTGATATTAATGACAAAGTGATATTGCTGTACATACACAATTGCGGGCTTCTAATGATAAGTTTCTCCTTTCCATGACATAGATTATTGTACCGCCCAAGATGATTGGGATGACGCTTTCCCTCTTTCCTTCATACCCTGCCTAAGATGTTAAAGTGGATATCTGGTGATTGTAACAAGTTTGTGGCTGACAGTCACGATGACCTTCTCAGACCACCAACTCGGCGGTTGTTACTCTGTTTTAACATCCAGGATTTCCTCATGGCTACCCTCAGGGCGCTGTGGCATTGATTGCTCTGGTTCGTTGCAGGTGAAGCCTCTCTGGAATGGGCGAGTCAGGGCGACCCTGAACATGTAGCTCTGATGCACGAAACATTGACAATTGAAAATGCCATTTATAGAGGACTGGCTCTATTTTTTGCCTCCTACAATCTAGTTGGTGGCGTCTCAACCTGGGCGATTCATTCGTTATACATTTTATCGCTGCATTGTCCCCGGGCCGGAGCCATACGGACAACCCAAGCCCTGATACTGATCACTACTATTCCCGTCACACAACATCCCCAGTAACTCAAGAAAAACAAATCCCCTGGACAGCCTACCATGGTTCTTAGACAACGCAGTAGCGTCACAAAAACATTGCGTTCTGGGTCAAAATAGCATTGTGGAATCGCTGCTTATTGTTCTCCGTCAACGGCGATGTGTGCTCGAGATCTGCTGCTGCGAGATGCAGGTCATTACCTCTGTTTATAACTTTGCAACGACTCCCGACAATGCTTACCCCAGGAATTACAGCATCGCTATCAGATTATTGTCCCGTGAGATGACGAAAGTCTCTGCGGATGGTTCTAAAGACCTAGAGCACTCCATATTCTGCGTATATGAGTCCTGGGGTGATCGGCTGGTCCCCAGTGCTACTTTGGCTAATATGAGGACGCTTTACAAAGAGAGACTTGCCTGCGGGCGTCAATCGCGTAACCCATTTTGGTTGTGTCTGGTCGTTGTTTGCGCTATGTTTCTGGATGATTCACTTTCTGACCTGACGAAGTTCTCGTATGGCAATGTGCAATATCGCGCCGCATTGGCAAATTGTCTATGGAAAATATAGTCCTTTATACTACCCCACGAGTCCTACAATTCAGAAACTGCTCTGATGGGCGAATGCCGTACTGCCATTAAAATCGATGAACTTGCTTCTTTGGATAAGAGTCTTTGCAATTCCCCAAGCGTCAACTATTTTAAGCTCAGGATTAATGTCTGAAGTGACTCTGAACAAGACCCTTCAACTAGCCAAACTCTATTATTACCTTCAGCAATTCCTTATCTTACTGCTGTCGTCTGGTTCTACTTCACATACGTATTCTGAAGAATATGAGAGAAATGTTTGAATAATTTAGGGATACCTTCTAGAATACTGCTATAATAATATATAATAATCTGCACACCCTATGAGCCACCCAGCCAGATTTGGGTACCTTTTCCCGAATACAAGGAGTGCCCACGGGCCAATCTATCTTTGTTTCTATTCTCTGTGCCAAAGTGAGCTGCTTTTGGTCCACCGAGTTTCCTTGTCTCGTTCTTCCACTTGCTTGATAAACGCTGCCGACCTCTTACGCAGTTGTCAACTGGAGTGTCCAAGCCCACTATGGAATTATCCCACTCTTCCTGCATGTCACCGATATCCTTCAGGGTTTCCTGCATGTATTGGAACACATCCATTGATGGGGAGAAGCTCCAAATTGACCAAGCTTATCCCCTTCAGTTGACAAGCGTGCCTGCTTTCTAGTGTCGCTTGGATGATGCCTTCAGATCTTGTTGCTGTAGTAGTAGTATTAGTAGTAGTAGTATTCATACTCGGATCTGCCGGCGCTGCGCTGATTGCTGGAAAAGGTCACCGTCTGACTGCCAAGCTCACTGCCAGAGCACGTGGATACAGGCATGTGATTAAATCACAAAATCAGAAAATTCAAATTCAATCTCGCCCCCAACCACTATATCCAACCGCTCTGCATATGTTTCGTGACCACTAACCGCGCTTCACCTCCACGCCTGCCTCACTGGTCGTCGGTTACATGCCCATGTTATACTTCTGTGTCGTGTCCCTGCAACCCCGAAGGGTTGGAGGCATAAAGGTCTCGTTTTGAATAAATGCCCGATTGTGTATCGGAAGACATGCCTACGGGTTGTGTGGCGCAAGGACGGTGCCTTTTAAGCTCCTAAATTGGCCGAGGAGCCGTGACTGCACCGCAGTCGACAAGATGTCCAGATACCGCCGATAATCAGTTAAACTCTTCGACGGTCGGACGCTCTCATAGAGGCCGCTTCGTGGGCTCGAGGAGTATTGTGTATGCCGCGTGTTGCGGAGGCTCACCCCCTCCTGCCATGTCTTGTACGCCAGCTCACGGAGGCGCTGACGGCACGCAGAGACCAGGGTTGTTTCCTGCGCGTAAGTTGTACACGCCTGCAAACTTTGCGTAGTGATCTACATGCTCGTTACTGGGAACGCCTTAATGGCCGGTCCCAAGTTTAATAAATTAAAGGAAATTGACTGACAGTCCAGATAATACGCAGATTTATGATGGTGTTTGTGTTGGAGTTTCTGGGTTGATGTATGTACATACACTGCGCTGTCCTGTATGTTGTGCTGGGAAAGTCATATGATAGAGAATATTTGTTATATATTCGACTAGTCCCGAATAGGAAATAGACTACGATTGGTAAAAGGTCTTATTTGAATGCTTTGAGCTGGTTGGGCTCGTCTTGATGATTATAATGATTATTCTGATGGATTTTTTTTTGGATTATTCTTCTTGATCTTGTTCTTTCGCTTGTTGATCGCCTTTTTGACCCCTCCTTAATCACATGATCCTTTCCACGTATAACAATATTATTTGACAATATTTGGGATTCGGGATCCGCATGGCGAGAGCGCAGCGCCATCCCTGAATCGCTTCCATTCCTTTAGTGGCTGGTGAAAAAAGAGATGGAGCACGTCGGTGAGCGCATTGGCCGCGCACTCTGATATTGTTATCCTCCCGATCCTTATTAGGTTATCGGGGTGTAGCTGGTATGGTGTTCTTCTGCCACCCATTCCTTGCCCTGAGTGAATGACCAAAACATCATGTAATGCATGTTCCCCGCACATGCACCCGCGGGGTTGGGCACTTCAAATAAATGATACCTGCCATAGTGTGCACTCTCATGTCTTGAAGATATGCCTACAACTAGCAAAAATTACTCCTGGATTACATGAAGATATCTCTACCTTAGGTTATCCTCCGGTCAACTAGTAAATATGCAGTCAGACAAGCCTCTCCGTCGATTCTATCTGCTGACATATCCTCGAACCGCATCGAATCTGCTTTTGAAGATTCTCGCACTCGAGGATCAGCCTAATGTCAAAAGTGGTAGCTACTTCTTCCTTCCCCTGCATGCACTAAGACTCGATCACGGCTCTGAGTCGACCCACATTGAGGCATTAGCACCAGACCAGAAACAGAAAGAGATTAAGTGCATGAAAGGCTGTTTCAGCAGGCTGATCCAACATCTCACCGAGGCCGAAGCAAAAAATCAGCTCACCTTTGTCAAAGAACATACAACGTTTTTGACAGAGCCAGTGGCGAAAACTCGTGCCATAGATGGCCAAAATAGTGTTACTGATGAAATGCCATGGATGTTGGACGAACAAAATGGGCTCACCCAGCCTATGGAAGGACGCTCAGTTCACAATGAAACACTTCTTTCGGACAGCTTCTTGAAGACATGGAAACCTTCCTTTCTCATAAGGCATCCAGCCCTCGCGTTCCCGTCCTACTACCGTGCAGTAGTTCGGATAGGGGGTGAAGATTATGCTAGATCCAGTCGGATGCGAAGATACAATCGGTATATGATGACGCTACGTTGGACGCGCCAGTTATACGATTTTTACGCCGATCATTTTGCGGCTACGGAATCGGCACAAGGATCATGCAATGATTGCAATCTCTGGCCCTTGGTGCTTGACGCGGATGATGTTATCACTCATCCCACAGTCGTAGCCAAGTTCTGCGATCTTGTTGGGCTGGACGCTACCAAGCTGAAGTTCAAGTGGGAAAAGGAGAGGCAGGAGCGGTCACCAAGAGAAAAAGCAATGATGTCCACCATTGACGAGTCCACCGGGGTCAACCCCTCAAAGGCTACTGGATGCGTTGACATTGACAAAGAGGCAGCACGATGGAAGACGGAGTTTGGGGAAGATATTGGCCAGATGATAGACACGTTTGTGCGGGAGGCAATGCCAGACTATATGTTTCTAAGATCGAAGAGACTGCGCCCATAGTGAGATATACGTCCGGGAAAATGGCGGTATGTCACCGACCCAACCCGTAACCTTGACCACAGGAACTACGCACATATGTGGACGGATCCGACCCTACGAAGGATTCTCTCCTATATCTCTTCGAGCTTAGTTTTCTTTCTAATATCAATCAATATCGTCTACGGTTGGTCACTTACACGGTGCCAAAATTCCTGTCCCTTAATTAGAGCAGCAAACGAACCCCGGCTGCGAGCCAAGTATTTGGGTATAGCTATTTAATTTTACGAAACATTGCGATTTTAGTGTAGAAAATAAGATCCTTGGAGTGTCCATACGAACACGTGTATTATACTAATACAAAGTAGTGAATCCTAAATCAGTGTAATAAAAAACGTCTATGTCGGGGGCTGAATCCATAAAGCCTATAGGTTATGTACAAAAAGGAATCGAAGGTGATATGGAAATATATGGATATATGGACCCAGGATCTACTCCTATTCATAGATAGTGGGTGTATTCATCAGATAATAATTAAGGCAATATAGATACCATCAAATACGACCTCTAGTAGGCTTCGTGCGTGTAGCTGACATAGTGTTCTTCTGCCCCTTTTCCCCTGAATTATAGTGATCATGTCGAGAGAAGGAAAGAAAGAGAAAGAGGAGGAGCGTCGCATGTTGTGGTTCTTTGAGAGCCAATAGGCCCGAGAGGTCAAACGGTCTCCTGTCTTTTATATCAATAATTCCCGCCAGAGGTCTGGTCCGGGAGGTCGGGGTATAGAGGAACTGAGGCAACATTAGGTAAACATCCACCAAAATAATATCTAGCTTTCTGTTCGTAGTATAGAAAGGTGAAGCATAGCCATCCTGGCTGTGCTACATTCGGTGCACCAGGATGAACCGTTTTCTGGGAAGACCTTGGATGGCATATTTTGCTACGCTTCCTGAATTTTTCCCCACAATGTAAGAACACGAAGGGCACACGCGCCAAAGACAAGCTTACAAAACCTAGCAAGCTGGATGACCAATGGATTCCTAGAGAGTTGTATAGCGGACCAGCGGCCAGAGGAAGCAGTACGCACAAGATACTGCTGCTAAAGGTTGAAGATGCTAAGGCAGAGGCCGTCGCCGTGGTATACGAGTCGGCCATGTAGTTCAGAAGGCCGATACAAATAAGCTCAAAGCCCATACCGTACGGAATGTTGGCGGCCATTGGTACTAGATAATGGATTGGTCTCTGGGACGCCCATCCCAGTCATCCACACAGTTTTAAAGGCCCGTTATATACGATTACGGGTTCATTTACCAGCCAGAACAATGAGATGTTGCAGAGGGGCCTCCAACACAGTCGAGTTGGAGGCATTCCTCATGAAGTTCCCATGAGGCCTGGCGTTCTTGGGCCCGGCGCAGAAATCCATCATACCATAAAGAGAACGCTCCGGCCATAGTTGCTCCAATTCCCAATAGTTCCATTAGACGTGAGTATTTCTAAGATTTTCGATATCATTAGCAAGGAATAAGTGCCAAAGCAGATATTGTCAAGTTCAGTCTATAAATGTCTTCGACGATAAGCCAGTCTGTTTATTTCATAGCCGGACCACGCACCTTGGAAGATCAAAGGATACGCTTGGAAAAAGAGATAGTAGACCCCATATTCTAAGTGAGAAACGTGCAGCTGAAACTGATTATGAGCTCCGACAGCAGAGTGACTGGTCGTATCAAGACCCTTGTCAATAGATCTCTCATGACAGCCGTATGGGATTCTCGTTCTGGTAGACAAACCATTCATGGACGTGCTGCAGCGCCGAGTAAACAGTGTAAATGCACACGTCTTGGTAGTCTTTTTAGCTCTTGCACAAAAAGCATAAGAGCAATTCTGGCACCAGGAAGCATAATCAGCTACGGCCATGACAAGCTTGCAAAGTTGGCGGTAAATCCATCGCCAGGAATGCAACGACAGGGACTTGGAGTCGATTGAACCCAGGACCCGACCAAAGGCAGTGCACTTTATCAGAAATCCATCAGTCACTGCAGCCAATCTTATTCTCGATAGTGGAGAACTCACCACCGTTGTGAGGGTGATGGCTCACCCCCTTGGAACAGGAGCCGTATAGATATCAGCCATGATCCCACTGACGACGTGATCGACGCTGCAGCTGACACTGCGACAATAAGGCGAGAGAGCAGATGAGTGATCTAGTTCGTGGCCAGGGAGCAAACGATACTGAAGGCCGTGGAAACAAATGGAATGAGCATGACCGATTTCCGTACATAAACTTTACTCAGGGATGCAAATACAATCGGCCCAAAGACATACCCAATCAGAAAGATAGACACCAGCAAAGTCTTTTGCTGCTTGCTCGAAATTCCAAAGTTGGTTGCGATGTAGTCTGCCGCTCGGCTGGGCAGAGACGAGTTCAACGTACTGTTCCCTACCATCATGAGGCCAACAGTAGTGACAAAAATCCTTCGGCCCTGCCACTGGTTAGCTGCAAGCGATTCTACTGGGGCATATGTCCAGTTATAATGGGCCAGTTGGCTGTACACTCAGGGTCCTCCGCCTTGAAGTGGGACAGCCGCTGAGTCGAATCCACCGGGTGTCAGCTGCTTGTCTAGACACTTGAGGTCAGATATTAATGGTTTCAAGGTTAGTCGCTGCCCTATAGCACAGCTCATCGTTAATGCTCTAAAGGATTCGTCTCCCATATAGTCATTGATCGTTAGGTGTACGTACCAGGTCAGATCAAGCTCACTTGTGCAACAATGCGGGGGTCTCTGCCCTTCCAGAGAGATGGATATTTTCGTTGGTTGTTGCCTCCACCGAGTATCTCGGGGATTCAGGGGTATTTGGGCGATTAGAGAGCAGTGAGTAGAAAAGGGGTGACTTCGGCGGGAGTCCGGGATCCGGGGTTGAGGCATATATTCGGAAATAGCACACTGAAGCCAGCTTGAAGCCATGGATATTCCCATAGGATGACCCAAACACAAAATGCGAGTATAGTGTCTGGGTTCGATGAACTTTAACTGATCTTGGAGCTGTTCCTGATAGAATATCCCCTCATTGTGAAACCTAGCCAAGACAAGAACTCCGAGGGCGTTTCCAAAGTCACCAATTCCCGAGGCCTTTTCTTCGCAATCTCCCTTCTAACATAATCGGATTCCACTGTGAGTGAAAAAATCGTCATCGAGCCATTTAATACCTGGTCCGTAGATCGATGCCAACATGATTCTCGATTTTCTCAAAGCCGGCGATTCAGAAAACGCTTTTCAGGAATCCTCAATGCTTACCCGTTCGGCCTATCGCAGCATGAGTGCGACATGAAAGGAGCAATATACGGTTTGTTGGGAACAGCAGTTACCTTCGAAATTGACTACTTTGGCCTACAACTTCTTGCTGCCTTGATGGACAAGGAGCGCGTCGGAGCCCTTTCCCAATCTTTCTTGCGGGGCGCACAGAGCTGGACCAGGGTTGTCTTCGTTCCCACAAAAGGCTTGGGTGTATTTGACGGCTACGATATGATTGAAGACTTACGGCGAAGAAATCCAGATCTCGTGGTTCACGTCACCTATGATCGCTGCATGTTTCGACGTGGTGACCACATACTACTTTTAGCAGACGGCTCCTGGCCTTATGTAGCGTGGTCACGCACCAGCCGATACTATGCTGTAGAGGTATGGGCGAAAATCAACACGAGTATTTCTTACAATGTGACTAAATAATGACATGGAATGATTTTCTGCGTCAAATCATTCTAAACATATAGGTGCAAGGTATCCGTAGGATTACTACACTTTACTAGAGTTGCCGGTAGTGTTTGCTAAGTATAGTTCCATGTAGTACTTAGGGTTTATATAGCACTTTATCACATAGCCTACTACGGCATCCGCCCACAGATGCTGGACTTTTTTTAATTAGTCTTCTTTAGGGCCATAAATAAAACCAGCTTCAGCGAGGGAATTGGAAATCAGTTGCCTGGGCTTTGGATCTAAGGAAGGAAGCCAATTCCATTACGCGTGGCCCATCCCCTGTGTTATCTAAAATAAAGACAGGATCTAATGAAAACTGATAGCTGGTTACTTGTGTCTATGACCATCTATAATTTACCAGGTAGTTAATATTAGGGGATCACTATTGATGCGGGGCATGAAGCCAAGTCCGACCATAACCTTGATTCCAACAACCTCATTTTTTAGCGCTGCACTGCGCCATTTAATCTTGGAATCAGCATGCCTATCCAGTCTCTTCGTTTTCTTTGTTCTTTTTAATTATCCTCATTCGCATTCCCCCAGTCCAGGTCACCACAGGTAGCGCAGCGACTGCGCACAGTAATCCCAAAGTCCAACCAAGGCTTCCACAACCGGGTTCTGTTACCAAGTAACCTTACCAGAGAGACCCAATGAGGCTTCCTGTTGCAAATCCGGTATTCAGAAGCGCATATTCCTGCCTGTAGGCTCCCCGAGGACCGTATATTCCCCGCCCCTTGCTTCTTTGGCTTCAATAGCGTAGCTGACCGCAGATAAGGGTATGGCAATGAAGTTGACGCCAAACCCAATGAAAACAGGGAAGGTACAGAGTAAAACAATCTGGTGGATGCCATCTTGTGTAACCTCTCGAAGAAGCACCAAGGGTGGGAAGCATGGTAGAAAGCCAAGACAGGCAATCCATTTGGGTCCGACCCTGCCATAGCACCAGCCGACGACGGTGAGGCGAAGGAGGGTATGAGCAGTGCGAGGAAGATCAATCCAGCTTCCAAGGAGGTCCAGCCAAAGTGATCATGGACGTGCAAAGGAAGTACGGCATCAAATGTGGAGAAGAGTGTGGATTGCACGAGACAGCCGAGCAGCGCCGTCAGCACGCGGGGCGATGGCAGGAGGCCAGGTAAGCGGAAGCGGACAGTGGACCGTCGATGCACAGGCGATTGTAGGGATAACTGTGGGATATTACTACTAGTAGTATCCTCTATCTCTGAGGGGTATGCACTAGAAGGACCAATCGCAGCGGCATATACATTATCGATGATTGTCCGGTTTTCCGTCCCTGAAGTTTCCCCCTCCTTGCTTTGCCCCTCTTCTGGACTCCCCTGACCCTCCGAGAGCCATTTTCGGGTCTTTTTCTTTTTATCAATCAGTGCCAGTCGAAGAACGACGTCGACGGCAACCAGCCCGAAAGACATTGAATACACAGCGTAAAATCCGGCAGCTGCGTAGACGACCCCTCCCAACAAAGGTGCAACGAGAACAGCCATATTGATTATCATGAAAACATATCCTAGACATTTTCCTATCTCATCTTTGGAAACAGTGCCCACGACCAGGGCGAGTCCTACTGTCCAGAGCACAGCACCAGATATGCCCAACAGTATGCGGCCGACGATGTACACGCTCAAACTTCGTCCTGAGCAGAGCATCAAACTAGCTCCAAGGAGCAGCAGCAGGCTTGCGGCCATGGGTATGGCACGAGAATCGGTCCCGTCGGCAGCCCACCCCGCGATAGCTAGAGTGAACGGAGTTTCGAGGAAGACGAACATGTTTGAATGTCAGGCGAGAACGTATGGGACATAGCAACCAGAACTGCACCATTGATTGCCAAAAAGACTGCAGTCCAATGCTGAACTATACACGGATCAGAAATGAAACAACAATTTGCACTATACACTCAGGAGTAAAGTACCATCATCAGGGGCAACGCCCGCACGACTTGTGAGAGAGAATGGAACAACTGGAACAATCTGCGACATAATATCTAAATACAACCTACTAGGCAAGAGGGCATTCTCGAAGGTCAAACATACACTAACATTCAAAAAAACATAGGTGAAAGTCGCAAGGCTGACAACGGCAATAATATACCATTTAGAGGAACGGAACTTAAGAAAAATTGTGAGCATTTGGTGGCTAATAAAAGACATGGCTAGATACTCGGAAACAGATGAGGGATATCTGCTATTTTATGTAGATGCAGACTCCAAACCCTAGTCATCACATCCTACATATTAGCAAGTACATCACTCCCTGCTACAAGTTATAGGTGGAGATGCTAACCAGAAGCTAATGGTAATAAAAACTTTCAGAATGCATCGGCTTCTGTAGTTTGATTAGCTAGTGATATGCGATTATACAGACGAGTAAATGGCGGTTAGCCAGCAGGGGAGATGTGTTATAGCCAAGCTCAGGATCTTAACTATTCCACTGGACCAAAAGACCACTAGATCAGATATTCCTGAGCACCTTATATAGTAGCGCACTGTAATGTTAGGTGACGCACCCACACCTAACAAGATGTATGTTACGTGGAGCAAGACCATGGAATCCGTAATCTAGTCTATCATTGCTAAATGAATCAAGAGCTTCAAATAAGAAGTTCTGTCATTCAGTAGCTATAAGTTCTGAGACACAGTCCCCGTTACCGTAAAGCATGTGATAATCCAGAAAATGCTTCCAACAACATATGTCCTTCACAGTCGACAATCAAAGATAGAAACTTAAAAGGTTATACCGGGAATATCGACTTGAACTCATGCTTTTTAAGGCTTAATTCGTGCTAAGACAATGGAAAGTTAAATAACGGGCGCAAGCCTGAGGCCGCCTTATATGAGCTTGTTCATCTTGATTTCAACCTGGAGAGCGGGGAAAGATTCACCAGCCAGGTTCCTGTCACCCTCATAGACTTTAAGTCAGGTCTCATTGCGGGCTGCAAGTCTCGCCTCGCCGGGGGTGTCCTTCCAGGGCTGGATAAGTGTTCTGGACATTATTAATGTTTCAAAATCGTAGTGGTTGACTCTTCGTTTTCAAGGCAATGCTTATTCTGAACCTGACGAGAAGAAGGAAAACATAGTAGACAAGGTCAATTTTATAGTACTACTGATATCATCCGCGTCCTACTCAGGGCTGTCTTCAACACTCCAAGAACATAATCCCGACGCTTTTTCGTCTTTGGCCGGCTGACCACTTATCCACTGTATGTTCCCCCAGAGCGATCTAATCTTTACACACGGGGGTGAATTCACTACTGATGGTGTATTGAAAGAGGAAAGATTGGTCAATTACTACCTACATAGATAAGTCATCTGCATTAGCAATTCTTGTATATCAGCTAAATAAAATCAAAAAAGACACATGTGGTTGATTACTGGGTAAGCATGCATTTATAGTTTGGTAAAATAGCCAAACGCTCAAAATAGTGCACACCGTAAGCTAACATTGAGTTACTAGTGCGGGGAATGCGCTATGATCTGATCACACTGGAGAAATAAAAGATCTACAATTAATACGTGTCAGCATCTGCACAATATATCGGTTACGCAAAGCATGTTGGTGTAATGAAAGCATGGGAGTGAGGTTCATTTAACAATACCCAGCAGTCAAAAGAACTTATTAAATGGATTAATAATCTTGCTGAGCGCAGCTTATTAGGTCTGAATCAATGTTGCGAGAATTTGTGTTATGATTACTTGCTCAGGGAAAGGAATGGTGGGCGGGAGAGCACTATTAGCTGCACGCCAGTAGCCTACTTAGGATTACCTATCACAGTAATAACAATCAACTGATTCAACCACCGTAGCCAACGTGCTGTCTCTCACCAACTTCAACTATTTAAAGGAATGGGAATAATTCGAGAGGATGACGCTGAGCGCTCTCCAAGGAGCAGGGGATATCGGATCCCGAATCCCGATGTTGAGGAAATTACTGGAAATAAACCTGGAACATGCTGGCCAAACCATATTTTGAAGAAGCAAGATGATAAGCTTGTTTCAGTCTACAAAACTAAGATTGGTACTTCACGCAAAAAGGCTGATTCTGCCTCCAGTTACTCGCTATACTTCGAGCTTATGGTAGAAAGGCAACGAATATGAGATTGAACCTAGAGACATGTTCAATATGGATGAGAAAAGTTTCCTTATTGGGGTACTATTAAAAGGTAATAGAATCGTCGAAAACTATTCTTACTGTTTTACTGATTGATATCTCCTTTATATTAAAGAAATAGCCATGTTACAAAGCGGGGTTTCTTCTGACTGTATTGGCCAAGCTATATAAGGCTATGTCAATTCAAAATATTAACAGCGCGTGGAATTCTGTTGGTTTGCGCCCTTGGAATCCAGAGATCGTTTTGATACGCCCTACCAAGAAAGAAGAAGGACCTTCTTCTAATGAGACCTCCCACTCTGTCTTAAAGGCAGAAGACTCCCTCCGCATTGAGAAGCTTTTTAAGCAAGTTGTTTCTAATGTTTACGACCCACATGTCCGGAAATAGAATGATCAATAGTACCTATTTTCACGGAGAATATCCTGGTCAAACAAAGAAGCGACAGCGTGGGAACCATGTACAGCTTCAGCTTCATCCTCTAGAAGATGGAAATGCAATCTTATATATCCCGAAGAAGATTCAACAAGCACCTGATCTTCAATCAGAAAAGGAATAAGCTGCACGCCTTGCTAAAGCTGATAAAGAGAAGGATATGATACGCCGGCAGCAAGAGAAGGAAGAGAAATGACTCTTGGTTGAAGAACGAAAGAGAATAAGGGCTTTTAATAGGAGTACGCGGATGCAGGAAGCGAAGAAAAGAGATGGCAAAAGAATGTTGCAAAACAAGATTCTGTACAGCTTCAAAACGATATAAAGTAGGCGAATGAAGGTAATAAGAAGGCTACAGAGCCTACTGCAGAAAAGAAAAAGGAAGATATTTATCTGAAAAGTGAGGGAATAATACAGGAGGCATCTGTTATTGTAAATAGGCGAGGAAAGCAAATACAGCTTCCCTAGCGATTCAAAGATACGAAAAATTAGCTATGCAGCTTATCTATATCTAGTATTTTATTCCGCCAAAGAAACCAATCATTTTATTATTTTATTGTGGCTGTACACTTCATCTCTACTCCGAGGTTGAACGGGAAATGCGTTCGTCAGGTGATAGCGTTCATCGGGTGGTTGGGTACGGTACTTTAAGATAGTTACTGTATGGTGGTGGGGCACTCTGTAAGAACCGGATTTTCGGGGGGAATTTAAGCGATGACCACATCTTGGGCAATAAAGTTTCTACTTGGCCAAATATGGCATCTCATAGCCTTAATTAATCTGCATCATATCGTATCCACTTGTGGCTTTCCCATGACTGATTCGTCAGTTCTTGAACTTAGCCTTAGCAGATGCATGTGAACCGCTATTTTCTGTGGCTGTGCATAGAATACGAGGGTAGGTAGGCTGAGCTAATTTCATACCCGAACATATTTATATGAATGGGTGGAGGACATGCACTGACGTTTGAATTATTTTCTTCATTGCTCGGCCAGTATTTCAACAGATATTTTAACTTACCATTGTGTGTTAAATAACATGGCCTACCCGAATCCTTACGATCAGCCACACCGTATGCATCCCTTTTCCACTAAATCCCCACTACCAAAAAAAAAAAAAAAAGGAAAAGGCGCTTCTAACAATGGGTAGAAGCTCCATATCAATATCAACCTCAGGGAGGCCATCCTCCTGGCTATCCCCCATATAACCAGCAGCCGGGTCCATATCCTCCTTTCCAGGGATACCAGCCACATGGGTACCCCCCTCAAGGAGCTCCCGGCCAAGGAATGCCTCCCCAGCAACATCCACAATACAATATGCCACCAAACCCCCCTCCTTTTCCCCCACAACAGGCTCCAGGTCAACAATGGCCTCAGGCAGTATACCCCCCGCAGCATACTGCAGGACAATATCCCCCACAAGCCTACAACAATTATCCGCCCCAAGCCCCAGCCCCGGTACCCCTTTCTCTAGGATATGATCCATTTCAGAAAGCACCCGGTGATGCGAGCAGAGAGGCTGATGCTCTGCGTAAGGCCATGAAAGGCTGGGGCACCGATGAAGCCGCTTTGATTTCCGTCCTTACCAAACCAGATCCGCTGCAGATGGCGCTAATCCGACATACATACACGGAGCGGATTGGACGGAATCTAGAAAAGGACCTCAGATCAGAGACCTCTGGAAGCTTTGAAGATGTACTGGTGTCCTTAGCACTAGGACCACTGGGATCAGATGTGACTCATTTACGGAAATCGTTGGCCGGGATGGGGACAAACGAAAAGTTGCTCGATGACATTCTCATTGGTCGGTCGAATGCGGACTTGAACGCCATCAAGAAGGCCTATACAGACAAGTATCAGAAATCATTGACAGACGATATCAAAGGTGATTTATCGGGAAAGACGGAGAGGTTTTTTGTTATGCTACTTGACGCGAGGAGGCCAGAAAACTCAGCGTATTTTGACTCACAGTCAGTCGATGCCGATGTGCGGGAACTCCACCGTGCTATGGAGGGACAAGTGGGAACAGATGAAGTTGCTGTGTCGGCTGTTTTTCTCGGGGCCTCCGATGCCAAGCTGTGTGCCATCAGTCGGGTATACGAAGAACGCTATCACATCGGCTTGGACAAAGTGCTGGACAAGGAGTTCTCGGGCCATCTACATAATGCTCTCGTTTCTATTCTACGGAGGGCACGAGATCCCTTTCAGTATGATGTGGAGATGCTGGCAAGCTGCTGTACCGAATCCTCATGTGATACGGATAGGTTGATATACTGGATGGTGAGACTGCATTGGGATCCCATGCGTTTCCAAGCAGTCAAGCAGGCGTTAATGCAGCAACGGCGGCTGAATTGCGGGACAGTTCTGAAGAAGTTCTACACTGGGGACTTTTTAAAGACCATGCTAAGTCTGTGGGAGCAACGGTGATGTTGCTTGGTCACATTTTCCCACATTCCCCTTTGCTTCGTTGATAGAATTAATTCCCTTTTTGAAAAATGAAGTATGACATAGTGTTAGGCAAGTCTAGAAACTTGCAATCAATAAGTATGATAGCGAGCTTGATAATTATAGAGGTAAAGTGATTGAACTGGGTTGCTAGGTTCTGTTCCCCACCATGATCAAACCTAAAACATAAAACTGAAAACGGTGACTGCCTCCAGTTGTTATCGACTTACCATATTCGGTATGGTCACGTGGTCTCACTTAGTCACCCATCTAGATAAGTCAGCTCGCCCGAGCCCTTGAATTGAAGAGAATTGTGCCTTGCGAACACCAGTTCCCCTGTTGCTATAGCTTCAACTTTAGGTCCAGGTCAAGCATTGCCTGTAGATGGGGTGGGGATGGCTATTTTATCCGAGCTCAGTAAAGGATTTGCTCGGCGGACAGATTCCGCACGGATGCTACGAGATTCGCTTCGGCATCCCGATGGTACCGATGTTTAAGAGGCACTGGTTCCACCGCGTAGCAAAATTGCCAAGACAGACCAACTTGCGAATTATGGGATCATTAATAATCTTATTTATTCTGACTAATGCTGATGGATCAGTCTGATAACTACCTCAGAATATGGAGCTAGCAGATTTCCGTTATAACTGTTGGTTGAGCTTGGCGATGGACCCAGTTCAATAGTCTATCTAGCTGCGCGGCCATCTCATATATAAATAATGATTCCTTTACTTCACTCCCTTGAAAAAATCATTGTACTCTGTGCTTTCCACTCATAAGGAAGATGTTTGCTTCCACGCTTACTTTTGTGGTTCTCCTACTAGGAGCAGTTGAGGCTTGGAAACAGCACGGTTCATCTCCACAATATGACTTCGTCATTGTTGGCGGGGGTACCAGTGGATTAGTTGTCGCCAACAGACTTTCGGAAATGAGAGACATTAGTGTGGCCGTCATCGAAGCTGGAGATTCGGTTTTCAGCAATTTCAATGTTTCCGATGTTATGGGATATAGTCGGGCCTTTGGAACCGAGATTGACTGGGCATACGAGACCGAGAATCAGACATATGCCGGAGGTTTGAAGCAGACCATGCGTGCCGGAAAGGCGATTGGTGGTACAAGTACGATCAATGGTACGTTGTGCTGAATCTCTGGATGTCAAGCTTTCACTAATTCCGACCCTGCAGGCATGTCCTACACACGAGCCCAAAATGTGCAAATTGATTCTTGGGAGTTGGCCGGAAACAAAGGTTGGAATTGGAGGAGTCTTTTACCGTACTACAAAAGGTCGGAAGGATTCCAGATACCCACTAAGGATCAAATTGTACATGGTGCCAGTTACGATATCAGCTATCATGGAACCAATGGCCCATTGAAAGTTGGTTGGCCTGCAGCGATGACCAACAGCAGCGCTCTCACTGCACTAAACGAAACTATGCAAAAACTCGGCATCTCTTATAATGCTGATATTAATGGTGGAAAAATGGTCGGATTCACAGTCCATCCCGATACCATCGATAGAGAGGCCAACGTCCGTCAAGATGCTGCCAGGGCTTACTACTGGCCCTATGAATCCCGGACAAATCTCAAGATCATCTCAAATACTCATGCGACCAAGATAATCTGGGCCAACGACTCCTACGGTGAGGCTGTCGCAATTGGAGTCGAGGTGTCTGGCCTTAATGGAGTGGAGGAGATCTACGCTTCAAAAGAGGTCATCCTGTCCGCTGGCGCTTTGAAATCGCCCGTCCTCCTAGAACTTTCTGGTGTTGGAAACCCCGAAATTCTCCGGAAACACGGGATTTCTCCCAAGATCAACCTTCCTACTGTTGGCGAGAACTTGCAAGATCAGACCAACAATGGCCTCACATGGGAAGGAAAGGATTTCTGGACTGGTCTACCAGCCTTCTCTGCTCTACCATCGGTCGACCAGCTATATGGCAACGACGTCTCCGCCTATGCCTCCGCTATCAACTCCAGCCTTGCCGATTATGCAAAGTCCGTGTCTAAGGCATCAAACGGTGCGGTAAAGGAAGCCGATCTCTTGGTTGCTTTCCAAATACAGTACGATACAATCTTCAAGTCACAAGTTCCATTTGCAGAGATTGTCTTTGTTCCTTCTGGAGACTCATTTGCCAGCGAATACTGGCATCTCCTTCCTTTCTCGAGAGGTAGCATCCACATAAGATCTTCAAACGCCTCACAGCCGCCTGCCATCAATCCGAACTATTTCATGTTTGAGCAAGATCTCCGTGCTCAGACAGATGTGGCTCAGTATATTCGCAAAGCATATGGTATTGCTCCTCTTGCTGATCTTGTCGGGGATGAGCTTGAACCAGGCCTAGGTCTTATTCCTGAGAACGCGCCACCCTCTACTTGGGAAAACTGGGTCAAGTCACAGTGTGAGTTTTTTTTTTTTTTTTTTGCCTCCCTTCTGACAACTGAAGGCATGACGTATTTGCTAAACTCCTTCTAGATAGATCTAACTTCCACCCCGTTGGCACTGCCAGTATGCTTCCTTGGGAAAAAGGGGGCGTTGTTAACCCTGAGCTAAAAGTCTACGGTAGCAAGAATGTAAGAGTGGTTGATGCTTCCATCTTGCCATTCCAAGTCAGTGGCCACTTAACGAGCACTCTCTACGCTGTCGCAGAAAGGGCGTCTGATCTGATTAAGGAAAACTATATGCCCTAGAGGACATTACACAATAGCAAATGTAAGAGGAGTTGTCGATTGAAACCTTTCATTACCTGCTGCCACCCATTCGCAATATGGTTGTTCTCAGTTATTCGAGGATATCTTGAAAAAAATTCTCATTATGTATAATAATCAGATAGAACCAGGGATATAAATTTGGTAACCAGCAGAAATATAAGTAATCCAGGAGGGGACGCTTGTTGTAGTCAACGACGATATACCCCCCGAGCTGCGGAACAACTAGCAGCGGCGTCCGACAGTCAGAGGCCTTGGAGTCTTAATCAATATCATCCCTCTCAAGTAGCCGCTTTACTACGGCCTCGCGCCTTTTGTCGAGTAGCATATCTCAGCGAAGTTGAAGATAATCGAGTTGAAAGTTCACCTCGACGATCTCTTTCGCGAGCAACTGCCTGATAGTCTCCACGTCCTCATCGCAGAATGGAGCAGCAGGTCCGGCTGTAGTCATCCTTGAAGATAGGGTTCACACTGTCCTTCGTAGGTAGCAGCTTTACAATTTCCTCGGGCTTGTCCATAGCAGCTAAAATCAGCCGTATCACCATAAATGGTAGCCTTTTGAATATCAGATCCTTCTCGCAGGAGCTGTTGAGCCATTACACTTGCCCATGGGAAGTAAAGCAAGGGTATATAATTCTGATAACTTTATAATTAAAGTGCTGCTTCGATGTCTTAACTATGCTAGCTGCCAAAGTACTTGTCGAGCAGCAGATTGTGTTCCTCAACGAGGTAGCATATACAGATCTATATCTCCGATTCATAATGATCGGTTTCTTCTTTCCCGCATAATTTCTTCCTCGGATAGTTCTTCCACCAAAGCCATCGGGCCTTGGCATCGTTGGCATCGTCCTTGTAGATAGTTCGAATCTGGATCTCCCCACTAGCCTCATATACGTCGTACCGTCTCCGTGCAAATGATTTGCGGGACCCAGCTTTTCGAGACATTTGCGGGGCGCCTTGTTGGTTTTTCAATTGTTGCCTCGGTCGCCACCAGGGCTAGATAACAACCAGCAATTATAGGATCAACCGTATAATCCTCATGAATCTCCATCTTCACACAATAATGCTTCTGCTGGCTAGGTGTGACCGATTTTCCTCGATGCAGCTCAATCATGATAGACATGGAACGCCGGTCCGGTCAACCACCCATTCCAAGAAGATTGGCTGGATATACGTGATGCACGCCTGCCGTTCTGGAGACATGGTCCGCTGGAAAACACAGTGTAGGTCAGCTACAGTGTCTTTGCCGATGGAATCAAGGGGCACGTTCTTCAGTGAATTAATGACCTGCTCCTTCTCTCGGTTTGGCTCTGCTGCTTGGGACATATCATGGGCCCATCGATCAAAGGCATATACTAGGACCAAAAATCGGGCATAATGATTAATGGCCTCCGGGTTTTGCGGGAGATCCAATGTATCCTGCAGCTCGACCATGTGCCAGCGAGGCTGGTCATCCAGCACCTCGGTTTGAATCAAATTGGGTAGCCACCAGTCAGAGGGCTTTCTCTAGCTGTGTGTTGGCATCCACGATTACCTGGAGAAAGAATTCATTGACAGCATCTTGGAGTACTTTCTTAGAGTCTCCGCGAGGATCTTTCCTCGGCCAGCCTTCAACCAAATCCAAACCAGCTCTGGATGCCTTTTATTATTTACCTGAGAAGTTGTACAGAGAGCGCAACTCCTTTCAGGGAAGCTAGGAGGGCAAAGCGTTCCTTCCTGATTTTATTTGTCTCGGGTGTAAATTTAGTGTCTCATATAGTATACACGTAGAAAAGATGCCAAATCGATGACTTGAACCCATCATTTATCTAATAAATCAAAGATATCCATATTCCTCACCATGCAGTTAGATTCAGATTGACACCCTAATTCAGATCGCACATCCTGTACATCTAGGTGGCCCCGCATAGTCGTGATAATTCTAGCTGCTGCCTCACATGGCGTAGAATGAGCTCTAGGCTGCTGAACGTCAAGGGTGTTAGGTGTAACAGGATCGACAGCGACTGGTTGATCTGCACTGGACGCTTGGGTATTGGGAAAGTTCACATGTCTATTAGCAACTGGATTTAACGGAGATGGGCTAAGTCTTCTACCAACACCCGTCTCACGCAATGCGTCGTTCGCCTCGCGGTTAACATTTTGTGTTAAAGGTAGGTGCGAGGTTACGAACGCTGGAGCAGTTGCTGAAGAGCAACTGAGTGAATCAGGGTTTGTTGTAAGTGATTCCAAGTATTCTTGAATCTCCTTTTCTGTCACACCGCGGCGTCTTAACAGCGACCGGAGGAGAGCATTCTCCGCCGCGACTTTTCTTCCTGCCGCTTGAACTTCGCGTGTCGCCTCTACCCCGAGGCTTTCAAACTTCCGCAATCGCTGTTCAAGATCTCGGACGTATTCTTTACGCCGCGCGCGAGAACGCCGCTGGTTGTCACGGACTCGTGTGGATGGCGCAAGATTATCAGCCTGAAATAGCATAGTCAGCAAAGGCTCTACCCTAACAGCATGTCTTCAGTGTGTCAGCTTACTAACCTTTGTAATTATGTTGCAGCTATATGTGTCCTTGGTATTCATGTCTGTCAGGAGCAAAGCACGAAACAGACCACATTACGGAGCTAATATCCTGCATAAGACATCCGTTCAATTGACATCCATTTAATTTAGCATGAACTGGTTTCTTATGGTTCCGTGAAGTCAGCAGGCCATTCCAGGACACAGAGAGTCCTAGAGTTGTTAAGCCAGTTGAATTCACATAAAGTCAGGGAGATAGGGAATCCAGTCATGATAACGCAATTCGGAAATATTTTAATCCGACAAGCCAGCCAAATTATCAGCTAGCTTTTTCTGGAAAGATCCGACATTAATTCATCTTTGAATTCCATTCCTTCCATTCTACCTTGTCCAATCATCGTCTAGCAGTGACACACTGAGATATCTTGGCATTGCCTCCGTTATGGGCTGTTTTATAAGCAGGTGTGGATGACTTGTTGTTAGAATTGGAGGTGTAATTCTATATAGGATTAAATATTCTCTAATTCGTTGTGATGTGTGTTGTCATTGGCCCTCACTTTTTGAGCCAAGGCTTATATAGCCAGGTCACTTTATTACTGCACATGATGTTCCAATATAGAATAGCGCTATTCTGACATTTGTGCAGATCAACGCACCATACCTGAAAACCTGTAACAATATTAGATGGATCCTTTCCTAAGACTACCGTTGGTATTTCAAGTCAAGTGCAGCTACTTGCTCGAGGCTAGCTCCGCGACGGCATCAGCATGCAGAATGGTATAGGTTATCCCAGCCGAAAGTACCGTCCCTTCATTCTCAATGCTGACACAGCGGATGACTGGGTCAACGGTTTAGAGTTAACATCCGTCCTGGATATCGCTGAGAATAACTTGCGGAATACAAGTGAGAGATTGAAAATCCTGGTACTGTACGGTAGTCTACGCAGAGGGTCATACTCACGGCTTGTGGCATTCGAAGCTTGCTGTATTCTCTTCCGACTAGGCTGTGATATGCGAGTTTTTGAACTTGAAGGACTACCGGCGAAGAACGATACGGGCCATAACCATCCCAAGGGTGCTGGAGCTCCGTGAGCTCAGCAAGTGGAGTGATGGGCATATCGGTAAAACCGCATGGCAATCTGGTTAGTGATCTCTTTTCCTTAATTATGTCAATACATCATGCGGTGAATACTTACATCCACTTTGGCCTTCGGATGATGCTAGAATGCGGTTTTCGAGAATCAGATTGACTGGATTCCTCTGAGTACCGGAAGCATCCGTCCGACACAAGACCAGACACTTGCAATTGCCCAGGTGTGTGGTGGATCACAATCATTCAATGCGGTCAACTCCTTGCGTATTCTTGGCCGGTAGATGCGGATGTTTACCATTCCGAATCAATCCTCGGTTCCCAAGGCATATAAGCACTTTCCAGATGAAGGCCAACCGTCCGATCAGAGACTTATCCCCAGTAGTAACCGAGACCGTCTGGTGGATTGCATGGAGGAATTTGTGAAATATACTATCCTGATGCGACCTCACCTAGCTCTTTTCCGAGATCGCTTCAGCGAATGGAGGAGAAGAGCGGCAGAGGCGAAAAAGAACATACATATATCTAGATAAGATAACGATTGTCCATATGTACATACCGGTTTTCATCAAACGATAAATGGAGCGTGTGTGATGGCATGCCCTTGCAATGTCATACCGTATCTTTCTGTAATAGAAGTTTTTAACTCCATCCCTTTTTCACTTGTGCTACCACGAGAATAATCCAGTTTAACTGCTTAAATATAGGATTCAGGCTGGAGGCAAGTGGTAAGTACACGAGCTACTACCAACTAGTCATCGTTTACTTCATCCAGGCTGACGCGTCATACTCATCCATAAATTCTGTGTATTCTGGCCCTGCCGTGGCCCAGCCTTTAATTCCCCCTTCAAGTACCAGGCTCTTCAGTGTTGTCTCCTGCTGTGCTTCGAGGTAGTCTGCAAACCAGCATGCCGCGCGTGTTCCACGGCCTCTTGACGATCCTACATATGATCAGAAATCAGCACTCGCACTTTTCCTCGAAGCCCAGGAACGAGAAACGAACCGCAGTACCAAATCACATGTTCCACTTTGCTGTTTACTAAAAGATAATAAATTGTTGGAATAGCTAAGTATAGACTCTGAGCAGGGAGATTCAACGATCCTCGGATTGTGCCACCCTAGTATGGGTGTCAGCTGACAATGATCTCTAAATCTGCAACATGCCAATATACCTCGAAATCAGTGCGCCGCAAATCTACGAGGACAAAGTCCTTTCCGGTTTGTTTACCTGCCTGAAACCACTGTAATAGCTCCTGACGAGATAGAAAGGGCGCGACACTTCTTGGAACAGGATACATTGCATGCCATGGAAGTTGAGTTGAAGACATCTTTAGTGAAATATGTTTCGATTGACAGTGTTTGAGGAGTCTGCTGTTTAAAGTTGCTGGCCCTACTCTTATTTTGCCCTGAAAATGATGGTTACGTTACTGTAGAGATGTGATGAATCAGGTGCTGTGCTGACTGGCAGGTGGTTCTGGATGTCACTTCCACGTTCTGATTGGAGGAAGTGGTGCTGTTAAATAATTAGGAGGCAGCTCTGGTTCGGCGAATTTAAGAAATCTGTTTCGTCGGCTGTTCTTTATTGTCAAATAGTATGGTTGTACGTAGCCAGGATCATGTGACAAAAGAGGGGTCAAAAGGTTCTGAGCATCACGCAACCAACATAATAACAACAAGAATAATCAATACGAATAAATCAATCAGTCCAAGCACTGCATGCGTACTTGATTTCTAGAGAGCTTGACGGCTTTGCCTTGTTTTAGTGCACACCCTGAGCAGCCTGAGCTGACTGAGCAGGGAGCCAGGGACTGAGCATAAGGATGAGTGGCCTGAGTAAGATAGCCCTTAACAAAATACACCACACTAGTTTTATCAGTGAACCATCTTCCTCCGTAACCACTTTTCTGTCTCTTCAACCCCCAAATAGCCCTCACGTCTGGTCCAACTTGCGCCCTAGTGGTCTTTCCAGCTCCCGTTGGGTTATATTGTGAGCCACAACATGCTGTAGGACTTCATACTTAGTTTAAAGGTGGATATGATAATTTGGGATGTATCAAACACTTTTCCCCAATATAAATCTGTAGTTTGGGCTACAATTTGGAAAGTTACTATTTCGAGGTGATTGACGAATTTGTAAATGTTTTGTGAAAATTGCAGAGGGCAAGCCAAACACTGCAAACAAATGCATAAATTTGTGAATAATGGTTACATACAAATATAAGGTAATTACACGTAACGTCCATTATCTCGGGCTGAATAAAAATCAAAATAGTCAGGATAACAGCTAGTTATCTTATTATTTGCCATTCATTTTAGGAGCCGTTTACTCATTCTGTGATATGTTGCGTGGCGATTTATTCAGGGAGTGCCAATTAAATTGTTCCTATTTAATTACCATCTAACCGTGAGATTCATTCCTCGACAAAACCGATCATCCCACCGGAGTAGTTTCCAGACTCAGGTCCTGTCCTTCCCCAGGTTGTCTAGGAACTGCCTGACCGCAGCCACTAAGGCGTGCCAATCTGCGGTAAATTGTCAGGTAGTATTCTCATCTGTGAGAATGATCGCGACAACATTCATTGGTGATTGAACAAGATTAATTGCCCAGAGATATAGAATCACAAGGGAAACGTCCTCTTGAAACCTCATCCCCTGTTTAGCTCTCTAGATATTCACAACGAGGGAGTTCCTTATCATGAACCCGAGGGGTTGGGCAATGCGGCCGCAGGTTGGGCAGTGCGGCACAGGTTTTTCGCAAGGCTTGAGGCGGCTCAAGCGAGCTCTCCACACACATATAAGTAGGCAAAATATGTGTAGTTTAGGAAATCAGACCTTTATTACCTCAATTCAGGTAGTCATATTATGAATACTATTGGTTGAACAAAATACGACCAATTTCATAAACACCACTATGGCTACATGCCCACTCTCACCGCCTTCTGGCAGTCAAACAGTGCAAACAAACAAATGACATCACCGCCAGCCTTCAACCGATTCATTCTCCGAGTTCTCACCGTAGGCACAACAAGTGGATAAGCGCTCCATGTGATATATGGCGCAGGAAATCAGCTGGAAAGATCAACTATTGAAGCCCTCTCGATTACAGTAACTGTTTAGAAGAAACAGCCAGCTTGTCATGTACAGAGACGGCACATCTCACCCACGCTGCAACAATGACATCCTTCCGAAATGTCTTCATCACCGAGTTCGGCAATGGATTGAGCATGTCCGTCTTGCGTGCCCTCTGTGAAGGGCATTTGGTTAGGGGATGTCCCCTCTTAACATTGCCATCCCCGCCTTTAACACATTCTTTCGGTAAACATGGCATGGGGTAGCCGAATAGGCGACGGAGAGCGTGATCTCTCGACCCATGTTCTATAATAGTAACCGCGCTCTCGGCAGAGGACTAGACAGGGCTATGCATGCAAATCGGGAGTGGTCCGGTCGAGGAAGGAGCCGGTACAGTTGTATAAACGAAGCCAGATCAACTTTGTCCGGTGTCTGCAATGAGAATACACGTCGACGTGGTCATGATTGCCGAGAGCACCTGTTCCCCCCTCCACCTGGCCACGTTCAAATCGCGACTGAATATTTCGGCTTCAATGGCGGCAACATCAACATACGCAAGGGCATATACCGGAACCCGGATCCCGCGCCCCTCACTCTGGGATGGAAAGGCCCGCTCGCTGGGCGAGGGATGCACCGCAGTCTAGCAAGATGACGCCGTGGTGATGCCGATAAAGTACGACGCCCAGGCAGAGCTCGTCAGTCAGCCCGAGAAGTACCGCATCAAAGTACCTGAGGGACTCAATCACCAGCGGGTCACGGCGTTGTTGTGTTGCTGGAGCACGGCCTATGCTATGGCGGCGCACATGGCAGAGCTAGCCAAGGGCCAGAGGGTCTTTATCCACGGGTTTATTTGGTGCCGTCTGCTGTAGTCTGATGATCCTTTGCGGCTTGTCGAAACGAGCGGGCTCTACCCAACGAGACAGTAGCTATTAGGTTTGGTATATAGAGATTGCTATCTGGATCTGAGAGTGCAATATTATATGCTTTTTCTATTGGTGCCTTTGCAATTCCATCTACAATCCGGTACAAGCTTTGGAAGTGTCGTATAGCCAGGAATTGAAAATTTTCCTTCTGGGGAACCGTGTCACCAGGCCAATTCGTAACTCAGTTGGTTCGCGAATGCCCAATATACGTAATGGATCAGCACAGGATGTACTAGTAGGTACTGGATTTCAAGTGTATCAGTTTAGTAGCACTGCAGATGTTGCCACTGCCGTCAGGCTATAAGACTGATACGGGCTGTGGGAAATGAACGTCAGAAGGCCATTGGGTCGCAAAAAATTCGACTCAGCAGTTCCACTGACTGATTCTCGAGGAAGTTAACTGCCCTATCGGTGCAACGATGAACTGCAGATAAAAATTGCAACGTTCATTCCACCCATGCCTCAGGGTTACGTAACAACAAAGGAATAACTATTAACCTGGTGAGAAATATCATCTACTGTTTTGTAGACGTATTGGCATTTCCAGCGTAAGGGGGTGGAGGAACTTGATCAGCGTTTTGGCCTTCGTGGATGCATGGGATTGCCTGCTGCGGGATTTGCTTCCTTCCTCTCCGTCTGACCCAAAAGAAGTAGTACAATGCCAAGGAGATCAAACCCACACCCGCAGCGACCCCAATGCCAATGCCAACCTTCTCACGGGTACGTAGCCAGTCTCGTGGCAAGCTCAACGAACTCGTTGGTACAGGCACAATGTCAGACTCTGAAGCCCGGAACCGGATCTGAATGGGGGTGGCCTGGACATAGTCCTGTGTACGCCGAGTTGAGATAGTCTCATCGCTGTATGTAATAGTCACAGGCGTTTCAAGACGCGATAAGCAAAATGTTTTGTCAATGAGACGATAGCCACTATAGGTGGAGTTAGACCGGGGCAGGTAATGGAACAAAAAGCGTACTGACCCAGGACAACAGAAATTTGTCGTCTCCTGACGCTGTTTCGATGTTGGAAGTGGGTAGGCATGGTAGGCCGACGGGCACATGCCCGGACTGTAATACACAGCGTCGCCCCAATTTGGCGGACAGCATTCCCTGCTCAGGGACCCTTGCGCACAGCCAGCTTCAAGCCGAGGAACTCCATAAGGAGCCAGGGTTCGCACATCAATACACGACGTTGGAGGCACGAAAGGCGTGGTGAGTGCCCCGGCCGGGGCCGCTGTGGTGTCTGGTGCGAGGTTGCCCACGTATCCATATGCGCTGGGGGACACAACAATAGCCGTCAAGAGGTATCTGGAGAGCTTGTTAGTTGACAGCATTTTCTCTCACTGTACGAGGAGGGAGGGAAGAGACTTTACGGCGGTATAATCTGCGCGTTCATGCCTTTTAAATTTAGTGGGTACGACGCACTTCCTCCAAGAAATCCGAGTTAAAGAAAGAACACGCTCAGTCTAGGCGTGAACGTTTAGGGTAAAGGGACTGAATATCATCTCGTATTGATAACCTATTATTATGATGCGCAGGCTTGTGGGGCGCGACAGGGCAACAGGTACATGGCGCAGCATCACGGTCGGAAAAATATTTGGAAGAGGAGTTTGTTTCGTCCTCGTGCGCAGGGAACTGATCTTAGTCGGTTACAATATCGTAGAAGGAATAAAAGATACACGCAGAAGTAGACCTTGGTCTATCGGCGCTGACCTCAGAGAAGCAACGGAGAATGGTAATAATTAAAGAAAACACAAAGTAGCCAAGCGTTGAATGTCATTAAAAATCCGCTACGAATTTGTTCAACCAGCAGCACCACGACAGAGACCACCAGGGAAGCATGCATTATATGACTGAAAGGTCATAAGTTCTACAAAGAGTCGTCCGAGGTTTTCAGGTTTATACTAGAGCAATGTGGACGCCATTATCGCCAACTAGGCTAAGGAGTCTCTCGATGATAGTAAAGAGATCTAACAGAATGTGCGCCGCTTTGCAGATGCACAGAAGGGTTCATTGAAAAATGTAGAGGTCGAAATCTGTCGACCAAAGTGGGCCAATATTACTACTCATTATTCAGCATCCGATTCCTTTGTTTTTCACCTTTTATTCAATTCTCTCAGATAGATTCAGATAGATTTAGAGACCTTAAGAGGCCTTATCCTTTTCAATGCAGATCCATAATATGATATGATCAGTGATACTAGCTCATGCGTATTCAGCTGACCGACAAAATCGAACTGGGGGTGCATTCGGGACTAAGTATGTCCCGATCGAGACTGTCGTGGGTGCATGTTCCCTTAGCGGCACTCCACCTATCATATAAAAATTATAGCAGTCGTATATGGACTGTGTGCTCTCATTAGAAGCACGGAATACCTGGTTGTTCCATTCGGTAACATAGTAGTAAACTAGGCAAGTGACTCTAATCCCCTGAGTTGGTGCTCCGTGCACTGAGGACCAACCACCATGGCTTCATCCTGGGTCTCTAGAAGACAGTAAGCCTAGGAAGCCTAACTCACTAGTACCAAAGACCATCATTGGGTTTGAGCCGCTGCTTCTTGCAATGCTCGTAATACAGATGAGCATAACTAAATATGTCCATCGTATTCTTCAAAGTACCGTCGTCGTGGAAAAACTCCAGACTGCCAGAGATCGTAAAAACAACCTTCGTTCCTTTGGTCATATGTAGAGTATGAATGGTTCCCGGATTCTCCACCACGTAGTCCCCCGGTTTGGCAACCCAATCGTATCTGCTGGGGCTCAGCGTGCCATTCGTTGGATATGAAATACTATTTCGCGGCAGCATACTCTTTGTAGTTCCATTGCCCTTTGAGGGTCACTGCCGATACGCTACCTCGATGCCGGTGCTTGCCCAACCACGTATCTTCCAAAATACGTAGGACCAACACAAATGTTCCGGTTCTGGTTTCGAAGCGCATTGGCTTCCACTCTAGGTTGTCGGTAAAGGGATGCCAGCAGGTGTCTTTCTCCCCATCGATGTAAACATCCGGCGAGCTATACTTGTCTGCGAGGGCGAGCTCAGAATTCCCGAGAGGGCTTAATTTGGACTCAGTACTATTGATAATGGCATCGCTTTTTTTCGGCACAGGACGCGTAGGCAGGTTATTCCCAAAGGGGTCTATTGTGGAAAGAGTGAAGTAAGATTTTGTTGTCTGAGTGAAACAAAAAAAAAATTACTCTCCCGGAAGGACGTTGGAGGACAAAGAGACCAGTAATATATCCTGCGTCCGAATGAATGTTCTTTACGATTTTCCTACGGATGGCGCGGACGTGTCATGCACGGAGCTGGGGTTCTAAACCCAGCTATAATTTACGCCAAACCTACTATTAGAACAAAGTGTACCTACTTGGGCCAGCAGCAGGTCGGCTCTGTACATACGAGCCAATAAAGTCAGGAGCGATGTCAAACACCCTAGACTATAGCTTCCCAGTGCAGTGAAAGGAGCACCGTATTGGTAGACTACTTCACAAAGGGAGTTTGTCTGATGGATGGTGGGTTAGCTGGCCGCTTCCGTCCTTCCCCGCAATTATGACTGCTGAACCGGCCATCCTGCTGAATTCCCATCTTGTACTTTTCACCATCTTAACGATTGGCGATTTTTCCATATACCTTATTGACATTTTCGGTGTCACTCGCATTAGGACTCTCAGCTGAGGAAGGCATTAGGCTGAAAAAACAGAGATAGTATAGATTAATAAATGAAAAAAGGCCTAATGGTTGACTATTATAATGAATAAAATAATTGAATGGTAATATAGCATATTGAGTGTGGGGAGGGAAGTTTGCTAAAGAGCTTTGTACAGTATATGTATCTGCAGAATCATCAGGCGATATAGTAGATCCTATATGGAGTACTATTCTCTTGGACGTGAAGATCTGGTTTTGAGTTCGGCCTCGTCATCTAGCCCTGATTTTGTGTTGGAATTTGAACATAATTATCTTAGGACTACCTGTATTACTATAGCAAGCAGGATGGCAAAAGAGAATGCGTACATTCTGGGTATACCCCATGCGATGCGCAGAAGATATTTACTTGTTGCATGAGCCTTTTACACCATGATGCGGCCTTGAGTAACCCCTAGAATATAATGAAAAGTTTTTCAGATTTTAAAATCGAATGGTTGCACAGCCTCCAGGAGAAAACCAGAGGGACACGCTTGCAAGGCATAGGCGTATTGGTGCAACATATGCCAGAGAGACCTATCGGCCTCTGCGAGATGCCTGTAGTTTTTTTGGCGAGGGGTAGATTGCTGAGATGGCGTCAAATCCCTGCAGAGGAGTATATTACACGTTAAATAAGTGGATCCAATAACTCTCTAATTAACTAAAATCAGATCTAGATTCTATGATATGCAAAATAGTCAGGCTTGTCTTGGATGTAAGAGGAAATATGATCCGCTTCTGGTGGTGTGCACTAATAATTGTTCAGTTGGAATCATAGTTAAAAGTTGCAAAGGGCTGGAGCCCATTTGACCTCTCGGGCCAATGTCCCTATTATCCCTGTTGTCCCTATTGTCCCTATTGTCCCTACTGTCCCTTTTGGCCCTGTTGGCACCTTTGGCCCATTTGCCCTCGATCCATATCACGTGACTTTCCACCTTTGTTCGCTAGGCACAATTCTCTTCATTTCAGGGGCTCGGGCGAGCTGACTATCTAGATGGGTGACTGTCAAATAATATGGCCTTTGGTGGACCAGAATCATGTGACTAGATAGGGTAAAACCTCCGCGGAGCACACAACGAAAACAACAGAAGAATAATCAACATAATCAAGAAGAGCCCAACCAGCTCAATTCATTCAAATAAGACCTTTTCACCAATCGTACTCTATTTCCTCTTCGGGACTAGCCGTATATCTGACAGTACTAAGGGGTGCCATTATTTGTACAGGGCATAATCTTACTTATACAGGGCACTAGCCCAATTGGGAAATACTTATTTGTACAGGTTGAGACTATACTAGATTAGGATATATCATGTGACCCACAACCTTGAAAGCATCATAGTATTAATGGAAATGCTTTTTATTCGATTCTCCATATAAAAGTGCAACATAGCATGACGCAATTATTAGACATTAATATACCAATTCAGAATACAGTTTGACCAGCCAATCAGAATGCAGATATCAAAATTCCACTGACACCCATGTTAGATCTCCAGATTGCCCTTTTCCTCGACCCCGTCCTCCACCCCGTCCTCCACCCCGTCCTGGAGGCATTTCTTGCCTTGACGCCTCAGATAATATCTCTGGCCCTGCCTTGTTTGATGTTTCAAGCAGTATGTTGTTTGCTGCTGCTGTAGCTATTATATCTGTAGCTATAGCCTCCCCAGACCTTGCACACCTTGCCTCTGCAGACCTTGCCTCTGCAGATATTGCCTCTGCAGATATTGCCTCTGCAGATATTGCAGCGGCTGCAAGTTCCTGACCTCTCTGAGCTATTCGTACCTCCCGATCCACCCGCTCATATAATAATAATTCTCGCTTGTTTGATCGACTGCTGTAGGAAGAAGGCACAACAAGTGGATCTAGTACTAGAAGCCGAGGATCTAGTGGTTCCTTTAAATAGCCTGTTATCCACCACTGGCGATGAAAATGGTCCATATTTAGTGATCTCTGGTTGTCTGCATATTCTTGAATAATATGGATGCAAGGAATTCCTAGTGTTTTCTGGATGCTTCCTGTACAAGGCTTAATTTGCCACTTCCCAGGGCCTTTAGGAAGATGGTTCTTGTAGATCTGACGGATTTTTAGTAGTGCAAACTGGGATATTTTGAACTTTATATCCCGGTAAAGAGGCAGCTCTAAAGATATAGGCCATCGTACCATATCTTCAGCAATCTGTCTCTCTATTTCTGCGTCTCTATCTATTATTGTACGTTCCAGGGACCTTGTGACCATTAAAAGATCTCCTGTAGTACAATCTAGATCCCGTTTGATGTTATGATGAGCACCTTCGTTGCGAGATGTTGCTGTATTTCCAAAATGTGTATAGGAATTGGTATAGCAATGAAGAAATTTTCTTGCTGTAAAGTATTGAAGCCATTCCCACTCCAGATAGTGTATTAACTCTGGAAAAGAGTTATATATCTGTTTAAATTCTTCCCATCTCTGATTCTTCTCCTCAATTGTGGCTGCAAAGACAATTTTGGTCCAGTTCTTTTCAAGATTTTGTATCTGCTTATCAATTTCTTCAATTCTCTTTTTTTGTGTCTTGAATTTGAACTGTACGAGCAATCATAGGCTTTGCTTTTGCTGTGATATTCTTAAGAATATGCCAGATACAAAGAAGATAATTGCTTTCAGGAAATAAATGTGTAACTGCATTTATTAAAGCCTTTTCTTTATCTGTAAGAATTGCAAGAGGAAGCGGAAGCCGAAGAACCCGATAAACTCTCCTTATTAAAGCTAGAATAAAGGAATAAATATCCTCTTTTTTTATGCTTAAAAAGCCAAATGCAACATAGAATGTGCCTCCAGTAGCTGATACACCAACAATATTAAGAAGAGGCATCTTAAAACGATTGGTTTTATATGTACAGTCCATACAAAGAATATATAGATTCTGCTTTAGCCGCTGAAGGCACACCTTATGAGTAAGAAATACAGCAGAAACATGCCCAGTTTGAGTAGCATGCTGTACTATCCAACTACCTTTATCCGGAAGGATAGTAAGTAAGGCCTGGATTGGGCTTCTTCCGGCAAGAAATCTTTTATATGTTGCTACCCGTAGATTGTAGATATCTTGTCGCTGGATTAAAGAATCCTGGTTCTCTTGACGGAGTATTCGAATAATTTCTCGAGTTGCTATGCCAACTTTAATAAAGGCCTTAATTTGTTCTTCTTTTTGCTTAACCTTTTCTCTCCGAATTAAAGGATGTGCAATAGCTGGTGATGGCCTATAATTATATATTTTATTCTGTACAATTAAGGTCCATTTTGTTGTATGTTTTAAATAGCTAATTCGAATGCTAAAAGGGCAGCTAATTCGTCGAGATTTAGCCTCACATTGGCCAGCAGATCTTGAAGTATGCTTTAGGCCTCGATCGCAGCCAAGATAAACTGCTTTAATAATACCATTGCGGTTCTTGTTGCGTCGAACAACTATGACTGCATAGCCATATTGTAGAGCATGTGCTTTTGCGGCCTTTTCTGCCTCTAAAGCAGTATTAAATTGTGTGCCGGATTCAGGAGAAGGTATTTGAGAAGGAGTATCATTATCTGAGAAATAATCCATTATAATGCTTATTGTATTGAAGTTATCCCTAGATATAAATATGTAAACATCAATAATATCAAAATATTTCCTAATTAGGATATTACTAAGAGACCTGTATAATTAAGATCCATCCCTTGGAGGAATTTTATACTATGCCAAATGTAGTTTAGTGCCCTGTATAAGTAAGATTATGCCCTGTACAAATAATGGCACCCGTACTAAGTAAGGCCACGTGACCATACCGAATATGGTAGGTCCCTAACAACTTTGTTTGTTTACCGCTCATTTTCCTCTTCCTTTCTTTCCTTCTTCAACGATTCCTTTTTGTACATAACCTATCTCATAGGTTCTAAGGGTTCAGCCGCTGACAAAAGTAAAATAAAGAATGAAAGGGTGAGCCACTCACGGAACAGGCTCTGCGCGCTCACTAGGCGGTTATCCGTGATGTGAATACTTACTAAGCAAGGCTTGAGTAGTTATCCTCATTAAATTATTAAAGCGGCGGTATTTAGAAGGGGAAAGTCGCAGTGGCTCTAGAGAATAAAGTCCATATAGCAATATATTTAAGGCTTTCTTGCAAATTGTATTCTCTTTCCTATTTGGGACTAGCCGAATATCTGATATTTATTGGCCTTGTTCCCCGGGCCTTGTCCAATCAACATCTGTCAGTGACATCCAGGCGGGATTTTCCGTTGCCAAGCCATATTCAAGAACGAAATAGAACAGGTCTCTATGTAACACACTACACACACTGTCTTGGCCTTACCGGTCGAGACAGCTTCCACAGCATCCCATTCTTTGTTAGCGGGCGAAATTGCCTTGATGCATGTCTATAAATTCATCCGTACTAGCCCATCTGACATAGCAGTCTCCTTTCCTACGAGTGTGGCAGTGTCTTCTTTATCAACCATTTTACTTTCCTCATCATATTTTTTTTAAATCAGAATTACGCAACCATGGCCTGTGTAGTGACTCAAGCTCACTCGGAGACACCCTCCGCTGTTGCTGGCCAGATCCGTCCACTGACTTGCGACGTGGAAAAACAGGACGGTTCAAGGTTATCAGATGGCTCCAAAGAAAAACAATCCGCGTTCAAGAATCTGGGAATATTTGACCGGTTCCTCGCTTTATGGATCCTCCTTGCTATGGCGATTGGGATTATCTTAGGTAACTTCGTTCCCAACACTGGACCTGCGTTGCAAAAGGGCAAGTTCGTAGGAGTCTCGGTCCCAATTGGTGAGCACTGCTGGTGATATTAATGACTTTCATTTACCAATCTTGCTTCGACAGCTATCGGCCTTCTGGTTATGATGTATCCTATCCTCTGCAAGGTGCGATACGAGACTCTGCATCATGTTTTTCGGACCCGTCAGGTTTGGATCCAGATCGCCTTCAGCATATTTGTCAATTGGGTTATCGCTCCGTTCTTCATGGTAAGTTGATCCTTATTGCGGTTCATGGAAAAATTGCTAATGTGGAGCACATTTAGCTAGCATTATCGTGGGCTTTTCTGCCTGATGAGCCAGAGCTGCGCCAGGGGTTGATCCTTGTTGGACTGGCGCGATGTATCGCTATGGTGAGTCGGTCCCAGCAAACCTCAGCCTACACAGCCTGTCACTGTACCTTTCAATACTCACCCTTTTCCAATAGGTCTTGATCTGGACCGGGCTAGCAGGGGGTGATGGCGAATACTGCGCTATTCTAGTTGCTGTCAATTCGCTTCTTCAAATGGTGCTATTCGCACCCTTAGGCGTCTTCTTTATCCAAGTGATCAGTGGCGACTCTGTTCAATTTGAATACTCCACTGCCGCCAAAAGCGTCGCCGTGTTCCTGGGCATTCCACTGGGCGCCGCAGTACTTACACGTTTCACCCTTCGATGGGCAAGTGCGCGATGGTACGATGAAGTTTTCCTAAAGTGGGCTAGCCCATGGTCTTTGATCGGTCTTTTGTTCACAATCCTCGTACTGTTTGCTTCCCAAGGCCGCCAGGTGGTGCATCAAATTGTCTCTGTTATCCGCGTTGCAGCGCCCCTTATTGTTTATTTTACGGTTATATTCTTTACTACCCTCCTCATCACATATAAAATGGGGTTCGGCTACAAGCTGGCAGCAACACAGAGCTTTACTGCAGCTAGCAACAACTTCGAGCTGGCTATTGCTGTCGCCGTTGCCACATTTGGAGCGAATAGTAACCAGGCCCTTGCATCTACAGTAGGGCCTCTTATTGAGGTACCGGTGCTGTTGGGGCTCGTCTACGCCGTGAAGTTTCTAGCGAATAAATTGAGTTGGAAGGATTAGAAACGATGTCCATATTAGTGACTAACTTCTAGGAAGAAAATGAATTATTATAAAGTGCCTATTTATTTCACCCAAATCAGTTTCATTGAATACTTCGCTGCAGGAACAACTGTTTATCCACTCAATTTAGGTCAGTTTCCTTCTTTCTGGCTATCTATCTGATTACATTCAATGGAGTGAAAGGAAAAGAAACATAGAAGGATGCAAAGACATGTGCAGCAAATACAGTCCAAAATAATCAGAGACTACCACCGGTCATGATGGCATAAATCTGAAAAGAACCTAAATAGATTATCAATACCCTTGCTAACCCAGTATTAATTGGAAACTTACCAACCCACTCGTTAAAATTAATTTCAGCAAAATCGACTGACGGTTTCTTAAGGGGAATCTACAGACCCACAGCAACCACCCTGAGCTAGGTAGGGTGACTGTTTATAAATGTTAAGATCTGCTTTCGCATCGAGAATCAAAATGTCTGAAGTCGAGTTAATATAGTATAATCAATATAAGATCATGGCTCTGCAGAAATTCGTACCTCTAAATCCGGCGCGCTCGAGATACTCCTCATATTCGGCAACTTGACTGGCACCTGCAATACATCCCACATAGAGCGCCATATCATCGATGATGTTTCTCGGAAGCTCCTTCCTTGCCAGAATATCACTGATAGCAACCCTTCCACCAGGCTTCAATAAACGAGCAATCTCCTGGAATACAGACGCTTTGTCCTTTCGTGGAACGAGATTGATGACACAGTTACTGACGATACAGTCAATAGTTGAATCTGGAAGCGGAATAGAGGTGATGGATGCTTCGATAAACAAGGTATTAGACAAGTCAGCGGCCTTGGCGTTGTTTTTTGCCAGTTCGATCATGTCCTGATGGACTTGTCAGTTCCTGATCGCATGTAGTGGTGCAATCTCACGTCTCACCTTTGTCATGTCTATTCCAATGGCCTTCCCTTGTGGTCCGACCTTACGAGCTGCCAGAATAACATCGATGCCACCTCCACTACCAAGGTCGATGACTGTCTCTCCCTAGAAAAATACAAATTAGAAATATTATCTCAATCCATAAGCATACATTAGTCCTTTGTTACCTCCTTTATATTCGCATATGCCATAGGATTGCCACAGCTTAAACCCAGATTTGCTTTTTCTGGAAGAGTAGAAAGCTCTTTTGCGCTGTAGCCGAAGGCCATGGCAATCTGCTCTTCGCCATCGTGTTGAGTGCCAGTGACGGAAGAGCGTCTAGCAATATCGCCATAGCGGAACTGCACCTGTTGATACATGTTTCCGTCCATCTCAGGAAGATTTCCTTTGATGAAATACTTACGTAACGAGTGGGCTTAAGTGGTGAGGGAAACGATTATGTAGGCCACGTTTTGGCAAAAATTGCTCGGCAGGTGTGAGGGGAAAAGGTGCAAAGTCTTATATTAATGTACCAAATGACAGAGCTCATAGTTTTGAAAGAGGGAGGGGCATTATTCATTGCAAGCTGAGGGATTAAAACTACTATTGAAATGTATCTTGCATAAGCAGTAGAACAAACCTTCTGATTGGTCGGCAATAACTGGTATGTCACCGTTTATGCACATTCAAAACCGACCCCCTGTAGGAAAGGTGAGTGGTATGTCACCACTTTTAAATATACTTCTAATGACTGTTTTATTGTAGGGAAGATATGCATGATATAGTGCGTAAGAAAAGGGGGATTCATGAGAGTAGTGCAACAGCTTAGCTGAGTTCTGTTATCCTTTCTTGTCCAGTAAATTGTAAACGATTGCATACCAGGTCTGTCACGGTAAATACCTCGCTATTACTCAACAGGCGAAGGGGATATTATAGAATTTCAGCAAGCACGGACAGCAGAACCCAGTTATCCACTCTGCATCCTTCTAGCGGGGAGCTAGCGTTTCTATAACCGCGGCGAAGCTTACTATCCAGTTCCAATATGTTGACGTTCTTCTTATTACAGAGATCGACAATCTGGATTGCAACAGTGCAAAGGGTTGTATCCTGGTGAACGGCGTCGACCAATCCCGCGGCGATTTCACCAGATATATTCTGGTTAGTTAGAGACAGAAAGTCAACTAGATGGGGCTCCAACACTCTTTCAAGCGAATTCGGTGCATAGATATTGGGCATCGGAAGGCCAAAAGAAGAATAAAACGCTGTAGGTGGCGAAAGTGCCAGGCCCGATGGTGACTGAGATACAAGATCTACGGCTTCTGTCATCGTCGTGGGAGACTCAACCGAATCAAAAATTGCCTGACATATGGCAAGTTAGCCACAGCTGCTGGAGACGCTGCTCAAGCACTTCTCATTCGTAAAGTGAGCAGACTTACATGTAAGGGTGTCGGATCAGAGTACAGTTCAATAGCGGACGGTGCTGTGTTTGTTACAGGACTAAGGCCTAATTGATTCTCGTCCGACGCCCCATCTCGATACTCCTCCGTGAGATGCTGTCCCAGGGCAATGTGATCCACATCACTGGAAGCTAACAGGTTCCGAAGCACCTGGTTTTCGTTGCGAATCCTCTCGTTTTCGTAGCCAAGCCTCTCGTTTTCGTTGCGAAGCCTCTGTTCCGTGGCTTGCAAAATCAAATTTGCCTGAGATTCAGCCTCCTCGTAAGATGCAATCCTACTTTCTAATTCGGCCACATAGTCGCGCTGGCGTTGTCGACATTTGCGCTGGTTCTCACGGACTCGTTCAAGGTCCTCGGCCTAGTATGAATGTCAGACGCGGTAGTCGTACAAACAGGTCTCGGTTGTTCTTGCCTTAGTCTTTCGCTTCACTCGTGGCATGCTAGATTATGTGGGATGTGATTGTGGGTTGGGCCTATGTGAAAGTCGTAGTAACGGTCAGCGGTGAGCATGCATGTAGCTTAGGAGGTACGTGTTTGCAACAGCAATTATTGAGACGGATCCTACAACCTAGTATGTGTTGGATTGGTGCGTCATCGACCCTTATCTAATCAGGAGATCTACGTACATATCACCGAGCTCACCCTGCATAGCTCAATCAATTCTTGATCATTTTCAACCACCAAAATGGCCATCAAAACGCGTCATTTATCTCTTCAAAAATAAAGGCACAATATTATTTGCAATTCAAGCAATAAAATCAGGCAATATTCAATCTATTTCAGCCGCAGCTAAACTTTATGGAGTGCCTCGGACGGCACTAAGCGCCCAATGGCCGTACTCCACGCGTTTGTTCAACACTAAACAATAAAAAATTGACATATACAGGAAGGCGCCTTAAAAAAAGGGATCCCTGATGCTGATCAACGTGGGCTGTCTCTAGAATCGAGACCGTACCCGATAGTGGCCAGTATTCTTACAAAAACCTTAATCAGAAAACACTGGGTCTCCCGCTTTACTAAACGTTATAAAAAGAACAAATTAAAATATGCCCGCAGATATGATTACGAAAGCCCTTATGCGAAGATCCAGATACTATAAATAACCGGTTTCAATTAGTAAAGAATATAATTGCAAAATATGGAATTATAAATAGAAGTATTTATAATTTTGACGAGTCCGGATTTCCTATGGGAATGACCAACTGCAAAAGTATAATTACCAATGTCTTTTTTTCTATATATTATTATACTAACTATAAGACAATGGCAACTAGGTTATTACTGGTCAAGTGTCCTCCCGCGCGTGTATAATTCAGCCAAGAAATTAAGAATAGGTTACTCTAACTAAAGCTATACAGTCTACTCGTCGTGCCTTACCACCAATGATTATAGTCGCTGCAAAACAACACCAAAAGGCTTGGTATATGGGCCTACCTGCAGAATGGGTAATTGGAGTTAGTAAAAATGGCTGGACTAATAATAATTTAGGTCTTCTTTGGCTTAAAGACGTGTTTGATAAGCATACCAAGGCTGCAACCGTTAATTCCTACCGGTTGCTTATTATAAATAGTCATGGGAGCCACACAACTGCAGAATTTAATCATTTTTGCACTAAAAATAAAATAATACGACTTTATTTGTCTCCTTACTTCTCCCACCTGCTCCAACTACTTAATAATTCAGGGCCATAATCGGATATCTAAATTTACATACTTTAATTGTTATTTTTAATCAATTTTAAATGTGCATTTTAGCGTCCACTTTGGTGGTTGAAAGTGATCGAAGGTATGCGGGGTGACCTCTCTGTGGGGCCGACCACTTGGCTATGAAATATGTTACTAACGTTAACTAGTATACCTAAGGCGACGGGTGGTGCAGCGTTATATTTCTCAACTCAATGTTTACTACTGAAGCAGTGTAGGTATCGACACCTATTTAGCCCTGGGGGGAAGGCCTTTGGAAACATTCGGGTAGGTTCCCCATCCATGGGATCACCAACGGGACTATCGGGGCGGGTGTGAACTTCTGTTTCTCGGATGTGGCAATCAATGTAGTGATCTAGTTCGGAGAGTTGGTAGCCTGAGAAGGGCCCCATGTAATTGCAGGTAGCATGCGGGGTGTACTTAAGGCCTTTGGGTATAACAGTAGTTGTGGCGATTGTGTTCTTCTAGTTGGTCAGCTAGTTATCTGGCGAAGTTGCTTGCAGTATTCCTCAAAGCTCTCTTTTTTACGTTAATTAATTGACTATTTATCGTGCACTTCAATGCATTGTCCAGCCACACCTTTTTAGTAGCATCAGACCAATCATGACAGCCGGCTTCCATTGACAAGTAGTTAAATTCGGCTGGGAACGAGGCGAACTACGACCGATTAGCTTGCTTTAATGCAGCTAACTCAGCTAACGCAGCTACAGCCTTCTCCTTCAGGTTCTGATCCTGATCTAACAAAGCGGTAAGATCAACACTTGTAATCTCCTTGTTAACAGACACCACACTTCTTTCCATCCATGGTAGCTGTTCCTTGTAGGCGTCCATACGCGTACCGCATACAATCCAGGTGGGATCCAACAGCTTCGGCGTCGACTTGTAGCTTAGGCCTTAAGTTGATGCGAAACTGCGGGAACAGCGCCGGGTCTGTATGGTTACATTCTTCTTCTTTTAGCCTTTGGACAAAAGCGGAGAATGAAAATGAGTGATTAATTGAATATATGCTGCTTATCCTGTCTATGACGAACATTATGTCTACCAGTTTCTTTACATTGGCCAATATAGACTGGGAATTGCGTCCGCTCGGAGCCTATTCTGTCCATTTATAAAATTGAACTGAATGAGATAAACAACGTCTGTATCTGTGGCAAATGCCCTGGCAGCCCCCAAGTCCCTCTGTAGCTATCCGATCTTGGACTCCAATGCAGCCACGCAGTTTATTCCCAGGGGCATACAAAGATAATCATAACCTGTAATTTTAGCATTGATGATTGCCTGCGCCACTTTGTCGGGCTCTCCTTTAACGAAATTCAGAATGGACGTGATCTGTCGGGACTCAGCGACCATCTGCTTGACACCGTGGCCCCATTGTAACCCTCGCTGAAGTCATTCTCAAATTAAGCAGCAGTAAGGATCCGGCTCGAAAAAGGCGCACGGAACCCACCGGATTCCACTATAAGGACTTTGATACCAAGGGCCTTGACGACGTAGAATAGGGACTCGTGAACAGCCTTGATAGCAAATTTACTGGCAGAATAAATAGCTCATCCAGAACGGGCTATGAAGCTATTTTTAGGTGATATTTTGTTAGGTAAAGGTTGGGAAGAAAAACGTGGAAATAAACATAATTACCCAGCGCCACTGCTAATAAGGATAATGTGACAAGATTTCCATGCAGGCATGACTGGGAGACAGGCTCGGACAGTGCGAAGAGGCACATAAAAAATTGACTTCCATTTGATCACAGACTTCAGTCTCACTTTACATAGGTTAGTAGCTTCTATCATGATAATATCCCGCGAAGCACTGACCTGGTATTACCAACGCCCATGAAGGCATAGCCCGCATTATTGACGAGGACATCAACACTGTGTTCTTCAGAGCACTTGGAAACTGAGCTTAGGCATCCTTTTAGTAGGATATAAGCCCATCTATATACCACCTTCGGCTGAGAATTCCGGATAAGCGGTTCTGCCTTACCCACGTCGCGTGTGGTTCCAATGACTCTCTGTAGCCAGCCTTCAGAGCCTCCAAAGCAAGCGACTTGCCCATGCCCGACAAGACACCAGTGATCAACCACGTGGGGCGTGTCGCTGCCATATTTATTGTTGTATTTATGTTTTTACTTGCGGCTTTGATTGGGTTGAATAGTTTTGAGTAACCAAGAGAGGGAAAGCGACGTAGATAATTTGCCAACTGGTCACGAGCTTCACGGTGCTATTTCCACCTTTTATTTGTTTTCTCCGAGGGATCAGGTTTCAAAACAACAGCTGTTATCAATCAGATCCCATAACAATAACCTTGTCGTGAGAATGGTTTTTAAGGCCAATACTTATCGATCAAGCGAGCCTGAGGTATACAACCTCTGGGAAAGCCATGATAGTAATATTTTTTTTCTGTGCCTTTTAAAGTGTAGGTCTTTTACTCTTCCTTTTTCCTCTCTTTTCTTTCTATTTTTATATGCAGAAAGATAGTCAATGTCAAATTCAGCTACAAGGATTTTACATAAAATGTATAAAATGTGTAATTTGAACAGCACACTAATGTATCTAAGTCAGAATGATATGATGACTGTGATGAAATTATGCCTAATTAATTCTCGTCTACGATAGCCCACGCATTCATCTACTCTACTTTGGAAGACAACAATGGATGATTTAAATACAGGAAGCATAAATTCATCTGCCATGTAGCTATATATTTCTAGAATCACCGCAACCCGACCTAAGCTTCTATCACCATATATAACTTTGATCCGACAACTAGCGGGAATAGAGCTATTCCATCTTTGACTCTGATGGTGCTGTACTATATGGCTAGGAGAAGGATTCCTTACAGTGTTCTGCTGTATTAAACGGCTCGAAATTTGTCACAATGTTGTTATAAGTGTTGACGAAGGACGTTCTTGGCTTCCAAGACAGCAACCCCTGTTCGTTGGCGTTGGAATCCATGGGAATTGGGGACGAGTCCTTTAAGCGGCGATCACATTGTCCGCCAGGCAGGATCAGATCCCCAGCCTTCGATTTCAGTGTGGCATACTGGTGGAAAATATTGTGCCAATTGGGCTGGACAGAACCGAACCCCCCAGGAACAATTTTATCAAAGACACTAACCACTGTGTTTTGAGCAACGTTCTGAAAAAAAAAGAAAAGAAAAAATAAAGAGGCGCATTAGTTAGCTGCAGCTAGTAATCATTGTCTTTCAACAGGGCTCTTTTACCTCAATCTGGCTTGATTGCGCGTAATTATCTGGCACGTTCGAATCCTGATTATAGTTGTCGATCCAAGTCTGGCTGGCTATGCGAACGGTTACTTCGAGGGATCTCCCAGGGCAATTTTATAGGGAAATAAGGAATAGAAGCATACAAGATAGAACTTCGCCATATGCTTTTAGTAGATCAAGGCTGTGGCCGGTCTCATGGATTGCGACATCCATATTCGTGCTGGTCCTACCGGAAAATACAATGTTGCCATTCAAGTTGAAGGCGTAGTCATTTCCTGGGACAGTCATGACATGTCGGACCTATCCTGTACTTAGTATTTATTATTTCTGCAACTTTCTCCGTGCCCATGACCTACCCAATCGCGCATCCTCACAGGGAGCCTGCCGAATATGTCAACTGTGGTAACTAGATCAACTGGCGAGTCTTTGTGGCGGCATAAAACCCATGCATCACCGCACTATAAATATTAGCCAGGGATATAATTTCCAGGGACTCAATCGAGTCAGTGTCTGCCTACATCATCGTAGTGGACATTGTAAACCTCAAAATCACTAGGATTGAGGTTAAGGTTGAGATTTGGGTTCTGGGCCATGCTCTTGCAATCTTCGGGTATCCAACCATCGCCCCATTTGTCCCAAGTACTGTGGGTTGGATGCAGGTTGTCTACGCTTCCTTGCAAGAGATAGCCCAGGTCTGGTGTCAAGGCCGGTTTGTCTAAACGTTTGGCTTGCGAAATAGCAGCGAGCACCGAGAGTGCAATCCCAAAGCCGGAGGTAAATTTCATAGTTTTCATAGTAGGCAAAGTAGAGGAAAAGGATTGGGATGATAGAGTGACATGAGGCGCCGGGATCTTTATATTCTGTATCTAAGAACCCAGACAATATCCTCATCTTTCTCGAAAGGCGCAGCAGCTACCATTCTTAGTCAACTTTTTCTCTAATAATCTGAGAAGATTTTGCGGTTGATCCAGTGCTGAAGCCCATAGGAAGATGTATCCGCTATAACCGGAAATAACAGGCCATTTTGCCGGATCCACTGTGAAGCTAAAGGCTACATTTGTGCATCTATCAGCGACGCCACACAACTCTGGGAGGCCTTGCTCTATAAGCCTCTGTCATGTCCCAAGAAGAATGATGTAACCCCCAGTTCCGTGTGGGCGAGCGTTATAAAATCCTTCCGTATGGGAGGCCTAACTTCAAGGATCGTCAGGGGAAATGTGATATTATGAATGCATATATATTTATACATGTCAACGAGCTGATACAACTTGGCACAACGGAGTAAACTAATCTCGACAGATGAACTTTATTCAGGTGCTCGAGTGGGGATGTTGGATAGCTATGCACCGTGACTATCCCTCTCTGGAGGTAAATTTCTGCCGATGGAGCGCTAGGTCTCGTAGAGTTTACTTACTTGGTAACATTTTCCTTGCCTTATACCCCACTCTCGAAGTCTATAAATAGTGCTCATAAATGTCATTTTTATTAGCAAATGATTGTGTAGTTTAATGTTAAATCATTCGCCTGTCTTTACCAAAACAGTGAGAAATCGCACTGCCAGCTATTCCAGAATGTGTAGATATTCTCTTAATCTCTCAGATACGGATTTCTAACGCGATATGAAACTCATATTTTGGGAGAAATACGAAACAATCCGACAGAATTTCGACTCTCTTATCTTTGCTATGTACAGAACATACTGCATACACAGGGACAATGAGAAGCTTGAGCAACAGGGCGAAAATATGCAGTAATCATACGAATAAGACACAAGACTGAACATTAGACCCAACCCGTACAACAGGCCACTCTGTACGTCAGGGGTGTAGCAAGTGGGGGTCGCTTTTTTTGGCCCCAACCTCAGCCTCCTCATTGTCAGTTTACTACTCCGTTCTGAAGGTCTTACTCTGTATTTTCTACCGGTGGAATGCTATCTTGTATCTCACGAACTTTCACAAAACGTAGAATGCAAATCCATCACAGCGCGGCACCAGATAATCGCTTGCCACACGAACCCGCGGAGATAAGCACTCTAGATAGAATAGGACGAATAATTAGTAAATTTCATATAGATTATTTAGATAGAAATATATTTAATATAGATAAATCTAGTAAATTTGTATTGTTCAAAACAATTAACAGGTCATAATGCTTTATATTATATATATTAAAATATTATACACAATGAAACATAGAAATATTTATAGAGCTTTCGAGAATACAGATATTGGTATAAACCTGGCCACTAGTAAATAGTAATCCAAATTATCTTGTAGCTACAATGATGATATTCGTTGCTTATAGCAAGCAGACGGTGTGTTATTATTTTGGCTGCAATAGCTATTTGCCGAAACTTCCTACTATGACTCACTATATTGGCTTTACTAGAAGCCTGGGCTTTCACTTTGTCGAATGCTTTGTCTTAATACTATATACCTTTTTACACTAACTACACCTTTTTGATTATCGGTCACTTTATCACGGGGATTATTGTTTTTTTTATTCTAAGTCAAGAGCTCCTTAATCCATTACTCTACTGATGATCGAGTTCTTCCGCAGTCTCCTATACAAACTACTGCGTACAAATAAAGCAGAGAAAAAAGCTTTGTGCATCCACCTAAGTACAGAATCTTAACCGGCCTCCCTGTGCTACATTGGCTTCCAAATAGCGGACAATCAGATCTTCCAGTCCCAGCGTTTTGACCATCCGAATCCACTCGGTGGATCGCCAACAATAGCCTGCTTGGCGGCCCCCCGGAGGAACAAAGTGCGGAGGCATGCGACGAGGGATTGCCCGGGACTTTAGGAGTTGTTAGCTGGAAGAGAGTAGGGGCGCGTATTTGTTCAAGCAATGGTCCTAAGCATTAATCAGGTTTATAGAGGATTGGATGGCGATCACATCGTCAAGTGGACAACCCCAAGGGTGGACTAAAGTGACTGCTGCGCAGCGCCAGCGGCCGAATATCTGGGTTTGGCACCAACTCCTAGTCGTATTCAGCAGGATGCAGAAGAGCGTTGCCTTGAGCTCGTTGGCTGTGAAGAACAGTCCGGGAGAGAGAAACACTACGTGTCCAAATCCCAGATTGTTACGGTGCGTGCGGCCCAGTAAGGAAGAGTACTCCTTACCGGACTACGATCGGTACTCGAGAAACTGAGTCGGTCACTACTCCCTTAGTTGCTCGTAGGCCTCCAATTCTGCATGCGGTAGCCATTCCGAGAGAAAATAAGCACTTGACGCACAATCACTCCTCCTGCTATTAATGTCGGGAATTAAAATAACTTGTCCATTTCTATCCTAATCGAGCTGCACGCTCGGATTCCTGCCAACTCCGTGTGCTGCTCTACTATCTTGGGCGCCAGCGCGGAGACCTTCTAGGAAGTAATAGTCGAAAAGCCGAAGAGCTAGTTGAAGGCCTCCATAGTACGCCCGTTGGTGTGGGATAGCCACTGCATTGGCCTGTATTTTAGCTTCTACATAATACTACATATTATAATTATAAGATATCTACGCCCATGGGAAGTATATTTATTTAATTATTGCAGCCCATTATAAAAATATATATAGCCGCGGCACAGATAGCAACAATTGTCCTTAGCAAAGAATTACTCCAATCCTGCCATGGATGCCCTACACCACCCGTAGACGAGCTGAATATTTTCCAGTCCAATAATAGATTCTATTCTGAAAAAGATGATAGCAGTGATTTCGTGTTTTGCGCCAATTAATTCCAAATGTACTTGTAAAGGGCTAGGAGTCATTTAATTTCTCGGGCCTATGGTTCCTGTTGTCCCTACTGTCCCTACTGTCCCTATTGTCCCTTGAAGTACATCACGTAATTTCCTTCCTGCTTTCCTTCCTTCTTTCCTGGTTCGGAGGGGGAAATAGAGTACGATTGGTAAAAATGTCTTATCTGAATTTCATTGTTGTGGAATTCAGGGGAAGTGATGCGCAGGGAGCTATTCTATCTGTCTTGGGCCATTCGGTGTCCTGCTACGTTACGCTATCTAGCCCAGATCATACTCTCTGCCAGGCTATCGCCATCAAAAGAAGTAACTATTGGCGAATGCTGTGTTAACCGATACATTAAATGACACAAAGAGCTATGCTCTAAATATAATCTTCAATTTATTTTTTGGAGTATGTTCGTCTGGAGCTCCTCTGGGCCTGTATGTTTCTTAACTAGTTACTTTGTAGATCTTCAGGTAAGCCCTCCGCCAAATGGGATCCTGACTGGATAGGCTCAGGCTAAGAGCTTGTCAAGACTGAGTCCAACATAACTGCGAGTATTTTCGTCGTTCCGCGGCTAACCAGAACGGATGCTCCTTGGTCAGCCTCATTAAAGGGCGATGAGGCGATAGCTCCCACACGATCGAATCCCACAGACGCATATTAGATCCACATAGTGTGAAACCCAAGGCAAATCGACGAGTATCTTGTGTAGTGAGAACCTCCCTTGCATAACGACACAGCCCTATTGGTGGAAGCAGTGGTGAAAGCCCCAATGGTGGCATTCTTGGTGGCATCTTTCGTGGTGATAGTGCTACTGGTGATGTAGCTAGCGGCCTTGGTGATATTAGTGGTCTTGCTGAAGGCCTTCTACGCTAGTTCCGTGAGGAGGTTCAGAAGCCATATTGGTGCAGCCATCTGTGAAGTGAATAATATTTTTTTTCTTTTAATTGGATGCGCGCTGGACACAGAGTTATTTGATAAGGGTGTATCGAATATCAAATTCTCGAATATTAAAAGATAATAACCGAGAAGATCGCGGCGAATGCGCATCCAGAGCAGCTGAGTGGCCGAAGGGATCCAAGTGTGATGATCATATACACCTTGGTAAAATGGATGTATTCTATCTAAGGTGGCGATCTAACGAAACATCAAACGTAGAGAAGGAAGGAAGAAAAAATTCTATCGTACAGGAAATGTGGGAAATCTCTACATTGTGGGATCAACAGTGAATGAAGCAGACTTGGTGCCTCGGGCAGGTTTCGACCTAGGCCCTGATAATCAGGTTGGACATCAAATTGATCTAAAAAAAAAATATAATGTTCCCACTATTTGTGGGTAACCTGACCCTCGTCAGCCTTGGCGCTTAGGGCTGTCCATCCCAAGCAGCGTTTAAAGACGTTCCATCCCCAGAACTGCCCCTAGCAGCGGATTGCGGCAACTTTGTTTCTGTAACAGCCTGAGCCGGCTGAGCAGGGCCGGGTGTTTCTTGGGGTGTGTCCTGGTTCTAGTTCGGCGTCAGCTCCTGTAGATCAGCAGGGGCAGTCTGTAGTAACTCACTTTCCCTTTATCACCCCTATTCCCGGAGTGGATATATACCTCTACTCCATTGATGCCCTTTCTGCTGCCATATTCAGCGCAATCACTAGAGCTTTGCACATCTCCCAGGTCTGATGAACCAGCCGAATTAACCGATGTAATGGGCTTCCCAAAGACGACGAACATATTGCCCAGTGAGCTGCAGTTGCTAGCAGTTGGTCGTTGAAAGTTCTCTGTAAATCTTACTTGCCCATTTTGGAAGCCAGTAATACCACCCCCTCCCGGAGGGAGTTTGTAAGACCCAATATGAATTTTTCTCCCAGATGTAATGTTAGTTACAGTGCCGACCCAAGTTGTATCTCCACTATTGTGGACCGTCAAGTGGTAGGTGTGAGAAAAATCCCCCCTGAAAAGAACAGAGCAGGAGTCGATAACCCATAATTGCAAGGCCCGCAATTTTTGTTATTTGTCGTAGTACCAGGAACAAAACCATGGAACTCTGCCTGCAGATAATTTAATCTTCCATTGGCAGAGGCAGGTTGGAACCCCAGGGACCAGCCGTAGGAATGGTTGCCAAAACTAAATAATTGCGACAATATATACTTTCCATCCCTGTCAGCTTCTTTGAATGTAATGGGGAATGACAGATCCGAAAGGCCAGATGATGTCACATTGGATACGGTCCAGGGTACGGTGAATATTTTTTGGATAAAGGCGGGCTTTTTTTGAAACCAACTTTGACCTCAACGCCATCTGACAGCCTCTGGGACTTAAAGTCTTGCTTGCCGGCACAATCATACACCTCATATGCATTCTCCAATTCTCCAGGCCCGACACCATCTGTTGAAGTTGTGGGTACCCCAAAAACCACTAAAGTTTGACTGAGAGACTCACAGGTCGCCGGCAACCCATTATTGAAAGGCCACCACTTAACAAACCCAAGCTGTGTCCCCTGAATACCGAGCGAGCCTGTTGGCAGTGTATACGACCCGATATGTGTCTCGATGCCAGTGACTGTGTTAATTAACGTGCCATTCCAAGTTGTGCCTCGTGTATTTTGAACTCGGAGGTGATACATGTTTGAGTAGTTGCCGGGTAAATCGATAGCGCAGCTAACACCAGGGCCACCATCAGCACCATTATGGCAGTTGGCGTCCTGGGAGATGGTGCCGTTGACAAAGCTCGAAAACACAGCATGGATGACGGTTTCAGATTCTACATCCGGACGTGGCTACAATCCTGTATACCCGAGATCAGAAGTACCAATAAATTCAAAATCCTGTGCAAAATACCAGCCCTCTTCGTGAATGGCATCCTTTATTGACATAGGAAATGTGATGTCTCAAACCATGGAGGGGCATATTAGGCATGTTCCACCTTATGTATGCGAGATAGTATAGCAGAATACACCGTTGTTTTTATGAGATATTTATCTAATTGTCCCTTAGGTAGATCTGCATGGCCTCGTATGAGGAATCTTGATCCAGAGGGAGAGGCAATTATTGCGCGGTCAAGCGAGCACTAGGGCTCTTGAATATGCGGACAAAGCTATGTAGAGCAACGGTAAGATGCGTGATACGTACAGGCTTGACGACAGTTAGTACCACGAGACCCTTCACAATATCACCGGGGTAGTATTGACGGTACGGCTCGAGGGGCTGGATGTTGAGGTCGGCGAGATTCCCCTTGCGCGATCATTGTAATAGCGAGGTTAGTCGAGATAGTAGAGACATATTGGTCGAGAGTACGGGCGATGGCGAAGTCTGGACTCGCACAAGGGTTCATTCTCTGGCAATTGTTTGTCGCGAGGAGCGGTAGATGGGTGATGTCATCTATACCAAGAGCTTGGCTTTGACACGCCTAGGATAAGCCTTGCATCTTCCCAAAAGTACAACTAATACACGCATGTGAACTCCGCAGCCACCGGTACCTTCTGAATAAGGCAGAGTACAACTCATTGAGAATGAGGCGGGGGATCAAATATGCCTATATAATGGCATGAGAACCCCAGGTAGACTCCTTGAGAATGCTATAGTTTTTTATCTCTCTCCTACATCGCTATACTGCTATATCCACTGTCCAAAGCCTGATCTTTTCGACTACAGACCCAAGCTAAACTATTGTTATATACCACTGATAAGCCGTTCCTTGCCTTGGGCTTTTCTCATTCAAAACGATGTTGCAGAAACAGACGCAGCCACACCTCGAGCGTCTCGAGCCCATGCTCGGCGATCCTTTCTTCGAAAGCATCCTCTGGGCCCAGGAGTACGACCTAAATGGACTGGACAAGGGACTGCGTTCTAGGATCGAGTCTGGGCAGTTCAAGAGGGTCGTCTTCTATGGGATGGGATGCTCCTCGGTGGTGTCCGACATCGTCAAGGACTTCTAACGGAGCGCATCCCGATGCACGTCCAGGTTATTAACGACTACGACCTGGACTGGTTTGTTGACAGAGAAACCATGAAAGACCCGGCCACGCTGGCATTCATCTGCTATAGCGGCTGGTCGGTCGAGCCGTGCCTGTTCTTCGACACCATGCGAGAGATGACCCGAAACAAAAACCTGATCGTTCTCTCTGGAGGCGGGAAGATTGCCTCTCTGTGCAAGGAGCACGGCACCTCGCTGATCCAGTATAAGCTACGTCATGCCGACCGGGAATACCCCCTCTATCACGTTCAGCAGTTCTTCTCGATCTTCCTCGATCTCTTCCACAAGCTGAAGATCACAAACTCCTCCTACCAATCCGAGCTCGAGGACTCGGTCAAGTTCCTGAAATCCGAGTTCCACGAGGGAACCCTCAAGCGAGCAGAAGACCATCGCCGAGAAGCTGAGAGGGAGCCGGATCGCCCTGCTGAGCACAGTGGACTGGTACGTCACCCTGCTCAAGCAGATAGCCATGTTTTTCAACGAAATCGCCATGGTTCTGACGCACTGAAACCTCTGCACGAATTCTCCCACACTGAAGTGGCTACCTATTCCGATCCGGCCGAAAAGCAGGCCATCGTCACCTTCCTCGACTCCAATGCCGACGACTACACGAAGGGTAAGATCAAGATCCTGGAAGGGCTGTTCGGTGGAAAGAATGTCCCGCAGAACCGTAACATCGAGTTTGTCAACATCGACCTTAACCAGGACAATTTCTTCAAAAAGTTCTTCTTTGGGCACTTTTTCACGGTTTATGTTCGTTCTACCTAGGAAAATACGCCGACGTGGAGGGGAGAGACTTGATCTTGATCGCCGCGAAGAACCCTTGGTGGAGCCAGCGCAATATCGAGCTGCACCCTAAGTGTGTCGATATCCCTTCGGTTCTCGAGTCCTAGATAGCTGGTGGCAACCTACACGAGCCAGTAGGATTGCAGGTGAATGGATGCTGAACAGTTTCTGTCTTTCCAACAAAGGGGAAATGCTATTTGCGCTGTTCTCTCTTTAACAAAGGGAAATGCTACTATGTTTGGGATGGAAATTCTTCTAGTTATCTTACATTACGATAATTCTGGAATGGATTCCATCTTCAAGTTTCTATTGTTTTAGTAGTAGTAGTAGTAGTAGTAGTAGTAGTAGTAGTAGTAGTAGTAGTAGTAGTAGTAGTAGTAGTAGTAGTAGTAGTAGTCGTCATTAACGTCCAGCGGAAGAACCAGGCGTGGCCTGTCTCCCTAGAGCCTCCCTTGGGGCATGGGGGACGTGCTAAGCTAAGAGTACTAGTATACATGGTCTCCTATTCCAGTTGTCGACGATGTCCCTCCATGTGCAGTGTGGTAGAAGCCGGGTCTTCGCTAATTGACCTCACGTAGCCTTGGAAGAGTCCTAGAAAGCAATTTAAGCGTGCGCGTAGCCGTAGCCGTATTGTCTGCCGCCTATGCCCTACGTATGGCTGGGCTACACAAGTTTCTATTGTCCCAGCCCGGGCTGTTCATTAGGAGATGCCTGCGACATCGCGTAAAATTCGCCCACTGATAACCACTGTGATAGCAAATTATATACGACCACTTGGCCCGATTTGGAGCATAAAGCATTGAAGATAATCTGACAAGGGATGTATTGTCGATTTGCCAACATTTGTTACATGATGCGCCTTTGAAATATAGACTTTAGATGCAGGAATAAGTCCATGAGCCATGCCGCAAAGACTAGCACGGTCATGACTGTTGCCACCCAAGATATGGCGTTGGATTCCAGCTCCTCGCCAATGTAAATCGTGGCAATTGTGAAGCCAACATTCGGGAAGACAATGGCCCACCAAGGAAGGGTGAAACTCATCTGTGGCTGCGCCATATTATTATTGCCGCATTTGGAAATTATAATGGGCAAGTGAGCGACCAGTGCAATCGCGAAAAGCCAGAATGTGAAGAGCCAAAGGAAGATGCCTATCCACAAGGCCACGACGTTCAGGGTTTCCGAAGCAGTAGGGTGCTTCGCAAAGTATCCATATTCGTCAGGGATCGCCTTGGCGCACCCAATGAGAGCCACAATGGTGTATCCCGATGAACCCACGGATATGAAGAGTCCGGGTCTCTGGTTTGCCGGACCGAGACCGTTGATAAGCATGTTGCCCACGAAGAGCGGAAGAAAGAGAAGGCACAAGATCCACCCAAGACCCTGAAAAGCAATGCCGGCAACGATGATGGCCATTTGTTGTGAGAGAGGCTGATGTGCCGCAATACACGACGCGACGGTGCCGGTCAGCATGGCGTTAAAAATCATCAAAAACATTGGTGGGCTCATGGTGCCAGGCTCGAGGGGGTAAACGACAAACATGACGACGAAGATGACGACGTTATACGTCAGGGTGATAGCAGCATAGGCCCAGAAGAGAACCCGGACGGCGACGATGGCCCAAGGACCGGCGTGAGGAACACCGAAACGCTGCATGCATATGATGATGGTCGCCATCGAGAGCCATAGAGAGCCTGTGAAGTAGGCTTCGGGGGGTTCCGTGACGGATCTGCGTAAGTTCGAAGGTCTCTGTACGAACCGACAGATCATGGCTGCGGTGAAGCAGACGAACAGGACTAGGTTAAGGATGAAGACTACGACACCGGCGGTCTGCAGCCCACGAAATTGATGGGGGGTTTCGGACAGGAGAATGGCCACGCCGCCGGTAGACTGCGTGCAGGTGAAGTTAGCCCATGTGAAGTGATCGAGCAGTCGGACCTCCTTGGCGGTGCTTTTGACTTTGGGCTCTGCATTGTTGGGTGGAGCGGCGTTCCTCGTTGAGGTTTTATGCTGCTCTTCGTCTGGCATAGCGACATATGTATATAGATATAGATATAGACTAAAGGCAGGGTCTCAACCGAGCGGAAATGGCTGATTTCCGAAGAATGGAAAGAAACGACGAGGTGCGAGGTTGCAGATGGCCGGGGGTAGAAAATGCCCGCGAGGGGTAGCTAACTAGCTATGAAGCGAGCGTCCCTAGCGAGAATTTAATGGCGGGTGATATAGGGGCGCCCGGCACGATTAGCTAATATCCGGACATTGGAATAAGATACAGGATATCCAAATGCTAGAGCATTTGGACTTATTTTAACCCCATATTTATTAAGATTTTACGGGTCCCCACTACTATAACATGAGCATGAGGCCCTAGAGGCAAGCTAGATCTGCAGCGGGGCCCCGTGTGGGTATGTGGACTAGTGCCGCAGCCAGATACTGGAAGGATCCAGGAGTCTAACATAACATAGCAACTTCTCTTATATGTTCGCACAAGAGGTCTAATATGTATCCGGAGAACTATGATCGCAAGACGTTGATTTTGTTAGTTGTCGAACATGAGCATTGGACGATCTCAACCTTCCACGGCAGTCACCCCAGATGACCCAGAATTGCATGTGGCCTTTCCTTTTCCCCCTCCAGCAGAAGTATTCAACCAACTCAAGTATGTTTGCCAAAAAACAGAGAATATCGATGTCGCAATTCCCCGAGACTGGGGTTGGATATATGAAAAGTTGAATGTCGTCACCAAAGGCCAAAATAGAAAGCTTCTGGGAATACTTATAGATGCTTTATTTTTCACTCTTTCAATTGTACCCCAAAGCCCATCCCCGGCGAGAAGTCCATGAACTGCAAAAAAATAGACATTGAACAGCGGAGTATAAATGGCTTGGTTGGCAGCTACCTTCGCCCCCAAAGACAGAGAGGGTGAGCTGTAATTAAACCGCCGCCCTAGGAACAGGAACCATTCATAACTAGGAATCGCGATAACAAAACCGGCGATGGCACTCCGCAGCGAGCGATAATAGTCGAAATCATCATCATCCCCTATCATTTGTGCTGAAAAGTCCCCAAGACAGAATATCAGCGGTGTAAGGCACAGTTGGGTAATATATGGTCGTCGGCTTTGAGAGCGTGAAAACCAGTCAAATAGTGATGCAATGGGTCTCTGAAGTTTTCGGGCCACCGGCCTCGGAGTTGTGTCACGAGGAACGGCATCTTGTTTTGTTTGGGAATTCGTGGCTTGAGTGTGGTGATGGTTCACTGGTATACGACTCAGTAGCCTGAGACGCGACCGAGGGAGCCGGACTCCGTGTCGAAGATGAGGATGGGAACAGGCGAGAAGACATCGAGGAATCAGCATATTTCGTGTGAGGATCCGAAAGAACGCGAGCTTGGCAGAAGAATCAAACCAGTCGGATGGGATTCATTAGTTTATAGAGACCGCAACTCGTTCGATTTGCCCGCGACTGGTTAGGCTTCCAATTTTGTTGGAGTAGCTATGTCTGTTGTGCCAATCACAAAAAGAGTGGAGTGGAGAGTCGCAGTTCGGAGGGGGTCATGATTTAGTGCGAGGAGGCCAGAAAGCTCAGAAAGGGTCAAAGTGCTAAAATAGATTTCTAACTGTCAATTGATTGGTCGGATCTATTAATTCTCCAGTCTCGAAGTGGATCAGGGGATTCTACCTAATACGAGTAATTATTTAAGAAGAATAAATATAAATAAATAAATTTATCTAAACAAAAATATAGAGAATTTCATCTTAGCCTTAGGGTATGCTTAGGTCTACTTAGTAAGTAAAAAAGTCTAAAATGAAAAGAGAAAACTATTGCCCCAGCTAGAAAATCAAGTATACCTAGAGATATAGTGACGAAACCACCCGGTAAGGCCAAGATAGTGCTCTAGCTTAGCGGGAGTCTTCGGGAATAAAAGGTTATGTATAGCCTAGAGTTCTTCTTCCAGGGTTAATAGCCCGGACCTATTAACCCTTTGGCCAAGTAGTTTAACCGAAGGAAATCCTATAAAGGCTTTCTTAGGTTCAAGCTTAATATTTAACTGCTCGAACCGCTTGAAAAATTTGTTTAGGTGTTTAATATAGTTTTTAAGTATCTTGAAAGTAGGAACAACATTATTAATATAAGCTCTAGTAAATAGAAAGTCTTTAAAAATTCGGTCTATGTGTCTTTAAATAGAGTTAATATATCCTATTATAGCTACTTGGAAAACCTCCTGACCATGGTGGGTAACCACGGCAAGATAATTTACGTGCTTAGGTTTAACTAGCTATTAGTAAAGAACTTGGCAGTGTTAACTACTAAGATATACAGACAGTCCTTAACCATGGTAATAACTTCTTCCTGAGAAGGTAAAGGATAAAGATCGGGCTTAGATTTTTTATTTATAGCTTAAAGGTCGACAACCACACATTCCTTAATCTTAAACTAACAAAGTTTATTATTCCATACAGGTCTAATCACGACAAATACTGGATAACCGCTAGGGCTATGAAATCAGGTTTTTAGCCTTGCACAAGGGCCTAAATATCTTGTTAATAGCGGTCTCCCCCCTGGGTCCTACCCGGTAAATCCTTGCCTTAGGAATGTGCTTTTCCCAGCCTGGTTGTAGTGGAATCTCCATTTATTTATTCCAAGGTATTTTATAATTCCTATATTGGAACCATCAGGCAAAGCCCAAATATTGTGATTTTCGAGGATATGTTGAACCTTAAGGGCTTCAGGGCCATTTCCATGGATGGTAATGCTATTGGGTAACACTAAATCGAGCCCGGTTGGTGGTTCGGTACCAACTAATAAGGTATGGAATGCTTCGAAAGCCTAAAGTGCTTTGGTAAACGAACGTTTAATATACCAGTAATATATAAATCTAGGTTTACTGTAATTCTCCTCGCATTTTCAGAGTTGTTCGGCGAAACGACGTGTATCCCGATTTATTAAGGCAGGAAGATTAGAGAAGCTTACTCCCGCAGTGCCTTTAGCAACTGACGGTTTCTTTGGCTAGTAGGGATAACTAAAAGTTGGAATTACTAGATCTTCGCCACTGGGCAGAAAGGGATCTAATTTAGCCCTGTACGCAGTGGCAAAACAGTTGTCTATGTTAAGCAAGGTACCTAGGCGGTAGCGCCTTGCGAGCGTCACTGGCTTGTTTTGGTTGTTTAAGACTTTAAAAGAAAAGGAGTTGTTTACTAGATACGCCGAGATACCAAAGGAGTACTATCCCAAGGCTTAAAAGTGTAGTCGCGGTCTCCAAGTAATCCTGTTTTTAGCTTAATAGGAATTTTGCATTGGGTCCTTAGTAAAATAACCGCTCGGCGAGCAGTATATACCGCCTGCTTGGGTTAATAACAGGGCTTTGCCTTGCAGATAATAGAAAAAACAAATCCTTTGTAGGAAGTAATTAAAGCACTTTAACAAGCAAAGTTAAGTAATATCCCTTCAGGCACAAGTATGTTAATGCCTATTAACAACTTGGCCTAAATAGAAGGAACTAGATACACTTATATAGTAATTTTAGCAAAAAAAGCTCCACATAATTTACTTTCAAGCTTGGACTCGGAGCTCCTGGGTAAGGCCTTCGCGAAATAAACCGAAAAAATAGCAGCATTTATTAAATAGTACTTTGTTATTCCTATCCCTGTTACCGTGATTGGAGAAACTTCTTTAATCTTAATATTTGGGATATTCCTTGCAAAAGTCTTATTAATAATTATTAAAAAACCACCGGAATCCAAACATATCTTGTTAACGTCTGGTTTAACCCAACTGTTGCGGTAGTGCAACGCGACGTCCGAATATTTACCAAGTTGCAGGAAGTAATATTAAGAATTCGATTTGATTTAACAATTTCAACCGAATTGGCTTCGACAGTCAGAATTTGGGTGTTATGTCCACTGTTAGAACAAGAAAGAAGGTGCTTATGCAACTGATTATTTAACAAGTAGGCTTGACCGCAACAGGTGCATAATGTAACTATATCACCAACATTACTTTTGTCAACGCCACTTAGTTCAACGAAAGGCAAATAGTCAGATTGCCGGTCAACCTCCAGAGGTTTGACCTCTGTAGTGTACGTATTATAGGCGTTAAAGGATTCGTTATATAGCTCGCCATACTGATGATTGTTAAATCCCTAAAAGGCGGCGTTATCAGGGACAAAGTGTTCGTCGGATAGCGGTGCGTAAGTATTTCCAGTATTATTAACAGTATACGCAGTATCTTGTTGGTCTGTAATCCCTGCGGGTGTCTGGTTCTCGCTTGTTTGGAACAATTTGTTAATGCTCCTTGACGATTCCAAGAGCTTTGGTTAAAGTTCGCAGGATTAGCTGGTTTATCTGCGATCTGGAGCTGTGGTTTTGGTAGATCTTGCGGGGTCATTTGTTGACCGTTACCATTGGTTTGACTCGGTTGGTAAACAGGCTGATGCCTAAACCCATTATATCCACGTCCGTTATCTGACGTCCAGGCAGAGTATCCAAATCTCGGCGTTAGAGACGGGGAGGCTTGGAACAGTGGCTAAGCGTAGTACGGGTAAGAAAAAGCCTGGGGAGGTCTAAAGGGCTGCCTAAAGGCATTAGCTTGAGGTCCTTGACAGTTATTCCTTTCAAAGGGCTTCTGTGTCTGGGCCTGCGGAGTAGCTTTACCATAAGGAGGGCCTTTAGGGGTCAGACAACAGGATGCCAGGTTCTGCCATAGAAACTGTTGACGTTTAAGTTCCTGCAAGAATTCCGTTTTCGAGGTATCTGGCGTCGGTTGCCTGTCGTGCTGTTATAAAATGGGATCCAAGGCATTCCAGATTATAGCTATCTGCTAAAACGGCGAGGTAATCTCCGCAGCTCGGGCTAAACAAATAACCTCCTCTGCAAAGGCTTGTGGGGATTTACCTGCGGTTACGTCTCCATAAGTGTACCTAAGCACGTTAACCTTGTTTAAAGCTTCTAGAGGGTTTGGGTTGAAGTGTTTACTAAGTTGGCTTAACCAACCTTTTGCAAGTTGCAAGGATCGCAAAGCTGCCTTCTCAAACTCCGAAAGCTCCGATATAAACCAGCTTAAGAATAATCCCCGACGACAGGCTTGATGATTAGCTTTTACCATCGCCTCACCTTTATAAGCTATTATGTCTTTAACCCTGTCCACAAATACATTAATATCCTTGTAGTAGGCGTGGTTGTTCACTTGTTTCAACGCGACATCCTCCTTAAGGTCTGGCCAGAAGTAGCCCATTTCTTCTGTTTTCCAAGGGCCACCAAGTGTTCCATTTGCCGTGGGGCCAGGAGGTCCTGGAGGTCCGCGATCGCCGGGTGGTCCGGGTGGTCCTTGACGGGGTTGGGATCGGTTGTTATCCCGGTTTTCCAGTCGTTGCAACCGGTTATTTATCTGGGTTATCGAGGTGAGGATTTGGGCCAACGCATCCTGCGAAGGATATGTTGTCGGAACAGGAGGTAAAGGGGTATTTACGGGACATCCATCTTGGTAGCTGATCGTACTTGAAGAGTTTCCACCAGGGCCGCTAGGCTGGTGACTTGAAGTGTTTAATCCAGACATATCAGATAGTTGACGATACTTGGTATCCTCACGGTGCTCAACAGTTAAGGGTAATTCGTCAAACAAACGCCTCGAAGATAGACGAGCAGAGGACGGGATTTCTCTGGATCTAGCGGATCGTCGTACAGTTAAAGGTTCACGGGCCTGTTTGGGCCGGTAAGGTGTCTGAGGTTGATTCGACGAGTTCTCTGGTTCGATCGAAGAGGCCCTCGAAGAAGCTCTCGAAGAAGCTCGGGATGATCTTGACGCACCGGAACGACCTAAAGGACGTAGGGGATTCTGCTCGATTGGTGACTGACTACCTAACCACTCCTAATCTTCAATAAAAGATATTAGGGAAAGGACTTTATCCAGCTTTTGATCAGGAGTTCTATGCATACTCTATTTTGGAGGAATTTGGAATGCTAGATTCAAGAGATCAAGATCTTCCATTACTGTAAGTCTCAGCTGTGACGACCTGGCCTTGGACACTGCGCTCAGGTTAACGCGGTGACGTGATGCTAATATGGTTTGCACGTAGGCCGTATTGGGATAAGGAAGGGCTGAGGGCACAGGGCTAGGACTGGAAAGCTTCACACCATATCGTCGCTCGCCATGACAACGCCCTTCTACCTTCTTCCTTTCCTCCCCATCTTTAGTATTCTCGATATAGGACTCAATGTGATCTTATCCATCTGATTTGCCTGCCGCCACACCAGCATTGATCTGAATGAAACTCTTCTACCAGATCGAGCCTTGATTCACAACAGTTTAGCTCTCACGAAGACAGAAGATTTCTAAACACGATCCTGCCATTATATAGTCATGCGGATGTCTTTCTGAGCCATGCTGTAGCAAAACGGTAGTGCTTGGTTTCAACCATATACGCCAACAAGCCAAAAAGCCACAATGTTTGGTCGACGACCAAACACCAAGCTACTATATATGCTCATATCATGACAAGTGCTAAGTTTATCATTTCAGCGACAGAACTGCCTGGGTACTTTTATGTGTTCTGTCATTCTATCCACACGTGCGTTTGCTAGCTAGCTTCATCCTTGTTAATGAGCAAAGGGATATTTGTGTCTCTGCTAGAGTTTGTATTTGAGGAACGTGAATACATGGAGGTTATGCAAGATATGATGCGAGATTTTTCGGCATGGAACGTGGGAAGTATTGATGCTCAGTGCTGAACTTTAACAAACTACTCGACAGAATGCCATCTATCGTAAACCCAATCTTGCATTTGATGGCGGAGTAGAAACTTGGTCCATTAGATCCCATTATTTTGTATCTATGTGATCAGGTGTAGTCATATCACATTCTTGAAGGCTCTCTCCCACTATGGAATACCACGAAACAATAATGACAGGACCAGCGTTGACCGTAGCTGTGTCGACTGAATCTCCTTGGAAAATTCCAAAGGGATGCCGTACCGTTTTGGTTTCGTACTAAAGAAGCAGTGAAAAAAACGATAGTGTTCCAAAATTAGAGAGTATAGCGCCTTGGCACTGTTTTGCAATCCCGTATACGGTTCAGTCATTAGGAACGACCTTTTCCAAATTTACCAGGCCTAGGAGTTCTGGCGCGGGCGGTTTCTGCCCAATGTGCATTGAACCCGTCACAAAAGTTGCCGTTATTGATTAAATTTTGATGCACTTCCTCTCGCGGTGTCGTGGGTCTGACAATAGTCCCCGGAAGATTTTTAATACGCTCCTTAAGCCAATTGTCCAAGCCTTCACCCACGGATATCCCTGGGGGAATATCTAGGGGTTGACGAGGTGAAGTGGTCCAAGACCCCTCCCTTCGAAAGAAGTCGTCCGGTACTATATCACCTGTATAACGGTGACCGTCAGATGCATGATAAATAGGATAGCGGCGCCCGTTCTCTCCCTCCGTATAACCTGCTACTTGGGTCCCCGTGGGTATCTTTTGGTCCCCGGAGGCTGTATTCTCGTCCCCAGGGGCAGTGTTCTCATCCTCAAGTGCAATGTTGTTAACGCTTTGTTCCAAAGAATCCGAGATTTGTGGATCACCATTCTCAGTCTCTGTCACGCCTGCATTTTTGAGATTGTCTGGGAAATCATTCCAAGAAAATCCAGATTCATCTTGACGTTTGATGAGACGTTCAAGTTTTGGAGTTTCATGGCGCTTCTGCGCAGCTGGAGGAAGAGACTTCTGTAGATATTGAGAATTTGGGTCTTGTTGATGGGCAATCAAGTCGGATAAGTAATTGCTACCAGCCATAGGAACATGGACAGTAAAGCTTTTAATAAGGGGAGCTGGTAAAGCCCAGATTGCAGGCTAAATTCCTGCAAGTAAAATAAGGAGAAGCATTATTCAAAAAACGACTAGGGACCAGTAATCACTGCATTAACTAAAGACAGTAGATTTTGCATCAGAAGGAATATTAAAAATTTAAAGATAGTGTAACGAAGAAATTGTCTTAGTTTACGGATCTCCTTGCGCCAATTATTTATGCTCTATAATTGTCAACGTTGCTTCATGTACTGTAGTACGGGATAGCATAATCTGATTTATCTGAAACCTCGTTGGTTTGTTCCAGATAATAGCATAATCTTATTCTATCTGAAACCTTGTTGGTTTCTTCCAGATAAATATTGTATTACTGTATGTAAGATATTAAATATGAAAAAAAAAAAAAAAAAGGCAATATGCGATGGTTTGGTTGTCTCTGCGCTAGTAGAGATAAAACCACTTGACCATATAAAAAGGTACAAGACGACTAATCAGAGATCAGTCGCATCTAGCGCCCTATATAGGAGCGAAGGCCATGCCTGAGCAATACATTGGGTTCAACCCTTGACAATATACAAGAAATTGTTGAGAATCTCGGGGAAGAAGCTATGTTGTGAGGTGCTAGGATAGCGGTGACTAGATAGTATACTGAAACTATCGTGCGATCTAGTATCGCATAGTAAGTGTGTTCATCTATCTAGGAGAGAGAGCGTAGACAAACGCTTCCTTATGTCTACGTCTCCCTTAGCCCCTGAGTGTGATATATCAGATAGCTGCGGGACTAGGATATCCAAAGGTGCCTTAGGCATCCTGATTTCCAACAGAAATGGCTAATATTCTGCTTTCCAACCGTGGTACTACACCTATTCAGACAGTTGGTGTAAATTGGGTATATAACTTTATCAAACGGCGTGATGAGCTTAAATTAAGATATTATCGACGGTATAATTACCAGCGTGCTAAATGTGAGTATTCTAAGCTTCTTAGGGAGTGGGTTGATCGCGTACAAATCACTATAACACAACATCGAATTGCACAAGATATCTACAATTTTGATGAAACTGGCTCTGCAATGGGCCTGGTAGCTAGATATATGGCTAATATACGGCAAAGCTTATAATTTGCAGTGTGATTATTATAAATAATAGATCCAAGCTTTTATATAATCCCATAATTTTTTAGCACTGGAAAAAGAGTAACAAATTTCTCCTCTCCACTAAAGACCAAGGAGAGCTTTTAATAACTAGTCTTAACTTTGTTCAACAAAGTAAGCACAAATCCCAAGAAAAAGCAGCCGATTTGGAGAGGTCCAGATATCAAGTATAAGGTGAATACTTAACAAAGCAGACTAAAGTTTTTTTTATACAATATCCATATGTACCTGCCATAATTGTTTGATTTTTACAGGGACTGAGTTATATGCTGTAATAATACAACTCTTTAACTCAGGATTAAGCACTCGGTAAAAAGCATGAAACTCAGGCCATTCAACAATATAAAACAGAAGATTCCGTACTGTTGAAAATCAGGATGCCTAAGGCACCTTCGGGTATCCTAGTCCTGCGGCCATCTGATATATCACATTCAGGGGCTAAGGGACACGTAGACATAAGGAAGCGTTTGTCTACGTTCTCTCTCCTAGATAGAAGAACATACTCACCATGCGATACTAGATCGCACCGATAGTTTCAATATACTATCCAGTCACCGCTATCCTAGCACCTCACGACATAGCTTCTTCCCCGAGATTCTCAACACGTACAACAATTAATAAGACTAATGCCTTATTAATAATATCTTGATTTAATACTTTTTAAAGGACCTGAGAATTAACCTTTTCTTTTTTCCCTAAGGACTCTGCTTTATAATAAAGTTGCTGTACTCGATCCATTGTTATTTGTTGTAGTGTGCTTAGGATAGGGTTAATAATAATCTAATGCTTTAACCAGAGATAATTTCACATGTTAGTGGTAACTAAAGTTCTATGCAGTAATCCAGTACAATATACACAGTACTGGATTAAGGAGTTTTTATAAAATTGGGCCTCCCCATCTTGTGCTGGACGCGTATAAGCCCATGTTAGCTGAGCTGTGGCTGTTTTCCCCCTTTTTAACTGCATTTCACATGAACCTAGCGTGGGTAAAGGTAAAATATTAGATGAATCTGCATCAGAATCTATTTTTGTATGATAATATAAAAGAATATGAAAAAGATAAAGAAATCAAGAAAAATGTTTGTAGCGGTGTAGATATTATAGGCGGTGAGAGTCTGCCAATTATCAATAAATAATCGATTAATCGGTGCAGGAACTTATCGTTGCCCACCTTGGCCCTGACACTGTTGAACTTTTTACCGTTCAGCCAAAAAGGTGTCTAGACTATATTTCAAGCCAATACAGTAATTTTTTAGCCTGACATTTAGTATTAACCTAGAAAGTTACTGTATTGGCTTGAAATATGTCTAGACACCTTTTTGGCTGAACAGCACGAAGTTCGGCATTAAATTAATTATGCTGGTCTTAAACTTTAAATTTTAAACCTTAAACTCCGGGCAAGCAGAATGAAACATCTGTTTCATTCTGTTCTCTTCATGCTAATCTTCATAAAGTAGAACGTGTCTTTTAAGCTTGTTCAGTCCGGGTAGATCTTTTTCTGGATCTAGTTATTGGGCCGATCGGCTCTCCAGCGTGAATGTTGTCGCTGCTCAACGGCCCTGGTTTGAGCAAGGACTCTAGTACATCAGTTGCCGATGGGGTTCGATAGTTCTCGGGTCTCCGTTGATGAAGTTTCTAATATAATATTAACCTGGCGTGTGTCTGTATGCTCGTCTGCACTGGAGTTTATTTTTTTAGTGTCCAGAGAATTGTCAATATGGAGGATCCCAGACACAGGCAAGACTTTAGTTTCTAGAGAATATCCGCAGTATTCAGGTTTCCTGGATTCCTTTACATCCCTGAGGTCTGATTTTTGCCCGCCTAATCCAATTAAGGGGATAGTATCTCCTTGCAGTATCTCTGGATTAATAAGTCTATTAACCTTTTGCCTCCCTCTTCCTTTGGACATTGTTAAGGCAGAATCCAAGCCAATTTACTTATCCCAAGGATATCGCGAAACAGCAACAAAAAAGAACGTGATATAGCAGAAATTAAAGAATAAATAGGGAGTAAAAAGCTCGCGTTGCACGATCTTAGGAGATTTCAGGGGTTGGAGAGCGAGAGGAAAATAAAAACATTTTTATCTACTATTTATCAGGTGGGAACTGTGGGCCAGTTTTTTACAGCCATAATTGCAATCTCCTCTAGTCGGTGCATCTTGACTTTCTTGGTAAGGCAGCTAAAGAGCCGGCGTAAACGAAGAGAGGATAGATAAGTGAACGGGGTGAGTGTGGGTGTTGATAGGTGAGCGAATCACCTCAAATGGGTGAACGAATCACCTCGAAGGGTGACCCAACCACTCACCCTCTTAAACAACGACCGAATGAGGCAGGCAGAGATACTCGTAGTATTTTCAACGGTAGATTTACCTATTTAGAGGCTGATAGATGTCGGTGGTTAGTTCTAAGTGTTATGGGAGCTTACTCCCTATGAAATAAGAACGATGAGCTGAGTAGAAAGAGAAAAACCTGAGCCTGCTTTATCCATGTATTCTAAACTGGAATTCGGAAAAGCTTAGAACGAGAAGCTCCTTCGGACGCACTTGGCCAGCCGTGGAAGGCAAAAGTAGAGTGCACTCTCGCCCGCAGTTGCACAGTACCCGCCTATGGACATTCACATAGAAGTTTTTCACTGAGGTGTAAATAATAGCACAATATCACGCCTAAATGTCACTGCCTAACAATCTTTGGACCTTATTGTACTTGTTCTTGCCCAGCGAGACTCTCGGCTTGTCAGGAAATGGCCTGGCCACTCAACCAAATACAACTCCAACCAGGCTGAAATGAATACTAGATTCAATCGAGAGTCCAGAATCCTAGTCGGCCTAGGGTCGACGTGGTTAGGTGGGGGTCTAAGGACTCTAACCATGGGTCACCTTTTTCTAGCCCTCAACCCCTGGGGTGCGTACTATATCTATCCAGCTGTAACCCCCGGACGACACTCAATTTCCTTGTCAATTATACCCGCGGCGCATCGAATATACGCCTTGTCTCTCCTCCAGATCCCACTCTTGTAACTAACCCTGTTCCACAAATAGGTTCACTCCATTCAATCATTCGTCCCAGGCACAAAGCTCCAACCACGATCACTTCGGTTTGTAGATGAAGAGCCAAAATTATCCGTATCACATATTTCGGAACTGACCACGACCCCAACAATGAAGATTACACTTTACGTAGCCAACAAACCCGAAAACTCGAAATTGAAGGTGGGTATCACCTGGCGAGATGACGGGTACGTGAAGCAAGATTCAACACAGGGGTTTTACATCATCACTTCTTAAGCCTCGCAGTCTTGAGATGATCCCGCAGGCGATGAAGAATTCGGTTCTAGCTGTCGAGCGGTCGCTTCGACGTGGTAATCGTGCGGCGTGTTCCGATGCGGCGTTGAAGTGGTTCAAACTGGATGAAATCATGGATAAATGTGTACTGACTGATGCATCCGTTGATCGGGCGAGGGAGGAGTTTCGCACTATGATTCGTGGTTGGTTTCAACCTTGTAATCCGCCAGAGAATGGGAATTGGGATGAGGGTGAGGATGAGGACTTAATTTTGGCTGAGCTGGAGTTTCCTGATGAATGTCGGGAGGGTAATAGGATGCTTGTTAGGTGCGGGTGGGTCACCTAACATTACAGTGCGCTACTATATAAGGTGTTCAGGAATATCTGATCCCATTCATCATCTTTTAGGGCTAGTTTGGTGGGTTGGGCCTTTTCTTTCGAACTGCAGCTCACCGTATTGTCCTCCAGCAAGTGTAGCATAGCCGACATTGGTTTAGACTCTGCCAACAGCCTTCCTTCAGGGTATTGGTCATGGATTGTAGGAATATTTAGCCCCTCTTTTCTTAGCATCCTGTACATCGTATCCCGTTGTAGCCGCCGCTATCGACACTGGAATAGTAGATGTTTCACGGACTGTTGTGGAGCTTGGCACCCCTGACAGGCCGTTGAGTCTTTTTGTCGAGTCTGGTTTAAGTATGTTCCGATAGCCGCGTGGCCTGACTTAACTTGGTAGTAGCAACTGGATATTACCTTAGAAGCCTTCACAGCCGCTGGATCTAACTGCCATCTGGACCGTACGCGATATAATCCTTGTTGTGTAGCTGATATTTTGGCTAGTACCGCAGTCAGCCATCTCTGTCTAGCTTGTTCAGTAGCTTCCGTGCATATACGTCGTGTATATGCAAGCGAAAAAGCTTCCTGCTTCCTCGACTCTGATCAAGGTGGTTTCATCGCTACCCGTTTAGCTGCTTGGCCCGCTCTTTTGTTTCCTTCTACTCCCTTGTGGCGAGGAACCCAGACCAATGAGATCGGTCGGTTCTGTGCCGTGAGAGCTTTAGTAGCTCGGTGGGCTTGTCTCGCTAGATACTGGCCGGGCCGGGGCCCCAGCTGTTGTAGTCGATGGACTGCGGACTGCGAGTCGAGGAGAACAGTGACTGGTCCCCGTCCTCAAATCGGTTTGGCCAACTCTAGAGCTCGGCGGGCTCCTGTCAGTTCCGCGTCAAAAACCTCCTTTCCCTTGCCAAGAGGAATTTTCTACTATACCGATAGTGGTTTATAGAGAGAAGTGTTAGAACACTATACCAGATATATGAAACTAGCAGGGATTGTAGGGTTGAAACTGCTACAGCTCGGATGAAAAGACTTGAACGCAGTTGACAACCAAGTCAATGAGTTAACGCGATGCCAAGAGGCTAAGTCTTGGTCCGCTGTGGGGAGCTCAGTGGGAAGGCTGTGGAATCAACTGATTAGGAAACCCGAGCGCATGCCGAGCCTTGGCAGCCGCCAAGGCAGCCTCCAACGCTGGTACCAGGCGCGGCCGACATCATCGTGCTTTGTCTCCAGGATGTTGTAGCACGTAGCTGACGTGGGATCAACTTTTATTAAAGGATGACTGCCGTCGCTTACGGAGAGATGTACCGCATTTTCCCTTTTCGTGTCTCCAAGCCTCTTGACCATTAATGAACAAGGAGCAACATGTGATGCCTACCTAAGTCTTTGTCACAGGATAGTATCCACCCCCGGGTATGCGGAGGGCTGGGGTAGTGCGCGGACCATGTAGTCGTGCACCGTAATACATGATGAGCCCATTGCTTGAATAGCTTACTGCGCCGACCGTTCTTGTATGTGTCAGTTGGAGAGAAAACTATTGGAGATGGTTTTACCATACAAGAAAGAGAATACGGTATTTTATGCTGTATCTAGTCCGAATACAGTTCCTTCTCTGCTTTACTATCTACTAAACCATGAAAGGATGCTGCCAAGGCTTGGCGCTCCGCCCAGAATTTGAAGCTGTATCTTGCTGCTGCCTAGACCACAAAGGCCAATCCGGTGGCGTCTTTATCATTTGTAACCTGTGTCTGGTATAGCCTGTGCATAGTGTCAATGTGTGTGTAGGCCCATAAATAAAAGTCCAAGGCAGGGGAAGCGCTATTCTTGACTACGTAATAAAGGAACTATTAGGTACTGAAAGGCCCTAGGCGTGAATCTATTTATTGCTTGGACAAATCCTTGGTATCCTCTTGCCTCATCCAAGTCATATGCTTAGTTGCCAATGACTTGTGCTTATATTGCTTCCCGCAGGAGTAAGCCTGTAAGCCCAATCATGTACAGTTTCGGACAGTGCATTAAAATGATGCATGTGGTTCCAACACCACTTGGCAGCGCCACCCGAGCCTCTTTGTGTGGTTCGAGGCTTAGACCTCGAAATTCACCGGGAACGCCTGATTTGATTCGGAAACATTTCCGTTGGTATCTTTGTTGAAATGCCATGCGTCTTCCTTGTACCATAGCTGATTGTCGAGGGGATTATGAATATTCCATCGTATCACATTCCTCCACTCTCAAGGTGTTTTTTAGTATTACAAACCTGATCCACGGAATATAGGATGACTGGGAAATCATATCTTGTTCAAGTAGGAAATTGAGCACAAAATGGCATGACAAGCAATATTAACTTTCTAATCTGCTTAGAAGTGTCTGGTATAAGAGTTATTATGAACCGCTTAGATGCATGGATGAGGCCTCCCCCGTGATCTGCCTGATCTAAACCTGGAGGCGGACCGTGATATTAGTTGGGAATTCCACACATGGTCGGTGCATAGGAAGGTGCCTAAGTAAAATTGTATACGGCAAGGATGTTCGCCATCAAATCCCCGACTGGAATTTTAAACTAGTCATGCGGGGGTTACTGTCCATCCGGGTCGGGCGGGAAACCACGGACATATGGATTCATGATTAATGGTCGCTGGGATCATTTCCTGTCGCATATTTCAGCATACCAATGGATAAACGTATAGAAGATGGACAACATCATATGAAAGAGCTTCCACAACTATTGCTAGTAGACATATGGGTTGAAGCGACAGCCATCTCTGGGGGGGGTGCTATCTCTATTACCCATCATCATCAAAAGACGAAAAGGTGGTCCATCACCTACAGGAGCATTAAATTTAACTTATACATAATGTTGGTTATGTGTGGTCCTTCGTATGGCCCGTATTGGTGCTAGATTGGTTTCTCACTGTCTGCCGCCCCTTACAACGTATCTCAACCATAGGCGTGTCATAAATCACATTTCCCAACTGCTTACGGGATATTATGACCAACCTGCCAGTATGACGATATTAGTGATTGCAACCACGTGTCTGTTGCTACTCTGTGTAGCTGAACTCGGCTTTGGGCTTTCCTGTCCCGCGTTTCGAATAGTGTCTAATGCCTACTAAGTTCTCTAAGGGCCACACTTGGAGTGGGGGCGCTCCTAGCCGCGGCTGGCTGGGTGAGCGCGGAAATCGTGCGGAGCAAATTGGATGGCGCCAGATCAGGGACCAAGGAACAGAGCTCATTATATTTCCAAGGCTAAGAAATCATGGCTTTTTTGGCTCCATGCTGAAGTAGCTGATTCTGAATTTATAGAATGACCTGTCTATTTGCCTGCAAACGGCGTGGCGTAGGATTAACTTCAACGGGGCGCAGCTGCCTGCACATTGCATTCCCTTTTAGGACTAGCTCCACAGTTACACGTGGCGCTAGATCAAAATTGGCAGATCAGAGCGGAGGGTGAGGCAACACACCGTTTCCCTTGTTCCGAATAGGTTGCAATATGTACTGCAAAAACAGAGTAGAGTATGCTTCGATATATTCAGCAATTGCCCTACTTCTCACCTGGGTTTTATATTGGTATTAATGCCGGCCCATTATTGGCAACAATCACAGCCTTATATGCCCGTGGAGTCGGAAGATAGTTCGGCTGGTAATTGCCACGTGGTTCTTCTCCGATTCTCCCTATGATGATTTCAGTATGAGTGCAAATGGATCGATACGCTTGACTTTCTTTTTAGTATAAACGCTGGATTTGCTCCTGGTTTAATTTATTCATGCTTTCCCGTACGCTCTACTCGGATAGTCCACCTCGCCTCTGTACACAACACCTTCCTTTTATCGTGCCTCCACCGGTTATACGTCATAGGAATGACTCCATTAGCTGCCTTTCGGAATGCGCCCTAAATGACGCCACTGCCGAGGAAGTCCGGAATCCTCGCACGGGGATTCCGGTAGCTCTTGCTTGGATTTGATTGATATTATGCCGTAGTCGAATTGAAGATGTCATTAATTATTTTTCGGCCGTTGGACTATGCTCCCAAGTTGAACGAGATGGTAAAGGCAACTGCCTCAGGAATACGATTCTAGTTAGCTATTAGTTATAAATATCCTGCGCATATTGCGTAATCCTACTGCCGTATCTAAACAATACACACAGACTAGATCCGTGGAGATAGGCTTAACATGCAGTTTGTTCCTTTATTCCTTTCATGGTTGTATCCATCGTAGACCACAAGTTGGTTGGGCTTCATCGTATTGCTTTTGACTTATTAGGCTAGTCTCCCCTGTAGTTGTTTTACCCGAGTCTACCCGAACAACCTGAGCTGCCCTCTTAATGCTTTTCTCGGACGTTGCTCTCAGAGACAAGCATTCGCACACTTGATCAACTGATAATGGTCGGCCTTATGAATGCCACGCTGCACTAGTGCAAGCTGTGTATGATGTCTTCCGTAATTAGTCGACATATGCACTACGAGGAAGTGCTTATTTTTACCATAATTTATTTAGCCTGGCCTACTTAGTAAGCCCTAAGAGCTCGTTCGGCTAATAACGTAACGAAAAGGCTGGAAGGATACGATATATTGACACATTCGTCTATTGAGAAGGTTGCCAAGATGCTCCATGCCACCGCCAAGTATTTCGTGCGTCGCCAACAGCGGGTTAATTATGATTTTAGAGGAGGAACTGGTCTTTTCGTCCAGTCACATCTGGAGCAGCAAGCCACTCCCCATTGCTACTAAAGCCCAACTCCCCACCCCCGAGCCATTGTCTCTCCCCGTATCTTGGCCATCCCCATACACTGTAGGAACCCTGTCATCTCGGATTACCACATTGATCAGTCCGAGATCATTGGCGCACGCCGACGTTATATATCCCGCTTCTCATCATTTCAATTTCTCCCCATCCCTATGCCAAGGTCCGATACCTGTCGTTTGCGCTGTGTCTGACCATCATGTTTGGCATCCCAAAGTTCTTTGGCTGGAGAGGGCGAGCCCTCAACTTAGCCATTAGTTCTCTTGGCAGTCTTGATTTCTTGTATGTTGCTGCTATCATATGCTGGTAGTCTCTTGGCTCGCAACTGACTGGTGTCGCAAAAAGGCTCTTTGGATATGATCAGGGTGTCACAGGTGGTCTACTGGACCTGCCGTCATTTATCAAATATTTCCCCGATATCGACCCCAAGGACCCAGCTCTCATAAATGACCCTGCTGCGCGATCGCAGCGCAGCTTGAACCAAGGGATTGCAGTGGCTTCTTACAATTTGGGGTGCTTTCTTGGAGCCATCTTGACCATCTTTATTGGAAATCCGCTTGGCCGCCGTAGGACCATCTTTTTTTGGGCTGCTGTACCATGGCTACCGGGGCGATATTGCAATGTACATCATACTCCTTGCCGCATTTTATTGTTGGCCGAATTGTCACGGGTGTCGGGAACGGAATGAACACGAGCACAGTGCCGACTTGGCAATCGGAATCATCAAAGGCCCATGATCGTGGCAAGATGGTTATGATTGAGGGTATGCTCATTACAGGAGGCATTACTCTAAGTTACTGGATCAACTACGGTGAGTGGGACCTGTTTGGCCTGCTAAATAAACCGCAGGCGCTGATGCTTGCGACGTAGGCTTTGCACATATCGGAGAAAAAGAGGTTGCATGGCGTTTCCCGTTAGCTTTTCAGATTATCTTCGCTGTGGTGATTTTCTGCTCTATTCTCAACCTGCCGGAGTCCCCGCGATGGCTTGTGATGCAAGGCCGGGATGATGAGGCGTTAGAAATCCTCGAGTGCCTACTTGAGAAGCCTCGCGAAGACCCCTATATCCAGAACGAATTCATAGCCATCAAGGCCACCGTGGAGGAAATGTCGAAGGGCTCCTATAGAAGCCTGTTCCATATGACTGAATACCGTGAATTCCATAGGGTTATGCTTGCCTACATCAACCAGATGTTCCAGCAGATCTCTGGAATTAATCTCATCACTTACTATGTGAGACCCTTCCCTATGCTACTATGGTCTTGCCCACTACTAACATGGATGCTAGGCTCCTTCACTATATAGTCAGATCGGCCTTGGTCAAGGCCAGCTACCAAAGCTGTTAGCCGCTTGTAACGGCACAGAATATCTGATGGCTGCATTTATCCCTATTTTCATCATTGAAAAGTTGGACGACGTCCACTGATGCTATTTGGGGTATGTAACTAACCCGTACCCCAGTTTTGGATCGTATCGGCTAATCAAGTATCGTAAATTAGGCTGCTGGCATGTCGGTTTCTATGGCCATCCTGGCTGGTACCAACTATCGGTTGACTCATCTAAACGACAGCCAAGCCGGTATTGGACAGGCCGTATTCCTTTTTGTATTCAACACCTTCTTCGCCATCGGCTGGCTTGGGATGACCTGGCTGTATCCGGCAGAGATCGTGCCGTTGCGAATCCGTGCGCCGACGAACGCGCTGTCAACTAGGTAAACTAATTTCTACATCCAGTGATGCTCTGAAAGTATGGTGCAACTGACATGTCTCTAGTGCTAACTGGATTTTCAACTTCATGGTTGTGATGATCACTCCTGTTGCATTTGAAAATATCGGATACAAGACCTATATCATCTTCGCTGTCATGTAAGATTGCAGTTTCTGTCCGAGGCCGGTTAACTAAAGCTTCAGCTGACAATTCTAGAAACGCGTTTATCTTCCCGGTTGTGTACTTCTTCTTCCCGGAAACCCGCTACCGTTCCCTGGAGGAAATGGACAACATATTTAAGAAGTCGACAAGCATTTTTGATGCCGCACCAATCTCGCTCAAAGAACCCTACCGCTACGACAAACATGGACAACTTAAACCCGAGTACCTCGAGGACGCCATTCGTCGCGGGAGCGATTTTGTGCACAACGCCGGCGAGAAAATGGACAGTGATGAGAGTGCGAATGAGGTGAAGGCTTGAGAAATGGGGGAGAGTAGTATTATGATATTGGTAGCATGTATTGCATCTATACCCGCTGTGCTAGTTGATCTGACACTGGCTGTTCGAATCGTAGTCTTTTTGTGGTTTCTGGCACAGTTATCTTATTTTGGTTGTGATAGAGGGATTAGAGAGGAGATTTAATGAATTTAAGTGTTAAAGGAGTGTTTACAGCGTTGTAAAATGTATCCGCGGAACTAGAAGATCTTGCCATATGATCGGCTTGTTTAAATTGCATGAGATAAAATAGGTAATTACAAACTCTCAAATAATATTATATAAACTCCAAGTCTCCAATATCATGCAAGTATCGAAGCTAAACTTCGATTGGTTCCGAGGCTAGTTGAATAGACTACGGGAGTGTTTAATTACTCCGTTATTGGCTCTGTAACCGTTTAAGATGGTTGCCGTTGATAGAACCACCATGATTATTAGCCATATTGTTGGTGTAACGGCGAGCATGACAACAATCACTCAACGATCTCTTGGTATCTTTACTAGCCGCAGCACTCCCGAGTAACTTTCCCACCATAACCATCCGCATGGCACACTCTGCACTGTCCGTAAGAAGCCGCTCTGTGTCCCTGATTGCTTCCTCGAGCGTTGATGGCTGCTGCAGGATGGAAACATAGGCATTGATGCCAACATGGTAATTAAGATCCGCATTCGGTCCGACTGTTCCAGCCAAAGCAATGACTGGGATATGATGCTTCTCCGCACGCATAGCAACTTCCGCTGGAATTTTTCCTCTTGGAGTTTGATCATCGATTCCTCCCTCTGCGGTGAAGACAAGATCGCAATTGTCAAACAAATCATCAAGATTGAAGTACTCCAATATAGCCTCATACCGGGGCCGAAGTACCGCTCCAATGAGCAAGAGTCCCGTCCCCAGACCCCCCGAAGCGCCACTCCCTGGTAACTGGGACACGTTGACTCCCAATGTGCGTTGAGCAACGGTAGCATAGGTATCCATGGCTGCGGCGAGGAGCTCCGTTTGCTGCTCATTGGCTCCTTTCTGTGGCCCATAAACCCGGGCCACTCCTTTTGGACCGCATAGAACATTGTCCCAGTTGCATACAGCTTCAATCTGGACTTCTCTGAGGCGCTGGTGAATGTGAGAGAAGTCAATACCCGCGATGGAGACTAAAGACTGCCCTCCTCCTGCATAAGGCAATTCCATCCCCTTGGCGTCGACGAGTCTTGCTCCTAATGCTTGCAGCATACCAGCACCACCATCACTGGTGCCTGAATCACCACATCCGTGATAATCCGCTGCACATCTTCATCTAATGCTGCAGTAATCAATTGGCCGACACCAAACGTGGTGGTGACGCAAGGATCTCGGCAGGTTCGAGGCACCAAGCTCAATCCCGCCGCTGCAGCCATCTCGATAACCGCGGTCTTTTGCCCAGATCCCTCTAAGATCCCATAGAAAGATGGGATCGGGACCCGGGTTGGACCCATGACGGTGGTATGCCTGATGTTTCCACCCGTAGCTGCCACGAGGGCATGGGTGAACCCCTCTCCGCCGTCAGCCAAGGGAACATTACGGATGGTTGCATCTGGTACACCACGCAGAATACCTCTTTCGATGCAGTCTGCTGCAATGTGTGGCTCAATGCTGCCTTTAAATCCTGTGGGGCAGACGAGTACCCTCATATTACAACAGTAATATAGAAGGACACGAAACTGTGATATCAAGAAGAATATGATGCCAATACTCGTCCCCAATCAGTAAATAGAAAAATTGGAGGTCAATAAAACTTTAACTGAGGTGTAAGAATAGAGACGGGAATCCATCGGTCTATATATGTGCATACATGTAGAGGGAAGTCCCCTGTTGCCTTGCCCAGACGCAGTTCTCCCAGCATCACGCATATCGCTGTGATTGACTCCTATTGGGCCCTTCAATAGCCGTGACGTCCTTGTTTACGCTGTACTGGGTACGACTCCGAGTAAACTAGTCCTCGGGTAGGGGTTTACCCTCTGGTCCAGAATTGTCCAATTTACGTCGATCCATACCGAGTACGAGACTTTCTCTAGCTCCTATTCCACATCACACCTGTAATTCACCGGTGGATTGCATGTTGACGGCTTGTAGACTCGGGAATGATGGGCGGATTGTGCCGAGGAGCACATGAGACGACCTGCAATGGTCAGATCTCATCCGTATTGGGTAGCGGAGTCGAATCAAGGCCGATAGGAATGCCGTCAAAGTAGACCAACAATGTTAATGATTGCCAAAATAAGTTATCCAGTTGCCTGAGAGAGGCGCAGCAAAGATGCCTGTTTGCGTCTTCCCCCTCTCGAAGACCGGGATGATCGACATTCCATCCCTACAAAGAAAACAAAACAGAGCGGATGACTGCGCCACTGCACAAGACCACCTACCCCTCTGGGATTAGATTCTCTTGAGGAGCCCGATAGGGACAGATGTTGCCTAAAGATAGTACTTGGTAGACAGAATTTATCGGGCTAGCCTGGTTTCTGCACCGCCTTGACCGTGAAGGAATTATGCATAGTTGAAGATCGCTGTACGGTATAACACGGTGATCGGCGTCGAATCTGCGGAGATTAATATACCGCGTGCAATATAAGTCCGTCACAGAGTTCACTTTCTTGGAAGCCCAGTCCTTTATTGGTATATACGCTCGTTCATTGTCAATCCTCTACTCGTACGCTTTTCACTCGAATATGACTCCGGCTGTCAAGTACGCCCACGTGCAAGGGTTCACAGATCCTGAAACAGACCCTGAAGACCCCAGCCTGGTAAGACTACTGATGTTCCACTATAGATTGAGGAGACGCTGATACCCGTATCTAGGTAACCTGGGATGGTCCCAATGACCCGGAGAATCCGCTCAATTGGAGCAGGGCGAGGAAATGGACTGTGACGATCCTCGTCTCTTGCTTTACCTTCATCTCTCCCGTCTCCTCCACAATGATCGCACCTGCACTTTCCACCATCGCAGTGGAGTTTGACATCCGAGGAAACATCGAGCAATACCTGGTGATGTCTATTTTCCTCCTCGCATATGCAGTCGGGCCGTTTATAATCGGCCCATTATCCGAAATTTATGGCCGTGTGGTGATCCTGCAGTCTGCCAATCTTTTCTATCTTATTTTCAACACAGTGTGTGGCTTTACACGCTCACGGCAAGAAATTCTGGCATTTCGCTTCTTGAGCGGCCTGGGAGCAAGCGCGCCCCAAGCGGTAAGTTTGACCCCCCCCACTACAGCTCTCCATTTCGTATGTCCTGACTTCAACCCAGATCGGAGGAGGCGTCCTGAGCGATTGCTTCCGGAAAGAAGAGCGCGGAACAGCGACAGCCATCTATAGCGTCATGGCCTTTCTTGGGCCTGCAGTCGCACCAATTGGTAAGTCACTGCACAGTGCGCCCTATCTCTGTCCTGTTTTCAAAAATAGATGCTGAGGAAACCTGACAGCTGGCGGCTACCTGACCCAATATTTGTCGTGGCGATGGGTCTTCTGGGTCGTCTCGATGGCCGACGCGTTGGTTCAATTACTGGCCTTTTTCTTCCTACCTGAGACGTACGCGCCGAAGATTCTTGCGGACAAAAAGAAGCAGCTTCAGCGGAGAACCGGTGACAAATCGCTTCATACGGAATATGAACAGTTGGACCGCTCATTTGGTCAAGTCCTTCGTAAGAATCTTGTCCGACCGTTCGTGATGCTCGGTACACAACCTGCTATTCAGGCTCTCGCTTTATATCGCGGCTACCAGTATGGTCTGATGTATCTAGTGTGAGCACTTCTCTCTACGTATTTCGGCCCAGTTGCTTACTTCTATTAGTCTGGCATCTTTCCCTCTAGTCTGGGAGAATCACTATCATGAAGATAAGGGCACTGCCAGTCTGAACTACCTCTCCCTCGGAGTAGGCTTTATTATCGGCTTGCAATTCTCCGGCCAGGTTCTCGATAAGGTACATTGCATCTTTCCGTGGAATGAACATGTACCAGACAGCTAATTCTAATTGATCCAAGGTCTACAAAGCTCTGCAGCGACACTACAACCATCCAGGCCGCCCAGAATTCCGCATCCCTCTCATGATTCCCGGTGGACTACTCGTTCCCGCTGGTCTGTTTCTTTATGGCTGGACCGCTCAGGTCAAAACCCACTGGATTGTGCCAAATATCGGTGCGGCAATCTTTGCCATCGGCCTGATCATTTCCTTTCAATGTGCACAGACATATGTCGTTGATGCCTACTCACGATACGCCGCGAGTGCGACAGGCGCGGCCGCTTTCGTGCGGACCCTGGCTGGCTTCGGATTTCCGCTTTTCGCAGATAGTCTATACCGGACATTGGGACTTGGCTGGGGCAATAGCTTGTTAGCATTTGTGAGCCTAGCACTGGGCACGGTCGCTCCTATTCTACTCTGGTTCTATGGGGAGTGGCTCCGCGCCAAAAGTCCCTACTGTGCTGGCTAAGTAGAATTGACTAGCGAAGCCAGGTAGTGTATGGCTCATAGGTGTTACTCATGTCCTTATGACTTATTGATAGAATGGTTAGATACATAATTGGTTAGAACATAATATTATCCAGCCACCGAGTCTGGGGACTGGTTCCATGCTGCATACTACCCTTATAGGTCCACTCCTCTCCGACTAGAGCCTCTGAACAAAGCTCGCAGAATCTGTATGGTGCCAAATGGTATCTTGTGACTCATCCGTACCAAATAGTTACAAGTACCCGGCTTGCCAGCACATAATCGAATTCTAGAGCTATTCATGTTCAAGCCTCCTTGTTGTAAAGTATGCACTAAAGGTGGCAGTCTATAGAAGTGTTTGGGCTGCACTCCTAAGGCAGCAGTTTAAATTTAAATTTAGTACCTTGGATATGTCTATTTTCCTCCCGAAAGCACCCACTATTTGCAAGCAATCCCTGGCCTCTGTTTTCTCTCCGTAACCCCGAATCACAATGTGCCTCATCCATTTCCAACATATTTTAATGTGGACTGTAAGTAGTTATCTATTACAGTATTAAACGGTAAGCTACCGTAGAAACTTCACTACTCATACAGGTCATTGTAATTTAATTTACCGGGGATGGCAGAGTGTCTATATATACATGGCTGCATAGAATGTACTATTAATTGCTCGGTGGGATTCTGCGGGGATGACCGCGAGAGCAGTCTATTTTTAATCATTTGGGGACATGGATCTGCTCCCTTCATTTTCTAAGCAGCTCCGAAAGATCCACATGCTAAAAGCGGCAGGCAAAACAAGGCATACCCATTATATAGGATAGGTTTAACAGAAATCTAAATTTTATAATGTTCCCCTTAAAAATCAATATTCGTAAAGTTTTTACCTTGAAAATATAGACATTAAAATAGTATGTAGCATAAATATACCAAGTACTCAGCAAAAAGTAAGTCTACTGTGAAACCTATTCAGTCAGCAGTGTCCAATCGCTAATCACCCGATGCAGCTAATTGCATTAACAGCACCGACTACGATCCGCGTGTTTAGGCAGTTATATTTCTTTGTACCCTGTCTTGTTTGAACTGACAATATCATTTAATCTCATGCCTGATTGTCCTCCGCTTCGGCATCAGTGCAGGCCTTAGTGAGAGAAACAATATCGGGATTCGGGATCCGAAACGCTAGCGCCTTGGCGACTGCTCCGCGTCATCCCACTGAATTGTTTCCATTCCCTGAAATAAAGTGTACGTCGGAGAGAGCATGTTGGCTACGGTGGTTGAATCGGTTGATGGTTGTTGCTACCGTGAAGATATCCTGAAGTAGGCTACAGGCGTGTAGCAAGTATAGTGTTCTTCTGCCCACCATTTCCTTCCTTAAGCTAATGATCATAGCAGATAGCCCTGGCGTCTATCACTAAAACCCAACTTGTAGGAGGTGTAACAGGGCCTGGCGAAACAGGCATCGCAATTTGGCACAACTGCAGTACGCAACTTGCAGGGAAAATTTCCGAATTGGGTCATCAAAAGTCTAGTATTTCGCCCTCATCCTGTAATTGGCTGGCATGGACTGAACCTCGTATTGAAGCAGATCTCTGCCTTTAGAGGGAAGCGCCTTGCTGGTAGAACCGTAACCAACAATGGACTGGTACCGAGACTCGAGGGTGCCTTTACCATCATCCTCCTTTCTCTTCGACTAGGCGTTGATCCTCATATTGCAGTCCTCATCCCATTTGACTCTATTGACTATCTGTCATCGTTCCCCCTCCTATTCTATGTCCCCTTCATTATGGCCAGGACGCGTGCAGCGCCGAGAGAACGTCTTTTGGACGTTGCCAATCGACTCCGGGAGCGAAAGGCTCTAGAAAAGGCAGAGGGATCCGGAAACACCGTACGTATGGAGGCATTTCCCAATAACAATACAGTTCGCTCAGCTGGTGCCCAGCCGCCAGTTGAAGCAGCCTCTCAGGCATGTGCCGTTGGCTCAATGAAGGACCAGAGCCAGCGTAACCATAGCGCCGACACACAACAGGACCGCTTTTCAAACATCACCCCATCCGACTGCTACCCTCAGGATCGCTCGCCCTTGTTCAACATGCTCCCCGCAGAACTGCGCAGAATAATTTACCTCTATGCATTTGTTCAATATGAGTCGCCCTTTAGGTCGTACCCTACGGATGCACCGTATTATCGGCCTGGATGTACCGGGCCAAAATGCATTGATATAGCCCTCCTTTGCACATGCCGCAGGGTTTTCTTCGAGGCGCGGTATATCCCACTCCAAACTGCAGTTCACGATCTCTGGCAACGTGTACCAGCCCCGGAGCAGTACACAACTAATTTCAAGCCTGCTGGCTTTACAAAGGCTGCGCGCGGGCTAACGGAATACCACCTCCCACATATGCAAAACTTTCATTTCTACAGCGACTTGGGCGGTTTTTCTAGTGGGGTACACCTGCATATATCATTCTTTGCGCATCCCCCCTACCAGTATAGATGTAAACCGCGGCATGTAACCATTACCGTTCCCTTCTTCGGTTTCCTGGCATGGCAATATGGACTTGAGCCACAACTGTATGATGATGAAGAGACTTTTCTACTTGCCTGGCCCGATACAATAGAGGAGATCTGCATCCGCTTTGAGTCAATGGAAGTATTTGCAGATACATTGCACGCGATGATGAAAAGGACCATGACCAAGAAAATACCACTTTGCAGTATTGGTGATAACAGTACTGACGCAGTGCCAACGCGTTATCTGTCGGCAGAAGGGACAAAAATGAAGGTATCTAAATGGACTGGGCCGCACTCTCAATTCTTAAAAGACCGTTGGGAAGCAGGCATTGAACATCTAGGTTCTAATCCTTTAGAAGTTCCTGAGCTATGGTATTACACTGTGGAAGCGTCTTGGACGGCGAAAGAGACTAAAACCTGAAGCGGAGATCAAGGTTTGGATCGATATTTCAAGCAAGCCTCTTTGGAGGGACCAGCAGCTCACCTCCTAGGCCCTGAGGACAAAAGAAGGCCACTAGATCTGCTACAGATATCTAGAAGAATCGCCATCATTCGCCTCTCATTGTCTATTTACTTCTATCGTCCACAGAATACATAGCGCCACGTCATAGGCTGTGTTAGCCTAACGGCTCCGTCTTCACTTCACATCGCATGTATCACTGCGCACAATGTTAGAGAGGGGCCTATCTCTGTATCATTGCCCGTGCTGCTCTAGTCCGCGTGTCCGCAATGGATCTGATTCAAGTCCCATATTTTGAGACGCAGTTGGTCCTGATCGCAAAATTATCAGTATTGTTTCGGGAATTGGAGAGGCCTGGTTACCAGACAGTGGAACTGGTGGAAGAGGTCAATCTGCACTACATAATACACTGGCGCCTTGGAGATTGGGACCGTCTTATTCGGCAGTTTCGCGGCCTGGCCCATGGGTATCATCCTGATACCGGCTGTTTTCAATCATGTCAGTATAACACCAATAGAATGGGGACTAGGGGCAGGAGATTAAGTTACCCTGATAGAAATCCTTGTATGCTTGTTCTTTCTCCTCAGTGGGTGGACCCATATACTTGGTTCTGTATCCAAAGGCGGAGTCAATGTCAAGGTTTAATATTGGATTGCATCTCGCGCAGGACCTATAGCCATCACGTTACAATATAATGGCCTAGATGCTGGGAAACATACGATATAAATCATTGGGTTCATAGGAGCTTCGGCCATATCATAGTGAGAAGGGAATAATGATTAAAAAACGAGGACTCCAATTAATGCCCACTGCACATGAGAAGCCTGTGAAACTTCTTCTGTCGCTCTTCACGCCCACTCAGCAATATATAAAAACTTGTACGGCATTTGTTTTGAGGGATCGCTGATAACGATAACTTGGCTATAAGTCTAAGCGTTGACTGCCTCTTCAACGGAGAATGTACCTGGCCTAGGAGGCGAAGATCAGTTGGAAAACCCCTCAACTGCACGACGCGCTGAACAGTGGCTTAGCAGGGGGCCCCTTGCCAGTGTTTCATATGATTAAACTCTATCCTAGCGCAGTTAAGGCTGACGAAAGCTAATATGGCCAGAGGTTCGCAGCGCAATGTTGACTATAGTAATAACTGCAGCAGGTTGCCCAACCAGAACTGTGGCCCACTATCAGCTACTAGACTTGATGTTAACAGTTAAATAGCATATCCCGTAGAGTGTCTTATTATCATACTATATGCGGTGATCTAAACAGTGGTCATCGCAGCAGACACAGTACAATGGCATATAGTAGACAGTATTGGATTAGCCAGGCCTATATGGCCAGGCCACCTCTGTACCGGAAGCAACTCAGCCATTTTTCCCATGCAGGTTGAGCAACGAAAACACAGCACGGGAAAAAGGGATGAGCAGTGTCTCAGATCTGGGCTCCTGTAGAAATAACAGAGATGCACAATGCAAGGGAAACACCCGTGAATTTCTCCCTGTCGAAGCTAGTTCTTTTTTTTTTTTTTTTTTTTTTTTGCATGCTATGTAGCCAGTCTCAGAATGAGATTTTTCATACAATGAGCAATTCTATGTTCCCTTAGCTATCGGATGATTCATGAATGAGTTGCTCAACATCGCACTACTATCCCATGACTTGGACACATGAAGACGATTCCTGAATATTATGTTAAAATAATCCTTCCACTTTTCTGATGTTTTAAGATTCTACTAAGGCTTGCACTGAGTCCCAGCAAGTATCCAGGATGCGAAAATCGGGATCTTGCGGTTCTCAATTAAGGTCAGTGGCAACAGAGCCCGCTATTAAAGGGACGTCATTATCTTATTGTTTAAATGGATAATGTATTATGCAATGATCAAATATAGAGGAATATTTCCTGGATTGAAGAATTCCAAATTTCATATTTAGGTTTTCTATTATATTGCTAGAATTTAATCCATACTTAAGATAGAACTTACTAGACTGCATTCTACAAGGCTACCGGGTAGTTCAAGTCTACTTAGGTATTTCCCTTTATTGCAAAAATTACCCAATATGCACTATGTTTAGCTAATTAGTATATACTGTAGAAACCTCATAGATAGTAAAGGACACTAGAACCGAAAGCAGGGATTCTAACCATATCCAGCCATCTTCAACTGCCAGAAAACCGAATACAACTACCAAGTTCCACGGAACTGCGATGTTGATTTGCGGGCTTTTCTAACCCTTGATTATGCTCCACGATAGACTTTAACGTTTACTTTGCATGAATGCTTGGAACGTGCCATTTCCCGGATCGATCGGTATCCAGACATCTCATGGCTCCCAGATTCGGGCGCGAAGGGTATCGACCAGACTTTAGCGTTGGAAACGCAGGTATATAGTCATTAAGATCACGGAATGACTTTCCATGTCTTCGCCATACTTGGGTCGCCCATAACCTAATATGATCTAGAGGTACTGTAAAACAGTATTGTAGCTCTCTTTCTACATCTTGGTATAGGTCAACAAACAGTTAAGCCTATTTTACTGATGTCATGAAGCCCATCTATCTAGAAATTGAACAAATTGGGGAGCATTAAAACTTGAATTAAAGCTTGAAACTGTGTTAGTTGCGTCATTATGAGTAGATTTGGTGATAAGCCTCTACTCTGACATTATGTGAACATTATGTGCAGCTTAACCGGAGCCGAAATAAGTCTAAATAGATGAACATTATAAGCATCTGACTTTCCCCGTCCCTTCAAGCATCTATGTCTTGAACACAGCAACAACCATGAATATTATTGCTCTACATTTGTGAATACCTAGGTTGTTTACCACCTCGATCGCCTTATCGGCATTGATCACAGAATGAGGGACAATCAAGTCAGGAACGCCGTGCACGGTGGTGAGCAGGGCTATTTCTATACGCTTATCAAGAGTATGGTCCTGTGAAAGGGATTTCTGTATGGTCTTGCCAAGGCAGTAGTCGATATTCGGATAGGGATTTGGTGAAGGCTGTCCAGGTCCAGTACGAAAGTGGCGACACAGACATCATCGGGAATGAGAACTATAATGACTACATTGAGAAAGGATTCGAGCTCCAAGATGGCAAGGCAATGACTTCTACGTTCCTGTTCACTGGGGATCGTTCTGACAGAATCGAACTTCAAACTTCACTATCCAGGATATGGCAAGCTGGACACTGTACGTGGAAGAACATTGGCAGGATGTTGGAGACAAAAAAATTCTAGGCGTTTATGAGCTTGTTAGTGTTGGATCAATCTTCGAGGCTGGTGGGTAAAAAAGATATGAAATTCTCAACCCCCTTTGAGATTCAAATAGTGATTCCTGCTGTGCTCCAGTTCATTCTGTAGTGGAGAGAATTCTTCTTAGTTACACATGAATATGGATTTTTAAGGGCAGTGCTAGTGATATATTTTCTTCTTTTTTCATCGATATGCCTCAGGCTAGGATTTCCTAACCTGTAGTGCATATGAAGAGGCTACTTTTGGTTTAGTATTTAATAAATAGAATACAAGTAGTATCAAATATCAGAGGCAAATATTTTATCCTGCATTAATCCTATGGATGTAGAGAGATAGAAAGTCACAATTGCCATGGAGTTTGGGACTCGGGTGGCTTTTAATAATTCGTATTGCTGGTTGATCTTCACTGGACACTGAGTGGCTCTCTTGCTATACTATTGTTTCTAGCAAATACCCCACTAACTGAGGCCATACATGTTATAAACCTGGCCAGCATGTGAGACTAATTCTATTCATGATATCCAGAAGGGTGTACCTGTTGCAGTTCGGATCGCCACTGTCTGAATACATTTTGGCTCACATAGCTTCATGGAACAAGTCTAGCCTTTATTTATACACTAGACCCCTCAAATAAATATAGAAAGCATGAGATGTCGAATTGAAATCTCAGATATAGCTCTAACCAAATACTGGTCTTACAGACGAATTCAATACCTCCACGAGTGGACTAATATCTCCCATAGACTCAAGATTGAGAACCATCTGCTCAATGTCCTGGACTTTGTTTTGGTCCAGGATACTTCCCACGAGCAGTCTGTATTTCTCCAAGATGAGTTCGTTCGAGATTGGCTCCTTGACGCCTCGAGGTTTGGCGACCGTTTCCTCGACTTTCGTTCCGTCAATAAACTCGACGACCACATGTCCACCGCTGGTCTGATCCAACTTGTCAAACTCCTCATTATGGCGCAGGTTGAACTTCTTTGCGAGGTTCCACACCTCTGGTCTCTCTAGATTGCCATCCCGTTCGGAAAATTGCGCTAACAAGCACTGGCGGTCGACGAACTGGGTGGCGAAGATATACGGCGCACTCATCTGGGCCGCAGTGGATGTAATGGGACGCTCTTCGGGCAACCAGCCGCAGTGGCTGTACGAGGAATGGGATAATTCCACAGAGACCCTCTTCACATTATGGAGATTACTGCCCGCAAAGAGGGTGGGATATTGGCGCTGAAGATTCTCAATTGCTTCGATGGCACCGTGGGTAAGGCCACAACAGGCATACATCTTAATGCGCAGCGCAAAGGTATGCCAAAACGAGCCAAGTTCGGCCGTTACCTCCTGCGGTTTGTACTGTGTGTCTTTCCCGTTGCCTTTAGTGAACATAGTCAGGAATCCCCCATAGGGCCTCTCCAGGACTTTCTTTATTCCCTCATATCCGCCGTGCGCAAGGAGAGCACCCAGCAGGCCATTTCGGGCTGCAAATCCATGTTGTACGCGCTTGATCATGCCACCATATTGGGCGGACATCAAGCCACAGGCCTGTGTACAAGCAATTCCAACTGCGTCTTCCATGAAGTCTGAGGAGAGATCTAGTGTCTTTCCGGCTGCCAGAGCACCGGCCGGAGCCCCGTATATTGCACCACAATGCCACCCATTCACGAGCAGGTCAGCGCCATGAACGGCCTTCCCAATGCGGGGACCGGTCTCAAAGCAGACAATTGCAGCGAGAATGGCCTGGATCCCGGAGACGGCTTTGCGCTCTCGCTTGAGAACCTCGCTCGCCGCAATGATGGATGGAATGGCAATGCTTGCCGCGTGCAGAGGAGCCTCGCTGTGATAGTCATCGAGCTCGGTTGCTTGGATGAAGGCAGCGTTCATCATTGCTGCTGCAACGGGGCCCAATTTCTATAGAGGATAGCGGTCAGAACGATACAAACAGAACGACTGAAGAGGGGGGGCATGCTTGATTGTATCCAATGATGCTACAATAGCCTGGAGCCTCGAAGGCCATGGTCGCCTGGACATATTTCTCTGACCAGGGAACCTTTGCACCGACAAGAGCACATGCGATACCATCGAGAATGAGGTATTTGGCCCTGGCCAGGACACTCTCTGGGATATCCTCCGGCCGAAGATTAGCCACCCAGTGACATAGCTGGGTGGTAGGCCCTGTGTCGGCAGTATGGTTTGCTTTAGTGGCGGGCAACTTTATGTCGAGTTGTTCCGATTCTCCTAGTGTAGAAGGGGACATAGTGATAGATAGTTGATATGTAAGATACTAAGAGCGCATGGATATCGTCAGATACTGCATAACTACTATGACAACGACCTGGACAATTGTTCTTATAGACCCCCGCTCGATAACAACAATCAACCCTAGTCGACCCTACCTGTCCACGCGTACTGCAACTCCAGCAACCTCTCTCAGCGTCGAGAAGCATCTCTACGTCGACGCCATCCCGGATGTTGGGTTGCATCGGAGTTATCGCCGCTCGGTTCAGCGCGGCAAATATAACAACAGTCGGATAAAATTTGGCAGATCTGACAGGCTGCGATCATCGTGCGATTGCCCCATGGATTACTGCATAAGGCAGTTGTTTCCTCGTCGTGATGCTGTTCCAATGATTGCGAAGACGCGATGCCGATTACGACAGGCATGTGAAGTACCGACGCCCGAAATCGCCGCGTTTTCTGGGATTCAATTCCTACAGAGACTAAAAAGGTTGTCTTAAATTACGATCTCGGTTTTAGATTGCATCAAGACACTGCAGATGAGATAGATGTGACAAGCTATTTGGTGCATACAGGAATACGAGATTTAGCATGCTTTTTGTCAGCGAAAATTACCCGAGTGACCATATCCATTCCTGCAACTACTCCGACGGTAAGGATCGCCCGGTCCGTTCGGAAGCGTTGATACGACCCATGATGGTCTCAGAGAACCTCTTCTGTGACGATCCTGGGATAGACACACGTTGTGGTGTTGGACGCAATGGACGTTGTTGTCGATGTTGCAGTCCCATGGCACCCTCTTACATGGTTATAAGGTACACTGTCGGAACGTGAGTCGTGATGTCTAGGTCTCAGGATAATTCTATAACTCTCCCTTATTCTGTGTACTCTGTACGTACACTATGGCCAGCGCCCACGTCGCATCTCCTCCCCGGCAAGTGGCGTCCATGCCACAGCTCCAGAAAAAACATGTACAGTCCAGAAATCTCTTTCTATCTGCATAGTAGGCTAATAGAATCTGTAGACAAAGGGCCTTCCAGCACTAATCGCCGGCGCCTGTGCCGGAGCCACAGAAATCACCATCACGTATCCATTTGAGTGTGAGCACCCATATTAATTTCTCTTCCATTTATTACTAACTCAAGAGCCGTCAGCGGCCAAAACCCGATCCCAGCTAAAACGGGGCGTCAGCGAAGAGGTACAGGCAACCCTCGCGTCGCGATTGAAGGGCTGGTACGTCGGATATACTGCGTCAGTGACCGGAACCACGATCAAAGCAGCCATCCGTATGGAGACCCGACGACGAAAGTGGCAATCGCTTTCCATCCCTAGTCATGGGCGAAAAGATGACGCTGACGCTAAGCAGAATTCGCTTCATATCATTTGTATTCCTCCGCTCTGGCTGGCCCAAATGGGGAGATGTCAGCCACTAAGACCCTAGTCGCTGGCTTTGCTGCAGGAGTCACTGAATCAGTTCTGGCCGTGACTCCATTTGAATGCATTAAAACCAAAATGTAAGGCCCTGATGCCACGCTGCACCCTCGTTGGTGGCTAGCCGGCTGACCTGCTTGGGCTAGGATCCATGCCAGAAGGCTGGGGAATGCGCAGATGAACACCGTGACGGGGGCTGTCCTGACGATTCTCCGCGAGCAAGGTCCTCGGGGGTTTTTTGCGGCCGTCGTTCCTACCACGCTGCGCCAGTCTAGTAACGCTGCGGTCAAGTTTGGCGTGTATAGTCAGCTTATGCAGCGTGCAAAGAGATCCGGCAAGGACGGAAAAGTGCATCCCCTCGTGGCCGTCCTCATCGGGTCAGTCAGTGGTCTCTGCTGTGCCTGCTCGACACAGCCGTTAGATGTGGTGAAAACTAGGTAAGTATTAGAAAGAACACAGCATTACTGGTACTGACAATGAGAAGAATGCAGTCTATCCAAGCTCAGCATATCTATGGCAACGCGTTCAACTGCGTGCGGGTTATCCTGCGTGAAGAGGGAATTGCAGCGTTCTGGTCGGGTATCTGGCATCGACTGGGGAGATTGTCAGTTGCATCGGCGATTATGTTTCCAGTGTAAGAATTGATGCCTCCGCTTGTTCTCTTGTCTATTGCTTACATACAGTTAAGATATGAGAACACGTATAAGCTTCTGACTACGCCACGATGGAAGTCGTCCGGAGAGGTGATTGTCTAGACGGAGTCTGGGTTGGTTTCAATTGCTTCCGCTAGTTCTGGATTTATTTTTGAATATAAGATCCTTTCTAAGAGTACGCAGTAGCAAAATATGTACATAAACATGTCCTGCCTTACAACTTGTCGGAGCGCTCCAGAGTCTTAGGGAAGAGGCGATGCTGATTATCGGAGAACCATTTGGCATCGTGGGAAGTAATCAATTCCAGTTCGACACCGTCTTCCTCGGCTGCGAGTTGTAGATTCCTCAGAAGGGCGAACATCTCCTCTGCAGCTTTCTGGTCTGTATGGACACACAATGTTCGCCCCTGATCATCGGTCCACGTTGCAATCCGCTCTTCCCCGGTCAAGAGTCCAACATGATGATACGTGTCTCCGCCTAGATACACCCACCGGCGGGGACCCGTACGACATAACAGATTCACATGGCCCTGTAAATGCCCCGGAGACGGAATCACGTAGACGGACCCATCCTGGAAGATGTCCATGGCTGCGGGGAACGGAGTGAGCGGTCCCCAGGTGAGTCTGGAGTCCGTTATGTCAGCTCTCACGCTGTCATCCGACGGGGGCAGTTCGACGACATGGCGATCCTGCAGGAGGACCCGATCGAAGCAGGCGTGGGATCCTGCTCCCAGGAGTTCTCCTTGGCTGAGAAGATCCAGCGAGCCGTGACCCACCACGAAGCTGGCGTGCGGGAATTCAGACGGTTCCCCGGTGTGGTCCCAGTGGACATGACTGTATATCACCAGATCGACCCTCGTATTCGGAATTCCAGCAGCGGACAACGATCTCCTCACGCTGGGACCAAATGTGACCGGCTGCCGATGCTGAAGGTGGGACTGCTGGGCCGGCGTGTAGTTCTCCGGCGTCTCTCGAAGACCAAGATCAAACAGAATGTGGGACGCCCTCTGGACCCGGTCCGTGTCAGAGGTTGGTTGACGAGTGATGAGAAATGCCATGCACGGCAAGGGCATTGTCTCCTCTCGGTTGGTGACCCCCTCGACGAAGGCCCATTTTGGGGCCGTGATCAGGCCTGCGGGAATCGCAGAGACAGAAACATAACTCTGATTAGGGCGCGCAGGAGGCAGAATCATGATGATTTGGTGGTAAGCGATGCGAATGGAATGGATTTCGGATGCTTCTGCTTCTCTAGTAGAAGAGGGGGCGTGTAAATAGCTAAATTACTCCCCATATGGTGCAGCAAATGGGACTGTACCATGCAGTATACAGAAGGGGAATTCGGCATCGGAATCGCCTGCGACGCAGATCGTCTGGTTTCATGGAACGGGGAAGTCAATCCTGCAGGTGCCACAGTCATTGTAACCATCAATATTGCCCTGCCGAAGTTACCACCATCATACGAGTTTAGCCCTGCCGATGTCATGAATCCTGGAATGAGGGGAGTCTGCCTAACGTCTCAGATCCACATGTGCATTGTACAGAGTATTGCGTCCGCGGCTAAGCGGAGTTTTATGAATATAAATTGACATTGCGCAGACAGCCCATGCATCACCGTATAGTTCCACGCAGTCCAACTGACCCGAAACATCGACCTCCCTACTTTCTTCAATCACTTCTCCCTTCCAGTCTAAAGCCTTCACTATGACGGTGAGCCCGCCACTCATCAGCAAACCCACCAATGCGGAGCCATTGAAACGTTCTGGCAAACTGGAGGAGTATAGGCACAAAATCAGCGTGCCGGCCATTGGCACGGAATTCCTCGATGTGGATCTTGTGGGGCTGATGGAGGCACCCAATGCTGATGAACTTCTGCGAGACATCGCCGTACTTGGTTCGTGCATGAATGGTATTGCCCATGTGTCCAGACTAACTCCATATCTCTTCATTTCAGTCTCTGAGCGGGGGGTAGTCATGTTCCGCAACCAAACTCGTCTGGACGCGGAGAAGCACAAGGAGCTCATTGACAGACTTGGTGCTCTTTCTGGCCGACCCAAGGCAAATGGACTCCTGAAGCACGTTTTGCATCCTTTCTACGACGATGATCCAGAGGTCATCACGTTGATCCCGGAGCGGGTTGCATCACGCTACGGTTTCACCGAGTCCAGCTACAAGCGACAAAACCATTCCAAGGAGTGGCATACGGACATGGCGTTTGAGAAAGACCCTCCGGCATACTCCTCGTTGAAGCTTGCGGATGTGCCTAAAACAGGTGGTGGTAGGTACATACTTTCAATGCACTAATCCACCCTTCCTGACGTGATGCTAACGACTTCATTAGACACAATGTGGGTCTCACTTTACGATGCGTACGACCGGTAAGTCTCATCCTCCCCACCAGTGGCACCGACTAACTCCTTCGATCATCAGTCTAAGCGCCCCTTTTCAACGATTGTTCGAAGGTCTCACGGCCACCTGGGCCATGCCATCTTATCGGACCTACGAGAAGGACCCCAAATCCTACAAGGGCCCTCGTGGATCCCCGCGAAACGCGGACTTTGATTTCGAGGCCATTCATCCTTGTGTGCGCACCAACCCAGTCACGGGCTGGAAGGCCTTATGGGTGGGCGGGGGCCATTGTGCCTTCGTCAACAACGTGACGCCGGAGGAAAATTCCGACCTGATGAATGTGGTGCAGCGGTTAATCACGGCCAACCACGACATCCAGGTTCGGTATCGTTGGGAGCACAGCAACGACATTGGTATGTACAACCAGCCCAATAAGGCAGGACTACTGCAGCTAAATCAACGATCACTAATTTGGTAATTGTAGCCATTTGGGACAATCGATGCTGTCTGCATATCCCCACCCGTGACCAAGAAGGCAAGAGACTCGGGTACCGGGTGCTGTCCGTCGGAGAAACCCCCTATTACGACCCGAAGAGCATCTCCAAGCTCGAGGAGATGGAAGCGTTGTATCCAGAACGCCTCACGGACAAGGATTGGAGGACCGCTAACCTGCTGGGAGCGAATGGGAGTGGCACCAAAGACTATCGGTGGTCAGCTTGAGCAGCTGGCGCTTAGTTTAAAGATGATCAGGGGTGTGTTATAAGCGAGATGGACATAGTCTGTACTACATAGCAGTTCCGAATGGATGGGTGGAGAATTCTTCACTCGTATATGCATGTCAGATTCGAACTAGAGGCGGAGGTCATCTCCCGCGGACCGCATTGCCGATGCTTGGTCACTACAAGCCTTGACGAGGATGAGCTTCTAGCGAGGTAGTATCCTCTAATCCATGCCACAAGTTTAGTCTACAGTAGTTTTCTGTACGGGCTCGATATTGGCAATTAGTAATGACGACCTGTGCCGACATCCGTCTCGGATCTGCAATTCTTTGTCGATCCTGCAACAACAATTATTAATCCTCTAGAGGTTCACAGGGTTCATGATCCGGGCAATTTTAGACGACCCTCTCGGTCGCCCTTGAGTCAGTTTGGTTGGATCTCTCCGCTGAGCCAACGCTCGACGGCCTGGTACTTGTCGCGGGTTCGCACTCACCCTACCCTATTCTCTGATCATGGTACCAGAACAGAGAGATCCGGAGTTGGTGGTTTGGGAAGGCCCCGATGACCCCGAGCATCCGCATAATTGGGCATTATGGCGAAAGCTACGAGTCGTGGTGTTACTCACCTTGTTGACGCTGGTGATTACCATCCAGAGTAGCATCTTTGGCACTGGCGCGGAGGAATTCGCTCGCGAGTTCCACGTGAGCAACGAGGTGACCATCCTAGGAACCAGCCTGTTTCTCGTTGTGAGTGTCAAATATTTCGATTCATTCGACCGAAGAAAGCAAACTCAATTTTGCGGCTATTAGGGTTTCGCCGTTGGTCCCCCATTCTGGGCCCCTATATCGGAGAGATACGGTCGAAAATGGCCCATGATAATTGGCGTCATAATCTGCTCCTTCTTCACCCTCATGGTCCCCCTCGGTCCGAATCTGGGCTGCGTCCTCGCGGGTCGCTTCTTATCGGGTCTCTTTGGGAACGCTCCCATCTCCATCGTTGGTGGTGCAGCGACGGATAATTGGAACGCCATTGACCGCGGGATCGCGCTGGGCGTGGTGATCGGAGTGGTTTTCAGTGGGCCGATGATGGGACCGATCATCGGGGGGTTTGTCACGGCTCATCTGCATTGGAAGTGGAATATGTGGCTGATGGTGATCTGGGGCTTCGCAATGGCGCTGATCTGTGCTGTATTCCTCGAAGAGTCGTATGTGCCGGTTGCACTCGTCCACAAGGCCAAAAGACTGAGGAAGAAAACCGGGAATCCAAACTTGACCTGTGAATTGGAACAGGCTGGGTTCGATTTCCAGCGCCTGGTGCGAGTATATCTCGTTCGTCCTTGGAGTGAGTATCGTGGCCGTGACCTTGTATGCCTCTACTAAAGATATACACAAGAACTATTCGCGACGGAACCCATCCTCGTCTTTGTCACCATCTATCAATCCTTCATCTACGGTATCGTCTATCTCTTCTTCACTTCGATTCCCATTGAATTCAAATCCATCCGCGGATGGCAGCCACAGTTATCCGAACTCCCCCTGGTAGCGCTGCTCATCGGCGTCTTGATCGGCAGTATGATTAACATCTTCTACACGAAACGAGTCCTCGCCCGACAAGTAGCAGCCGCCAGAGGGAGCCTAATCCCGGAGCAGCGCTTACCACTCATGATTGTCGGTGGAATGATGTTTCCGGCGGGACTATTCTGGTTCGCATGGACATCGTCCCCGGGCGTTCCTTGGCCGGCAATGGTCCTCGCCGGTCTTCCAACTGGGACGGGGATGTTTCTCATCTGGATCCAGTGCTTCACTTATATCATTGATGTGTACCTTCCATTTGCGAACAGTGCCATTGCCATTAATAGTCTGGTACGAAGTCTATTCGGCGCTGGGTTCCCCCTGTTCACTCCCGCCATGTATCACCGTTTAGGGTTCTCGTGGGCAACGAGCTTACTGGCTTTCCTGGGAGTGGCGATGATCCCTGTTCCCATCGTGTTCTATCGATATGGGCAGAAGATTCGATCCTGGTCGAAATTCTCCGTGAAGGATATATAATCTCTATGAATGATGCCGATGCCAAGGGCGGATCGGCTTCTCATGGATACCTGAGCATTAACGTCCCTCTGACCTTGAATTCTGGATGGCATGCGGTGGCATGTACCGCATACAGGTCAAGTACTCAGTCTAGGAAGAAGGTAAATAAGCAAGGGACCGATATAGAGCCATGTGGATAAATAACATATGTGGCGTGGTTTCTATGCAAATAAAAGTCATAATGAACTATTATATCTGTTAGTGCTCACCAAACTTTGGACAAGTTTTTTAATGATTATTTGCTGGTCTTTAGGTTCTCGCCGTGTCTATAATTATGGCAAAATTGTAAAAACTTTCACCATACGGAATATGTATATTACTATTATTGGATCTGTACATAGCGTAGCAGTGCTGTACAAGTAGACAAATATATAAACAATGCAACCTGGACGTTCAATATCTATTTTACATTATTTTTATAATCCTATGATGCTCTACTATTATTATGCAAATGTAAAGTTCTCGTCTCATGATTGGAGGATGACAACCAATTCTAAAATATAAGGCATTGTTGCGAGCCGCTACAATACATCACTTACTGAAAACAGTAAAATCGATACAGAAATAAACATATGGCCATAGCCATAGGTGAGTATGTTCCAGTGACAGTTTCAGATATTTACAGGCACCCTTATTTGTCTAAGGCGAAGAGTTTTGTGTCCCAGGGTTCCTCGTTTCGATCGAGCTCCTAACACCAGTCTTGTCGCTCTACACGTCGGAGTTTAAGTTCCTGGCGCCAATCTAGCACTAGCTGTCATTCAAGTTTGCCTTATCCCTTATCTAGATAACATCTGATTTATTCGAGCAGGACAGTGCTGCAAAACCGGGCTCGAAAACTCACAGTCTATCAATGGGGTAAGAACGACGGCAACAGGAACTGGGAGAAGCCGACAATTTGAGAGTCATGACTCTGCGAGTATCGATCGTGGCGACCTAGATATGCGACCATAAATGATGCTTCCTATTTTTGTCGTCATAATCGATTTGCCACATATAGTCGCTTGCCTGCATTTGAGCTCATTGTATATACCCGATGTCACGAAACGCTCGTTCCAAAATCTCTCGAATCACTGGCTGTTTTCGCAGGTTATATTTGGCGTGCCTCTCTCCTGCCTTTATTGTCTCTTCCGCCGCCTGCCTCTTTGTCTGCGCATATAGCTCTCGGTCCTCGGTGCATTTTATTAGCCAGTCTCGAAGCAGGCAATGCCTTACAACTTCGGGACAATCCGGCCCAAAGATGTGGAGGTTTGCGGTGGGTTCATAGCAGCTGAAAAAGCGATGCTGGTGCCAGCTCCGCTCGCGTGTGCGAAACTGAAAACCTACATCTTCGAGCAAGGGAACGTATGAGGTCTCGTCCGTGGGATCGATGACAGTGAGATCAATATCCACTACATCCTTGGCAGGAAGGCCAGGGACAGAGGTTGAACCAATGTGGGTGATAGCGACAACCCTGGAGCCAAGGGCTGTTTCAATGCGCGATTTGAGCAGCTGATAGCGTTGAGGCCAGGAGGGATCTGGTTCAACGATTTCAATTTTGTTGGGTTCCCTGCGGTCGGAGATCCTTTCAATCTTGCTGGGATCAAAGTCAGCGTGCTTGATGATTGCCTCGATGGATGGTGGCATCCCGAGAATATGTGGAGTAAGACAACCGACAGACTCGAAGGGAAAATGGATTCTGGAAAGCTACAACGTGCCCAGACACGGAGCTATAATATGAAAATGTCATTCTTCGGGCATCCTGCCACGATGATCACTCGGGGATTTGGCAGTGACTCATTCAACCCCACAACGGCTGGGTCGTGAACTCCTACAGTGCCTATGCAGACCCAGGTGAAATAGTAATTAGCGCCGGAACTGCTTACAAGATAATTTGTTGAAGTCGACAATATTTATACAAGGGCACGGAGAAAGAATCCAGAGTCCAGCTTACTATACCTTACACGAGTATTTACGAGGAAACACACTCTGTTCCGTTAGCTTTGCACTTTCCGTTCTGGGATTTTGCGGTCCTATCCGATTCCCAACGTTTGCCTGGCACGACATTTCTCAAGCATGTTGCTAGTCATCCCTCATCCATCCAGTGGAGTGCCAGGTCAGACTAAGCATCATGATCTTTCTGCAAGCTTCAAATATATACGGGCCACGTGACAGGCAATGTATGTTGGAATATTGGGTTATCCCTCTGCTGCATTGTCTTAGTTAGCATTTGTATTAATCACCGAGCTGCGCATCTCTGTATTGCATATAAAATAGCACTTCTTATAAGCCTAATATCTTAACAACAACAGGTCAACAGGGCCTAAAATCTATAACATATAATAATACAATAGCACATATATAGATACTAAGCCTAGAATCTTGTAGGATTTTTAGTTCTTTATACTTCAGAAATACATTTAAATTCAGTGGTATTTAAAATAATCATGTATTATATGTCGCAGGCTACGCTTGTATATTGCTCGCCTTCTCCGCTACAATTGGCGCATATGATTGGTCCGCTTATTGCAGTCACATGACCCCTCGTAGTATGAGAACGCACGCTTCTTTCCTCTTCCCCTTTTACTTTCTTCCTCCCAGCGATTCCTCTGTGTATATTACCTAGTCTTTAGATAGCAAGGCGTTTCGCCCCTTTACATTATAGGTCAGTAAAAATCTTAAAAATTGTAATTGTTGAAAACCAGGATGCCTAAGGCACCTTCGGATATCCTAGTCCCGCAGCTATCTGATATATCACATTCAGGGGCTAAGGGACACGTAGACATAAGGAAGCGTTTGTCTACGCTCTCTCTCCTAGATAGTTGAATATACTCACCATGCGATACTAGATCGCACCGATAGTTCAATATACTATCCAGTCACCGCTATCCTAGCACCTCACGACATAGCTTCTTCCCCGAGATTCTCAACAGTAATTAAATTATATGATCATTCTGAAATATTAAAAATCAAGGAATACTGCTATTTTTATTATAACTCTATGTTGTTCTTAAAATATTAAGGTCATTAAAAGTGTTATTTTATATGCAATACAGAGGTGCGCAGCTTGGTGATCGAGTATGTTAACTAGTGTCAAATAATATGGCCGTGGGTGGACCGGAATCATGTGATCAGATCGGGAAACCCCCCCCCCCTCCTCCTCACGGAGCACACAACAAAATCAACGACAATCAAAGAACACAATCAAGAAGAGCCCAACCAGCTCAATTCATTCAAATAAGACCTTTTTACCGATCGCAATCTATTTCCTCTTCAGGACTAGCTGAATATCTGACAACTAGTTAACTATTTAATTAGCCTAGTTCGGCCCCCAGGCTCCTTCATCGCTTCCAACAATGTACTCCGGAGTAGGCATTGCACTCCGTAAGACAGCTGAAACGGCCACCACCTGTGCACCAATATTTGAATATACAGTGTTCCAGTCTTTGGCCAATGTCCAAGGCGCTATGATGTTGGCGCTACCAGGATGTTGATCCTTTCTGGCCACTCTTGGCCTGAGCTGGTTTAAGTCAACAGTTTAGACACTGTGCGGACACACGAATTCCCCCGTATTTCGGAGAAATAAACCTATGATGTTCCTGCTAGTAGGCCCACACAGTCACTGTGCATTCTAACAATAACGACGGTGCCCTATTGAATGGTTTCTATGTGTCAATGTAGTATTCACATGAAAAGCTTACCTGCGCCTGTCTCCCAGTCCTAAGGTAATACAGATTACAGAATAATCTTTTAGCCCCTCCCTGCCTCTCCGTCTCTTAAATTTTTTTTTTTTTTTTTTTTTCCTTTGTTGCTGGGTTTTGCACCGCCTCTAGAGCTCATTATACCCTGCTTGTTTCTTACGGAGGTCAAGATGCCTGAACTGAACCTAGGCTGTAGTCCTCATAGCCGCTGTATTTCTCAGCCTTGTTCCCTGAGCGTATTTTCTTGTTTGTTTTCCTGGCGAATAGCTCTAACAAACGTTAAATAATACATGGAGACCGATATTTTGACATCTAAGCTTGAACATGAGAAGGTTTACTGATTATTTTCCCTTATTCCTCCAACTACTGAAGTTACGCGCGACTAAGATCCTCTTTGTGAGTATCTTCCTTTGGCTGTTGGTATTTGAATATTGTCAGCTTCATCTCTGGCGAGATCCGCACTCGGCATTCTTCGACGATCACCATGTGTACGACTTGAAATATAGTCTTCATCGAGAACGCGAAGCCCGGCATTATATCGCCCGGTACAATGCACCGTCAGAACCCCCCGAACATGACAACAGCGGCTCCAACCCATTGATGTGTGCTTCTTTGTGACCGTTCGACGAGAGTTGGATGATTACTTTGATCCCTCTATTGGGTCTCTGTTGGAAGGGCTAGACCCACGGGAGCGACGCGCCTTGTACCTCAATGTTCTTTTTGCCGATACAGACCCGACGAGGCATCCCAGCTGGGGACAGAACTGGGTGGATCGACTCACCGATACGTCGAGTTCCTACAATGTTTCTGGTGAACAACTCGCGCATTTGCAGGCAATAGAGAAGGATAAAGACTTTCATGAAAAGGGAGTGTAGTAAGTATATAATTCAGCTAGTCCTTCAAAAAGCACTCCTCTAACCATTTTTTCATTCGTAGTGACTATATCTATGCCTTAAGGGCATGCCAAGTAACCAACGCTCCGTATATCGCCATATTCGAAGACGACATTATTCTTGCAGAGGGTTGGATGACCAAGACCTTAAAGGCCCTAGCAGACATAAATCATATCGTCCAAAACAAGACATCCTGGATTTACCTCCGCCTATTCTACACGGAGACTGCTCTGAGTTGGACGTCATCTGATTTCGCCTATAGAAACATGCCGCTTATCTTTGGATTGATGATGCTGCTTACTATAGGCTGTCTGCTGGTTCTCCGCCGCTTCCCCATCTGCCATTCTTATTTGGACTATCCCACAGTCTTCGTCATTTCTCTAGTCTGTGTACCGGCCTTCACAGCTCTTGTGTACATGATGGGGAAATACAACATTATGCCACTCCGGGGCGTGGTGGAGATGAACACAAATGGCTGCTGTACACAGGCCTTAGTGTTTCCCAGGGCGCAGGTGGATGACCTGGTTCGATATCTCGAGGAGAAACGTGGACAAACCGACTTGTTGATTGAGGAATATGCGGAACAAACCGGATTAACAAGATACGCTCTCGCGCCACCTCAGCTTCAGCATGTAGGGCTGAAGTCTAGCCGGGGGAACGCTGATATTCATACACAGAGTACGTGGGCGTTCTGGTTTGAGGATAATGATCCAATCACTCTGAAGAGAGAACATGAGGACCTGCTGCGTAGTAAGGACATAGGGAACATCCTACAGGATCATAACTAGCGCAGAATGTTATACCACTACATGTGTCCATATATATCCTAAACTATTACTGATGGTATTGCACTGTTCTTTTAGAACGATATTGACTAGTACCTTTAGCCTCCTAGGGGTTCTCTATATGGTATCTGGTGCGCTATACTGCAACAACATTTATTTATGCGAAAATATTAAATGTCCAAATGGCAACTGATATTGTTTCGCTGTCTCTAGCTTTGTAAAAGCTCTAATTAGCTTTCTGTTTATATTTCTTTTGCTTACTCTTGGCTTTTGGTAAAGTCTTTGCCAGCTGAAGACATCAGTTCTAAAAATATAAGTATACATATTATTATTCTAGCTTATGCTGTATTATTCTCTTCAAGCAAGATAACTTGCTCTCATTTACCTACCAAATTAAAGTATTTCTAAACTCACATTTAACAGTATGCAGTTCTATATCTGTACGGTATGTATAAATAATATATATCTAAGTACAGGAATACTAAACTTAGCACATTAATTGTTTGTTGATCTTACGTACCTTCACGTGCTGCAGACAACAAAAAACAAAACGTACAACAGTATAGGTAAGTATGGTGGTGGTCACCGAGAGCTACTAATTTTATTACAGACATATTGCCTAACTCATACTCTCTACATGAACACCTACAACCCTTAATATCTTTTCCACGTCTCCCTATTTCTTCTCTAGGGCATCTGTCAATGCCGTCGTCCTTTTCAGAGAAGCTAAAGACGGATCGCAACCTGGCATAGCGAGAAGTAACTTGACCTCTCCCACATGTGCTTTAGCGGCGGCATATGGTAATGGCGTTCGACCATACCAGTTTCGACTGTTAATATCAATTTATTTGTTACGGAGCAGCAATTTCACTATCTCCCCGTTTCGCATCCCCAAAGATTTACATGGATATTTTCCAGTGAGAGAAGCATTTCGACAACGTCCTTCTTAACCCTTTCGTCAGCGAAAGCTGAAGAACCCCATCCCACCGTGTTTATTGGCCCAATGTTGGTTTCTCCAATGGCCAAAAGCCATCTCACAATAGGACCATGACACTTTGTGGCTGCTAATGTGAGTGAGGCTCTTCCAGGCCTTGATTTTGGAATCGAGATCAACCCTCGTCCTTCCAGTAGTATCTCTATTAGTGACTTGTGCCCAGATATAGCCGTGTAGGACAGTGGTATCCGCCCGTATGCAACTTACTGTCCGATGTGGTCTACTCCTCTACTGGTATCCTCATGTCCTATGGCGGAAGCATAGTGCAAGGCTGTTCTTTCTCGGTATCTGTCACGTCCGTTTTAGCACCATGCTCAAGCAATGTCTAAAATTCCGCGTTGCCGTGTATACTGCCCGGATACAATAGTGTGAGGCCGAAATCGTCTGCTGCATCTATATCCACAGCTTAACCCAACAGCGCAAGGATAACTTGGGAGCAATTTCTCCTAAAGCTACATACAATACAGATCTCTGAAGAAGACCTTTTCTCTTGGGTGTACACCATATCTGACAACAATAGGTAGAAATCTGCGAGCCTTTCCGACGTCAATAAGGACGTTTAAAGCAGGAGAGAAGAACGCATCATTGCCCCAGTTATGCATAGCCTTCCGCGTAAGATCGGCTCGAAGATCAACGTACTTCTTCACATTACTCTCAGATACATACTGACTCAGCCGGTCGGAATTTCCACACAGCATAGAACGATCACCTGCATTAGAACTGCCTGTCCAATATTCCCGGTATCAAGCAGCTGCGCCAATAGGACCAGATCTTGAGCGGCATGCTTCTGCCGAAAGTGGACATCCTGAAGAGAGATTAGATTTGTAGTATAGAGTGACACAATTCGATAGAGCTCCTAGGATATGAGTGATATGTCGCCAATGAGTTGGCTTGCTGCGAGTTGATATATATGGTCAGGGTATCCGGGAACAGGGGTCGACGATAACATGAATCGAGCATTTTTCTCATGCACACCTCGGTAACTTCCATGAAGTGGAGACATTGTTGCAGATGCCTAACCCATGTCACTCTATGGATGCATTAGCCGTCACGCCTTAGTTATAGGCCGATGGAAGCTTATAGTTAGATCCTTTACAAACTGACTATACAGATTTCCGGCAGGGCTAGTATTTAGATCGGGAATATTTAGGTAGATATTGCATATAAATTTGACGCCAATAATTAATTATAGTTTAATATTTAGTCTAACTAGTTAGTTAACAGTTCACCCCAATTGAAGGCCAGCAACTGAACACATGATCACCGTATTGCCTAGCCAGCATAGGATCCCACAGACTGTGGCTTGCAGGTGAATTATACGATATTAGGGTCATTATAATATCGTGGAATAAAGTGTCCCCCAGCGCAGAATTTGGATACACGTTGAGTGGTCGGTTGGTCTGGAGCTATAGCAGAGAAGTATACGATAAAGGCGCATGAATCACGTGGAAGGCGTATCGATATCTACCCCTCATTCTCTCCGTCTAACGGCCCATCTAACTCCCTCCAAAGCCCCACGCCGCCTTTGTCGGATAATGTTGTTAGTAATGCGAAGTATATCGTGATGGCCAGACGATGTCAGACAACGAAAAAGAACAGCATGGTTTCGAGGAAAATGACAGCTTCGATTTCGATATGGGCCTGGGGCTAGAACCGAGCGAATTTGAGCCGTCAATGGAATTCTACTCGGTGCCGTCGGACTCACTGTCCTTTGACATTGACCAAACTTCTACACAATACCCTGCTATTTCCCCACATGGAAATGTGCCTTTGCTTCCAGACAGTAGCCTGTCCAAATCCACGCCGGCGCACGAGTCGTCACACCAACCCAAGTCGTGTGGCAAGCTATTGCGTCGGCCACAAGACACGGTGAAAACCTTAGAACAATGGCTGAAATATCGCTCTGATGATCCCTATCCAACAAAACGAGAAAAGGCCTCCTTGGCCCAGGCAACCGGGCTTACTATCGCTCAGGTGTCCACCTGGTTTGCAAACGCGAGGAGACAGCGTAAGCGTGGCAGGTCGTACGGCAGCAGTCAGTCGATACCTGGATTGGTTGATTCTTTGCCTGAATCCCACTCGATTACTCACGAGCAATGGCCTTCGTTGAGTCCACTAGAACGATGGCAGAACTCACCCCCAGAACTAGAGCCTGCGCCGTTAGAAGCTATTATGAATGCGGTAGCTACCGGTGAAAGCGACAAATTGCCTGAGGGAAGTTCTGAGCCCACCTATTCGTTCTCTGGTGATAGACAAAAATGCGTATCATCGGCCGGCAACGATGCTCAATCAGCTATATCGTCGAACGCATCTGGATCGGGGCTATCCACTAGTTCTGGTTCGTCTGCCCGTAGCTTCGTTTCCAGTCACTCTGGAGGATCTTTCAGCCGTTTCTATCTAAATGAACCACCGCGGCGCCGTCGCCGTCGTCGACCAAAGACATTGAGAACAGGAACAACGCAGAAAAGGCCTTTTCAGTGTACGTTCTGCACGGACACATTTCGTACAAAACATGACTGGACGCGGCACGAGAAAACCCTACATTTATCTCTCGAAAAATTCACTTGTGCTCCTTTTGGCCCAGTCTACTGTAGCCCAGCAGGCGGGACCAACCATTGCGTCTTCTGTAACGAACCCTGTCCTTCGGAAACTCATATAGAGTCACACAGGCTCAGTTCATGCCAGCAAAAACCATTAGGGTTTCGAACTTTTTATCGCAAAGATCACTTGGTTCAACATCTACGTCTTATACACGGGGTCTGCCGTATGACGCCAGACATGGATACGTGGAAAACACAGGTCCAGCATATTAATTCACGGTGCGGCTTCTGTGATGAGAGATTTGTGGTGTGGTCTGAACGAAATGACCATATTGCACAGCACTTTCGCAGCGGAGCATTGATGAAGGATTGGCGAGGATGCCGGGGCCTTGACCCATCCGTGGCCTTGGCTGTAGAAAATGCTATGCCGCCCTACTTGATAGGCATGGAGTCTACTGGGATGAATCCTTTTAAGGCTTCCCGATCGATGGATAATGGTCAAGGATCTAACTGTGGAGTAGAAGAACTGGACCATGGCGCTACGAAAAAGCCGAACCCGACCCCTTTTGAGTATCTTACAGCCCGCTTGAGCGAATTTGTACAGAAGATAAGCGCCGGTGGACAGAATATCACGGATGAGATGTTGCAAAAGGAGGCGCGTTGCATTGTCTACTGTGATGACGACCCATGGAATCAAACACCAGCGGACAACCCGGAGTGGTTAAGGTTATTCAAGCAAGGTGTGGGTTTGGGATCGGCTACTGATCCATTTCAGATTGGACCTTCCGATAGGCCTAATGGTGAAGATAATGATTTTTGTCTTCCATGGTCAGAGGAGCAATGGGCACCGTTGTGTTTTAACGCTAGTGATCTTGCTCCAAGCCTTTTGGACACGAACAACGCCTGCATGACATGGTCATGGCAAAGTCCAGAGTGTCTTGTGGAGTTCAGACGAAATATGGAAAGGCCCTTCGCCGAGATAAGTGCACAGAGTAGGGCTGATGTTGGTTGTCAGTTATTGACTAACACCCCGGCGCCAGATATTGAGTACCCGATCTCAAACAAGGATGCATGATAGCTATTCAGTTAGATGAAACCAATTTATTTGACACATTAAGCAAAATCGCAGGGCCTAAAGTAGTATTGCTAACTTTCAATCTGTTTCACCGGCAAACCCATTAGTCTCCATCCAGGAATCGTCTGCAAACTTGGTCAGGTAGTTTCTGAGACTGTCTGGAAATATAAGAACGATTGTTTTGTCCTCCACATTGTCTTCAGGATGCATGCTCAGGTATTGGAGCAAACCAGCAAAGGCTGCTCCAGATGAACCACCGCAGAGTATCCCCTCATCCCTGACAAGCCTTCTTGCAAGCCGGAATGCATCTCTGTCGTTTGTTTTGATCCAAATGTCCGGTGCTGTCCGGTCCAGAACTCCGGGCACAAAGTCGTACCCAATGCCTTCAACTTTATACTCGCTCCTTTCTTCGTTCAACTCTTCTGGATGTGCAAGGATCGATCCGATGGGGTCCACGCCGACAACAGAGACATTTCGACCCTTTTTCTTCAGACCCCTTGCCAACCCCGTGACTGTCCCTCCCGTTCCAGCTCCCGCTATTAAAATGTCCACTCTCCCCTCTGTTTGATGCCAGATCTCCTCTGCTGTTCCGTACTCGTGGGCGCGCGGGTTCTCAGGGTTATTGTATTGATCTAGAATCCATGAGTTCGGTATCTCCTCCTTCAGGCGTCTGGCAACACAGAGAATGGAATCGGGAGATTTGATTGGTACACCAGCGGGTGTCCTCACGACGCTGGCGCCTAAAGCCCGCAAAATTTGCTCTTTCTCAAGTGACATCTTTTCAGACAGGACAATGATGCATTTATAGCCTTTGATCGCTGCCATGAGAGCTATTGCTATACCTCTGCAACATATTAGGCGGCTATTTCAAAGGGTGGCTGTCTCTTGCAACCTACGTATTTCCGCTAGATGCTTCAATCAGGGTATCTCCAGGCTTTATCTGTCCATCTAGCTCGGCCTGCTCCACCATGCTCTTTGCAATACGGTCTTTGACTGATCCAGCGGCGTTGAAAAACTCGAGTTTCGCACATATTCTCGCTCTGATCTTAAAAGAGGTAGGAAGACGGTTTAAGCGAACAAGGGGAGTGGCACCGATATGGTCCGCGCAGGAATTGCTAAGCAGCTCACCTAGGTATGGTGCCATTGGGTTGGATTGTAATATGAAGTTCCGGTCACCATACAGGCTCAGCTCGTGGTCAAGAACAAGAGCTATTTAAGAAGTGGAATAAGGGATATGCATAACGTTAAATCTTTATAAAGTCATAATATATTTCAAAATAAGGGAGATGGTGAAGTCGGGTGGCATGTGAGTATTATATTAAAGCGCCCTACACATTACCCAGTTAGGCAGTCCTCGGCCCTTAGTTCCTTAACGCCAAGGAATCCCCCCACCCCATACCCATGGCGGAAATACAAAGGGCGCCAGTCATCTCCCTATGTCCCATAACCAGCTGTGGTTCCAGTTTTGATTGGACAGCGGGAGGGTGTAAGCGTCACTCCAAAATTTTGCGTACAATGCCCGACCGAAGCGTATTTCTCATAAAGTGAGGTTCTAGACTTCAAAGTGAAGAGAAAGAATATAAAGAGATGGAATATACCGCGTGCTACGAGACAAACGAAATACTTGATCAAGTCTACCGAAGGTTAGGAAAATGACTTCACCAGAGCGCGTCCTAAATGCAGAGGGCCAAACACGCCTCGTCAGGCATTTTCAAGATCAGTATGTCACCAAATTCATTACGTGGCTTCTGTGCTGGAGGCAGACATATGTTTTAACAGAATTAGTGAGATCGAAAGTCATGCGGCCGGGTGGTCCAACCTTTGGGACACGGATAATAGCAACCTTTGGGATCGTGGGAAACCTTCTCCAGCATTGATCGACCTCATTGAGGAGAGACGTGACTTGTTCTATCCTTTGACGGAAACGGGAAAGAAAAAGAAGGCACTAGTTCCGGTGAGTCTTCTATGCTTAGGCCCATCATGACCTAGGTTAATTTGTATACGTAGGGCTGTGGCAAAGGTTACGATGTTGTCATGCTAGCACTGCATGGATTCGATGTATACGGACTCGATGTCTCAGCGACAGGCGTAGCTATTGCCAGAGAGTATGCCAAAGCAGAACTTGCAACACCGCAAGCCTATAATTTCGGGAAAGCCTGGAACTCCGTAGAAAGTGAAGGGCAAGCGACGGGTGAAGTTACGTTTATTGAGGGAGACTTCTTCCAGTCAGATTGGGAGACTGAGGGTCAGTTTGATTTGATCTATGATTATACAGTAAGTTTTACTCCTTGATCTTCCCTACCTCGGGATCACCGGAACTCTGCACTGATGCCATGCAGTTCCTGTGTGCCCTTCATCCCAGCATGCGCCCCCGATGGGCATCTCGCATGGGGGAACTTATCTCTCCAATCGGTATGCTGGTGTGTCTTGAATTCCCTATGTACCAGGATCCGAAGCTTCCCGGTCCACCCTGGGGTCTAAAGGGAGTACATTGGAATCTGCTCGCGGAGGGTGGTTGTGGTACTGTTTCGGATAAAGGAGACGACGGGCTGAGAAATCAAGGGAAAGCACAATTTCGGCGGGTGTTGTATGTGAAGCCTGCACGATCATATGAGAGCGGAAAAGGAACAGATATGTTAAGTGTATATATCAAAAAGCCTTGATCTCGCGAATGTATATCGGCAGCATGTTCACATGACTTTATTCTAGCCCTGTGCAAGATTCGTGTATGTAGTAATATCTAGATTTGTTACACCTTTTTTCGTGGTGGATGAAAGTGGGGAAGCTCACTAAGGACATAGCTCTGTCAGGAAATGAAATTCAAGGAGCTAAGCATATGACGGACCTCTTCTAAATCACCTATTTCGCCGCGCCTTAAGGTTGCCCTTAGGACTACTCCGCCTGTCTCACCATTAGCTACGCCTTAGTTGCTTCCCTTTCGGGGCCTCCCTTGCACGTCTTTAGAATATTCGTTTAGACTTCCCGATAATACAGTGATAGTTCCGTCCTATTTAAGGGCTACGTACACAGTGGAAAGGAATATAAGCAATCAGCTAAACGTCTACCAAACTGGCCGGCTTTGGAACTCATGCAGTGCGGTCTGGCTTGCCTCGCGACACGACTACCGGAGCCCTAGTTGAGCCTGTAACTCTCCGTTCGCCGCTTGATCTGGTTGTCTAGATTTGATGCTGATGGAAATAGATCTCCCTCTCGACTACTTTTTCCCAAGACCAAGTCGCGTCCCCTAGAGGCGCTTATGTTTATTCCCACTCAGCTAACCCCAACCGAGAGAGTTTTGAAATGACTATTGCCGAACTCGAGGGAGCAAGTTATGCACTGGCATTTTCATCGCATGGTTGCCATGGGAGCCATCATACAAAGTCTGGCGTGTAACTCACATATTGCCTGCATGGCGAGCTTTTATGGCGGAACGCGCAGGTACCTTGCACAAATAACACCATTACTTGGCTGTACACTGACTTTCGTGAATGATATGCAGACTGAACTGGCGAGCACCTTTGATAAATGCGACAACACGACAAAGATTGTGTGGATGGAGACCCCGAGTAATGCAACTTTATCGCTGGTGGATATCAAAGCCGTTGCGGATACCGTGCACCACAAAGAGGTCGTTGCTCGTAGTGGATAATACGTTCTTGTCGCCGTATATCCAGAACCCGCTGAGACATGAGGCTGACGTGTTGTATTTGGTGACCAAGTACATCAATGGACACAGTGTTAGTATCAGCTCCAGATTTCTTTTCGGACACTCCTTCTAATACAATGTTTAGGATGTGCTTATGAGTGCGATAGCGCTTAATGACCCAAATATCCACAAGTGTCTTGCTTTCTTGCAAAACGCAGCTGGAAGTGTTCCCAGCCCCTTCGATTGCTGGCTTGCCCACCGTGGCGTGAAGACCTTGCACCTTCGTTCTCTTGCTGCATCTCGGAACGCTTCTACTATCGCCCAGATACTGGAAGTTTCACTTCATGTTCTCTCCGTAAACTATCCTGCCCTACCTATGCATCCACAGCGCGAGGTTGCTGTCAAGCAGCACCGCAATAGGCTTGGTTGAGGGATGATTTCCTCCCTCATTCGAGGTGGCAGTGAAGCGGCTCAGAAGTTTCGTGAGTCATCGCGGCTCTTTACACTAGCAGCGAGCTTTGGTGGAGTAGAAAGATTGTGGAGGTTCCCGCTGTGATGACACATAAGGGGATGCCAAAGAAAGCGCGGAAAGAGAGCGGAGTCTGCGATATTTTGATTCGGTTGAGTGTCGGGATTGAGGATGTGGAGGGCTTGAAAGTGGATTTGGCACGAGCGCTTGACGAAGCAATGTCTGTTATACAGAGCATTTCTTGACTGACAGTCTGGACTTTAATACTGGCAGAGGCTTGTTTTTCCGGAACTTGGAGAAAATTATGCTTCGGGTGGGCGGCCTTCATGGTAATCTACAATGGAGCTTTGTGGTAGATGTAGATATAGCTCCAGGGGAGCGATATGTTAAAAGTCCAACAGCCAACAGCTAAACTTCATTATAGAGAGTAATAGAATGTACGAAACTCATTCATTACGAGCTCTACCATTGTCGGGACAACAGTGACCTGTACCAGTCAAGGTTTGGCATTGGGCCTATATATTCCCCATTGCTGTTTTACTCCCCCGACTACAATACGTCTGGCACTATAGCAGGCTGCAGTGTCAGTTGCCCCGTATTTGAGAAGCACCTTCTCACACTCTCCATGTCCATTTTGAACAGAATAGCGCAGCTCCCTGCAACCAAAGTAGCCACTCTTGTTAACGTCCGCCCCAAAATCCAGCAATACCAGTGCAATATCCGCATATCCGTACCGACAGGCCAGAAGTAATGGTGTCTATTCGCGTGACGAAATGGTGTCCACCTCCGCACCAGCATCGAGAATACTGCATACTCCGTCCAGATTGCCATGGCAGGTTGCAACATGTAAGGCTGTCTTGCCATTCTCGTCATGTTGACCAACGGGTGCATGGGCCATTAATAACCTTAACAGCATAGCGCGTCCATGAATATCGGCGGTAGCAACTGCCCTATGGAGATGAAGATGACTTCCGAGATTGATCTCAGAGACGATATGTTTATCTGTAAAAGAGCGCAGGAAGTGCAAAAATCTGCTGCAACTAAGCCGAAGGGATAAGATATCTGATTTACTGCATGACTGAGGAGGTATATGTCAGTTTCTCTCAGTGACGGCTTGCAATGTCGTAACAGCAACTGACCTGAGCCAGGTGATGTAGAATATCGATGGGGAGGCCATCAAGAGCGACCATGCTTGAGGAAATGGCGCGATCAGGTACAGGGAATCTGCAAAATCTTGTGTACTACACATTGTAATAGGGTAATTGTTTGCATTCATTCCTTTTGTAGAGAATCATGTATTTGCGCCTTAAGAATTTCCTCTTTTGGAAAGCGATTTGCTCCGCTTGCCAAGAGAACCATAGCTCAACGTCTGGTTCGCTGCGCAGAGCTATTCTATCACTATCTATCACTAGGATATCAAACTTTCCCGCACGTTTACACGCACTCATTCACATGATCAGACCCTACTTGAAGATGGCCTGAAGTTGCCCGTACTGGAGCTTCCTTTCTCTTCCGAATTGCAATCATATGGCGGCGGCAAACCTCTATACGGAAACCATTGCTGCCAATGAATGTTCCATCGACTAGTAGTGCATCCATCTGCATGGCACTGCCAAACTTCTAGAGGCATGAACTTCGAGAACCGCTCAAAATAGGCAAGCAGGCATTTCACATACTGTTCACGATTCGAAAGTGAAACTATCCTTTCTGAGACGGACGCCTTTAGAATTAGTGAAGCTAGTATTAGTGAGTGGAGATAAGGGGTCAACTCATCGGCAGAAGAGGACGAAAGGGAGGCCCCTCTCCAGCAATTATTTAACAAACCTGATCATTTCACTTGCAATCCATACTGATATCATAACCCGCCTTTTGTTTTGTCCTCACAATTTCTTCCACCGCTTAATCCAATTTCACTTCTTGAAACCTGTGATTCCCATTATTATCCAGTTTTGAGTAGACATTCGCCACACCTCTTTCCTCGGCCTTCACAATATAGTAGATCTCCATAGCCACAGGAGATAAAGAAAGGTTCAGACTTAGGACTCCCATTTTGTCTTGTGGTTTGACTACACACATATGCCAGTCCTTGCCAACTTCATCTAACCAATGCATAATGCGAACAATATGGGCCCCATTGTTTCGGCTGGTGCAGCTAGTTAGAATGGTGCCAGAAGCAGAAGTTGCACAAATACGGGCAGGAGAACTGCTTTGCAGATTCATTGAGGGTGAAGAGCCGGGACGGCATTTCAGGCTTGTGGACCTGCGGAAGAGTGATTTCGAGGGAGGAACTATCAAACGCTCTTTAAACATTCTTATAAGAGTCTTCCACCTCCCATTCCCACTCTTTTCTGTCTCTCCTCATCTCCTAGAGTACCAGACCTCATCATTTTTTGTGGTTAGTTACAATCATAGTTTCTTATCAAGCTCTAGCCGTTGGACACTGGATTACTATTGTACTGAGCATTGATTGATACACCCATGATGTTCGAATGCGTTATAATCAAGACTGAGTAGAGCACCAGAATGGATAATCTGCCAATGCCTCTAATCCTCCAGCATGGAACTTAAGATAGTTATGCTGTATTTGGACCATGCTTACATCGACATTAAAAATTGCGAAGGCCACCCGACTGCAGTAGGACAATCCATAACTTGAAGTTCAAGTTAGGGCCAAGTTATGGGTAGTCTGTTTTACCCAGATTTGTCTGGTAAGCCGAGCCAAGGTCTTTCAAGTAGATCATCACAAATAGTTTGAATAATAACAGGCCTAAGACCTCGTGGCCGTCCTTTTCTATTAGGAGGATCCTTCACTTGCCAAATTGGCGCATATTGGAGCAAAGCAGTCTAATCGTACGCTCATTGCACCCAGCAGGGGACAGTGAGATTATTACCGACGATAATATTAAGGATTAATGCCAAGGTTAAGGCAGCAAGACTGGGCGCTATCCCTACCACTGCACTAGGATGATCGACCGGGAGGATTTTCTAGTTAGATGAATTGTCAATTGTCGATCTGTATCTAATACCTTAATGCAAGATGTTAAAGAGGAAACTAACGAGATATAACACCTATTATTGTATATACCTGTATATCTTGATATAAGCTTGACTATGGCCCGTTTAATGCAGTGTGCTACCTATCAACAGGTGGAATCATTGAGGGTTGAACAGTAATAGCTTCTAGTAGAATTTAGTAAATTCGATTGGACCAATCTTCCATTCAGTCGGCATAACAATACCCTGTTTATAGCTCACCATCCATCTGCTTAGAACCTAAAACTCATGAATGATATCTTGTCAACCAACTTGGCGCTAGCTGCTATTATTTCTTATCCAGGCAACCGTATTGAGCAGGCATGTCCTCTCTTTTATTTACTTACATGCATTTATCATTTACATCACCTTCACTGGATGAGCGTACGGAGTAGTGGTAGTAATTATGATATGTATACAATTTATAGATATCAGTCGATATGACGACTTGTTTTCGGGCTGACACTGACAAGACTGATGATTATCTAACGTCTTTAGACTGCACTGGTCTCGCCATCACAATGGATCATTGCGAGATGGGTCGTCCTCTGTATAATCAAGCGGACGCTTAATCCAGCGCAGTAAAACGGCGGTGCAATTTCCTTAGGGTTAGTGTCAATGATAGAGGTGATAACGGGGAGAGAATTATCACCTAGTGTGATGGAAGAGTATCGACAATGTCTGAGCTAATGGTAAATTCTCGCTGGTCTGTTAACGATGTAAGCGTCTAACTTCTATCTAAGTACCCAAAAATACCCGGGCTTGCGCCCATAAATATACATCCGCTATTTGGAACGCGCTTTCTACCTTGGCCTACTTCCGCCCTAGAGCCTTCTCCAAAGACGCCACCCTCTCATCAATCTTCTTGAAGGACCAGCTCTCGAAGGCCGGTGGGTACACAAAAGGACGTAAATCGAATCGGTGGTCATCAGGACTATAGCTTTCCGCATGGTAGGCCGGCGTGGCTACTGTCTGCTTGTGCCGGTTGATATAGTGATAGTGATGGAATCGCTTCACCTTGTCGGCGATCTCGCGCGGGCTTAGCTTGTCGCTACCGCCCCACTCGTTAAGCAGTCTCAAGAACATACTGTACGGCCCGAGCTTATGTTGCTTGCGTAGCGTCTGTGACTGGTTGTTAGTTCAAGTGCGCTAATGCGATCATGATATCACTTTACTTACTCCGAAGCGAGATAGTTCGGCATAGGTCATACCCATATCGGCTGAGTTTGTCTCGTCAGTATTTGATTTTCAAGGCATGCAACTTCACTCACCTTCGTCACTTTGGACATAGTTCTCAGTGATAGGTTCAAGTTCGGCCGTAGCTGTCTCGTTAGTAACAGGACGACAGGTTACCAGGTTTTGGACCTACGAATAGCATGAATGAATTCCTCCAGGACGGGCATGTCAAAGCTCTTGCTGGCCCAAGCAATGAAACCCTTACTGTAACATCACGTATTAGCAAATGCTCATTTTGGGGAGCGAATGGGAGATATTCGGAGTGAGGTCAGAAAAATCTAAGATATTTTGGAGTGACCACTCATAGTGCCTCAAGGAAATATCGTATCAGGAGTAGCTTACAGGTCCGTTTTGCTGATGGATCCAATGGGGTTAATGTCAGCAGAGCTGCAGTCGTACTTAGTGAGATCTATAGCACATCATTATCAGTATATATCTGACGCATTTGTAAGGTTTGCTCACATCCTCGAAGGCACTCATCAACATTGCTAGATCCAAGGACAAGCAGACTGCCTCCTCCTGGCCGTTGTCGAACTGTCGGCAGCATCTGTGCGTAGTAGTAGGCGATGACCATGCGGCTGCGGGCCTGGATGTTTTGCAAAGCCACTGTGGCAGTTAGTGAATCGCCTTAGGTTCGAGCCAAATGCGCCGCCAAGCGGGCAGCCGCGACAACTGAGAGGGAATAACAAACAGTTCTCCGTAATTGATCCTCCATGAACCTTAAACTGGGGCTCAAATCCCGTACCCTGCGTGAGCAAGTTCTTGGTGGCGTGGAAGGTATCGTCGATATTCATATCTGTGTGATAGCTGCCAATACGACTTGCCAGATCCTTGGCGCGCTGTCGGGTCTCCTTGCTACTTTGATTTGCCATGCCCATATAGATCGTATGGAAGATCTGGTTACAGAACTCCTCTGGGGTATCGGGCAGCTTTTTGGAGAAAGCGGCGATTCTTTGGACGTCTGCAATTACTTCTCTGTTGCCATTTTTGATGGCCTGAACCACGAGTCGGCACATACTATACACGATGGTGGCTGTCGCGCACGAATCGATGCCTCCCGAGAGAGGTACCAGATAGCCTGCGGCCTTGCTTCGTCGCACTTTGTATCAGTGGTTAGTAACGGCTTCGAACAAGCTGATTTATTGAGCATATATATGTAATAAACTCCGTGCCAGGGGACAGAAAATCGGAAAACTCACGATAATCCCAGAGCCAGCACGCTGGACCAAGAGCCTATACAACGATGGTTAGCACTGTTTCTTTCGGTTCACCTAGACGTCCAGGGTCGAGCACTGTCGGCCTAGAAACCTGTATTGCCAACCCTGTCATATGCATGACCCTGATTTGAGAATACATACAATTTCCTCCTCCGGGAGGTGATACCGTGGCGGCCTGGCAGGCGTCGGCATTTCAGGGATACCGATATTATCATGGGACAGAGTAAAGTCGACCTCGATTCTCTCGTATGTTGGCGCTTGCGCGGCTTGGAAACCGCGAGATGGTGCGAAGCGGTAAGCCCGCACTTCCTCGAGATCAACCGTTGCCGTTACCACTTCAACATCATCCAAGCTAAACTGCGAGCCTTGTGAGACAATTTCGCCATTGACCATTATCATTGAGCAACCATCGTAGAGTAGACGGTCGCCATCGCAACCTATAAAGGTCAGAAGAGGAACAGTCGCCAAACGAGACCGGGTACGAAGCACCTGATTGATTTGCGTAGAGGTAGATGCCGCCATTTTTGCGGGTGGCTTCCTGGATCAAGGCTATTCGTTCATTGAGCTTCCGCAAGCTATGATGCGACCCGGAACTGTTCGTGAATATCTCAACGCCGTTCAGGCCCCTGGACAAGGTCAGTGAACCGTAGGTGACGGTGCCGGGTCGGTTGAGTAGTAGGCAGAGCATGCAATATCACCGCTATAACTTCTTGCCGCTGCTGCTGAATTACTTACATGTTGATATGTGGTGCTTGAGGTGTGAAGAGTTCCTCACAGGTCTCCGCCGCAAGAGACGTATCATTGAGGGACAGGATAACGTCGCCTATGGGGACCTGACGTGTTCCCTGATGTTGCTGGATCCGAGGCGGAAGACTGTATTTCTCAACATGTCTTGGCCTGCTCCATGGAGTGAAAAATCGGTTTTCTCGAAAATTCCTGCGGCAAACAAAGTCAATAATTTCCAAAATGAGAGCAACTGGTGCATATCAGGATAGGCATCAAAATCGACTAGCTTAAATTCAAGGCAAGCAGGCAGACATACCCGTCGTTAGCAAGGTAGATCTTAGGACGGAGGCACAGGAGCTTCCCATCAAGGATGATCGCACGACTGTTGTATCGACAGCCCCTGTGCATGATCGGTAACCCCACGTCAATAAGGATGCCGTGGAGCGAGGAGTCGGTCAGGATACTGAATAGCATGTCCATAGAATGATCGTAGATATCAGATTCAAGGTAGTGGTCGAGACTACCATGCACAATCAGCACTTACTCGGTTCAACAACAATGGTGGAACAGAAGACGTCCAATTGCACCAGTCCTGCTCAAAGGGCTCAAAACTCACCAACCATAGCCACTTACTTCCAGCTCTGGACCCGTTCGCAACGTAGCGCCGGCCTCTTTGGCCTTCAGAATGCTAGCTTTAATTCGACCAAGATTGCCCTCCCAGTCCAACGCCCATTGGTTGAGGGAGCATGTTGCGAGAGTGATGAGTGTCGCCATCGCACAATAATGATGGGACCGAATTAAATGTAGAGAAGCGTAGATTCTGAGCAATTATCAATCCACCTTAAAGAATAAAAGATGGAATTGGAGTCATTTGAGGATGACGGATGTGGGGGGCCTGGCCAGGCGGTGTATTTTTGCTGTGTTATCCCGGCGGTGAGACGTGGGGTAGTTTCAGTGGCTTACGTAACGAGGATGCAGCTCATCTTGTGGGTGGTTCACAGACATTAGTTGTGTATGTGACAGTCACAGGATTGCCAAGATCATTCGTCAGAAGGAATGTGACACAAGGGTCCACACCAAGGTCTCGCCATCTGCAACCAAGCGGTGCGCAAGACTTACATAGGTGGTCGCCAGACCTTCCCTCCTCGTCCTTTATCAGTACAACGATCTGTTCATTTCCTAGTCCTCGCTCTAAAAGGCGAACTTCCTTTCTTTCTCATTTCGAAGTATGATTCAGAGCATCTTTTAAGCTAGTATTATAGTATGTTATCGACAATTAACTATGGTAATGTTGATTATTCAGCACCTTTCTCGACCAAATGTTGTTGATGATACAACGTCAGATCGCTTAGTTGAATCAGAGACTTAATTCAATGAAGGATCGATACTTGCGAGTACGCGTATTTTTTATGGTCGACGTATGTTTTTATCTAGAAGACTTGTCCTTCCTGAGGCCCATATAATCTTATGGTAATATATAACTTCAGGGAATTTCCAGGGCCCGAGTCATGTTCCAACGATCAGCCTGGAAGTATTAAGAATGATTATATATTAGTTCAATGATAGTTTCAGAGGACCAGACATACCCAAAAGTCTTGCTTCTGAGTTCATAACATGTTGTAATTGAAATGGATTAATTTTTATTATTCTCATCTGCAGGCTTGAGGTATATGAAACGAAGAAAAGTCTTGAAATAAATAAATATAATTATAAAAAGATATTACTGTATGGAAAATTCTACTACATACTGCTGCCCGTGACACTCAAGATACCAAATAAAACAAATAGTAAAGAGTATAAGCAAACTGAAGCAGGTTCCCGCATGACACGGCACATAAGCTAGGATTAACTTGAGAGGACGAGGTTTGAGGGCGTGCCAGCGAATGCTTCACCTATTCACGAATATACCTAAGGCACTCATGCAGCCTCCCTTAGTCCAGAACGATGAATCCTCCCCGCAGCTTCTGCATTCGTTCTCGTCAAAAGCCACCAAGACAGAGACCCAAGGTCCATGAAGAGGGGTCCCAACCACACGTTGTTGGATGTCATCTGCAGATACTACTCTGCAGGATGATGCCAAGACGCTAAGACTTCGCCGGACTATTTCCCCCTCTTCGGGACTCCCAAAAGAGCGAATGAGCTGTCATCTTGAGTCCACTTGCAGGATCATCCACCCTGTCGTCAATGCAGGCCATTGCAGCCGTATGCAAAAGTACGATGGGTGCGAACATGGAGCTGCCGTCTCCTTAACTTCTCGAGGATGCATGAAAGCTTTCCTATTGGTGGAACTGGCCATAATCGTGCTACTCATGCCCACAGCCAAATCCCGCAGTTGCCTTAACTTTCATAGTTCCAGAGTCATGGCAATCGACCCCGTATAGCTTCGCCTTCGCGTAAATTCTCCATCCTTCTATACACGTGTCGCGTGGAGAGAGATCGTATACGCAGAGTCCCACCGAATTTCCGCCGCCGAAACAATGCACTTCAAACCCTATCTGCGTTGTGCCTACAGCGAGCCATAAACCTACCAAAAAACCAGCAAGCGCAACGATCACTACCAAAAGCCCAATTTTTAAGGCGAGAAAGTTCATCGATCTTCTCCAATACGCATCAGGCCACTATTTTAGCGGTTGTGGCGGCGTAAGACATGCCTTAGTGCACTCTGCCAACCCACATCCTCGGCAGAGTCAGGTGAAGGTTTAGGTAACTCCATCGCGACGTTCCCCATACAAAAGCCCCAACAACCCCACCCAATGATATGAAAAGAAAGGTTGATGCCGTAAAAAGTGCTGTTCCTGAAGCAGTAACTGGCGACAATGCCGCATTTCTAACAGCCGGCCGTGGTTCAATGCTTATTTCTGAACGAGCTTGAGTAGTTCTTCAGGCTGCCCTGCACTAGCTCTGTGGATCAATCATGCCATATCTATGGGCTCACTGATACAAATAATTGCGTGGTATTGATGATCCGCTACGCCGCACCGAATCATATTGCGACACGATGGAAGGATGCATACTTTTGGCTTCTAGCCTCAGGCTCGTAAGCTGACAAGAAATTCAGGTATGCGGCATCTACTGTATGGAAAGTGCGGGTATGTGCATTTGGAGGCAGTTATATATACGGTTAACATCTGGAAGTTCGAGGCCTCGGTCTTTTAACCTAGAGCCTTTTTTTATATCTCTAATTCAGTTCCATTGTCTTAAATCCGACAATCGGACAGTCACAATGAGCTCCAGCGAGTCTCGCCAAAGGTCTGTGGCTATCATCGGAAGTGGGCCCGCAGGATTATGTGCTGCATACCTACTCGGTCGCTCTGGATACGAGGTGACTGTATTCGAGAAGGTCGGTAGAAAATGGTCCATGTTCTAGTAAAGTGCTAAACAAAGCTGTTTATAAGAGTTCCTATCTCACCTTGGCTGGTCACTCTTATAGAGTGACAAAAGATAAACCAGGCATACCTCAACATGTGTCCACCTGGAAATCCACCGACGCAGCTGCTAATAGTCACTCGTCCATGACAATTGATATACCCTTGCGAGTGTTCTCCGGAAGATACTATACCAACTGGTGGCGGTTATTGAACCATCTGGGTGTCGAAACACAAGTACATTTATTCCATTATATGTTTACAATTTCCGGCATTCACTACGCTCGATTCTACTCTAACTTTCATCGAGTCTTACCATGTCTTGCTAATGGCCTGTGGATGAACCTTTATCTATTGTTCTGGTATGCTTGGTTTACCGCCGCCTGCTTTATGGTGCGGCCGCGCACCAACGTTGGAAGAAGTGGCCTAGTCGAGACATTTGACCAGTATATTCAACGCATCCTACTGCCCAAAAGGTTTATGGACTGGTTTATTCTCCCGCTATTTTCCGCCGTAGCGACCTGCAGCCATGATGACCTTCGTCGAATTCCAGCCGCATATATCGTGAACTATCGCAAGGGGACCTGCGGATTTCACCATCGAACGGTACGTTCCATGGAAGAGGTAGAAAGACGTCTGTCGGAAGGAGTCGCAGTCAAGCTAGGCCATACAGTCTGCTCGGTCGAGTCCAAGGATAACGGGTGTGTGCAAGTTGAATACTGCCCTCCTGGTCACTCGAGAGACAATGCGACGCGCACGAATTTCGGCCATGTTATTCTGGCAATCAGTGCAGCAGAAGCCACCAGGATCCACCGTGCAAGTGCCAAAGTCACTGCACAACTGGCGACCCGGAAAGTTTCTGTCAAAGTCCATCGGCCGGCAGAGGGTGGGGTTATATATAAAAAATCCTGGGATAAAGGAAGTAGCGAGGGATTTTTGCTCCACACCGAAGAGATAGGTGTCGACGAACTTCTTTCCCATTCCACCCATTTCCATCCATCTGGAATGGTTGTCACAGTCTCTCCGGTGGCTGGGGATGATACAAAGCACGGAAAAGTTGTTCCCTTGTCAGTTGACCACGAGGTAATCTTGATGAGGCCGTTGGTTACCGCTGAGTCTCATGCTCTCCTTCACAAAGTGTTTGCGGGCCGGACTGACAAAGGCCCAAAAACCTGGAAGAACGGGGATGGTAATGTTTACTTGGCTTCCGGATATTGTTCTACTGGCCTCCCTCTTCTGGAAAGCTGTGTTCGGAGTGCTTTGGAAGCTGCTGTGAAAATTGGTGCAGACGTACCATTTGAAATCAGCCGCCCTACACCCTTTTAAGAACGCAGATATGTACTTGAGTATTTATCATCTGTGAGTATAGCGCATACAGGCTACCATGGAGAAAAATGTAAAGCGCGATACTGATTAAATATGGGATCACAAAACACATAGGTATAAACCGCTGTCCCTCTTCAATCAAGGCAATTCAACCCAAGGGGCCGGTATTAATGAGAATGTATCAACGTTATGAACGATTGTTATGATACCTATCGCTCCAGAGTGATAAGGTATATCTCAATTTGTCATCACCGTTTTCTTGCTTCTTCCTTGTCTTTTTTTTTATTTTTTTTATTTTTTTATTTTTAAGCCCGATTCATGTGCTCACTTCAAAATTGCATAAGCTACTTCATCTCACTGAGGTGTCTCTCCCTTTATCTGTTGTTCCAATAAGCTTCGTGTATATCTTAATCGAACTTTTCGTGGACAGATTTGTATTCCACGGGCTTGACAGCTGGCAAATTGTCTTCTCCTGACTTGGAAGTAACTTCCCTTGGCAAGGGGGCAAAGTTTGAATAAATTTGGAAAGTCGTTTGAGTAATATTTATCATAATGGTCATGGCTCCCCGGGGAGTGGTTTTCGCCCGTAGACGATCGTACTATAATCATTTCAATTCAGTATAAGCGCAGTTAAACGGATGAAGTGAAGGCAAGATGCCCCGGCCATACATACATCTCTTGATATGCGTGGATATTTCGGTTCCGTAGTCCTTGTCTCATCTGGGCGAGGTATACCTCAACTTCGATGCGTTGCCACTAGTGGATTCAACAGTTCAAAATCATAGCTTCGAGGAGTACCATAGACACAAGCGATGAGACTTACCCCGAGAATCTTAGTGAGCAGCATCATTGTCCACCCTTCAATGCCCTCCTCCCATTGAAGGTAATTGTAGCGGCCCAGTTCCTTTAAGTGCGGGTCCTTCGGCCAGGCGCCAATTGGGCATTTGAAGCGTTCTTCTACGACATCGACAAATCCGGCCTCTATCATCTTTGTCCTGGCCAGATCCCCGATGAGAAGAGTCTTGCCAAATGCCTCGCCCGCCTCCACGGAAATCTGACCCCATTTTTCAAATATCGTTCCGTCTGTGGATCCGTCATCGGATTTAGGAACAACGCCCTGCTCCACTTGTTCAATATAACCTCCGGGCTTAAGATGCCTATAGAGAGGACAATTAGCCATGTATGCTAGCAGATAATAACATCAAGAAGCCTTTCACTGCATGACATGCCGTAGTGCCTGTTCGTAAAACCTATCCCAGTCGGTAACGCAGCCATAGAGACCACGTACATGAACCATATCAAAGCTGTCTTCCTGGTACAACCACTCATCCTCACAGTCGTCGATTTCGAACTGGAGATTTGGAGGAACGGAGGTCGGCTGGATGGGAGATAGATCTGTCCCGATCACACATGCCGAGGGATGTGTATCCGCAAAGTCACTAAGTGATTAATTAGCCATCTGTCCAAGCGAGGCGTTTAGAGTTACTTGACTACAGACATTGCCCATATGCCAGTGCCTGTGGTTTGTCTGCGTATTTAGCAACGTATGCACTAATTTAATTCTCTTTTTGTCCAAATTATTTACCTGTGCCGACATCCAAGACTCGCTAAAATGATGCCTTGTTAGATCTTGAAATATTAGTTACCATGAGGACTGTTCCACGCACCTGGGGATTCTCTATGATTGGCGCTAGATAGAGTTTTCCGTGGAGTAGGAGACTGTACACATGGTGGCTGCGGTCGGGTCAGCTAAGGTACTCGAGCACAGAGAGCAGATAAATTTTCCCCCGGCACGGAATAATTACCCTATATCCAAATGATCACTAGCTTTCTCATCATTTGGGCCCCTATAAAAGCATGTTAGTCACGGTGCAGTGGTGGAAGGCAGGAGCCGGTACCAATACGCCCCGGCATGGTAGGCATGGTAGCGTCGGCCATTCTCGAAGTAGTAATTGGTGATACTGGTTCGAAGTGAGAATGAATCGCTGCGTAGGGATCCTCATTAGTTGACAAGAGCTGAAACCTGACGGGCGCAGAGGGTGAAAGCGTACACTTTATCGTCATACATTGGATTATCGTCGAGATTATCGTCCTAACTTCGCTGTCAACATCAAGTGGTCCATAGATAGTCAATCATTGTATTCCTTACGACGCTTATCAAACTGTTTTGGGGCATGTTGATAGCTAGCTCCTGGTGGATGTCACGATGTCGAGGGACGGAATTTCCAGAGGAAAAAACAAGCGTTTCCGGGAGGATGGTTCGACTCGGGAATAATCACCTAGACAAATTATACTTATGCGGCCTAAATTATAACTGGGTCGTCGCCACCCAGGCTGTTGGGTTGGTCTTATGTTGCGGGATAACCCTGGTCAGTTCAAAAGCATGTAACCCTGTGAGTTAGCGCTGGCGGCAAGCACAAGGACACGGTATCCTACGATAGGCTCCCAAAGAACATAGTCCGCTGCAGCCACAATCCTCACCGAACCTCTCGGAATTTGACAAACTTTTGCAACCGATGGAGATCGGTATGGTATTGACTGGAAATATGACTGGTTTCCCCTTTTTGGTGGTACGTACTACCAGACAAGAACATGCTTTTATTTCCATCAGGAGAGGCAGTGGTGTGAGTTTTCATTTGAATCATCCATTAATACCACGGAGACGATCTGCGAGTTCAGGCCTCTCCAGCCTGACCGCTTTACCACCAGTATCATTGAACCGCCCCTCCCCCTCTTCAAAAAAGGGTTAAACAACGGCCTCCTTACAGCAACCCAGAGCAAATTGTAGACCAGAGTGTTAATAAAATAAGAAGCTACCCATCGAGTCGGTAACTTGCGCGACATGGATGCATTAGTAGCGTACGCAATTCCAAAAGATGGATTTCTTGGAGATGATGCCCGATGATTATCGTGTAAGTCGCCTGTACTGCGTTCCCTTCTTAGTCTGGTATGTATGCTGTAACATTTGATCTGCATTGCTTGATAGGTTGAATACAGTTTACGTATCACTTCTCTCTTGAGTTGTCTGCATTATCCTGCGGGGCAGGGCCGCATGAGAACCAATAACACAGATATACCGTAGCACTCGGGCGGGGAACCTAATGATGAATTAATGATTGACCCTAGCATTGACCCAAGGCTACAACTTCGGGAGTCACCAGATGGTTAGTAGGACGGGTAGTATGAGATGGTAGTTCCCCCTCGAGTTCCTCGTATTCGGGCCAACAAAAACTGATTCCAATGATCAACAAAAACAGCAACCGAGCCAATGACCATCAACGCTGCCGAGTTGTGCACGCAGGGAACCGCTTTGTTAAAGGGTTCGTTTATTTACAATTATACAACCTTCAATACTCCGTAGCTGCCCTTATAAATTGGTTCCAGGCAAAGAATACCCTGAAATTTAGTTATTAGACAAAGCTTTCAAATATTTGCTATTCCTTGTAAGACAAGTGGCCCCGCATGTAAGTAAACTAGGCAGGGTCATATTATTAGGTTTCTATAACAAACGAAGGATAATAACCCTACTACTTATGCCAGAATGGGAGTATCCTGCTAAAACAAGCTGCCAGGACTACTAAGCTTTTTAAACTAAGATTATATAAGTGCCTTACGCTAGCATAAAATAGACTAACTATTAGTTTCATTGATATGTATATAGATCATCAGAGCGAGAGTTACAGTACATACGACCACAGGGTGTGGAAAACAGGGCTTCCCGTCCGCTCAGCCGTACTTAAGCCACACGCCGGCCGGTTAGTAGTTGGGTGGGTGACCACCAGCGAATCCCGGCTGTTGTATGTTTCTCTTTTTTCATATTTTATATTTATTTAATAGATAGCTGTAAAGAACTGGAGCCTGTTTGACCTCTCGGGCACCCTGTTAATCCTATTGTCCCTAGTGTTCCTACTGGCCCTGTTGTCCTTATTGTTATCAAATATGTCACTACGTGTTCGACCCATTGGCCCTCGACAATCCACACAACACGTGGTTTTCCTCCCATTCCTCTTATGCACGATTCCTTTTTGTACATAGTCTATTTTATAGGTTCCACGGATTCAGGCCTGATAGTAGCTCTTGAAATTTGTTTAATTGTTCCCATGTCTCTCTCCTCCATGCTCTTCACCCGCTTTACCGGAAGCTCGCATTACGTTAAAACAATACCATACTATTGTGGAAGACAAAGTTATGCAATCTCTTGAGTGGCGCCTTTTATATCTTGTTATTAGAAGTAGGATCTGTCTAGAAGTATTTTATGCATCTTATTTTTCCAGGACATGCCCAGAGCATTCAATAGCCTTATATGCTAGGGCAATAAAGGCCCCGTTTTTAAGTAGGAGTAGTGCAAGTAATATACTACCTCCCGCTAAAGCAGCCTGCACTGTATTGCCAAAATACCCTACTATTTATTAATACCAGCTCCTCGATCTAACAGTAAAATTATTTTTAGACCCATTATACACAAGCGACTTCAGTACCATGAAATCTACCTTCGGAATTAATATCCGGCCATTATCCAAGAGCAGCCGGGCAGCATGGATTTCCCCCCCTTAATGATGCAACATGGAAAGCAACTAAATTTTGTCCAGGATATTTGTTATCAGCTCCAGCTACATTAATCTCTACGCCCAATTTAAGCAATTCTTCCACCAGTTCTACATTACTATTAAGTAACGTGATAAAAAAGAGTATTTTTATAGACTTTATAAGGTGCATAAATATTAGCTCTGTGCTTAAGCAACAGCTCCACATTCTTTTTATGTTTATTTGCACATGCAGCGTATAGAATACTTCGATAATAACTCTTGTTATTAAAAAAAAAGCTAGTTATCCCTAGCATTTAGATCTACACCTTCCGTGGCTTCCCCAAATAGCGTTGGGATCGGCTAGCAGCTACATAATTCTTTTATACACATATTTACTTACAGTAGAGAGAGCTCTATATTAAGGTCCGAAGGGAATATCGTCTATGAATTTGGTCCGCACCTCTATCATGTAACAATTAAACTAATATTATATGGCCCTTATTAAAGGAGAGCATGCCTATTCTTCGTATTAATACTTGTTCCTAGATCAAGCAAGATCTTCACCAGGTCTGGATATCCTCTAGCTAAGGTGCGAACAAGTGCACCGCTCAGGAATTGGCATCGGCCCCTTTAACAGAAGCTGTACTAGCCTTTTTTTTTGTCCCAGTCTATAAGGTGGTGACAACGTGCTGTATTAGTGGTGCTCTCAAGCGTGAAGGTTGGTCAGAAAAAACTGCGAAGCAGAAAGAGAATAAAATGCAGATTTGCGAAACGCGTGTTCTTATTTTATTTCTGATTTTTGCTCGCACTGTCTTGTTTACGTGGATAAATCTGGATGTGATAAAGGGATAAGCATTAGAAGAAAAGGCTGGACTTCCCTTAGTATCACACCCTCCTAAGTGGCCAAATTTCGTCTTGATCAACCGTATCAGATTCTTCCAGCCTATGCTTAAGATAGGGTTGTCTTGTCACGTGTCTTCTAAAGCTCAACTGAACTTCTATCTTTAAAGATTTTATTAGCCAACTTATTCATCACTGTGGGCCAGAGCCAAAATCTGTTGTGATGGATAACGCCTCCTTTCACCACTCTGAGAGAGTAGAACAAATGTGTTCACGAGCATGGGTCAAGCTCGTATATTTGCCCTGTACTCGCCGGATTTGAATCCGATTGAGGAGCTCTTCGCTGAGCTAAAAGCTTTATAAAAAACGCATTGACAAACCTACGAAGACAACCCCGACCAGGGCTTTGATTCCTTCCTTGAGTTATTTGTTGAAACTGTGGGTGTGAGGAATCAAAATGCAGAAGGGCATTTCCGGAATGCCGGTCTGACAATCGAGGACATGTAATGCAGATATGCTGTATTTAGCCTCTCTCCCAGCCATGTACTGTACTTCACGGTTACTCCGCATCAACATCCGTCCAATCAATAGATTTTAAGGAGATAGACATAATGTTTGCCCACAATGTGATAATCTTACCTTAGATATCGCGTTCAGCTCAACGCAGTGATGTGATGTTTATGTGGTTTGCAGGCAGACTGTATTGGAAGAGAAAGGTCTGAGGATAGGGTTAGGGCTGGGAAGCTTCCCTCCATATTCTCGCTCACCATGACAACGCCCCTTCTAACTTCTTCCTTTCTTCCCTGTCTTTAGTATTCTTGATATAGGACTCAATATGATTTTATCAATCTGATCCGCCTTTCGCACATAACACCGGCCACTTGGTCAAGGAATGGTCTATTATGTCTTTTAATTGTGGAAATTCGCGACAGATAATTTGGGCACCAACAATGTTTCGGGCTTGAGTACCATAGCTTAGAGATAAAATTTGACATTCACAAGGTTAAGAACACTTGTGACCAAATGAACATGCGTTCCAAATAAAGAAGGGTTAATCTATAGGTGCAGAGAACCCAAAAAAGGCAACGCACCATCACTATAACCAAGGGTAAGGATACGATCTTTAATGGCTGCAGGTTGACGGGGTTCAGAAGGGAGCAACAGTATATTTTTACCTCCAAAAATTACCCAGTCATTTTCCAGAGATATTTTTGGGGACGAGGTTATGTGCGGTTGGGGGGCAATAATATCTGGCACTTATCATGGAGCCTGAGGTGGCCTTTTAACTGTCTGGGGAGAAGATCTCAGACAAAATTAAATCTGAATTGCCCTTGAGTGACTGGCGCTCGAGGCCGGTCTTGATATCCCAGAGCTTTGATGCGCTGATAAGTAGCAGCAACTTTGCCCCGAATATGGTCTTCGGTCATTACTTTCATCGTCTATGTGGTGCAGAAGTGATGATTCCCTTACCACGGCAAAGTAATTTGCTGCTCTAGGTATCATCCCACTCGCCACGACACCCGCCGAAAAGCAATTTGCCGTTTTACCACAGCTGGCAGCGGCCATGTGATGCATCCAGCGCATCCACGAATACATAGTGTCCGACCCAGCCAAGGACTGTCGAATTGGACGGAATGAAGACGACGACGAAGAACAAAGGGTTGCCATCGATTTGGACCGCGTCGCTGTCCTACCTTCACAAAAGGCGACAAGCGCCTTTGTGCAGACTCAGGACATAATCATTGCACGGCTGTTTTTGAGTTATGGGATATTTCGCCAGCTGGGGACAAATGTATTTCTAACAACTCACAACCGTAGGTAGACCTACCTCTTGCTCAACATGATCCTGGCTTTCTAACTGGTGATGTTTCTACCAATAGCGCAGCTACTTAAGGTCGCAGACAGCGTACTGACCCTTAATTCAGACGGAAGAGTCGAATTTTAGACGACGGGTAGAGATGCCATTGAATCTGCTCCCTTGTTTTGCGGTGCCGAAGATAGAGAAGCCAGACAGCACGGCCCAAATGATAGGATCTGGGATCAGCCAACAAACCATCGAACGGCCCAGTGAATAACATGGTAGATCAGGACCGAACCAGGCAGATCGGAGGTTTATCGGTACACTATTACTATGCGCAAATAGTTGGTTTAGTCCTCTGCACCATGTTCCTTCCACGAGTGTGGCTAAGCAAGTGGACCGAGGCAAGAGGCGGCCAATCTCCGCTATATCTATCGGTCTACATTGTTTTAGCCCTGGGTACATCGCTGCTTGTCGTGGGATGCATCGCGTTGTCTTCCTTGAACTGATGCTCAAGTCGGCCAATCATTTACACTGGCGTATGCTCGACGCAGTAATTGGAGCACCATTGTCCTTTTTCTCCACCACTGATAGTGGTGTAACACTCAACCGTTTCAGTCAGGACCTGACCTTGATAGACCTGGCATTGCCTATATCTCTAATGTCTTTAGGATAGTCGTTTTTCTGATACATCGCCACTGTTGGCTTAATCGCGACGGCCTCAGCATACATGGTTATCACGATACCGATAACACTGGTTGTCCTATATTTCTTGCAAAAATATACCTGAAGACCAGCCGACAACTGTGATATCTTGACCTCAAATACCGAAGCGTACTATCACTTCTTCGAGGTCCTCGATGGACTGCTCACGATTCGGGCGTTTGACTGGCAGGCCGCCTCGACTGAGGTTCTGATCAAGCATCTGGACGAGTCTCAAAAGCCATATTACATACTGCTATGCACGCAGAGATGGTTTAATCTGGAGCTAGATATTATTTATGATGGCATTAGCAACGATCGTGGTAACACTAGCCGTGGAGCTACACGACAGCACCAACGCGGGCCTTCTCGACGTCGCATTGAACAACATTCTGGAATTCAACCAATTACTGTCATTCTTTATCACGTCATGGACCACCTTCGAAACTTCACTCGGGGCCGTCGCCCGCGTCATGTCCTTTGTATAGACAAGCCATCTGAGTTTCAACCTGGTGAACCCCCAGAACCACAGGTGGAATGGCCGAAATAAAGAAGGATCTCTAGAGATCAAGGATCTTTCTCTCTGTACGAGTACGGAGTTTCAGCCTTGACTAATATTTTTTTGAGTATCGCTCCAGGAGAGAGGGTTGGTACCTGCGGTCGCACTGCCAGGTTAGTTTTTTCATTCTCTATCATATGCTTAGCGGGAAAGCTTTCTTATGCTCGCCTTACTTCGTCTCGTAAACCCATCTCATGGCAAGATCATCATTGATGGGGTTGACATTGGAGACATCTCACCAGCAGCAATCAGAGAAGCTCTAGTAGCTGTTCCTCAAGATCCCTTCCCACTTCTAGGCTCAGTCCGTTACAATGCAGACATATAGGTGTCTCCAATAATGTCGAGATCATGTCTGTACTAAAGCAAGTCAGAATCTGGGAGGCCATTGAAAGCCGGGGAGGTCTAGAAGCGATCCTCGAGGATCATCCATTATCTCAAGTGAGAGCAGCAGTTATTCTGCTTGGCACGGGTCATTCTCAAGAAACGGACTCATAGAGGTGGATGTCAAGTATTGATCCTGGATGAGGCTACCAGTAATATTGATAGTGAAACTGATCATCGCACGCAACAAGTCTTGGGGGATGCTTTCAAAGGCTGCAGGGTTTGTTAGTGTAGCTCATAGGGTAGGTTTTTCTCTTCCTTTTTTCTTCGTTCCATTGTTTTGTGACAATGTCGACACGTTATTTAGTTTTATCATCAGGCTTCTGTCCACAGGAAAATATACAATTCCCTTTGATTTAATCGGTGCTAACCGAAATAGCTGGATACGGTCATCCATTTTGATCGAATCGCTGCCCACGACGCTGGGCGCCTTGTGGAGTTTAATAGGCCGCAGCGCCTTCTTGCGAGAGACGTCTTTTCCGTCGGATGTTCTCAACTTTTGAGAAACAGAAGTCAGACGAAATATAATATATGAGTTTTACACATAACGAATATATGTTGTAGATTCTAATTGGCACTTATGTAAAATAATACGAAGATCGGATTCTATAGTTAAAGGCTTGACTTTTATATAATTGTCTTGTTTCTCGTATGACATGGTCAGTTACACGATACTGTATATGGGAATTGGAATAACTATCAAATAAGCCGAATATTTTCCGAAAATCTCACCGCATCAAGTAGAATACACTGTCTGTATCATATAACCTAGTCAGCGCCATAGAAAAGAAAAAGTTCAGCTGTGTCCAGCTTATGACTCAGAATGCAGCCCCTCTTAACCCCGCAGAAATACGGGTTACGGAATGAAAACGCTATAGAATTTTAGTAATTGAAGGTAATTATCCTCCACGCTATTTCACCCAAGAGTGTCAATATTCGCTATCTACTAGGAGCGATCGTCCTCTGCAAATTTCTCCTGCCAAAAGGCTCGATAATGTTTCTGCTGCCCAAGCTGGGAAATCGTATCTATCTCTTCTGGAGTCAATTCAAACGACAAAACGCGCAGGTACTCCTCAAGTCGGAACGCCTTTCTGCTCGTAGTGACCGAAACATCTCCGCGGTCGAGAGACCACCGCAGAAGAATGTTCCCTTCCGACGTATTGTACTTCCTGGCCAGTTTGGATACTTCCGAGTCCACGGGACCGCCTTGCGCACGGATGGCCGGTGTCAGAGGCCCGTAGCAGGCAACTTTAATGCCTTTCTCCCGGTGGTAAGAAAGAAGGTCTCCATGCTGCAGGTATGGGTGATATTCAATCTGGTTGATAGCAATAGGAATTGTAGCAGTTTTCAGCGTAGCTTCAATGTGCGGTTTCAGGTAGTTGGAGACTCCAATTGCCTTTGCTTTTCCAGACTGCTGTACCTTTTCCATGGCTGCCCAGGCGTCCTGCAAATCGCGGTCGGATTTTGCAAAGAAGGGCGCATGGATTAAATACCTATCACATGAAGGTTAGAAGATAGAAAATCACCTTGATTTTCCAGGGATAACATACAGATCCACATAGTCGAGTTGAAGTTTCTGTAAGCTTTGCTCAATGGCACCTGGAATATCCGCAATGTTGGTGCGGACTTTTGTAGTGACGAAGAGGTCTTCTCGCGCGATTCCACTCTCCTGGATCGCCACGCCCAGCTCAGCTTCAGTACCGTAGACCTCTGCACCGTCCAGATGGCGGTATCCTAATCTGATGGCGGCCTTGATGCTTTCAACCAGCTCCCGGTTCACACTCTTATCCCCAGCCGGTTTATACCAGGCAGTGCCAGTGCCATAGCCCAGCTGCTGGGATCAGCAACACGGTACGGTCAAAATATAGAGAGATGATACTGACAATCGGGATGGAGACTTGGTCGTTGAGATTTACTGTAGGATATATGACCATCTTGCACGGATTTGTGGTTTGGAGGGATTCTGAGGGGAATGACTCGACATCCTCGTGAGACTCTCGTGTTATCGCGGACGAATTCCGACGATTGGTAAGCGGTATGCATAGTTAGTGTCGGCATATGGCACACTGTACACTTTTAAAAACCATCCTTTTTGGCGAGTTACAGGATACTGTGATTTATGTCTGACGCTTCATAGATAGTTTCAGGTATACATAAACACCAGGATGGCTGCTCCTTCTCTTCCACCAGATATGTTGCACTCGAGCCACTCGCCCCTTACGCCTGCATCAACGCACTATGGCAGATCGTCGAACAACAGATTTTCTGCGCCCTCAATATTACTACCGTTGCGGAAACACTATAATCCACCCGACTTGGCGGTGCGGAGTATCTGACCATCGATTCAACCCCTGAATCCATTAGTTAGCAGAGCACCCAGATAGGAATGCAAGAGACTCAGTTGGTTGAGATACTGGGATTCCTGGTGTTTCCACTGAATGACAGATTAGGCTAGTTGGCCTGTAACTGATAGAATAGCTCCCTGCGCATCACTTCCCCTGACTTCCTAGTCACTTCAGTTCCACAACAACTACCGCCGGACTCTCTGATCTCCGACACATTGTTACCCCACAGAGATGCTCTCTTGTTCGCAAAAATATATTTAAAGATAATGCTGGCAGAATATACTGTCGCCGGACGTGTTCAAGTTGAGACCGACGAAGACCGCAGTCGTAACAACCAAGCATTCACAGAGACGATCTGCACCCTTTTTAATATCTTAAGCCCATGGTCTACAAATGGTGAATACGAACCTAGTATCCAACTAACTATTTGCAATGTCTCGCCTAGCGACTTTACTGAGGATTTAAATCGCAGCTATAGACGCTTACTTGGTATAAAACAGCCCGGCGTGGATATACTTCACTGGCGATACATGTCATCTTACGTGGAGTTGCTTAAATCAACAGAGGAACTTCGTACCGTCGGTGTTATTTCTGATCTTGTGGTTAATAAAGGGATAGAGAGAAAATATTGCACCGGCTACGGTATCGAAACTTATATCTTGATTACCTAGGCTCCGTATATTAACGGCGAGATTGTCTGATAATAAGAGAAAAGATAAAAAACTTCGGGATAGGCTAAGAAATAAACTCGCCATTAGTCTTGCCCAGTGGCCTTTATCTTTAAAATGCCTTCACCTTGACTATTCTGGCGAGGCCCCGAGAGACGCAGACTTTCCTCTGTTAAAGCGCTCCAAACCAGGAGTAGATGCCTTCTGTATAACATTTAGACAACTAAGCCAGCAGCTCAAAATTATACATCTGGATGGCATCATGGTCGGCCCTGAGCTGTTTTGGCCGCAGGTCAATAATAAGCAACTATACTGGCCGAATCTCACATACTTCTACCTGACCTATGCTGCTTCCACTCAATCTGGCGAATGGCTCTGTGAACGAGACTCGCGATGTCCAGAATATTATTTTAACTGTAATTCGGAGAACGACAATCGCACTGCGCCATCACCTATTCTAAATAGGCTTTATATAGCTGCTGCGTATGCTGCGCGACACATGCCGAAATTAGACTTGTCGGGCAGGTCCAAGCGGGGATAAACAGCCTCCTAGGACATGACATTCTCCAGTGCGAAATAAAGCATGAATTTCACTACGAAAGAGAACAAGGCCGGGTGAGCTGGGTGGGTTCGTCTAAATTTCCACTTTCATCTGAGACCCGGGTGGCTTGGGAGATAGCTGCAAACACGATCATTCTGGTTTAATCGTTGAAAATATTGTCGAGAACGGCTCCACTCTCCCTAACGTAGTATAAAGGATTGGATAAAGAATGGTTATATCTATCTATTTATATTGCGATGTAGTTTTCCTCTCCTACACGCTCGTTCGAGACGCCTCAGCGAGGAGGACCGGGCACTTCCTAGTTAACTAACTATATACAATCAACACAACGTGCCTGCTAAAGGCACAACGAGCGCCCCCCCTTGACCCAAAAATCCCTAACTGCGAAATCACGCAGCTGAGACCTTCCTGTCTAGGAAAAGCCCCTGCTCAGCATTCCATCATCCCGGAGATGATAGGTAGACTAATCAATGCTGCCAAGAGGTTCATCCTACACTTGGAGACCTGAACGCTACTTAGTGGATTACAACAGAAGGTCTGAATGCCCGCCCCTGGCAAGGTTAAGGCCAATCCCTGCAGCTCCTACCCCTGAACCCGCTGGACTACACGGACTACGTGTCCGAGGTGGTTTAGGATCGACACCTTTGATACTACCCAAGAGATACGCACAACCCAAGACGCCTCTCTTAATTACTAAATGTCCAGCAGTGACTGTGTCTCACTCGGCTTCCCTTTCTGTTAATAGAGACGATATCACTGATTTATTTTTTATTTTTTAACAGTAATATTAGGCTATAACTGCCTACACCCGCGACACCAAGGCTAAGGCTTTTACCGAGATACTTATTAGCATGCTTACCCTGGTAAATAGGAGGTTGTCTCGTGTGATTAAACAAAATATTATCGAGAACTCCCAGGACAAGATCCTCCAGATAATGCAGAATAACTACCTAAAGAGACAGGAGGCACCATCGGTGAGCAAGAGTAGTAAATTATTTATCTACAGTAATAGCGGCAGTCCTAAACAGCCGGTGCTTAAACTTTTTAACAGTAAGGGCTCGGACCCAGCGTACGGTCTCAGACAACCCATGTCTCCATGGTACAATTAAGGTGTATACAGATAACCAGGGAGTACTTTGGACCATCTAATAACCGTCGCAGACCTCTGGCTAATACCTGGTCTGTGAAATTATTTATTTTATTAAGAGTTACCAGGAGAAGGGCTGGGACACATGCCTATGCTTAATTCCAGCCTAAATTAGTGCTCCAGGCAACAAATTTACAAGTAAAATAGCTAAACAGACCACTAGCTAGCAATCCCGGCTAGGCATTGGGGGGCTAAGAGCACCAGATCTGGCTAGACTCCTACACAGCAGGTTGTAATCTGCAGCAGACTGCTAGATCAAAGTAACTAGAAAAAATAAACAGTATTAAACATAGTACAATGCGTATTAAACTAGCCCTAGCACAGTATTATAATAAATTAGCTCTAATATGAGCAGGAAGATGCTAACACTCTACAAGGGACTTTTGCTAGCTAACCAAAGCGCCCTGGCCGAAGCCCAGAGAGGCAAGATTGGCCTAAATACCCACCTTATATTAATTTACTGCGCTAACGAGGTAACATGCCCCTGCAGGAGAGCCCCTGAAATGGTGCACCATGTCTTACTCTATTACTTGTAATATCAGGCTTTGCAAGTTTACTATTAGGGTAACCCCTAATTGTATCCTCAGAACCTGCAACGGAAAGCAGCCAAGATACTTTTAAATACAGGCAAACTGTCCTATCTCGCCCCAGCGCCCGAGCCTCTGGAACCTGTAGAATTAGACGATAACATAAGCAATATAAAGGGCAGATAGCTCAGTGGTGATCTAACACGGCCGACGAGGGGAACTGGTTATTTGCAGGACCAAGAGGTATAGATGCTAATATTTATAGGACTGTATATCTCCTACATTTCCCACACTAAGCTGCAGATAAACCAGCTACACGTCAAACTAACTAAAGGATCAAATGCAACTGTTAATGGGCATTAAGGGGCCAGAGGTGATTAGTATGAAGGGTTAAATTGGTACAGAAATGGTGCTATATCGGGCCAAGTCGGGAATATATATATATATACAAGGCGGGAAATAACTGACAAGAGGACACTCCAAGACCACCACAGATAGAACAAACGGGTGTAAAAGGTGCAAACAAAACAGGGTAGAGGCTGGAATCATGGTGCATGGAAGATATGAAGCTTTTCATGTAACTACTAATCACCGGAACTTTTGGCCGTTGACGACCCTGGAAGAGCCCCCTGAGGAGCTGTAATAATGTATAATGCAAATCTCTCTCTCTATATGAACACAGGATATGGAGAGGAGGGCTTCGTGCACTTAGTTGTAGTTGAATTATGTAACTTTGCATAAATTTATCAAACCCTTACCGCTCTGCACTTTCCAAATTTTTATATTCCTCCTCTTAGTACTTATTGTATTTTGCAACTAAAATAATTAAGAACTACTATAGCCCTTCTACATATAACTTAAGATTATTGCATTGACTCATTGAGTTTCCCTCTGAAGAAACCGCATACTGGAGGATCTACTTGATCAAGAGTGAATGGTGGGAATAGTGTGGATCTATAGTGTGACGGTTCCAAATGCTCCATGTCTTAACGGAGAAGTCTTGTTGACACGCTCAGGCTCATTCGGTAGCTGTGTTCATAGCACCGGCCAAGGGATATGACATAGTGGAGTAGTAGTGTGCCATCGCATGGGGTCCATCCTTCGAGTAGGTGAATGAGATGCAGGTTAGCACACGATCGGAAACGCTTAGATCGACATGTGCACTGCAATCCCTAGTTAGTCTATCATTTGTCATGTATGTTCGGAGACATGTCACTCACAAAGCCGAGAAAAAGCCTGGGACAGGTGCACGCCAGCTTGGCCCGCACAATGTGTTCGAAGAATTTCGATAGGCGTTGTGCCACTTCTAGATCATTTTCTCCACCTACGGGAATGTAAACCTTGGACTCGGCTTCAGACACTCTTGGGTGGAATTCCCAGTTGGTTACCATACCGCTTTTTGTATCGCTCTGCTCAAGGGGGTCATAGTAAAGTTTAGGGCGGCTTCCAATAGAAATATTCAAGCAGTTCTAGAGCTGCTCAAGTAGCTGAATGCTCTTTTGAATTGTCGGGGTGATCAGTCGACTTCCAAGGGCCCACATGTCCGTCACTTTTGCAGGGTTGACTTCAGTGTGGACTATGTATACCTTGAGACGTGCAGAACCGGGCTCCACACAATCCCAGGATATTATGCATGCCTTGCTCAGTGATCTACTGTTGATCATATACTCTTCGAGCATAATGAATGTGCCTGATTCCCGAGTGTCACCCACTTTTGCAATGGCATCCAGGACCAAGCTACCGGCGGGGTACTAGTAGCGACCGATCTCAGCATTATAAACCAATATGTACTGATTGCTGCTACTGATTGCTGCAGTTTTTCAGTGGCCCAGGTTTTCTGCGGCTACCACCGTGTTCTAGCCATTCTTCCAATAATGAACTCTAATGAATCGCCTTAAAAGCTATCCGTTGTGTGATATTTATGCCAAGAGGACGTCGACAAGGATTCTGTGGCTTCATGGCTACCAAGTTTTAACTGATTTCAAGATAGTAAGTTACTCGGTTGCCTTCTAGGAGTCGCTGGTTTATGTCCACCGGATTGGTCAGAATACTTGGCTAACCCAGTCTACGTGGCACGGGTGGGTGATCAGCGGCTAGCAGAGTGAGCTTAACTGTACCGTTGTTCTAACTTCTAACAGCAAGATCCTCGAAACTAAGGCGATATAATATTTAACGGCAGTAGAGAAATGTACCAAACTCCACAGCCCTCTTACTCGATTCTCCTCCCCCTGAGCTGCTGCCCAACCCCCTGAAAGATGTTGCAGATCATTTGGAGCTCTGGTTAGAATGCAACTAATTTGGTGTTGTCTCTTCAAGGCACCAATGCGAACAAGTGATCTTATTGGACATCGGCTGAATTACGAAACCTGGCGCGATTCGCCCTAATCAAATAATATATCGTAGAATGATCCGCAGACCCAGACTTCTGACAATCGACTAGCTCGCCGCTCTATCCGTTGTGGTCATGCAGTCTACGTCTGGTTGATCCCTCACGAAGAATCGACCCTGTTCTGAAAACCGTAGCCTGTGCAACGAAACAGGAAGAAGCGGGAATGACCGAGTGGTCTTTGGGTGGTCTTTGCATAACAGTCGAATCCGGCGTCGTTCAAACTCGGAGGGTGGATCCAGCGCTCATTCACACTCGATGCAACCTCAACTTCGAACTCAATCGTGCGATGAGGGCGAGAGATGAGCAACAGTGCATGATAGCACTAGTCAGGAACAGAATAGAATACAAGGGATTGTCTCAATAGACAATGCATCGAAGCTTCCTGTACCTGCCGAAGTAACATAAAGATACCTCTTCTCAGCATGAAAGGATGTAGCCAGTGAACAGACTCAAAGTATTCAAGAATAGGGCACCTTACTGAGCAACTTTTGATACAGTAATGAAAAGAGAGATACAGCTTGGTAGGATTTGATTCTTCAATTATATGACATTTATATGAAAGCAGAGAGTGGTGTGATCCGCCAGCAAGAATCTTACAATAGTTAGACACTCGAGCACTGATGCAATCACATTCTAGGCACCTGAGTGCCTCTCGTCATTCCGATGCCAAGAACGACATTTCATCGTGCTATTTATCGATGAAGGATATTTGCATGTAACCTATTTGAGCTAGGTGAAATATTGGGCTAATCCTTGCATTGAAACCCAATTACAACGTCCATTCTATAGGGTCAGAAGAAAGCCGGGAGGCATCAATTAAGCTAACAAGCTCTGGGCGACTGCACGCAGCGTGCCGGACCGCTTGTTCAAGCAGTCCGGATAAATAAGCCCCTGGAAAAAAAAAGAGTTCCGGTTGCCTGTCGATCTTAAGCAGCGTTATCTAAGGCTTTGAAATCTCCTCCTTAGGAGGTCGGTAACAAGCCTCGTCAGATAGCGAATTCTGCTACGCCACGTAGGGGAGACGGACGCTCATATACAGCTCCGGAGCCTCCAGTCGCTGTGAAAAAGCAAATTTATAGGGCTCGGTCCATGTGCACTGCCAGCCACGCATCGATCATATTCGATGCGCTTATCTGCAATCTCGCCATTGTCTGCCTTCTTAATAATTCTTTAGTGAATGAAACTCTGACCCCGGCATTATCATCCCCGACTGGTAAAATTGTCATTAACCTTACAGAAGGCACACCGAACGAAGCCCGAATTGTGCACCCTGTTTACATCCAATGACGCACGATACGTTTATGGTGGGATCATGGCTGGCCCAGCTATGATTGGCACTCTACATGCGGTGCTGCTGTGCAGCAGCGAATCGGATGAGATCTTCAATACTTTCCAGGGAGACCTGACCCTCCTTGGAACACCCAAATATCTCGGTTCTGATGCCGGGGCCGTCTCACTACATGACCTGGCGCTTTGTCGTGGATGTATAGTCTCTAGGGTTTTCCATGCAGCTGGATTGGTGAAGTCAAAGGGGACATCTATGACTGGATTATTGGACCTATTGAAGACTTGATGGGTGCCATGACGGCATATCTGGATATATAGGCGATGCAGATTGATGAGAAGTATGAGCCGGAGATGTCAAATCTAGCGATGCAGATAGTAACCATTCAGAGTACTGTGGCAGCTGGAGAAGGGCAGAGTGTTTCGTCAGACTTGATTCTTCCAATTTGGGGGCTCATAAAGAAGGCTGTGGCAAATGGACAAGGTGGAGCCGAACTATCATCGTTGATTAAATATATAGGTGAGAAAAACAATCGATAGTATGTTATAAGTCAAATTTGAGGATGTATTATTTATATGTGCGATCTTTCTATTATAAAACATGGGCTTCTCAACTGCGCACCCCCCACTTAATATTGCTGGTCAATTATATGATGAATTAAAATCTATAATGGTCCAGGCTTTCGCGGCTACTATCTAAGACTAAGTGTCTTGAAAGATGATATCATCTTGTAAAAGACGGCTCACTACCTCCATGGTAAAATGTCCTGATACTTCCTTCCACTACTCCGTCGAGAAGCGGTTGAGAACCGCACTCTTGGGAAAACCATCTTTAAGAATGATCGCACCCAGGATAATCAAGATATTGGAGAGTATCCAGTCCGTTCGGCCAGCATTGTGCCATATACGCATTCCCCCATTCGCGGCAAATTCGAATCTATTTTCACCTCCCGTTGATGTCTCGTAACGCCAGCGAGCATCTAGTTATTACCCACCTGAGCGAGGCGAGAATATGCGTGCCAGTATGCCAGGGCACCTGCACTGGAAAGGGGGCTACATCTAACGTCGCATGCATCGCCCCCGGGATCCGTCCCTGAATACCCTCTTTGCTCTCGTAGGATCGGAAACTCCTGGAGTGGCTGCTTCTGAAATTCATCTGGGATCGCCAGCCTCTCGTGATTACTGAATCGTTGTGGGCAACGGTTCCTACGTACAAGAAGGTTCAGTTAGTTTAGCGCTGGAGTAGGTTAGGAAGCCTACTACTAACGTCCTACTTGAGTATTGGGCTCAAGATGCTTTTGGGTCTCTTCAAATGCTCCCCAACATCTCACTCTTCTTCCAGATAGACATCATCTTTTTGACGTTTACAAATACCTGCGCCTTTTTCAGAGCAACCAGGTGCCCTCCTCACGACTGGGGTCATCAATAGTGCTCCTGGTCCTGATAGAGCCATTTTTCCAGTTCAAGTTCTCCCTTCCAAACAATCTCACCACTATCTTTGACCCACCGGTGCTTAGGAGGGCTAAGCCATTTGTTCAAGTCACTGAACTGTTTGCTCTTAAAGTCGCGATTTAATGCGGCGTGTTAGTAAACACGAGAGATAACGCGTGAAAGCTACCCCTAACCTTGAACTTTGAATCCTCCTTCAAACACGGTCCCCCAATCCGCCGACACCTGATCCCGATTGAGTCTTCGGACGATAGCAGGACGGCAAGGCTAATGTTGCGTAGGTCGGATATAGAAACACGGTCCTTACCAAATCCTTCTTTCAAATTGAACTTTACCTCTGCACGGTCTCCTCCGGATGGCCCATCAAACATCTAAAGTATATTATTGTGTTGGTGAGCCCCACGATCATTAAAAGCCCTCATGGTCGATATCTGGCTCTAAAAACTTCCAAAAGTGCTTTCGGCATCACCAAAGGCGAAAACACGGAAATCCGTTCCGGCATAATAGGGGTCAGAGACCGCAAGGCTACGGTAACACTATCGATATCGTCAGAGTATGCCTGACGCTTTTCGTGTACTCCCTGCAGCTGTGTAACTGGCAAGAAAGGCCCACTACTCAGGGTACAGGAAGCACCATTACTGCAGGGAGGTGGAGGTTCGATAGCTGATAAATCGTCACTCGGATACAGTTTATATGTACACCCGCCAGGTTAACGCACGCCATGAAAGGTGAAGAGTGACTATTTTATTATGTAAGTAAGGAGTATTAATTAACTAGGTCGACAAGTATGGCCTGAGTTCCTTGTCCTAATATAGGCCGCAGATTGGAGATGCCCTTCTCTCATTGTGCTTCCTCAGTTATGATCCATCTCTTTAAGAGAATTTATTTTCATTGAGACATACATTCCTATTGATTCTCCTTATTCATCTTAACATCCTTTCTTTTCTCTCTACTTCCTTGTCTTAATTACGTTAACGTTGCCCTGGTGAGTCGAAGAACCTACCGTGTATCCTTTAGTGCCTTTGGCCCTTTCCAGCGTTTCTTTCAAAGAGGCTACCTAAGTCCTCAAAGAATCCCGTAAAAGTTTTGATACCCCCTGCCACTAGATCAACGGCAGTGGATGGGTTACCCGAGTCCCCTTTGGAACCACCATCAGGTTCCAGAGATCCAGAAGCATTCTTCTGGGGGCAGTATGGTATTGGATCCGGCATACAATTCCGTGAACGTACATACGGAGTGTGCGGGTTCCTATCGTCCATTTTCCTGGTGACCTCTTTCACTGAACCCTTAAATTGTCGCACATCGAGTACAGGGCGCTGTAGCTTCTCGGGCTGGAAACAGAGATCCAGTATTGAGAAAACTTTGGCTGACCTGGGACGTGGCCTGAAAATATTGATGCCTTGTTGGGACCGCAGCAAATGCAGCATACTCACACAGGTCTAGAAGTGACGATGGTAACGACTCTGGAAAGACCGCCTGGAGGATTGTTGTCTGAACGAAAATCGTTGAAGCGCGTCATGCCTTGCGTGGAAGAACTGTTTAATATAGACCGCCATCAATATTGCCATGCTAAGGCCTGTATTGTAGTACTCTTGCTGAAGCTTGCCCGCGGAAGATTCCATAGCCCGGGTAGAATCCTGTAGAGCTCCTAGCAAGGAGTATTCTAACTTTCTGATAAGCTTATTGTGCAACTCAATAACTCTTGACTTGAAAGGAATCCATTGTCGGAGGTAGTGCATCTGATTGTGTCCCAAAGTGAACCACGGCATCTCCAATTGAAGTTGATAGAAACCCACAGATAACCCTGTTATCCTGCCTATACTTCGCTATGTGAAGTTTTGTCCGTCGGATGCAAATTGATATCGTCCGGATCAGTGCCACGAGCCAGACGAAATCGGGATCTGACTAAATAGAGGCCAACACGGCTGGTGCTGGCGTGGACGAGTTAACGGGCCTTTAGAAGGTGGTACGCAAGGGTAAATCGAAGGGACCCGATGCGGGACTTGCTCGATATCGTTCTTATTTGCGCTTTGGCAAACGAGATATGTTCCAACGATTATAAAGTTCAAAAATTCTTGCCAACGGTATTTATGTTAAAGTGAATAGAGCTAAAGGTGACAAGTAAAGTGAAGAATGGAATTCAGTAATACCGAAACTTTGCAGTTGAACGATCTTAACCGAGGTTTGAGAAGTCAGGAAGCCACACTCTAGTCTTGCTGTTGATATAACAACCCTTCCCGCTCTAGCGCAGAGGTGGCTAAATGACAAGGCAAGACTTACGGCGGCATATCGGATAGTAGGAATGCATGCAAGGAAGATGTACGGCTCCGAGTTGTTGACTATAAAGCTAACTTTAGCACAATATTTTACTACATGCTACAAATGCATACCCTAGAGGACCGGGAAGACGAAGTAATATTAGCATTTTATAAATTGTGAGTCCCCCCTCTCAAGAGCAAACCTGTCAATCCCGTGAGGTTATCGAGGGTCACAGTTGCCCAATGTAGTTGCCATAGACTGTCTAGGCAAGGGCTACTGACTCACAACAGCAGCTGCTCATATCAAGCTCTGCGAAAAAGGAAGATGGCAATAAATTTGAGGCCTGAGGACAACAAGTCAACCCAGTTGCTCTGATTCTCCTGACAGCAGAGACTTTCATCTTCGCAAAACATCACCACGTACCAGCCTATGAACTTCCAACGTACTATCATTTGTATCTCCATTTTTAACAATACACAGAACTCCATTACTATTACATTTATTAAACCCCAGTAGCATAAGCATCTATATGTCTTCTTCCTTGGGTCAACTAGGCAGAATACCCCCAGAGCTACGACTGATTATCTGGGAATGGCTACTTTCAAGAGGATCAGCAAGATTCCTTGAAACCAGTCAAGATTTATACCAGGAGATCTCCGACCGACTATATGATACCTTTGATATTCACATCTCTCCCCTATGGGAAGCCCCATGGGTTGATATCCGCTGCAAACGCCTCAGACTTCGCTGGCACGCAAAAGAATCTGATGACCCTATGCTGAAGAAATTCTCGAGTATTCCATATAAAAAGACCAGATTAGCTGTTCATATATGGCCACCAGACCCGGACGACCCAGGACAGATCATCTTACTGTGGCAGAGGGTTCAGAGCATCGTTGAGGTTTTTAACGCGTCCAAATCACGCAAACGCATATCGATCTACCTTCGAACCCACGATAAACGGGATTGGCAAAAGGACGGGAAAACGGTCGAGAGCATTCCATATCCGCATTTGCAAAATCGCCGGCCAGATTTCAACATAGTCTTCCTACCATTCTGTTGTTTAAGAAATATCAAGGCGTTGGATGTTTACCCGGATTCCAAGACAATGGATGAAGCAGCCGACTGGGGCTTGATTAACTACGGGCGAGGATATATTTTAAATCAGGGGTATAATGACTGTGACCATAGCCGTGATCCTGCATACCAAGATCTTGTCCGTGTCTTTGATAACATCGATGCTTTGATTACCGACACAGACTTCTTTCTCGATACGCAAATGGATACTCTTTCCGGACGCACAGCACCAATGCTCCGACTGGCACGTTTTGCGAAATGGTTTTATCCATCTGATCCCAGTGTGTCATCCTATGAAAAGCGGCATCTTCAGATCATCCGCGAATACAAGGATATCATATCAAGACACGATCCGTTGTTGGAAAAGACATTACACCGACTTGATGCGCTAGATACTTTTCACGTGGGTGTATGTGGCCCGAATTGGCCGAAAATGAGCGACCGACAGTATATCGACCTCTGGTACCAGACATATCCAAACGGCATTCCCCGGCTATTTAAACAGCAATTGTTAGAAGAACAGCAGAAAGTAGGCCACGCATCATTTCCATACCTAACTGTGAATCGCCGTTTCTTCCGTGCTGCAATATCCCACCATTTGGCGCGAAATTGGGGAGCTTCTGCAAGGTGGAGGGATCGACGATTTGAGGCAAAGTGGTGTGCTGATTGTCGTAACACTGGATTTCGTGATGGATGTGACAGGTCCTGCGAGGCACTAGATCCATTGAATCTATCGTCTGGCGATGGGAATGACGACAACTCGGAATGCCATTTGGAGTGTTGCGATCCTGAATATCCATACCGGTATCCGTAATGTCGAGCAATTCGCTTTTACCTTAGCTAGTGATACAGTACTTTATTTCGTCTTCCAACAATTGTACAACCATAAGAATCGTATTTAAAAGTCATCAGCTCGGTAACTGCGCGAAATACCTGCTGTTGTATATATTTCTGTTCGCTTTTTTTGACTTGTCGGGTTTAACGGCATGTCCCCCTGTCTTCATTCAGTGAAGGTCCTGGAGCCCTCTAATCTTAGCCCGTCAAGCCTGAGTTCGTGGCTATTCTGTCCCTTTGCCATTCGCGTCGTTCAACCTCTTAACCTCCTGTTCTCGTAAAATGAAAATGTCATAGACATGTTCGCCTTGTTTGCCCGCCACGTGCTACACCAGCACGCTTTGTACACGAAGTATGGAGTATATACTAAGGCTATTTTTGACTCCGTTCACCTTCGTACTGTGACCATATGATCTGAGCAGTAGCATCGCTAAGTGTACTATTTTCCATCAGATTTATTCAAAATAGACAGTTTAGTAAATATTCTTTGAACCATGTTTGACTCGTCAGGTTTAGCGCCTCTGCCTTCCTATTTCCGGGCCTTCATCATGTCAGCTTTTATTGTCTACCTACATATTGTATCCCTTTGTCGACCTGAGGTGTTCTCCTACCTTTAATGCTCGGTACTAGTCCGCCGTGACTTTTATCCATTTGCACCAAGACTCTTTATGTTTCGTCCAATTATGTGCCTGAAACGTTATCAATTTATCATCCCTTGTTATGAGGTGTATGATCTAGGTATTCCATTTGGTCATATTACCTTGGCTGAGATCTTTTCCAATGCCTCTGCTCAATGTGATTTTTGTATCTCCAAGCAAAGTGGCAGCTGCTTACTGGAGCAACATTGGCTGTTAGCTCATAAATTACTGTAGCCTATCAAGATTAGGGTTTTTCTACGGCTGCCTGACAACCCTCAAACTTCATTTTAAGTCATTATTCCCTGCTCTGTATTACAGGAACATAGCAATTGAAATTACCCATTAAACATCCTTTCGTCTACATAGTTATCTCTTTTCAAAAATTCTCATTGCTGAGGATGTCCCGTCTAGGCTGACCGTTGGGAAGGGAAATTCCCATGGGAAATCGGGATGGGATTCCCGTCCCATAAAAACGGGACGATTTTCTAAGATTTTATGGGAATGGGAATGGGAAGGGAATGCCAAGAGATTCCCACTGGGATTCCCCCTTCTTTCTGGATGGGAATTGGGGTAAGAAATGGGATCACACTTACTAATGGGAAGGGAATGGGAATTTGGGAAATTCCCTTGGGATTAGATGGGAACTTCCCATACTAAATCACATGATTAATAATTACTGTATATACTGCGTAGTTACTACTAAAAACTGCTACTTTAAAAATATACTAAACCTAATTAGGAAATGGGACGGGAAATGGGAAGAGTATTTTATAATTTAGGGATGGGAATCCCTTCCCATTTTCTTGAGACGGGATTCGGGACCACCCCCAGGATCCTTATGGGAATATGGGACGGGTCCAGACCTCCCTCGGGATCCCGAATCCCTCCCAACGGCCAGCCTAGTCCCGTCCGACTTACTACTGCACCCACAGAAGGTCGTGTCCAGTTATTGCGGCGAGCGGGAGGGGGCCAGTATGCAGATCTTTTAGAGGTAGCACTATCGCATCTTCAGTCTTCGCCTTACATAAACCATACCATTCTTAGCTTAGGGACGAACCTCAGCACACCAAGTGCTCCAGGCGACATCATTAATGATAACGGCCTCTGCATTGTATAGCATAGCCATCTTAAATATAGTTGTTACACAATGGGGCTTCTAATATGCCATGTTACAAAGTATCAAGCGCTCTAAAGTGGCATTATCCAAATTGTTACTGCGACTAGACGTTGACATAAGTGATACACTTAGGATAATCCTGCAAGATGATCTTTTTGGGCGCACTTGGGCAAATTAGTCCAGATATTTAAGCCTGTAGACGAAACTATTAAAATATCTAAGTCTGCTTAATCAGACCTGTCCAAGGTTGTGCTGCGTTGGTTCTCAATTAATTAGCATTTTATTAATTGCCAGCGATTAAAGCAATTTGACGAGGATCTAACTCTATTTAACACCACAACTTTTTACCAACGAATAAACAAACAGGTGAGTGAGGTCCATTGGGCAATATTCTACCTAGGCCCGTGAAATTGCAACACCAAGATGCTTCCCCTCTTGCAAAGAAAAGTTAATAATATTATTATTTAATACTGCCCGAACCCGGCTGCTGCACTTGAGGAATTCACCGGTTCCGAGCAAAGACGGTCCCTTCTTTGAGGCACCGTGTTGGGAACACATAAATAACCCGGAACTATTCTGGAAGATACAGGTGAGCATATTAACCGGGATAAGGTCTTTGCTAATAATTTACTAGCGATCTATCTCTGGGTCGTCAAGCTGTCTTGCTGATCTGGCTCTTCGACTGCTAAACACAACAGCCAATTCAGTAGCCTGCGAACAGGCTTTCTCGGTACAGAATCTCCAGATTACCAAAACCAGGAATCGAGTCTCTGTTGAGAATGGGGATAAGTTAATCTTTATCTATATTAATAGCCGGGCGTTAGCGAATGTTGCACACAACCAACCAAGTATAGAGGAGGTTGAAATGCAGGAAATCCAGGCAGAGAATAACCTAATAGAGACCTGGAGCCGTGGCAGGTCTATTCTGGAGTTACAATATCACGATGAGGAAGATAAAATTGAGGATACTAGCCCTACTCCTGTTACTCTGCTTCTTTTATTAAGTTAGTGGCAAGATATTGTAGTGGAGGAACTAGGGGGATTGGTATGTGACAGTTGTATGGATAACTATTATCTTAAGTCCTTGTTTAAAGAGGAAATAGACGATCAACAACCTTCTTGCAGACCTCGGAGCGCAGTTGCGTAAAGGTAATGTTGTCTTCTCTCCTTCTAGGAAGTTGTGGGCTCAGGGCCCACAACTTCCGAACTGTTTAAGAGTGTCTCCTTGACCTACTCCTTTGGAGTGTAAAGGGCTGGAGCCTATTTAACCTCTCGGGCCAATGTCCCTTTATCCCTACTGTCCCTACTGTCCCTACTGTCCCTACTGTCCCTACTGTCCCTACTGTCCCTATTGTCCCTATTGTCCCTACTGTCCCTATTGTCCCTACTGTCCCTACTGTCCCAACTGTCCCTATTGTCCCTATTGTCCCTACTGTCCCTATTGTCCCTACTGTCCCTACTGTCCCTATTGTCCCTATTGTCCCTATTGTCCCTATTGTCCCTATTGTCCCTATTGTCCCTACTGTCCCTTTTGGCCCTGTTGGCACCTTTGGCCCATCGGCCCTCGATCTGTCTGGGGGAAATATTTTGATAAATATTAATCACGTGATCAAAAATTTCAATTTTGGCCTGAAATTTCGAAATTTGAAATTTTTTTCACATCTCTACTTCCAACATAGGCGGGTCGTCACCTGACCATCTGAAAGTGGTTTAGCTTCCCAGCGGCTAGGCGAGCCCTTTCACCTCGTCTGTAGTCTCGTGGGCAAAGGGCTTATAGCCTGCCAGAGCTCATAGATATGAGCGATATTCAGCTTCACGAATCCTTGATAAAATTGATTGACTATCTTGACTAATTTACACGAAGGTGCTTTCACCCTTGTGGAAGGTCGCTTACTAGGACGCTAGGCCTATTTGGTAAGCGGTAACCTCGACATTACATATTGTGTTCTTTAATGTTCTTTATGAGGAATTAATTGCTTTGCTGTGAAAAAAACAAAAATATCAAGCCTAAATTACCACCATCGCATTCTCGTTTTATCTACTTAATTGGGAAAGGCTCTGATAAGTACACAACCACACCCTGCGTAGTCCATATTTTTATTGTCGATAGCAAATCTGGACACACATCGTTTCCAATTCCCGCAAGCCTGCCTATTTCCTTGGAGTCAACAGTAATAGGATTAGACTCTTGCTGAAAAGCGAGTTAGAAAGTTTTATCCTCTAGTCTAAATTAGCAATTAAATCCCGAACATACCTCATGGCATAGATAAACCCCTGCTCTTTTCCAGGTGGCAACATTGGTGCATCCAGCTTTGTACTGGCGGCTGAATTGATGCTTGGTAAGAAAATTTATAGGATAAATAATATCGTACTTCTGGATATTGTACTTTGTTGCTTGGCAACTAATACCTATCTTAGTGGCCATTAGTATCACTCATACTGTATCTTTTTATAACTTACCATGTCTAATTTTCCAACACTGATTAAGTCAGTAGTTGTAGCTAGCAGATATTGCGTCACAATTTTTGGATTCATTATTGCAGAAGATCAACTGAGAACCAGAGGTCTGGTATCGGGTGGGAAATGGGAGCATGATTTATAAATTCGTGCCTTGAAGTCGGGACCTCCTGTTAAAAAGGAGATGGCCAGCCTCAAAAAGATCACTTTGCAGCATGGAAGTGCAGGGATTTAAACGATTACGTGTGACATGGCCTGCTTCCACGACGTTGTCATACTAATATGGTCCCAACCCGCATGCTTGTTTCTGTAATAAGGCTGCATACATACACCGGAAACTCACATCTTCCATTGCGCGCCACAAGCTGATAAGATCCTTGAATCTTATGTGCTGGAAGAAATGAGCAGATCGCCAGCTTTATTCACCAATCATGTCTAGCGCCACCGAATAAAGTCCTTACGAGATGTTTCTCTCTGGTATTTTCTCTAGCCCCTTGAGAAGACTGGACGTCCCCGAGCTGGTCCCCGACAGCAGCCAGGTGCTACAGGAGGAAATAATGGCGCCCCAGGACCTGACCAATGGGCTATCACAACATGCGGTTTTCGAAGGCCAGTATGGTCTTTTATTCCCTCCAATTGCGTGATACAAAACCAATCACATCTTTAGCCTTCACTATGAACAAGGGTGTGCAAGGCGCTTGTATGATATGTTTGGCCAATTAGAATCATATTCAGTCCACCGCTATGATCGAGGAGGTAGTTGCGGAAGACTAAAAAGAGCAAGGATATGCGAATATGTAGAGTTCTTTGTTCTGTCGGAATTATCCTTGTTGTTTTATGTTCTTTCATCCTAAAAGTATTTTTAGCCCCCCTAACTAATGATAATTGAGTGAAGCCTGGTTGGGCAGATGCTCGAATTCGTACGGCTCCAAAGGATAGTTGGCCATCTTGGGGCATATGCATTCCTAAACACAATTGCATGTGAAGGAGGATTATGCCCAGGCTGGAAAGTTGTGGGGCTAACTGTGATAGTGGAAATTAATTGCCCCTGGTGCTGCTGGGCAGTTTGTTCGGTCACAAATTAAGCGAAACAACGCCGCCTCCACAACCACACTAGTAGCTAGGAAGAAACAAATTATAATAATAATACTTAACAGTCTATTAGGTATCCTTAGAATATATTAGTACAGAGAAATGTCAAGCTAGGATTTTAGAGATTATGTCCCTTGCGAAATATCTTTTGTTCCAGAGATAATAGTGGGGGAAGAAATTATCTTTACCTATTAGGACAGGGGCCGCGCTCAGCAAACCATTGTCCTGTGCCCATTTCTTGCCCAGGAAAATGGCGTCGGACCTTAATGCCAAGAGTAAGACTAATAGGCCTCCGTAGATCGCACTTGCCTAGCCTGCGCTAAGGATTGCTGGGCCCAGGTTTGATAACGTTGGTATGCTGATTTTAGAGATAAAGAGCGCGAGGATATATTTCTGATGGTAGATTAATACAGTGTCCTACAATTGTAGAGGTGTATACTGGTGATATTCTGTACAGCACCTGGTGCTAACGCGTGATTGACAGCAGATATAAATAACTATTCAGAATGTAGATTATTAATACAAAGTAACCCACTCTAAATTGGGATACTAGAGTGTGCGTACTCCGCATTCAATTGCGCTGTTACATGGTTGGTAGGTAGTCTTGGTTTAGTATGACAGATATTGGCTCTTCCCAAACATGCAAACTTCCAGGGGTGATAAACTTACCTTAAACATCGCGTTCAGCTCAACGCAGTGACATGATGTTTATATGGTTAGCAGGCAGACCGTACTGGGATGAGAAAGGGCTAAGGGCACAAGGCTAGGGCTGGGAAGCTTCCAACCATATTATAACAACACCCTTCTACCTTCTTCCTTTCCTCCCAATCTTTAGTATTCTTGATATAGGACTTGTTATGATTTATCAATCTGACCTGCCTGCCGTCACACCAGGCCGTTAATTTTGAGTGTGATCTTATAAATCACAATATCAACTACGTACCATATCTGTTAGTTGACCTCTTTGGAGCCATAGAACTTGCGTGTTTCTGGGCCCTGAGCTGGAAACTCTTTGCCATAATACGATTAATCTCCAGACAAATCATGTCGCACTTACACCTTGAAACCCACCCATCCTACAGCAGCCTAACCTTCCCTCAAACAGCCGTATACCTCGGGCATGTAGCCAACAATTAGGGTTTTTTATTTTCAGTCTTAACTAAGCCGCTATGTAGAGGGCTGGGGCCAGTTTGACTTCTCGGGCCTATGGTCCCTGTTGTCCCTATTGGCCCCAATGGTCGGATTCCTAGTCTAGGGACAGAATCCGCACGGCCCGCAGCGGCGCGGATTTGGCGCGGTTTTTGCCGTTCCTCCGTACAACTCTAGTTTACCCTTCCATTCCCTATTTCTTTCCTTCAACGATACCTTTCTGTATGTAGCCTATTCTATAGGTTCTATGGGTTCAGCCCTTGACATGCTACTTAACATATTTTTTTTTTTTTCTCCCAGGCAATCATGATCTATACTACCTTTCATTTAGGATTTCTAAGGCAAAAATATGTGATTTTTAGAATAATATAAAAAAAACTAGTCCTTGCTGGGTGAATTGCCAAGGTTGAACACAATGTATTGCTCAGGCATGACCTTCGCCCCTACATAGGGCGCTAGATGCAATTGATCTATTGATCAGTCGTCTTGTACCTTTTTATATGGTCAAGTAGTTTTATTTTTACTACGCAGAGGCAACTAAACCATCACACATACTCGCAACGAAGTCTCTACAACCTTTGCTAAGGATTTAAGTGAGGACGTATGTTGGACTTCAACGGTTGTGGCTTGGGCATTTGGCCATACCTTAAATGTACAGTCACCAGTAAAGATAACAAGATTGACTTGTATTATACGCAAATATATATATATACAACCGAGCAGTAGCTACCACACTCTTACTTAGATACTTTTCAAAATTGCATACTGCAGAATCTTACTGATCTCGTTGTGTGGGCATTTCGGGAAATATCGTTGCGGGCGTGTTCCCCGACATCTCGGGCACGGTCCCCGGCATCTCTATCGGCGATTTATAATGCACTGCTGCCGGTCGTTGCATGGCCCGTTCAGGAGCGACGGGAACATGGTTGCCAACCCTTTCATTGAAAGTTCGGGGTGCACGGGCTTTGAGCCACACGAGAGCGCCCAGCGCAGCTAACACAGGGACCCCGATACCAATCCCAACTCCAAGTGCAATCTTTCCGGTAGTCGGGATGCCTGAGGGCGATGCTGACTGCGAAGCAGCATCAGAGTGAGAGGATGACTGGGAAGCAGCATCAGGGTGAGAGGATACCGAGGAAGACGAGTCGATGGAACTTGTGGTAGATGGTGACACGGACGTTGAAGTAGTCGCCGTCTGGGTGCTCGTCGGTTTAGTGATATTGAAGTAAGTGGAAGGGAATCCTTCAGGTGTATCGGAATTGACCCAGAAGAAAAACACGTTGGAATAATCGAGGTCAAATCCGTATAGTTGCACGGTCCAGGTAAAATTTGTGACCTTATCGCTGGCATGGATTTTGGCTACGGTCGGTCAATGATCGCTCTCTTTGGTTGTCTGGTTTCCTTCGTCGAGGACATACAATAAACATTGCCTTGACTGGCTGCAGACTGTTGCACCAGGCTTTGCTGCCACATGGAGATATTGAATACTTCTAGTGTGGTCTTCCAGGAGATCACTTGTTGGTCACCTAGAGTCCAGACTGGGGCTATCCCGGTGTTCGACGATGGGTTGATGAAATAATTATTGGCATCTGTCTTTCCGCATACGGTTGGGAGCAGCGCAACGAGATAGAAGCTGAGAGTCAGATGCATCATGATAACTTTGGGGTAGCTTCACGACTTGATTTGCATTGAACTTGATCACTCTCTGCAGGTAGCGGCGGTGGTGCCATAGTAGCCTTGTTATTTAAAATCAGGGGCGCCTAATAATCAAATTTAAGGCGCAGCTCCTGCTAGGATATGTAAGTGGTGTCTCCCAAGACACTAAGACGAGCCAGTGTAGGATGCTAATGCAGAGAGCCAGGATCATTTGAGCCGGCGCGAACACAACACGGCTGAAATGGGGTGACAGCACTCCAGCAGCCCAGAAGAGGATCCATCCGAGAACCACTACTTCGCTAGGGCCACTAGCTCCACCGAATACCTCCGCTCAGGCGGTTTTGCTTTGCTGTCAGTGGACAAGGACAACCCTTGGCCCCCACATCCCTGGCGCGGTCCGTGAGACCCTTTTTCGTTTCTCCCCATCCTCCGAGAAATGACAACGGCCACGTCACCAGTACTAGACTAGAGCAAGCGGCAAAACAAAGAACAAGGGAGAATGGAAATAAATAAAATAAACAAAAAGTACTGGTCTCCAACCAAGTATGGACGTTTGTTGCTAGAGAATCGACATTGTAGTGCCTTCCAGTCCATGATATTTATGACAACGAAAACTCATATACACTAGATTGAACATGGGCTAAAGATGGGATCACGATGGAGAATCAAATGGAATCTCACGCAACCCGTTCTCCTCCGGAACTTGCAAGGTCCCTCCTAGCACGGCAATACTGTCAGGTCTGATATCCGGAGTTGCTGCATCGTCCCAAGTCGAGTGGACTGTAGGTTCACCATGCAAGATACGGTTGATGTTCAAAAGGGTGCTGTACATCACGCCAGAACTAGATGGCCGCTCTCGGCTTCTCTCTTTGCTTTCCCCAGAATCGTGGATATCGGACGATGTAATGTAACCGCCGGTGAGGGACGGATAGGTCGCAAAACAACGTAAATAACCATTTCCGCACATGCGACCGAGTGAGACGTCAAACTGAGCGCCAATGTCTATCTGCTCTGCAATACCTGTCGGGTTGACAGAGAGAGCAGACAAAATCTTCCGAGCCCCACGGTAGCTGACCGCATAAACAATGGAGCACGCCCCGTCGCTTGCAGTGCACGTTAGACGTGCATGGTCGGGTCTCTCGATGGGCGGCGGTTCGCGCCAGTAAGGTAAGAAATGGTGCGGCGGCAGGATGGTTGGGTCGCGAGGAGTTAGGAAAAAGGAGCTGTTAGTCTGACATTCGATCCCGCAGTGACCAAGCCAGAGGATGTCCCAATCGTCGCCATAAGGGGATGCAGTGGACATCGGACTCGTACCCTGCAGTGCTCGAACGGCAATGGCGAGGCTCTGTAGTTGAGTCTTGACGGTCACGTCCCAATCGGCATCATCCTCCATAATGATCGCGCTGCCAAGCCCCTTGTCCACAATGCTATTCACGTTCATGATTAGTTCGAGGTGTCTTCCTCCCGAGTATTTGCCATGGCGTACCGTTGCATTGCATTAACATGGGCCCGTCGTGCGGCATATTCGCTCGTTTTGTGGTCATGATTCCAGTTCTGGGTATTGAATCCGTTAGAAGATATGGACCGTTGTGGTACTCTCACATTCTTGCGCTCACATAAGGGTAAGACAGGGCACTGATCTGATCGGGTGTGACTCCATCAATCCAGTCGACGTGAAAATTAGAGATGGACGATCCTAGGATTATGCTATCACGCTTATCGGGTCTGGTGGGCAGGTTAATGACGAAGATTTTCTCGACCTGACAATTTGATCCTTGAGTTCGTTGGCCCTACAGAGGAGAGAATAACAGCAGTGCTTACTCCCAAGGTCACGTTGCGAATAGCACGGAGATAATGGCCTTCGTTGCTAGAGGCTACTCGCACTGGGTTGCGGAAAGCAGGGAAGGGTAAAACGATGAAAATGATAGTAGCTACTCCGATCACGTAGAGGACGAGACGAGCGAATCGCTTTTGAGAGATCGACCAGGTCATGCTGAGTGTGAATCGATCAAGCACCCATGAAGGGATAGCGGTGGTAGAAGCCTTTTCACGTAGGCGATTCTGGGGCTTCAGGTTGGTTGCAGATGAGTCGGGGTCGTTTAGTAACGTACCATGGGTGATCACCTGACGTTGTAACGTATAGCTCGGGAACACTTTATATTCCGATCCGAAATCCTTATCGATAAGTCCCGTAGCCGGACAGAGGAGGTGAGGTGAAGGGCACTAAAGCTCAGATGACGGGCTATGTGGTCATGTGATCATATAGCCACTAGTACAAGTCGGAACTGCATAAGTGGTTCTCAGCGCTCGCCCTAGTTCATACGTTCATGCTTCGAGTGTTTGACCTCGTCCACCTTCAATCTTCAACTTCACACTAATTAATGAAATGGCCATGTTCTTCCTCTGAGCTTTTGTGTTTACAGGTAGGGTATCTTGAGCTTCTTGGACCTCATTCCGATGCTGTATACTCTCCTGAGCCTCTTCTGTAAAAAGGGCCCTCTGGAGTAGCTATCTGCTGCTTAGGTAGCTTCTTTTTTCGATGCCTCTTTTTATTTGCCGCCCGTAGGTCATGGTTTTCCTTAAGAGCTAAAGCTGTTGTATTCATAAATATTGCAATTGCTTTAGCAATCTTGTCTAATTGTACTTTAGCAGTAGATGTAGGGCTTTGGATATGCTCCCCAAGCAGCTTTTTAACTGCAGAAATTTTCTTGTCCATTTGCTTAGCATTCTGAGGTGTTCTGGGGCTGAATTGGTTGATTGACTGCCTCGAGGTATTGGAGTCTTTAGCTTTATATTAAGCCGCTTAAGCATACGCTCAGGATTAAGAGGAACTAGGCCAGTTGCTGCAAAGCTGCTTTTAATAGTATCTGGCTTGTATATCTCTGCACGCGCTTGCTGAAAGGCTTCCAAAAAATCACGCTTATTAATATAATTAAAGCCCAGTCATGCCTTATCCTCCAGCTTGCCGTACACGCGCTTTAGTGGTGAGAAACAGCCAATATTAAGAGCTTGCAAGAGATGCGATAAATGTGCAGGCATGTAAATAGGAATAATATTATTCATACAGTATGTCTGGTTATATTAAGGAGTTAAATAACTTCCATGACCATCAAGAATAAGCAGGCAATATCGTCCAGTTGTGTGACTATTTGTTGCAGGAATAAAAGCTTTTTAAGCCAGCGTAATCCAATCTTATCTGTTATCTATCTATTCTCACTAACTTCAATCTTCCATGTAGCTGGTAAGTCCTCATACCAACGTTCTATATGGACTTTTCCCTTAAAAATAATACAAGGTAGAAGTGTTTATCCAGTGGAGTTAATATATTTAATAAAGGTAACCATTCTCGATTACCTGGATATATAAGAAATGGCTTTTCAAGCATGTTAGCTCTGGTAACTACTTTAGCAATAGCTACAAAGCCCATTGCAAAGCCAGTTTTATTAAAATTGTAAATATCTTCTTGTATAATTCTATATTATATTATAGTAATTTGTACACCATCAAACCACTTTTTAATAAGCTTTGATCCTCGCATTTAGCACGCTGATGATTATATTATCGAGAGTATCTTGATTTAAGCTCTGGATGCCGTTTAGCAAAGTTGTATACCCATTTATTTCCAACAGTTTGAATGGGTGTAGTGCCACACTTCGTAAGAAGAATATTAGCCATTTCTTGCATATGTGATAGTCGGGGAGCAGCCTCACGTCGGTCTAAAAGTAGTATCTATCATACAATTGATTCCTCTTTATTTTGAGTCGATCTATAACAATTGGCGCGAGTCTCATTGCGACTCGTAGTGCCTTTAAGCCGACGGTGTAAGATCGTATAAGAGATATTAAAAACACATGCGGCTTCGTGTATTAAGTAAATTTCCTATGTGGTTGCTCGCCCCTCATAAATAGGTCTTTATGGTTCTACCAATCCCGCAATAACCATCTGACCCCAGAAATAAAGTCCAAACCCGAACGCACTCTGAACCCAACCTCGCCTGCCCGAAGATTTCTTAAATGCATCCTTCGCAACAAAGACATCACTAGCAACAAACATCGCGGCTCCCAAGACCCGCTGATACGGCCAGCGTGTTGCAACATCCAACGGGGTGGTGGACACAGCCGTGGCAAACATGAAGCTGATAATTGTGGCATATATAACAACCAATGGCTTCATGTCCGCACCAATGGTGAGGTTGAGAACATTACTCCCGGCCGACGAATGTGATGATGGATAAATCACGCCGAGCCATTTTGCGATAAGCATTGTCGTGACAAAACTGGTTGCAAATATTGACCATGACGTTTCTTGCGCTTCCTGCAGGAAAGCAAAGATGTAGGCTATATGAGCCGCTGCGAAAGCAACTACCCCGAGTTGAAACGAAACAGAGATTTTTCTTTCTTCGGAGGGTTTGGCGTAGAATTCATTTCGAGTCGGGATTAGAAAAAAGTCACCAGCCAAGGAGAATAGAAGACCGATGGTGATAGACTGACGATGAGATGACCATTCCGTGGATGTTAGCAGGAGTGGGCCTCCGATAAATGCTAGCGAAGAGAGCATCTTGAAGAGAGCTGTGCCTGTGTACGAACCCCATTTGGACTCGGAGAGGACAAGGAGGGGAAGTGATCCCAGGAGCAGATATACTGCTGGAGGAGGGGGAATGGAGAGATTTGTGATCATGAGCATTATTGTTGTATGGGCTTTACAGATGCAAAACAATCATATATCATTTGCGTGTTTCTGGTGGGGAGTTTATGCATTCCGCTCAACCAATTTTCACGGCCAAGACCGCCCCACAGTTAATCACAAGCTCTGCCATGTTACCTCGGCCAAACCAATTTTCCTCTGATAGATCATGTGACTCGTGTACTTGTAGATGTTGACCGTTACTATTCAGAAAAGGGAGCAAAGAAGCTAGAAGTGGAAATATATAGAGAATTCATAGATATAAAAGCATGTATGATATGTGGTTTGGTTGCCCTGCGCTGTGTGGGTGTTGCCCCTGATTGTGAGGATTATTCAACGATACGATAAATTGGACATAGTTACCGTAACTGATCTTTCGACTGTTACTAGAGAGAAGTTCACGTCTACGACGGCACCGGTAAAAGTAAATGTACGACTACATAAAGCTATTTAATGGACTTTATTTTCTCTTAGATGGATTTGGAGAGCACTGAGTGTGTTCTTTTCTTTCCTTTCCTTTCCTTTTCTTTTCTTTTCATCCCGGATTTTCATCTCGTGTTGTTGAAGCAGCCACTTAGGTCAGGAGAAAGATATGTTTGATAATTAGGCACACATCCTCTTCATATTGAATGACTGTAGCTTAGCGCCAATTGTCATTGATCTTATCCAACTTATACATTTCATTCGTATCGACACCTATCCAACAGCCAATTTGATCAAGATGCCACTCGGACATCCCGAAGGAGAATGTTTCTTCAAGCACTCAGCATTAAGGTCCTCTACCTCCCAACAGGCCACATCATTTCTTCATCCACCTGTTGGTAGAGTATATCTTGAATAGGCCCGCATTCCATGGCTCCGACAACCTATCTGGTCAGAATGTCCACTATCTACCACATGCCCCGTACAGAGTAGTAAAGGGGGATATTTGGAGTATAAGTTACGGAAACTGGTCAAATATCTTATTCTTGTACGGTTGGAGTCTTGGTAGGTGAAGCCGATGCCGATGTTAGCGATGGGTAAAAAATAGTTTCTTATTGATGTATGTCTATATTAAGAATATGATATAGTAAATTCTCTTTGACGTTGACCTGCCAAGCATTCGGAATGTATTTATGCTATTTACATTCCAGTCGCGCAACAAGCATTGAAAATTATCCAGTACTCTGCACTTTTTTTCAGGTTAATTTCGCAGTGGATAGAGGAGTTAACGTCTGGCCCACCTGGGATATAGCTCTGACACCGGGGACTGGGTCGTGGAATATTGCACTGAGACCTTCAGACTCAACGCTGCCCTCGGCCTTGTGCCCCATTGCAGCGAGGAACATGACACTCAGCATTCGCCAGCTAGTCAACCTGCTCTCACGGCCACTGCCACTGAGAGATCACAGTTGATTTCCTCTCATAGCATCTGCATAGTTGATAGGAATTTGACACCCACGACAGGAACTACACAAAATTCTCCAATTCAACAGACTTGAGCTAGGTAACCATCACCAGCGCGAATTACGCGCTCACGATCCAATGTAAGCCCCCGCAGGCAGCTACATGGCTTGCGGCTTTATCAAGAATAGTCTCATTCTGAGCGTTAGGTTCATTCCTGTTATTGGTCCTCTCGCTGCGGTTTATTTCCATTGACGTGGACAGCAATTGCGGACCCTGCGAGTTTCCGGGTCACTTTAATAGCCCTTATTCCGGTTTCGGATCTGGCACTGAGGGGCATCGAAGAAATTCGGGAAAGTGCTAAAGAGCAAGAGATTTACTTGCCCAAAAGGTGGAATACTCCCGGTGATGACTTCAAGTTGATATCTACGGATACTCAGACTGGAGCGGATTAGGGGAGAGCGCAAGCAGCGCCACCGAGAGCAGCCACAGTTAAGCAATACGAATCCATAAGGAAACTCAAATACTGTAATGTTATGAAAGCCACATTGGCACATGTTACGGGTAGGATACCAGCTGAATCAGATACTAAACGGCCAGAAGTTTCCAGTCACAGAGGAGCGAAATTATCGGATCATGTAGGGGAACTGCCACCGGAAAAGCCATCTCTTAATAAATTGAAATCAAGTAGAGTATTCCAAATGGCTAGTCTGATTCTGCTTCACTGAGGAGATACATCAGTCACTACAGGAACTAATGATAGATTATAGAACTGCTGGTAGAACGATTTAGGAGGGGCGTGCCGAGGCGTCAAGCTCATCTGGAGAGTCTGTAGGGAGTAATTACGACTGGATGGGTGAATATCTTCAAGAAGAGCTGTTTCTGAAGTTCAGAAAGATTGATGTACGACATGAAACTGGAATGCTGAATTCCAAATTGTATGATCTCCTTTCACACCGTTATAGTAATACCGTTCTGATTCGAAATGTTTTTTGTTTCAAAGTTCTGCACAGTCAGACTGAATGATAAAAACGAAATTCGTAGTCAAATTAAGTTTCGTCTAACATTAGCAATAATCAGTACGGCATGGTCAGCAAGCAAATAATCTGGTCCCTCATCGTGATAAGCATTCTGTAGACCTAAAGTGATCCGAACTCAATGGTCGGTATTAAAACAAGTACTGGGCATATTTAACAAAAAGACGGTGGCAGCAACTAGTCGGAGAATTCTAATGATCTTTGTAGTTGGTAGTACAATAGGGCTATTTATGTAGGTTACCGGAAGTACACGCGGAGGTATAATATTATAGGAATAGAATTGTGAACAGATATATCTGAATTATAGTACTGTTGTTCTGGGAGAATGTATTAACAGTAGAAAAAGATAGAGATCGCTAAGAGCGGTCACAGTTCTGGGCACCTGATTGCATGCTCTTCCAGATCTGTCAGCCCTTGACAGGGAGGTACATGAGGGTTCAGGTGGCATGCTCAACCCTTCACTCTCTGGCGTAGTGAAACTTCGACGTGTCCTGCAGAGTAGAAGATTTTCTCGCGTGGCCTGTATATTATGGAATAGCGCAACAAAATACACTAACAATGCAGTCACCTACATGCAACATGCGGTTGAGGGAGAATTCCAGAAGAATTTAAAGCACTGCTACAAAGCTTCTTTACAGGGATGCCATCACTTGGCCAGAGTGCTTCGAGAGGCTTGAGTAAATCACGCATTGCCTAGCCTCATACTGTCTAGACCTGCCACAGTTCACCAAGCGGCCTCGTGGGAAGATACACGGACGCTAATTGGCTGCCAGTCATCCTGATGCCAAGCCCCGATCCCAGGGACGACCAGGTCCAAGCAACGGTGCCGAGAGATTGCCAAGATTTTTGGCAGCGCCAAGCCTGGCCGACTGGGTGGCCCGCAGCGAATCATACTCCACGAGCGAAGAACGTGGCCAACTATGCCCTAAAGCGCGATGTATTGCCCGATCCGTCTGTCTTCATGCGGCATATCGCGTGAGACAGTGGTCTTTCGCAGGTTGGATATCCTTGGGGCCATTTCGACAAATCAGGGTCATTGCTGTCGTCCGTGATTTCGTGTAGGTAGGGAGGTATGGGACGGGAGAGAGCTGTATCCAGTATCAAGGGTCTTTGGTTTGGTCGAATGGAGTGCATCTTTTCCTGGTCATGGAGATTCCGTCTCCCCTGGGCTTACCGTCTCCAGTGAACATGGGAACGTGCATCACTTACACTGGCGTTTGGACCATACCATCCAAGAGGTATTGAGAGCCATCCAACTTTGGTACATTACTAGCGCTGCGCCATAATACCTCCCAGCCCACACTGTGTATTCCATCTGTGATTGTGAGTAGGGCTGCGAGTGCCTATTAACATCCTAGTCTTTTTAAAAGGCCGTGTCTCTGCCTTTACCTGACTCCTCTTTTTTTCTGATCTTGCTCACAACTATTACCTGCCACTGGCTCCATCCGTAGTCACAATGGTGCTCGAGGAATACACATACGTCTTCGTCATTGGCACTTTGTTTGCCCTGCTCGATGCCTACAACAATGGTGCAAGTGAGTATCTCCTCTCCCTCTGCCACTACAACTTTCCTCCTTGGTTACTAACGCCCTAGTTAGACGATGTGGCCAACTCCTGGGCAACCAGTGTGTCCTCAAGGTCCATTAGCTACAGGCAGGCCATGATATTCGGTACCATCTTCGAGATGCTGGGAGCCATCACCGTGGGTGCAAGAACTGCCGATACCATCAAGAACGGAATCATTCCCAACGCCGCCTTCAAGGGGGATGCCGGTGTCCAAATGCTCGCCTTCGCTTGTGCACTCGCCGCAGCCTCATCCTGGGTGATGTGGTGCACGCGACATTCCACCCACGTCTCCTCTACATACTCCCTTGTCTCTGCTGTGGCTGGTGTCGGAGTTGCCACCGTCGGCGCCTCCCAGGTCCAATGGGGTTGGAATAAGGGCAAGGGACTCGGTGCTATCTTTGCGGGTCTAGGAATGGCACCCATCATCTCGGGGGCCTTTGGTGCGATCATCTTCATGCTTATCAAGCTCACCGTCCATGTGCGCAACAACCCCGTGCCATGGGCCGTCTACACATCTCCCTTCTTCTTCCTTATCGCCACCACCATCTGTACCCTGTCCATCGTCTACAAAGGCTCTCCCAGTCTTGGTCTGAACAAGAAGCCTGGCTGGTATATCGCCGCCGTCACCTTGGGCTGCGGTGGTGGTGTCGCCGTTCTGTCAGCCATATTTTTCGTTCCTTTCCTACATGCCCGGGTTATCAAGCGGGACCATGGGGTCAAGTGGTGGATGTTCATCCTTGGCCCTTTGCTCCTGAACCGCCCAGCCCCGACCGACTCGGAACGAGTCAATGTTCCTAATTATGCCGTCGTCCAGGAGGACGAGGATGACAAACCTCGCACTGTCTCGGCCGGTTCTGTTACTGATAGCCCCAGCCCTCCTCCCTCCGATGCCGAGAAGACGATGGTCGTCGCTGAAACCAAGCTCAATTATAAAGAACTCATGGCTGAGGGAGAAAGCAAGTTCCATGCTAAGCTGATGAAAAAGCGCGGTCCTCTCGGATGGGCCATGCGTACTCTCCGTGACAACCCGATGGGTGCAGGCGAGATCTACGAGTTGCATAATATCAAGCTTCTCATCAAGCGTATCCCTGCTACGCTCGCCGTCGGACTTCTCTATGGTCTTCATTATGACATCCACTCCGCGCAGTCTGGTATTCACGGTACCCCAGAGGGTAAGCGCATGCAACGAGTCTACTCTTACGCGGAGAAATACCCCAACGAGGTCGAGCATACCTACTCGTTCGTTCAGGTTCTCACTGCCTGTACTGCTTCTTTTGCCCACGGTGCCAATGATATCGGTAACTCTGTCGGTCCCTGGGCGGTTCTCTACTCCGCGTGGAGAACTGGTGACGCCGCCGCTTCCAAGTCTCCTGTCCATGTTTGGCAACTCGCTGTTCTCTCCGGCTGTATCTCCGTCGGTCTAATCACATATGGCTATAATATCATGAAGGGTAAGTTGAATTTAACCTACCCATCCTATTTTACTGTTATACTAACGTAATTTGTCAGTTATGGGTAACAAAATCACCTACCACTCTCCTAGCAGAGGTTGTTCAATGGAACTTGGCGCTGCCATCTGTGTCCTCGTCTTCTCGCAGTACTCCCTTCCCGTTTCCACGTCGATGTGCATCACCGGTGCTACAGTCGGTGTCGGCCTATGCAATGGCACCTTCAAGGCCGTCAATTTTCAGAGGGTCGGTCTCCTCTTTATCGGTTGGGTCGCGACTATCCCCATAGCTGGAACGCTGGGTGGAGTACTAATGGGCTTGTTCCTTAACGCTCCTCACTTTTCTTAGTTTCATAGTATCTGTTGTGAATATTTACGCATTATTCAGCATCCGCTCTGTCTGACTTTGTTCCTTTGTTTTAATTAGCCATTTTTTATTCGGTTCTCCCAGATAGATTCAGCTAGTTAGAGACCTAACAGACCTTACTCGTCAATATAGATGGATCCTTATCCATAGACCAGTGATACTAGCTCACAGGCGTATTCAGCTGGTCGACAATAGATTAATTACGTTATTCATATCTGATAGAGAGACCGGAATTCGGGATCCGATGACTCCTAGCGCCTTGGCGAGCGCTCAGCGTCATCCCACTGAATCGCTTCTATTCCTTTAGATAGTAGAAAAAGAAGAGATAGAGAGCCCGTTGGTGAGCGCGTTGGTTGCGCAGTCAATACATTCATTATTGTTATTCTCCCTAGTAGGCTACCGGCGTGTAGCTGGTATAGTGTTCTTCTGCCACCCATTCCTTCCCCTGAGCGAATGATCATAACATTTTATGATTGTTTGTGTAATTCAGCTCGGAATATTACTCCGTAGTCCGGACAGCCTTGTGCGCAGTGTTGACTCAGTGACTTGGTAAAGACGTGCTGCTTGTCGTACAGAAGCAATTTCTTTATTTTTTATAGCCTATGTTGCTAATAGGATATTTCTCTCCTGCTCATCTGAATTTCTTGATTTTTGACGCGCTTTTGGTGACATGGTTGGTGGTTAAATTGTCTTAATATTTACTTCAGCCAAAAAATATTTGGTGCGCAGCTCGCTTACATGCGCAGCCCATTTAGCATATGCAAAACGTTCGGGACTTCTTGGCGCGCCGCTACACGAAAATAGCACATCTCCGTCAAAAAGCAGTGTATTCGGACCGGGAGACAACCAATTTACTGCCCAAAACAGCCAAATTGAAGCTATTTAACAGTAAGAATTGTTATATTATACCCAGAATGTCTCCTAAGCAGGTGAAATCCCTGGCCACGCGTGTAACCCCAACAGAGCACATAGTACTATACAATCTCCGGGGAACATATATTCCACAGATTTTAGCATCTAATAAAGCAGGATCCTTGTTATCCAGGCCTGCATTTAATTATAGATTAACTGACTAGTATACCACGCTTATAAAACAGCCACCAGACTAACTTAGCTCGCTGACGCCATGCCTGTAAAAGGAGGTGTTTAAACAGTGCATTTTTATTAGCTTTAAATAGCTTTGTAGCACGGCCAATTTAACGGAAATACAGCTTCCTAATCAAGCCATAACAGAGGAGATTTGGCTGTATATTAAACACTTTTGTACGGCTAACACGGTATTTAGCTGCAATGGCCTCAACTTTCCAACCTAGGAGGAGAAAGCGCAGGATCTGAGCGCTCTGGGCAGGCGCTAGGCTATGGCCGCGGCAGTGTTAATACAGCTGAACCTCGGGGCAAGGAGCTAACCTAGGCGCGAATTAGCATCATACCAGGATATTCTGGGTTAAACAGTCACATTGCGTAATTTAGCTGTTGAATATTTTCAGAATACGCTGGAGTCATGGTGGAATTGGTTTTCTACAATAGAAGCGAGGTTTTTAACGGAGATGTGCTATTTTCGCGTCGCAGGGCGCCAAGAAGTCCCGAACGTTTTGCATACGCTAAATTTAAGTTACCGCTTACGTTATGGATGTTTCGTTGCCTTAACGTAGCTGCGGCGTAGTAGATCCATTGGCTGTTAGCTGCCTGATTCTCTGACACAAATCCACTTCAAACATTACATCTTGAATACACAAATAACCTACCTGAATATCCAAGGACTGATCTAAATGGATATTATTATATCGCCGTTAATGGCCGGTTACAAGAAGAAACAGAACACTTAATTCTACTTTTCTAAGCGGTTGTTAATTACTTATTAACTACTTACTAACCACTTAGTACGTGCTGGCTAACTAGTTTTAAGTATGCGAATAATAACTATCATTTGTATATTAGGTGTGTAAATGCATTACCAAGCATTTTATAAAACACTATTATGGCTCAGTCAGGGCCATATCTCTATTAATCTTGATTATTTAATGAATCGCTTCTACAGTCTTAAGAAGAGTCCGGGGTGATCGAGCCTCTAATATCACGAAGTATTGTGGTAAGTACTCGGAAACTATTTAGACTTTGATCACATTCAAGGGCCTGGTAAACTGGAACATATAAAGTGCAATGTCACATTTACTGCACTAGTGCCAGTTAATATTCAACATTATCCTTATATAGTTTTAACATCACACGGGATTCATCAACATCCTCGTCCTCCACATAAGCCACCAGAGTTAACACTAAGAGGGATTGGACAAACTATCAGGCAGATAAGAAATCCCAGCTTGACATTAGGTGTGTAAAGTAAATTATTAGCTGTTTTAACTGCTTTATGGCTAGTTATTAGCTCAATTCTTGCGAAGTCCAGAACTTAAAGCCTTTGGCAGCAATATAATGCATCAAACTGCTGAAATCCATGCCTTATTTTTAAATATTGATCATATCCCTGCAGTTATTCAAAAACAGCGGCTTTTGTCTTATCCAGCTGGTCAAATTTTAGTGGGGTTGTATATGTATATAATACTGATCCATTTATAAAGGTATGCACTAAATAGACGTTTACTAATTATTTAGTAACCAGTTAGTAACTGCTTGTAGGAGTATATTCAAAGAAAAATATTATAACCCCAACGGCATTATGATTCTTTTAAAGAGCAGATTAAGCTTTTAGCCACACTGATATCCTATGCGGTTGATATATCTTATAAGCGAATTTGATAAAAGGAATTAAATAATGTGGTGTTCACAACCTTCCTCCTAGAGCATGGAAAAAGTAAGTACTTACTAAGTAACTAGTTGCTAAATACTTACTAACCAGTTATTATAGTTCTTACACACTTTCGAGTCTTTACCGATCGCAAAACAACTGAAGGCTATTGTACCTTTATTCAGAAAATAACTGGCAAGCCTGTTGAATTCAATTCCATTCAATCCAATGGAATTTATGGAATTATTATAGACATGGATACAGAGCAATATAATGGTAGATAATTAGCTATTAAATACTAAAAAACTACTTACTAACTGCTTAGTCCTTGGTTAATCATGAGATCGTCACTCGTCATCGACCGATTCTGTGGCGGTTACAAAGAATTATTTTATTTTGCCGAGTTCACTTTTTTCGGGCAATCACTGAATCAATTGGTAGTAATAATATAATTACAGGTGTATGGAGTCGAATGGCCAGTTTAATTAATTGCAAATCTAAAGACGATAATAATTAGTTGTGCAATTTATTGATTCGTAAAGTGCTTTATAAATAATTACTAAGTAATTACTAGCTACATAGAACATAAAATAAAAGGTCCAGGCATGTGTCAAGGGTTGAACCCAATGTATTGCTCAGGCATGGCCTTCGCTCCTATATAGGGCGCTAGATGCGACTGATAGGAGATCAGTCGTCTTGTACCTTTTTATATGGTCAAGTGGTTTTATCTCTACTAGCGCAGAGACAACCAAACCATCACAGCATGGGCAGCATATAAAAAGACTCCTGTTTTTTAAAGCTGGGCTTAATGAAATTGCTCCAATATCCCCGTATTTATATATAATTCTATTCGATATCATACCAATTCAGCTGAACAGTCTCATCATAACGCCAATACAGCAGGAAGACGATTAATATTAACAACAGCAATCCAAAAGTAAGTACTTGATGACTAATTAAAAACTACTTAGAAAGTAGTACTAAAATAATCTTTTAGTCCTGCAAAGCTTAAACAAGATATTCTCCAATATATAAATCGTACGAACTTTAATATCCATCATTCGTATCGAGTATCAAACAAGGAGACAAACTGTTTAAGGCATGTGGCTCGCGAAAGGTAAATATATATATATACAGAGTATATATAACGTATTCCACGGCCGAGCTGTCCACTTTCACCACGACCTCAATAAATTTAGAGTTTTACAATCACCAACACCATTAAATTGGACTATTCAAAGCATAAAATAAATAGCCATTTAATAGGACAGCTTTGTATAGTATGTCCAACAGTCCCACAGCCAGTGCAGCGTGGTGGAGCTTGCTGGCGAGGTGTATGTAGATATAACGTAACCGGTAAGCGAGCGTTCCACCTACGAATTTCTGCGCGTTATATTGATTGAAGCAATTCAACCACCCAGCATGCCTCCAAATGCGCATACAAATTTAAATAATACAGATACGAAAGAGAAGAGTGTCCAGCATGGTGAATTAGAATGTATATTGAGTTTTACACATATTACTTATAGTCTACAGTCTAGCTACTCCGCGTCTTGGATTATCCATTAAGTTAGCGGACTGTGATTGCTTCACTTTGGACTGTTATGTCCATAGCTGTAGTAATGTCTATTATAATCTGAGACTAGAAGTAATCCAATTCTAGTAAGAGATAAGATGCCGGTAGATGAGAGTAGATCATTCGGGCTTCGACAATGTTGAACCATTTACTGAGCAGAGGAAGAGCATTTATCATTGGTCATGAAAAAGTGTACCCGCTTCCCAAATCAATATTCATGGGTATCTGTACCAGTCACGGGCATAAAACCGATAATTCCTTCTTCATTCGGCAGTAATTATGCTACATATGTATAGCCCGGTAGCTTGGGAGTCAGTTTCGCGGTCCTGATTCGAAAAAAAGTGTCACCGGCAGTCTGTGAGCGGAAGGGGATGAAATCTAAGTTCTTTAGTTGTCAGGTTGCTTTGGTTCCCTGAAGCGATTGTCACCTAGTTGCTGTTTAGCAAATAATATCGTTTTGGCGACTAGTGCTGCCTCGATATCATCTCTATTGACCGACCTATCAGTGACGTGATTGGACAGAAGAGAGATGTAAGAGACATACAATAGCGGACGTTTGCTCGAATTCTCAAGTAGATCCATATCTCCATTCTTTAAACAGTTCCAGTTCCAGCTTGTATTTTTCTCCGCCGACATTGGTGAGGCTATGCAACTTGGAAATTCCTGGCTGTAGATATTCTTTGAGACATATAGATTGGATTAATATTTTAAAGAAGCAATGGGATACCTCTTATCCAAACTTGCCTAATAAGCTACCTGATCAGCGGCGCAAACGCCTCGTTTGCCAGTGGCTGAATCTTGGGGCAATGGGCAGAGAGGTTAGTTCCTGTCTGCCATCTCAATCGCTCCCTACTCTATTATAGTTCCTTTAATCCCAAATCCTAGCCTTACTATAACCGCACTAGAGAGGAGTTGCAGACTTATGCGCCCTCCCAGCCCACAAGCAACAAATTGATGCTATTCTCCGGGCACTGCGCCTGGAATCCCTTCCCCGCTATGCTGCCGGCTATAAAGCATGGACAGGTGCCGAGGGCATGTGGATCCGCCCGAGCTACAACGCGGACAACGAAGAAGCTCACCAAGCGCTCTGGAATAAATAAGTGGAAACTTCTCAAGTTATCGGTCCCGACTCGCTAGTCCTCGAGGACAAAGGGTGCAAACAGGTTGCCGAGCGGACCAGTGGAAATAGCGATTTTCTCCTAGTGACATGACATTATTACTGTACCCTTCAACAGAACTTTCATATATTATCCTTGTCGATACAAAAGTACTTTGGTATTGCTTATTGGCCATGGTCCATGGAGATGTTTCACTGGCACAATATCTGTAGAGTTATGTAAAACACGTTTGCGTATGCTAATAGTAGGTCCCTACAGGACTACTGTGTTCTTGAGCTATTCCCAGAGCGCGTGACAAATTATTCGGCGCCAGAGGATGTCGAGTGGTGTGAGAAGGAACTTGAAGATGCAGGCGTACGTGAACAGGAATTGTCATTAAGCTCTGAGTATTTGTGTGAGAAGCACTAGATGTATCATGCTGCTTGCGTGGTGACTCATGCATTTATCGAGGACGCGGAGGCTCAGGGTGGTGAAGCGGTTTTACATGTGTTTTTGGACAACTGTGGGAATGTGGTTAGGCAGATGAGGGAGGATTCGACTGAAGCTGATAAATTCGATGGGCTTGGATTGAAGGGATTTGGAAGGCTGGAATAATCCTGGAGCTGGAGAGCTTGGGGCGGCCTATCTCCCTGGGGGGATGAGAGGACCTCCCAATAGGTGAAATCCACACAATTGACTATGCCTAGCTATCTACTATACTATCACAGCTTCTTCACCAAATCTTCAGGAATTAGATAGTCTGGAATCATAATGTCTGAACGGATTGACACCTAGTATTTCTGATGATTGCAGCCGACTGCTTGTGGCGCTACTCTGGTCGTGCACTACTCGGTCAAACTCAACTTGGCTTTTTCGCTCACTGTCCGCTTCAGGTAGCCCCATCTATTTCTCAGGTTTCTGAGCTTCCAAGTATTCTTCTATACTTTTAGCTCTATTTTCCACCTGCGGGATAATGATAAGTATCTTTCAGCTAGTCTACATATCAAGAACGATGTTTTTCTTGGGGTGTTCGGAGCATCACGCAATACGTCGTCTAAAATAGTAATAAGATACAGAGTAGAAGATAGGTCAATGGTAAAGTATGAATAGAAATTAATAATTAAATAATCTATAAGCTTGCACTTAAGTTTTATCCCTTCCTTTCAGATCTCGAGAATAATCATCAGGGTTTATCGCCCCGAATATCGCTGGCTCCTTATCAGACCATAGTTACGCTTTTCAATTGACTGGGCTTTATAATTCCCGGGTACGAATAACCCTTTCAGCGTAGTTTGTTTGGTTCTTGTCAGGAGTTACCATTAAATTTTCCATGTCATCTACTTAGTCCGTTCGCACCATTCTTTTATAGTCTGTATGTCTATATTGTCAAAGGGCTATTAATGAGTCACAGCTGCTGAACACAAACAATATTAGTTTTATCCTTCTCATCCTAGGTTGACATATACTGCATGAACGACTGCAAATATGTTTTGGCAAAGTTTCTACAACACAAGAATTTTATTCAATAATGACAGATAAGCTAAATATAAACATGTATTTAGAAAGCTTGGTAATATTTAAAGTTGGATATCCACTGAATATATTATTCGAAAAACAATACTGGTAAGAAAATCGGGGAAAAAATAGAAAATTTTAGTTATGTAAACTCTACTATACTGGTAACCTGTCGACAATTATGGTAATATTGAATTATTGATTATTCGGCACCTTTCTCGGTCAAATGTTGATTATACAACATCATCAGATCGCTTATATTTCTTATATTAGTTAGTTTACATTCTTCGTTTGTTTACCTCGCCTTAAACGCGAGATGTTTTGGTAGTTGAATCAGAGACCTAATTCTACGGAGGATCGACACTTGCGAATACGCATATTTTTATAGTCGACAATGCCTTAATTAAGTTCCTTTTTTGATCGAATTACAATTAAGCTGCTTGTGTGATGGTTTGGTTGTCTCTGAGCTAGTAGAGATAAAACCACTTGACCATATAAAAAGGTACACGACGACTGATCTTTCGATCAGTCGCATCTAGCTCACTATATAGTAGCGAAGGCTTAGTCTGAGCACCATACTGGGTATAACGCGTGACAGCCTGCCCTGCAATTGCCAGCCTCTAGGGGTAAACATCCCAGGGTTAAATATTTAGACGGGGGGAAGAGCTAGTGAAATACTCTAATACATATACATTAACTGTTTTAATTAGGCCTAGGGCAGATTACTGTAAGTTTAGAACACCAACTGTATTTTCCACTAATGCTAGCTGCTATGCAACAGGACTGAGGCTTGTGTTGGCCCCAAGAAGACCCACTCAAACGGACCCCACGGCCACCATTCTTAACCACTGCCTAAGATATAATAATCTGATGAATCCACTCTCTTCGTCGTATCAACTTTTACCTTCCACCCTCTCCAGTCTGCTCATGGACTCTTTACACCATCCCTTCAAAGTCCTCATTGTCGGAGGTGGTATATGCGGTCTATCTCTAGCACTTATGCTCCAAGAAGCGGGCATTGATTTCCAGCTCTTCGAAGCATACCCTGAAGTCACACCAGCGGTGGGCGCTGGCATCGCGCTGTTACCGAATGGAAATCGCATTCTCGACCAACTTGGTTGCTACGAGGAGATGCTGCGGAACGCAGGTCATGCCATTAACGCTGTGTGTATCCGAGGGCCGGACGGCGGCCCACTGTGGACTTTTGAGAAAGCTGATCAGCGATCGATTGAGAGGTGGGACATTACTACCAATTCCAACTTTATAAGCATAAATGTCGTTGACTGTAATTTAGACATGGATATCCTATGTTTTTTTGCGACCGACAGAGGGTTCTGGATGTTTTGTATAGCCGTCTTCGGGATCTGTCCAAGGTTCTCACTAAGAAGCGAGTGGTGAGAATAGAGCAAACGGAGGATGAAGCTCATATTATAGTAAAAGATGGATCTGTGTATACCGGTGATGTTGTCATTGGGGCAGATGGGGTAAACTCTGTCGTACGACACGAGTTGAGACGACATGCAGTCGAAAAGGGCTTGGGTAGTGACTATGACGATGATAACGGTAAGTACCTATACTCGATATTCTTGCGAGTTTTCGGACAAGCAATACTCATCAAGATTCAAGCCATGCCCGCCAACTACGCATGTATGTTTGGTATATCGACCGGCGTCCCGAGGCTCGCAGTAGGACCGATGCATTTTGTGTGTAACGAAGGGTTCTCCTACGTCATAGGAACTGGTTCGAACCGACAGTATTGGTTTCTCATAGAGAACCTGGGTAAGACTTATCGTGGCCAAGATATACCGAAGTTCGGCTCGGACGATCTGGAGCAAATGGTTCGGAAACACTGGAATGACCGCCTCACCACTGAGGTATGTTTTGGAGAACTGTACGAAAGCAGAAATACTATCGTGTATACTCCACTACGAGAAGGCGTCCTGAAGAATTGGCATTTTGGGAGGGTATTGACAATAGGTGATGCAAGCCATAAGGTATGTAGATGCTACAACCCGGTGATGGTTGTCAAATTAATATGCGGCCAGTTACTACCGCTCCTTGCACAAGGAGGTAACTCAGCTATAGAGTCTGCTGCCTGTCTCACAAACTGCTTGTTCGAAGTCTTGAAATGTTCCAGATCTGATCGACTGCCCCTAGAACAGATCACCGCGGCATTTAGGAAGTTGCAAAACATCCGCATTCCAAGAGTAACCGCCCTTGCCAAATTGGCCAGTGGCCAGCAGAGACTTGATGCAATGATAACACCAGAGATAAAGGCTCTTGTCATGGAGCGAGTCCCAAAATTGGTGCCAGAGAATTTTTACGAAAAATGGCATGGCATCTATGACTCTGCTGTATCACTAAGTATGCTTCCTATGCCGGCACGACCAAGAAAATCTCTCTACTATGACGAGATAAGTCACCCAGGTGTAGATTTGGGGCGCCCCAAACTGTAGAGAGCTTTGTCCTTACATAGCTCCCAATCTAAACTTTGTAATTATCGCTTGAAACTGTATCACATGCGGTGGCGCAGTAAAGAGAAGTCATTAAAAGATCAGCTCACTGGAGTATGCTAGATGAGTGGATGTCTCCATCTATTTTCCGTTATCGTCTTAGTAGTTGAATATCACTGTATAAGTAAGGCTAGTGTTAACGAATAGTATTCTATCTGTAAGTTGTATTTCTAGACATCGCTATAAGAGGATGCCCATATTCCCCTAACTATAAAGCCATCAATTAAATTGCATTAGCTTACTATTGTCCTTATGTTGCAGATCTTGCTACAGGCTTTAATTTCTTTATTAACCAGCCGGCTACAGGAACCACTAGTACAAGCCCATGCTGTTGGGCCCTTTCTTCTGGCTCCTATACATATGCACTATGTTGAATACACTTCTCTCCTTATTTAATAAGTGCGTATCTCACAGCAGTCCCGAAAAGGAACGAAGACCCACCCTTAGGAAGTACAAGGCTACTCAAAAAACAAGATGATTTGTCCGATATCGAATCTACATCATCTACAAGGGACTCCAACATAACATCGTATCCAAACGACAACCTGTCTATAATAAAGCTCATCGCCTCTCGTCTTGAAGAAAGAACCCTTATCTACATATTTGTGAATAGTTTTATTTCCAGGATCGAAGCAAGCATCAATATTAGTATCAGGGCTTTATTGATTTAGAAACTTTTTTTAAGATATTTTGGGCGGCATGGCTGGGAGTCAAGCGGCTTCAATATTTCTAGCACTCAAATTTTGTTGAGGTGATAGGATCGGTCGGGGGTCGCCCAGGAATTACGTTATTATCACCTTAACTAATTAAGTTACATGTCAACAATCAACTAGTTAACGTAACCGGTAAGCGAGCCGGACACGTAAGCGAGCCGGACACCTCTTCCGATCTGTCAAAAGGAAGCCACTCAAAACACTCAAAAATCTGCATTTCTATATAAAGGCTAATTACTACTTCGATTAGGACAATGAGTCCTTTTATGTCCCAGAATATTGCAATCACTGCAGCGTGGTGGCGCCCGTACACGTCGCTCAACCGTAGATAGCCCTTCTTCTACTGGTATTAGTACCTTGTAGCTTCTTGAACCCTATTTCGATGCTGAACATACTCCTGTGCCTCCTTTGTAGAAAATCCTTCTGTAGAATTCATCTGTCCCTTAGGTAGCTTTTTTTTTCGACGCCTCTTTTCATTTCCAGTCCGTAAATCCTGATTCTCTTTAAGAAGAAGAGCTGTTTTATGTAGGTTTTTTGCATATCCTTTTGCAAGCTTGTCCAACCGTATTCTTGTAGCAGAGGTAGGACTTTTAATATGCTCTCCAAGCAGCTGTTTTATTATAGATACCTCTTTATCCAATTGCTTTGTATTGTATGGTGTTTTGGGTGCAGAATTGGTTGATCGACTCCCTGGAGGTGTAGGAGTGCGGAGTTGAATATTAAGATGCTCAAGCACTTTATCTGGATTAAAAGGCACTAAACCAGCTGATAAAAAGCCACTCTTAATATTCTCCTCCTTTAAGGCCTCCGTCCGGGCTTTGGGGTAGGCCTCAAGAAAGTCAAGTTTGTTAATATGGTTAAAACCATGCCGTGCCTTGTCTTCAACCAGCTTTCCATACGCGCGCTTCAACGGCCCAAAACAACCAACATCAAGCGGTTGAAGGAGATGTGATGAGTGTGCTGGCATGCAAATTGGTATAATATTATTTTCACCGCAGATTTGATCAAATTGAGGAGTTAATTGACTTCCATGGCCATCAAGAATTAGCAGCCGATATTGCCCAACAGTACGGCTTGTTGTCGCAGGAATAAATAGTTTTTGAAGCCACCGTAAGCTAATCTGATCTGTAGTCCATCCATTCTCACTAACTTCAATCCTCCAGCTAGCTGGTAAGTCCTTAAACCAGCTTTCTTTATAGACTTTCCCCTTAAAAATAATACAAGGTGGAAGTGCCCATCCAGTAGAGCTAACACATTCAATAGAGGTAACCCATTCTTGATTACCTGGTTGTACAAGAAATGGCTTTCCATGCATACTAGCTCTAGTAACTACTTTAGCAGTAGCTACCAAGCCCATTGCAAAGCCAGTTTCGTCAAAATTATAAATATCTTCTTGTGCAATTCCATGTTGTATTATAGTGATTTGTATGCGCTCAAACCACTCTTTAAGAATCTTAGGATCCTCACACTTGGCACGCTGGTGATTATAGCGCCTAGAATATCTTGATTTAAGCTCATCGCGCCGTTTAATAAAGTTGTATACCCATTTATCACCAACAGTTTGAATAGGTGTGGTACCACGCTTAGCAAGAAGAATATTAGCCATTTCTTGGACATGGGACGGTCGGGGAGCAGCTCCACGTCGGTCCAAGGATAATATCCACTGTACAAGCGATTCCTCTTCATTTTGAGTCATTTTATGACTATTTGCGCGTGATTCATGGCGAAACACGCTGCCTTTGAATCGGTCATGCAATGTTGAGCGTGGAACATTATATACCCGAGCAGCTTCGCGAATATTGCAGATTTCTTTCTTTTTTAAAGCTGATAATGCTAATAAGATCCTACCCTCCTGTTCAACTAAATTTCTTGAATTCTGACGCGCTTTTGGAGGCATGGTAGGTGTTTGAATTAATTGATTATTTTGAAGGCAGCCGAAACGGAAGAGGTGTCCGGCTCGCTTACGTGTCCGGCTCGCTTACCGGTTACGTTAACTAAAGTTATGGTAATATTGATTATTCAGCACCTTTCTCGGTCAACTGTTGTTGATGATACAACATCATCAGATCGCGTATATTTCCTATATGAGTTAGTTTACATTCTTTGATTATTTACCTCGCCTTTATAAACGCGAGACGTTTTGATAGTTTAGTTGAATGGGAGACTAATTCAATGAAGGATCGATACTTGCGAATACGCGTAATTTTATGGTTGACATTACCTAACTATTCTATAATAGTAATAATTAGTGGATAACCCCCAACACGCTGACGTTGGGGCCAATGGTAACAAACTAACTCACGTTGGGATTAGCCTTGTAAGCTGTTCTAAGTTTGGCGTTGCGGTTAAGGTAAATAAATATTTTGCCAGGCCCGAGTAAAGGAGATATGGTTGAATATTCCTCATGAAACCATTGTGCAGCATCATAACATCAGACACTTGCTCTTTAAAAATGGTTGTTGGCGGCTGCTTTTGCGGAAAGATCCGAGTCCAATACAATGGCCAGCCTATCACTTCGGTTAGTATACCTCCTCCAGGAAGTTAATTATTCTTTGAGTTGATACTATTCCTTTTTCAACAGGGCCTATGCCACTGTTCCGATTGTCGTAAACTTTCTGGGACTCTCTACACCTACAATTTTGTCGTCAAGAGTGCAGACCTAAAAATCACTGGGAGCCCGAAGGAAGTTGCAAAAACATCGGACAGTGGAAACCATATCAAGAACTATTTCTGTTCAGATTGTGGTGTGTCATATTATATCTGGGATTCGAAAGGGTAAATTAACAATATCCCTAGGCACACCGCTCTATGGGCTAAGAATGAAGTCCTCCGGAGTTCCTGACGAGATAACAATCGTCCGGGCAGGAATCTTTGATGACATTGGAGTCCTGAATCAATACAAGCCTGAGGCAGAGATATACATTAACGGGCGCGTAAGGTGGATCGATTCTGTCGAAGGGGCTGATCAGTTCATCGGCATGCCCCCGCTACCATAATCCAATGATCGAGCTTATGAGGGTAAAGCTGGGTGGGATACACCTCGGAGGTTAAATAATATACAATACAGATATCCGTGTTTTAGCAATTTGCATACTTATTGGGACAAGATGTATGAGGGGAAAAAAATGAGTACTGGATTGCTGTAAAGGATAACGGCTTATTTCAATTCTTCTCAGTATACTTCAGCACTGCAATGGACGACCCTTCTTCATCTCCACGATCTTCAGGGATGTGGATTACCTAGAACGAGACCCGCGATGCCCAGAGTACGATTTTGACCATTATTCGGAGGACTTGTAGATCCCACCACATATGGATGAGGCACCACAGGATGAAATTTCCCGGCGACCATCGCACTGCGCCATCACCGATTCTAAATACTGCAGCTGCGTATGCTGCTGCGCGACATGCTGAAATTGGAAACAATGTTTCTTGTCGGGCAGGTCCAAGGGAAGGTTGAATGGCCCACTAAGGCATGACATTCTCCAGTGCGAGATAAAGCATGAATTTGACTACAAAAGAGAACAGCTCTGGGTGAGCCGGGTGGGTTCGTCTGAGTTTCCACTTTCCTCAGATACCCGGGAGGCTTGGGATTAACGGCGAACACACATGGTCATTCTGATTTAATTGTTGAAGTAATACAATTCGCTCTGATTTTACTGCTGTGAACTAACAGCTTTATAGAGTATTGTCAAGAACGACTCCATACTCCCTACCATCCAACCAAACAATGAATAAAGTATAGTGTGGCTTTAACTACCTATTCCTGTTACAATGTAGATTCTATCTTGCCCGGAGTACGGCTACTTCCTATGTTAAACAAAACATTCTTGCGATCTTTTAATCATCCTGTCTTCTAGACGTTAGTAGTGATCTTTGAGTTAGAACAACTCCATTAATACTGGAGAGCCCCCTCTGAGAGGGATTTAGATTCATCTCTAGTTCTAGATACTTGGTTTAAGCTTCTACAGCTTCCGGATTGTAGATGTCTTATGTTGGCCTAAAAGCCTGCATTGCTAAATGCAAGAACTCAGTCATATACACTTACAAAAGAGCTACTAAATAGTGAGGTAAATCTTGCTCTATTACTAGCAGTACGAGGCACAGCAAGCTTATTACTCGAAAAATCCGCAGCCACATACCCTGGACCTACTAGTCAAGACACGGTTGGTAAGCAGGAGAAATAAAGTGCTTTATTATGTATTCAATCTTGAAGTCTTTCCAAAGCCTTTTCAAATAGAACACGCTTTGCGGACTTTAACGGAAATAAGGTCAAGGCGGAGATAGGGCCAAAATAAAGAATTTGGAGTCGGTCTTTTCCCCGATGTTTTAATCTGCTGAGTAACTCGCATTCAAAATAGTACGATGCCAGGCGTGGGCTGACCACTGATATCTTTGTTTGTACCTATAATATACCAGAGGAAAAGGAACCCATCGCTGACTGGGATATGAGCTTATTAAGTGTGGGATGTGACCGATCACATCCCACTGTTCTAGGACGGTTCCTGGCATGGGTTAAATGAGGCTTACAAGATGGATACCAGAGCAAGATGCAACTGTCGCCTATGTCTGGACGAAGTGATGAAGATGCGAAAGTCTCTAAGAGGACAAAAACGGCGAACAAACAAAGTTTGCAATACATATAGCGATCTGGCCTGGTCGGGGGACTTGCGGGATGTTCTATAAGGCCAATTCTCCCAACTATATTTGTAAAGAACTAGATAGAGCCCGTTTGACCTCTCGGGACAATTGACTCCGTTGACCCTATTATCCCTTCTGTCCCTACTGCCCCTATTGTCCCTATTGTCCCTGTTGTCCCTACTAGCCCCATTGGCCCTCGAGGACCCACAACACGTGGCTTTTCCCCCTTTTCCTCTTTCTTTCCTTTAATGATTCCTTTTTGTACATAGCGTATTATATAAATTCTACGGGTTCAGCCCCTGGCAGTATTCTTGTTTTCCCGAGTCACCTTCAAGCCAAACTCTGGAGGCACTGTTAGATCGAGTTAAAATAGTTATTCAGTCGCGCAATCTGTTATTCGTTAAGTACACAGGATCTTGGTCTGGTCTCAGCCGCGCATTCAGAGAGATATATCAGGATGGGCTTACCGCATTCTTCCGCGGGCATTCGGCCACAATCATAAGGATTTGCCCATGAATTTTATGCAGACATATAATTATTCCTAGACAGTACAGAATGATGCATAAGGCTACCATGGCAAAAGCTCCTCTTATCAGTTAGGGCCATTTTGTTAGAGTTAGCCATTACGTCTGCTTTTTGTGACGGCGCTGGCAACTATTATATAAGAGAGAGCGACTCTAGGACTGCGCCCGAGAACACTAGTCTTCTGCTCCTGGCGCAGCAGTTTAGCCTCTGGAACGCTCCTATAGATTAGGTCATGAATTTTCCAGTATGTTTTCCAAGTATAAATAATTCCTTGACTAAGCGGCTAGTATTTGGCGGTTGAATTAGCTGGAAGCCATATGATTAAAGTTTTTTGAAGCCGCATTTCAATTTTTTCAACAGCTGATTCACGTGCAGAAAAATTATCAAGTCAAAGAACCACTAGTCTACCAGCCATCCTTGTATCAAACAAGCGAAGAAATTCTTCAAAGATACTGGTAGTCATCCATGCCACTTTATTATGCCTCTAAATACAACCTAAGTTCTCAATTTTTATACCAGATACAGCAAAATATTTAGGCCCTTTTGCGGTGCTAATAATCATAAGAGGAAGCCGTTCAGATTTATTAGACCTGTCCCATGCTAATGCACTTATCCGTACTTTATTCTTTTTCCTTCCTGGAAGACTTCGCGTTGTAAGGCTGGTATCCGGAAGCAATCTCCAATAGAAGCCAGTTTCATCGGCATTGTAGATATCACTTGGAAGTGCTTGCCAAATTTTAACAATTTGTGACTCTGCATCAGTCGAAACGCTGGCCAATTCTTCTTGTTTTTTATTTAAACAATATTACGACAACCTTGAAAGCTATTGACCCAGCTATTACTAACTTAAGGCATTTTTGCTTTGGGATAGAAAAAAGGCTAAACTGGTGAGCTTTATATATATATATATTCCCATATAATCTTTTGTGATATAGCAATCTGGTATTCTGCACGCTTAATCCACTCGTAAAGCTCCTTTCTTAGCTCCGGCCAGTATTCTATTTGAGTCCGTTTATTGTCTCGCCTGTGATCTTCGATTTTGTGGTCAACGAAGGCAAATTTTAGGGAGAGCGTTTAAGAGATACTGGAAGGATTAACCTGGTGTTAATATATCTCTTTAAGTCGCTTTGCAGTGCTAAATTATTTAAACATGGCTTCAATTTCTGTTGACGTAGAGAAGCGCGCTGGCTGTTGGTCATTGATAGCTTTAGCATTGTGGAGAAATGTCTGACGGCAGGCAGATCAGATTAATAAATCATATTGTGCACTATATCAAGAATACTAAAGATAGGGAGGAAAGGAAGAAGGTGGAAGTGCGTTGTCATGGTGAGCGAGAATATGGTGGGTAGCTTCCCAGCCCTAGCCCTGTGCTGTCAGCCGGTCTTCATCCCAATACATTCCGCTTGCAAACCACATAAATATCACGTCACTGCGTTGAGCTGAACGCGATGTCCAAGGTAAGGTCATCACAAAAGGGACGAAGTCGAAATTGATAAAGCCAGTTTTTATTACTAAATTATTCCCAAGCATAAGACTTATGGTTTGAACTACGAGTGTAGATGTTTGTGGCGGTAAGGTAAATCTCTTGTAGATATACCAAGCTCCTGTGACATATCCCTACAGTGGAATGTTTGGGCATCTTAAGTGGTCTGCTTATTCTATGATAATAGGAACCTCTACAGGTAGAACATAGACTGTCAGGGGGCTGAACCTATAGAATCTATAAAAAAAAAAAAAAATAGGCTATATATAAAAAGGAATCGTTGAAGGAAGGAAAGAGAGAATGGGGCAGGTAAACGAGAAGGGAGAGCCACTTATTGTAGGTCATCGATGACCAATAGGGCCAATAGGGACAAGTAGGCTCAAGAAGTTAAATAGGAACCCTCTAGGCTTCCTAATTTAGCTTAAACTGTATTTACTGGTAAATTACCAATTCTCTTATTTCACAGTTCGCATGAACCTATAAAAATACGGTAAATTGCCATCCTTACCTCTACACCTGGTGTTACATAAAAGATATCTCGAAGGCGAACATTGATATGAAGTGAAAGTGTGATTGCAGAGAGACTGTGTATAGTACGTATGTCGGAGCTGGCAATGCGCTCACTAAGAGTTTCTTAACTGTAGGGATTTCTTTGAAAGTCATAGCGTATCTTGTCAATCTTTTAACTATTTGAGAAATAGTTGCCTGGTACCACTCTTGTATCAGCCTTAATACACCTACACGACAACATCAGGGACTTGGATCGACGCCCGTTTCACCTTCATCCTGACAGAGCATACTAATAGCAATATCAAGGACATTTATGAAGTACTCCGAATAAACCCACAACCATGGACGGTTGCCTTATCATCCAATGTCTGCCAAGACGGTATATATCACAGCCAGGAAGCCCCTGCATCAGCTCCTACGCTAGAGACAGCGCCAACGCAAAGGCCTTAGACAGTTCCTTGGCAATCCAATGGCTTCCTTGCCGATGCTCCACTTCTCATAGCAGGCATCCGAGTGGTCCGTCTACAGGTTACAGGTGAAGTGGGAAAATACGTGTCGGGCGGAACCACCCGCCGACATTCTTACTACAGGAATAATTGCCCCACAGTTGTGATGGTAGGCCTCGCCTATCGGTGGCATTTCCGAAGGCCCAGACTTTTTGTACTCAAGCCCAGTACATATTGGTGGTGCGGGTGTTGAGTCTGGCTAGTTTGTGGACGGGAAGTTCTAGCGCCACCAAAATGATATTATTGTACGAACTCTGGGTGACAATGGAAAAGACGCGGTTGTGCGTGGTGTTTGGAGTACGGAGTAGAAACTGTCGCCTTTTCGCCATAGTAATCGCCGCTTTAACAACCCCTTCGCAAAAGGTACTTGACTAGCCCTAATCCGAAGTTTCGGGCGATAAACAGAAGTACAGATATGCGCTGCGGAGCCTGGCGCATACATGATTAGTAGGAGATACCTAAAGTGGTGGCCCTCGTCTACGCTTGTGTCTTTGCTTAAATGTTAGATATCACTCAATTCGAAAAATCTAAGCTTAGGGGGAGAAGAAGCTGAGAAGGAAAGGCACTGATCCTTGTTTCGGCAATAATATTGAGGATTTGTGGGCCGGTCCTGGGTCAATATTTCTCCCTGTAATAAAAACCCACTCCGTCTCAGTTTAGAAAAGCAGAAGGGCCTGCGAACCGGTTGTTCTTATGGTCCAACTGTAGCAGCTTTGAAAAATTGTCTTTAAAAACGGCACACTATAGTTTTGGCTCTGGATGCTCTATAATAATATAAATCAAGGTGTAAAATCAAGCACGGAGCAAGGTTACATGCCAGGCGCTGGGTAAGAAGTTGCACAGTTAATAATGATCCAATCCTCGAGCTTACCAGCTCTAATCCATGAATAATATCTACCACCCTCCTTAAATCGATCAGTTTATCAACTCTCTTGTGATGCCTGAGTAGCTCAATCTCCCACTTTTTTATGGTACCCAGAAGTCAACTCGACCATTACTCGCCCGGGATAATTTACTGGAGATTTGCACAACCCGGCCTGCTACTACGTTAAATGCACTATAAAATTCGTCTTGGTATTGGGCCTCTGTTGGTCGCTGTTGCCCTGAAGTTGACAATTTACTATCTGTGCAATGCTAAAGGTCCTGCTTTAAGAAGTGTTGCAGGATCTCCTGGTACAAGCTTTAAATAGTAGGGAACGTTTTATTAGGGAACTTTCTTTCTCTTTGGCCAACTTGGTACTCCATATACCTAAAACAGTTAGAACAGAATAAATAACGCTGAAGGGAATATTACTTTTATATAAGTGTAATTATATAGAATACTAATACATTGACTACTCCCTCTATCTCCTGAACTACCCTGTGAATCCCGCGGTTTTTATAGCAGAACTTGAGGCCATCTATAGACTCATTATACTTAATATATCCATCCTCTAGTACTTTGCATAGGGTTCTCTTGTGCTTCAGTTGTAAGTCTTTCACAATAAGGAAAAGACCGCCAGACAGGTTCTGGAAGATTCTTAAAGGCTTTATTATTATCTACTAAGGCTTCGACCACAAAGCTTTCTGTTATTTTAGTAGTAGCTTCATTGTATCTCAGAGCGGAGCACCTAAAAATTAGAGTTAGTTATTGAAAGGCACATATAACTGTCAGGATGCAAGCGCTATGCCTATAACAGGTATGTTATATACCTCGAAAAGATAGCCCACTAACAAATCCACAGCCCCGGGGTGGCCGCTTGTCTGCTTAAACAGATAGTTTCGAGCATCTGTATTAATAGTGTACTTTTCAACTTCAGATCTGCTTAGTTTTGTCACGACCATGATAACTCATTTTCGCTGTAGAATAGACCTATTGGTGGTGAATTTGGTTCGTGTGATGGAGTTTATAACATGCGCTACGTGGGAAAGAAGGTAATGGTGTCTGATTGTCCCTTATATTATATAGCAAGCCCACTGACGGGCTTCCATATAAATAGAAGAGACATAGTTTTATCTTTCACCTAAAAGGACCCGAGATATATTTATCAATGTAGTCTCAGAATGCAGTGTTTTTATATAACCATTATGCTTCGTCCACAATAATCACAGTGCCGGCGGTAAAGATATTTTGTTTCTTTCCCAATATTGTGTATTTACGCCTACCAACCTGAGCAAAATTAACGCAAGGATCTTCGGTCGGAAGATTATCATGTCTTTATTCCCAAACCCAAGCCAAAATACTGTCCTTCCTTGCTGGCTTAAATAATCACTTAACAGCTGTGCGAGTGTTGCCTTTCCACTTGCTAGTGTGCCATGTGTATGGACGATACCTTGCAAATTAATAATTTCTTCAAACTTTAATAACGTTCCATCCCGAGTGTATGTCCCTTGTTTGTTGAGTTGTAGAGATCCTGCTGGCATTATTGCAAACTATGGCTATGACATAATAGTTCACGACGCAGGATTTTAACTAGCTCGGGAAAACATAGATTTACTTTCTGTATCAACTATTATCTGGGCCAATGTGCAAGTTCAGAGCTAGGACGAACTGGAACGCCAGCTCTTTCAAAGAATTCCCTCTGACCGGCATTAATTAAAAATTAATTCCCGTTAATCTTAGCATTCAATAATTTCTTAGTATCATCGTCGTCGAGCGGCACATGCAGCTTCTTCTAGATCCACCCAAGAAGTACAGTCGTCTTCAACGATTTGATTTCTTGGCTAGAGGAGTAACCAGAATTCGATGGTTGCCTTGACGACTTGTCTGAGACGGCGATCCAGAGACTGACCATGGCGTTGGAAGTAACTGCGAACACACTGGCAGTCCAAGAAAACCAGGTGCGTGTAGACTGCTGGCAGGCGCCGACTATCGGTCGAGACGGAGGGCTTGGAGCGAATCGTAAAGGAGGGGTATTGGCGGGCGCAGGGGTTAGATGGGGATTTAGGGAATGGGCTGGTCACTGTATTGTCGTGAGGCTCGAGATGGCAAACGGGTGCGGATGCGAGGATGCTGGCCACAACGAGGGTGGGGAATAGGAAGAGGAGGGAAGAGGGAATTTGAAGGTAGATCTGACATGATGTCGCGCATGGCGGCGCCAAGCAGCAAGAAGACGCTTTTCCCATTTTCCGTAACTCAACATCACCTGTGACTACGGAGTGCTTCATAGTGTTAGGATAATTATTGATTTCTGCTCGATGGGCTGATGAAGGAGGATTAATCTGGGAGAACAAGAAAGCCAACCTGATTTCATGGTGGTAATCCCAACAGATGAAAGGAGGGAGGCATCCAGTCTCTCAAGTAGACGGTGTATGACGGAAATACAGACTTCCCGCAGGGCTGAATTGTCCGCATAGATACGAGGAATTTATTGTAGCCTCGTGCGGGACAGATCAGGTTGACTGAGGCGTTGATTGCATTAGTCGAGTGATACATCGATCCTGATCGGTGAGAGATTTCCTGCGGCCAATCTGAAAGAAGATAGAATTTAAGAGATTGAGGTGAATCAGAGATCGATCAAGCAGTGTATACAGTCTTATGTACAGTTGTCAGTCCCAGAAGTAGGTTCATTTCTAACCGATCCGATGTTATCTAGTAAAGCATCGATTTGTCAGATTCGAGGCATGACAGTCAACTTTTTCCGAGCATAACATTGGATAGCGTGGGGATGTCAATTCACTGGTCAACCCGGCGTGTCCCACGGGCGATCCCCGGAGCAAACGTACTTCTTGATGCTGTTTCCAGCATCACCATTGGTGCCAGCAGCTCGGTTCCGTATGATCCGGTCGATACTTAACTGGTTTGGGCAGGACTAATGCAAGACGGACCTAGTCGAAAGCGTCTATATTCTACCAGACATTCTCAGTATCGGACCAGTCCACTAATCTAGGCTACCGATGACCCGGCGAATTTCCTGGCCCAAATATGATCTGTATCCAGGAATCCAAAATTCCGACAAGGCCAAAGCCATAAGTATGACATAATGGAATGATCAGGGGTGCATTTGATGTCGCACAGTCCCTTTTCCGACTTTCACCTGAAACAAGTGATCGATAGCTCACAGGCACGGAACAGCCTGTGGTGCTTTACAAGTGCCGTACAAAGAAACATAACTAAACTATTTCTACTCTCGTAAATGTCCATCCCCCTTTCAATCGCGGAATGGATTTCGGTGAGGATAGTCAATTTCGCCCTTTCCAACCATCGCTGGCTCGCACCGACCGCCAAGCTCTTGTTCCTAGATCCTGTATCTCCGCGTTGTCAACATGGGCGATGACCAGCGTCTGAAGGCCATCGCAGTACTATGGGTGATGACCGGACTATCGTTCATTCTCGTTCCTCTCCGTCTATATACGAGAATCTATCTTCTCAGAGGATTGGGACTCGATGATCATGTTTTCAACTTGGGTTGGGTGCGTCAGTGCTCGTCGATCATCTGCGGCGCCTGAAGGACATGGCTGACGCCGAATACAGGTCTTCATGTTGTTGCATACCATCTTCTACACGGTTGCCGACACCATCCCATCGGACGACCCTCGGGCCATGTACATGGGAATGATCGGACAGACGTTTGCAATTCTCGGTCTGGCGATTGCGAACATTTCGCTGGGGATCTTCTTGCTTCGGATTGTCGTCAAAGCATGGCATCGACTGTCAATTTATATTGCCACGGTGAGCGTCTCACTGGTGTCTGTCTTGATGGTCGTCGTCTTCTGGGTGCAACGCTCGCCCACTGAGAGTATCTACGACCCGACCGTCGCTGGTCGGACGCTCATACCTGTTCGACCGTTTTCCACGCTTCTGGGGTGTATGTTCTGTCAATAGCCGGTTTTCAATTCTGTACTAATATTACTCACCCAGCATGGTGTACCGTGGTGGACTTCTTTTTTGCCATTATTCCGTGGATTTTCATCTGGGAGCTGAACATGAGGTTCAAGGAAAAATTGACCATCACCATGAGTTTCAGCCTCGGCTTTATGTACGTCTGACTATGAGCACGATGCACCAGATGCTAATATTTCCTGATAGAGCAGGTATTTGCGGAATAATTCGAACGGTTGAGTTGAGCAAGCTATCGGAGACCAATTACACCGGTAGGATCCCACATCATAATTCCACAGATACATGGCTGATCATATATCGTTGGCGGATTCAGAGGGAACCGTCACGTTGATTATTTGGTCGGCCATCGAGCTGGCCGTGACGCTCATCTGTGTCGGGATTCCCACCGTCCGACCTCTGTATCTTAAGATCGTCCACCGATCGAACTCAAAATACACGCCAGACTACAACAAAGAGACCGACAATGGCGAGAACCTACCGCGGTTTGAGATGCCGATGAGGAAATTCAACCACATGAGGTATCATGATGGGTCGTTGGACGGGGACGTGACAGACGCGAGCATCGAGAATCAGTATCCGGATTGCATCCAGATTCACCATGAGGTGAAAGTTGAAGCTCACTAACGTACGCCATAAAGCTTCTTATCCAATATCATTATCTCCGAGTTTTTGGTTTTAACGTTTTCCATTCATTGATGAGTTCTTGTCATGTTATATATATATTTCCTGCATCCTCCAAATGTTCCAGCAAGGCAGGGGCGAGGGCTGCAGCATAGCACTAAGTATATTGATTTCCCATGCAGGCTATTTTTTTGGAATTGAATACGATATATATAGCCATTCTTCTCTCTAAATTGTGTATATATAGGACAAATGCTGCCTACTTGCTATCAAGTGTCAATACCAGACACTTCTCGACAGGATGGAGTAGATTGAATTATCAAATTAACCCAGTGGCAAGTATACTTAGTCGTCGAGTTCATTAATCGATAGCTTTCTTAGCCTATAATATAGTCAACGCAGGATCTGTTGATCTATGGATCTGGTTTAGAAACAGAACCGATTCAGATATCTCGCTGTCTAGATGCATTCCTGCCAAATAACCTCCCCGTAGATCGATGATCCTTCCGTTTTCCGCGGTAGATTGGACGACTCTGTCTCAACCGATGATCGTCTTTGTATCTACTAAGTAATTCCCGATCAAAGAGACGGACTCCTTGCATACGTCCGATCATATTATCTGGCCAATGCGATATCCATTTAGCAGCTCAGACAGTGGAATATGTGTTCGAAGGGCTAGAGTATGGTACTTCAGCTAGCGAAATCCTATCCAATTCAGTCTATTCTTATAGCACTATATGTCAGCATAAGCATACTATAACCAGATTTGATAGTGATTTGAGCTCATCTACGGACGGCAGTAACCGGCCGTATCTCAAAAGCTGAGGCTTGCTCATCAATCATCCATAAACATAACAATTTACAGGCCTCATTAATCCGCTCCTCGAAAGATCCTCAATATTTGAATCTACCCACCAGATACCACCGTCCCAAACGATCTCTCGTCCATGTTGACACATCTCCCTCCGTCCTCGAACTAGTCATTTATCTTTTCCTCTAATGACGCGTCCGCCACGACGAACAGCACGTCCGGTCGAACATTCACCACCGTGTAAACATCTCCAGGAGCATTTCAGTCTCGCACCATAGCATCGTCTCAGGGATTGCCAGATGCGTCAGGATAAGATCCGTACTGGCTACGGTATCGCTCTGGAGATCCGGTTCAGCCGGTCAATCACACGGGGATATAATAAACTTGCTCAACTTATTCAGAGCGAGATACATAACGTCCTGCGAAGTGTTGAACGGACGTACGAAGACATGACATCGTCGATATGCGCAGTATCATATCCTCATCCCCTGCCGTCGTATCCAGTCTAGGGCTAGTTCCACTCCTTCGCGATTTGTGATGACTAGTGGGACCACACTACGTGGACGTCGAAGAGGTGAAAACAGAACTCTAGGATTAGATTGTCACTGATATTCAATGGAAGTTGGATTGTTTGCGGGGCTCTTAGCGTGTTAATGAAGAGTCATTTTATGCCACTCGGTGCTCTAATTGGTGTTGCCTACATTCTGATCTTTTCACGTCAGTCCAGGATCTACGGAGTCAGACTCTCGCTCACATTAGTTCAACCGAGATATCGCCATGGGCTCGATCCATCGTCCTAATAGGAGCTAAAGACAGCGGTTCGATCAGGACCACAGCATCTTTTGATCAGCATCAGTTGGCTGATGCTGCGAATTAAATACCGCTCATGATTACATACAGAATAGATGTCTGGTCTGACAACAAAGCCAGAAAAATGCGTAGTCTAGAATATCGAGATAAAATAATTCGACTGCTAAAAGCCCAGGGGCCTTAGTAAGTTGTATTAGTGTGTTATGGAAGCCGGGAGAATTCTATCTTAATAGAATCCGTAGCTGAGTGTAAACTGGAGTGCTAAAGACTTACTGCATGTCAGCGGCCCTTAGTCTGTACTCAGTACTATACTGACCCATTCCTAGATCCATCGTAGCACTTCATAATATCTCCCTTCATCCTCATACAGTCGATTGAACAGCCCGGTGCGCTCTGCCCATCCATTTCCCTCCCTCCATACTTCCTCCATTCTCCATTCATTCCATGCACTACTCTATCGATCCGTCACACAATGGCATATGCACCTAGAATTCTATCGAGACACCACAGAGGATACATGGAATACACTCTGGGCCAAGCCCGTCGCTCCCCTCCTGCACCGACTAAGTTCTGCGTGGGCACCGTTCTCGTCGACGCTGACCGGAATGAGATCCTATCCACGGGGTATTCAATGGAGCTACCTGGCGATTGACTGGGAGACCTAGGAACGCCCATACCGAACAATGCTGCTTGACTAAACTCGCTAACCGGACCGTATACCGGAAGATTAGCTGGGGATAGTGCTACTCAAGCGTAACATTCTCTACACGGCCATGGAACCATGCGCCAAACACTTGAGCGGTAATACAACCTGCGTGGAATGGATCTGAAGACTGGCAGACTCCACCAAAGTCATATGTGGGAAGCACCAGAGACAATCATTGCGGACAACACTGGAAGAAAAACCCTGGAGGCGGGCGCCCAGGACATGGAAGATTGCATCCTTGCCGTGTCGACTGCATGATTTTATTAGAAATAGATCGAAATGCTCCCCGGACGCTTACTAGGCATCACCTCTATGCTATGAACCCCTTCTCTTTCATCCAGTTATAATCAACCAGAAACGTTCCAGATAAACTACTGTTGATAACGTACAGCCGTAATCTTGGAGTATGAAGAGGGACAATCTATAGGCGCAGAAGCGAACATTGTGTTGATGCCAATGTTGTTTGCCAGTAGGTGTCCATCACTGCCAACATTCCCAGCTGATAAGCGTAGAACTGCCCAAAGGGTGCCGTGTTCTATCGACAGAGAACCATGCGTGGCGCATCAAAGTTGAGTCGGCCGACGGAACCCCTCTGTTCTTTAAAAAAGGATTGCCCGGGGAGCGAGGCAAGAATATGGTCCATAGAGAATCCAGAGTCAATGAAGGCGATCCATGTGGTGCCACTCGACTTCGTCTCCAAGCGGATAGCATGGGGAACATACTCCACTACATCAGACAAACACTTTTTCCTATGCTAATATCGAGAAATGAGTGATACCATGCCCGATCCAACAAAGTCTTCCACTCAATTGGCGACGTTCCATCAGAATAGTCAATCACCGATAGAAATTTCGGGTTTCACATGACGACGTATAACGGCAGTCTGCCTCAAGCGACCAATTGGAAAGACAGCTGGGAGTGTTCTTCAAAACGTTTGAGGCAAGCATTGGGCCTTGAATTAAAGGCAAAGTGTCCGAACTCCACGAACGCTGAGCTTCAGAACCCAGTCAATGAGCACTAGGATGACTAGCTAAAGTGTTATGCTTGTGAACTGATTTGTAATCTAGTTACACTGATGGCTATAGACTCTGATAGATTAGCGATGACTACAGATCTCAATTTCTGATAGTTAGCGTATTGTATTCCTGGACTTAAGCCAATAGCATCTGGCCCTAGAACTGTAACATTACTGAATATTATATAAAATATGATCCTGCATCAGTTGTCCCAAATTGTATCCCATGTTGTCTCGACTCTTTTAACAAAGTTGAAAGGGCTGGTCGCTTTTCACCGAGCCAAGAGTGCCGCCAGGTGTCAACATTCACACAAGCACTTCAGAATCTGTACAGTTTTTTTTGGGACTCTCCTAAATCTTCCAAGTGTCGCCGTATATCAAACACATACGACCACAGGGTGTGGAAAACAGGGCTTCCCGTCCGCTCAGCCGTACTTAAGCCACACGCCGGCCGGTTAGTAGTTGGGTGGGTGACCACCAGCGAATCCCGGCTGTTGTATGTTTTTTCGTGAGATTTTTGTGTTTTATGTATGTAGTTGGTTTGCTCTATTTTAGTTCTGGACAACGGAGGGTAGGTAGTTCCATAGCTGAAGTGATCTGCGGAAGGGGGCTTATGTGACATGCGTCATTGGTAAATTCTGATCCTGGTCAGGGCTAGTCCATTAGCGTGTATTTATTCTCTGTTGGTAGAGATAAAATGGCCGTAAATATGCCAGCTGGTATTACTACAAGAGCATAAATGGTTACTTAGGTTCCCTCCGATTTTTATTTACCCATTCTCCCAAATATAAGATTCCCAGGAAGTTGGATACCTGGCTGGGTTAATAGTTATCGTGTCGAGATCTAGTCTAACCAACCGGCCTAGCACATCATGGAATAGTGCAAGAATAACTTCCTTGCCTGAATTATCAAAGCTAAAGCTATACACACCGTGTTGATCCCTGAGCTTGTTAAAGGTGACTAGGGCCCTACATCTTACCTACTGCTCCCTGATCAGGCTATCCAACCACGCCAAAAGCTGAACAGGATCCGACGAATGCCCCCAGCTCGAGATCCTAGAATAGGAAGATTTATAATCCATGAGAATACAGAAGACTTGCCCAGCCGAGTCATAATTTTGGTTGTCAATAGTGAATACATACTCTGCTGTACTATCAACCCGGCCGGGTATCCAACTTTCTGCGAACCTGATGTTTTGGAGAATGAGTAAATAAAAATCGGAGGGAATCTAAGTAACCATTTATGCCCACACAGTAATACCAGTTGGCATGTTTACGGCCACTTCATCTCTACCAACGGAGAATAAATACACGTTAATGAACAAGCCCTGACCAGGATCAACATTTACCAATAAGACGTGTCACGTAAGGCTTTCTATCAAGCCCCCCTTACTTCCGCAGATCATTTCAGCCATGGAATTACCCTCGTTGTCCAGAACTAAAATAGAGCCAGCCAAGTACTAGCCGACCAGTGTGTGGTTTCAGTACAGCTGAGCGGACTAGAAACTTTATTTCCCACATCTTATGGTTGTACAGTCCTCAGCATTAGTTTGAATAATTGGTTGCCGCGAAATCCAGCTATGGAGCTATTGGTCGACGTCCTCCTACCGACAATTCGGAGTCTGTAAGAAGCCATCTCCCATTACGAGTCTTATGGAGGTAACAAGCCCCGGTGAATGGTTTCTTAACCCTTCCCCCTCTCCCTCCCGAGCTAACAAGCTCCGCTACCTTGCCCGGGAAGTGCCACCATCTTTATCAATGATAATCTGCAATAATTCCAAATATCGCGATATATTGCGTAGTTGGTGTGAGAGTGGCTGTTTTTCTTAACTTTGTTATATCACATGACCACATAGCATTGTTATATATAGGCTGCTGATTTCTATATCTTTTATTCTTAAACCACAGTTCTCAAGACATTGTTTTGGTTATAAATGTGTTTTTGCTGAATAACTTAATTCTTTAGCTATTTTCCTAAGCTTAATATGCAACTCTTTTTCTTCAGTTTACTGCTAACTTTTTCAATTACTATTGCTGCTGAACAAGAAAAAGCTACTAGGTTGTTCTCTGTATGTGAAAGTGCCTCTTAATTTAACCTGAATACTTTCTACAAAGCTAAAAAAATGTGGAATACGTAGTTTGGTGCACGCGGAACTGGGGAGTGTATGAAAAAAGAAGAGTGTGATGAAAAAGGTGGACATATGGGGTATTTTATATGCCCCTTTTTTTAGGTAGCAAATTTTGTCTCTTGAGGGTACAGGCCTGAGAAAATATTACATTAGTGTTGTATAAACATGAAAAACTGAACTGTCTGAAAAAAAGGAAAATGTGAATGTGTGGAATGGAGCATCTGGGAATTCTAAACAGCTTAATATGTGTGGCTAGAACTGAGAGTAAGCTTTTATCAACTACGGCGTAGCGCTGATATACCTATATTGTATGTCTAATTAAAAACAATGAATGTCTGATTAAAGGCTATATTTATTAATAGCCCATGTATTCGAGTTGTAATCTTTAAAGTCTGATTAGGCATATTGCCGTAGATAATATACTATGAAGCAAATCAAACCAGTACAAAAAAAGCCTATTGTGTGACGATGCGAAGAGAAAGTTGAAATTCTTTACTAATTTATGGCTCCGAGATACCTTTATGTGGTGTTCCTGTTATATCCACTGTTTTTATACTGCTCGTTCTTGTCATCCCTTAAATGTACCAGGAAATGTTGAATGTAAAGCACGAAAAAATAGCTGCCAGGCAACAGGCGATTATAATGCAGGGATAAACTTGTAGGCTGACCATCGAGACGGGATTCGGGATCCCGGACGAGTTTCAGTCCCGTCCCATAGTCCCATGGGAATTGCATTTTGATTCCCACCCCGTGCCAAGCCTTTCGGGAAGGGATTCCCATTATTAGAAGGGATTCGAGATGGGATATCTGCCGTATTCAAGAATTGGGGCAGTTGATTTAGCGCCAACGCGTAAATTCGCGCAAGTTTGGAACAACTCCCGCCCGAGCTTAAATATTCGAAATTCATACTTCTTGACCATGAAATACGTGTTTTAATTGCCAAATTCGTCGAAATTGAGGCTATTCAAACATCGGAAATGCCTCCTAAATGTTCATACTGACGAGGGGCTGACAACTCGCTCGATGCCGTCTGATCTTCGCCGTACTCGCATTCCTCGCGTCGAGCCACCCCCTGCAGCTGGTTAAAAGCGTCAGGATAATTATACACCCCACAATGCAGCTACAGAGATCGCTCGGATTAGAAATAAAGCCCAGAAAAGGGGCCATCCCATCCAAAGAAGGAAACCAGGAACCCCTCCACGTGATACAAAGCCAGGACCATCAAACCTTATAGTGGGAAACCAATCTCGCTCAGGATCCGGCCCAGTTTCTCGTGGAGGAAAATAAAGCCGCAAATATACTATATATAGGCCACCTGCGCCTAATACTTCAACCGATGCTGATACTACAGAGGATAAGAGAGAACTCTTTGCTCAACGCCTCTTTACCACTAAGGAACGATATAAGCAGCTTGTATCAGCCCGGAAAATTGCTGAAGCGCGGCGAGAGTACGCAGAGGCGAAGGCTCACTATGGCGGTTCTATTACAACCTCGGAGCTAGGAGAGGAGCTTGGTAAGGCTATGGTAAACGGGGATTTTGACATAAAGCTTGGTTTTACAGTCCGTATTAACGGTAAACTTGCACTTAGGAAGGTCCTGCCCGACACTACGTGTAGAACATTTGATATTACAGATTTTAAAGAGCAGTTAATGGAGCAGATCGATAAATCTGTTAATAGCTTGTAATTCGAAGTCCTCACGCGTACGGCCGTTATAAAACACGAGAGTGGCCGCGGAGTGAAACAACATAATCTTAAAGACTTCTCAATTGCAGCTGCAGAGGTGATGATACTGCTAGAAAGGCAACGGTCTTATTTCGCAAGGGTCAGATGGTCCTTTTATTTTGAGATAACTGTTAAAACACTGCCGAGGCAGGTTCTAATGCCGAATTCAACACATACAAGGGGAGAAGGGTTTATACCGTCAAGCCCGCGCAGAGTACGCCTTTAACTACACCAAATGCAGCTGCCCGGGTGCCTCCGAGCGCGTGTACAGTTCGGTTGCAGGAGCAACACAATGCCCGAGTTAAAGCTATTCGCACTGCAGGAGATTTCAACTGCAGCTTATGGAGAGATGGCGGTGCCACGAGGAGAACTATACGAACCGAAATAATTATTGCTGGATTAGCCCAGCGGATAGGACAAAGCATTTTAATATTACTCGCGCTCAACATGAGACCTGGGCCGACGCGATGTCACGAGGAGAGGCAACACTACTAAGCCCCCGCCTTTATTAGTATTATATTTTCACAGCCAGCAAGGCGCGATATCGCGGTTATCTCGACAACCAATTAGACACTCTGCGGCACAGGAGAACCGTATGATTATGGACCGAATGATTAAAATGCAGCAATAGATGCAGGAATATTTAATATAGAGCCGTATGATGGAACAGATGGAGCTAATAAAAAAGAAACAGGAACAACGAGAGCATCGAATTAAGCAGCGGCAATTTCAGCGAGAACAGCAAGAAAAAGAGCGAGATTGAAAACTTATATTAAATTCTCTACGCCATAAAGCTTCCATAAAGCCTTATGCAATGCCTCCGCTTCCCTACAGCCCTGCTGCCTCTATACAGACTGTCCCTGCAGCTCCGGTAACACCTACACCGTTGAATCGAGCCTCTAGCTCGATTGATATAAATAAAGATGATGGTGACATCCTGTACCAATTTTTCGAGTGGAAGATAGTAAATACACGGATTGCTGAGCGGAAAGCTAAGTGGGAGCGTGCTCGCGATATTATACTGGAAAACGACTGGTCGATAAAGGATCTTCAGGCTATGGAAAATGGTGTTAGCGCGATATATAATCGTGCAATGAAAGCAGGCATCTCTCATAGGCTTGCACGAGGATTTAAGGATAAGTTACTGTCCTTTAAAGTTGTGTATAAGCGCCTTAAGGACCTTAAAGATCCAGATATGTTGGCTGCTTATACCCTGGGAGAAATAAGTACTATTCCTAGTTAAATACACCTGTAAGAGATGCCTCTAGGGCCTCCCGCGACTCCAACAACTCTATATAGCGTGTAAATCGAATAAATTACTCCTTTTCTATATAAACACCCCGGGCGCCAGAATGCCTAAAATGCTGCCTCGCGAAGCGATCACAGCGACTCTCCCGAATTGCAACTTCTAGGAACTCTCCGAACGATCCACAGGCTTGCTATAAGAATGCCCAGTTTAGCTTTATCCAGGCCTTTAACACCGATAATATCAGCTGAATTGGGTTATAATCTGGTGAATAGGGAGGTAGAAACTGTATTAAATAACCTGCTACTTCAACTGCTTGTGTAACGCACTCGCTAATCTGTATAGACACATTATTAATTATTATAACCATTAGTCGTTGTTACTCACGTAGTGCAGGGATCAGGCGATCCTAAAGCCATTTAAAAAAGTTGTTGCCATTAAAATAATATTGTTTAATGTCTGTGCAGGATAACTAGCCATTAAGTGTCATCGCGCTGCAGATACTCCATGTATTACCTCGCCGGATATCTGCAGAGTATCTAGCTTCTTCGCCTATCGGTGCGTAGCCGTGATGTCTCCAACCGATTTTCTCATTAAATACTAATTCGTCAAGGAGTACTAAGTCCTCTGCAGTGAAACGGCGGATATCGTCAAGATACGAGCGCCGTAGGGCCTTATTACAGTTTCTAGAGATCCACTTCAGCGCCTCTTTGACCAGTTACGGCGCCGTAGGGTTCTTGAAACCGTGAGCTGGCTTACAATAATACCTCGTTCGTGGTATAACCACCACACCAACTCTGCTTGTTGCCTCCAGCCTTCCTGCAGAAGATACTCAAAAAGTGCATCCTCATCAGCCTTAGATAGCTTCTGCGAGCGACCTAGGGCGCGGAATCCTGGCTTCTTGACACTGCCATATCGGAGGAGATTATGTTGCAGGCGATACACGGTTCTCTCGCCGACCTGTAGCTCTTTTGCAATCTCCGCAGCCCTCCAACCAAGGAGAAGAAGTTAAAATATTGAAGCTATTCAATCCGGAGGAAGTCCACGAGCGTGTGTAACAGCTGCTCGCTCGCCAGAGGAAATATTAATAGTAGAGTCAGTGGCGGGTTCAGGATTAATTTCTGCCCTGTTACACGCTCAGTAAACTAATCTCGCAATCCAACAATTCTATAGCTTACATTACCACTTTAGAAATTACATTAACTTCAAAAAGGGAATTTTTCGACGTGGAAATGCGATATCGCCCTTTTATGGGCTGGGTGTTCCAAACTTGCGCGAATTTACGCGTTGGCGCTAACTCGACTGCCCCAATTTTTGAATACGGCAGATTCCCTTTCCCGAATTTTTCAAAAAAATTGTCCAGATTTTACAGGAAGGGAATCGCGCCCCGATTTCCTATGGGAAGACCTGAACAATAGTCGGTGCAGACGGCGGGAGGCAACATGGGTTCCATTGCAAGTATAAAGACCGAGAAAACAGCATCGCAGGGGTTGGTCTAATAGACCAGTCAAAGTGTATGCGTTTGAGGCCCCGAGATATTTGCCTTGCCTCGACACAAAAGAGATACAATGAGATTCCTTCTTAGACGATCAATCCGTGACCTTAGCAGTTGATGTCCTAGGTTCCTCAAGCCGACCGGCTATATATCATTAAGATACCTTCGTCTACAGAGTAATACAAGTTACTCTGCTGATGTCTAATCTTGCTTACCCCTTCAGACGGTGATATTCAAGTCTTTTCGCCTAGTTTTAGTCAGTCATATGCTATATATAATATGCATATATTATAGGCAATACATATATTCCGTCCGAATGATCTGTCCTGAAAGAAGACAGGATAGGTGCATGCTATCTCTCTGTCCTTTTCTTGTGTACTTTTCATCTTGATTTTTATGTTTTATTTAAGTATTTATTTATTTCATTTCTCCGCTGACATTGAACGAATCTTTGGTGTTCCTTAATGCCTCAGGCCCTCAGGCACCGCCAGGTATGTTCCGAAATTACCTAGTCGGGTAATCTACCTGGGGAGCGCAATTACACTCTCCCGAGTCATGTGCAAGCTGGGGATTGTTTTACCCAGAAGTTCCCCGCTGCCACAAAAGTCCAGCGGGAATGGTGCAAGGTAGTCACACGATTGGAGAATGTGTGTCGATGATGCGTATGTCTGTCAGTGGCTGGATGGGAACCGCGGATATATAATTAGTCAAATGTATTGTGGCTTCGTATCTCCATCGGTCGTTGGCCGGGTTTCTTGTCGAACTGTCCGACGCGCAGGGTCGACCTTACCGATGGTCTAGACGCCCAGCGGAGATGGAGGTCTGGCCTCTCTATTGTCCTGTCGATTAAATGTTATAAAAGGCGGATAGGCCGTACATGTGTTGCTGAGGACACAAACTATCATGCCTGCTCATAGTGACGATCCCCGATCCACCTTAATGTACCACATCCAGGATGCGCCCACTGTACCAGTCGCGTTGGCAATCACGGCTGTGCTGGTCTATGCAATATATCGAGTATGTCGTTTCCTGATAGAAAGACATGACGGCTAATCAGGCAGGCCACCATGGTCACCGACATCCCCCCTATTATAGGCCTGCCTGAAATCCCGGGTGCGGTGCCTCTCTTTGGCCATCTGCTCAAGCTGGGAGACGACCACGCCAGTACCTGCGAGAAATGGTGGCGCCAGTACGGACACTCAGTCTTTCAGATCCGACTGGGCAACACTCGGGCGGTCGTAGTGAATTCCTTTGAGGACTGCCGGAACATGCTGCTCGGACGCCAGAATGCACTAATCGACCGACCCACGCTGTACACCTTCCACGGCCTCATCAGCAGCACGCAGGGATACACCATCGGGTCATCACCCTGGAACGACTCGTGCCGGAGGAAACGCAAGGCTGCAGGCACGGCTCTGGGACGGCCAGCGATTCGCAATTACCATCCAATGTTCGATCTGGAGAGCTACTGCATCATCCGGGACCTGCATCGTGACAGCCAGGACGGCGCCATCGAGGTGGACGTTCGTCCGTATCTCCAGCGGTACGCGCTGAACACGACTCTGACTCTCTGCTACGGCATCCGCATGGACGCGGTGTACGATGAGCTCCTACGCGAGATTCTGCACGTGGGATCGGCCATCTCGTTGCTACGCAGCACGTCAGAGAACCTGCAAGACTACGTGCCGCTCCTGCGGTATGTGCCCCACAACGAAAAGAAAATGCGCTCGAAAGAGCTACGCGAGCGTCGCGACGTGTATCTTAACCTGCTTCTCGACAAGGTGCGTGACATGATCCGGAAGGGGACCGACAAGCCATGCATCTCGGCAGCGATTCTCAAGGATGAGGAGACAAAGCTGACGGGGGTGGAGGTCTCCTCAGTCTGTATATCGCTGGTTTCAGGCGGGTTTGAGACAGTCCCCGCCACGTTGACTTCGGCAATTGGGTCGCTGTCGACGGCGGAGGGACAGGTGTGGCAGGATCGCGCCTACGAGGATATCAGACGGTACTATCCAGACATGAAAGACGCGTGGACGGGCTGTTTTCAGGACGAGAAAGTCCCCTATGTAAATGCGATCGTCAAGGAAGCGGGCCGGTTCTACACCGTCAGCTCTATGAATCTGCCGCGGAAGACCATGACGGAGGTGAACTGGGACAGCGCGGTGATCCCCCCGGGGACAATGGTCCTGATCAATGCACAAGCCGGCAACCACGGTAAACCCCCCATTTTAATTCTACGTTGTGATGATTCTGACCCTGTAGATGTCGACCATTTCGGGCCCAATGCGGCAACCTTCGACCCTGAACGATGGCTGAAAAGCGTCGATCCCCCCGCTGAGAAGGAAGCCGCAGGTTTAGCCCACCTGAGTTTTGGGGCGGGCTCTCGTGCATGCTCGGGACAGTTCATTGCATCGCGACTGCTGTACACGGCGCTCGCGCGACTCATCTTGTCCTACAAGATTGTAGCCAGCGAGACGGAGCCTCCGAACACAGACTATGTGGAGTACAACCAGCTCAAGCCAGCACTGGTGGCGCTTCCGCGGGAGTTCAAGGTGCGGTTGATTCCGAGGGAAGGGACGATGACGAATGAGTGTCTGCGACTGGCGGAGATGCGAACAAGGGAGCATTATCGGGAGTAGCGCAGGCAACTGAGATGGCCTGACAGGTGAAGGCTCTGTCATGGAATTCCTTGGGTCGATATGATGTTATGTCCGATCGTCCGATAGCGAGCCAATAAATATGACCGTTATGCTTTCCCTCCAAACATAGGTAGAAGCCATACCTAGAATGTCCCTTTATATCTCTTCTCTCTTCGATGTTCGTGCAGCGGTGGTGGCGGGCGGCAGCAGCGAATTAGGGCTTAAGATAAGTCGTGTACGCAGATCTCATCCAGTATGACAGTGTCAAATAGACGCAGGGACTGGTTACCAATGGTGCTAAAGTATACATAATTTCTCTAAAGCAGCTATGGGCAGTGAGCGGCATTTGGCGGCAGTAGTGAAATAAGCTGCTATGGGGTGATGTCATCGCAGCTTACCCAAGGTGCTGCAGGTTAGTCGAGCGGAAGACTAAAATGGAGAGCTGGTAAAACTCATAATACTTACACTGAAATGTGCTTCCATGAAGGTGAGGAGATAATACTATGGTACAGTATTGTTTACCATGTGCTGAATTGAATCCCATACTCTAATAGGGCCCACCCGTAACTTGGAACCGTGGAAAAGCCATCATAAGTGACAAATAAGAGTTGGTTTGAACCATGGAAGGTGGGGGAAGGGAGCACGGTGCCAGGGACTAAGGTTCAGATAATAGTGCTGCCAAAATTTAGCCGTAACAGAGAAAGCGTACGGCTCACCTTTAACAGAGTGGATGGGGTGAGCTACTTCACCAGAATGGACTCTGCAGAAGAACCTTGAATCTACATCCCTTTGGAACGTGGCCAATTCCATCTTCAGTTTTCTTGCCCACTCTCAGTTATTCACCTATACAGAACCCAAAAGTTGATGGACGGCTAGATCTGTTAAAAGTGTTCTTTGTTAAGCCAAATATTACCACTATTGTACAGGTAATATGAAGCCCTCCATCCACATAATAATAACCATATAAATCATTCATAGTCTTCAAGTACATAAGCGAGGCATTTAGATGTTATTCAATCTTTATACACACTAAGTTGAGATAGGGCCCTAGGTTAAGATAGGACCACAGTTGCAAACAGGCCTGCGGTCGCAGTCCCCTCCTGAACTGGATACTTTGAACTAATCGATCTCCGATTCAACTTAACTGTGGGGAATATCTTCGGTGTCTTACTCTATTAGAGGACACTTCGATAGCAGACGATTATAGCCAACAGGGCCTTGGTCGTCTACAATGCTTCACTGAGACATGACTTCTTATGATGTTTTAAGCTGATGTATGTGAAAGGAGAAGTGAAATAAGTTGCCACGTCACTAAGAGCTAACTGTTACGGGTAGGTACCGCGAACTTCTCCCAATATTATACACACGAGGAACACTTTCATCGTCGTCCTCTACTAGCTTATTCGAATATCATCATTGTTGATACGCCATTATCATTATTAGTAATTTTGCATGATAATTGGAATTCATTTTTGCTTTTCCCTTCAATGTTTCCCATGATTAACGCGTCTTGACCACTGTCCAATACAAAGCTGAGCACCCCTGCAACTAGCCTCACCATATTACATTAGCCATGCACCTCCACTTCGCGTTCGAATTGTCAGCTCTGACCAAGTCAATGCACCCCGAAAACAGTTTAATAACAGCACATAATGTACGCACTGGGGCTTTAATCTGAGTGAGGGCAAAATAATCACTGCATGCCATAACGCAATCCAATCCTGCTCAGCAACCATCCCGTCGCGTCCTGGAATGGATCAAGCAGCAACACGCCGAAGCGGGGGAAGCTTCACGAAAAGCGCGTAAACCAAGGATAAAACCTCGAAACTCGCTGGAAGACGCCCTGCAAAATGATCCAGCCGCATCCGGCAGAATCCCGGAGCAGATTCCACTGCCTGAATCTCGCGATGGGTTGTCCACGGCCAGTGACCCTGGAGAACGAGATAGAAATGCAACGAAGCCTTCGCTGGAGGTAATTGATCGTGACGACACTTTCGTACTGCCTTCGTCTATTCCATTGCCGCCGTCACCAAAACAACAGCCAGCACAACGGCAGGCGGCCAAAGAACCGAGAAGGGAACCCCCGCCGCGCCAACCCTACAGTCGGATTCTGGACCGCGCAGCGGACGCATTCGACCACATCAAATACGGCAATGTCCGCAAGACTCCTCGCGTGGAGAAAACCTCCATCACGCTCTACGAGTACTACGACGATAGCACGGCGTCGAGGGTGGAGATCGAGAACGCCGAATTGATTTCCCTCTACCGCGACACGCCGGAGGGATTGAACGGGCGTGTTTTTATCGTCGAAGACCTGTCAGAGGGTACTATCCACGCCTTGGGGGAGGCGTTCGGACTCACTCCCGAGTTCTTCGAGGAGCATCTGTTGAACTCTGGGTACGGCGGCGCGCAGTATGATGATCCGCCGAGGCGGTCATGGAAGACAGCTGGTTTGAACAAGTCGTATGTGTCGATCCAGTGGTTTCGGCCCATGTATCGTCGTCCACCATTATTTCAAATCGGGACCGGGAAGACCTGCTTGATTTAGATGCTGATGGGTTGGAATGCATATATGGCAGCTCGAGTATTAGTCTCAAAGCAGAGACGAATATATTTCGCTCCGAGTGGGATCTGCGCGTTGATCCGCGCGGGACGGCGAAGGAGTGTGGGTTAGTGGAACGGGCGTCGATTTGGAGGAAGAATGCTGAGAATATGGACTATGAAAATGGTGAGTGATTACCTCCCATGGAAAATGATTTCTGGAAAGACTGACCGGAATTGTAGTTATCGTGCTGCTTGATCCTCTACCGACGATTAGCATCAGCCATGATTGGACGCTTCAAATCCCAAGGATCGCTGTTGACGCTCATGGTGATCGCGATGATCATGATACTGGAAATAATGACAGAACGGGAACTCAACCGATCCTGGTAATCGAGGGCGATGATGCCGTCGAGGAGTTTGCGATTCCCATCGAGAACCCACGGCGAGAGACGAGAACACGTTCGGTGTTGGACTGGCTGCTCAAGCGACGCAGACCAGAAGTTGATAAGAGGAATGTGAACGTGAAGACAAACTTCCAGGTTTTAGTCAAGCAGATGGCTCCTCGAAAGACCATTACTACCGTTCTCGAGGAGGCTTTTTTGACAGGAGATTCCCTGGACACTTTCCAGGATGAACTCAACGAGACTAGGTGTACCCGTCAGGAAATTCATGATATAGTAGACAGACAGACCACACCCGTCAGTCTACTCGATACGTTGTTTGAGATCATCCGCCAAGACACCTCGACTTTGCTCCGGGTGCTCAACCAGATCTTAAGCGACATGGAGCTCGATATTCTTGACGACACGAAGATGGAAGATCGACTGGCATTGTGGCGTCAACTCATCAGTAAAGCTGAGCGAGAGCTCTTGGAACTCAAAACCTCTATTATGAGCTTTCTGGCTTTTTCTGGTATCACACACCCAGCCGATACATCTCCAGAAACCGCAGACAACATCCCAGATATCATAAGAAACGTATCAGATCTCTTCGAGGAAATCCACCGGATGCTCGCCAGGCTCCGGCGTGCGTCTTCATCCTTGACATCCAATATGGGTCTCCTGGACAGTCGACGCTCCATCGACGAGCCGCGCGCCGTGACGCGACTCACCGAGCTGGTGTTCATCTTCATTCCGCTATCGTTTTCATCATCTGTTTTTGGGATGCAAATCGAGCCATTCAAAGACTCGGCTCCGCTGTGGAATTTTTTCGTTGTCGCAATCACCGTAACGACTTTCGCGTACCTGATGCGGCTCACAATACGCAGCCAATGGCTAGGAAATCTGAACCAGAGTGTGAAGCTGGATGTCAGACGGTACGCGGAGCAACACAGCCTTCCAGTGCAGGTCCGGTCACTGTCGATGTTGCTACTCTTACAATGGTTCGGAAGCACACTCAAACGGAGCATCAAAGCAACCTGGGCATGGATAGACAGGAATGGTCGCAAGGCTGGGACCGAGTTATGGAAGGTGGTCGGATTCCCCATCAGTTTCATCCTGGTTATCGGCATTGTTGCAGTAGCACCTATCGCCGTACTCTGGACTCGGAATATGGACCGAGGTGTGAAGGGCACAGTTACCCTCGTGATCATGCTTGCCCTCCTAGGCCTTGTGGGCATACCATACTGGCGAAATTCCGATCCCGACTTTCGCTATGCATTCCCGAGGCTCGTTATGCGCTTGCCCAAGCGTATTCCCCCAACAACCCGCTTGTTACTTCTTTTGGCCCTTGGGATAGTGGCCTTCGTTGCAATTCCGCTAGCGTTGATATGGACACGTCCACTGGCGTCGGGTATTAAAGCCGGCTTGACTGCGGCCATCCTGGTGATTTTGGTCACCGGTGTCGTGTTTCTTGGGATGATGGGGCTCTTTTATTCTAGGGTTATAGATTTTTCGCGGAGAAGTGTCCCTTCGGAGGGGACACCCGTCTCTGCAGAGGCGGTCGTACAGCCTACGAGCATGCGCCCTTTGCGTGCTTATAATCTTCGATAACTTGGGAAACATCTCGTATTATATAGTGCTCTTGTCCTAAATCCCCTCAAATCAAACACATATCAAAGTATACACTATCAAAAAAAACCCAACTCTTCATCCATCAACTGACGAATAAGGCTAACACTCATGACCATAACCAGCAACGCCAGAGCAACAATCGCCATGCAGACCACCGCAGCCCATCCGAGAACCATCGCCGCCATCCCAACATGGCTCTCGATGGCCCCATACGTGAGTCTCTCAGACATGGTTCCTGCAGCACTGCTATTGACATGCTGCCAGAGAATTGAGTCCAATCCGAATATGAACCCCAGTGCACCCAACCCCAGTGCAGCCCGGAAAAGGAAGGGCTTGACTTCGCGCTCTGACCCGTCCTCCCCGATTTCTTCATGCCATCCAGGAAAAGTTGATAATAGAATAAAGCAAAGGAAGGTCAGGACGACAGCTATAAATCTAGTTCCTCATGTTAGGATTATCCTCCCGCTTCTCGTCATACTGTCTAGCTCTATAAAATATATGTACGTGTATATAAGGCGATGGGGATAAAATAATACGAAATCCTAGGAACTTACATCAAACCATCAAAAACAATCGTGTCTTTGAAATTCTTCGCAATCCAAATCAGATTCAGTGGATTGGCAGTGTCATTGCTGCCCTGTATTCTCTCTGCCTTGACCATGCTGGCCAGCGCCGCAGCACTGCTGGAACAGAATCGCGCACCGTCACTCCGGGTCAGACAGAGACCCATGTACCCCGCCCGCACTTCCAGAATTGTGTCATTGCGGGGCTGCGATACATTATAGACTTTTTCTACAATGCCGGGGTTTACCAACACGGGGTCGCTTGGGCTCGAAGTGCTGGCATTCCTGTATTGAAGGGAGACCAGATAGACATTGCTCAGGCCGTTGGAGGAGGTGCATCCGGCGAGAAGAACAGCTGGTGGATTCATTAGCGCTTCGCGTACGGAAAGGGGAAAATAAAATAGAATAAAAATCAAGATCAAGCACACTGTCTACGATATCTTATATAAAAGGATAATCGCAATTGAACTGACAATCATTATAACATGGTGGTACCCGATCATGGGAATAAACCCTGTGGACGCCAACTGTCAACTGAACCCCGCTCGGCAGGATAACATTGAAGGGGGGGAATCAGTCTCATACTGGCGAGGCCGCTTTGAATTCTCATATTGTCGGGGAACGTTCAATTGACTGGGTACAGCAGATAAGTATATATATACTTAACCAATGGGCGACTCATAGACACGAGTTAGGGCTCATTTGATCATTTGCAGAATACAAGATAAAGGGACAAAGTGGAAGGGCGAGGTAGGAACGCGTGAATTCTTAATCTGGGTATATTTGCTCTTTACTTTTGGTACACGATATTTCTTCTTCTTCTTCTTAATTCATTCTCGCCGACCCGGCCGCCCCCAACGGCGAACATGCGGCACGGATCTGTTGGGGCCACTGCCCGGCTCAGCAGCCTCTAACTAGCTATCTATTCTCTATTTCCTTCCGGGTGATGTCTGTTGTTATGTTGCTAGTATACATAATTCCACGAATGTGGATATGACCAGTTACGTGACTAAAGGCAGTCACGGACCATCTGGCTAGGTTACTGGCAGCCAAGTTAAACGGTTTATGTGCGTGGTATGGGAATGAACCCAGGGTGTATCTATCCTCACTTTCTCCCTTTTTCCCTTAGTTATTACAGGAATGAGAAAGCCATGGACTCGGAGATATCTTTCCAAGGCAGCAGAGTTACCACCGCTAACCACGGGTGAGAGGGCCCTTAACTCCTTCGGGGCGATTTCTGGATACCACAGCCGGAAAATTTGCCTTTCGGCCAATTTTTTTGGCTGTAAGTCGGATGCCAGAGAGTGCGTCGGCTGTTGGACTACTGAAACACCATCCATACAATGTGAACAAGGCTTTTCAGTATTAGTTCCAGCTTCTTTGTACTGCTGAACGCCCGGAAACCAGTCTGTTCGCGGTCGAGAGTTTCTGGTTTCCAGCATCCAGGCATTCAGGCATCCAGGATTGTTTCCATTGCTCGATTTTCCTTTTTTCGCTAAGTGTATTCTGGATATTGTATATAAACGACTTTAGATCATGGAGTAGAACCTGGAGAAAAGCAGACTTCAGAGCTCCATATAGTCTATTGCCTATTCAGCAAAGTTCCACTTGATACCTAGTAACTATTTACCATGCCTCGAGGAGACAACTTCATTATCTTTTTCCAACCGCGAATCTCCAATGCCTATTTTACCTGAAGCTTTTGACAACGTGTTGTGCAAGCTTACACCAGGCATCTGTTGAAAGAAGAGAGAGTAATAATCTAGGATAAACCTGCAAGTGACGTGTATTATTGAGCGCCAGTCCCAACGGTTGAAAAGGCCATGGCACCTCAGGATAATTACATCCAGCCGATCTCCGCGCTATTTTTGTTTCGATAATTTTCTGGACCAGCCAGAACTTCGATTCCTGAAGTTTACGAAACTTAATATAGTGAAGATGCTAGTTAATTTCCTTGAGAATCATCTGGTGGTTTTTAAAAGGGCACTCTTTTCAATCTGTGCTCGCTGTGCGGCGGCTTATTAGGGCAAATTTGGGGATGGCCAAATAGGCAGCGGGGATGGCCATCTAGGTTGTTCCCCACCTTATGGGGGAAGAATTACGACTTTTGGCTGCGCTTTTTATTATACCTTTGTACGCAATATAACTTTCTTGGCACTAAATTCATTGTAGATTTACACCGAAAGTCACCGATTGCAGGTACCCGAACCGCAGACCTAGTTTATAATGCCTTCCGGGAATTCTTCTTTCGACCATTTACTAGTCGCCATTCGATTAGCCATTACTCCCGAAAATGTTAGTTATTTCCTAAGGTATTTCATTTGGAACATTCGTATATGCCGGCGGCAAAGAGATGACTGAATATGGTGCTAGCAATCTACTGTATGAACATGCATGCCATTTGGGTCTGCTAAGCGCCAACGCCACGTAGTTCCCTGAAAAGCCGGATTTGCACGTGCGAAATAGAAAACGTCTTTCTACCCACCAAATCCGAAAGTATGTCATCTGAAAGAAGAATCGTGGCCCTCAACGCTAATATAATGGATCTTTGGTCTTTTGCACATATGTAGGCTTCTCAACTTTTTCCAATATAAATACCGATATCCTATTATGTTCTGATAGTCTCCTAACGTCGAGATTTTGAGAGTTAGTATACCTAGATCCGACGACGTCACCACTTGCTAAATCAACTCTGCGACTACTGGCGATTCACCCGTCTCTATCATCAGCTATCATGTCATTAATGGAATGAAGAACAGATCCTATTGTCAAGAAGAATACATTGATCTCGCGGGACGAGGATCGTATATAGCACAAATAGGGATGGAGCGCCTGTAGCCTTGCCTCACGGTAGAATACCAGCTCTGTATCAATGCTGAGATTCGGCACCCTTCCAGGGGTTGCACTTTCTACCAGGAAATCAAAGGTTCGTTGCGGAGCCCCACATTCTGCAGGGCCATTTCCCCCGACTCTTGTACGAGACATGGAGAAAATAATAGGTGGGGGGAAATGACAAGTGTAGTAACTTCCTGTCTGCTCCAAATTTCAGCGTCATTTGTGGCCGAAAATGGCATGCCGCTTGGAACCAAATGGAAATACACAAACCAGTAAATATTGGGTTCGTGGAGTCCAGAATTCCCCATTATAGATGGAATTGGTTGAAATGGGAAAAGAGACTTACGGTAGCAAATTGAGCTGCCTAGTGTTGGGCGGCGCTAGGAAGGCAGTCTAACCTCCGCTGTCGTCTGAACATTTTTGCCTTTAATTTCACTAGCAGTCTCACTACCACCTCATGCCCGTTCTCAATTGCCAATAAGATCTGTCTGGTTGGTATTGCTTTAGATTCAATATTGGCATTATTGGCAAGCAACAGCTTTACCACTTTACGGCCCTCCCAAGCTGCCCACGAGAGTGGTGTAAAGCCATTTTTGCTTTTAGCCTAACTCTAGTAAAATCCAAGGTGCTAGGGGGCCAAAAAAAAAAAAAAAAAAAAAAAAAAAAATTCATGGATAGAATATATTTGACTTTACTACACACCCAATTGCCCGCGACGGCGCCCGGCCGTAGGCGAACCAATGAGCCGACACTTTGTCCATATCGCGTGTCCGGAACGGAGAGGACATACACCTCGGAGACGTAGGGGAGTTCACAGATCTGTGATTCGACTTCGTATGCTGGGATCCTCAACCCGCTGAAACGCACGACTGTGCAACTAGTTATTAGTGAACCATCCGACGAAGGTACGGGGCAGGAAACACGCCTTGTGACGTGTGAACCTACAATCGGCGGATGCGCGGCCATCAATGACATACGTGCCATCACGGTCCCGGTGAGCTAGGTCCCCCGTTTTGAAGTATCCGTCGTCGTCGAAGGCATCCCGGGTTCGCTCTGCATCGTCGATGTACCTGGAGACGAATGAGACGGAAGGATGACTTCAAAATCTGCTGGGCTGGAGACGGACATACCCTAGCATCATAGTTGGGGCTTTCACAAGCAGCTCCCCGGGGTCACCCTCTAATTAATCTCCACACCCGGTAACGGATTGCCGATAAATGGCTGTTGTCGAAACGCAGGTTAGGATGACCCGCCGCGACAGACGTTAGGGGCAAGAAGGGGGGAAGGGATCCCGACCTGAGAACCATCCGTACTTTTGGTGAAGCTAAATGCCATCACCTCTCGTCCCAGCTCCGAAGAACCATACTTTACGATCCACGGCCGGTTACGTAGTTTTAACCAGAACCGCTTCGCAGCAAAGGCATCCCACCCCCAAACCATACCACCCGGAGATTGTGCACCCCTTCGTCATATTTCGAGAGCTCTGAAGTTGGCAATGAACGGAGGGACTCCTCGTAGTACGACCGCAAAACACTCCAGAATCGAGTTGCCCCGGCCAACACTGTCACCCCGCCTTGTCCCAGTCGTTCCCAGATTGGCTGAGCTTGGATGCCGCCGGGGAAGAGCTCTGCCCGGGCCCCGACGTAAATAAGGTCCATGAGATTAAGGACTCCTGAGAGGCCATTCACCGGGCGGTAGACTATTGCGACGTCACTTGAAGTACAGTCGGGCGGAACATGTAAAAAAGCGTCGGGGCAGAACGACACCCTTGGGAGGCCCGGTGGTCCCAGACGTGAAAAGCAGAAGGCCCGGCTGTGCAGGCGGAAACGAAATCTCATCTGTGATATAAGGGACGGCCGTGAAACTTTCGTCGAGCGCGTAGTGGATGGGAATCAGACAACAGCGGGCCGGGGTGGCTCCCAGTATCTGGGACGCTAGTTTGGTCTGATCCGATGCGACCAACAAACCAGCCGCGCGACATTTCGCTAAAAGCCACTCGCCCTCTCCAGGGAGAATGTTCGTCGCTGGACACGCACCACCAGAGTTAGGCATGGCCGGGTTGTTTCCTGGCCGCGGGGGAAGCGCCCATGCACTCTGACTACCTACATAATGGCACTGCGGCGGCGCCTATAGCAATGGTTGCATAGAATGCCACCAGAAATTCATAACTCAGAGTCGCGAGGATTCCAATGTAGACTCCGTCATTCTCCCTTAACACTCCCTGGGCATTGAAAAGACTGGGGGGTAACTGAGCCTGGATTCTGGCTCGGAATGCCACCACATCGCGCAGGAATTGGGCCGAAGTGGCAGCGATGTGTTTGGCGGCGTCGTGTATTAGGATGCTGGGGTTATCCTGGGCATTTGGACGAGCTTCTGGGAAAGGGGGTCATTGGGAAGACCAAGGATCTTGTTTGAAGCCATGAGCAGCGGAACAAAATCAACTAAAAATCAGAGCAGCCGAAGGAGACGGGGAAACAACGAGAAGACAACAAAGGGGGTTCCGGCGGTGGTGGTGTGCGAGGAGATGCCCCTAACTGTAGAGACGAAACGGAAGTGAAAGCGTATTTTATCCTGGCATGTTTGTCCTCAACAATGGGACAATTTCCTGGCAGGCTGAAATTAAAAAAAAGAAAGAAAGAAAAAAGAAAAAGCAACATGTTATCTGTTTCTGCGGGTCAGGGAGAAGTAAACTACGTAATAAAGCGGTTCGACTAGGCTGATGAATATGCAGGATGGAAACTCAGAAGTCAGCCTCGGCGTTCAGACATTTCATGGCAAACTCGCCATGGTCAATAAGAGGCGGCAGTTGTCTATTTGGCGCGTTTCCTGCCCACAATATATTCTGTGTCAACTTCACACGACGCTATATACTGAGACGATACTTTGATGCTGACAGCAACAACACTATACACTATGAATCCTACCCCGAGCTTCCCTGATGATCCATTCTTCCATCGCATGGTCCAATTCGCAAACGGGCCATCCCGGGTCGCCATAAACGATGCAATAATTCCCTAGGTAGTTCGAGAAGCGGCGTTCTTTGTCAGGGGCTGAACCAGTAGAACTTATAGGATAGGCTATATACAGAAAGGAATCTTTGGAGAAAGGAAAAAGAAACAAAAAAAAGAAATACGAAATGAGAGTCACGTGTTGTGGGTTATCGAAGGCCAATAGGCCAGAGAAATAAACGGGCATCTCGACCCAACGCTTGGAGCACCTGTCGGCTCGAGTCATACATTATCAGAAAAGATTTATGAAGTTACTACGTATGTAGTGCGTTAAAGCGCCAAAGAAGGGGTGTTTAATATCTCCAGCTTCTACCAGAGGTTAAGAGACTAGCTGCGCTTGGGGACTCGGAGTCGCCATATTAGCTCTAGTGTTAACAAGGTATTAAGAAATCCCCATCGCGGAAGGCTAGTGAAATAATTTGGTTATCGGACAGTATACCAGTTGGTAATCTCCGTGCATAAAGAATTTAGTTCTAAGATTAATAATTAGAATCGGAGCACATAGGTGTTTAAAAGGTGCATGAAAAGATGCTCTTACCTATTAGCATCTTCTGGCCAACCTTTAAGATTGCGAAACTCGATGGTGGCACAAAGAGCATCGCGTTTGCTATTTGGGTCTTCAAGGTAAAATAGCTCGATATCGCGGTAGCAGACTGAGTCTGGAAGGTCGTCCACCGAAATGTGTTTGTAAAGGTCGCTCTGGAAGGTCTAGCTATGTTCGCGTTTGCCCAGAGACGACCTGTCAGTTAGGGAGGTTTTCTGTGGAAGTAGGACGCCTGGCCGAGTCCTGGTAATGCGGACTGGAGCTGGATTGTGGTAAACTAAATAATCATAGGTAATACATGCTTGAGAAACTGTTTGTTATATTCGCCTTGCACCTGGGTCTAAGAAGGTCGCGTACTCGTTGCATCTGTTCATGGATTTGGTTATTCACGCGATGCCAGCCGAATAGGACGAAGTATTAATAAAGGCGATGCTAGTACTTATTATATAACTAAAGCGCCTTTTCTCACGAGGTCTTGTACATCCAATCGAAAAAGTTTATGTCAATTGCTTGGTCCTCCGAGAGTTGGTATTCTACGTAGTCCTCTTTCGACTGTATTTAATATCTGTTGGTCGTGGGTTATTTCTAAACCAGCTCTTGAGAGTTATGAGTAAACTATGCTTACTTTCTCCAGTACCTTTCGACCATAGCAAGGCCTTCAAGCGCCCTGGGTTTATAATTTGGAGGAAGCTATCCGAAGCGTCGGAACCATTCCAGTCTGGCTCTTGTTTCTTCGCAGAGAATTGGGTCGGTCCAGTACTGATGCTCATCAGGATTCACTGGGGGGAGGGGAGGGGGCGCCATAGAAATAACAAGACCCAAATATTATGGAAATGGGACTCTATTCTGCAAGTTATTCCCAGCACGATCGAACTTGGGGGTTTGGAGACTAAGGTATTGAGGTGGGAGGAGGATGGGAGGGTGAAAAGAGGAAACCAAGGGAGAGGAGAAAAGGTATCATTTTGTATAACACCGGACACGGCTAGGGGAAATTAGAGGAGAGCCGAATTTAACGGCAGAGAAAGCCACTTTTGGCGTCGCTTTGGTCGTGAGTCGAAACGAACAGAAACGCTTTGCTGAGTTTAAGCGCAGCGCCAACATCATCACATCAGGATGGTGACTAAACATGCTTGGCGGGTACAGAATAATGGTGTGAGGCACGTAGTGGGACGTAATGAAGCGGCGGCTCGCCGATGAATTTACTGGTGGAAATGCCACCGTTTATAGCCTCGTTAGCGGTCATTTTCGGCATCAATTTCACAAGTCCTCAGATCCTATGTGTAATTACCATGTTGATTGGATAGTAGGTTACAAGCTGGATGGTCCCAAGTCATATTGTATCGAATTGATACTGAGTATTGATCTAGATCCTATTATCTATCATCGCAATCATATCTATCATATCCGTCTATTATATCCTTATAACCGAGCTAGTTCTTCTCCGGATCAGTGGAGCCCACCACATTCGATTCGGTACTATCACTCTCGACATTCTTAGTCACAGAGTCCTGGTCGGCACCGCCGAAACCATACTGCATGGCTACGCGTTCCACCTCCTCGTCGGACAGCTTGGGCAGCTCCTTGGCGGCGCGCACGTAGCTCATCTTCTCCACATAACCCTTGGCGAAGATCAGATCGATTTCCTCGAGGGACCGGCCCGAAGTCTCAGGGTAGAAGATGTAGATGACAGGGATGAACAGGGCGTTGATAACAGCGAAGAAGAGATAGGTACCCCATTTGATATTCCGGACCATAATCGGGGTGACCATGACGATCAAGAAGTTGAATAGCCAGTTGGTGCAGGTGGAGATGGCGTTGGCTTTGGCGCGAGTCTTAATAGGCGAGATCTCTGCCGGATACAGCCACGGCAACGGTAACCAAGTAGCACCGAAGGTAGCGATGAAGGTGAACAGACCGACTGCGGCGCCCTTGGCGGCCTCGGTGGTATTAGGGATCAAACAGGCAAAGGTAATAACCATGGACAGACTCTGGCCCACGGAACCCCACAGGAACAGCTTGCGACGGCCGACGGTCTGGATCAGGAACCACGAGCTGCAGGCGAAAATGGAGTAAACGACCATGTTGACACCGCCCAGAATCATGGACATCAGATGATCCTGACCCAGGGACTGGTTGAAGAGCACGGGGAGATAGTAGATGACGGCGTTGCAGCCTCCGACCTGCTGGAAGAACTGCGACGAAGAACCCAGCAACATGCGACGGAAGTGCTGCGTCTTGCCGCCGGTGAAGACGGCGGACATGGGGGTGGACTTGCCGGCCATACCAGACCTGCAACCGTTAGCATCAGGATGCACTGTTCAAAGAAGAAAGATGTGCAAAACATACGCGCGCAAAGAATCTAAGATGATGGTCTTCTGAAGCTGAACATCGTGGTGGGAGACAGCCTTGCCCATCAGGGCGGCGATGACGCGCTCACCCTCCTCGTAGCGCTCTTGGGTGAACAGCCAACGCGGTGACTCAGGCAGCACGAGCAGGCCGAAGATGATGATCAGACCGAACAAGCACTGGAAGGCAATGGGAAATCGCCAGGTCAGGTCGTCGGGACCGTACGAGGCACCGAAGTCAACCCAATAGGAGATCAGGGTACCAATGGCGACGGTGCTGCCCTCGATACAGATAAGCAGACCACGGTTGGAAGTGCGCGAACATTCAGCTTGGTAGGTGGGGATGGTCGAGGTGTTCATGCCGTTGCCGACGCCGGTGATGACACGACCGATGCAGAACTGCGCCAGCGGAATGTGGCCAGTGAATGAGGTGACCTGCAGAATGACACCGACGATCATGACGGCAGCACCCAACATGATGGAATAACGACGGCCCAGCCAGTCACCACAGGCGAGGATGAATAGTGCTCCACCCAGACAGCCCAGCTCGTAGATGGCAGTGACGACACCCTGCATGGTGGAGTTGTTGCGCGTGGCGGTAAAGACATCGTTAAAGGGATCCGCGTCGATGATACCACTCATGACGCCCTCTGTGCGGGATTAGCAAGACGTCACGGAAACCCTCCTGCAGCGAACTGAAGACATACGGTCATAACCGAAAAGCAAGAAACCCATGGTGGCGCAGAAGGTCACCGACACCATCAGCTTCTGGCCGCTGAGGCCGGCGAACGTGGGAACGTCCGACATGGTGATATTCAGATGCTAAACAAGGAAGATCTGGAACCGACACAGAGTCTTTTCCATGAGAGGGACGGGCTCTTTATAATTGCTTCCCTGGGGAAATACCCCTGCGGAGAAGGCAGTTCTGACCCAGTCGTTGCAGAACAAGATACTCCACTGGTGACGACAGAACCAATGCCATTGCGAGATTTGACATGGATAAAAAAACTCTGCAATCCAACCCCAAGTTATGAACCTTCGTGCGGCCGAAGCCAAGAAGTGGGAGAGATGCCGAGATGCAACCCCGTGAACGGAGAAGGGTAGCCGAGGCAGATGGAGGAATACGTACTGCTGACTTCCAGTGCCGATTCTGACGAAAGAATAAGGCTCGGAGTTTGGAAGTCGCTGGTTTGAGCGACAGTTAGTCTTATCCCGGGCTTGGCATCTTGGGGAGCGGAGGTTCACTGGGTGTTGGATCTTTCTCCTTTCTCTTTCTTACTTACTCTGCCTGTCTCTTTCTTTTCCCTGTCATGTTTTATCTCTCTGCTGTTCTCTCGTCTATTTTTTCTCTGTCCCTAATTTTTGTTTCTGCCTTTTTCTTCACATTCTAAAATTTTCTCTCTTGGCGGCTTGGCGTTCCGTAGCGAGCCTCTCAGCGTGCGTCCAAGCCCTTGGCGCCCAGCGGTGGCGTCCCTCAGAGTGCTTGAAATCTCTTACTCTTAGTACTTTGGGGTGACATCGTCGCTGCCACAAAAGTCATCATGACAATACTAACGATTTTTAAGATAAATGGCCGATACATGTGCCCGTTGTGCCGGCTTTCCCCGGACCGAGAGTGTCTCGTGGGAGGCAGATTTCCCCGTGTTTGATCCCCACAGTCTCTCCGGCCTGCCGACCCTATTCCCCAGGGGCAGACTGTCACATTCACGGGCTGACTTAAATTCCGACCCTCGTTATATGGCCTGATCGCGATTTCCTCTGGTTCAGATTGATCATAAAGCCGAGCTGTGTGACACATTGTCGATCACATGGAATTCGTCATTCGACATCTGGAGAACCACCAGAAAATATCCCTCCATAGTCTTCGTATTCTTAGTAATACTCCGTGCTTTTGAGCAACTTCCATTTCACAGTAGAATCTCTAACGGCAGAACCTTGGCGCCAAGTCATGGCGTACTTAGCAGCGAGAAACGCCAAGACCATGGAGTGCCAAAGAGTGGCCTTTACGGGATATTAATATTGACGTGGTTGGTTGAGTTGAAGTGAAGTGTTCCTGTGGTTCCGGAGAAGTAAGACGATGGTCAGATTGGTGGGGAGTGGAAGAAGCATGGAAGATGGGTACACCCGATGTCTGGCATAGCGCGTATACATCTGGCTGATAATGACAAGATCGTCGTCCAAGAGTCTTGGGTCTTGCTGAGAGAGGATACTAAGGCTCTGACTATAATGGAGGTCGGATTTCCTACTTTTCTGGTCAATCTTGTTTCTCTTCAATTGTATGTAATTGCTGGTCAGAGTAGGTGTGGCTGTATTTGATACCTAGTATCACAACGAAGATGAAGCCTAGCTTACTGGTGCCTATTCAGAAACAGACCCAGTGCACTCTGATATTATATTTATCGTTTTGCTCGTCTTGAAATATCTGGCACCAAGTGTTCTTGATCCTATCTAGACTGCAGATTAATATGTCCTGGAAGACATAAGCACAAAATGAATAGCGCAGACCATCAAATTATATTTCCATCATTGGTTCTTGTGGGGAATTAACATAATACTAATAAAGTAAAAGATAAGTAACAGAAACGTTGTTCGACCCCGCATCAGCACCAGCGTACCATGGATTAAACATGATGCTTTCTGAAACAACCTGTTTCGCGTCACTACTCGATTTATGTTATATAGTTGTCTTGGCAAAACACCTCGCGTAAGTTGTTCTGATCACTGACCGACCAGTATAATATACCATATCGAAATAATAATGAAAGATGATAGAATATTTGACACTGGACAAGAGGTCTCAGTCTCGAAGATGATGTTGATGTTGACGTTGAATGTAGAGAACAAATATGGACAGCCTTGACATATTAGCCATCAAGTGCAACCAAATTCTATCAATACTGTCGGTCAGCTGAATACGCGTATGAGCTATATCACCGATCATAGACTATGGATCTGGATTGAAAAGGATAACGTCACTTGAGGTCTCTAACTGTCTGAATCTATCTGGGAGAGCCGGATAAAAGGTGAAAAACAAAGGAAGGAACAAAGTCGGACCGAGCAGTAGCTGAAGAGTGGGTAATATTGGCCCACTTTGGTCGACAGTTATCAACATACAACTAGCAATGGTATATACATCTATTGTACATTCTGAATACAAACAACTATCTATGTATATAGATTAAACTATCATGCATTATTCGCACACGAGAAGCTCGCGCTGCTTGGATCATCATGCAATGCTTTTCCGGAAACATACAGCCCAAGACCACACTACACATATTAGTATTTGAAGACACAAAGGAAGGAGTCAAGACATACAATGCATGCTGCAATACCAATGATGATCACGTTGAGAATAGTAAGGGTAGTTTTCATAGCTGTCGAAAAGTACCGTCCCTTATTGAGATACAACCAGAACATGGCAGGGAATCCGACTACATTAATCAGCATCAGTCTGTATGACACGAAGGGAGGGGGTTATATACAGGTGAACCAGCTTGCGAATAGCGACGCCTGGAATCGTCAGTCGAGCAATTCAAACAGAAGAGGAGACAAACGTACGATCAAACTGAGTAGGTTATTGAAAACAGGAATCGCCTCGGCGATAACCCACGCAATCACCCAAGATGCCACCGTAAGGCCTATCCAGGACCCCGTTGCAATAAAGTTCTTGCTGTGCATGTGTTCGGTATTGCGTAACAGACGCACATAGACATACTTGCAGGCAACGTGACCGACTACCACACCGCCGATGATAATCTAGGAATTTACATCAGTGCCAGAACAGACGTTACGCGATGCAAGACTCCTCACCGTCGGCAGGGCAATACCATAGGCAACCTTACGCACGACAGGACTAGCCGACCCCAAAGCAGGTGAGGTCACTTCGTCACCGGCGTACACATAGATCACAACAGCAACAACAATGTATAGAATGGTATCGGTCCCTTGGAGAAGAGCCAGAGCTTTGGGGTACTCCTTTGGATCCTTCAATTCGGAGATGAACCCGAAAAAGGCGACATTTCCAGCTGCATTGGTCAGACGGCAATGAGGAGAACAGATGGCAATGGCAACATACAGAAAGAAAACACAATGTTGCAGACAGCCAGGAAGGCTTTGTACAGACTGGTATCGACAGTGGCATGGATCTCGCCTTGCCAGGGTTTCTTCACGCCGACACCAACCATGGTAATCATGACGGCTGAAAAGATACTGATGAAGGCTGTGAAAGTTAGCAGTGCAGATGTTAGGGGACAAAGACACCTACAAGCTACTGAAAGATAAGACACGTTGGTCATCGTGCGAGGCAAGGATAGAATGCATGAGACAGCCATGCTGATGACACCGAAGACAATGGAACAGGTACCATGATTCGTAATGGAGTTCATTGCCACCGTGAAGGTGAGAATGTGACTAGCCATGATAAACAGCAGCAGCAGTAGCTGGCCGGTGCCCATGAACTCACGGCCCACTTTGCCGAGCAGTACCTCTCCAGCGTCCGCCATGCTCTGAATATGCGGGAAACGCCAGCGGAACTGGCCAATGACGTAGCCGGTGTAGGTGGCCAGCAGGCCGATTCCGAGCAGGAGAATCACGGCCCTGGGTATGTCAGTTATACGGTCATTGGATTACAAAAAAAAAAAAAAAAAAAAATGAATGAACGAAAATAGCTTACGGAACAAGGCCTAAGACAGCAACCACAGCGGGCAGGGAGAGAATTCCTAGAGAGACCGTCTCGGCCACCATCACTGCAAGATTAGTACGGAACAGACAGCAAAATCCAGGATGCTCACAGAAGCCGCATTGCCTGCGTCAGGTCAGCAGAAGCACAATATCGAATGAAAATCGGGTACTTGCCACCAACTCAAGACTTTGTACTTCACCTCAGCATACTCTTCATCTCCGAAGGTATCCTGATACTCAGCGGGCTGCTTCTCGTACTGCTTCTCCTCGTCCGAGGCGGGATCGGACTCGCGCTGATTGGAGACCTGCATCTGGCAGGAATTGATCTCTGAATTCATGAGAGGCTAGAGATGCAAGTAACGAGAGGAATCTTGATGGATTATGACTTGTTGGCCTTCCGACTTCGGGAAGACGAGGTGAGATCCCCGCAAAAAGGTAGAGAAAAAAGAGACGGGCTCCAACCCACACTAGTCACTGAAACCGGAGGAATATAAACTAACTTAAGCTATCCTACCGTCCATCCAGAAATCCAGAACTAAGTCAAGTGGACACACGATAATAGGGGATAAAGATGAACCAACTCCAGAATGGTTCCCAGCACCCCGTTGAATGCAGGCCAGAATGTTCTGAGTCACCATCTCCAGAGTAAATTTCTGCTTCTTGTGCGCTCCATTTGCTTTTCTCTTAGGTAATTGGCCACCCCCGACACCTCTTCACGTGGGGTTCCGACAGGGGCCGACTCCCATTGGCCAATAGGCCGGCAGATGAGACACCTCCAGGTACCACACTAACCATATGCGGAAAGTGTATAGCCTGCAGATTCCGCTCACGACAGATCCCGTGACTTCCGGGGGATCTTCTTCTGCTTACTAAATTGGGAATTCAGATCAGGTGATACTGCTGATCATTGTTCTCTTGCCCAATAAACCAACGATAAAGCCAATGAAGCTAATCTATTTTGAATGCATATATGCACTTATACGAAACGGAATTTCTAGCACAACTACAACTTTCCTCTTCTGGACGCCGCCAGGGACTTGCTTAGTGAGTATATCCCAACACGGGCCAGAGTTCAGTGCACACTTAGTGAGAGTAGTCATCTCTTTCCTTCTCTTCACGCGCCCTCTATTTTGACCGACTAGTTTGACTACCAAAATTTATTATTAACCGGCCGTCGAAATTACCCATGCCCATCCATTTATCTTACACGGATGACGTAGTTAATAGAAATGTATCGGACTTGTACGAGCGGCAAAATAACCAAAGAGGTGTGGAGAAGCCAAAAACAAATATATTCGCAGTCGTTGCGAATGTATCCCGCGAAGGTATAAATTTCTCTCCGTCTTCGAGGCAAACCTGTTGTATGGATGTACATGAGCCATTTTAACGCCTGATAGCCTACGCCGAATCCTTCTATTCAAATTCCCTTTCCCTTGAAATCCCGTCTCTTTTTCTCTTCTTTGGAAACTAGATTTATCACTTGTTGACCCCTGGGCAAATGAGCTTACTTTCAAGGTGAAGATACCCAGAGAGAAAAGCGCCGCGTGCGACGTGCGAGAAGTGGCTATAATCCAGACGCCCAAGAAGAAGAAGAAGATGCTATACGTGGGAAACATAAACGCATCGACGAAGATCAACAGTTACAATACAAATATGTGACCCTTTACATGGAGTAAATTGTACCTGAGGTATCAGAACCCTGCAGACCTGCAAAATTCCCTTCGAAGATATGAGCCACAAGGTTATCAGTTGAGCAAGGGCTGCAAAGCTCCGGCAATGGAGAATATCAAACGATTTATCTGCTGGTACATCTACTTACAAAAAGACACAGAAATGCTCATTAAATACCGACCTTGCGGTCAACTTTAGTATGTTCTAAATATATTATCGGTGGTTTCGAGGAAACAACGGACAGTAGGATCATAAAGGATGATCACAATAAAATATACTGTGCATGTAGACACACTTAACAAACCACCCTCTCACTAACAGCTCTTAGTGGATCAAAAGACATTGACAGCAGAAGGATTCATTGAGGACATAAGAAGAACAAGTTTAATTTCTCGAAAACGGACTTCGTGAACACGGTTTTGTCACTGTAGGTACGTGACTGCCGCGTGTTTCTCCATGGGCATTTCGCAGCTCACCTGGCCCACAGGTTCATTTGGCCGGGCTTTGCTCTGGCTATTGGCTGTTCTATTCGCCTGCTGAGTGCAAGTATGAGACATGGACGCAAGTGCAGACAATAAAGGGCAAGAATAAGAAAATCTACTCTCTCATAGTCTTTCTCATCGTTGCTTAGATATCTGTCTCGAGCTGCTTTTCCCCAACCACTGGATTGTTGGATTTAGGAGCGACCAAGCTCAGTTGTCACTATCTATATGCATATATGGAAATCCTAAGCTACCCTGTCGTTCCGATGGCAAGTGATTTGGTTAACAGTCAACTTAGGTATTGTATCACACGAGATTGCACTGGTACACATGAATGCACTAGTCGTAAATCGGGTGATTATTTCATGGTGAACTCTGGCATCTTGCGACCAACCTGTTTACTTTTGATGCCCCTCTGCAATCTAGCAGAGAGTAGATAACCACTGTCTTGGAGAGAAAAGGTAGGTAGACCTACCTCCTCAATTATCTTGGAATATAACCATTTATCTTGGAATATAACCATTTATCTTGGAATATTGCCTCTTGAAAAACACGTCAGGTACATCATCTTCTCTCCTGGTAAGGCTTGCTACTACGGAATAATATACTCATAATAAAAAGCAAGTCAAATTGAGGTTCTAGTCGATATAACTGGCCCATTTCTGTGCTGATCGTTTCGGAAAACTCATTCATCTATGCCTTCGAAATTGCTTCCGAGCGCACCGGCTCAAGTAGCTTAGATGCTGCTCGAACTTTAGTGCATTTCCGTCCAATAGATGCATTTTATGAGAGACAACGTCAGTCAGTTGAGGTGTCATGCGTTTCCCACATATGACGTCTAGTGTGATATTGTCAAACTCCTGATAAAAGGCCAAATTGGGTGAGAAGTTACTCATGTATTACCGTAGAGAAGTCATTCCTATGCTAGATATGAGCCATATACAGGCAGTGACGGGCGAGGATAAAAGTCTACAAGTCTTGACTTATCGTCTCTCTAGATGCAAAAAGACAGCAGGACCCATGGTACCTGCCAAAATCAACCATCGTGAAGCCTGCTCTTGGAGTTGACGGAATTTATTACGATGCTTTTGCAGAGTTTCCACAACCTGTGCTTTCGGAAACCGAAGTCCAAGCAAAAAACATCCATCATTGCTATGGCGGCTTCAGCGCCTCCAACCCAATCAATGATTCCAGCGTGGAAGGTTCTTGGCATCTTTCTCAGGAGCGAATTCACTGCAGGTGCTATCGTAGCCGTTATGTTTGGGAGAACACATTTGCGGCAATTTCTAAAATTAGTAGCGGACCCAATTGTTGATTGGGGTACTAGGGGACAAGTAGCTGGCTAGTATTTGTGGCGCTGCTGTTAGCATTAGTCCTGTCGTACTTCTTTGGAAAGGGAAGAAGATCCAAGGAATGCGGTATTCATTATTAGTTAAAGTACTCCATATGCAAGTAGGTAAAGAGCGGGTTATGGAGCTCTTAGGAACGTATAACGCCGCAGCTGCAGATGGAAATGGCAAACAGAAATCGAGAACAGTGCAGAGGCTGCTACTCAGGATACCAAAAACGACGATACAGGCCTAAGGAAGTGAGTGATCTATTGCTGTGGCTGTGTAGCAATCACAGAGTGAGGTATTCGCTGGACTTGAATAGAATAGCAGGCCGTTGAACTATCCGCGTAATATTTGTAAAAATATTGTATCTGGGATTAACACACCGATTCAAGTCTGCCTGTCGAGAGCTATGGCCTTGCTTGAATGCCAGAACTGGGGTCTCGTCTTTATACGTATGCAGCTAGTTTTCTAGTGGTCTTACCGCTCAACAGATCATTACCGGCTAGGATGTCTAGAATTTTTGTCTGAAAGCCAGACAATAGAGAAATGTCCCTATTCTAAACGTGAGCAGTCGGACTGTATGCAACACATTAAGAATTCCCATGAATACATCTCGCGAAACAGAAGGGCAGAATAGCAGGCTCGACAAAGTCTTGAACTAGCGCCTCATTTTATTCGGTCTCTATGCAAGGCTCAAAGTTAAAAATATCTTAACTCCCTTTCCGCACAAATAATCCTTAGATATTTCAAGACCCTCCAATTAATGCAATTCTCGCCGTGAAGGGACATATGCGACACCAACCTAGATATCGTTCTCTCGCTATTGCAGGGAACCTCATTGTCGAGTATTAAAGCCTGTACTCCCCAGCGGAATGGCTCAAGTATCAGCTGCCATTCGCCCATCGTATTATTTTGGAACGAAAAGAACAAAAGTGGCGCCTGTAAAAAGCTCTTGAGGACCTTTTCAAGGGGATAATAGATATTTCGGAAAGGGTCCCATCTGGAGCCGTTCACTCAGTCTTGATAACAGGACTGTCCGATTCCTGATTCGAACTGGGAACCGGAGGGGTGCGCGGGATTTGGAGCTTCAGCCAGCGAAACTTGAGATGTTCAATCGCCCCCAAAGTTTGGTCAACCGACTGGTACTAGTACGGGAAAGTAGTAGTCACTAAGTGGAAAGCATTTGGTTTGCTGAAAGGGGCGCCAACCTGTGCCACCACTTTTGCATCTTCTAAAGTGAAAGTTATTAGGCGATTAACAGCTTCATGGTCTCGCAGATAATCATCGATCCACTGGTCCACAGCATCCACATCCCAATTTCCTCGGGAAGGACGAAGTGAAGGAACACTGCCGACGATATTCTTAACCTTGCGTTCAATAGCCGAAGGCGTACGTTTGTATCCCCGACGTGATAGTAGACAGGACAGTGTTATGGGGTTGATATATCTGGACGTAAAATAAACTGCAATGATGATTTCACTGCCTGACCAAGGCTCTGGGCGCATTGTTTCATCTAACATGCAATACTTAATGGCACGAAATGCCCTTCAATTCTCCGCTTCCCCAAAGGTACACTTTAATTTAATGAATTGGGAAGTAACAACCGGTCACATGCGTTTAAGCTAATCTTAGGGCATGAAAACCCTTCAAAGCATATTCATCAAAAAAAAAAAGGGGGGGGGGGGGGGGGGGGACTGGGGATTTGCCCCACTGCGAAGGAATGGGAAGAGACATGCACCGTGAGCCATCACGGGTGAAAGACCGGGATGATGGTGACTTTATATTATGAGAACTTGGCGACAGTCCGGCCAGTGTCACATGGGAAAATGTGTATTCTCAGGTCTACTTGCAGCAGTGCCTTAGACCCACACGGCAATCGAAGCTGTCAAAAGCACTGACATTACTTATTAGGTAACATGCCCAGGAGAGAAAAAGTGACGCGTTTGGTGTGGGGTGTCAAATTCACTCAATACTATCCCAGGTCTTCGTATTCATTTTCTCCCCATATTTAGCACCCAAACACACTCAAGAATTGCATTCTCGGCATGTCTTCAAGCACTGGAAGGCAAGATTTCCAATCCTACTTCAACTGATACAATGAATACAGTACCCGAGACTCATCGTCAACGTGTCACCTTCTCTACCCCTATCTGACAATCACGCTCGGCTCAAGCCTCTCCTGCGTCCCTCTGCCCTCTACACTTCAGTTCATTATCGCTTAAAACCGGCGAAAAATATCAATATGCTTGTTTATGACCAGGGATCAGGATCTCTCGTACATATTCCGCATTGCAGTCATGTCTGAGGACTCTATTAGGTTCCGCTTGGTGATGGCCAAATACGGTACAGATGACTGAAGTCTCTTGCCTCCCAAAACTGCGGCTATTGGTCATGGCCACTACCGCGCTGCGTGTCGAGAAACGCCCGCACCGTTCCTATGGTACAGGGAATGCCGCCATCCACTCCCAATATGTGTTTCACATGCGTCTGGTGGGCTTTCTCTCGAGGATGACGATTGCCACTGAAGGCGCCCAATATTGAAGAAGGGAGATCCTGCGTAGCCATCCCATGCGATAAACAGCTTCCTTGCTAACTGATGGATCATCGGCTGGCCGACTAAAGTGGCCGTGGCGGATGCGATGTATGTGCTTTTAGCGCATTGTTCTGCGCCTTGGTTTGTGTCGACCAAGGATGTGTCTGACATGCGCTGGGACTGCATTTCTTTTGTTTCTGCAGAAAGCAACGCAATGCTCCGGTTTAGCTAGTCATTGGTACTGCTCCGCATTCCTGTCGCAGGGCAGTAATGGCGTATGATCCTCACACAGCCAGGACTCGGTGTCCAGCTGAACGAAGATTCCATTATCAAAGTTTCGCGCATGGGACAGCGGTATTGCCATCATCCGTGATGTCCGCCCTTGCTAGAGCCGTCCGTGTCATCCCAAGTGGATGTAAAATGCGTTCTCAGACAAGTCCAATAAATGGTTGGCCGTAACTCCGTGCGAAATTGTTATATTCCCAATGGCGGTTAAATCTCCGACCCTCCTTGTTTGCCATGGGAATTGCGTTTAGGGGCTTAATGACATCTTCTTCGTCAGTGAGAATTGATCCGCGTGGCCCGAAGAAGAGTGTTGCCGGGAGCTTACAGCTGCCGAGTGGCGGAGAACATCAGTAGGGTCTGCATTCTAGCCTGTCTGAAGATCGCCCACTGGATTAAACTCTGGGAGATTTCTTGGGATTGGATTCTGCCACTGTAGTTTTCCTTCGCTGACCAGGATGGTAGAGGTGAAGATGTTGTAATATGAATAGACCATGTAGATCGTGTCGCATCGGACTTGAACCTCTGCTTGGCGACCCGGTATCCCACACTCTCGCAGTACCACCCACCTTGCCTTCATGGACCACTCTGGAGACAAACGCAACCTGACATAGCCCCCTAACTTGAAGGGATAAAGCGACATCACCGGGATTCCGAGACTGATAGGTATTTGGAATGGATTCCTGTAAACACCTACAAGGGGAATTTGTCATGTCCACGCTTTTATAATAGATGTCTAGTTCTGATGGGTGCTCCAAGTAACCGTGGATGGCCGTATTGGCTCCAAATTGCAGCCAGTTTCCCAGCCATCCGTAGACCCCTTACAGGTGTACAGGGGCCTCTGTCTGGCAATGTCTTGGAAAGGGACTGTACGCCGTACAGCTATGCTGTACTCAGCCGAAACATTGGAGTGATATTAGGATTAAGTACAATGACTTCTTGCTGATGGTTCTGAGGCTCTCTAATAATAAAGCCATTGTTATCTTGGTTCTGCCGTCTATTTGTTTACATTATAAATGTTACACCCCTTGCGTCCCTCCATTCCACACTAAGCTCTTCTATTAAAGACTATTGGAATTCGGCCGACAGAGACTTAAGAAATCTCAGCAGCATGCATCCCTAACGCGAGTCAAACAGATTAAATGAGATCTCCACATTTGAATCCATATGTATTGTTTCGAGCCAGAAACTCCAGAGGAAAAGTTGCACTTCCAGATGCACAGCTAGAGATCTGGTGGTACAAGGCAGAAAGCCCTTTATGTCTTAGTTGCCCTTAAGTCTGTTCCCATACGATGCTTTGCACGCTCAGAGCATACATTCAGATGCCTAGCAAGCAGATCAAACAACTATTCGACTAATAGTACGGTGCTGAGTCTGGGCAAATTGGGCAAAATCCATTGTCGAAATAGCGAAACTGGGCAGTCTAACCAAGATGAGCTTTAATGGTGCTTACACAGTCTACCTAGATGATTATGGGTGTTAACTTGTCAAAATTCCCTAAAAATCTTGTGGATATTGCCGAAGCATGTTTGTTTATGCACGATGTATGCCACATAATATGGAGAGAATGTGACAGAGGATTCTGCAAGTCAGAAGAATTGATGGTCACCCAGAATGCAGGCATGCCTTCACGAACAAGCAGGCCCCGGATTTCGCCACGCATCTGAAGTTTCTGAAAGAAGGATCCGGGTACTTGGACGCCAATGGCAGTGATATTCCTTAGTAACCGACGAATAGTCTGGTCGCTGGAGATTTGGCTAGCCGTAAGTTCTTTGGCGGCATTCTGTAATAGTAGAGTACTGAGGGAGTTAATATCACGGGTTACTGAACTCAATTGGGATCGTTTAATGAGGAGACTATTGCCAAGAGGTGAGTTGCGCAACTGAATCATATCATACATCAGGTACATAAATGTTTTATGCCGCAAACCTAGATTGATCAGCCTATATTTCATGTATATATATTGGGAGGCAATCCTTCAGCTGTGGTGGCGTAAAGCCCAGTCTGCATATGCAGTAGGGGAAACAGGAATTGAACGCTTGTCCAGATGACCTCCCACACCTGTTGGAAAAAGTGTAGGGAAGGCGGTAAGGAAATAATGAGTGCCCTGCCAGTGGTTGGGCAAGGTTGCATGGGTTCGAATCGTGTATTTAATCACGGGCATGGCCTGAGAGACACGAGGTTGATCTATTTGTTCTATACTGGGAGGACCAGCAGTTGCATGGCTAGTAGTATGAGATCGGCTATTCAGAAGGTGATAGACACCATTGAGCATTCGCATATCCGGGCTTTGGCGTTCGGCATTGATGTCCGTAGAAACAGAACCAGTCAGCAGAGGAGCACTTCCAGTAGGATCAGAAACATCATCTTCTGCAGCCTGCCAGTCATTCTCGTAGTTGTGGTCTTTCAGGTCAACTGTGTAACCGGCTCGTTCATGATGATCTGTGTCACCTGTGAAAATGACATGATCTTGTAGCTCAGAGGGGATGAAATCCTCAGCCCAATTGTTCACAGCTGAATGGTTGATGGTTACATCTCGATAGAGAGGATTGTGCTCTACGAGGTACTGCAAAGCGGCCATCACTTTATATTTACGGACAACAAAAAGCGGCTCCAAGTCAGAGTTAGTCGGTGGTCGGCTGCCCAGCCAAACCACTTTAATCAACTAAGTGAATTGTAACTCAGGGCTTGGTAGTATGAGAAGAAGTGGAGTGGGGTCCTGGGGTATAACTATAAATGGCCCCGTATTGCACGGTAGTTGAGAGGGGATGATCGGCCACCAGGCCGGAGTTTTAGGACCACTCCAACTGGGTGTGATTTGGCAGTAAGATACTCTTCAGGCAGAGTGAGATCATCCAGGACCGCGGGGTAATGCTGGCAGAGTACCACATTGACATGGTTTTGAGAGGAAAATTTAGGGTCTGTCGCCGAAAGCGCGCAGAATAGCACAAAGAACACACAGTCCAGAAACCGTCTTGTAGCCCACAATTATCAAGATATTCTTTCCATGAGTGAAGGAGGGGATCTTCGTCAAGGAGCTGATGTGCATCATGCAGAGGAATAAGTCTGCCGCATATGCAGCAAGTCGTCTCTCGGCCCGCAGCTGCAATACCGATCTCATACCGGGCAATAGACGACCGCACACGTGATGGAGAAATTTCCGGTGGAAATATGGCGGAAGCTTGTACCCGGGATTCAAATTCTTGTTGTAGTAAGTGAAGTCCTTGATGGACAAGAGAGAGGAGCCTTTCAGTATCCGCTGTCTTAGGTCTGAGTAGAGTTGGCGGAAGAGGAATAGGTGGATCCTTTCGTTTACGAGAACTTGGTGGCTGAGTGCTTAGCTGCGGGAATGAATTGATAAGCGGATTAAAAGAAGCCGCATTAAAAACACTGGGAGCCTGCGCAGCAGCTCCTCTTTTATGCCTGCAGTGGAAGCAACGGACCACACCAGGCCGAGCAGCAAAAGGGCCGGCGCAGTCACGACAGAGGAGTATGTTCTGGGGGGTTGAGTGAGAGCTAGAAGCACGCGAGGATTGACAGCGCCCGCAGAGAAGCTCAGACGAATCTGCACGAATAGGAATCTGGCAGTTTAAGCATTGCCGTGTTTCGATAGGAGGGGGTAAACGTGATAATCGGCAAGCCGGGCAAAGGGCAGGTTGAATAGCTGCGGATAGACGAACCTGTCGACCACAATCTTGACACAGTCGACGGGAAAGCATTATTTAGCGCCAAACGCCCTAGTGTTTGGATATGCGGGGTAATAATAGGAAAGGGATGGAGTGACATTTTGAAAGACCCTATAGAGCATTTCAAATAGTAGATTTATTGGCGGCGGAAGGGAGGAATCAAAATTTTGAAGAAGCGGACATGGAAGTGTACTCGATGCATGAGATATATAGAATGAGACACATAGAAACTTAAAAGTAAGCATATATACCTGTGGGACTTATTGTATGAAGTAGAAGTGCATGGGATCACATTTAGATACCCCGACCTTCCATATAATAATAACTCTATATAAGCACTAGCACTCATAATCTAGTGCTATATTAAAGGAGAACATAAAAAGATTCAAAACCTGATTATCTGCATGCAAGATTACGCGGCAAATCTAAAGTGCACTAAGTACTAGTAGTGCATCTCAGCTGGCTCCCGGGCATCCATTCTATTAGAAGACAAATTGATATTGCCGCGATAAGAGAGTAAAAATGGCCTGCAGCTGATGTAATTTCTGTATACATGGATGTATAATATAAGCCTATGGGTTTTATTTGCTACATCCCGCTATGACCTTTGCAAACGCTTAACTATATAAGGCAAAAGCTTCTTTCACTACATGCAGCCACAAGAGTTTTCAGGGCCTTAAATATAGCTTGCCCCAGGCTAAATGGAACAGCCTCGATCTCTATGTGATTAGCTTCGATTTTAGAGACATCGAGGATATCATTAATGATCACTAAGAGACTATTTCCCAGGTTGCGGACCACATTTAACATGTCCCAGGTGTGCGGAGCCAGATCATCTGTATCAAGGGTAAGTTGAGTCATGCCAATAATACTGTTCATGGGTGTTCGTATCTCATGACTCATATTCGCAAGGAAATCCGATTTGCTCTTGTTTGCCAGCTCAGCAGCCTCCATAGCTGCAATATTGTGCTGAATTCTATCACGCAAGTCGGAGGCTATCTTGTTTATTTTTTGTTTCAGCTCGTCTATCTCGCCAGAGGTGCTCACTGTAATTATTTTACTAAAGTCACCATCAGTGGCGGCATTTGTGATTTGGCCAAAGGCTCGAACTTGTGACGTCAGGTTGTCCGCCATTATATTGACATTGTCTGCCAGCACCTTCCACTCTCCTTCAACATTGGGAACCGCAGCCTGTCCACCAAGGGTACCATCGACACCAACTTCACGAGCCACTTTACAAACTTCAGATGCAAACTGGTTTAATCGAGTAATCATCCTATTCATCGCTTCCTTGAGATCCAAAGTCTCTCCACTCAAATCTGACTTATCCATTCAGATTAGCTCAACCCAGCTCCTTCACAGTATGGGCATCAACAAAGAGGATTATAACCTCTACTCCTAAATCCCTCTAGAATCACGCTTACAATGAGAAGCCGTCTTCCTTAGCCAACTGGTCCGGCACGAAGATCAGTTTGGGGATCGGGCATGACAAATTTCAGGAGGGTTTCCATGGCCTTGCTATCGATTTTTATAATGTCATCGAAGAAAGCCGACTTCGTCGTGGGCAGTTACAGCGCAGGAATATCAGTGTCTTTTTTTGTGTCCAGTTCGGATCCATGGTTGGCCATTCAGGTGAAAAAGATTTGCACAACTTCCAATCAACTAATACAGTACTGGGTTCGTCCTGAGGGCTGACGGATGACGGGGAGGCGGAAACGTGCGAAAGTCCGTGCGGTACATGCCATGTCCCCTCTTTTCCTGAGCGAAGAGGAAGCGAGGCCCTCATTGTGTAAACAGTGAAGAATACCCTCGTTGTTGAATTTCGCGCACAATGCTACAGCATCTATTTGTTGAGTTTATCGGTGGAGTGTTCGTCCCACGTGTTGATCATGTGGATGTAGAAGAATCATACCTAGCGATGAGATCATGGCTTCTAGAAAACCCAAAGTGCCCAGCCATCGCCATCACACATGCAGAGCTCATCCTGATCTGGTTTGTCAGCAATCTCTTCTAAAGCCTGACCATTATCCCGGTTAGCCACATATTGGGATACTTGGCTGGCTCTATCGCGTGTTCTAAAGGGAAGAACCAGGCCCTTGTGGTTAATTGCAAGATGCACCACCCATCCCTCCTCACAGGCCTTCCGATCCGCAACGAGAATAAGAAGGCTCTGTAGCATGTCTTCCTCTGCTTCCGCTGCCTCGGCTTCTCTTGGTGAATAATGGCGCTACTCATCATCTCCAGCCCCGTCAAGCTGATCCGGGCAGTGCATTAGCTCGGTTACAACGTAGCAGGGCGCGGATCCGGGGTTCCGAGCGCGATCCCGTCCGCGATATCAGGGTTTTAAGAAGCGCTGCATAATTCATCCTCACTATGAATAATGAACTCTGGATCCACGCCGTAGCTGTCGTAATCGGGGTTACCCTCCTGTATGGCATGGATCAGGAATCGCCGGTATGCGGCATCGGCAGCTTTTTTGCCGGCCGTGTCGTCCTTCTGGCCGAACCAGGTACGGATAAAAAGCGTGCAGGAGAGCTGGCAGTTCACGACACACTCGGCGTCCGTTAGATTGGGGTATGATCAGGGATGTCCTCGGGATCAGGGATATTATCGTACATGTATGACTGAATAGCTGGTTAGTGACTATTAGGGGAGGAAAGGGTCTAGAAACAAACTACATTTCGACCAAATTACCCGGCAGAATCCACTTCTCCACCAGCGCTTTTTTCTGTTCTTGCTTAGAGAGCGGGGAGTTGGGATCCCAAAGTTCCTGGTGCGAGTCAGCAAGGGAGCTAGTAATACAGAGAAGGTGGGAGTTCTGGCTCTCACCGTAACAATCTTGTCAGAGGGGAAGAGCCCAAACTCAACGATGACGCTCTAATCAAAATTTTGCACCATTTTCCTTCCTTCTCCTCGGGGCTTGAGTTTGAGTTTAAAAAGTGGGGGGTAGGCAGTGCGAGGGTGATCCATAGCATCTGAAAGGCCGAAACAGTAAGTAGTCAGGGCTGGACACGAATAAAGATTTTGCTCAGTCGTATTCACAAAGGTTTTTGCAACTGATATTCGTATTCGGATCTTACTTTATTCGCATTATTCGTAGCTCTTGAACCATTCAGTCTGGCCCTGCCAAGACCAGAGTTTAGCCAATGGCACGACGGGTCTCGCCATAGTTTACTACATGTCCATGTACACAGCTGCGATGAGTAAAGCTACTACCGCGTTCTACTATTTATACCAAGGATGAACCCCCTGGATCGGTACGCAGAACTTCTCAGCGTGCCCAAAGGTTCAACTATCGCCGTCTTACTGATGGCAGTGACGAGGAAGCACCACATCGAAGACGTTTACGAGGTGGACTGAATTCTGTATGACAGACAATTGCCCTTTAGATGCGTGAACCAGCAAAAACTCCAAGGCTATCTTAGGAGTGATCGGCTACTACTTCCAGATATAGTCAGCACTAAGATATACGGCATATAACGGACATAAGATTCGTCTCTAGGCTCGAATGGTTGAGTAGGTTTAAATGCAGGGGATCCGGATTATATTATGCTTTCCCGACAATCCTTTTGGTCACGGCCGTATGGAATCATTATACAGGTGCTACCATTCTTGCTACCTTCTGACTTATAGTCTCCGCCCTGCACACTATCTATGTGGGCACTAACAGCTAGTCTTATATATTACCATCAGGCTATTTCTTCACTAGCTACAAACGAACAGGTATTGGAGGGAAATATATCAATTCGCCCCTCTGAACATCCGCGGAAGTACATCAGATCAACTAAATATAGGGCCATATAGATACTTTGTTGACTGAGCATCTAATCTTCACGATTAATACATGCCGAAATTCCATTCAGGATGTACGTTTCAGGCTACGAAAGAACATTCTGCTCCGAAGAATTCAGCCAAGAAACTGAGTCTTATCGTCTATAGATCTGTGCAGCGAGACCTGAGTGCTAACAGAAGGGCTTTAGCATATCCAAAGAATCCAATACTATGTACTATAGATATATCTCCACTTATATATATATACCTCCGGCAGAGACAATCCACTAATCCAAACAATCCAACCCACCCAACTGCTTCAACACCACCTCCTGCATGGTAGCATTAGCATCACGTTTATTACTCGCCTGTCCCACAGAGACGCTAGCGTAACAACCCGAGAACACGACCTTCGTCTCGGTAGGCAACCTATCACTCCCGCACACATGTACATTATCTGGACTAATGAGCGGAACATGAGGAAAGATCCGCGACAGAACGAACTTGACATCGTCGACGGAGTCGCATCCATCCGACATCTTGGGAAAGTTCACATTAATCCAAATACCCTCTGGAAGAAATGGTGGTCCCTTTGCCGTTAGTCTGTCAGTGAAATTCGTCGCCAGAGCGGCGTACAGCAGACTAGAGGCCGGGGTAGGTTCGTTCCACGCTGTGCGTCGGCCTGAGACACCGGAGAAGGCAATGGCAGGGAGACCTTCATGCACGGCGGCGACGGTGGCGCCGACAGTACCGGAGAAGAAGACCTCGACACCGAGGTTCACGCCGACGTTGGGGCCGGCGATAGCCAGGTCGGGAGGGTCGTGGAAGAGCTGTTCCGAGAGGGTGTTGATACCGTATTTCATCGACGTGGCCGGGTAGGAATTGACGTAGTTCAAGTGCGAGTTAGAGGCATTGAATCCGGTGGCGGGACTGTCGGCTGGACAGCTATCGTACTCACATGGCTCTATCAGGGGGATGGGAGGTTCGTCCCTGGAGCCTGGGAGTTAGTTAGTTGGTGACTTGCATATGCATGGGGGCATGGGAAATGGGACCAACCGGAGCCGCTTTTGTTCTCCGCTGGTGCGGAGAGGATCACGGAGTGGCCGGCGGAGGTGAGAGAATTATAGGAGGCGCGGAGGTTACTCTCAGCCCAGCCATCGTCATTGGAGGTGACGATGTTCAGGGCGAGAGTCAGCGGGAGTGAGAGGAGGAGGAGCTGCATAGTGAGGGTGAGGATCCGCCATCTTCAGGACTGGCATGTTTATTTATACTACAGGACCGTTGAAAGCCTCGCCTGAGAGACTCGGAAGTTCGGCTCCTAAGTTTAGGCCGTTGAATGTCGATCAGTGGAATAGCTTATAGACTAACGTATGATGACTAGAGGGACATGACACAGTGTTGCCAATCATCTGTGGGTTACTTATCAGCATGTTTTGAGCTCTATTAAGCATTCGCCCCTGAACTTGAGAAGAATAACTGGACTTACCAGTAAACATAAACCGATGGATAAGAAAGACTGTCAAAAGTTAAAAGAAGCATAATTGTCCACGTGCTTCTGACTAAGGATATCCTGATTAACTATTCATTTCTATCACGTGGAATCCATCACGTGCATGATATCTGACCACCGCCTTCTTAATCCACCGCTAATGACGCCACCCCCGCGGCGACCCATGGAAGCGACAAATCGGAAAAGAAGAAAAGGAGAAAAGCAGCACGACATCCTCTAGAACACACTAAGGAGTACAATGCATCTTCCAGCCCCATGCCCCGCTTTATACATGACGAAGGCGCGGGCACAGGCACGGGCCTCGAATCACACCTGGCCCGGGAAAGCGCACAATACGTGTATGCGACGCTGATAGCGCTGGCCTGGTGCAATGCGCTAGAGCTGATGGTGCTGTGTCTGAATACTTTCAAGCGGTACCACGGCTGTTATTTCTGGAGTCTCCTCATCGCATCATTTGCCATCATCCCATTCGGACTGGGCTACATCCTGCGTCTGTGGAACATCTCCTTCTCCAATGGATTCGTGGAGCTGGCCATCATCGACATCAGCTGGGCCGCCATGGTAACCGGTCACTCGTTGGTGCTGTGGTCGCGACTGCATCTCGTCCTCCATCATCCCAGAGTGCTGCGCGCACTCCTCTACCTGATTATCATCGACGGAGTCCTCGTCCATTCCGCCGCCGGCACGCTCGAAATCGTCCGCGACGCCTTGCCGGATTCGCATACCGCCACGTTAGCCTTCGGCGTCATCGAACGCATCCAGCTGGTCTGGTTCTGCTTGCAAGAATTGCTCCTCTCCGCTCTCTATATCCGCGAGACAGCCCGGATGCTGCGTCTCGACCAAAGCAGCATCTCGCGCTCGGTACTAGCACAGCTGCTGGGAATCAATGTGGTTATTATGGTGCTGGACTTGTCCGTCGTGGCTGTTCAGTATGCGGGTTATTTCACCCTGCAGGTCACCATGAAGTCGCTCGTGTATAGCGTCAAGTTGAAATTGGAATATGTCATTCTGGGACGGCTGGTTGATGTGGCGCATATTCGTACGCAAGGGGAGGCGCCCCGGTTTCGATTTTAGATATAGAGGAGTAATAATAGACTCTAAAATCAAGATATACCTGCGCTAGCCATCGTCATCAATATATGGGCGATACATGTAAACTCTACATCTCTGTCATATCCGGAGTCAATACTCCGGGGATATGCCCACTGTAAACAATCAGAACATCGCGATCAAGATCAGATTATAAACGGACTAACTCACATTAGCCTCACCAAACCGCATCAACTTCCTCTTGCCTACATTTTCTCTCCTGGAATAAATGATAAAGAGGGTTCATTTATATGGACCCCCTTATCAGTTAAGAAGCGGACACTGTAAACATGAATCACCCTGGGGTGAAGGTCATAAGGTATATTTCCTCATGTATTATTAGGACGCAATCTCTACTAGAACCATATCAAGTCCGATAATTCTATTAGCCAGTCATAAAGATCATGCTTCATATCAACAGAGGCCTCAGAACCCCAGGTAATGTACAATACAATCAGCGTCGGTTTATGCAGCACTTAACGCCCGACTTGGCCAAGAAGAACATCGACCCTAAGAATCGGAAGAACGACAGCCCCGCCGTACCCCACAAGATGATCTGGAAAAACATCGCCGTTCGGCCGGTTGAGGTGTTCTGCGCGCGTTAGCAGGGGTTTCACATTAGAAGACATGTCAGGGAAAAACATACCGTCAAGCACATCCGCGACACCGAAGTACTAGTGATCAGCAACGACATGATCAGATTACTAAACACCCACAGCAACACAAGGGCAGTGCGGAAATTCCGGTACGAATCGTCCAGGGTAGGCGACGTGTCCTCCTCCGGCTCGATGAACGGCGCCAATGCCCGCTTGACTGTCGCCTCGAACTGGCTGTCGATATCCGCCTGCGGTTTATCCACTTCCTCGATGAAGTTGTTCTTCTCACCATCGTCTTTCTTCGTCTGTGCAGAAGGCAGTGCCTCTGCCTTGTCTGATCCCTTGGTTCCCCAAGACACATCGTGCCAGTTGCAGAACGCGTACACCATTAGGATGTTGATGGACGTCGTCATGGTAACAAAGTACGCCCACGAACTCGTAAAAATGTGCCATGGGTCCATATAACAAAAACTGGCGAACGCGTAGATCCCGTACGTCGACACCAACGCGATCAGCACGATACCTCCGCTTTGGGAGCTGAAGAACGACTTCAGGAACTCTCCGACTCCGTGATTCATGTTGAAGTCCAGCATGCCTCCCGTAAAGGCGTTGGCCACCAGGTAGAAGGAGTCGACCAGAACGTATATCTGCACCAGCGAGAAGTACAGGAAAGATAGAGTGTAGTGGATTCGAGTTCTAGGTATGTTAGTGAATGGAGCTCAGAGAGCAATAGACGTGAGTGCTCACCCCTTCGGTCGGTTACCCAGCGCCAGAATGAACTGCAACATCAGGAAAAACAGGTACAGAAATTTTACGAAATTGTTCAGAATAGGCGTGACCTCATTGCCAAACGGCCATCCCTTGTGTTTGTTTCCTTCACTCGGGGTTCCCACCAGATCGAGAATGACCGAACTCGTCAGCCAGTAGGATGCTGTTTACGTTAGTCTCGTCTATACCCATGAATATCGCGCGTCTAACATACCGAGTGAAAACCATGTCATGATCAACTGGCAGAAGTTGTATAACATCTGCACATGCAGGAACGCCATTCGAATCATGCTATGTCCGCTCCGGTAGATCCGCCCGAAATGCATCATAGCATACAAACCGGCCGCAAAAGATCCATTCAGCCATCGTCGTCGCTGACCGATAAACTCAGCCGTACCCTCCGGCACATCGGTTTCACCCTTCGATGCCTTGACGTAGCTCAGATGCCATTTGAACCCCGCCTTGGCCACCAGCTCGAAGCACAGGATACGATCCTCGGCCAAGAACATGTTTTTCTTAAAAATATTCATACCCTCGATACCCTTCTTGCCGAGTCGCTTCGACAAGGTGTGGTCTCCGTGAAAGTACTGCTCCAGGGGCCGGCCCATGATGGCACGGTAGCGATACGCGGAGAAGGCACCGGGCAACACACTGACATACCCGAAGGAGCTCTCCAGCGGCTTATCTAGAATGTTGGAGATTTTATATTCAAAGTTCTGCGAGGCTACTAGCGGGTTGAGCACCTTGGCCCAGCCTTTGCCTAACATGGCGTGAATCTCGCCGCAGGCTCCGCCCAGGGTTTTATCGTTGTAGAACGCCTCCCAGAGGGCTAGCAGCGATTTGCGACCGGGCTTGGTTCCTGCGTCCAGGAGGATGGCAACTTCGGGGTTAAGGATTCGACTGAACGCGTTGAATAGCCAGCGATGAGAGTTGATTTTCTTAGTATTCTTCTGCTTCAGGCAAAAGATCATCTGGACTGGAGGTAAGTTGGAGGAGTCATTAGGACGCGGTCGGATAAGCTGCTGGTTTGCCGTAACCGAGAGCTGCGTGGTATATTCGAACTACGATCGTGAGTACAGATTTCCACGTCGATGAGAAAAAGAAAAAAAAAAAAAAAAAAAAACAAAAAGGCTGGGGCAAGGGATGAGCCAGTCACTTACAATATGAGCGACGGTTTCGCGTCCGTCAACATCCTTTTTCATCACCCCGTCCTGGTAGATACCGACAGTTGCCAACACATCCAGGGTGTTTTTATCGCAGGGCTCGATCCCGTCAAAGACCAGACAAACGACGATTTTCTGCCAGGCCGGGCCTCCCTTATTCCAGAATTCCGATTTCTTCAAGTTGACGATATCACGGACGTTCTGCATGACACCATGCAGGGTTCGGGCGGTCAAAACTTTGTCCTCATTGTAATACGTGATGGCGATCAGCAACTCTGTGTGTCGGTTGTAGATGGCCGGGCGCAGGTTATACCCGTTGCGCAGGGTGAACTCGTCGGGGTCACAGGTGGCGGCAGTATCTAGGGAGATTAGTCGGATATGTCCATGCCATGCGTCTTGCTACCTACACCGCATATGCGTGAATTCCTCCGAGAACGCCTCTTCGGCTTCCCGATATTCAGGCTGGATGGCATTCTGGATGGCGCTCGGCACAGGATAATCGATGCTCAGCACGGAGCCCTGAACTAGGTTGATCTTCCTCGTACCGTAACGACGCAGGGCTCCGGTCGACCGACTCCCGGGGCCGGGAGGATATGTGTCCATTTTGATCCCGCCTCGCTCGGAGAGGTGGGCATCGTAGATATCGGAGGCTTCGGATTCGTAAGGTGGGGTGGCAAAAACGGTCACTCCAGGGTCGTGTAGGGTGTACCGACGCATGGAGTCGGACGAGACACTGGGTTCATCATAGGGTGCGCCATAGGGACTGGGCTGGTTGCGATACAACAACGACTGTTCCTGATCACTGGTTTCAGAGACAGAGACACCAGGCGTTCCCTAGCAGATGGATTAGCCGGCTGGGGAGACTGTCAACAGGGATATGGCACACTCACAGTTCCCGATGGAGCATGGGAGTAATAGCTACTCCGACTGTGTTGCGAAGAATGCGACTTGAAAGGCCCTGGGGTACCCATCTCGACGGCTGATGAGATGGGTGAAACGAAGGACTGGGTGAGGTAACGAGCGACGGGAGATGAGCGATGCTAAATAAAATGGAAATTGAAACTAATAAAATGGGCAATAAATACAAAAGGCCCAAAGGGGGGGGTAACCGAGGGATAGAGAATGAAAGAAGGGAGGGAAAGAAAGAGGAAAAAAAGTGCCCGAAACACAAGGTCTTGGATAGTCAGTCAGTTTGCTGCGGTGGAACCATAAAACTAAATATAGCGAGACTAAGCCTTGATTCCGTTGTCCACCTGGGATATATTACTTCCCATAATTCTGGACGTTCTAATACGATGCGAAAGAGATCTTAATTCCCGCCGGGCCAATCCTCAAGGGGAGATGGCTGAACCGGGGGGGGACGATCAATAACGTGGTGACAGCTCCGCGCAAAAACTGAATCGGGAGGTTAAAATGTCCATTTTCTTGTTTTTTACTTTTTTTTACACTATTTGAATGAGAGACCTCGGGAGAGACTGAGAGAGGTATTAGTAGTCCATAGAATATGTGCTCAATCGTCATCGGATCCACCATTATATCCGCTCATTCATCATCATCAAATCGGTTGTCGAGTCTCCTGGACAACAACCCTCTCTGGTCGGACCATCTGGCCATGCATGCGCCCTGCATCGAACAACCAGACATGTCAGGTTGGGGTGGGCCATTCTGGAAGGGAAAATGTCAATAATCAATCATCCACAATAGGCAGTGGGATGGTCATGCTCTCCATGGTGGAGGGTCAAAAAAATCTGTTGTACCAACCACGGAGGCGGCGGATACTTTCGATCCATGGGAAACCGAATCAGTTTTAGTAGACGGGTAAACATCATTGGTCCTGGGGGGTCTGCTGGGGACCACAGAGTTTCACGACTGCAGTGGGTGTTGTTCGCCTGTTGCCCTGTTGGTCGGGCGACGCGCAGTCAGTGGAACCGATACAACCAGTTTTGTTTCATTGTGGCGCAGATCCCTGTGGAGGGGGCCATACGCTCAGACATACAGACTACTCAAGCTACTATGAACTCTTAACGGGGTACTGCTCCATACGGAGGACACCTGAAACTATCAGCTGGGATAGTCAGTCGGGGTACGGATAGGCAGGAGGCCAGGAGACCGCCTATAAAGGAGAGACATCACGCGTATGGGATATGCGATGCCTGAGGACAAAATAGGATTAATGGATCAGGTCCCAATCTGGGTTAGAGCACCATCGGATATCCAGCTGAGTCAACATTCACTAAGTTAGTTAGTTTAGTAATTAACTTTTACCCTGCTAACTATTTTTAGCCATATGGGATACCTTAGTCATCTTTTGTTTATTTGCCTCAGGCTGGATAGCCAGAGGAGGTACAGGCATGCAGACTCGACACTTTCATGCATTCCATCAACTCATTCCAACCAATATCACACCACCATGCATCTCCTCTGCCAAACTCTCTACTCCGTTCTGACAAGCTAATCCAGCTGGGACCGGCAGAGCCCTTCATGCGGCATGCAAGGAATCATCGGCATGACCTATCCAATGGGTGGGCCGGCCCAGAACGGAAGTGCTGCCAGATCAGAACCCGGTGGCCTATCTACGAAGTACAACGTAGTATTACGCCGGAGGACGCTGGTGCGTGATTAGACTGATCTCAGTAGAGATGTCGATAATACTAGTTAATAATGCATAACTTGGATTATGTTCATGTCCTATATTTTTAGTTAACATGGACTAGTCCATGTTGGCTTAGGCAACTATATGTCCACTACTATAGTATATCTTGTAGTGTCCACACTCACTGCTCTGAGGCAGTATCAGTGTAGTCTTGGCAAGCAAGACACTTCGACTGAGTAATAATCCCCTGTACACCAGGACAGTTGGATTTATCTTAGCCAAATTGGCTAATATTGGAAGCCAACTCTGCAACTGGCAAGGGTTTTGATTAGAGGTTAGAAGTCACGAGCATTCGGTCCAAGTAAATAGGAGCATTCCAGGCTCCCAAATATTTCCTGAGGCTGTGCATGGTATTGGGAGAGGTCCACTTCTAAGATCTTGAAGTCCAGCATTCCGCCATTCACATTCTCATCAGTGGGGTCCAATCCATAATTCTTCCAAATCAACCAGAGACTCTAGATCAAAGACTACTCTAAATTTGACGTGGGTCAAGAGATTGAGACAGTGCCTACGTATATTGAAATTCGAGCACTATGGATACATTAATCTAGGTACTATAGACTGACATTCCAAACATGTGTTTCACACTGCGGCCGTTCAGCCTCCTCCCCTGCGGAGCTATTTTCCGCCCGATATCAGGAGTTTTGGTTCTGCATAGATTGGCTAATAGGTTCAAGATCTGAAGCATAATATAGCATAATATTTCTCCAGTCTAAGTGTTTACCTGCGTAATATTTGCCCCGAGCAAATTGTGCAGCAGCATACGCTCCCTGGCAGAGTATTCAAAGAAGAGAGGGTTGATATCTACTTTATTTGCCCGGAAATCCTGGGCAGAACAGAATTGTGCAGGGCACTTTCGGGCTCTAGCACTGTATGCAGGTGTCAGAGTTCTCAGTAACGTACTTTACCGCCCGACGATCCACACCGCCCGACGATCCACCTACATCTACACCGACATTTACTCAACATCTTCAAACCACCACAACACCACCAATATGGATTCTATCGAGGCAGCGATAGCAGAGATCGAATCTAGGAAGCCTGGAGAATCGTTCTCTTACCGCAATATTGCCAAAAAGTTTGGTGTTGACCGCATAACTCTCGCAAGAAGACACCAAGGGATTCAAGGCACAAAAGCGGACCAATATAAAAGCCAGCGACTGCTCTCCAACAAGCAGGCCAAAGAGCTTATAAAATATATCAATAAACTGTCAGAACGTGGCCTTTATCTTACGCATGAGATGCTTCGCAATTTTACCCAGGAGATCTGTGGAACGAGGCCAGGATACCAGTGGCCTGGCCGCTTTATTCGCGCTCATGAGAAAGAGCTTACCTGTCGCTATACAACCGGTATCGACCGCGACCGCAAGGCAGCAGATTCAGCATGGAAATACACGCTGTACTTCCAAAAATTGGCCAGAAAGATGGAGGAATACAAGATCCAACCAGAAAATATGTATAATATGGATGAGAAAGGATTTCTTATTAGAATTGTTTCTAAAAGCAAGAGAATCTTTTCAAAGCTAAAATATAAAAGAGATCGCTCCGTACAACGTATCCAGGATGGGAACAGGGACTGGATTACCGTGATCGCCTGTATTTGCGCTGATCAGACCTCACTGCCTCCAGGTCTATATATCAAGCCGTTTCGGGAGATTTACAGGACTCATGGCTTCAAGATTATAATCCTCGCAAACAGGATTGTTTTTTTACCTCTTCACCAACCGGTTGGACCAACAACGACGTGGGTTTTGCATGGCTTCGAGATATTTTTAATCCTAAAACCAAGGCCAAAGCAGGGAGATCTTGGAGGCTTCTCCTGCTTGATGGCCACGGATCTCATGTCACAAGGAGGTTTCTTAATTTTTGTGAAGCTAATAAAATCCTTGTGGTAATATATCCTCCTCATTCAACGCATTCTCTACAGCCGCTTGACGTTAGTATCTTTGGACCGTTGGCCAAGGCATATAGCAACAAACTAGACGAGTATTTGTTTGCCGCGCAGGGCCTGACCTCTATTACAAAGAGGGATTTCTTCCGCTTTTTTTGGAATGCCTGGGGGACCACTTTATCCAAGCAAAATATCGAATCGGCATGGAGGAGCGTTGGTATATGGCCATAGAATCTAGCACAGGTTTTAAAGCGCTTTACATGCGGGGTTAGCTCTAGGCCTTTATCTAGTGGCTCTACGCACTCTATACTGGCGCCTAGAGATTGGCAACGGATAGAGAGGCTTTTTAAAACTGTAGTTGCTGATATTTATGACAGGAGAACCAGAATTATTCTTGGATACCTTCAGCAGCTCACCACGGAGAACTCCTTGCTTAAAATCCATGCCCAGGGCCTTGAAGATACCTTGGTAAATGAGAAAAAGAAGCGCCAGCGTGGAAAAGGCATGCAATTAAACGACTTATTCTCTTTAAAGGATGGTGGTGCTATATTCTACTCTCCAACAAAAATCCAGAGGTCTCGAGACCTCCAGGCAGAGAAGGAGGCAGCTGAGGCAGCTAATAAAGCTTCAAAAGAGCAGGCAAAACTTCTTTGACAACAGGTCAAAGAAGAGAAACAGCGCCAGAAGGAAGAGAACAAGAGAATAAAGGTATTCGAGAGGCAATAGCGCCTGGAGAAGGAGGAGCGGGAAAAGCGTGAGAAAAAAAAGGCTTGCCTGGCTAAGAAGGCGGAGCAGCGGCTTCAAAATGATATTAAAAAGGTTAAGAAGGGTCGGAAGAAGCGAAATACCGCTTTAAATCCTCAAATCCAGGAAGATACTAGTGGTGAGGCTGCTAAAGTTGTTAAAGAGGCCTCTACAGTAACAAGCCGTAGTGGGAGGTTGGTACGCCTCCCACACCGCTTCCGGGATGCTTAAATTTTGTATATAGCTTTACCAGGACCTCACCTTTAATACACCAAAAAAACTAAGTATAATTTTATTTGTATGTGGTGTTGTGGCTTCGTTTCTGTGGTGGATTTCGATCGAAAACTGGATCGTCAGGCGGTGTGGATCGTCGGGCGGTAAAGTACGTTATGGCTCCCGCTGCGGAGAATTTCTTATCTACTCCTATTATTGGCCATAATATCAGACACTCCTAGGTACAGCACTAGGTATTTTAACCAGTGTTTTACTGGTCTAGATAACTTGCTGTTTCTCTACACGTTACGAAAGAAATCAGAACTATAAATATCCGCTTTAGCTATAGTATCCATAGAAGAGCAACTAACGAGGTTATGATCCATCTAATATCATATGCTACGGACAGCCTTCATGTATAAACAAACTGCGTTCCCTTAACGACCCGGATTACTCTTGGATGCTCCGCTGATATGAAGGCCCTGCTGTCTTCCAGTCCCAGTGTTTGGAAGTAAAATCCAGATGTACTGACCTCAAGGTGCCCGGTACTCACAAGGGTAAACCAGTGGAGCACTCAAACACTGTACTTTTCTGCGACATACTGAGAATTCCCACTTTCGTGAGACAGTGACAGCAACATTGTAGCCGAAGTTGTGGCTTCTAGTTGGCTAGTCTTTTATGACCGAAGCGGTCTTGTGAGAAGGGTTCTTTCTCGTTACTATCCGGGGATGAGGTATCCGGTAGCCGGTCCTAAATCCGACTGGGCTATTGTCGATAGCATTTTACGCGTCCTCGCACTTATCCATTTGGTTCTGAAATTGGTATTGTGAGGCAACTTAGGATATGTGTCGATAACATAATCACAGGGTCTGTTGCCTAGAGATAAAGCATGACATACCAAGTCACCGTTTCCCTTGTGGTGACTTACGTACAGTGTAAGAACAAGTACAGCTATGCTTATGGGGAGTGTGCATACGCATAAAGAATATGTCCTAACTGTATTGTCTAACCTCAAACTACAGTGGTTATTCCATTTTGCCTGGAGTTGACATTCTTTCAGATCTGTGATAGATTCTCATGTAAATGCTAAAGCCATCGATTCCGGACTTCTACGGACCTAGAAATAATCTAATATACGTGTATATTTCGAGTTGTACTGCTCGCGGAGGAGAATTATTATTGGGATATCCGCCTAAGCTAGCCAACAAGCCCAGTTGTATTCGATTCAATGTGGGATCATTAAACGGTGCGCTTTTTCATGTTTGAGATGCTATGGGAAAGCCTCTTATTCTCTGGATCCGTAGCAGAGATTCATGTGACCGTTTAGAAGAGCATATTTCCACTGATGCCATCTATTCGTCATTGACTCCTGAATCAAATTGGTTCTTGCTAAGGGGGTCGCCTTGTGATTGTTAAACAACCACTAGCATGATAGATCATAGCCACAACAGTAGAGCTATCAATGCTCCACCATGCTGTCTAAATGGGTAAGACTGGCATCGAATCCTCGCATAAACACTAGAAAGCATGGACCACTGATATTCTGCGGGGACATAATATTAAGAAGCTCTTTCGTATATGCCAATTTTTGCAGAGGTTCTTGACTGCCAAGCCCGCATAACTTCAAAGGATCTTGGCTTCGTTACAGCTTGGTCTGAGCGATTGGAATTGTTGACTAAGAATAAAAAGCTGCGACCGATGGAGATCTATAACTTTGACGAATCTGGCCTTAAAATTGACGAAGGCAAGCCACAGAAGGGGTTTTCAATCCAGAAAACTTCTTATATTGCTACAAGTGACCTGCTGAGTTTATTACAGCTATTAAAAGCATTGCAGTTGATAGTTGGTTAATAACCATGGATTTTGGTGTACGGTTAAGTCTACATGGTATCGAACTACTAATTTACCTGACGATTACTATATCATGCCTACCACCAATGGCTGGACTGATGATACTATTATTTTTCTTTATTATTTCCATGAATGCACAAAAAAGCGCGTGTTAGGGGGTGGATTCCGGCTTTTTTTAACATATAATCATTGTTCCCATCTCATGCAAGAAATTCTATAATTTTGCGAAGACCATTGCATCGTTGCTCAATGCTTCATTACATATACAACCCATATATATCAACCACTTGATAGCATATTATTTCAGGTCCTTAAGCTTTTTTTTTTAAAAAAAAAAAAAATAATAATGTAGTAGTGCGGTGAGATGGCTTTGTTAGTCAAAAGACTAAAATTTTTTTCACTAGATTATGTCAAGGGCTAAACCTCTATAACCTAATAACTAGGGTGGATACAAAAGGAATCGTCGAAGAGGAAAGAGAAGAGGAAACAGCGATGAGACGATTGCGAAGTAAGGGGGGGGAAGTCACATGATAGAGTGTACTAATCAATATACTAATCATGTGGCAGGCGAGGAGAAAGGAAACACGAGGGCTGAGGGCCCGAGTAGGCTGAGGGGCTCTAGCCCCTTACAGATTAAGGGTATACAAACATAGGGATTTACTAGTCAGATTAGGATCTGCACAGCGTGGCATCTATCCTTTTAATCTATAAGGGTTCTAGATCCACTACAGGAAGCACTTTCTCCTGTGCCAGGTCTTCTAAAATTTAATGGTAATAACTAGACCACTCCGCCAGTACTAAGCTTACATGCTTCTACCCCAAAGACTGTTAAAAAAATTAGGGGCGCTTGCTAGCAAGCTCCAGGATGGCCTACAAGAGTCCCAAGTTTAATTTTTAATCTTATTAGTCCAAAGATTAAGAAGCTTGTTTGGTTATTTTGTCGCAGTGGTCTTATACAGGCTAAGCTCGCTGCTCAATATGCCGATGATAACAAGCGCATATTCCACAAAACTTAGATGTCAGAGGACAAGACTAAGTGACAAATCTCTGTAAAGAGTCTTCTCACTGTACGAGATGCCAATCAAAGGATTAAGAGCTGTGATGATAAAGAATCGAGGAAGAAACTGTGGCAAAGTAAAAAGTAAGCTACTCGTGCAGCAGCAACAACATCTGCCAGCTGCACACCCGGTGTTAATGCAGATATTACTATGAAAAGAATGCTTTTGCTATCCAGGAAGGGATATAAAGCCTATTTTGTTTTGATAATGTTACAGAAACACTATAATCCGCCCGACTTGGCGGTGCGGAGTATCTGACGATCGATTTAACCCCTGAATCCTTTAGATAGTCGAGCACCTAGATAGGAATGCAAGAGACTCAGTTGGTTAAGATACTGTGATTCCTGGTGTTTCCACTAAATAACATCTACTTCCTAATTAGGCTAGTTGGCCTGTAGTTGATAGAATAGCTCCCTACGCCCCATTTCCCCCTGAGTTCACAACAATAATATTGGTGACCGTTGAATAATTGAAGTTAAATATGTTGTCATTCGTAGCAAGCCAGACATAATTGCTGTGGGTGGTGCTGAGCGGCGACGGCCCAAGGAGGGTGGTGGGTCACTTCTTGGGCCGAGTAATCCACCTTCGAGGCCTGGGTCTGGAAGGAATCGAATTAGAAGCTACGGGATAGCTTCACTGCCGCTCATAACTCTACGTACCAATTCCCCCGGCACGCCGTAAGTACCCCTACCCTCTTATAGAGAACCTGCTCTAACTTACCTTATAAATTTCTATACTAATTAAGGAGACAGCCCTAAGGAATGCTATATAAGGATTTTATATTTATAGGCCTTGTTAGAAATATAGTAAGCTATACCGTGTTAACTAATGTAAAATAAGATTTCTTATTAGTCTTATATAATATCTGTGTCGGTAATGTTATATTTATGAAAAGGTGTTTTGAATTATCACTAGTAGGCTATATATTTGTCCCCTGGACTCCAGGAGGTCGTGGGAATAAAACGTTTGTTAATTGGTACGATAACTATCATGCGGTGTTCCCAGCGCGGGAATCAAAACCCGGAATCATACTGACGAATCTTGGGAGTGGACCGTCTCGACCAGGTGACAGACTACGTTTCATAAAACCTTATTTGGCCTCCTACGGACCGTTGAAGATATTATTCCTTACGGGGCAGCGCTAATAATCCTTCAAATTCCTTAATACTCAGTTCCAATGGCTCTAAATCTCTTCAAGAAATACGGAGCCGGGTTCTATCCTGTCTATCGACAAGTTTCTATTGCAGGCGCACTTGGCGTCACCCTGGGGCTGATCTTCATTCAGCATCCCGATGACTGCGAGTAGGCTAGCCATAGGTTCTCTAGCTACTGGGTGTGTGGCATTGAATTTCAGAGCGGGTCCGCAGCGGGCCATGGGCGGTTCTGACGATGTTAATGTAACCTTATATACTGTCTAATATAATGACATGTACTTAGGCATTGGACCTAGATCCTTCTTATATTCCTAGTTCTTTATATTATAGTAGCAGGGCTTTAAAATACAGTAGCATTAAAGTGTTTTTGTATTGTACTACTATGTATTAAAAGAAACATAGGCAAAGGCGTGCTTTAAAACTAGGCTGATGCCCAGCCTGATGAGCTGATTTCTTGATTGAGTTTCGTCAACATCTCCGATTTCGGAATAGATACGCTGCTCGGCTGAGACATTTGATATGGGAAGCTCAACCTTATGAAACATTTTATAAAAGCTGTACCACGAGCGACCCGCTGCAGGTTGGGGATGAGCAAATAGTAAGCAGGAAGAAGAATGACTGCTGAATATCTGCGTAGAACTTTTCTCTGTGAGTAGATTCTTGAGTGAGAAAGATGCTGTTATAGTGGTCTCTTCTTGACTATACGTTACATGCCCAATACTTGGGGCTAGACATATCTTGGCTCGACTTTGAGCGACACTACATTCCGCTTCACAAGCTTAGACACTTCCTGCTTGGTCATATTACAGGAACAGAGTGGAGTATTGGGCAGCATTTGAGGTAGCAGCGGCATGTTTAATTCAAAACCAGGAGTTAGCCGACGGTTCTGTGATATTCTAGAACCTCACAACTTAAGTATAAAGAGTGGTCAATAACCCTCCTCCCATTGTTTCTTTCCTTAATCAGCTTTGTCTTTTGATCAACTCATCTTTAAACTCTAAGAATTCACGTCCCATTCAAGGGGAACGTGCATCATGTCAAACACGAATGCCGGCCTCTTCCTCACGGCTGTGCTGGCTTGGTTTAGCCGAGATGTCGAGAGGGTGATCAACCGTCTTGACGCCGTTAACAATGGCCGGCCAATTGAATGGAGGACGGATACTGTGACGGACTTTCGTGGTCATCCTATTCCTGCAGGCGCTGAACGACTGATCCGCTGGGATGACCGGCACCCTGATCAAATTTTCCAACATGGATTTGTGCCCCAGTATGCGCCTCCAGAAGGGGACGCTCTCCCTGACCAGTATCTCAATCTGGAGACATATGTTGGACAGAACACGCAGTCCATTTTTGTCAGCACCGCCCGCTACTACAACCAAGACGGCCGCAACCAACGATGGACGCCTCGCAACATAGCCAATCGTTTTGAGTACGAGGTCTTCGCCTACGGTGGCATTGATATTAATCTTAGCTTGGGCCACGCTCATCAATACAGTAACCAAAGGGAGGTAGCATTCCCCGGCGGTATCAGACCGGAATTCATTCGAACCGCTCGTGAATATAATGCAGAGGGGCGAATCACTCGCATATGGGCCAACGGAGGCTTCAATACACAGGCTAATGGTGCCGGCAACTCACCTGAGCTCCGTCAGCTCCCGGACCCAGTATGTGGTCCAAATGTCCCCGTAGTGTATTGGACTGGTCCCAATCCCAATCAACATGACGAGCTCAAACGAGACACGACTTCTACGAATCCCATGCGTGAAAGTGGCGGCCCTCAGGTCGATGACTTGTCTAAAGATGAATGTCCTGCCCTTCTTCAGCCAAACGAGGAGATTGATTCTGTGAAACTTGAAGTCCAGCTCTCTAACGACCTCTCGTCCGGAACTGATGATAAGATTCTAGCAAAGATCGGGACCGGTGAGAAATTGATTACACTCTTCAATGGCCCCAGTCGGGGTGATTCCAACACGATCGAGGTAAATCTGCAAGACGTTTTTGGAAAGAGCAAAATCCGTATCACCGATCTGGAAAACTTGGTCATATTCCAGGCTCCAGTGCCTCACCCTATTGCCTCTGATGACTTCAAATTGAAAGGTGGGTTATCTGCGAAGTCTTTTATTGACGCCAGTAACTGATAAGTTGAGAATAGGTTTTACACTGTATATTCGCGCCGCCCAGTCGGGCCGACGCCTTGCAAACAGCCAATACAGCTCAGTGGACAAGTGGCTGGGAACCAACAGACCTGATCTCACGACTGTGTGGTCCGGAAAGCTTGATATTCGCCAGTGGCTTGATGACAACAATGTCTAAGAAAGTTAAATCTAGATATGTAACGTGACTTCATGTCTCCTATTTTGATAGTGCAACCGTATGGCTGTGTCTCGTTCTGCTATGTTAGTTATATATATTTCTCATTTCTGTTCAGCTTTCTTGGTCCTCCATGTCACTCATTTTTCTTACGGCGGATCCAATGCTATCCTGTATTCTTGTTTGCGCCAAGTATTTCCAGAGGGAACCATTAAGGTCTTATAATCATAATCCATGCCATGCGTTGCTTCTCGCGATTTAAATAGCTAAGATGCTTGTTTAGACGGGTTATATTCAACGAGCATTGCTTTGCAGAATTACCTCGACCTTAGCGATGCGTATGCAGCTGATCGTGTAACTATCGAGACAATTGTAAAATACACAGAAGACACTTTAGTCAGTATGCAGATCGAATTACAATAGTTAATATTAGTAATTTGCCATAGGAAAGAGTGAGTGTAGTCTTAAGATTCTTCTTGGCTCAATATATATTCATTTCAATATAGCACACGATAAGAACTGGTGAATTGACCATGCGAACAGTAAATAGAAGGAATATAGGATATCAATGCACTTCATAGTGTTAGTTAGAACAGGACAAAGTATATGATGAAGGAATTCCATGAGTGGATGTGCTATTCCAGGATCTTCCTTCGTCCAGCCAAGAAGACTAGCTGCAGATCGACCAGCACTGCCCCGCGAGAACCACGAACGATAACTAGTTTGTACAACATCCATCTGACCTTTCAGTATGACTCGACTTCAAGACTTCACGAAACACCACTTCGACTACCTAATCATTGGCGGTGGTACAGCCGGCCTGGTTGTTGCGCGTCGTCTTTCCGACCGATCGGACGTGAGCGTCGGCGTCGTCGAGGCAGGGCCCACTGCGCTGGATGAGCCTGCGATCAACACCCCCGGTCTCTACGGCGAGACTCTGGGCGGTCGATTCGACTGGAAGTTTGAGACAGAGGCGCAATCGGGGCTGGAAGGTCGGACAATCCCATGTCCACGGGGAAGGGTGCTGGGAGGCACGAGCGCGCTGAACTACATGGCGTGGACGCGTGGGAACCGAGAAGACTACGATGCATGGGCGGAGTTGGGGAATGAGGGATGGGGATGGGATGATCTTCTGTTCGTATACTGATTCTGCGCATCCCATGCGGAATACAGTTATGCTGAATCAGGTAGTCCCTTCTTCCAACGCAGTGAGACCTTTCATGTACCAGACGCTTCGCACCAGGAACAATACCGCTCCTACTACCAGGCCGAGGCCCACGGCACGACCGGACCCGTTCACACGACGCACATCCGAGAATACGGCCCGTCTCATCGGTTCTGGCATGACACACTGCATCGATTCGGGGTGGAGGTCAGTGCGGATAGTCTGGCGGGATCGAATGTTGGCGCATGGAACATGGTGTGCTCGATCGATCCGGAAAAGCAGGCGCGCAGCTACTCGGCCAATGCGTACTACCTGCCGGTGAAGGAGAGGCCAAATCTGGCTCTCTTGACCGAGGCGATTGTCACGGAGGTGTTGATGAAAGACACGGGCGAGACATGGACGGCGTCCGGGGTCCGCGTTCGCTGTGATGGGGAGATGTCGGATATCGTAGTTTCACGGGAGGTGATTGTCTGCGCCGGCAGTATCCAGTCACCGCAGATTCTCGAGCTTTCAGGAATTGGGAATTGCGAGGTTCTTTCGGCAGCTGGGATTCCGGTGAAAATCCACAATCCCAACGTGGGAGAGAACTTGCAGGACCACCTGAGTAAGTAGACCACAGCTGAATGATGCCTGCCTGACAAAAGGATCAGTGACGGTCTCGATCTTCGAGGTTCAGCCTTCGCTGACTACGCGTGACGACGTGCTCAGCGACACGGAGCTGTACGAGGCTGCGACTCAAGAGTATGAAGCATCTCGCACGGGGCCGTGGACGGTCCTCCCTTGTTCGATAGCGTACTGTCCACTATCAACGTTCATTACGCCCGATCAACTAGCCGATCTGCATAGACAAGCAAAGGAAATAGCGCAAGAGACGGGTCGACACAGCGATGAGATCCTAGCGCGCCGGTTTAAGGCCAATACCTCCCTCGGACACATAGAGTTCCTCTTCGATCTCGGGAATTGGAGTCCCTTTTTTGCGTCGGAGCCCGGGAAGAAATACGGGACTATGCTTCAGATGTTGCAGTATCCGTTCTCGCGGGGGTCCGTTCATATACCACCACAGTCATCGGATTTTCGGACGACAGTGGCCGAAGATCCATTGATAGATCCACGTATTTATCTCGGACCTGGAGAGATCGACCGCAACGTGATGAGCCTGGCGCAGGAATTCGGGACTCGGATCTGCCAAACGGAGCCTTTGTGCAGCATCATCCGATTCCGGAGCCACCCGGCTACGGAGGAACATGACAAATTTGTTGTGCAGAACACTATCACAGATTGGCACCGTAGGTATTTTTTTTTTTTTTTCTTCTTTTGTCTCTTTTTTTTTGGCCCCGTGCTAATCCGCTGCAGCCATCGGAACGTGTGGGATGGGAGGCAAAGCAGGCGATCGGCAAGGCGTGGTGGACCATCGTCTGCAGGTTTACGGGACGCGCGGGCTCCGGGTCGTCGATGCAAGTATCATGCCGCTGCAAATTAGCGCCCACATTCAGGCAACTGTGTATGCCATCGCCGAGAAAGCAGCGGTTATGATTCTGGAAGATAGGGCGGAGTCCGCGGGTCTATAGGGCGTGGAACGAGCCAGACCTCCACTTTTGATTTGCTGATGCCTAAATCATAAAAAAAAAAACGAGACAATGAAAAGAAAAAAACAGTGAAAGGACAATGATCGTCAGGAGGTACCAACAGAATCAACAAAGGCCTTTTAGGGCAAGGACTACTTCAGACAAAGGATTGATGAACAACACAGTCATCTACTCTACAAGGCTACCGTTACGGAAGATTTACTAAGGTAGGGCGTCTGCCCCACTTATCCTCAAATGCATTCCATGGTGCGTCGCACCCTACTGACTTCATTCTCCACCGACGAGTAGCCATCCGAGGAGTCGGCGAACCCTGAAGCGCCGAAGAAGGCTTGGTGGGTGAGCTTAACTGTGCTGCCTGAATGATCGTTCGAATACGGGTTAAACGAATGCGAGGTCGTTTAGTCTCAAGGGCTAGAAAAAGGGGTTTTTATTAACAAAGACAAAAAAAAAAAAAAAAAAAAAAAAAATTGTTAATTAAAAGAAACTAAATTAGAAAGAGAAAGGAAACGTGGAACCACGCTCATCGGAGACCAGATCAATCCATTCTCCAACTGGCGTATCGAGTCACAATGACATGAGAAACTAGTACCATTCATAGGAGTTACAGCGCCACCCGATAGTCATGGCCCAAGCCTACTTAAGACGAAACTCAAAGGATGGTCTGCTATTTGAGGACCAATCCTGACCTGCTGAATGCGACTGCCTAAGACCTGCATTTCTTCTGCATTGACTCCTCCTAGCTCAGCTGGTGAGACCGTTACAGTGCAATATATAGGGGTTGGCCCACTCGTTTTGCGCGCCCTCCATCGTCGCGACTGCGTCATTCTGCTCAGAGACGCGAGCTGATTCTTAATACTTGCTTCTTCATCGGCTATTCATCCCATCGTAAATTCTCTTCCAGATTTATACTACCACTCTTGCATCATCCTCATGGCAAATCCTCCGGGATGTGACGAAATTCGGCCTCGTCGGGGGTCGACCAAAGGCAGGGTGAAACCGCCCAAACAACCCAAAGCAGCGAAGAAGGAGCTTCTCCTCGACACTGTCGGTCCATTTCTAATGCAACAGCTGGATGAACATCCTAAACCAGACCACCCCCATCTCTATTCTCTGCCGTGGTTTTCCCAGCCCAACGGACAACTATTTCCTCATCATACTCCTCACCATGTCCGACTCAGCCGCAGCAACAGCAGCGATCGTAGCAGCAGCAACAGCAGTCACACCCTGGTGGACGCCAGCTCCTTGTCGGACACCCCGTCTGACCGTCACTCGGGACGGTCGAGCTCCCCGGCGTTGAGGGAGCCGCGAACATTCTCTTTTCTCAAGCGCCGGCGACGACCCGTCACCATGGACGAGAACCCAGACACACAACGACAGATCGTCGAGTCGCTGGCGGCCCGCTACGGCAGTGTCTCACACATGGGCATGCTCGACCGTAGCTACCGGTTCTTCGTGAACAAGGACCAGACGGGCGCGCTCTGCTATAAGGTACTGAATCATGTGGCCATCGTCAGCGGCGATCCGCTCTGTGAACCGGACCAATTTGACGCCATCCTCGACGAGTTCGCCCGCTACCGCAAACGTCACTCCTGGGAGCTGGCGTTCATGGGCGCCAGCGAAGTCTTCGCCAAATACGCACGGAAACAGCGGTGGAACACGATGCAATTCGGCGTGGAACGGGTATTGAATCCACGCACCAACGACGTCCTCCTCGAGCGCAGCAGCAAGCGAGTCCTCGTCCAGAACCGCCAACTGCTGCACCCGGATAAGGGGGGAATAACCCTCGGAGTCTACGTACCAGCCTACAGCGAAGACCTTGCGTTTCAATCCGAGTTGATGGCCATCTACGACGCATGGCGCGAACAACGCAACCAAAGCGCGACGTCGACCTCTCAAGCTTTCATCACTGTCTACAACCCGTTTGACTTCCCGAACCTCATGACCTTCCTATACACGCGGGGACCTGACGGAACCATTAACGGATTTGCAGCTTTGCGGCGCGTCGGTGCCAACAACGGCTACCATATCGATCCGTGTATCGCGGCACCGGGAGCCCCCAAGGGGATCACGGATCTACTGACCTACGCGGCGATGGCGCTGCTGCATCGGGCAGATGTATCGCATTTGAGTCTGGGGTACGAGCCGTTAACCGAGCTGGGAGAGATCAGCGGCATGTCACTGACATTGGAGCGAATCACACGGTCAATGTACCATCACACGTACCAGCGATTACCAATCCGAGGCAAGAAAGCGTATCATGATAAATTCCGACCCGACGCAAGTCAGGAGTCTGGGTTATACGTCGTGTTCCCGGCGGGGGCACCGGGCATTCGTCAGATGTTGGCGATTGCACATATGGCGAATATTAGTATTCGGAAACTCATGCGGACTAAGATCGAATCCAATCCGACGAAGGGTAGTAAGAAGGAGGAATCACGATAGTACTAGCTGCTGGTTGGCTAGTATCCATTCTTTTCTTATTTTTCCTGGGAACGACAGTCCAGTTATAGCTGTATATTACCTCATCTCTCTCATTTGATTTCTTTTGTTGTACTATAGACTACTTCGGCTTTCTTTGTTGCTTTCGCTCCATTTATTTTCATTTCTTTGTACTCATTGAACTTCTTCATACTCATTTTCTATGTGAATACTGTATGTATTAGTCGAGCATTTAATATACATCATACCTTATCTCCACCATCATCATCCCAGACCTAATCAATAAGACAGATATCTACATTCAGAGTACATAAAACTCCAAATCTAGTCACATAAACTCATCGTAGGCATCATCTTTCTGCTCTATTTCCTCAGCTTCCTTGATATACTCCTTGAATCGCTCGGCAGTAGTTTCGTGAGGCTTCTGCTGTCCCTGACTTTGACCTTGTTCCTGGTTTTATTCTGAGGTTGAGTCTGACTCTGTTAGGATTGATTCCTACCCCGTTCCTTAAGTCCATCTTTCTTGTAGTGGCGATCTAAGTCAATTGATTAGATTAGATATATTATATTGGAATATAGTTATTGCTAGACATGGGCCGTCCGACACGGCTGTTAGTAATTTGTACAGAGGATTAGAATAACAGGCAATAGTAGACAAGGTTAATAACGCTATCTTACTACCACGCAGAGCTTATTAGTGAAGAGAGGAAACGGACCAACAATATAAGCGTCATTGACCGAAGATATCAGGAGTCCGGATCTTCCCTAATAGAGTACGTCATCCATGGATGAGGTCTGGGTATTCCTTATCCGGAAGTATATTTGCTGTTAGGTTTGGTTGGGATTCTTTGTGTCTGAAGATAAATATAAGATCTATGTATGTATATATTTAGCTATACGGAGTATATATGTATTTACTCTGTAGTCTCGAGTCTCGTTGGTAATGTTCTTCAATTAATCTCTGGACTAAAGCTCAAAGTCATTAATACCAGGTTGTCCGAATACCTTACCCATAGACAGAATACGGAGAACATTTCAATCTAATGCATCAGCTATCTAGTCAGTACAGTACAGGTCTAAAAATCACTCTATGAATGACATTCATCAAACACGGTCCGTTTCAGCTGCCCTTTTGGTAATCTCCATCACCGATAAGAATGTTGATCCAGCGGGCCATTGAAAAAAGAGGTCATCGGGGCCAATAGCTAGCTCTGGCTGGGCGGCAAATGGAGAACAGACTTTCTACCAAGAAAACTAAGCTTAATCGGGCCTGCGGGGTTCACCGTTTCTCGTTTTTCTCGCATTTCGTTTTCCTCGCGAGAATACGGATTACCGTATCGGGGACTCATACTAAGCGATCTGCAGGATTGTGTTTAGTCCAGAGCATTACTTGGCTCGGACAAATTGCCTACTCTTGGTGCTACTGTTGGGCCCTATGAGTCTATAACTACTCTGTATGGTATGGTGAACTGCAGTTGATTGCCTTCTATAATCAGTATAAGTTAGAGTTCTTTAGTGTAGTCCACGTAGATACAGATTTGTGGGAGAGGAGTACAACAGACTAGGTAAGAAGAATAAATATATTAAGCCAGACTAGTTATACCCAATAGTTATTATCAATATCAATAATTACCTAAGTTAGGTAGTCCTGATTAGTCACCTGCCTCTTGATTCAAAACTCAAGGTATCCCACTTCTCCAAAACCTCATCCAGTTCTGCCTCGCCTTCCCCCCCCTGAACGGTGACAGCGAAATTCGGGTACAAACTGCTGAACCGCGCACGATCATCGGCAGTCCAGAGTTCGGATTCGAAATCCCGGAACAGATTGTGCATTTCCAGGGGAAGACCAGTCTTCTGCTGAGCGGTGAGCTGTACAAGACGCAGCAGCCCTTTCGGGAGAAGCGCACGACACGCCAACGCATGAAGCACACTACACAGATCGACAAGGGCAGCATGATTCTCTGCCGCCCGCGGGTCCTCCAGCAGTGTGAACAATGCGACGGTGACGTACTGCATGTAGCTCATCGGCATGCAGTCCATCGGCCACTGTGACCGGTACGAATGGATGATATCGTGGATGTGTCGTGCAGAGGAGTTACGCAGATATCGAGCACGCTCCATTGAGATGACTGGCTCAGACATGTCTGGTTGGTTACGGAGAAAACCAAAGATTGTCAGGACGATGGCGTGGTATCTCATGCTGTAGGTGTCAGCGCCATGCTGGGAGAATGATTCTCGTTCTTACTGCATATCCATCGCTGCGGGGGTCGTCTCGTGGCCAACACTGATACATTGGGGGATTCGCGAGGACCACCGCTCTAAGCGATCATGGAAACTATCAACCATCGCCTCCACGTCTGCATACGGATGCGGCTCGTCAAACAAATAATTTGATATGTCCCACGCTATCAGCTGCAGTTCGAATAGCGCATTGGTGACGCAGTTCGTGTGTGCCGGGACCGGCCCCGTCCGCATCGGATAGGAAACCCAGGTATCACCGGGATCGTGGTCTCCAGGAGAGTGTTTGCGATCAAGGCTCGGTTTCTTCATCACCGGTGGTTTTTGTAGAGTCAGCGCTGCGGTCCTGCCACCAGTCAGACAGACCCAGACATTTTTCTTAACAGGCCGACGGACGGAGTAAGACTGAACAGGCCAAAGACCGCAGTATTCAGTGCTCGATCCATCTGCATTTTGTCTCTAGCCTCTGCGACGAGACGCGACCGTCGAGCTGCGAGTTGCCGGGCGCAGTCCCCAATTTCCACCAAATACTTCCAACCCAGCCGGTCTTTACCGATGATGCAGGTGCTGTTTTGTCAAACACGGAAAGCAGACGCAGGGTGAAGCAGCATACCTGGTATATATGCAGCCTAGACCCTGCAAGGTCGGTAGACTGACTCGGCCCTCTTCCCGGGCCAACAGGTCTTTTGCTTCTGCAAGAAAATGGAAACCTCTGGAGGTTGGATCGCCGTCGATGGTGAATGCTTCAGGCCAGTCCGAGTAGAACTATGCAGGTCTCGAATCAGTATCGTGACTTGAACAATAGTTTTAGCACACTATCTATCATACACAAGCAACTGCCAGAACGCTGTTGACTAGGAGAGGAGAACAAAATTGAGAATTCAGCATTCCGGACTGCATGTCCCTGATGAAAAGATCGCGATCAATCCAATTCAGAACCAGATGATCCCAGGAGAAATACAATGAGACGAGATGTGACACGAAGTCATTATCATGGGTGACGGACGTCCATGGATGGGCCGAAACACGGTACAGTGGGCTGTCCGTCAACCGCTTGATATCCATTATCTTTCGACGGGTGCTCGGCACTGACTCCTGTCGACTGATTCCGTCTCCGTCAATCTGTTCGCACATCGACGGACTTCCAGAAGAACCGGTGGAAGGGTGCGTCACTGCCAGCCGCAGACGGATCTCTTCCAACGACGCCGCATCACTACGAATCAGACTGATGATGTTGGAGCTGTTGGTTCGATCCCTATCTTGTAATATTTCCACGAGTCTTAGGAAACATTTCCGGTCGTGCTCCAGGGACTCGAGTCGACGTTTCAGGACGATCTTTCGACGTTCGTCGGCCTCTTCATCCACGATACAAATGTCGTTATTTTCGCGACATCTCTGACACGGGACACCGCCGGTGCACTGGTCGGGATTAATCGCCAATGCTAGCGAGGAGATATCACGGAGGGGAGCTGAGGCACTCCGCACCTTGGTTTTCTTGGTCTGACATTTCCTGCACGCCCTGGATACGTTCCTCCGCCTGGGCGGTATCGCCAGAGACCCAGTGCTGTGACCAGCGAGAGCTGGGGCGATCACTCTCTCGCGACGGTTAGTCATCACCACCGAGTTGTTGGTTAACTAACAAAACCAAAAAGACCCCAAAAACCAAAAATAAAATAAAATAAAACAAAATAAAGTGAAAAGGAACAGAAACCTTGCCGAAATAACACGACCATCAGCGGGATATAAGTACCGACTACTCCATATGTCAGAAGGTCTCGCACAGGGAGCTGGAGAGTAGAGACAGCCAGCCCATGAGATGTCGACAGCAAAAGATCGGCACCCCACACGGGGAATGAACGGGGATTGCTCGGATGCGGGCGCATTACAGCGTACCTACTGGCTAGGATTTGATTCCCGGGCGTTGTCCACTTGACGCAGGGAGGGAATGTGCTACCGCCTACGGGAGGACGCGTTGCAACATTGCAAACCGGTTTGAGGATGATACCTATTGTGGTGGTGGTATGTATGTACTTTTGCACTACCTTACCTTTCCTTCCTGGGACAGAAACCTTAGCAGAAGGGGGTGCTGGAGACGCTCGTCGATTAGCGAGTGCTAGGTACCCCGGCCGGCCGGCCAGCAGTAAACAAGGTAAAATTACTTAATGTTCCGGTAACTTTTCGGACGGGGGAAATCTAGCCTAGGCTGGCTGAATATACTCCGGGCTAGTAGTTATACGTAGACGAAAGAAAGAGCCGCAAGAAAGGAGTGTTGTACTAGCCACTAGTCTATTCCCAACAGAATAAAGGAAAAGAAGACACGGGAAAAAGAAAAAGTGAAAAGTGAACAAGTTCTATCACCGTTACAGCCTTCCTTACGTATTGAAAGACCAAGGCTCTAAAGGGAAGGATGTACATCCTATTACTGCAGTAGGATAATACAGGTAATATGAGAGCTGACTTTCGTTTACAGGTCTTATCAATTTCTGGTATAAGGAGTACTCCGTAGAATACTAGTTACTTTGTATTGTTATATTTCGAGACTATAGATTATCTATTATATATGCGCGCAGCTCGGATATATTGTCTAGGAATATGGCCCTATAGTAACACGAGTTAAGCATAAGTACTGATACATTCGGTATGGCCCATGCAGTCATCGAGTCATGCAATTATATTTTATTGTATTACAAGTATTAACGTGCGTCATCCATCGTATCCATCATCTTAAATGTGATACATGGATCCAGAAACTATCAAACTCTATATATTTTATTGCGCTCCTTTCAATATTGTGTACCTCCTTCTTCTATTTCGGTTAGCATAGGATCCAGTATGCAACTCCGTCTCTGGCTCAGGCACTCCACAAGCGCCCAGCGTAATCCCGGAGGAGTGTAAGGAATCTCAGATTCACTAGTCTCTCGATATTGACTGCTTATGATCGAGTTAAATTTGTCTTGACTGGGGCTAGTTGTTCAAACTGTCTGCGCTTGTTCAATCTTCACAAGTTAACTGTCGCGACTCCTGAAGCCCGCTATGGGGCATCGATTGTCGAGGAATCAGTTTGTTCCTCGGAAAACATGTCTCCCGAGCAAAATCCACTCGGTGCAGATTAACGGTCCTGTTGTCGAAATCGAACATTCGCATAATGAAAAATAAGGTAAAATCCAAAGAAATGGTCTTTCTCTGACTGCACATGGAGCAGGACAGCAGCCTGCGTTTCCATGACGCAGCTGATCACAAATTCTTCTCCATTGGGTCGTACTAATTGAAGTTCTTAAGCAATGCATACAACAAAGGAACTTGGCATGCAAAGGGGCCTGCACAACGGCACGATTTTCGTTAAATACTTCATATGCCTCGGATCATGCCTCAACACGGAATTCTGCTATCTCCGACATCTTAGTCGACCGTCTCACACTCTGGAGTGTTGCCCAGCAGCTGGAGTATTTGTTCGCGATTTTTAGAATATATATAGCGTTGTTGAATTGGACTAGTAACAGACATAGTTTAACAAGGCAGTGGCCAGACTGGGAGGTAGCCGGGAGTTTGTTATTTTGTTGGTCCATTCAGAAGGGTAGTATCTCATCAGGTCTAGACCTAGCACTAGTGACTCTGAAGGTCGCTTGATTGTGTCTCGGCATGATCGCATGACAACTTAATATATAACTCGATTCAGTACTCCCACGGAGGAGAAACTGCAGACTGTAGACCGCAACTCCAGCGTGCCATGTCAAGGTCTACATCGTAGTTCTGTTGTGAAGGTTTGTCAGGAACTCCATACACTTGACCCAGGACAATGTTGCTTGAAACACATGGTCTGTATTGTTTCATAGTTGAGGCACGGTATCTCCAATTGGATAATTCTTATCAGAGCACTCGGCCATATCCACAACGTCATGACTTGACACGCAGCCCGCTGAAGCTCGATGGTCGGCTGGAGCAGGCGACAGAGATGCTGCGACAAGTTGTTAAGAAGGAGGTTGAAGGATCTGGGTGATCGCAAACTTATGGGTTATTGTGCTTGTCAAGCTAGAGATATATAAAATTGTACGAGAAGAACCTTGCAGCAGTAGGCATAGTGACTAGCAGGTAGTGATTAAACCTTGTTGAATTGAATGTATCAGATGTGAGAGTCATGTTGATATGGTTATCCACGTCCCAATACTTGAATTTTCGAAGTCGGATAAATAGATCTTGGAAGTGAATTACCCGTAGAGACATGCAAGTATTATAATTCACTAAACACATTGACGGGAGAGGACTTCGAGACTTCAAAGCCATTAACACCAGATTCGAGTGCCAAGGAAACTGCGACCTAGTCTTGATATGATAATGCCTATAGACAGAAGTAGCAATGCTATGTCAACACTCAAACAACATTGAGACAAGAGAATTAGGCATAGAGATTATTCTAGCCGCCTCTGGCCAGTGTCCACAGATGTGACTGTATCCAAGCTTTTGTTTAATCCGTATAGCCTCTTAGATAATATTTCCCTATATTGATGTTCAAGATTTCAACTTCGTTTTACTCCTTTAACAAATTATGGTGCTTGAGTATTAATTTTTAATAGCATATCAACTGTCAGGGTATGCGTAAAGGCTGTTTCTACCTATCCTAATTGATCTAGTACCCAAACAAGGTACTAGCACACATAAAGGTCCAATTTAAACCAAATATAATTACATGGTGGACAGGAAATGTCAGAAGCACAAGTTCATGCAAATAGAAGGACCTTAATGTGGGGGGTGCTTGTACAACACATCCCGCTACAAGTAGGAGTAAATAACTACAGTAGGATGGCTGCATGTCGACCTATTCCTAATTCAAATAATGCATACTAAGCTAGTGCCTTTTTAACTCCAGCTCTGCAGCTCAGTACGCATTTACTTAGCATGCAGAAACCTTCTGAGTCACATTTTAAAGGATCCAATTCTCCCCTGGTGGAATTATTAATTACAATATGGTTCTATGCATTGGTGCTTGACAGGATAACTCATATGCTCTCTATTCCCTACAACTACTGTTATAATCTCCAGGGAATTGGGATTAATAGATGGTTACGCTATAGTGGCTGAACTCAAAGAAGTAACGGGCCGAGAGTAATAATATACCAAAATCGCAGACCTCTCTCCTACCAGGTTATGTAGGCAGTCGGATATTTGGATTCAACCACCGGTACAATGCCATTGACATCAGATATATTCCCAATTACAAACTAGAGAAACTATGGTACATCATTCACTCGCAGCTGCAAAAGGACATCCACCGGTGGTAGATCCCTTCTTATCAATCTGACGGAACATATCCAACGGATCGAACCAGACATCGATTTTCTCGAGCTGCAATTTATCATTGACCTTTGCGATGACAATACCCTGAATATCAATCGCGCCACCATGTGCGGGGACAGTGACTTTTTCACCGGCACTACACATCGTCAGTACGGTCTCATAGAGCATTATATAGTAAGGTACTCACTCATTAACCCCAACATAATCATTCGTCATAACACCCCAATGCCTCCACTTGAATACCACGACGGGCGGCCCACTATACACCTCGGTAACCTCCCACGCAAACGTGGGCATCATGCGCTTGAACGACTTGTGACTTTTTTCGAAGTCGTTCTGCTCGGGATCGTAATACTTGCTCGGTGTCAAGAGGGCATTGTACGTGCCGACTTTAAGCATATGTTCCCCGGTTTGCGGGGGTCCTCCGTTCAGCGAAAAGGAATACACGTTCGGGTCGATAGTGCGCCAGTCCGACAGGGAGGTCTTGAACGAGGCTTCGATTTCCCAGTTTTTCACGAGGTTTTCGACCAGGAATGGGAGACTACCGGATTCGTGGGACATTGTGCGTGCTATATTATTAGAACACTGTACACGCTGCAAAGGAAATGTAGGGAGGTACTTTTCTCGTAGAATGCACGCGTCTTGCTATAATCGGGAGGCTGACCATAACGCCAGGCGGCGTCTGCATCGTTGAGAACGGCATTGGGATCGAGGACGTAGTCGGGTAATTTGTCTGACATTTTTAAGTCTGTGTAGGAGTAGGAAGGGGGTGAGATGCTGAGATGGTAAAACAGAAAATGCAGGAGGCGGCGGTATTTCTACTACGCTACACTACCCCGCTGCGGTCGGAAATGAAGACTAGACCGACTGCCACTAGAGAGATACCAGGGTGACACGGTGCAGCGCTACGGTGTGGTAATTAAGGACGCTAGTGATGGCATCGTAGATTGCAGTCTATGGTGTGTTATATTGAAGGAAGTAGTTCAATGATACGCATTATGCATATATGATCTGGGTAGTGGTTCGTTACCTGGAATTTCTTAATTGCATGTACCTATGAGTTGATTCCATGGATGAAGGTGGGCTGGATCGTCAGGAGCCTATCACCAGCAGGTTATTATCAATGTTCCTAGGGCTGGAACGGTCTTGGAATTAGGTATCTCTCTACTCCGTACTTTTAGGCTGAAACACGGACCATGCATCAGCAAAAACGGTTTCACCTACTTTCGCAAACCTATACGGATTGAGAATATGTGTTCAAAAAAGATACGGAGTAGAAGTGATATAATTAAAAGACCTTAATATCAATCCAGCTATTAACCATCTATCCAGGAGCTGGTTACTCTGTATGTCTTGAAGTCAGCAAGTGAGTCTTGGCAACAAATCTGACCTGAATCTCGACCATCCAGACGGCTCGCGTGTAGCCTAGCGTCAACATAAATTCATCTAATCGTCCGAAGTAGCGGACCATGTGGGTATGGTCACTTGGTGGTTGGTTCGCTGTGTATACTAAAATAGTGCGAGTTATTCTGTGTAATACATGACTTATTTATTGTTAGTCATAACTATGGCTAACTAGTTACCTAGGTCAGCCCGTCAGTTAACTAAATTAGTTTTTGGTGCACTGATTGTAAATATCCCTCAGATTCCATCCACATGGACGGTCCGTAGCGTCAGACCTGTGTAGGTCAACTCCGTGCGTAATCCTGTCCAAAGCCTCGGTGGATCTCACGTTCCGGTACCTCTCACTCAGTTCAGATTTAGGAAGCTGGAAGATCTTGTGGTCTAATCTGGATGATTAAATCTGTTTAATTGTCTTTGTTACAATATTTGTCTCGAACCCAGAGGATCAACTTGTGCCTCAACGAAAGAATGGTGTAGATTACAAATTCGACGCATACAATATTACCGAATACGGCCCCAACGGCGAAGGGATTATAGAAAAACATGTGTTTAATCAGTGCACCAAGCCTAGTGCTGTGATAAGAACAGTATTCTGTGCATTATTAAAAAGCCTTTATGGAAACAATTCTTAGATAAAGAACCGTTGAATCTTCTCCCTCTAAGAGCTAGTTCGAAGAGGAATTGTGCGTTGGAAATGTAGATCGAAGACAGGATGCATAATTAATCAGCACATCTAAACCAATGGATAATGAAAATAATGAACGCATAGCACAATGCGGATAATCGATCGATGAAGCACAATGTCGATCGATCATGATATAATAGATCGGAGAGACAAGACCTGTGCATAATATAAGATGGATATATAGTCTTCAACTTTTCTTGTTCTCTCTTCATCCTCTCATATTCCTTTCCGAACAAGACACAAAATATATGAAGTTCTTGACTTTTGAAAGATAATAATATCACCTACCTCGATACCGCAGGCAGATATCCCCCGACCTGTCCAGGGCGCTCCGAGGAGTTACTCGGTGAGACTGGAGCCGAGTCTCAGGGATTCGCGATTGATACGAAGATTCTGACGCAGGCTGGTGATCACCATGGGGAGATGGAGCGAAGTGCTGTTGAGAAGTCTGTTGATACTAGTTTACAGCGTATGGGTGTTAAACAGGTCAGTAGATATATCTCCGTGGGAAATAAATAATAACCGGGACAAGTATATACACTTCACATTCATTGGCTGGACACACAGACACCGCTGGTAGGGCAATCACAGACTCTGAATGAATATACCAGGCAGGAAAGTTCAAGCTAGTAGGTATTCCTACAGGACAACAGTTCCGGACACCGCTAATCTGATCCAGCTTGGAGTTTCAAACTTTCAGTATGAGACACTTCAAGAGATTAAGGTAATCGCCATGGATATATCAAACCTACCATGTTCCAGAGCGACTATAGCGCAGCCAATCGAGGAATGGAAAAAAAGCTACTGCCGATTCTACGCCAACACGGTATTGCCTATAATGCTTTTCGGTATGCTACTACATCATACCATACTTGTATATTCTAACAGTCTAGTACACTCGCTTCCGGCTTTCTCGCCGGTAAACTTACCCATGGAACGGCAGAAGGCACACGGTTCGGACACGAGAGCTCTTTGAAAGAGTATATGCAGAGTCTCTATGACCAAGAAGCATTACCTAATGCGCTCAAGGCGCTTGAGGCCACCACCCAGTTCCTAGGAATCACGACGATTGATGCGGCATGGCGGTGGGCATATTACCATTCTGTGCTGGGAGGAAAGAATGGGATTATTTAGGGGCTAGCTCGATCGGCCAGCTCAGATCGAATATTAAGAGTATAACTCTGGGGCCTTTGCCAGACGAATGTGTCGTTACCTCAGTAGGATCTGGGAAGAACTGGAGCCGAGGAGAAGATATTCTTTAGACGTAAACTGCTGGACTTATACATTGGATATTTAATTATTGCACAAATAACGGCCATTAACTCAGTGACAAGGGTAAGAAATGACAACAATTATAATAGCCGTAGTCGACATTAAAAATCGAATGATTTGTCTGGTGTCTTCATCTGCACGGTCCCACGCTAGTTGTCGGAATTTATAGGTGTAATTCTATGAGAGCCTAAATATTCTCTGTATTCAGGATTGTGTTGTGTGTTATGTTGACCCCTCATCTTCAGGATCAATCACGTCATGGTTATTTCACACGAGGTCTCGATACTATTCTGCCACTAGTCGATGAGATCATCCAGACTGGTTATGGCAATACCCATGGTCTCAGAAGGCTTGTCTAGACAGCCTAGGTATCTAGAATAAGAATACATTCGATTAAAGAAGCAAGTTAAGAGGAATCGGATCTTATGATGATATTATTGCGGAGACATGTGTCACCATTGCTTACTCGATCTTAGTGTATCTGACATACAGACAAGTAATATCCAATAGAGAATCAAGAGACAGAGATATATCGCCATTTCTTCCGAGTTGAGCATTCCATGGCGTGCCCTCGCACTGTGAGGGGTGTTATTTATAACCTGTTCGCCTTATCCTGCAATAATCCTCTGGACAGCCAACTGAATATTTCTTCGTCACATCAAATCTATTTACTATGGAGAAAGACGAGGAAACCCAGGTGACTGTGACAGTTCATGCGAACAAATCCGAACCCATCCTCCAAAGAGGAGGTGCAAACTACACGGCCGAGACAGGCATCAACTCGACCAGCGTTACCTATCAAGATGCCTCTGGTGCACCGGTTGAGGTCGACTCGCCGTTAGGATACTCCGTTAGTTTCTGGACAAGTTTATGTCTGAACATTAACCAGATGGTTGGAACTGGAATCTTCTCAACTCGTGAGACCCTCATCCCGTACTACTTACTAGTCGATTAATTCAAGCAGCTGCCACCATCCTCGCCGGCGTCGGCTCCGTCGGCCTGTCTATGATCTACTGGTTTATCGGATATCTGCTTTCCCAGAGTACATTAGCACTGTATCTAGAGCTGGCATCCTACTTTCCCAGCCGGTCGGGGAGCGAGGTTGTATATCTCGAACAAGCATATCCGAAACCGCAATACTTCTTTCCAACGACGTTCGCAGTCAAACATGTTGTGTTCTCCTTTGGGAGTAGCAATGCTGTTGTCCTGGCGCAGTATCTATTCGGTATTTCTGGGAAAGAATACACAAATTGGCAGTTGAAAGGGGTAGCAGTGGCGGTGTATACATTGGCTTTGATAGGTTCGTATGACGATATAGTGTTGGCAACAGCTAACAGAAAAAGTTGTCGGCGCGAATACCAAATGGTCGTTACGGGTTGTAGTCTGGTTTGGCGTTGTTAAAATCGCCACTTTAGTGATGTCCGTATCTACTTGAACCCTGACCCAACTTCCTGAGCAAAGAAGCTAATGATGGACAGGATATCAATCGCCGGACTAGTTGTCCTCGGGGGACATACCAAAGTTCCAGATCCCCAGTTAAACTGGAGAAATGCCTGGGAAGGCACATCAGAGGCATCCGCCTATGGAGCCACGAATGCCATGATGAAGTTGATATTCTCATATGCAGGCTACACCAATGCATTTAGTGTTGCCAACGAGATCAAGGTACGCCAAATGGTATAACACGACTATCCGACTGACCAGTCCAGAACCCAGTCAAAACGCTACGCTGGAGCGCCCCATTCTCACTGATCCTAGTTACCAGTCTATATATCCTAGTCAACGTGGCGTATTTCTCCGCCGCGTCGAGGGAAGAAATCCTGAGCTCGAAACAGATCGCGGCGGGGATTTTCTTCGAGAAAGTATTTGGTACGAATGGCGCCGCGCGTGCATTGAATGTCCTGATCTGCATCAATGCGTTTGGGAACCTTATAGCTGTGATGATTAACTATTCACGAATGCTTCGGGAGACGGGACGGTGAGATTCTTTCTTATATTATACATCCAATACTGACATAGAAATTCAGACAAGGAGTCCTCCCTTGGTCTAAATTCTGGACCTCAACAAGACCATTCGGGACTCCTCTGGGACCGTACACTGTTCAATGGGCTATTACCGTCATCATGATCCTGGCACCACCGGCTGGCGATGCATTCAACTTCGGTTTGTCGTGCTGTCATACCGCTATCTACTCCTGCTTACAGCAACAGTGGTCGATCTATCCGTCTATCCAACCAGTATCTTCAACTTCCTCCTAGTGGTAGGACTCTTGGTGATCCGTCGACGACGTCGTAAATTCCACCTCCCTCGACCGGAGTATCGCGCCTGGAGCATTGCCATTGTCTTTGCCCTGCTCACGAACCTCTATCTACTGGTTGCACCGTGGTACCCACCATCCGACGGGGCCAATGGGGGAGATGTCAGTTTCTGGTACGGAACGTATCTGGTTGTGGGGATTGGGCTGTAAGTATCTCTGATGTTGTTATTAGCCTGTTTCTAATTTGGATAGGCTTCTCCTCTGTGGAATTTATTATTATGTCTGGATAGAAGCGCTGCCGAAGTATAAAGGATATCAGTATCGACAGTCGCTGCTGGAGTTTGACGACGGGTCGGTGGTTCATAAGCTGGTTAAAGTGTCGAATACGGATCTGGACAAGTGGGATGAGCATCATGACGCTGTTGGGAGATTGCGGTACCCTGGGATTAGTAACTAGATATAGAGGATGTGTTTGAGTGGTTTCTTATGCAAATTGATATTTTTTATGTATAGCGGAATATATCTATTGGTAGTAGTGTCTGCTTAATGACCGCAGTACTGATGGTGTCCAGCACCAGTTCTCCAGCATCTGGCTCGGGGCTTCGCCAAAGTCTACTTCTGTCTCTGTACCGTGGAAATGCGAGTAAGTAGTCTTCGACATAAGATCATGGATCCCGTGGCCCAGTTCGTGAAACAAGGTAACAACTTCGTCGTGTTTTAAAAAACAGGGGGTTTTAGAACTAGGCTTGGAGATGTTGCACACCAACGCTGTGGCAGGATGTCGACGTGTGCTGTTTTCTTGGATAAAGCCCTACGGGAAGTCAGTCTTGATCTATACGAAGATGTAAGGATTTTAACAAACAGGTATTAGGTTAAAATTGGCTGCATTGGCATATTTACTTTCCCGAAGGAAAAGATCCATATAAAGATACCCGACGAAGCCATCGTCGTCGTCGGCGTTCCAGACACTAAAGACCTGCACGTCTTCATGCCAGACAAGGGCATCTCCAGGACTAGCTAGCTTGGTCCCCTCGTCTCTGCTAAACTCACTAAAAAAAAAATACTAAATAAAGTCTCGCAGATCCTTAGCATACCTGTAATAGTGCTTTGAAGAGGGAAATATTCCGCAAATTTTCTGTTGGTGCACTAAGTACTGCTTCTCCAACATTATTCGAGTATTGATAATCCCACAGAAAATACCAGCCATCGAATAATTCTCCACGGGACTCAAGGTCGGCTTTCTTAAGCTGCTTTAGCTTCTCAACTTCTCTCTTACCATTATCTCTTAATCGAGCTTGTAAATCACTAAGAAAAGAATTCACAGTTTCTGGACACTTTGCTAACTTATCTTCAATTCGCAAAGCAGCATGACTAGGATACCCAAGCAGACGAGCGCTTTATCACGAAGCAGTATAGACTCCCTAAACAGGGACATATTCTGTTCACACTTATTCTTGTTAGTAATATAAATGCGTCTCCGCGTTTCACTGTCCCTCACATATCTAAGCGTTTGAAAAAGGTCTGTATCATTAAACGCCACTCGGACCTTATCCTCATTGACCTCCCCTACTTCCCCTCCCATTAACTTAGATAGAAATTCACCCGGTAATCCATTAAACTCCCCAGCCGTAAACCAGATATCCGTACTATTCGCTCGACCAAATTTCTCTGAAACTCAGCCTTAATCCAACTAAGACGCGACTGAATCTCCCGAAACCGATCCCTCTGGCAACCAGCCGACAATCTCAACCCATGCCGAATATAACCCATATATATCTTCTTTAACAGGCGATAGTATTCTAGATCCAGGTCTTTTATTCTTGTGGAAGACAGCCTCAACCAGCGCAAATAAACCGTAGTTATCCAACAGATTCTGGGCCTCGGTGGAGGCATTCCGCAGTTCGGGGTTGGTCGACAGGGCTCTATGGAAAACAAGAATATGGGACTTGGAAGCCAGAGCATTGTCGATGTGAGCAAGGGGTAGAATGACGTTGATATATGTTGCGGTGTTGGCTGCACGTTCATTTTAATCTGGTTTTGGCCTTCGCGTGCACGCTCGATTAAATATTTGGTATCTTGGGTGACTGAGACTGGGGTTGCTGTGAAGGCTGGGGGTTGTTGGGGTGGGTTTCGTTGCTTTGGGGAGAGCATTTTTGATGAGTCGAAGGGTTTCACTTTTTTGCTCTGTATGGGGAATTGGAATGATTGGCATTGGATTGTAGGGACTCCTGACTTGGTTCAGACTGAGGAAGAGGGTTGCCGGATGGTCATCAGGAAGGATAGAGAAGTCTGATTTAATCTATATCGTCTGCTTACTGGATAGGTAAGGTATATTAGATCATACTTTTGCACTATTACGTGATATACTATTAACAGCGGTATTAAGGAACTGCAAGTAGTGGAATAGTGTGCTACGGCGCCATAGATTTATAGTATAAGTAGGTCAGAATTCTATATTATCAAACTATTTAATAGATTCGACAGATTTAATAGATTTAATGAATTTAAATTTCAACTTGATTTTTAACTTTAATATCACTATTGAAGAGCTAACAGAAATATGGCCAATGACTTTAAATCCACTTAATATGTTCATTAATAACATTGCTTTTGAGTGAGCTAATAAATAAATAGATAGAAAATCTATCTAATTAATAGTTTAACTCCCACTATTTATTATTTCTTGCACTTTTTGACCATAAAATCGCTTTAAAGGTGCAAAACAGCTAACATCGAGTGGTAGGAAATGGTGAGATGAATAAGGAGGCATATATAGCAGTAAAAATAATCTAAAGGGGGGGGGGGAAACCCAACCACTTGCTCCAACAGCCAAAATTAATGTAATCCATTCTCTATCGCCTGGTTGGATTAATTTAATATTAAATTTGCGTATTTCCGCGCTGTAAAAAACTTTAGCTGTTGATATTATATCTATATGGAAGCCAGTTTCATCTATGTTGTAGATATCTTGTTCTAAAATATCTTATTTTGTTATAGTATTTTGAACTAAAACTAGCCCTAAATAATATATGGATCTTTACACTTCGCCCGCTGATACTCATATCGGTGATTATGCCTTGACTTAATATCATCATGGCGTGAAATAAATCGATTGACTCATTTATTACTAACTAGATCTAAGATAGATGCCTGGGATGACAACGAAGACTTTTGGCGTGCAGATATTAAAAGTCCAGCAAGATATCAAACTTGGAAGATCTGCGGTGATAGACCACGCTCAGCCATATCAGCAATCCATCTCTTTAAGGTGTCCTCTTCACGAATAGATAATTTTCAGCCATTAGCAAGTATATCTTTGCGCGCAGTTATTCCTTGAACTCGATAATAGAAAGTCTGTGGAGGCATATCAAATGCCTTAGCACAGGCATTTTTTGACTGAAAATAATTATTATTCCATGCTTCGATAGCCATATTCATTCTTTCATCCTTTGAGATAGAAGTCATTTTAATAATGATACTAATATCGATTAAAAAAGGCTTCGAAAATTTAGATAATGGAGTTTATAGGAAAGCGGTTAAAAAGTTTCGACATTCGGTGTCCGGTTGCGTTAGGGCTTGATGGTTCGTTGACTAACCTCTGAGCCCGCTCGACCCGCCGATTGAAATGCATGTTTAATATAAAGGGCACCAAAGGCTGCACTGGTATCTATCTACTATGGGCAGACTTTCGTCAGCAGCCAGCGTTATTGGTGTCCTTCAACTCACGGGGGGTGTTGCGAAAATATGTAGGACGTTATCTTTCAGCGGTCGGTTGCAGGACTTGAAGAGACTGTCAAAAAACTCAAAGAATTTCTCCAAGGCCCTCACGGTACCAACCTTCCCGCCTCCTCGTTGCTGGCCAATACTATAGCCGATTGTCTTTCGGACCTCGCATCCCTGGAAAAGAAGATCAATCCAGGGAGCAAGAAGCGAGCTTCATCTTCAAGAGGGGGAAGGGGACAGAGAAACTGCAATCAAGTTCTTTTCAACAATCGCAAGGCAGCTAATGGTTCGCGTCCCTCGACTTATTCTAGGTGTCCAGAAATCACTTGACGATGAGCCTGATCTCACAAGCAAATCATTGAAGGAGCAGTTTGATAAATTACTCTTCCAGCTGCTGCTGAGTTTAGAGTCTACTAACGGCCAAATGCCGACCATGGTAATAGTGATTGACGTATTGGACGAATGTGGACGGGATAAGGACATGCGGATAATTCTTCAATTACTACCACAGCTACGGAACTTAAAAGCCCTACGCTTACGTGTCTTTTTGACGAGCCGGCCAGAATTGCCAATTCGCCTGGGATTTTCAAACATCCAAGCCATGAATTGAAGACCTGGTTTTCATAAAACTCTCGAGCCTGTGATAGAGCATGATATAGCCTTATTCTTAAAGCACCGACTTTCAACAATTGTGGCGAAGCGCTCCCTCCTATTGGCAGGCCTGGAGATACTGATATTCATAACCTTGTGAGATTATTGGTTCCATTGTTCATTTTGCCGCTATCGCATGCCTGTATTCGAGGACCCTCGGTGGGACCCGGTGGAAAGTCTAGCTGAGATCCTTGCGTATCGGGATAATGGGTCACAATTTTCGACGGGACGTATCTTCCTGTGCTGAATTGGCTGCTTCAAGGACAGAGTAAGAGACAGGAAAGGCAGCTGATTCAAGAATTTCGGGAAACTGTTGGTGCTGTTGTGATGTTTGAGAACTCACTTTGGATAGTCTCGGCGCCTCTGAGGGCTAAATTGACCGAAGGTTGAACCCGATGCCCTCGGTTCTAAGTATACATGATGATCGGATCCAGCCGGTGCGGCTGTTTCATCTATCGTGACTTTCTTCTTGATTCGCAGACACGTTGGAGTACTCGATTCTGGGTCGATGCGAGGAAGGTGCACGGTAGATTGACCACGTGATGCCTCTTTGTGTGTAATGGTCTGAGAAAGAATAAGTGTGGAATAAGTGATGGCACAGAGCATGCGGAGATTGATCTCAAAATATGGATCACTATATCTCTCCAGAGCTACAATACTCCTACCATTACTGGGCACATCATCTGACACAAAGCGAAGACCCTAACGCTGAAATGAATAATGCCTTTATAATACTTCTGGAGCACATTCGGCATTGGGTGGAAGTAATATGCATTCTAGGGCTTGCATCTAAAGTCGTGGAGTTAATTGCTTTATTGCAGACACATTGATGTAAGTTCCTTCCAACTACTCGTAATTTAACTTCTTCTTCTTCATCTGGTACCTGCTACAGCAATTAATGCTCACAGAGACCAAAATCTCCATCGTTGAATTCATCATTCTGAGCCGTTGAAAACACGCTCCGTTCCTCCATCAGTTCCAGCCGGAGTTCCTTGGCTTCGTCCATCGTTATGGGGAAATTGTCCATTTGCTGGAGGACCATTTTCTGGAGCTCCACAGGAAGCCTCCTGCTAAGCAGATCCTTTCTCACGTCCAGAGTTCCCTCCCACCAGTCTGCTCTCTGCGGAGGAACATTAGCTGTAGAGATAATGCGTATGTGCGGATCGACAAGGAACAGAGCAATTATCTTGCGGTGGCCAGGCCTTGATGGTTCGGCTAGCTGGAAGGGCGAGACGCGGTGTTGTAGAATATTTGGGAACGTTATAATACGACCTTCGCGACAGGACACTTTGCCTAGGTCTTGGGTGACTGGACCTTCATTATCGCAGCCAAATACCTGTTTTAACCAGCTTTTATGATCCTGCTCGTAGCTTATATCTCCATCCAAGTCATCGTTTTCCAGACGTTGGCGAAACTCGAGGGAGCTTGGCTTAATATTTTCATTAGAGTAATAATATATAGCTGTGGCACAGATGTGCTCGTTCTATATTATAATTTTAGCGTACATGGCACTGCAGGCGATAACTGGAAGGGGAAATTGGTTGGAAAAGAGAAAAAGCTGACAATGGAGACTTACTAGTTGTCCTTCAACATGCCATGAACCCCCATTATACTTTGGCTTTTCAGGTGTTAACTCGATATTGGCCAATTTCACAATGACTTGCAGCCCATTTTCACAGAATTTACTTTGCAAGTCAAACGGTTCCTGCCCGGAGAAAAAAGACGGGTCAAAAGCTCCAATTTCAGGGGGGGCAACTGTACGAGTTGCTATCAAATCAAGGTAGCGCTCACGGTAGTCGTCGTAACGATTGTCGAAGTCCTCATCTGTCTCGCCGTCCTCTTGTTCGGGCTCTTGAGGATCCGGAGTAGTCCCTGGTAAGTACTTAACAGATGTAAATTCGACTCTATTCGGTCGCACTTCGTTATGAAATAGAGGTGTGAGAGTCATGTTCCAGAGAGGGATGGCTCGGGAAATTATTTCCTCAATAACTCTATAGAGGTCACGATGCTTGTCAGGACGCAAGTTGTTAATGTAAGATACAATATGGCACTTATTAGAAGACGGATCAAATTTGACGTTGCAAGGCAGCCATTGAAACTTTTGACTATAAAGAGGGATTTTTTCGACTTGCGTCGCGTAGCGTGCATATCTTTTAGATGTGCTGGCGGGAGGGACAGCCAGGACCTCACCATTGCCTGAACGTGCTAAAAAGTCATCAAGCCCTACCACACTATCTTGGAGGATCCGGCTCCGGCCGTAAACAAGAGGAAATAGCGATGGGTGTAACAGATCCACTACCTGCTTATTAGAGCCAGGATGGTAGTCTTTCTGCTCGTCAGGGATGTTCTCCAAGGGCCGCACTGCCATCTTCAGGGCTTTCTTAAGCTCTTCTGAAATTACTGTATCAGACTTCACTATATCTCCGTCAAACGCGGAAATAATTCCCTCTTTTTGGAACAACTCCGATTTGTAGCGCAATTCATCAAGGACCCAATCCATCATTTTTGGCGTGATCTCATTTGAGCTGCCCAGCACTTCCATCCGCCACTTCGCAGTAATCGACTCTTCAAAAATCTAGAAAATTTCTTAGAATATATATTGAGTGGTTTAAGGTTGTATAGGTGAGTAACAGACCTTTCGGTCCCAGTCTGGTTTGTCGGTGATGGCGTTCATGATCTGCATCATTGAAACTTCCCATAGGGTTTTGTGAGCTCTAAAAGTGCGTTAGACAAAGAAGGTATGAAGGGGTTATTCCAAGCATACCCGTGTAGAAACCCACCCATATTAAGTGCACTAGGAAAGGACTCCTTATGTTTGGCTGGTTAGGCAAAGGTTCTGGGGGCTGGCTTTTCAAGGTCTTACTTCTGGCAAGTAGTCCAATGGGAGATTAAACCCAGGGAGACAATTCAAGGTGAGAGGAGGGTCAGGGAGGCGATCCAAGTAAGCCATGGTAGGAGTCAGATCGGCTGTCTTGTCCAGCAGAAGTTGCACCACCTCCCAATGTCCTCTCATCATTGCAGAGTCGACGGCAGTCATTCCTAGGCTGTTTGGAATAGTCCGATCGGCTCCCCTGACCAGTAAAAGTCGCACCACCTCCAAATGGCCCTGGCTTGCAGCAGAATTAACAGGAGTCCAGCCATCACTGGTAGCTATAGTTGGATCGGCTCCCTTATCGAGCAGAAGTCGTACCACTTCCAGATGGCCACTATTAGCTGCAACACCAAGGGGAGTCCAGCCATTTCTAGTGGCCACAGTCAGGTCCGCTCCCCTATCCAGTAGAAGTCGCACCACCTCCAGGTGGCCGTTCATTGCTGCAGAGTGAAGGGTAAGGCCATCTGCTCTAGCACATACTGTATGATCCTGCATTGTTTGAGAGTTGGAGTCAGACACGCTGTCTATTCCTGTGGTAGGAGACGAAGACAAGACTGGGTTAAAAAGGTCTCAAGACCATGCACGCTTTATATGTAGAGCACTGTTAGCCTTAATCTTTTACCAGCTCGGCGGACCGCCATAAACGGCAAGCCAGTTCCTACATTGCTATAGGTTATGATTGGCCGGGCCTGCAAATGTGGCTAGATAAGCTTTGAACTAAGCAATGAGGGTTACATTGGTGGCCTAAATCTCTCCCCTTCTGCCTAGCACAGCAACCGCAATGGGGCCTTAAAATTTGCTGGAAACGTTTTGCCAGATCTTGACTTTGCACATTAGTAAAACACTTCCTTTTGATCCAAAACAAAAAAAAAAAAAAAAAAAAAAAAAAAAAAACGTATATGTTGGACTGTTAATTTAAACAGGAGCTTGTGGATGATATACTGAAAGAGAAGCAAAGAGAAAGAAGCTAGGGGCGTGTCTAGCGGAGCATTGCATGATTAGCAAGGCTCTGCTACGTATGCGATCTGTAAATAAGAATAATAAAAATCTGGCAAGAGATGTGTAACCTCCTATGTCAAGTAATGAGTGGCTCTTGAAGGAACCTTTGGGAGAGCAAAGACCCTGAGACATGCCCAAAATCGGTGCACTTAGATCAGGAGATGTGCGGTCTGGAGTTACAATATAAAAGCAATACATTGGTCGATTTACTGACCATTCTACTTTATCTTTATCTGCCTCCTTTTTTCTTGCCCGGCCTTTTTTATTCTCATAGAATTTAACATATTTTAAGCCGGGTTGAGGCTATAAGATTTGAAATGTTGGTGCTTATTTGTACCTAGAGTTATATGTAAGCCACTTTTATCTGCCCTGGAAACCAAAAAGCAAATTTACTAAATCATAATTTAAAATATTCATCTTCTCTTCCTAGAGGATGGATTATCTTGCCCTTCAGTGCTAATTATAGTTAATTTTCTCTTCCCAGTCCTTATATCATAGTGCGTGATGTCCTCTTGCTGCTTGTCAACAGATTTACTTCCATCCTTATAATCAACTTCACGTAGGGTGGAGTCACGCTTCGCAACCAGGATCAATTAATATTGTAGGCGGCCTCGTAGGCTTGGTTCAAATCTAGGTAGACTATTCTGGAGTCCCTGTAGACAAGAAAGTAGTGCTCTTTGGACAGTTCTTCCAGGCTATTTTGCAGATCGCCGCCTCCAGTGGCGGGAAATTTGTAGTCGTTTCTAGACTTAAAAAGGAATAGGACAATCACATACTCCAGCTCGCATTTGTACCATGTGTGAAGAATCTCCATAGCTTTGTAGTAAAGGGTTATCTCCGCCTTTACTTTTAATGGTGCCTTGGAGATATGTTCCTCAAATCCAGCATATTATTTTCCACCCCCGCTGTCCAATTAGACGTCCCTGGAGGATGTGGTTGGAGAACTAACATATTATCTGGAGAAAGTTCAGGACTTGCTTCCTCCTCTGACTCCGCCGTGGTTGTAGTAGGTATATCAGTGTGTGCTTGGGCCGAATGCTAGGAGAAGACATGTCTCGATGGACTGAATTCTGTCGTACGCTTTACTCTGGACTACTCCTGCACGAACATACTGTATAATAGCTCCTTGCTAAAAAAGCGAAGAAGATTTCTCTTGTAACTGCGAAGGAAGTCGGATACTCAGAGGGCGTTTGATCTGCGCCGTAGACTTTGTTAAAAAAAGGGGCTTGCACGTTTATACAGGTGCTTATTCTGCTAGGGAGAATTAAACCGCCGGCATGCCTTTATATCGAGCTGAGCAGTAAGCGCTGGACAACTAACCGAATTAGCTTTGACACGAGAGAGATGATAAATGCCCTCCTCAGAATTCCGTGCTATTGTTTGTATTCTCCTATTATCAATGTGATAGAACTTCTCTTCGCAAATAGCCCTGAACATCTTCTTAGTAAATAACCTGTTATTCTTCATGTCTAGAAACTCTTTGCTCCGTTTACAAGAAAACTGGGGCTAATTTGCCAACGCAGCCATTCCGCTCAGGGGGAGAAATCCTTTTGGTCATGTATAATTGCAGCTAATTCTTGGGCTTTGTCTTTCCGGGGCCGGGTGAAATATCTTAGGGCATATAACCAAAGTTAGGTAATACCGTCAATAAATAGAGGTTGTCTGACAACTACATCACCCAATCTAATATCGTTGTCTGGGCTTGGACTCCCCCGCAAATTCCCACCATAACACCGAACGTGATATTCAGGAAGCTCGATAGCACCCGCTGCGCGACGGCAGTGGCGGAGCTAGTACCGTAACCTCCAGTGGAGAGACAGGTAATCGCTACATAATGGGATTCAATCTTTCCAAGGGAGTATTCGTTGTTGTCTGATGGATGCAGGTGCGTCGTGTCGGGGTGTTTCCCGCCCAAGATGCTCTCCGCCCGCTCTCTCGATGGGAACAGTGGAGATCCAGACTACAGCTTATCTCAGGTTGAGGTACTTCATCTCGTGATATTGTGTATGGAAAGTGGTCAGTAAATATAGTATATAATCATATTTAAACGTTAACGTCAAGCAATACGAGGTGCCATGTACATTGCCTCCCTTATCTCCCTTGTCGACAACCCAGAACAGACGACTGAACGCGCGTCTCCAGCCTTTCGTCTTGAAGGCTAGATCCAACCATGTTCTAACTATACAGTCATGGTGTTTGCTGGATGTATCGACTGAGAATCAGGATTCAGGGGCCGGATGGATTGCAGATGGGTCCCGTGAGTAGCATTTTTCAGATATCCAGATACTTAGACTTGACAATATTGAGCTATCTTGATCGAACAGGCCAACGATGGCGAACATACTAGTTTGCCTGGGAATGCAAAAGTGTCTTACTATGAGTTCGTCTGCTCTTCAGAAGTAACTTTGGCTGCCTTGAAACTCAGCAGAAAGACTTCGTGGGTATTTGAGAGGCATGTATGCTGATGAGAGCAGAATGAGATGCATAGTCCAAGTGTAGTTAGTTGTTGTATTTCCTTTTTTGAAATCAGATCACTCTTTCTTGTTTTATCCTCTTCTCTTATTGTCCATCCTCTACATTTTTCTCGCCTTTCTTTTGGGCATCTTCGACACTGTTATATTAATTTTTGAGCTTGTCGAGCAAAATTTAAACGTACAGATATCTGATACCAATTTAATGTCTACATTATGACGACCATACAGATGAAATGCATTGATAGTAAGTAGAACGGCCTTGTACTGCCGCCCATAACTAACGCTAGTTCAAAACACTTGAGTAGAGTTGACTATCTACCTAGTAAAGGCGAAGAAAACTCCACAGCCCAGAATAAATTAGATAGAAAAATATTTATTTGCATCATGGGGTCCTTGTCTATTTTCAGCGCCTACTCGAATCCGTACATGGCAATGACTGTAGTTAAACAAAAGATATATAAACTTGTAGATAACTGCTTCCTATATTCGATTTTACAATCATAAACAGATCCTTTTTATTTTTTTTCCCCTCCGGTCACAGAAAACAAGCTATAGTAATATTTTATCTACTACCGAAAGCTACGTATGAGAGATACAGCTCTTAGATAGTCCTTTGCTTTCTTTTTTAATACATATAAAAATAATCGAATACAGACCCGGGCAGAAGGAAACATCAGGATTACCATGTATGACACTCTCTCAACTGTGTTATTAGCCGTAACTCATCTGAGCTGTAAACACTGTGTCATTTCTATCTCCATCTCCATAATCCTCTGTTCTGGCAGTGAAACGTCCACCATGTTGTTCATCATAGAGCCTCTCGTCCCAGACCCGAGCGTCTTGCCAGTTACCGTTTTCTTGAAATTGGAATCGTAACGTACAGTGTCGTGGGTATGGGTCAGGGTCCACCTGAAGCTTATCGGTTCCGCCGTCAACTTTCATGGACATGCCTTCGCCCTGGCCCTCCATGATATGCACCTCAGGCCGGTGCAAGCCCTGACTAATAGTGATCATAACCCGCTGTGGATATTCAGCATTGGTGATCCCATTACACGTCCAGTTTGAGTTTGGAGGAATCTCAAACATATCGGGGTTCATTGCCTCGGTAAGGACCATTGTGTAGTAAAATATAAATATAGAAGACTTAGTCCTAGTAGGTAGTTAACATGTAATGAAGAACTTGCTTTGGTAGAGTACAGAGAGGGGGAGAGATAGGATAGAACGTGCAAACCAGATAGTATAAATAGCCCAGAGTAAGACGACCGCCAGAGCTATGCATGTGTGATAAGTAATGACATCGACCCATCTGCTAAATCACGGTACCAAATAGGTCTATGAATCATTAAGATGGCAGTAAATTATATTGATCTAGGCTGAGCATATATCCTGATATCATCTTGGAAGGTTAATATGACGTACTTGGGCATGATCGCTGACCGCTGATTACAGTCAAGTAAAATAGAAATCATAGCTATATAGGTATAGTATAATTGAAATAAGACTCTAAAATATCTCATGACTAGGTCGATATACGGAATTATCTAGTAGATTAGATGTTTGAGCAGCTAATACTTCCATCAAACAGCAGTCTCGATGAAAGCTTTAGAAGAATGGATTCTTAGCATACTACATACAGACATCAAACTTGCTACTCTACTTCCTTAGCCACGCCACATGTCGCGGTCAGTTTTAATTAGTTTTAAGTTTATAGCTTTGTCTGTATGCAGTAGAGAAGACCGACAGATAATCTACATAGCATTACAGGAATGTGATGTCATGGAGCACTGTCATTCGCGTGGGCAAAAAAAAGCGGGTATTACACTACGGAATTGACATCAGAACTGAGTTAATGTCTAACCGGCCCTTCCGCCTACCGTCTCTATGACCACACTATGCGAACGGGCTGGTTACGTATATAACTCATTGTTTATATAGAATATCTGGATTCGAGATCCAATAACCCCTAGCGCCTTGGTAAGCGCTCAGTATAATCCCCCCTGAATCGCTCTCATTCTTTTAGACAGAGTGTACGTTGGAGAGAGCACGTTGGCTACGGTGGTTGATTCAGTTGATTGTTGTTACGCCCAGCCTCTTTATGACTAAAAAACCTCGCTGAGCACATCGTTGCCAATAATATACTGAACCTGGATCTACGGATATGATTATTTATACTTTTTATTCTGTGCACACTTTCCTGGCTGTCGTAAGCACTTACAGTGTCATTACCGTAATATACTGCGAGAGGAGACCCCGCTCGAGTATAATCTGCTGTGTACTCCCCATCAGTTGCTTTCGTATTTAATTTGATTACTGAAGCCAGTATTATCCTGTATGAAGAACAAGGGTTTCCATCTGTAATTAGCTGTTGCAATCGCAGTTCCTAGGATCTGTCATTGTGAATGACTTGATCAAAACTCAATTGATTTTACATACCTCTACGGATGCCAAGATCGTCCAAGACGATGAAAGCTGTGGTATGGGCTAATGTTGTATTTCTCGTCAACAAACAGGAAGGTGAAATGATAGTCCATGAAAATGAGTTATAAAGGTAAAAGGTGTGTTAATTGATTTATATAGTTTATATGCCTGGGTTTTGTCATGCTGCTTGTCACGATTTGGGGTTTTTATGTTGCATAAGGTTGGTTAGCAATAGTTAATCTAATCTACCACTGAGATGCTAATACCACCGAATAGCGGCTTTACACCGTAAGCATAAAAGTTTAAATCATTTCAAAACTGAGGGTAGGATATCAAAGTTCCTAGGATCGGAGGTTAGATGTGAGATCACCAGCAGCATCAAGGACTGACTTGGTGACATCATGTACGGACACAATGAGCACGAATAGGGCATCGTAGTGCCCGACAGTGGATAGATGAATAGTGCAGGAGTGATCAAGAAGAATCAGAAGTCATACAGCTTGGAATGCCTCTGGGAGTTTAATCCCTAAATATGGAGCTTGGCTTTCATCTCTGTCAGCTGTATTCTACATAGAATAGCCTGTAATTAATTGCTGAGGCAACTAATGAAGGATTGCCATAAATTTCGATATTCTCTGATTCATCAACTAGGTTAGGAAAACTGGATAGATTCTATAGATCTATAAACCAGTTTGCAGTATGCTGCTTATAAACCAGATATATGCGGACGCCCTGTAGGAAGCCAGGTAGGCTGTGCAACAAGGGTGCTTTTGAGGAAACAGTTATTAATAGTTGAGAAAATACCATGGTTCCAGACCCGGAGCACCCAGCTAATTACATCAGATATGGTGATAGTATTCAGTGGCGCAAGATTACTCTCATTGTTCAATTGATGTACTGTAAATATTATTCCTTTAGTCACCGGTCAAATGAGCCGCCTGCTTCGCAAGCTGTTTAATAATGTCATGTTTGGATTTGATCGATAAGAGACCTGCCCACGATGCGCGTTTTAAGCTGGCTCATAATTATGAAACGTTCACGCAGACTGTAGAACATCTCTTCCAGAAAATCAAGGGGGAATTTCCGATGGTGTAATACATAGACCATTATTGACTATACGTGTGTTTACATTTCAAAGCAGACGTTTATCTGCCTCGATCAATCTTAACCGAGATCTTTCTCATATACACCCAACAAGGCCAAATTCCTCTATCTTTCATCCCCATTGTCAAAGAGAAACAGCCTGGATACTTGGTGGGCGGATCCACCCGACAGTGCAGATGTCCAGGCGACCTTTCTGTAAGGTACATGTTCGTGATGTGGAAAGTGTAGAACGGGACAGGAATACTCTATACTCAGTGAAATATCGGCATGTGTAGAGAGACTGTAACGAATCGATAGTGCTTGGTTTATACCGCTATATTAACGGGTAAAAGGCACAATTTTGGTCACCAACCAAACACCAAGCTACTATATAAGATCATATCGTGGCAGAGACATACTCGCGGAATTGATCTCATGGTCAAAATCGTGAAGATGGACCGTGGAGCGATTACGGACAGTAAAATCAATTCCAAAAAGACCGTTTCTATTCACTGGTCACAGGGGATATCTGGAGTTGTTCTGATTCTCTATTCCATCTTTTGGCCCTATTATTAAACATCTGTACTGGTAGACGGTCCGCTAGAATACTCAGTGATCTATCAAGGAAAATGGGAGTTAATAGACGGCAGATACGGACATAATGTGACAGAGCTGCCTGGAGTAATGGGCATCTTTAAAAAAAGAATATAAGGCACATGGGCAAAGCAAAAATATTCGGAGAGATCAACATTTTCACCCACATCTAATTAGAAATAAAAAAAGAAAAAAACAACCGGGTGAAAAGAGAAGTAAAATCAACAATTCATTGCGCTAACCCATTATGGAACTATTTTACGCCCGTATTGAGGATTACGTGGTCACCATTGACCCAGGTCTCCCCAAAGCCTGAGATGATTTACGCAAAACTATTTAACCGCCTCTTAACCCTTCCAAAGGGAAAACAAAACCATTCCAACTCTCTTCTTTAAGAAAAAATCTACATCGAAATGGTACGTGCTGTGTGGACAAATTTACTTTCGGATGTCTCCTTGCGGAGATCGTCCCAAACCTTATCAAGTATCGCTGGCAATGCATATCTCTACGGAGGGGAGCTGCAACCCCGTGCGCCAGTGGACTCAATTATATATTGCATAGCCGTGGACCGTGGTACGTATACCATCGCATGGCTACACGAAAAAGGTGATTTTAATAAAAGACAGATGGAGGTTTGGCCAACAAAATCTCCACGATTACCAGTCCATCCATAGCACCACAACCAAGAGTCGGAGCAGCATCTACCACACTTGATGGCAAGATCTATGTGTTTTCAGGCCGTGGTGGAACCGCCATGGCGCCGATTGAAGAGAACGGTTCATTCTGGGTTTTCGACCCTAGTGCCAGTACCTGGTCCCAGGTTAAGCCCGAAGATCCTGAGCTCCCGTATCCTGCGGGACGCAGCTATCATGCCCTTGCATGCAACGGCAAAGATACAATCTTCCTCCACGCTGGCTGTCCAGAAAAAGGTCGGCTGTGCGACTTGTGGGCATTCAATATTGATACTCTCCGATGGAGCCAATTAGCATCGGCTCCGAAGCCTGAAAGAGGCGGTACTTCGATTGCATATGCAGCGGGGAAACTGTTCCGGATGAATGGCTTCGATGGAAATAAAGAACAAGGCGGTGCATTGGACGTGTTTGATACGATGAAGAATGTCTGGGATACCATTCATTATCCGACGGATGGAATTTCGGGTCCCAGTGCGCGCAGTGTGAGCTGTCTGTTGTCGGTTAAAGTTGCTGGGAAACCATGTCTTGTCACCATGTTTGGTGAGCATGACCCCAGCAGTCTGGGCCATCAGGGAGCAGGTAAGATGCTTACGGACGTGTGGATCTTCGACATTACGTCTCGGAAATGGACAGAACTCCGGCCGGATGGAAAAGACGCGCCTCAAGGGCGTGGGTGGTTCGATGCGGATGTGATTGAAAACGATTCACAGTCAAGTATTGTTATTCATGGCGGTTTAGCGGAGTCAAATGACCGTCTCGGGGATGTGTGGCGGCTTGACTTTGATACGGCTTCTATTCACTAGAAGGACAGAGTTCTCTCTTTTTTCATGTGAGTAAGGCGTTGCTCAAACAAAAGCCAACACCGCGTCTTGAGGCTTTCTAGTTTGTTATATTGTGGTATGTGTACGTAAATTCCTCTTATTCATAACATTATTATCGTTATTATAAATATACATAAAAGCCACAAGAAAGGGAGTGAAATAGTAAATTTACAGTGAACCTGCCGCATAAAAATATCTCGGTAGTTAGGTTTATATATAGATGAAATGTACTGTCACTCGAGCCAGCACGTAGCTGGACATCATGGAAGTGGAACTTTCTCAATAAAATGTCTCCCTCCCTTGTTGTATCCACAGACCACCAGGTCTACCGGATGAGTAATATCTAACAACTTCAATTTCGATATATCCTCTGCAACTGCTGGCAACGCAAGAGTTACGACCCGGTTATTCTCCCAAAATACAGCAATTTGGGCGATGATCCGCTTGACGAGCTGCGTGGGGTAATGCGAGTGCTCATAGCCTCTCCCAGTTTTCTCCAGCTGTGGCCATAGGACATCCAAAATGTAGTGTAAAAGTGCGTCTGATCGCGAAAGAAAAACAAGTTGGAGGAGGACCTCGGCCAAGCTAAGGGTGTATATATCGGACGTATTCGATGCACTGAAGTTCAGGTTGCCGGCAATCTGACACACATTGTACGCCATGTTCTCAATCGGAGTTGCGCTAGACTCATAAATGGCTAGGACTAACCCATCCGATGTGAAACTTTGATTGGCTTCTTCGAAAGCAATCTCGCAGAGCATGCAATACAGGGCGTTCATGGCGTCCCGATGCGTTGGGAAGCTCCGATGCATGGAATGTGAAGGTTTCGAAGTTATTTGATTCCGTGCAAGCGAGTTCGAAAGGCAATCGACAGGCATCTGATCAGCGTGGAGCCTAGAACGCCACACTTTCAGTCGTTCTTTTTGAACCTCTAACATGCCTAGGAGATGATATCCACGGACAAATCCTTCCCGGGCTTCAGCGTACTCATCCGGTGCACATTGTCTCCCAAGCAGTTTGTTCAAGACTTCATGAGTGAGACTGCCTATCCCGCTTGAGAACTCCGATACCTGGAAGCTCCCTGCAACACTACGAAACACCACCAACTTTGTCCGGATTTCTAGCGTCCTGATAAGTATATCGTAGATAAGGTCATCCACACTCATCCCGAGGATACACTTGAGATAAAGATGCTCAGTAGCGTCGGGAAGGAGATTCGGCCCAAACAAACTGGCTCCTTCTCCTTCTAGGAGCAAGGCAGGTGGCTTCGCCGGTCGGTGAGAAGTGCACAGACGGTACCACATTTGCAAAGCATCAGCCCCATGTATGGAGTTCATGATACTTGCTCTATTCTGTAGAACGAAACGGACAGAATCGGCTACTGCTAATCGAAAGTTGACATGATTTGTCGACGCATGGTGGTAGTATGCGAGGAGAACGTGAGCAGTAAGAAGTGCAGATGACCGGTTTTTGACCTCGTCCACCCCCGCGGTCCGACAGTACCAGTGCGCCAAATCCTGATATTTCTGGGCATTTTTGTGGTGTAGATTATTTACCAACGGACTAAAGACAGATCCGCGACTACTGTCGGGTAAAATGCGGCTCTGAACTCGTGCGTTTAGCATCGAGAGATTGGATGCTGAGATGCAAAGCACCGCGAATCGTAAACAAGGAGATTGAAGGGGCCTCTCTATTAACTGTGGAGAAGTTGCAGGGAGAAGATAGCGCACATGACCTTGGAAATGGTTAAAGTAGAATGACTCTATATTATCCTTAGAATTCAGAGTAGCGGGTAGTTTCGCGGTTGAAACTTTGCTGAGGGAGTTGAGTGCATAGATGTTGTGTATCTTGGCTAGCAAATTCTGTGGAGCACTACGGCTTGGATATGTAGCTGCTTGAGATGAACCCATCTGGGCTGTAGAATGCTGCTGGAGCAGGGCCGTGTTAAGGTTTCGGAAAGTATAGTTGGGACCATAACTGCATTCCAGCGACAGCCTTGCGCAGGCCTTGCAAGTGGGCTTCGTCTCGTCGCACTGGGATTGGAGTTCAGAAGACAGCCCATAATGATACTAGATGACATACTCACTCGTTTGCCTCTCCTACGGCATGACCTACAGCCTGAATGGCTACGATGGATTTTGCGTGGTTCCATAGTCTCTGCAAGGTGCAGGCATATTTGTCCTGAAGATTAGAGCTGGTCAACCATACTGGAAGTGGATAAAAAACACTCTGTACACTGCGGTATGCTGGCTTATGTTTAACAAGTTCAGGCTGTGGTGTTTAAGTTTTCCACCTAAGCGAATAAGGTGATTAGTAATCACGGTCCCTTGCCAAACCTGAATAAATAATATTAAACTAATACATGTCCTACCGTATCCAGAACGGTATTTTATCAAGGCGTATAGCAACTTATTAATTCAGGAAAATTATCATTCAGGCACCTAAAAGCCCATGGGCTCTTGGAGAGCTATATTTTGTGGTATTTTTGTATTGACACAACTCTACAGAATTGGAAGTATAGATCATTTCTGGCTGTTCTTTATGACAAAGGTGTCCGAAACAGGAGATTTTACGCAAAGGGAATTCAGTGGCTATTAATTAGCATAGAGTCCGAATACACAAGAATGTATAGGCTAATTAAAGGTTAACAGCGACAATTATATCTAAAAACAGGCTTGGAACCGCATATAACCAGTCAAATTAACCCCCGCTAAAGCCTATAAGTTGCCACAGAGCAACAGGGAAATAAGATGAAATAACCCACTCTTCCAGGGACTGATCGAGAGTACATAAATGAAACTTCAATGGGAAGATCTGCGACTGGAGCTTTCTTCATGGGACGAAGTTGCTCCTTCTTTGTCAAATGTCACTGCATCCGATACCCACCTGTCTACCAGGGGCTACCATGTTACCTCGAGCGCTAATACCATAGTATGTATGTGTAAAGGGCTAGAGCCCGTTTGACCTCTCGGGCCAATGTCCCTATTATTCCTGTTGTCCCTATTGTCCCCGTTGTCCCTATTGTCCCCGTTGTCCCTATTGTCCCCGTTGTCCCTATTGTCCCCGTTGTCCCTATTGTCCCTATTGTCCCTATTGTCCCTGTTGGCCCTGTTGGCACCTTTGGCCCATTGGCCCTCGATCCACATCACGTGACTCATCGCCTTGTTTGTTCACCGCTCATTTTCCTTTTCCCTTTTCCCTTCAACGATTCCTGCTTGTACATAACCTATCGTATAGGTTCTATGGGTTCAGCCCTTGACAGTATGACTATCTCTGAGACCGTTTGTTAGCTCGCCAGACAACATCATAGTTGTTCTGCACACACATGGATTAAATATGGAATACTGTCAGGACATACCGTCCTCACCTTCGATTCCTTACTCTTTATTATGCTTACTTCACTCTAATATGTAAGTATAATCAGCTCGCTTATCCTGTGGGCGCAGCCACTCCGTTTGGCAGTTTATTATATAGTCCCTGTTTTTCGCCGTTAGTTCCATGACACTGGCAGGAGTTAACACTGTAAATCTATCAATTTTTAACACATTTTAACAACTCCTGTTGTTTTTCCTCACTATATTTGGTTCCACGGTGAGCCCATCACGACCACCCTTTGCTTGGCAGTCTATTTTCTAGCCCCATAAATATACCTGTTAGAGCTACCCATCTGTCATTGGACCAAGGACTTGTGGACCTTATACTATTCGCTCCCTACATATGGGAATATCACAGCTTTTGGTATCAGCTGGCTTGTTCAATGAGTGTCAACTCACGAACTTCACAGATTTAGGTGTCAATCGGAATACTTCTAGCGCGCCGACGAGCATTTGAAAAAGGGTTTAACAGCCTCGTTTACAAACAACGAATGCAAAGAAGAAGGAGCAGTAACGGGACCATACGGTCAGGGTCTTTTACAGTCATTTCACCGACGGAAAACAGATCATCCGAACCCTGAGCTAGCTGGAGTGTTGAGTTCAAATCTACCCCATCACGACGATGCTTTGAATGGATCCTCTGATACTCCATTCAGCGAGGGTGCAGAGGGGTTAAATAACCTGTCCAGATTCTGGGTCGCTCAACTTGAACGGGGAGGTCAGTTATCCTGCTCTATCCGGAAAGGAGATAACAGTGAGAAAGAATCTATTGCCCTCGATCAGATATCTCCAGCTGTCGAGGGAATCATTTCGCGGACAGAAACAGGCAATATGGAAGATGAGAACTGTGATTCTTCTGTATCTGATAATAAACATCCTCGCAAAATCTCATCCGATACGTATAATAGGCCGCGCCTTGTAACTCCATATGCCAACTATCGGCATGCATCCGAATCTACCGTCGTCAATCCGACATCAATACGTAATAGCCCTTCTCTCGATAATGAAAATGAAGATTTTTCCCGCTGCTTTGGCCGGAATTCCATTTTTTCCGGTCTTTCCGATCAGGAGTGTAGGAAATTAGGTGGTGTTGAGTATCGGGCCGTTTATCTGTTGACCATCATCGTCCCCATGTACTTCCTGCTTTGGCAGGTTCTGGGAGGCGTTACGATTGCTGCGTATGTGGCCAGCTATAAGAGTCCTATGGCCTCAATCCCTGGTAAGATCACAAGTTTGCTTTGTTTTGACGGTGCTTTATTGACATAACTATCCTTAGGTGGGCCGGGTTCTTTTTGCGGTATCAAAGCAAACTCCGGGTTAAGTCTAGTGGACGCCAACATGGTGAGTATACTACAGACCTTGTTAAGTGACGAAGCTTATATTTATGTGCACAGAGATGCCCTTTAGATCCTCCACATTTATGCTCATACCTATGGTCATTGCAATAGCATATATGATAAGGGTACGAAAGCCATAAGACACATGCCAGGTAAGACGGCGCCGTGGAAAGATACCAAGCCATCTATTGGACCACATTTCACTATGCATTACACAGCCCCTCCAGCACCTGTACAGCTCCTGTTTCAGTCTTTGCTAGTGTCCCCAACACCTCCACGCATCTGTTACAGCCATGCTCCGGAAACTGGGACGAAGCGAAAATGGGCAACTGAAATCATACCCCCATCGGGCCCTTAAACACGCTTTTCAAGGTAATAGAATTAATTACAGCGAGGCCGATCGGATGTTGGTTTATGCTGAGTCGATTATTAGTAGCAGATGCTCGAGCCCCTGACTTCTTGGTGGGATGGGTGTCGGCCACTGTATATTGACGTAGAATACGTCAATCCTGCAAGGATACTCTCAATTGATCATTTCTTGGGGTCAAACGTGTATATGCAAGTTAAGGTGATGGCATCACAGACACAGTAGCTACCATATTATCTATAGTGCCTTGGGTATGCCACGTCATATAAGTGAGTGTCCATGGCACTGTTGGCACCGACAGGATGACATCCTGTCACAATATAATCCAACTTGTAGAGTATTCTTCTCCAGTTCTTGCGGCATTGGTGCTCAGTAATCGATCCAACCTTAAGTATTCCTTACCTGAATTGGTCATCTTTGCGGGTAACTGAACTCCTCGCCCGGGTATACTCTTCTTTCTCAAGCTTCACGCCTACTAGTTTAGGACGGACAGTGTAGCCACAAATGGATGGCTGCCCACTTAGGGTCCTTCCATACCTGAACTAGTGCATCTGAGAAAGAATCAAAGAGTATTTATTATGATGAATATGCCTTCCAGAGTCCCCCTACCAGCTAGCCACAAGCGGCAATGGTCCTAATCCAGTATTTTCTATACAACCCCCGCGCTACCGTCTCTGTAAGGTGATACTGTTGATTGGATATGACCACTACGCATAGTATATGAACAGGATCATGCATGCATGATGCATCCGTGCGTAATTCCGTCGAATCCCATTGCTTATACGGAGATGTGCACTTCCGCCCGGCGGTTCCCCGCGTGACTGAAGTATCCCCTAGCAGTATAACTGGATATCAGAATGGCCATTTGTAGTTTTGTTTTCAATGGCCTAAGAAAATATTAGCTTCTTTCTATAAGATTTAGTCTGGTTTATATTGCCTTATTTATTGTTATCCATTTATCCATATTTAATAGTATTATTTTACTCGATTTGTAGTAATGAACACGATCAATAACTCAGTGAGCTATTGAGTAGGTTCAGTCCTCAATTAGCTCCAGTTGGCGGAGTAGCTTTCGAAGGAAGATTGTAGATCTTCTTAATATCATGCAGCATTTCTTCAAAATTCACATGAAGGTCCTTAAGTAGCCCGTCCCGGAGATCAAAAACCCATCCGTGGACAATCGGATACTGTTTCTCCTGGTAACTCTGTTGAACCGCCGCTGTCTTGACAATATTCCTACAAGACTCGATGACGTTCAGCTCCACCAGTCGATTAAACCTCGCGTCATCATCATTGATATTGTCGAGTTCTTTCTCATGTAGTCGATACACATCACGGATGTTTCGGAGCCAGGGTTCAGAATTCCCAGGTCCGATGGTGTTAGGGCCGCCTGGACCCCGCCGCAACGATAGTGTCCGCAGACAATAATATGTTTCACCTGGAGATGGCGCACAGCGTAGTTGATCACAGACATGACATTGAGGTCGGTATTGGGTACCAGATTGGCGATGTTGCGATGGACAAACACCTCTCCTGCTTCTAGACCCATGATTTCATTTGCCGGTACGCGGCTATCGCTACAACCAATGTACCTCGAACTTTGTTACTATGGCAACTCCAGTGCGGATGATCCCTCTACTACTTACAGGTACTCGGGTGTCTGACCCGCCGCCAGCTTTGTAAAAAATTCGGGATCGTTTTGCTGCTTTGAAGCGACCCATTGCCGATTGTTCTCGAAAATCCGCTCGTGCGATTGCTCCAGAAACCGGCGAACCGACTGTTTAGACTCCATAGTTAGAGGCCCTCGGGTAGGAAATGAACAATAAGTCCGGGACAATGGCAAGAGACGGCGAGACAAGCTTGATGTAGTGGTGCGGCGCAACATGAGTTTACGTTGGGAGTAGTTGCAAGAAGATATGGAGCTAGGAATGGAAGATGGGGAGAACAGTGAATGCCAAGCGTTGAATCGGGCAAAGACGGCTTTGTGGCGCACGTATAGCCACAGCGAGAGTGGCTTGGACAGAGCGGGTGCAAATCCCATTTTGCGCAGGTTACAAGGTGGGCTGGCATCGTTCTAGGGGTGAGACGCCGCGCTAGTCAATCACATGACCTATTTTACAGCTTCCGGCAAATACACTACAGAGTTTTAAATACACGGCAGCTAACCTATACAAAGCCTTAACTACATTTTATTATTTATTTGACGTAATTTTTCCGTCTGTACTATAAGCTCTATCTCTTTCCCTTTATTTTGAGGCTCCTTTGTCTTTTTGTTTTAATCGAAGCTCAATCTCACGGACTTCCAGGGCTTCTCGTCGTTGCGTAATATTTAATATATTTTGCGAGGAGATCCGCTGAAGACTTTATGAGGCACTAAGGATGATTATACAAAACTACTTAGGAACCAGTTAGTAACTGGTTTGCAACTGGTTCGTAACCGCTTTATACCTACCCTGGATTTTGTGACTGGGATTAAGATCGTTGAGGTTGTAATTCTTTGTGCATCTACAAATAAATGAGCTAAAGATGAGCGACAATACTTCCATGGTTCTAAGTAGTTATTAAGTAGTTAGTAAATAGTACTATAAAATAAATATATATATGTAATCTCCTTAGTCCGAAAAGGTAAGACTAGTTACAGGGTACACCCAATTGCCACGCCACTGCAAAAGGTCAACTAGACTTGGTAATACCAAGTCTGGCTCCCAATTCACTTATCTACCGTCTCCGCGGTCACACTAAATTAGCTGTGATTAGATATATATACTGAATGAGAGGGAAATGGTAGAACTCCGAAGGAGTAGGTCAAGGAGACAATCTTAGACAGTTCAGAAGTTGTGGGCCCCGAGCCCACAAGTTCCTGGCAGGAGAAAAGACAACATGCCCTTTACGCAACTGCGTCCCGTGGTCTGTGAGAAGGTTGTTGATTGTCTATTACCTCTTTGAACGAGGACTTAAGATAATAGCTATCCATACAAATGTCACGTGCCAATCTCCCGAATTCCTCCACTACAATACATATCCTTTACTTGCTATATGTCGTAAATAATTAACTTTTATATTTACTGTTTGATATGAATAATAAATACCAAAACGAGTTTAATTATATATTAAAAAACAACTTGTTTATTAAGCTTTGTAGAACTAGAAAAGTATAATTGGCAACTACTTATGTTGCTGCCACTAATAATCGCTTGCCTTCTGCATTAGACTTGTGAAATTTTACTAAAACTTAACTAAGAATCTTCTACATGCATATTAATTTGGTTTGTATAAGCAGTTAATAACTAATTAGCAAGTAGTTAGAGTAGGCTAAAATATTCGATGGTAAGAAATATTATGAGGGAGAATTGAATTTGAATTTCGTTGTCTGTAATTAGTATGGTATTTAAAGGGTGAGGTGCCGCGCCGCTTGTGCCAAGACCAGTGGGGCCGGCTGACGGCTTCTGGGAAGCGGCACCTGACCTGTGTACTCTTTCGTGCCCCATGAGTGCTTACGCAGGATTATTAGTCACCTTGCGTGGTTCCTGTGAATATCGCCGGGAAGTGCTTTAATCTTTCAAAAGGTTAGTTAAGGAACGCAACGATCGTGCGTACTATACTCGGAGTGTATTCTGTTGGGTATAGAATTTCGCTTCATCGACGCTGCGCCTCATTAGCGTAAAGCATGCAAAAGAGCTAGCAATATGGCTCATGGACCAATATAAACACAGCAAATCTTCTTAACGCCAGATTTACAGGGTAAATGACACAGAAGGCTTTGAGGAAGTACTATACATTTAAATGGCTGTTGGACGCGCCATTGGACTTTTTGCCCTGGGATCCGTTAAGGATGTCATCGACTGGTAATGATGACCATTGCGGCATGGCATCGATTCACTTTCCTTCACTGCGCCTAGATCGTCTTGCTGAGTGTGGACTGTGGTGTTAGGGGTGTGAATGGACAGGGTGCCCCTAGGAAGGCAGAATCGAACTACATCAAGATCTGGGTTTCTACGCCATATCAAGCATTGCTATGGTGCGCGAAAACTTGTTCCTGGATTGGGACTGTCGCGAAAGGCGATGGACGGATTAATGCGGAGAGGTTGTATCCACTACTCTATAGGCAAGTAAAAGAAGACAGAGAAATTGGGGTATGCAGTGACGATTCCAGGGCCGTTTTCTATTTGGTGGATATCAGTGAATATGCCTATTCAGGATTAGCCATATGTATGTAATCGTTTTGAAGAAAAGAAGAAAACAGGTAAACTACATTGATCTTCTCCCGCATCCACTGCTCCTAGCCCTCATATTTATTCGCGGGCGATAAGTCCCACAGTTCCATCTCCACAGTACATCCATCCAGAAGCTAGGGCACACAATGACGAGGTAATCGCTGTAGTTCCAGAGCAAACTCACCAGATGATCCCGACCTGTATGATCGGCGGGGATTTTCATGGTATCTTTGCCGAAATAATGCTATAGAAACTTCAACCAGCCGGCGGGTGGCTCGGATCGTGCCATTTTCCAGCTCCTTTGTGGGGTTGGGTACTGAGGTGTATGATGTATAAGCTGATTGGCAATTAGTGATGACATTACGTTGATTTCTTGGGCAGCGTGAGGAGGATCGGTAGAGTTGTTGACGAGGTCCTGGAGTGTATAGATGATTTGGTGATCAGCTTCGGAGCCGTTTGGGTCTCAGAGGTTGAGATCGAAGAGGACATGGTGTGATGATTGTGTGGATTACATGAGACAGGAGAGGTAGGGAATAGCTATACATGGTATGTTGGGAATACTTCCTATGGCATCGAGCTTATACTCAGTTGCAATTCTATATCAATAGCAATATGCAGGACAGGAAGGATAACGGAGCCTTGGATGACATCAATGGGGTTGGGTTGATGTACCTTTGGACTTCGGTATCATCTTATCAAGAGAAAGAGGATACTGAGATTTTGGTGCAGAGGCTGACTTGTTTCTAAGGAGAACACCAAGGAAGTAAGCCAAGCTAAGCTGTGGGTCAGTTAAGTCCGTATATACTGAAGAACTCCAACCATTTCAACTGATATTGAGGGCCCAAAATATTGCGAGCTCTCATTAGCTTGTAATAGCATGGTCTATGACACTCGAAAATGCAGGTCTAGGTACAGTAGTATTAACATCAGTCAACACGGTTAAGATGTCAGTTAATAGTCAACAGCGATTTTCTCTGTACCGGCAGAATAACCCATGCTGTGTTCGGTGCCTCCAGATGATACCTACCTTGTCCTAATATCCTTGTAGCCATGCCCTCACTCTGAAGGAGAATCTTTCTCCTTGTCTAGAACGTGGGCTTGTTGCATTTGCATCTGTTTCATAATCTCAGCAGCCTCGAACGCATACTTGCGCTTCATCCTCGGTGCCCCACCGTAGCGATACATGACAAACGGAAAAGGCATGCAAACCAACGTCAGAAATGCTGGTACTGAGGTTGCCCAGTGAATCCCGAGATTATTATACATCTGGGTGGTGAATAAGGGGAACACGGCACCGACGATCGAGCGGAAGATAGCAGCAGCAGCAAGAACGGAGGCTGCGTAAATGGTGTAGGAATCGATAAGGTAGTTAATTATTGGCAGAATGACAAGCACACAGCCGAAACCAAAAGGTGTCGAGAGAATAATGCTGACAGACCAGTGAATGCTGGGATGGTTCGTCCATGCAAAGGCGAACATGCCAACCGGTAAGGCAATAGCACCAATAATGGCTGGTGGTAAGCGAGATTCCGCAGTTGCAGACTTTGACAGAAACAGTTTCATATATCGCCCGTTGTTGTCGTAGATAACATAGACCAATCCTAGGATAATGCCAACTGCAATACCCATAAACGCCAGTCCTCCGATACCCTCGCTCCATCCACGGTCTTCGTTATAGACGATAGGCATGGCGCCCATAAACATATAGACAGTGCCGTAAATAATTGCCATATAGAGTGAGGCCACTAGCACGATGGGTTCCCGAAAGAGCAAAACCCAGGGCCGTAACAAAGTTCTCTTGAAAACTTCAGACGGCTTCTTTTTACCCTGGCTCTTTTCGACAACACTGATATAAACATTGCCATCAGTTTTGGACAAGTGGCTTGCCTTCCGGATCAGCAACACCGGCCCATATGTCTCAGGGACGAAGATGAAGCCGAGGATGCCTACCACGCCTATAAAGATACAGCATACACCCTGTACCCATCTCCATCGTACATTTTCAGAGACAAACCCGCCAACGACAGGTCCAAGGATGGGGCCAAGAAAGGGCGCAACACAGTAAAGCGTCATAGCGAGGCCTCTCTGGGCCGGGGGGAAGAGATCCGCAATAGCACCACCCGAGTTCACCAATGGTGACCCACCAAAAGTGCCACTGAAGAATCGCAATACTAGGAGTGTAGTAATGTTTTGGCTTCCGGCAGAACCTCCGACGAAGGCCGCCAAGGCGACGTGGGAGGTTATCCAGAGAATTTGTCTTCCGTAAAGTTCGGATCTTTGGGGCGGTTAGCACTGGAATAATATCTGCATATGGCAGAGAAGGTAAACTTACTAAATAAAGGATTGTCAGCTTGTGCACCAGAAGGGTAGCCAAATCAATGGTGGATACATGCTTACCAAGGGACCCCATACTGCAGGGCCAATTGCGAACCCAAGCACAAAGAGGGAAAGGCCGACTATAAAGACCTCGGTGCTAATGTTAAAGTGCTCAATAACCTCGTTAGCGGATACAGAGTATGCCGAAGATGTCAGCGTGACGGCGAAGACAGACAGGGTCACGATGGTCGTGATGAACCATTTCCTGGACTGAGACCAGTTCATTGGGTCTTCAGGGTCGTCTTTATGGAACTCAACCACGAAAGGGTCTTCCTTGCTGCCTTGGCCATTATAGATATTGGTTTTCTCGACCTCACCAGGATTCGCTGCTGCCTTTGATTCGGCCTGCGAAGGCATGTTTTCCGGCTACTTACAGAGGTCAAAGATTTATTTCGGGCTAGATACAAGAAAGGTTGCATGTCGATGGCATAAATCGCGCCTTAAGTACTCTAATGTTCATGCCAGTTCGGAAGAGCGCACCTGGGGAGAGACCAACAAAGGACGGAATTGCGTTTCATTGGCAACCAAGCTGGATGTACTCGATGTGCGGATGGGGATTTAACTGGCTGCTATTGAGGCAAGTGGGTTCTTCCATGTGACGCCTCAGGTGTCAACCCCACGTGCAGGACCTTAAATCATCACCGTCGGCCAATTGTACGCTTTTCCGCAATGGAGCCGGGATGTCGTGGAGCACATCATGATTGGTTCACCTTTACCCCTCGGTCCCCCCCACGGACTCCTATTCCGCTGCATTTGTTGCCCTGTCTACCATTGTTGAAGTTTGTAATAGTGAAACCAGCGGACAACATAGTAAAACTCATCAACACAAGGAATAAGAAGACAGACTGTTGATGCCATTACGCAGGCAGCGACTGAGAATCTCAAACGCTTGTCAAGCTTGTCGATTGAGGAAGGTGAAATGTAACGGCAGTCGCCCAGGTATTCTTGTCCCCCATTCCCAGTGCTGCGCCTACTTGCACGGGACTGACATGTCATATTTGCAGCATGTGCCAGATGCCAGGCAAGAGGAAACATATGCACATATAACCGGGATTCCGTCACTGTCGAGCAACAAACACCAATCCGTAGGAATGTTCCTGTCCCGGCCTCGACTGCAACTCTGCGAGCTCACTCGCTCGAGGTACTATCGTCATCAACGACCGAGACAACATCAACAACTGGGCCATCCTCCAGATCGGAGCATTTAGATGAAGCCCAAGATCCAGGCCCAGATCAGTACCGTGCGTACTACACCGCTCACGGGGTGTTTGCCGGCGAAGTTGCAGCCGCAATAGACCTGAGGGCAGGGTTCGCTCCAGCCTCCACATCGAACCTTGTCCCGTTCGTTGATGCACCCCTATTTGGAGAGTTAGATCTGCATTCTCCATACCGTGTTGTTGACTTCAACACTGAATTGCCTCCTCGTGCACATGCTGATAGGCTTGTCAGCATATACTGGCAATATGTCGACCCCGTGGAGCCCATCTTGGACCGAGAGCGCTTTTTCCATGATTATGAGTCGTCGTACTCCAAACCTGGTGCATTACTCTACGCAGACCGTGGCGTCTGGCTCAGCATACTCAATGTTGTCTTTGCCCTGGCAGTGCAGAGACAAGAATCCACCCCTCAGCAGAAACGGGATGAAGCGGCGAACCGCTATTTTCAGCATGCGTGGGCATTTCTCTCTCCTGAGACCATTCTTTGGAAGCCCGGATCGCTCGAGTTGGTACAGTGCTTGATGCTCCTGAATCGATACCTCCACTGCACCAACAATCAACACAAGACATGGATAACGGCGGGTTTGGCGATGCGAATCGCCCAGAGTATGTGTTGCCACGTCCCAGACGCTTCTTCAGCCAAGGATTCTCGCAACGACATGCAGTTGAAACAACGAGTTTGGGCTAGCTGTGTTGCCTTAGACCGGTAAGCTGTGTAGTAGACAGGAATGGGTTATCGCTGATTCGAGCTTAGATGTGTTTCCTGGTCACTCGGCAGGACATCAGCGCCATCCCTGGTCTCTTTATCGAACAGGACCGATTCCATGACGTCAATTGGCAGCAACCAACACGGCGGTAGCCATACTGAGCATCTTAGACTAGGGTTGGAACTTCATGAAATTGGCAATCAGATTCAGTTGGCCCAGTCACAGACTCGAAATAATCTCTCTGCCAGGTTAGGACTGCCACGTCTGTATCAACAAGACGAATACCACTCCATGGCGGTGCAACTAGACGCTTGTCTCGACAAATGGGAGGAGGGTCTTCCCAATGACTGGAAGTTACAAAACCTTCCAAAAGTTGTTGACAGGACCTCTCGAGCAGAAGGATACTTGCTTCATCTGCGGTAGGAAGCCCGATTCCATCGTTCATTCTCCTTCTGAAGGTTTAGCCAGGGAAGTAGAGAAACCTGACTAGAGCTGCCCTTTCTAATGATCTTGCTCTTGGCCTTGCTGATGCCGGTATATTAGTCTTCTTCACTCTCGAATATATCTGTACAGGCCTATGCTCGCACGGGTCTACTCGATGAGATCCCACTCAGCAACAGCTCAGGCAACATCCAACCCTCCCAGCCTAAGCGATAGGCTTCTCAGAGAATGTGCCCGGATGTGCGTTGAGGCAGCACAAAAAGTCTCATCATTGATTATCCAAACACTTGAGCTAGATGCGTCAATAGGTCTCCTGCCGTGGTGGTACCGAATCTACTATTTACACATAGCGGGGACAAACTTTCTGGCGGCCATGTTTGGATCGGACTTGTTCACTGAGTCGGTGTTGCAATCCTGGCACAGTGTCATGTCGACCCTCCGTGCGCATGAACACTTGAGTGCATATGTTCAGCAGTGTATCCGGATATTTGGAACACTCTCGGAGAGGATCCTAGAGACGCGATATCCCAAACCAGGGGGTAGTGGGAATTTACCTCTCGTGGAGGGGACCTCTAGCCTCTACTTCGACGATATCTTCCAGGGTTCCGGCTTCGATTTTGATGCATTTCTCTTTGGCACGGAGGATATCATTGAGGGCCAGTTCCTAAGTGGTGCAGTCACCTCAGGTCTCGGTTAATTCGTAGCGTGAGAGCTCGGAGGGCGATGCGATAAAGGTGAACTGATGAGAACTAGGGATTTTTCTATAAGTTCATTGATTTTATAACCCCATACAGCTTTTGATTTCTTTGAACTTAAGGGTCGTATCTTGCTTCACGAGATTTGTGGTATAGACGGACCAGGCAAATGGCGTTCCGTTTGAGCTTCAACGTACGAGGGTCGGCATCGATAGTTAGGGGATTAGCAAGTCTTGGGAAAGTGGCATTGTGAGCCTGGGATAAAGGTGAAAGCTGAAAAGTCAAAGGCTGGTAGCTGGAGTTTTGTGATGGCATTCGAACTGATTATGGCTCAAACGCTAGGCTAGGATTGGTTTCCAGGTTATGTGTTTCGATTGATATTGTATCACACGGATTATCCTAATATGATGGATTAAGTGTAAAAGATCGGTATAGTAGAAGAAAATAATATAGCCTAAGTTTGGGATTATTTCTGCGTGTAAGGATTTTGCCATTTCATATCTCACCATAGTCATCAGTAGCTTGAGCGTCATCCTGATGATCAATAATAGTCTTGCTGCCCGTAGCCTTTATACATCAACAGAAGGTTTGCTTATATAAAGGACAATCTTACTGAGGATTTTCCTCGCCTGTTTTAATTAGTTTAAGGGAACAATGCGAATATATTTTTATAACTATTCACGTCCACTTTCTAGAATTTCACCACCTTGCGAAAACTCAAATCTGAAATAAATCTAATTAGTCTCAGCGCATCCAGCTATCTTGTTCGAGTCGTTAGTCGCTGTCCTGACGAACAATCACCCTGTCCGAATGTGGAGCTTTTGTCCACCGTCCATATATTCCAATTGTACGCTGTTTGTGACCAAGATTCCCTCGCTAGATGGCCGTGACCGTGGCGTTTTCTCTTCGGATGCTGGGTAGGAAGCATACAAGGGATATCCCTCCTTGTTCCGCCACCTTAAGCTGTACAAAGTCAGCACATTTGACAGAAAAGCGTCGCAGAACTCCTCGACGGAACCCCAGCTATTACGGTTGACTTGGGAAGTGCTGTGCAAGTAGTAGGGAAAGCGGACAAAGGCCAGGCAATGGGGAGAAGCCCGTGGCAAAGAGGCCGACAAGCTGGTAGATAGGACACAGACAGGTTGTCAATCCCTGGAATTAGAATGAGTTATTTATTTACCATATCCAGGATTTCTGCTTCACTCGAAGCAGCCACCGCATGGGTAATAGAATCAGCATAGCATCAGTTATGGTGTTGCAAACCACGAGAGTGACGAATTGCTCATGAGCTTTGATACATGTCCCTGGGAGTGAGATGTCGCTAATGAATAGTTGTTTTCCACCCTAGCATATCGACGCCACATACATGCCTGGATCGGGGAGAACCTGCCAGTATAGTCGCAAAGGCTGGCACTCGACCAAACAAGTTATTTGGATGGCCATAAAACTGGCAATTAGTACGCCTCAGCAAATGTTCATAGTTCGTTCCGGCCTTCCTGGCCGGTAAGAGTTCTCTGGACGAGAAGTAGAACCACAACTTTCTGGAGCCAGAGACTAGGCGATGTTATTCTTGAGAACAGGTTGTGTTAATGAAAGGGTGCTGGAGTTCATGCACTACATGTTGTCCAGAGTGAGTATGCTTCCCACTTGCCGACGGTAGATCTCCTTGAGCTTACATGTCCATCCCCCTTTAGTTGATGCTAGTTATTTCCCCAGAGGAGGATAACCGTTACAAGCAACAATCGAACCAGAACAAAGGCAATGCAGACCACTATGAGATAGTCGCTCAATACGAATGGCTGAACCTGCATCCTGTACAACACGAGACGGTAGATCATGAGCCACCGTGAGAACGCCAACGACGCCCGCCAGAACGATGGCCCCCTTGGTATCAGTGGCCACATTGCCCGCTGGTGGTCACGCTCCCGATGGAGTGAGTATTCCTGAATTCGTGTTGGAGGGTCGTAGCAAAACGATCATATTATCCTGGGCGAGTCAATTTCCCGAAGGATGCGGCAACGAACCATCGTATGCCATTCCCACTTGGAAGAATTCGATGTTTGATATTGAAATGCTCTACCTTTTAGAAGCCATTCTACAGAGTCATATATGGAGTTTCTCACTTATTAGTTCTGGAGTTAGGTTCGGACCCCACCTCCAATCACTTCTGTTAGATTTGTTGGCCTATACAAGGCCGTTAGCGACTAACTCTACTCCATGCACTAGCAGAGACCGTCTCACGCTAATTCTCGCATACCCGATCGACAATGAGATGTTCCAGCCATGCCCCCAGTCTTACCCAGAGATCGTTTAATTTGACCCATCTCTTGTCCGTGGCATAGCAAACTTGTGAAGCCACGCCCGCCTTCCCCAAGTCCTCTGAAACCGACATGCAGGTCCTCCGTAATGCTTTTAGCTTCGCTTCAATACTCATGCAAGTTAATAGTGGCAATCGAGCCCCGCCCCGAGAGGCTCCTCACATGAGGAATTATTTCTACGTGGGAGGAGAGTACGTCCAGACGAGCCATGGGTCATTTTTCCACAATCAGATGTATGTGGAGAAACTCTCACCAACCTCTGCCTGTGTGCAACCCTATCCGGTCGTCTTCGTCCACGGTGGAGGTCAAAGTGGCACGGTAAGTGTCCGGTCTTCATGGTAAGACTTTATTAACAAATACAACAGAACTTTCTCAATAAACCCGATGGTAGTCCAGGATGGGCAGCGTGGTTTCTCCGCCGTGGATATGTAGTCTATATTCTCGACCGGACGAACACCGCTCGGTCTCCCTTGTTTCCGGCGGATGAATTGAGCCAGACTGCGCTCTCAGCGGAGTTTATCGCTCAGCGATTTACCGCCGTTAAAAAGCATCCGTTGTGGCCGCAAGCAAAATTACACACCCAATGGCCCGGCGTGAGTACACAAACCCAGGCAGTTCCTTTGAAGGAGTCAATTCATTAACAGGACATAGACGGGTGAAAAGGGCGATCCAATCTTCGATGCATATTACTTGAGCAACGTCCAATCGATCTCCGACAGCCAACGACAGGAAGAAACCATGAAAGCCGCCGGAGAGCAATTGCTGGATCGCATCGGGCCCGCGGTGGTCATCACACATTCGCAGGGTGGACTTTACGGCTGGTCATGGGCCGACAGTCGACCGGATCTCGTCAAGGCGCTGATTCAGATAGAGCCGAAAGGTCCACCGTTTCAGGAGGTCATCTTTTCCCACGACTTCAGTCGGCCTTGGGGATTAACCTCTATTCCTCTGACGTATGATCCTCCACCGACAGATATGACCTCTCCTCTATCCATGCAAACGGTTCCGGCCAACTCATCAGATGTACTGCCTTGCATCATACAACAGGAGCCAGCGAGGAAACTAGTCAATCTCGCCAAGGTTCCTATATTGATTGATACAGGGGAGGCATCGTATCATGCGCAGTATGATTATTGTTTCATTCAATTCCTCCGACAGGCAGGGGTTGCCGTCGAGCATCTTGATCTCTGTAAGGTGGGTATCCATGGGAACGCACATTTGCAGTTTCTGGAGAAAAACAGCGACGAAATTGCCCAGGTACTGCATCAATGGATTATGAAGAAGGTGGGAGGTAAGCTTTGATCTGTTTCTGCTTCTATCCACCCATGACTTTCTAATGGTATCTCGCCAATATATCATCTGTATCCAGTCTAGAAGGGCAGCTGGAGTATGTACTGCACATTATCTATTATATGTAGCCATGAAAACAACATAATTGAGTACAAGCGACGCTTGCTGCCATTGACAATATGTCCTCCTACAGAATTCAGGCAATGACTGCCAGTCATAGAGAGGTTATGAAACTACATCTTCGTCCCTGTAAAAGGATATCTGGCTGATCTCGGTTACTATCTGAGCAATTCTGTTGGATACTTGGCTTGTCACAAGCTCTTTAGGATTTTTAGCAGCTTAAATTACCACAATTTGGGAGATGGTGCAAGGCTTACCATAAGCATAGAGCAATCGATAGGCCTCCTGAATGGTCGGCTGAGACTTTTCCTGTTCTTTCCGGTAGAGGAAAATGTGCGCCCGAAGTTGGCCCCTTGCATGGGTCATGCTTGAAATATCGACATCTATCGGCGGGTAGTCCGATTTGATTGATGATGCCATCTCTGGATTCGACAGAATTCAGCGTGTCCAGTTCTTCATATTCCGAAGGCAGTGATAAATAGATGTCCTGAACTTACTCTCTAGGAGATGAGTGATGTGACCAGACAGCGTCTGCCGGTCTGTCATTGTATATCTCAGGATGGATATTTCCTGTTCAGAAACAGGAGTGACACTCAGCAGTTGCAGGTCCAAAGCATGGAGAATGTCTACGATAGCCTGAGTATGTTGTATGATATTGCAATACGCAGCGTCAGGAAAGGGACGTTTCAGTTCAAATTCGTAGCGAGCAGAAGCCCGTAGAGCTTCCAGCTCCGACAAAAGACGCTCCATCTCTAGCCGTTCCTGCGCAGTCATATACAGCATAGGAACACCGGGGTTAGTTATTCGTTTATCCAACGGATCAGATTGCAATATCCGACCCAGTCGAAGCCAGACAAGCCTTAAAGTAGCTTCTAGCTTCTTTCGAGCGCTAATCGGCCAAATACCACGCGTGATGATGATACCCCAAATACAGCCGGATAAAACCGCGCCGACCCGATGGAGAGTGATCTTGGTAATGTCGGGATTCTGACTGGTTCCCTCGTCTACATCATCATCGGTCGTTCTCTGGGATAGCGAATAGGCATATAGCACGGAGAGGTTGTAAGTAAGCATGATGAATCGACCCAACGGTCCTTGGCCTTTCAGAAGACTCATATAAAAAGTCCAATTTGCCATTAGGAATCCGAGAAATGCAAGCGCAGATGCATTGGCGCCCGCAACGTACCAGACGCCGATCGAAAACAGAGCTCCGACACATGTTCCTAGAAATCGAGCGAATCCAATAGTATTCGAGGCGCCAATCGTCATGGAGCACACCAACATGTATGAAACAAGACCCCATTCTCCTTTCCAGTAAAGGTAGAAGGGCCGTGTAAGGGATAGGAATGAGGGCGAGGCATAGAGTGCGGCACCCATTCCAACTTTAATCGCAAATTTGGTCTCGTCCTTACCAAAGAAACTGGCCACTTTCCACAGGCGATAGCTAGCTGAATCTCTCATACGTTGTATCCTGGATTCGTTTTCCAAACTGGAAAGCTCCATCATTTCCATTGGACGCGTGATGTTTGTTTCGATGGGAGAATTTCTTGAGGGGTCTGATTCCGGTCCGTTAATCGACATGTACAAGGCCCTGGGCATATGATCCTCACAATTAGTGGCATTATCTCCGTTGGATCGTCTGCCACGCCCCCATAGCCAACGCCGTACCCAGTTCCATGACTTTCTCCTGGGTTGCCTATGTATTTCGGTTTGGAATTCTTCCAGAATAACCAGTAGCTGTTTCGACTGTTCACTAAATTGTAAAAGTGAGAAACTATAATGCGCACAGCTAGCATAAACCCCTTGGAAGCACTCTTGTTCTTGCACTGTGAGATTCCGCTTTCTGATGTTTTGGTGAAGTAATGCGAAAGCTTCCGCTTGAGCTTCGCGATATTCGTCAACGGACTGGCTGAGAACCACGGGCAACCTGGGATTCACGGAGGATTCGTACTCAGGTGCTAGCCTGAAGGCCACTTCGTTGAAAACATCTGTCAAGGTATCGACAAGAGACCGCTGCGGTGTATTAGCTTGCAAAATCAAAATCTACATGCTGACAGCGAGAGGTTTATACCATGGATGGACCAATTTGCCGGATGAAATTGTCGAATATTTCCGTGGCAAGGAAGCTGGAAGAGGCGATCTGTTCGTCACCTGCCGTATCCTCTGCGGTCGCACTATCTGCACTGTTTTCTGAAATTGACAGGTCGGGTGATCGGAAATAAATCGTATCACTGTATAATCTCGCCCCGTGACCATTATTAGAAGCAGTTGAGGCGCTCATACCTCGAGCATCAGTGCGGCTGTGGAAATAGTCCGGTTCTCGGAGCATCTCGAACGCCAGATGAGCCGACATGTGCAGAGCCGCTAGATCATGAGTGATGCCCTGAGCCCAGCGAACAAGCTTTTCCTCAAAGAGATACTCCCCTTCCGTACCTGCGACATAGTGCTCAAGCCTTGTCTCTTGAAGGAGCTTGCTCAGTTGGCTATTTGCTTTCCTCTGACGCGCAGAAGCGCCAATAAATTTGTGTCCCTGCAGATCTCGTTCATTCCTACTGACAAAACTCTCCGTGATCATGGATTGCATAATCGCCATTGACCTAGTCAGAGCGACCACATTCGAGCGAAGCTTCTTCCGTGCAGAGACCGGAAAAACCAGAAAAGACACTACCACTGATGCACTGGTACCCATCAGGAGCATTTTCAGAACCTGCGACACCTTCGTAAGTGATATATCACCGCGTTGTATTGCTCCTTCCTTCGTCAGAACCATTATCGAAGATAGAGAGGCTAGAGAGCAAGCGACGTTGACTAGTGGATCTCCCTTTTTTTGCTTGATCCAGCCAATCAATCCGAATCCCACACCAACGAAGAGAACTAGCACCAACGCATGACCCATTTCAATCATGTGTAGCTTTTGGAAGAATATGGTGACATACATGCTGGTTAATGAAATGAAAGCTGAATAAAGGAATGCCAGAAAGGCACATAACATAGCCTTGTACATGCTTCCTTGGGATCTGGCAGGGTGAAAATACACAGTAAGTGTGGCCACTATATGTTTTCCCTCTTGAGGGCCAAGGAATGCCGCGAATGCTGGGACAAAAGTTGCCAGGGATCCAAGGAGGTAAGCCAGACTGCATTTGAAAACCCCGATACCTTCCTCTGAGATGATTAATTCCCATGAGTCATGCCATAGACTTGACAAATTTTGTACTACTTGAGCAGCCAGTCTCCGCCTTGGGGGATTGAAATCCTCGAGAAGTGGCTCTCGTCCCTCCCCATCGTGGCTCCCTGTTCTGGCAAGGGACACTTCAGAGTCCGTGAGATGTCCATGATTCGGTCTCTCACCTGTGGACATGAATGTAGCCTGTAATACTTTAGCAATGGATAGTAAGAGACAAAGAGCTATGGCTAGAGGCAGATCCAGCCGAGAATGCGACGCGTAAATTTACAACAGTAGAGAAGCATTTCTCACCTGAGCACTTCCAGGATTGTGGCCAGTGTCAAAAGAGCTTCTTGGCCGTGACATCAGATTCTACTTCGTGCTTTAGAACTGATCATGAAGTCTTCCCGTCGGGGATTCGCCATCTCAACCTGGATAATGATGTTGCAAGGAGCAACCTCCTTTCCATGCATGTTCAGCTTTGTGTTCGCCGCCAATCAGAGAGTGGCTGACTCAACAGAATGAACGAGGCTACGGCAAGCCATTAGGACAAAAGTTTAAAAACTAATTTTTTAGCCGAAGTCCCTTTACCGCTTTCTGTACCGCTTTAACTAATAGTAATAAAGTAGCGGTGAAGATAAAAGAAAATAATAACATCTAACTAAGAGTAATTATTTCTTTATATTAATTACAAGATGCCTCGTCCTTTTATTAAATTAGAGCCTTATAAAGCTGAGATTACTAGTCTATATAAGAATAAGAAGTCTTATAAAGATATTGCGAAATACCTTGAAGCTTAATATAGAATTAATGTTCAAGCGAGTACAATCTATGGCTGTTTAAAGACTTGGGGAGTTAATAAAAAGCATTGTACATTAAGGTCTAAAACAGTTTTTTATTCACAGATAAAGATTCTCTTTTTTTAAGTAGGTCTTAAAGAAAAGGAACTTCTCTGTGTACTAAATCTTAAAGGGTAGGATATAAAGCCTCGGACACTTAAATATATCTATTATTACCTTGGGCTTTACCGTCGTACGAAGAATCCTATGATTTTACAGCAACAGGTTAAGAATGTTATAGAAGAACTGCAAAAACAGATTAAAAAAGGCCAAATTAAAGGCTATGGAAAAGAATTAGCTTTATTATTATATACAAAGCCAAGGGTTTATAGTTACTTGGTAAGCTCTTTGTACGAATATTAGATTCCAAAAATTAATTTTTTTTTTCTTAGGGATCGCCTCTTTTTAATCTATCGTACGCTTAATCCTGCGTCGGTTTAAAGATATTTATATAATTTGCAGCAGCATAGAGAAGCATATATTGTTCCAGGGCCTAATTATATATAGTTAATTAATGGCTACCTGAAACTTGCCCCTTATAAAATTAAGATCTATGCTGCTATTAATGCATATTTAAGATATATTATCTGGGTCTACGTCGGCATTAGTTCTTGTACGGCTGTTAGTATTCTACAGTAGTTTTTAGATATTATACAGGTTACTAAAAAAATACCTTGATTTATACAGTCTGATCGTGGAAATAAGACACCTCTTCTTGCTGAAGCTTAACATAAGCTTTAACAACCAACAAACCCAGACATCTCTATTAGAGATTGCTATATATACGGTACAAGCACAGCGAATTAAAGATTAAGGCCTGGTGGCTATAGTTAAGTAGGGGCTTACTTTGGCACTGGAAGGTAAAATGTTATTCCCTATTTCTTTGTACAAGGAGCTAACTTTAATAGGACTTTTTATATCTCTTCAAGAAGAAGGGCTTTTTTCTTAAGATAATCTGCCTTCTTAGATTGCTCTTTTTACTATTTATATGCCTATCCTTCGAACAGAAATTTTTTCCTTCGTACAAACATGGAATAATTATTCTATTCGGAAATAAAAGCTTCGTCCGCATTTAGTTCATGGCAAGCCATATATGAACTATTATTTCCCTGTAGATAGTATACAGGATTTTGGTATTTTATTTAATAAAGACCTTTTACAGACTCTACAGAGTGAGGTTTAAGCCTGGGGTAAGTTTTTTTAATTAATTATATATAAAATATACTAATAAATTTATAGATTCTAATAAATACCTCCCTCAAGAAACATATAATTGGGTATATAAGCAACTTTCTGAGCTTGGCTTTAGTCTAAATAACCCTTCTAAGTACTTAGATAGTAATTAGTTTTCACCTTATTATACAATGTTTATTGATTTGTGTTAATGTATAAGGATTTATATTAAAGTGGGCTTTAACCAATACTCAGCTTATTTACAAAGCCAACGGGTGGTTTTAATTGGCAGCCTAAGCAGGAGATTTAAGAAATTACAGTGGAGGTCTCCCAGGGTGATCCTGTTCTCCCTATTGGGGGACAGCAGCTTGCACCTTGGGTACACAGCCTACCAGGCCAGGCAGTTTTGGCCTGTCTAGGTCAAGATGTCCGGTTCGTACGGGGGTGTATCTCTGGACATTAGATCCTATCCTATTGTCCTTTATATATAAACCCTCCTAATCCAATCTCGCGGTCGTACGGTAGGCGTGCCGTGTTTGGCCTGTAGGCTGGCACAGCCAGGCTATCGTCCGTTCCCAGAGTGTCGCCGGGTTCCAGGCCACTTTGGTGGAGCTTGTGCCAATTGTAAATGGCGTGACCATACTAGTCGCTGCTCCGTACGATCAGGAGGAGAGGACAATCCAGGAGATAATAAACCAGAGGCACCCTTAGATAATACTGGTAGCCCTGCAGACACTCCTGGGAGTCGTACGCTACCGGCGCCAGGTTCTTCTCCAGAGAATGCTATTGTTATTGTTTAAGTGTATTCTTCCCTTTTGGCGTACGGCGTTGGTTGGCGTTTGGTGTATGGTGTTTGGCATTTTTGTGCTTTTGTGTTTTTACCTGGGCAATGGCTTGCACTGTAAGGGGCTAGAGCCCCTCAGCCTACTCGGGCCCTCAGCCCTCGTGTTTCCTTTCTCCTCGCCTGCCACATGATTAGTATATTGATTAGTACACTCTATCATGTGACTTCCCCCCCCTTACTTCGCAATCGTCTCATCGCTGTTTCCTCTTCTCTTTCCTCTTCGACGATTCCTTTTGTATCCACCCTAGTTATTAGGTTATAGAGGTTTAGCCCTTGACATGCACCTCTTTGTGGTGCTCAGGACTAGTAGCCTTTATAGGTGAAGCTAAGCAAGCCTGAATAGATATATACTGTATTCTATTCTCCTAGTGGAATATTAAAATCTGTTTAAATATAAATCAAAGCATGTTATTCTGTATTCTGCCGGCAAAAACTCAGTCACCGGATAGAAAAATTAGTTTTTAAACTTTTGTCCTAATGGCTTGCCGTACGAGGCCTCTGACGTAATCGGGGACCGTGCACATGATTTGCTGGGTCGCCATAGACATCTGCTCTCTTTATTGACAGAATGAAGCAAAGCCAATCCCACCTAATAATAACTTATATCCGCATTTCCTCCAGTGAGGTAGCGACTCGGCTAATATCTCAAGGACTAATCGTAATTCTTGAGCATAGGAGTACACAGCCAGGTAAATATATATCGGATCATATGACATGCGTATTCATCGACATGTGAGGTAGCTATCATATTAGATATCTAAAGGGAGGCATCTGTCGAGGCATAATCTAAGAAAGATCTGACAAAGGTAAGCACAGTTGTTCGAGTCGCCTAAGCATACGGAAACCTCATTGTTACTCACATTATCATGCGTTCGGTCGTAAGCGGCAACATTAATCTTCAACACAGCCAATATGCGGCACATTCAAGTTTACATCATTACATGACACTCTTGGGTTATGGCTCTTCTATTTTAGCTGGTCGAATAATATTATTTGTCTTATTATCGTTTACCCACTAGAATCACTGCAGACATATTACTCAAGGCCTGTTCGCCCTTGAGCGGAGAAAATGTCTTGGATGCTCTACCCCGAACAACTTCCAAATGCATTCTAGGACCCGCCCTTCCCAGTCATTGTCTCGATATTTGACTAGCATGTTGGTTCTGACGAGGAGCTGCCAGCAGTAATCTAAATATTTCTGCAACTCTGGCAAATTTTTCTTGTGTAAGGGGTCATGCGGAATCGGGATACTACCCTTGGGTGCATATTCCGCCAACTCAAGGATAATAAGGATGAGTTCTGTGGGGAGGCCCATCTGTTGGAGGATGTATATAACAATAGCAACATCATGACTGTCTGGTTGGTATATGCCGCGAGTAAAGCGAGAGATTAACGCTGGGAGTGTGAGGAATCCGAATTCTTCCTCTGTAGTATATGAACAGTCTTGATACCCATAGAATTGTCGGTGTGGAATTGTATGAATAACCGCACCACAAATAGTTTTGCTTTGGGTACATTCGAATAGCATTTTTTGATATCCGCGAGTTGAACGATAGTCCAGGACGTTTTCATCCATGATAAGAGAATCCCCTGATTTCCCAGATTGTATATAATTCGCTCGTGTTTCTGCATCATGCAATTCAGTTTTTTGAAACAGCATATTCAGACAGATATATGCCATCATCGCTGTATCCACCAGCTCTGGCAGTCCGAACTTCGTACACGAATGTGAGCAGCGACCTCGTTTGAGACATAATTGTATGGGAGGTTCTGCCCTGATCGAGAATAGAGCATCCATTTCGTCCTGCAGCAACAGCGCCGTGAACGTCCCCGTTTTATCTTCCCGTGAATTCGCAGTCCCCACACGATCTGTCCAGAACGATATCTTCCTGCCCTCGACGCTGAACACTGGGTTTGTAGGTTGTACTAAATGCTGGATGTTCCTAGCCGTTGACTCTGATATGACTTCATCGTCTTGTTCTACATCCACATACATGGACATCTCCTTGTCGGTGTGCTCTTCCAGTATGCGTACAAAAGCGCTGACAAAGGAATACAACTGTCTGACTTGTACTGATGTTCTTTGTCGCGCGAACAGATTTGTCTCTCCATGATGCCTTTTGCTGCGGTAGGCAAAATCGAAAATGCTTGCGAAATCTTTCCAGGGAAGAGCGTCTGCTTGGTGTGCCATTTCGGTGTCTTTAGTTAGCTGTGTTTCACATTTTAGAAGCACGAAGAGAGGACCGACGGTATTTGTATGAAGCTGACGATGACGAAATATGACATCCACATGGTCTCTGGGCATCCATCATAATTAATCATAGCTTATCTATGTAAGTTTGGGCTTCGAATGGAGTATCTCCATATATATTTAGAGATAGGTATATTCGTTCAGAATATCTCGTTAGGAGCTCGGCATCATCTTGTTCTATTCTATATATGGGTCTATCCTCTAGAGACACAATATAATAACACGGGAATAGAATCAATTTCTAATTTAGTTCTGTTCCTGTATGGCTTTCATACTCCTAACTGTATCCACCACACTCTCCTGCAGCGACCGATACGCCAGTCCCAGCTCGTTAATCGACGACGAATTGTCATAGCCATATTTGGGACCACCCGGTGGATATTCACCATCCCTTAACGCATCACCACTTGGTAATATGGACTGCAACTCCTGGAAACCCTGTCGGATATTCTCGACGATCTCTGCATTGCAAAAGTTGCCAGCAGTCAGAAAATACCGTTTCCCAGCGGTCTCCGTTTTTTCCACAGCAAGAGCATGCGCCAACGCCGCATCACGTACATCAACCCAGAACTGACTCCCCGTTGGAGGACACTTCTCCTTGGAAGCACCTGTGATAAAATCTCTTATGCGCTGGTTTGATGTATTGACATCTTGAAGGGATGCAAGAGAGGCTGCCACCGGTCCCAGGATCAACGAAGGATTCATCACAGTCAAGGTAAACCGGGGACTTTCTTTTTTTTCATGAACTCCCAGGCTTCCTTTTCCGCGAGTGTCTTGCTCGTTCGATACCCGGATTGACCCAGGGAATTTTCAGGGCTTTCAATGTCGTCCCACGTCACTGGATTCCAATCCTGCTCAGAGTATTTGGATCCCGTCGGCTTGGTGGGATTGAACATGGCAGCGAAGGATGAAGTGATCACCACGCGTTCCACACTCGGCGCCTTCTGGTGCACTGATTGCAGAATCCCAACTGTGCCGTTCACGGCAGGATCGAGCATGTCTTCCTTCACGTTCGTGATGTTGTAGTGGAAGGGACTTGCCGTATGGATGACGGCGGATATGGGAGGGTCGCATATCACTGCTTGATCGAATGCGTTGGCTGCGGCAATATCGCCTACGATTTTGAAAGTTAATCGGCTACTTGGTACTCCTCGTTGTTGAGACTGGATTAATTGTGCTTTTTCTGACGAGCGAACGGTGGTCACGACGGAGTGCCCTCGCGCGAGGAGTGTATTGATGATCACGCCGCCTAAAAATCCACTTCCTCCAGTTACCAGAATTCGAACCATGGCGTTATTTTGTTGATCTGAGGTACCTAGGTTGTCTGGATTGCTTCGGATGTGGTGGGCTGAACACTAATCGAAGTAGAGCGGCACTAGGCTAGATATTTATCTATACGCAGCATGGCTAAACTCCGTGTTATCGCCGTCTATATCCGACCACCAATAAGCAGTGTATGTAGTTATCCCCGTTTGTTGGGAGACCAGAACCAACAACACTATCAACACTATCAACAATATAGCTACTTAGGCCATCACAGGCCACGTATGTGCAGCATGCAGCTGTGGTCTCCGATAGACTAAAGATGGAACCAATAGTGTTGATACACCGGCGTTCATCACCAATTATAGCCAGTATCGCTCAGTGTGAATTTCAGTCAATGTGCTAAATGTAGGTTGAGATAGATTCTGTGCGTAGAATGTTTCATGGCTGTCGGATGTCCAGTTCAACATTTGTATCCGGGTCCCTCAGTAGGCCAACAAGCCCCTGATGCACGGATTACTGGACGACATTAAATCCAAGGACTTGCTTCGAGACAAGCTACTATACTTTTCAATATCACTAGTAGATAGATATGTCCACGATATCCAACTAAGGGCAGTAACTAGATATCGCTAACTATTAATATTTCTAATAGCCTAGTTTGATAAATGATGATAGGGGGGGGTACTATATATAGACCAGGCAGGAGATTACTTTGTTTAACAACTATACTGCAAACCAATATTGGCAATAGTTAACGAAAGCCAGTATCTCTTTAACGATCTAATAACTTCACAATAACTCTCAGTTTCCAAGACTATTTGCTGCACCGAGTACTTACTCATCCCAAGAATATTTGGCAAGTATTAGCGGTAATTAATCGCGGCTAATAGACTCATGGACTTGTTAAAATAACAGTCTCCTTATTATTCGAGAATTTCTTTGTTATAGGCTATATATCTATGAGAACTTCATTCACCGTGAGGGCATCTTCCCAAAGACCCCAAGAGCTGTGGTTTGAACCATATTATTAGGCATGGAGCTCTGGCTAATCCAGAATACACTGTTTATTTTGATTAATTATGGGTTCCGACACTGGTACATTTACTTTTATTAATATGTGTGAATTAAGGACGTCCGTGGAACGAGTCACTAGTTTCCCTAGGTTTAGTCCATGCACTTAAGGTTCAGTCCATGTCTCCATGATATTAGGATAGTATTGCCGTAAAATATGTAGTCAGCATGCTAAAGTTGGTTCAATTGGACAGATATATCTGTCTGATAATAGAACATTGACATTTTACCATTTTCTTCGTTTGTCTTGTTTCTTCCCTCTTACTAATTTGCTGTTGTCTGGAATTGTGATGTATACGGCCCGGTAGGGTTATACAATCACCTTCGGAGGCACTATTTGTAACTAACAATGAGTACAGTTCTGCACAGAGCATGATAAGTAATGTTCTAGGTAGGTGGTCAGGAAAGCCTACATTTTGCAGTATTCCACTTGGTTGAGCACTGCAAGTAGAATACTTGCTATATCAAATTCTACCGCTAAATAAATCAGCATAACCAAGATTTGACTCTTCCAGTAGATTCCACGCCCTATGGAAGCTGTATGTCATAATTTTTTGATTCTGCTGGTGGCCATCAGCATGGCGACCTTTGTCATAGATCAAGAAATCTTCTCATTTGGGGATGCCTGTGCATCCAGTTGGACACCTTAACTTGTACTGTCTAGGTATCCGATCATTGAAGTTCCTGCCTACACCTTGTGTGCGTTCTTCTCTGAGTCTGTAGCCATCGTCCAACATCGTTGTCGATGCCGAGTCGAAACTGGCTATTCCACTACCAGTCACTTTGGGTTCCCGCACTCCATCAATATTTCTAATTGCTTCTTCGCCACTTGTTTATTCTCCTCTGGCAACTACTTCCCCTTCATATCGGGGTTTTACTATAGGTGGGGAAACACATTGTAACTCAACCGTGCCTTGGACCTGACCTTGTTCCTGCTGTTTCCTTAGTATTGGGACAAAGACGGAGAAGGGCTAAGATTATTCTTTTCGCTATTCCCTTTTATCTGTCTATAATTTCACGCGCTAGTGCCGTCATCTACTTCCTGCAAATTCTACCAGTTCTTGAACTGGTAGAAGAGTCAAGGAACAGTCTAACAAAATATTACCTGGTATTCCCCAGTCAAGCAGCTCATCACCATTCTAGATTTGTTGGAGTAGACGGATAACATCTACGCAATAATTGTCGAAGACAAGTAACTAGACTAAGACCCTTCCGACTAGAAAAGTAGCTATTTATATTTTTTCGCCGGAATAATGTCCAGCTATATCTTAAAATTAAGTCCTTGATATCTTTGGGAAACATACTCTCACTGGCAACAGAGTTTAGTATATTAAAGATATCGCAGGTACTACTGTTATGTGAGAAAGCCGTGCTGGGTATAATTAACTTAATTATAATCTTATGATGTCGTTCAAAAACATCGTGAAAATAGCCGCAAGTTTATAATATTATTCTTAATCCCAACTACTTTATATATACAATATTACTAGAAATATTCTTAATTATAGTTTAAAACTATTTTCTTGATTCAAAATGTATTTTTTTATGTGGTGTAGATAGTAACCTTGGTAAAGGAGATATTAACATAACCCTCTATCTGCAGGCGAATCCAATTCCCGCCAGTCGGGGCATAGAGAGTATTCTAGACTAGCAATACCAGTGACTGTATCTATAAAATCCAGGATTAAAGTTGTTGTAAACGTTTAACATATTATATTGCTAAATGGCTGTGTCCAAGTAAACATTTCTACTAAATAATTTAAGCTATACTTAATATATTCAAAGTACATACGACCATAGGGTGTGGAAAATAGGGCTTCCCGTCCGCTCAGCCGTACTCAAGCCACACGCCGGTCAGTTAGTAGTTGGGTGGGTGACCACCAGCGAATCCTGGCTGTTGTATGTCTTTTGCTTACCTTTTTATTTCAGTCATGAATGAAGCTCCAATACCTCTCTGTGTTGGGTAGGCTTAACTGAACTCCTACAATAGGGGACTCTGCTTAAACGGTGGGTGGAAGAGGCAGGTCCTGACTATATCATAATATGCTGTACACTGCACAGCCTTTAACTGTCTTCGAGAAGAATACTTCGGAGATCGTTACCTTCGTTACTGTTGGAAATCAGGATGCCTAAGACACCTTCGTGTATCCTAGTCCCGTAGCGATCTGATATATCACACGCAAGGGGCTAAGGGACATGTAGACATAAGAAAGCGTTTGTCTACACCTTCCCTCGTAGATAGATGAATATACTCACCAAGCGATACTAGATCGCACGATAGTTTCAATATACTACTTAGTCACCGCTATCCTAGCACCTCACAACATAGCTTCTTCCCCCGAGGTTTTCAACAGTTACCCACATTTTAACGTTAATGGACAGCTTCTAGAACCTGGTGCATTCCACGACCGCGCACGCCAATGGATCGCCATTTACGTATCGCACTCCCTCTGTCACTCGCTTGCAGACTGTTAATTTCGGTTCTATGTATATGTCCGCCATCTGCTGAAGCTGGTGCTAGGAGCGCTGCTAGTGCTCTCAAATATGTCCGACGCTCTTTGCGGGTCCAGGAGGCGGACTCTGCTCTGGTTGGACTATCAGAGAGGATGCAATACACAAGCTTGTTTGCGAGATGTACAAGGATCGAACGCTTCAGGATCACAGCTCATTTAAAACATGAAAACCACAGAGTACAAGTCCGCACAGAGGCAATTATATAACAGGAGCAATCCATTCGGAATATCGGGTAGCTAATACATGTTCTGGAGTACATGGAGACCAAGGGTATGGTCTCATCCTAAGAGCTAAGACCCAGTCTATACCACGTAGTTCGCAATAAATATTTATTAGATAGAGTTCGTCATTATCTATATAAAACGTATAAATTTAGAGATTTTAATGAACGTTAAAAACCTATAGCTTTCTGTAAGGAACTTTGAGAAAGCCTAACAACTCTCGCAAGCAGTATCTTTACACGGAAATTCATAAAACAAGCCAAAAAAAAAAAAAAAAAAAAAAAAAAAACGTCACCCCCAATATAGCCGATTTTCGAGATACTGTCAGATATACCACTCACTACACCACAAAAAGCAGCGCTGTTTCAATGTGTGTGCAGTACTGGTATATCCAACAATTAAGAGTCTCATTCGCTCTTGGCGTGAACTATTGAAAGTGGTCAGACCAGGATTCGAACACTCAACCACAAGAGCAAATGAGACTCTTAATTGTCAGGTATACCCCCACTACACCACAAAAAGCAACACTGTAAGAACTTTCTGTGTCGTGTTGGTATATCTGCCTATCTAACAGATATCCTAACATAACAGGACTTGGAACCAGGGTTGTACCGATTCTTCACGCGTTTTAAATGGTAGGTAGCTCTGGGCCATTGGACTGCAGAGGTGTTAACAAAGTAGAGGATATTTCTTTGCATATGTACTTCGTGCACCCCACAATGGGAAGCAAGAAACAGCTGACGGTAGAGTTAACAAGTTGGGACTGTGTGGACAAACCTAAATTTTCTATCTTGCTTCCACACCGTCTGTTGGACCGACCTAAGTCTCTGGTCCCAAACATTCTCTAATAAATTTGTTTCTAACGATCAAGGAATTATCTGAAACTTTTGTCTTGCGGATCCATTTGTGCGGCTTACAGACTGTTTTCTCGACATTATGGCCATCTAGAGTTCACTTGCACTCATTCTGGACTTTATTGTCCTGGTGGAGCCCCTTGTCAGCTACAGTGGGGTATCATCGCGGACAGTACGTAACGGAACATTCAACACAATTAAATGCTTATCAGGTATAGTCAGTTACCAAGAAGCCTTCAAATGGAGAACTTGTTCTCATCTACACATAGCTCTAAAAGCGAATTTAAGATGAAAGTCCCGTAGGAAGGAGAACTCGGCAACTCTTAGGAGGTTGGGTTTCATACGGGGGTTGTAAACGCAACCTCGAATATTACGTTCAAGTCGAATGGGCATTTAAAGTTACGGTCTGGCTTTCCGCGACGCGCTCGCAGCACCGGTTTTTGAATCGTAATGGGGCCTATTCTAGGCTAGGAGCCGCTGCTGTGATATGCTAGCTGTACCAGTTATAGAGAAATGTGCACGTACGTACACATTCACGGTTACACCGCATAGGGAGCTTTGTTAGGATCCAATCAATCACCTCACCCGCACTGTAAGGTCCGAGAATCTGTACACACCACTTTACTCAGCCTTGTGTGTAGCACACCAATCATTTGTTGATGTGGTTGTCTGAAGTGACCTTTATTGCATAGCAGCCTTAGTATTGGCGCGAAGAGCTCTACTAATTCTGATCGTAGAACTGTAGATATCAGGGATGGCAAATGACGGCAGGCCGTTTACCGCTCAATGACATCACTTATTCCTCCATGAAAACTTTTGTAAATACATCAAATCCCTTGGCTCAAGAACTAAAATTGTGAGAGGGCATAACTGTCTAGTTAATGAAGCCATTCATCCATCCATCTGCTGTTTTAAAGGGTCGGTAATTAGGTGATCGTTAGTCACTCAAATCAAGTTTATTAGCCTCGCACTTGTCTCGTCCCAGATCATAAACATGATGAACTATTGTATTCACACTCTAACTGCCATATCTCATATGTTCCACGACATAGTAAAGTTATTTACGAAGACTGTATTGAAGCTTATACATTATCCAGGCGCCCCTAGGATGATTTGCAAGCGTAGGAATGTCCGGTTGACGCCATCAATGATCCCCAATTCTCTCGATTTCGACGTCAAGAACTCAACGTTTTTCAGCAAATTGAGTTAGTTACCTTCACCAGAAGAAGCTCGCAAACAAGCCACAGTCCAACACCTTGCAGGAGTTAATCCAGATAATAGGAAAGTCCACTCAACTACCGCCCCTTATGTGAGACCACCGCCCGTGATATTCGATGATATGAGACTATTCGTTAAGTGGGGAAGAGCTGTGAGAATACCAGAAGCTCAGTGCCTGTATGCAATCTGCTAATTCCTTTAAGACAGTGTCCTAGTTCCTGAAGTATACGGGTGGCGCACGGATGGAGAAGAAAAGTTTATTTACATGGAATATATAGATGGGCAAACTCTGGAGCAACTATAGGACGTGATGGACGCTGGTGACCGGGTTTCGATCTGCCGTGAACTTCGAACAGTCTATAATATTTTGCGTCAACTAGAACAAGATTTGTCTGATACATTTATAGGTAAACTAATTCTCCCAACCTTCAAGGACTGTGTCTTCTAGCCATTTTTGTATTTACAGGCAACATTGTACGCGATCCTTTTTATAATAGAGTGTTTTATATAGAATACATGTTCGAAGCCGGCCCATTCACCACAGTTTATGATTTTCGCAACTGGTTCACGTTTCTCTACCGAAGGCGAATGGCGGATCCACATTCGGTCCCGATTGAACCATTTCGATATGAGCTACCTAATAACTGTGCTATTAAATTTACTCACAGTGATCTGCACCGCAGCAATATTATTGTAACACCCTCTCGGCCGTATCAGATTCTGGCAGTTGTTGACTAGGAGCAGTCAGGATGGCTACCTGCTTACTGGGAGGCCCGCAAGGCGCAGTATACTGCCGATAGGAATGAAGAATGGTCTATACAGTACTTACTAATAATTTTGGATCAGTATTCAAGCACCTGGGATCCATGGGACTATTACACAATGGCTATGGGATGCTAGACCACCCGCACAATTGTAATGGTGGCATAAATCTTAAAGTACACAATAAGCCGTACTGCAACAGGTCTCTGGAGAGTTACTTAGCTTATATTTTGTTGGCAGAAAGCAACTTAAAAACCTCAGCTAGGAGTCTACGAAAACAAAACAAGATATTGTTTAGAGTTTAGGAAAGCAATATATAACATTGAAGCAGAAAATGCTAGGTAGATAATCCCAGAGTATGCTTCCACACCGATGTAGCATTACAGTAAACTTGGTGCATTCTGGACGACAGAAATAGCGCTGCTTTCAACATAGTCTTACTCGGCAAGTTTCTGGACGTAATCCTGCATTTAGTTTTTGGCAATTAGGTGCCTGTATTAGAGCTTATTTAGAAGCTGTAATGTTGCATTACTGGATACATATACCGAAGGACCAAAATGGTTGGGGCTGTAGCCAGGAAGAGTCACCGTTATAGCGACTGACTCTCTGTCAAGGGCAGTTGTGTCTGCCGAAGGTTGTCCATTGCCGACTGTATCAGCTATGTGCTGATCATTAACTTAAGACAGAGGAATAATTTGATATTTGGGTTGCGTGACACTAAAGTCGTAATTGCGCTTGAATTGAAGGGAAAACCCTGTGTCTGTAGCTCCAGTAACATGGATAAGTTTTTCCACCTTACCCGAGTCACTTACAGGAACAAAAACAGTGAAATGAGCAATGAGCGGGTCTGACACCGTTGGAAAAGACGGCCAAGTGAATGGTGCGAGGAATTTTCTTTTGCTGTAGTGATACAAAGAAATAGTTCTTGATATAAATGGTTCGGCGAAAGTGAGATGGTGAGTGGAGTACAATGTGAATATTAGACGGTCTGCGTCCCTGTAGAAGATTTGAAAAATGTGCAGGGAGCTGTGGGAATCTAATGGGATTTATGTACTTCCTGACCCTGATTTAGTAGAGCACCACACAAGCCCTCGATGAAAAAGGCACCTGATGATCACAAGCTGAAACTAGGGAAGGCGGTTAGAAATACATTATGCGTCGAAGTTTCAGCAACAAGCAGAATAATTGAGACTATTGGACTAGATGCGTCAACTGTGCAAGCACCAAGTCGTCCTGGTCTGACATCAAGGTTGGTAGTGTGAAAGCGTCAGGGACGTGCGAGTTTCGCACTTGTACATCAGAGATACGTTATATATAGACCGTGCAGACAAGTTAATAAATTTAAGATATAGGAGGGATGCCCTCTTTCCATTGGATAAAATGGAACTTACATTAGGTTGTGTAGCGAATGAAATTTTAATTGGCTATGCGTTTTCGCATCGACCGGGAATAACTGAGCTAACGAGAGCGGGAGAGTTAATGAACGAGTCGAGAATGACATTTACGCGGGCATAAACAGTAGCAGACTGATATACTTTTGACTGTCGTCTTTACATTCTATGAAAGCCTTACTCGTCAACGAAAAACAAAAGTGTTTGATCCTTCCCCTAACTTTTTCATACTGACACAGGACTCAGAGGATGCCGACTCCATGGCAATTTTCTGCAGTTCGAGTATATCAAATTCATGATACCTCTCTCGAAGCTGCTCTTTTTCGTCCCAAATCCATCGTCCACTTGTATAACCGAAGAGCTCGTGTGGATTTCCGACGATATTAGCCATCTGGGAGGGAGAATATTGATGTAAATAACTTCTGATTGGAAGAGATAACCTGGCTACTCTTGACAATACTGCAAAAATACTCTGAATTCTCGTTAAAATGCGTGGGAACGAAGGCATGATTATTCTATTCATTAAGGAGAATCATGGGAAGAATCTTGTAAGAGACATCAACTTCAGTCCTTGCTATCCTTGGACAATACTCATCACCCCTTAGACTCCAGGGACTGGAGCCCATGACCTCATCAAATACTCGATTAGAGCAAGGTTAAATATGATTGGTTTGAATAGTACCCGCACGACAGCTACTTGTGGGGCCATCACAAAACACATGGCTGCAGCTCACCCAACCAACCATTTTTCTAAAAGGAGTAGAATGCACTTTATGTGTCACGTATATAGAATCCACTCAAGCGCTTACAAAGCTTCCTTCGTTGGGTGCTCCGCTAGGCAACCAAGGAACAATATGATACAGCCTTGTCAATTCAGCTTTGAGAGCCTGTCGATAGTACTCCCAATTCGTAATTGAACTTATCAATGAAAAGTATATCTATTCCGCTGGGTCAGTGTCACGACCAGATGTCGGCCCCACCTTGACTCTAAAGGGTTAATACGTTCTACTGCACATATTGTGGATACTCCAGGAAACTGAGGATTGACTTCTGTAAAGGGATAGAGCCCGTTTGACCCCGTTGACCCTATTGCCCCTTTCAGCCCTCGATGACCCCACGTCACGTGATTTTTCATTTGCTTCCCTGTCCTTTTCCTCTTTCTTTCCTTCTTCAACGAGTCCTTTTTGGATATAGCCTATTATATGGCTTCTACTGGTTCAGCACCTGACAGGTGTTTTATCATTTCTGCGGCCAAGTGACCAGTTGATGTTGAAGACTGTGGATAGTCCGTTGATGCGCCGACTGGGGTATTATCGTGAGAGCGAGACCCAAATCCCAGCCCAAGGCAAGAAAAGCCTTTGTCTCCGATCCAAGGACCAGCACGCAGATTGTTGGGCTCGGGCGAGGGGTTCTCTGCTATTAGTTTTCATGACTAGTTAAGGCATAGTATATTGCAGGCATGGGTACCTGTACGAACACATTGCACCTCAACTTGAACTGAACATAGATGAGCTATATATTATCCAAGATTTCAGGGCAAACTGTGTATATGGAGTGCTAGTCATATTAACCTGCATAAAATCAAGTGAACTGATCTGCTAAGGGTGAAATATTATTTAAGTACAAGTAAAATCGGTTGGAGGCTGGAATATTGTCTAATTATTTGGGATATTGGTATGGGGTGAGAATTGAATATTTTTAGAAGGATGTTCTGCCCAATCCCTCTATGAGGAGTATTGGGTATATATATTCACATGATGTCCCAATATGGACTAGCTTTATTCTGAGAGATATCTACGATGACGTTCTACTGGAGGCCGACTTCAATTTATTTCTAATAATGTTTTCACCGCGTCCTGTATGTCTATATTGCTCCCGAATTAGTTGGTGTAAATGTGCTCTTTGCAAAGAAGCAGTTCGAGAGGTAATTGGTTCAAGCAAGATAATTATTTGGAACGGGGAGATGGCAGGAAAAAAAAAATTTATAAAAAATGCGGCTTTATGAACTAATATATATAATAGTTATTTTTAATTGAGCATTCTAATAATATACTTTTCGTCACGGGTTAAACCCGGAGTATTACTCAGGTTAGGAAGAGGGCCTCGCTACCCACTATAGATGCGACTGATCTTTCGATCAGTCATCTTATACCTTCTTATAGTCAAGTGGTTTTATCTCTACTAACGCAAAGACAACCTAACCATCACACTTCTTTTATCTGTATTTTTATACTTATTTACTACTATTTTCTTTTTATAGAATTTTATATAATGTTTAGGATCTTGGATGCTTACTCTATTAGAAATCACCTGTATTACTAGATGCTTTGTAGCTAGGCCAGAACAGGTCAATAGAACTTTAAATTAAATTAATTAATACGACCAAGTTCGCGTTTGCCCATCACTAAAGATTGTCAAGAAGAAATCCTAACTTCTCTCAGTTTGAGCATCAACTCCATTTCGACAATCCTTGAATTCTACTGCGAGCATGCCCATGGACAATGCAATATTGTCAAGGGAAGGCTGCGCAGGTTTCTGATATAAATGATGGTAGACAAAATCGCTTACATTGTTGTCAGGTTCTGCTCCTGTCACTGGCACTGCCACAACATCCGAGCTCATGTTCCGAGAATCTCCAATTTGATCCATTAACATTCGTCCAGAGCAATCCAACCACCGAGATTGATTTGCTTGAAGAACAAGCAAGAGTTGATCAAGAAATTCTATGGCCAGCCGCGTTCCACAAAGCGAATTTTTTGCAAGTGTTATGGCGACATTAAAGGGTATTGGGCCTATAATTTCTGGTTTTTCGTCAAGGCCTGGATGTTCGTCCAAGACGCATAATAGGGCTTTCAGTTGGTGGTTAAGTTGCTTGAGGCTGTTTTGACAGCGGCTGGACTGGAACAGTAACGTCTCCGGATCACAAAGGCCGCTACAAGCCAGCATGGAGCGAGTACGTGCAAGCAACCCCGGGCAAACTACAATCTCATTGAACGCTTGATCGACAGTTTCACCCAATAGACTCCTTCTACTGGATCTTTTTTCGTCCGCTATCCACCCTTCCATTATAGATCTCCATTCTGATTCCTCTAGGAAGCATGGCTCATTCCGGATGAAAGCGTCAGCCACGAGGAATGCTCTGAAGGAAATAAGCAGGGTACGTCCAAATCCACGACGATGGGCAGAAGGCCCTCTGAGTCGAATGAGTGTAGACACACCACTAGAATGGGCTAGCCAGGATAGTCGCTTTGTTCCGTCGAGCATTTCATATACTCCGAGTAGCAGGGCTGCCCCCAATGTCGCGTCCGATTTAGCCTTGTTAGGGTTCCGCATCGTAGACATTAAGCAGTGCAATGCACGACCGTACATTGATCGACTGCAGGCAATTTTATCAGGGTCATGGTGGCATCTTCCGATGTAAAGTGTGCTTAGAGACCGAATAGTCCATGTTAGAGTTGCCGAGGCTGATTCCAAATGATACCGGAGAAAGTCCATCCAGTTTATATCGACTCGGGTGCTCCATGAATGGTACAGTCCGTGGAATGTAGAGTCCACAAATAATCCAAACATTTCTCTTTGTTGCGTCTCCACAGCCATGCCTGTCAGGGCTGGCTCAATAAGTTCGTCCATGCTGCTAGCTTGCGGCAATCCTACGTAATTTGCGACATACTGTGTACATGTTTCCAACTGCACTCCGTGCGATGGCGGGGTGAAGTAGCAAAATTTGCGCGTTTTCTGATATCCAGGACACTTTAGTTTCATTCTCGTGCAACGTTGGCATTCTGGTCGAGATTCGTCGCACTACGTCAGATTGACCACTTAGCAGAAGTACCCAGTCTGGTATCCTTTGTAGGACTTTAGAAGAAAAGCTCACTTTAACTCGACGTTTCAAGCATGTGCGACAACCTGTACTTCGTGGTACTCCAACCATACTGCTAAGAAGCCAGTGTCGCTTGTCTTTTCTTTTTCTTGATGTGACTAGCTAGACAGTCTGTTGGGCCATCGCATTCAAAACTCGCCTCTGAAAACTAAACAATGGGAGGGAAACAGATCATAGGGGATACAAGATTCAATAGTAGCCTTAAGGTTGAGAGATTTATTCCCCAAGTATGTGAGGCTCTGTTTATTCATGCGAGATAAATATTGAGAAGGATTTCGAACCATTTCCACCCGCATTGCCAAGACAGGTCCGATAATGGAAATTGGTCGTTTATGTAAGAATTTCAATATCTAGTTAGGTTAACTAACGTAAAGGGACTAGTGGTGCAACGCGACGCGTGGTACAACAATTTCGTCGCGATAACTCCTCCTTTCATCTCAACCACAAATGGACCACAATGCTCATATTGAACGAGCAATTGCGGATCTAAAACCGCAGAATCCACCCAAATATGCTGCAACTACTAGAAAATATAATATAGACCAAAGCACCCTGTGGCGCCTCTCTCGATGCCCGTTGAATATACCCCTTGAAGAACGTGTTCGTGCCGCCGGTACACGTGTTGTATAAAGTGCAGATCGAACTCTGTCGAGTAGATCAGGAAGCTTAGCTGTCTTTCGCTTGGATGGATTATGCATTGGATCTGCAACGTATGCAAGCCAGTTGTTATACACTTGCTATGCGGGTCGAGCGCTCCTGCGCCGAGAAATTGCAGCAGGGTATGGCGGGTATGTTGAATTCGTGGATGAGGAAGACAGGCCTGCACACTCCGCAGGAAATCTTGCAGATCCGAGCTCCAGTCTATATTGATACGGAATGGGAGCCCTGGAGCTGAACCATTGGCACCGTGCTCTGGCCCTGCAACTGACAGGCCTCTCTTTATCGGGCAACATCCTGAAGTCAAAGTCCGTCGCGCCTGTGTATGATGCAAGGACAATTGCCAAAGCAGCACAGGCCGGCGTGGATACAGTCAGCCGGGTGTCCGACGCAGCCGACGCGGGCAGGGGGGTTCTGGGGCTGAGAACGGCATCGTGCTTCTTTTGAACATGGACTGAGTGGCCTAATTTCGTGCCGCTATCTATCATAGGGACACTTCTCCCACGCGATGTCCATCTGTTGTATTTCCACTCTGCATGAGAGCCTGTACAGCTGATTACGCGTTCGGTTTGAGTATAGGGTTCAATGACTCACGCCATGCATGGAGTACATCATAGTCTGGCTTGCCGTTCGAAGAGACATAGTCGACATATTCTATCACTGCCGGTTGCAACAATGGAATCGGTGTCGTGCCTATCAGCCTCATTTTATTTGTGTAGGCTACGGCCTCCACACAGTGTGCAATAATAATAAAATGAAAGTATATATCGGGGAAAAAGAGAGCCCGGACGTTGAATTACAGTCAAACAGTAAGCTGGGCTTCGTGGGGGGATTTCCAGACGTGGGAGAGGAAGGTGTTAAAGCGTTGAATATACATCCAATGTCTTTCCTGTTGCCCTGACTAGTAATTTGTTTCTGTCTGGCGTTACGTCGTCTTCTCCACTATGCAGCTCAACGTGTGCCTGCCCCAGTTACTACCCCTCCAGACACCAATCCATCCAATGAGCAAGACTGTCTGCAGCTTAAAAGACTTAGTTATGGTGCGGTCTCTCTGTATCACATATATTATAACAGTTTATATGAGAAGCTTCGCACGGAAAATACTGATTCTTGCAATGGTTTGGTTCCCTATGCGCTAGTATATGTAAAACCATCCGACCATAAGCATCTAGCGCCTATATAGTAGGCAACGAAGGCATCCTTCCTAGCCCCAGTAATACTCTGGATTTAATCCTTGACAATTCTCACTTGAGATCCCTTTATATGGCTTATTCTATACTATTTTAATTGACCCTCCGTTTTAAGTTGCTCGTTCTTATCAAGTACCGTATTCATTATATTTTCTCTGTATCTTGTACTGTCAAAGGGAGTAACATGCCTATACTGACACCATAATGTGTTAGCTACTTGGAGCCTTTTTAGCCTAGTTTTGTTATTTGTGATAAGTACAGCACAAAGAAAAGTAAATACAGCGTGCCCCGATCGTTATGTGGGGAGATCATAATTGGCGGATCAGGTTACGCGATGGAAATGGCTGGTAGTGCCCCCTGCGCGGACGGACCAATATCTTGGCAGTCAAAAGTATGCATCTTAACTTATGCAGCTACAGATCAGCATACAGCTCAGCTCGACCACGCTAAAATATCGCGTAACCTTGTATGGACTGGCTTTACTCTGACAACTCCCCCAGGGACAATAGTTAAGTGATCTGTCAACTTTTAGATAAGAAACCGCTATTCCGCTTCAACACTAAATTATTCAGCACCTGCTCCGTTGAAATGCCGCCATATTTTGTCATTCCAATTTACCCCTATGCTCTGATGTATTTAGTAAGTCTTGAATAATCGCTTAAATTAGAAGAATCAGACCTTCATCAATCAAGGTGGTTGAATACTAGTCAATACGTTAAGCGACACGGTCAATTGGTTCGTAGACAGCTCGCTGGCCAGGTTTATTATATACAGGTTGTCATAGTACAGTGCAGCACAGAACTTGCCCTAGCGACAAATCAAGAATCCATAACACGTGATATGCGTATTATTATTGGACATATTGTGGGTGCTATACTTTGCAAAAGACCGATACAAATATTTGCAACTGTATGCAAATTACAAATACGAATCCGAACATCTTAGAATCATTTATGTAGTTCTGCCGACACTAAATCCAGCCAGTTGCATGACAGAGCAGGATGGGAAGACATTATTGTCCAGATACAAAGTCCGTTTGCGGTATTGTTATCACCACAATGATTATAAATTACATCATATCTGGGTGTTGCCACAACACCCATATCCTAGCTGGTACTATTGCCTCAGTGGCGCCAATAAAGCCCACCGCAAGTATGGAAGACCCTAGTATCAAGTATTCGCACCGTTTTAAGCCTTACCATTACTTACGAAATCATACGGCTAACTGTGCTGTTGAATCCGGCGCGTTTTCATTGGATATTTGAAGATCACCGAGTCGATTTTGCGAACCACAAGGGAATGAATGGTCCTAGGAACTTTTCTCTGGTTGTACTAACGTTGTATCGTGCCAATCATTACAATAAAGCTTATTAAATAGTATTGTTAGAATTGCAAACAAAGACTTACCGGAAACAGCAACCTAATATCACCTGGTAGATACTGGAGAAGCTCTACCCTGGTACATATAACATGGAAACTGGTTGGGGCTTATATAATTCAACATCACAGCCATGCTGTTCCACTCGAAAAGCCAAAATGATTTCACGACTCTTACATATTCCATCATATTTGTGTCAGCTTTCCAGTCACGGCGTGTGTGATGCTGAGCAAACGTACGTAGCTGAATGGTAGCCAGGTTGGTCCACTTCATAGAGCAATAACGGGTGTTAAAAACCATCTACATTCCACTGGACTTCCGCAAGAAAACCAAGAGTACAAACACAACTAGCAAGCAATAACTGTCAAAATCAAACATGCCATCACTTGTAAAACGCAAGGACATTGCGCGGCTCAGTGCTACAGAGCTGGACAAGTTGGTCTATGCCTTCTACAAGCTCCAGGTAGCGGACCCAGGTCATCCTGGAGCCCTGAATGAGGATTCCTTCTATGTCATCGCGGGTTACCACGGCCAGCCTTTCCGCGGGGGCGGATACAGCAAGGAAGAATGGTGGGGAGGTTACTGCCATCACGGAAATGTCCTCTTCCCTACCTGGCACCGGGCCTATTTACGCCGTCTTGAAGAGGCCCTTATCAACGTGTCCGGTTTTGACGACGTAGCCGTCCCGTACTGGAACGAATTCGACGACACACAGGGTGTCCCCGAATTATTCACGCGCAAAACCTATACCTTCCAGGCTGGTTTCAACCCCAAATATGGCTTCAATAGTGGGGACATAACCACCAAGGATGGTGTAATCACCCTTCAACATAATCCACTATTTTCGTACAAGTTACAGCAGGGCTTCTTCGATAATTTAAAACGACTCGTTACTAACAAGGACAAGTCAGAGACCAAGGTCGTTGATTACAGCAAGGGACAAGACTACGAGACAGTGCGTTGCCCATACTCAGGTCTAGTGGGGACACCACAGGATAAGAAAGAAACCAAGGAACACAATAGCCATATCAAGGAGGCCGAAGCACCCGCAAAACTTAATGAGAATGTGAAGGCATGGCTAGCTAATGAAAGTGATGACCACGTCCCTGGAATGAGTGCTCTGTACTTGTGGGCAGTCTACACGCCGAATTACACTGTGTTTTCCAATACGACCTCTGCCGCGAAGTGGAATGACGACAATTACCACCGAGAGGCGAATTGGAACAACAAATTCGCTGTCTCCCTGGAAAAGCCACACAATGGGGTTCATCTAGCGGTTGGTGGATATAGCCTGCCCGATAGGGATTCTACTCGGCCAAACTATGCCGGATCGAATGGCGACATGGGGGAGAATGACACGGCATCTTTTGATCCAATTTTCTTCTTCCATCACTGCTTCATCGATCTAGTCTTCTGGATGTGGCAGGTCACGAATGGCGCGGAGGAGGAACTGGAAATATTTGAGGGTTATCCAGGGACTAGTCCTATCGATAACCAAGGTCCTACAGCCTTCATGCCAGCGGACTCTCACCTGAACATGAAAACTCCCCTAGTGCCGTTCAAGGTCAACCACGACAAATACCTCACATCAGAGGTAGGTGATTAGCCTCAGCTACACTGAAAGACCAAAGTGGCGGGTCTAACCAGGTCTTTAGGACGTCGTGAACATCAAACACCTCGGCTATGATTACGAATTGCATCCTGTTCCCGTGAGCGGTAAGGATGAACTTACACTGTCCAATTTAAAAGAGAAAGCAGCCGAATTCAATACCGCAGCAGACAAAGAGGCCTCGGCACTGCCTATCGTGCGCTTTTCTGGGATCAGCCGCGCACAACGGCCAGGGTCTTTCGTCGTCTGCACGGTCACCGATGCCGGAAATGGGGAAGAGGTCGTGGGTGTCGAGCCAGTATTTAGCCGATGGCATGTGCCTAGCTGTGCCAACTGCAGTAACACGCTCGAGGTAACTGGACACCACGTCCTTCCTAGGGATCTAATGGTAAAGAGTAGGAAAAACGCAAAGCTCGGCGATCTCCCCCCTAAAGAGAGGCACGAAGTTGCAACGGATTTAGCCCCAAAAATGAAACTGAAGATATTGGAAAACCCACGCGCTGATTTGCTGGAACGTGGCCGTGGCCAAGACAAGAGGCAGTTGAATGACCTTAACCCCGAAGAAGAGCCGAAGAGAAGGAAAAAAGAAAGAATTTCAATAGATCCAGATCCACAGATTGATGTGCTGAAAGGAATGTGGACTGTTGGTAACCGAGTCCTACCCCTAGTCCATTAAAAGTGACGTGACGTGGCACTTTCTTTCTTTTTTCCCTTTCCTCTTCCTTTTACTCTGCGCCAGCTCTGTACGTCTACATATGCTATTGGTAAACTGGATGTTGAAATACGCGAGAAAAATACTGCAACTTACATCTAACACTGGAGCTCCGTTCCCGATTTGTGGAGAAGCGATTAACAGGGTTCTGGAACACTTCAACTCGCGCTTAGTTGCATCTTGCCAGGCTGGCAGTGCGATTAGGTGCAATACATATAACAGACTTTTCCTGCTCTTTTAGAGGCCTGAAAAGTTTCCGTCTTTATGCATGTGATATACCACAGCGAGTGCAGCCATTACGGGCGACTGATACTTTAAAAGCACCACATCGCTTGATATTAAAGGCTCTGGGGGTCTGTCCATCTCAGAATGTACTTAACTATAAATGGGACGGGCGTTGCTCAGGATTGAGGAGCATTGGATCTCTCGGTAGAAATTTAACAGGGCAGAAACCCCTGCTTGGTTTCAGGCTGCTGGTTACGATAGACCTCTTTCTTCGGTAACTATTATGTGATTGTGATCACCTAATCGCTCTCCCGATTACGATAATCCAGCGAATGAATCTAGTTCATTTTCTGCATGAGGGCCTTGCGCCAAAACTTACAGGGAGCATTGTAGCATATATATATATATAGACACGACCTCTGTATTGTAGATACCAGTTGAGGTGACCAATTAGTGAAATGTTCCGGTATGGTAGCACTATTTAAATGCTAAATAGTTCGGATGCACATGTCGCCATCTTGTCTGGACCAATCTCCTACCTGCATTGAAAGTGCCTATTATTTCCTAAAATAATATAACTACGGCGATTTGAAGGCTAGGCACGCTCGTATCTGCACCCATAGTGGTCTGCAGTCTTAGCGCAACCTGAGTGGCTGCATCGCTATTTTGTGTCAGCCACTTAGTTGACAAATCGAGCATAATATTTTTCGAGCAATAATGATGGACTTCAAATTATTTAATTGATTCGTTTGCCACCAGTGGATCTGTCGAAATAGCAAGGACGGACACAGGACTGGGGCACATGTGTGATTAAGTGGGTGAGCATATGGACGAAGCGTAGGAGAGACACAGGCTCTATTTTACGGGCACAACAGTCAAAAATTGCATATACTGAAATTTCTGCCATCCTTGGCAAGCATAAATCACGTCACCAGATCTACCTAGATTCTAGCGGATTTCATAATTATTTTCGTATATTAGGGCATCCTCCCAGCTCAAGATTGAGGGGTGAATGATGCTGATCAGAATCCGTATTCAAACCTAATCACAGAACAATCACAGAAAGTCCATTACACCGTGTCGGAACCCTTCGATCATGGCAAAACTTCTAACTATAATATTAATCTCCGTGGTAGTCCACTTTGCAAGAGTCTCAGCCTTGCTGGGGACTGATGAGGTTCTTCCAGCTTTGCTTCGAACCTGTCTCAACAACACAGGAGCCAATGTCGTGTATCCTGGTGACGCACGGTACCACAAGCTATCATACCCACAGAATGCAAATTATCAAACACATCCGGAGGCTATTGTGATACCCGCCCTAACCGAGGAGGTGGCAGCAACGATGCGGTGCATGGCCGCCGAGAAAGGGAACATTAAGCTCAGTGCTCGAGGAGGGGGTCATAGCTATGCTGCATATGGTTACTCAGGCCAGGTCATTCTCGACCCAAGCCAAATGAGGGCCATTTCTTTTGACGACGAGAGAAGGGAGGTGACGGTACAATTCGGTCAAACCTTAGGCCCCTTAGCAATGGCAATGGGCCGGAAAGGATATGCTCTGCCTCATGGTACCTGTCCTACAGTTGGGGTGGCAGGGCATTCCTTGGGTGGTGGCTGGGGCTTTCCTTCTCGGAAATGGGGCTGGCTTGTTGACCGTAGTAAGTATCTTCGATGTGCGTAAAATTGAGGGAAAGCACGGGACTCTGATATTTGCATTTAGTTGTGTCCGTGGAGTTCGTCGACATCAGCGGCAATATCAGGTGGCTCAATTCAAGCTCAACGGGAAACGATGCGGACTTGTGGTGGGCACTACGAGGTGCAGGGTCCAATAATTTTGGCATTGTCACTTCATTTATCTTTGCAATGGAAAAGGCTCCAACTTCCATCGTGAACTACGAGCTATATTTTGGTTCTGAGTCTGACTGTACACAAGTACTGTTGGAAGTCCAGAAGACGGGAATGCTGCCTGCTGATCATCCCAACGGTCTTCCTCTTGAGCTAGGGATGGAAGTACTTTTAATCGGTCGCACCGCTGCGGATGAGACCGCCTGCATACTTTCTGGCCAGTATATGGGTAACAAATCTGCATTTTCACGTATCATCAAGAGGCTCCTAGACAAGCTTGCGACCAAAGGAATAGTACCGCTGGAGTCTGAGTCGCATGTTAGAGAGTTTAGGGACTGGCTTGCCGCCCTCACAGACCTCATGGGCCCTCTAGATGCAACGACCGATCCCCTTCCCTACTACGGTCAGTCCCTCATGGACAATGGAACCCCTAATTATAAGAAACAACAGGTGGTCCATGTCTTCGATGCACTTCGGGCTGCAAGGAGTATTAAGGGCTCAGAGAACGATGTGTCCTTTGATTTACTCGGACCAAGCTCAAGAACTAATCTTCCACCTGTCACCGGCAATATGTCATATGCCCATCGCCGAAGTCTATTCCTTGTTCAGATCTACTCAGCCTACTTCCCGGGGTTTGGTGATCCTATGACTCGCTCGGATGCGCTCGGAAAGATAACCAATATTACAAATGCCATAAAGAAGGCCAGACCTGAAAGTGAATGGCATGCCTATCAGAACTATATTGATCCCTATTTAGCGGATTTTGGGCATGCATACTATGGTTCAGAGCTCGAGCGCTTGAAGTTACTCAAGTCTCTCGCAGATCCTACTCTAATCCTTGACTTCCCTCAGGGGTTGGGCCGTGCGTGACAAGGTATATGGGGCTTCCACATTTTTCCAGAGCACTATCGGCTGGTGGTTTGACTGTATATGTTTTTTTTTTTTTTTTTTTTTTTTTTGGAAGGGTACGTATCCATTCAAGCCGAGTGAAGTGTTTGAAACACCGGGATTTAAAGATCCAGCGTCTTCAAAGATATTTGATTTCATCTACTCATTCAGCTACTTTAAATATACATAATACAGGTACTTTAATCGTGCCAGAAATCCCCCGCAACTAGTCAGCCCAGGCACAAAAATCTGTTAGCAAGAACCTGTGCTCCTTAGCACTTGTCCTGGTTATGTGGCCAGAATCCGATGTTCTTGAGATCGTCGACAGTCCACAGCCCTTGTCGATAGAACGTGCAATCATCCATTTTCGCCAGCACAGCATCTTGGGCCGCGATACTGGAACAGGGACAAGTTCCGTCCCGCAGGAGCACCGAAAATCAATAACGATGCACTGGCTGTGGTCCCTCGCGAGGATTAATACCCCAACAAGCCAAAGAAGTCTTGGCAGCAGACGACCCAGATGGGACTCTCAGCAGAATTTCCGCCGATATTGGTTTGTCTCCAATGCCCTTGCCATAATTTACCAACCTGTATTGACCGAATGAACGTGGCAAACTAACCAATTAGACACCAACGAAAGCGCTTGTCAACGATTAGTATCAATACCAACACCAGTATGATAGCGCATATACGTCAGCGATGGCTTTGATCGCATATAGCTCTCCGACGCCAAAGGCTCTGAAGCTAGAATGCCTTGGATTCTAACTGATCCAACCCCAAGGGATAGCCAAGTAAGTATCTTAACAAGCTAACTAAGCTGCTTAACTGACCAGGAAGCAGGGGGATATTCCCGGACGCTGGATGCGGACACAACCGCGGAAGAAGCTAGTAGCGTATATTCCCGGTTCCAGTCCAGAATAATGTTTTGCCATGGAAACTATGGACTGAGAATTACGAAGATTTATTCTGGCCCTATTTTCCTAGTGCATGCCATCGAAAGCTCACTTTGTCGGCCTAGCTTACTTCACCACCGGGGCCTGACAAGCGATTTAAATTTATTATGATCTGACCGAAGAGCCCTCAGAGTGTGTTTCAGTTCTCCTAAGACCAAGTATACTCTACGCATTTGACTAAATACTGCTCTTCAAGTAGACTGTTTAACTCCGTGTCATCATAGTAGCCGACTTTAGCATCCGGTCAAGCGTCCCGCTTATCTCGCCCACATAGTGCTCCGTACCAACAAGTTTGCCCAAATGGTTTCATTTTACAAGAAATTTCTGAACGCCCCGTCCCATATGAGAATAACGTCATGGCCTTCCTCACCTACGACGAGGAGCACCATCGCATTGCTATTACCGGTCTACTAGGAACCACCGATAAGGACCCCGACAGTTGCGGCCTAGAGCATATCGCCTTCACCTACGGGTCTTCGGACGGCCTCTTCCTCTCCTACCACCAGCACAAGGCCCTGGGTATGAACCTAGTGTGGTGTATAAATCATGGACCCACGACATCTCTATACTAGGCCAACCCCGATGGAAACAAACTGGAGTCGCAGTCAGATAATTTTGATGCTGCGGAGGGGGCGCCGGCATTCATGGGGCCAGACCTGTTCGCTAGCAGTCCGATCGGGACCGAAATTGACCCCGAGGATATAATCAAGAGAATTGAATCGGGAGAGGACTACAAGTCGACCTAGAAAGGGTGAGATTGGCCCCGTCCATCTGGGTTCCAAGGTTTAAGTAAGCAGCTGTCGGATGCTTCGTAACTATACTTTGCAATGTAATTTTGGTCATAAATTTCTGGTCTGTCCATTTTTGGCAAAGGAAAGGAGGCTGCATGACGAATGGGATATGTACCTCCTTAGGCCGTTATTCGGTTTCTTCATATTTAACGCAGAATCCACTGACCCACGCGCTCGTTTGCCCAATAGTGTCTTGTGAGTTTAGCTACTCAAGCATCGGTTTCATTTGTGAAGACATGAACCACAAGCCGGCCGGTTAGTTTTTGGGTGGGTGGACATGGATTCTTTTAGCATACACATCGAACAACTTTCTTATATTACTATGAAGTTATAACTTCAGTAATGAAAATAAGAATCTTTTAACTTTATATCTACCTTATTAGCCCTATAATTTACAGCTGCTTGATGTTCGCACTGACTATTTGGAGCGATTTTTACAAGCATGTCAAGGTGTAAGCCATATTACAAACAGGATTTCTTTAAGCTCTGTTGCCCGAGCTGGAATGTGGCCTAGCTAAGCAAAAATATTAAGAATTCATGGAGATCTGTTGACCTCCATCCTTGGGATCCGGAAGTGTTTTTAACGCATTTTACAAGAATAGAAGAAGAATGGCCGTCTTCTAGTAAGCCCTCTTAATTTATTCTAACGGCAGAAGACCGGCACTGTATTAAAAAGCTTCTCCAAGATCCATTACCATCGAAAATTAGAAGACATCAAAATCTTGTATCTTTTACTTTGTCTCCTAATCAAAAATAGTTATAAGCTAAGCATTTCGCAGCTCATATTTTGTCCAGCCAGAAGGTAAGGATGTAAAAAAGCAGTGACGATTATTAGAACTAAAATCCTGAAGCCAACTATTCTTGCTACAGCTAGTCGTGCAGCTGAAAGATATCGCCTGCTGATTCTTGATAGCCATGGAAGCCGTTTGACCCTTAATTTGAGTAAATCTATAGTGTGAATAATATTAATCCTTGTTCAAACCAAAAAGACGACTATCAGCGTCTCGTAGATATGATGATCAAAGGGTAGCAAGAACATCCTGTTCAACAAAAAAGGCAGTCGTAGTCCGGGTTAGATATATCGCACTAGAAATAGATACATAGATACAACTAGACCATTCCTCATTCGGTGTTTAGGATCTAAGGTAAAATGGACTAGTTCTAGACAATGTCCATAAACCGGTTAGTCCGCAGCGGTAATATAAGAGCGAATTGTATCACTCCAACGATTAAATTAGAATGACCATGTGTGTTCGCAGTTATCTTCCAGGCCTCCCGGGTATAAGAGAAAACTAAGAGCTCGGACGAACCCACCCAGCTCACCCAGCCCTGTTCTCGTTCGTATTCAAATTCATGCCTCATCCAGCAGTCGAGAAAGCCATGCCTTATTAGACCATTAACCTCCAATTGGGCCTGTCCAACAAGAGTCATTATCTCTAATTTCGGTATGTGTCACGCGGCATGCCCAGTAGCTGTATAAAGCGTATTTAGAATTGGTGACGGCCCGGTGTTGTAATCGTCGGAGAATTCATCCTGTGGCGCGTTATCCATGGGTGGTTTAATATACGAGTTCTCCAAATTACAGTCGAAATCGTACTCTGGGCATCGCGGATCTCTTTCGAAGAGCCATTGGCCCGAAGGGGTGGCAGCTGCATAGGTCAAGTCTAAGGAGATTTTGCAGCCAGAATAGCTCCGGACCGACCATAGCCCCTTCTAGAGATATAATTTTGAGCCACTGACTCAGTTGTCGGAGTGCTATGCAGAGGGTATCCACCTGGTTGGGAGCTTAGATGGAGGAAAGTCTGCGTCTTTTAGGGCTTTGCCGGATAGTCAAGGATAAGGCGCTCTAGAGATAAAGGCCACTGGACAAGACTAATGGCGAATTCTATATTAAATTTATAACCAAAAAGGAACAAGTAGAGTATTAAATAGAAAAAGCAGGTTTATAAAGATATCATTTCTTAACCTATCCCGAAGTCTTTTATTTTTCTTCTTATTATCAGACAGCCCCGCCGTCAACTGACGGAGTCTAGATAATCAGATATTAGTTTCGATACCGTAGCCGGGGTAATATTTTTCTTTTTCCTATTATCACAAGAAGATTAGAAATTACTGGGACTATAGGAAGTTCTTCCGTTGGTTTAAGCAACTCCACGTAAGACAACATGTATCGCCAGTGAAGAATATCGGAGCCTGGCAGATTTATGCCACGCATGTGTCTAATGCTGGGATTTAAATCCTTAGTAAAGTCGCTCGGCGAGATATTTCGAATAGATAGACGGATACTAGGTTCATATTCGCCATTTGTAAATCACGTGCTCAAGATGTCAAAGAGGGTACAGATTGCCTCTGTAAATGCTTAATTATTACAACCACGGTCTTTATTAGTCTTAACCTGAACATGCTCGGCGACACTATACTCTGTCAGCGTTATCTTTAAATATATTTTGTGAACAAGAGAGCATCTCTGTGGGGAGATGATGTGTCGGGGACCGGGGGGTTAGGCGGTAGTGATGTTGATGGTGGAGAAGGTCTGTTGTTGGACGATCGCCTGCTATAGGGTGTTGATGCTGGCGTAAGGGGCGAGCGACTCGGGTGCAAGGTAGGAAAGAATCTGGGTGATAATTTCCGGCGGGAGAGAAGGAGTAACCGTAATTATGTTGGCCGTTGCAAGAATCTTTTAACCGGGGGTTGGGGTTAAAAGTGAAAGAGGATGTGGTGATGTGATGAGGGGCAATAAACAGAGAGACAGATATCGCATTATACCCTATTATAGCTCCTCTTCAGCCTCCTCCTCAGCCTCCTCCAGGATCGTCAATAGCCAGGGGGTCCGGTGATCGGTAAGTATATGAGGTCAAACTGCAACGAAAAACTTCAAGATCCACTCCAATATCCAATCCCGCATCATTTATCCGTAGTTTCCCACATCAGCGTGGTAATATCCCACGTAAACTGTCCAGATGCCATGGAGTCCCTATTGTCCCTATTGTCCCTACGGGCCCCGTTCGCCTCATTGGCCCTCGATGACCTACACCATGGGACATTCACGTTATTTGTTTACCTGTCCTTTTCCTCTTTCTCTCTTCCCTTCTCCAACAATTCCTTTTGGTCCATAGTCTACCCTATGGGTTCTACGGGTTCACTCCTGACAACAATCTAAATAATCTAGCAATACCTGACTAAAACATCTCTACTAAAACACCAAACTGCCCTCTATGTCCGCTAGAGTATAATACAATACACTAATAGTAAACAGAATCCATCACCCTCACTCAAACTTAGTTGCAGTCCCGTTAGGCTTGAATCCAGCATATGTAGGATAAGCTGGGAACTCCCATAACACGCTCCTGCTCAACAATTGATAATCCAGCCCCTTACCGCCCGCATTCATATATATAAACTTGGTATAGGGTACAGTAGCATAGTACGAAAACGGTGTACCAGCAGGGACGAACGCTACATCACCATGCAACAGATGCACCCTGGGATACCCCTGTACCTGGAATGAAAGTTGTCCTTCCTCCATCTGCAGAGCGAAATGATGTGGCAATGTCACCCTGGAAATGGTCTCATTCGCCATCCTAGGTGACATTATAATAGTCCCCATGGTGAAATTTCCCTCTGTTTGTTTAGCTGTTGTCAGAGGCTGGATGACCTTGTATCCGATATCAGTGTTGAGATATTTCGGGCCGTAGTCTTTGGCGATAAAATAGGGGGTCTCCGGGTCATTCGGTAGAGTATTAGGTCCGTCGTGCCAGGCTTCTTTAGTCTCTCTGTCTCCGGCGGTGCCGTTTACAAAGTCACGTCTTGGGATATACTCTTTCGCTGGGACTGTATAGAGGTCAAGGGAGACGAGAAGGTTGTATTCCTTATCTGTTATCGATGGGAAAGAAGAGTCATCAACGGTGGGAATATAGGGCGAACTAACGCCGTGAGTATCGTGATCTCCCAGGCTGTATATATTAAAGAGATTTTCGAATCCGCCCGGGTGGAAGGCATGGGTTAGAAGAGAGTCAGGATCAACTAGTTGGAATGTGTGAATAGTGCCCGGAGGGATATTTCCGTAGTCACCAGGTGTAACAACACGGGCCTCGTGGCTAGCGTCGGTGACATTCTGCAAACCCCAGAGTTGACTGCGGCCTCGAGAGCAGTAGATGTGCTCATGTGTCACCCCATGGGTGTGTGGTCGGGCTGATAAAAAGCCCGAAGCTTTGCCGTTGTGTTGGATAAGTGAGAAGGCGCCGTCGGACGAGTTGGCGGTGATAGAGAAGCGGATTGTTTGGCCTGACTTTAAGTAACTAATTGCATGCCCCCTGTATTTAGGAAGAACATATGGACGGACGAATTCAGGAGCTTTATCAACAATGATACTCCTGTTTGACGGAAGGGTATTTGACGCCCCTAAAGAGCTAAACAAAGCCGTGGATAGCATCCACAAAATAAAGTCTCTTTTCATCTTGGGTAATTGATAGCACGTACTTCGTAAATAGAGATGTAAGGTGGAGTTGTTAATAGTAAAGATAAGTAGAACTGCAGCATGAAGATAAATAGACATAGGCTTATATAAAAAAAGCATTAAAGGTAAGAGGTACACCCACCGCAGAGGCCGTGAACAATGGCCCACTATTATCATTGCAGGGCCCAGAATCGTGCCCGGTGTAAATAAATTGACACTATAACCATATGTTTTCGATAAGCCGAGAAATGATCGTCGTGCCAAGGAGATTCTACTATAATTTGATTAGGACCTATCATTCTGTAGGTGCCTATAGCACTCCGCAGCCGTGGTCGTATACTTGGCCAACCCGGAACTTTGCACGTCCATGGCACCATGTTAAAAAAGTCTTAACAGCAGGCAGAAATGCTCACCATACCCTCGATTTACGATACTTGGTGCTGGATATACAGCAACATAGTCCTGTAAGTCTTTAAGCAGTGACTTATAAATAGACGGCATGCCCTCAACTACTACAGCACTTAACAATTTGCTGTCGAGACTAGCTAAGCTGCTGGCTATTTCTCAACAGTTAGTGCCTTCATGTATCTAGCTGAGACGAAACAATTAGCTCATGCCTCTGACATCCAGAGTGCTTACCAATGCCTACTTCTTGTCAGCGGAATAATCCCGCTGACAGTATTTCCACTGTGGGATTTGCGCGGACTTTTAATTCCACCCTAAAACCTAGCATTGTGTCAAGGGGTGGTGGATTCCCAGGCTTCCAAACCCGCTTGTGTCGACAATTTAACTAACTATGGTAATATTGATTATTCAGCACCTTTCTCGGTCAAATGTTGTTGATGATACATCATCGGGTCGCGTATATTTCCTATATGAGTTAGTTTACATTCTTCATTTGTTTACCTCGCGTTTATAAACGCGAGATGTTTTGATAGTTTAGTTGAATCAGAGACCTAATTCAATGAAGGATCGATACTTGCGAACACGCGTAATTTTATGGCTGACATCTTGCAATTTCTGCCGCACTTCATTTGCAAAGCCACGAAGCTGTGCAGTCGGGAAAAAAAAAAATAAATATCGAGGCAGCCAAGAAATTCGTCACATGTTCGAGAACGCTTCTGTTCCAGAATGGGTAATTATATTTATCCTCTTTTGTGCTAAATCTAATATCTCACAATATACACATGTATCCCTAGACGCAGCTTCTAGGTACCCTGGTGAAGCACCGCACTTTTTTATTTTTATTAAATCCATGGATGTCTCGTGATTTCCAATTTCATGGTGATTGCAATGCCCTGAGACGCGTCACCTGATGATGTCTAAGATCCGCATGTTTTGGGCAAAACTGGCACACCTGTCCTCTTTCTAAGACTACTCATTAATTCTTACTTTTGGTGTCACATCCCGATCCTGGAGTATTTGCCACCGGTCACTGAACAGAACTCCTTTACAGATGGTTGGTTGAAACAGGAAAGAGCTTTACGGAAGCATATTGAGTTGCTTATTGTGGCCACACTTTTCCATGCAACCCCATTACCATGGTGGTCCTAGCAGTGGTTATATCTCCATGGTCTGATCTGATATGGCGACGCACTAGCACCTCAGGCTTGTTACATGAAGGCTTAGCGCTGCATTGATTTCCACCAAGCATCTCCACACACAGACTTTCATTGCAAGGAAGTATTGTTTTGTTTTACGAAAGGGAGAGTTCGAACTCCAAGGTTTTATCTAATAGAGAAATAATCAACTACGCTCTAGGACAATCAAAACTGCGGCCTTTGAGTCCGGTGAACAATTACAATATCACGGTGCTTATATGAAATCGAATCTCCTTTGTGAATTTCCGTAATATATATTGTATTTCGTCCCCAGCTGCCGTTTTCGGGTACAGGCGCTGAAAATGGCGTGGGCGGCTTATCGATCCCCACCATCCTACGTCCACCTGCATTATCCGCCATATCACCACGAGCGTGAAGGAGCTGGCTTTGCTAGAGCGATAATTAGGTTTACGCCGTGGATGGCAAACCTTACTGTAGTTCACCGACGCACCCATATCAGATTAGTGGTAGTTTCCTATACTCACATTTCGCAGTAAGGTCTAATTAAAATCAAACAGATTAGTATTCTCATAAGTCAAATTTACCGCTTATAATTTGCTTATGACTTTCAACAATATGGTGAAAGGGCATCTGAGCAGTCAATTATCTCCCCTTGGATTCTACCATATTACAAATCTATACATAGATCCTAAATAGAAGGCCAAATTTGCCCTCCTCTAGAATAGACCGCTATTTTGATACTCTTGAGAGGCTCTTAAGAGGTAAATTAAGGTCTCACGAGCACAAGAAATCCCAGGAACATACTTATTAATCTTAGGAGCAGCGAGTGTGCCGATGACAGGTCAAACCATGCTCTTGGGAAATACAACTATCCTAAGAAATTGGGTTGCTCTCCACGGATATAACCAGTTTCATTTCTATTAGCTTGGTGGAGCCAAACTATGAAACATTTATCTGTGCAGGCGCTTTGCCAACGAAGCAAGAACCTAATCCTTAACACTGCAATCCCACAGATATATAGGAAAGATAGTTAACAAGCGCTTATAGAGCAGATATAAAAACCAGCAACTTGAGAGAACATGCCAAACACTAAAAACCAAAAAGCATTATCTCTGTATACAATCCAACAGCTTGCATAGCTGCTGGGAGGGTTTCTAATCTATTACTTTGTTTTATTATTATAGCTTCTTATATTATTAATATCTAACTAAGCTAAATCTTACCTAGTTAGACATGGCTAACCTCCCATTATCTTTAGTATTTAATTTTATGGCCGCAAGGCCTATTTGTTCTAAGTGTTTAGCTGTATTAGCTAGGGGTCTGGCTCAGGTTTAATATTAATGTATTAAAATTACCTAGGGAACGTTATTCACAGCATAAATTTAGTAATATAATATATCCCCTATGGGTAAGGTCACCAATATATTATAGTTATCAATACAAAAACTATATATAGTAATCTAATCCAAAATCTTTCTACAAGCTTCATTTTTATAGCAGGCGCTATAAAAAAATATACTTCGGGGTCTAAAATCCCTCCCTGCAACCACACCAGCCACTTTTCGAGGCCTTAATTTTATAAAGAAAATAATTAAGGCCGATCCTTATTGTGCACATCTATATAATTACAGCTATATACATTATATATAGGCCCTTGGACAGCTTTATAATTTTTTTATTAAGTGTTTAATGGGGGAATAGAGGATTGGCTTTCAATAGTGTGCTCTGCGTCCCAGCATCTGTTGTAAAATTGGAAACAGCCATGCGCATGACCATTCGGAGACCTTCTCCGAAGGCTTTCGGTCATAGGTATCATGTTAAACTCAGCGTTGATGGCATCGCCACTGACTTTGGAAAGCCCCAAGGGGATGATTCACGGCCCATCGGGACGTTAAGAGGGAAATTGCGTGGCAGGTAGAAGCAAGGAAAAGGGATAGTGCCAGATTATGAGTTTGGCACAGGAAAAGAAGATGCTGGATATCCATTGTAAGTCGTCTGGTGATATATACTGAAGACATGATGTGAGGGAAGCAGACTGGGCGAGGTGATAATGTGTATTGTGCTCTTTGTATTGGGGTTCAACTCGGGGTATACCAGAGTACTAATTACCTACTGGCCAGGCAGCTAATGAAGTGTCCTGAGACAGCTTTTCGGACTTTGACAGAAGAACGCAGTAGGCTTAGTTGTGCTATCTCCCTGCTAGACCGATCTAACTGGCAACGGTATTGCACGATGCTGCGATCTAATCCACACTCCTAGGCACCTTACAGTATTGTTGTATACCTGTCGGGACATTACCCAATGCAATTAACTTCCTGAAAAAGTTATTCTGCCAGCTGGTGTAATTAACACCGTTGTCTGTAAACGGCAACTGTTGAAGGCGAAGTATCGATTCGTCGTATTGGAGGGTCACGGCGGGTAGTGACCATATATGAGTCGACCCATGGGGACGCCATTCTGGAACACGAAAACAAGCCACGAGAGGAAATTCACAAGTGCTTGCTTTTTCCGAGAAGTGCTTCTGCTCTCAGACCGGACAGTACATAATTGGGTTGCAGCTATAAGCATAGGAAATTCAAGAAAATTACCACAGATTACTCAAGAAAGGAGACTAGGGCAGAAAGAAGTGCATAGATGATATTTTACACCGTGGGCAATCAGAACTGTCATAGCTGAACGGGTATATTAATTCGGTTCCGAGGTAAGCAGATGCGCTCTACTCCGCACGAAACTTTCACTAGCTATATGGTCTGTTGGAGCACTTACTCTCCCCTTTTGTACCTGTACCGTACTTTGTTCAGCATTATGACGAATTATTGCTGGATAAGGCCCTGTCATCCTAGAAATTTTGAGTATCTCTTGCTATAGTGGGCAAGATCAGCATTATCATATCCATACTCTGTGTTTCCATTCGAATTTTCGTTTCGGCCAATAGTAAGAGGATATCTTCTAACTTGGCTCCACATCCATATAATTAGATCTTAATTACTCCTTTCTTCACCTTGGAGTACTTCAATGCAGCAGAAGCACCAAGGTCATCTCATATCGTATCAACAAGGCCTTTCGTTAGTCTATAACTGACCTGGACGCCTGCTGATACTGGGCTCTCATTCTCAGGTCAACAGATGCAGTCAATTCCAATTGTCTCTATTTTCTTGAATTTTTCTCGCAGCAGGACGATCCTAAGAATAACCAAATATATTTCTACAAGACCGTTATACACCAGAGCAGGCTGTTTCTCTCCTCCATATACCTACCACGCATCTGTATTGGTCGGATGATCTGGGGCTTGATTTTAGACATAGTTTTGGTACGAAGATGGCTTTTGGAAACAGCAACTGATATGTAATAATTGTATCCACGGAGAGCAGCCCAAACTCTCAGGATAGTTGCATTTCTCAAGAGTGCGGTTCGTCGTAACATAAGCACACACGCTGCTATCAATGAATGCTTTCCTGGGATTTATTGTGCTCGTGAGGTCCTAGCTTTACCTCCCAATACTAGCATCAAAAATGGGTCTATGCTAGAGGGGAGTGTTTGGATTCTCTGTTTAGGACCTATGCATAGATTTGTATACGGTAAAACGCAAGGGCAAAAATAGAGGTAAAAGGAAATCTAAACCTGTGTGAACCTACCGTACTTGGTGGTGGAAGCATCGCGACTGTGAAAATATCCTTTTGATGTATGAATTGTTGAAGAGGGACACTGCAGCGGAGATTGTGAGATTTGCGGGCTTCCTTGGCATCGATGCTACTGCGGAGAGACTCTCGGAAACTGTGGAGTAGGTTGAATTTACCTACATGAAATCGAATGAGTATAGTGGCTTGAGGGATGTGAAGGAGCCCCGAGAGGGTTAATTCTTCCGCAAAGGACAAGTTTGCTCGTGGAAATAGCAATTCACTGTCGAGTAGAGTGAGCGCGTGCATCAACTGTGGGATAAAAGTTTAGGTCTGTTAGACCTAGAATTTAATGAAATGTGATTTGTGTTTCCTTTAACTCTGGCTGCCAGTGAGCTAGCTCTTATTAGAAATGACCTACACCGGTATTGAAGTCGTGAAATGCGAGCTTATTTCTCCTTTAGAGCTAGAGGCATTTCTGTCTGCAGTGTTAAACGCGCTTCCAGGACGCTTTCTATTGCCCAAGATAATGAGCAGGAGATGGGAAGAAAAGGGGTAGAAAGAGAAGATGCCGTCAAGTGAACAGCCTTGAGTATCTCAAGAGAGACTTCTAGCTATTCTTAAATTGCCCTTGGAAACGCCTTTGCTACCTGATTGCGTCCGGGCCGACTACTATAGATAACTATATTCTTTTAGACGTAAGACGTAAAGCAGGCTATATCTTATAGATGATAATAAAAGCTCAATAACTCTTCCAAGTAAAAGTTCTAATAGGATAATATGAATATCTTCTAATATATTATTATTAAGAAACTGATTTTATAGCAACCCAGCCTAATGAAAACAAGAATTCTCTCAGGAGGCAAGTCGAAGTATAACGACAGCAACCAAAATCACCTTCGATAGCATAGTGCGGCATAAACATTAGACATACTCGTAACGTGTTTCATACATGGTACCACACTCTGAGCATTCCAGTTCATCGGAATTCCTCTCCCCACATTCTCTGAGAATATCTATCATAAAAGCTGGTGAATGAACACCCAATCGTTTTGCATTGTAAACGAAGTCATCTAGACCAACGTATTTTCCACAGCCATTACAGACTTCACGATTCTGTCTCATTACAATCGAGTCGAGAGAAATCTCAGAAACTGAACCATTAGGTCCTTATACATTTACTCTAGAGTACAGACATACCATCGCAGTGAAGCATTGATGCAACACGAGAGCGTTCTACTGGTGTCAGCAGCCACCGATACCCGTCTCCTGCATCTGTAGGCTCAGACAGTGTAGGATTGTTGGCTGGAATGGTTGGAACAGTCGGCGAATGGAGGAACGCAGCCATTATGGAATGGAAAAGCGTCCGGAGGTTGGAGAATAGCCGGCTCAACAGATATAGCTTCATAAAAGAAGATTTTTAGATATAGCCAAGTAGTACAGACAGATCTGTATCTCTGTTTAAACTAAATATTATTATGCAGAGGATCATCCAATCTTCACAATTGATGAGATCATGCTGCTCCTTCCGTCCGGAGTGGTCGGAACTTAAAATATAAGCTGTCAATCCGCCTAGAACGTGCAAAATATAAATTACAACCCAATACTGGTTAACGGTAAATCGGCAGCTGAAAACGGCAGCCCATCGCGCTGTTTTAAGCGCCATTTTTGCCCAATAGCATGTTGCATCAACATTAGTCAGCCCCCGTACACGTGGCTCTACCTCACCCTATATCTAAGTGCTCAATGAGCGCCCATGTTGTACTCACTCCTAGTCTGTCACAGCACGAGGTTAGACGAATAATTGGATTGCATTTTGACAGACATCGTTTGAAGGACTAGAAAACAAAGCACACGAGGGTCGGAATTCTCTGCAGGCGGTGAGGGGTGACAGCTATCGTGTGATGGCTCCGACTACGAATCCTGACATACTCACCCCTCCTCAGCCCGGCTGCCTGGGCACGCACTGATCAACTCATCCTCTGCTCTGTCTGCCTATAGTAATCAGGTCAACTTACTTTACTCTATGTTCGTGTAGTACCTACCTTTCTTTTGGTTGTGGACAGCCCCGGTGACAATCGACAGTTTTCTTCCTTCTCATTTGCTATTTTCTTACTGATCACGCTGGGTCTATCAGAAAGATAATCGACAACATTCAGATGGATTTTGAGCAGAATAAGATAATTCTCAAGTTAAAATTACTTTAGTTGTATCTCTTTATTAGAGACAGCATGTCTTCTTTGTCTTATGACTGCAGTTGGTCAAGTCGTTATTCATATTATCGCTTGCTTTCTTATTTCTGTACCGCCTTGCCTTTAGATTAGATCTTTTTGATGTGTTTAGTTTGGCAGTCAGAGCACGTCCTTACCATATCTTCGCATCTATGGAGTCATAATCAAAATTTTCTTTATTGTATCAAACCGCTCAGACCTAGCTGAGCAGTTGTTCATATCACCAAGCTTCAATATTACAAGGGAGTATCCAGTTAGTGGATACACTCAGTCTCGAGGTCGAAGGACTCGATAAGTACCTAGTGGGACATAAAACAAGGTCCTATTGGGATCTGCCTTGCCACGGTTTGAAACTTAGTTAATAGATATCGCGCGAATTTTCCCTAGCCTATTATCTTTGCTCAAAATTACTTACGTTAATATGACACACACACAATTTCCCCTCTACTCACTAATTCGTATGGCTGCGACACCACTTAGTCACCCTATATAGACATAAGTTAGTTAACTAGTTAAGTTAGCTAACATATTCAGTAAGCAAGTGATGCATGTAAGCAAGCGACGCACCTTTGTATTGTGTATAAAATTAAAATGGCATTTTTTAGAAATTCAATATCCAAGCCAACAATACAGATATCTTATTTATTTAGATTCTGCTTTTAATGTGCATACTACTAAATGCCTCTACATTTTTATTTAATATTTTTAGATTTTTTCTAGCCCATAATACAGTATTAATATAATACAGCGGTTTTTAAGGCTCATCTCTTGTAATATAAAGAATCAGATATCGTATAATCTTCTAGGCTTAGTATTAGTATATATTAGTCTAAACTACTGATTTTTGACCTTCTTGGAAGTTTATGCTAAGATACTGAGGTCCTAAAAAGTGTCAAGGGCTGAACCCGTAGAACCTACAGATAGGTTATGTACGAGAAGGAATCGTTGAAGGAGGGAAGAAAGGAAGAGGAAAATGAGCGGTAAACAAATAAGATGGGGAGTCACGTGACAGGGATCGAGGGCCAATGGCCCAAAGGGCCAATAGGGCCAAAAGGGACAGTAGGGACAGTAGGGACAGTAGGGACAGTAGGGACAGTAGGGACAATAGGGACAGTAGGGACAGTAGGGACAATAGGGACAATAGGGACAATAGGGACAATAGGGACAATAGGGACAATAGGGACAACGGGGACAGTAGGGACATTGGCCCGAGAGGTCAAACGGGCTCTAGCCCTTTACAAAAAGTGTCATTTTATATACAGTACGGAGGTGTGTCCGTGCGTCGCTCGCTGTCAGATATTCGGCTAGTACTAAATAAGAAAGAAGATACGGTTTATGGAAAGATCTTAAAATAAATAGTTTTAAGCTTGGTTGGGCTCTTCTTGACTATACTGATAATTATGATTGATGTTCTTGTTATCATGTTCTTTTACTTATTGAGGACTTTTTTGACATCTTCTTAGTCACCTAATCCTGACACGTAACTATAACCAAAGTACAAATTAACTTAGCCATGTCACTTACTGTCGGCCAGCTAAATACGCGTATGAGCTAGTATCACCGATCATATAATCATAATATGGATATGCATTGAAGAAAATGAGGTCTCTAAGGCCTCTAACTATCTGAAACTATCTGGGAGAGCTGGATAAAAAAGGTGCAAAACAAAGGAATAAAGTCGGACCGAGCGGATGCTGAATAATGGGTAATATTGGCCCACTTTGGTCGACACTTACTAAGTGCGTTACTGTTCGATTATTTGGGATATTGGTATGGAGGTGAGAATTGAATATTTTTCAGAAGGATGTTCTGCCCAACCCCTCTATGAGGAGTATTGGGTATATATATTCACATGATGTCCCAATATTGACTAGCTTTATTCTGACAGTTACCTACGTAACTACATACTTAAGCAACCTCTTTCCTTAACCTAGGCGCCAAGCTGCAATCCTAACACAAACCCCATTTCAACACTCACTCATCACTACCAGAATGCCAGAACAACCCTTTTTTCTCCATTTCCCTTATAAAGTTCGATTCCAAATCTATGTCAAGCTAGGCATTATTATAAACTGGAGGCTTGATCTTAGCTATCCGCCTGTTGTTGAGTGGTCCTCCCGTGATCAGAGGCTTATTAATAAAAACTATCTTGCAAACCAGCTCTTCTACGTTTCACGTGCTGTATCCGAAGATGCGCGTACCATGTTCTATTCTGAGAATGAATTCCTCTTTGCCCATGATATTGGCTATGGATTACGGGGTCTGATGAGTATGAGTCCCCTGGGCTGGAGATCCCTAAGATTTATTTGCATTATAGTTGGTACGAGCTGCCGTCGGTTGGGTACAGCTCGCTGTCACGATACAGCTTGCGAAATTATTGAGAAAGACAGTCAACTTAGCAAGAATACCGGTGTCTTATCGGACTGGCTGCATATATGTAACCTGTTATCAACATATATCAAACACGACGACCAGCTAGAACTCCGTTTAATCTGCGATGCTGCAACAAAAGAGACTGCAGCAGCCTTCTTAGATCCCCTCCAGAATCTTCCCCGGTTAAGGGAATGTTCAATCCGTTTGGGCCCTTACTGGAATCCGGATCTCCAGCAAATAATTATGACGACAATACGGCAAAAGACCAGATATCTCACACAGTCTCCTGTGATCTTTCGATTCCTTGATCTGCCCCTTGAACTTCAACTACGCATACTAGAATTCTCAGATCTTGTTGCTCCTACGTCACTAATATACTCATCGCCCCGGAATAGATTTGTCCACCAAAAATGTCAGGGACTTTGTTGTAATGCATTTCCTTGGGACCGGCGTCAGACTGGCGATAGAAACTACTGCCCATCAACACATACGGCGTTCTCTACCGCTCAGCCATGCTGGGAGACACCAGATATGATATTTCTAGTTAGCAAGACAATAAGGCAACTAGCTATACCAATTTTCTATTCCAAAAACATCCTCGAAGTCCAATGTGACCCCACAGGCTCGGCAGCAGGCGCAGCATGGAGCGTACAGAAATCGGCATTTCTTTGCTGTTTCCCAAAATATTCATTTCCATACCTGCACCATATCTACTGGAAGCTTCCTCACATGAATAATCGTCGGGCATTTCAACCGAATAGGAAGGAGACAGAGGACTGGATTATCTCCCTTTACTTTATTTCCCTTGCAATCCCTCCTGGCAACTTAACTTTGGAATTGGATCTGTCCAATGCCAGAGATGTACCCTGGCATCCAGAAGATCCAAAAAAGATTGCTCTTGAGTGGGCGCTTTATGATCGGGTTGTGGAGCCAATGGTTTGCTTGAGGGGTCTACTAAAGGACCTTTTTATCCACTTGTGGTGTCCTTTACATCCTTCATTAGAGCAGATGCGGGTGGGCAAGGAACAATCACTGGAACAGAGTATAATGGGAAGTAATTATGACAGTTTTGCACGCGGGAAGAAGTCTACAGAGCCAGTATTAGGTGACTATTAATCTGATATTGGGGATTTGGCAGTAAATAGCGGCAACTTATCTAAGATGCGAAATACGTCTATATAGGATAGGCTATATTCTTGTTCTCTAGTAGTGGCATATTAATCTACCTGACATGAAATTCCTCCCCCCTGTAGCGATGAGCCCGTCCACATGCATGGTAGCGCCCAGTATCCTGTCAATTGTCTTTTGCTTATAGCTTTCTGTTTTAAAAATTTGTCTTTTATTGCACTTATTCCTGTTAATTGATGATAGAGAAATATCGAGATTCGGGATTCGATGCTCCCTAGCGCCTTCGCGAGAGCTCAGCTTCGTCCCCTGAATCGTTCCATTCCTTTAGATAGAAGTTAGAAAGAGGCAATAAAAATCTCGCTCCGGTCTTAGCACTATCGTCGGCATCGCCAATATCTAGTAAAGAAAGGGGTCTTTCGGAAACCGCATGGCAAACCTACAAAAACAATATTACAGGCATTAAGAATAAGTGGACGAAGTAAGAATTAAAACTCTTACTACAATAAGTTCCTTAGGATACTTAGAATCAATCAAGCACTGCGACTTCCTCGGGGAACATCAACTGCAATTCCTTGTGGCAGCCCGGACAGAAGATAAAATATCCACTTAACAACTAAGCGAGCAAAAAGTTTGGTAATTTGTTTATATAAGAAACTGAAGAATATAGTGCCAGCTGATACAGTAGTCGGGGCGCCGAGTGACTCGAGCGGAACGGCAAATACCCAAGATAGGCTACGGGTAAAAAATCTATGTAACTCATGGTTTATTATTCCCTTTGCACAGGGCGACCTAATTACCTTTTCTCAGTGTTGTTGGTATTACCTCCTCGAAGACGTGCATGAAGATAGACACGGGACATAAGACCTTCGCCATTCCATTGGGTAATCGGCATTAATTCGACTTTGAAAGATGTAGTGGCAGGTTCCCCTGCCTACGATAGCCCTAACAACAAGAATATTATTCGACGTAGAGTGGTGACTTCCTGGCGCGTTGCCCTCAGCCATGACTATTGGGACCAACCCGCTTGACAATGTTAAAGTCATTTAAAGAATTTTTTCCCTTGAAATCTCCTATCTCGGTCCTATATCCAAAGAACTATTCCAATTCAAGAACCCTCGTATCTATCACTTCCTAACTGCACTTCAATGCGGGTCATATCAATCTACTTCCCCGCCTTCCCACCGAATATTGTATTATTGAACTTCTATCCCTAGGTGAACCGTCAGACACTAATAAGGATCCCTGTCGAATTAGGCGCGTAATTATGCAGTAGGCGTTCTGGACCCTTGCACTCTTCTCCATTTTCGGCCTCGAGAGTCAGGCTGGGTTGGCCCCAATTTTAATATTATTAGGCATCCCCACCCCACCCAACAAGCTAAGGATGATGGAGTGTTATATCGTTACACCCTTCATTCCCTGTCTTTATCTCTCTGCGTTCTACCTTCTGTTCACCTTCCTCCTACACTGAATTCAGCCCCTCGGTTGCCCGGGCGGCTGTCTCAATGCGCTTCGTCTACTCACCCTCTTCATTGCCAGCGGTGGCGTGGCAGGCACCTGCTATTGGCCGAATGGCGATGAAGCCCAACCCAACTACGTGCAGTGCCCAGGCCAGAAAAACTGCTGCGCGCTCGGCGGCTGAGAACTAGACGTTGGTTGTGGTTGCTGCGCTGTATCAGACGCCTGCTGATGATACCCGTACGTATGCCAAGGTACTGTTCGGGCTGGATTCTAAAGAAAGGAAACTCGCTTGGTTTCAAATATGGTGTTCATTTACTTGCTTTGTCACAAGGGATTCCATATCCTTTCAAATTGAGGTTAACGAGTAGGGAACAGGTACATGGCATCTTTCTGCGACGCGGACTTTCTTCCACTATCTGTTTACAGATTGGCCGTGGAAGCACACGCTCAAATCATCGTCGTTAGAGTCTGTCTTCACACAGCAGAGATCAAGGGCTTTGCCGTCCGAGACTGGGGAGATGTCGGATTGCACAGGCCGACGATGGAAAGCTGCACGATCCAGCCACCCACCGCACAACCAGAAATGCGACTATTACCGATGACATCGATGAGGCATAAAGCAAATTCCATCAAGTTTTCCCCACAATCACATCGTCTCTCTGACGACATTGTTAGGGCTGGAAATGCGGGGGAAGTTAGGCGGTATTGCGTGCTGAACTGGCGAAAGTCTTGGATATTGACAGGTATGTAGGGAGCAGATAATTGTACCGGCACTTTTTGGCCTATGATATGTCGTTTAGATGTTGCTTTACGGCTCTGTTGCAGGGAAGGTCAGCTGTGGTGAGACCCATTCAGAGCTTACCATATTTATGTCTGACAAATACAGCCTTTGGCGACGAGTGTGCCAAATATTATCTTACGGTAAGTATCTTTCAATCTGGTTTTATTTCTTACCCAGAATGGCGCTGTAGGTGTTTATATAGGGTTCGACCGTCAGGTATGGACTGTGCAATGAAGTCTTGTTACTACAGAGCAACCAGAAGACTGGTCCTGGCCCTTTGTAGTGTCATTCAGCACATTCGTTGGGTTCAACAAAAGATAGGTTTCTAATGAAAACGTCATATTTTAACTGAGGAACTGTGTTGTACAACCTTGCCCTGAGAGGCTAAGAGTAGAAATTCATACCGAAGCCCCATCCGCCTGCCAGGAATTTTCCTCCAATAATGTACTCCATATTACCTGTCAAAATGGTGGCGAAAAGAACAAGTGGAGCAAAGGAATCCTTCCGAGGCTTGTCGCGTGAGCTTTATCATTCGGCGATTGCTTTCTAAACGGCGATTGTAAATAGTACTATTTAAAAAAAAAAAAAAAAAAAAATTTAACTATAAAGGTTGTTAAGTATGCATTACTTCATTTATTATCTACTTTGGACTCGTGATCAAGATGAGCAAATTTGAGCTGTATCTTGCTGAAAATTTTTACGTTACGTCAACATTGCCTGGAGGATCGATCGATTTTGGTATACTATAGATTCTCCAAGATTTTTGCCCTTGCAGATCTTCAAGAAATATCAATGTCAACTCAAACAGAATATCCAAATATGGACTCGATGGACAAGCCATCTGAAAGTCAGGACTCATCCTCTCAAACGACACAACGCAGCACTATCCCTGTCTGCAAACACAATATCGGATGGCGTCGTATAGTCCGCAACTTTACCCCAGCGTATGTTCCCATGCGTCCACAAAATATGAAAACTAACAGTCCTAGATGGTTTTCAGTCAACATGGGCACCGGGATCGTCTCACTACTACTTAACACTCTACCGTATAACGGGAGATGGCTATACTATATTTCCATCATTCTATTCGTCCTCAACGTCGTATACTTCATAATGTTTTGCACTATTGCCGCCATGCGATACATCTTATACCCCGAGATTTTCACAGTCATGGCGACACATCCGGCACAATCTATGTTCCTTGGTACATTTCCCATGGGCCTAGCTACAATTATCAACATGTTTTGCAACGTATGTGTGCCAGCATGGGGAGAAGGAGCGGCCTATTTTGCATGGGCATTGTGGATTCTAGATGCAGTGGTATCAATTACAACAGCGACTACCATCCCTTTTATAGTGTACGTATCACTGGACTAGGGTATATAAATGCTAACAGATGTCTACAGAATGACTCGAAAATCGGAGATAGATCTATCCTCTATGACCGCGGCATGGCTACTACCTATCGTCTCGTGCGTCGTTGCTGCTGCCTCTGCCGCCGTTGTAGCTGAAGTACTACCCAATGCTCAATATGCCCTGTGGACTATAATAGTTGGCTACGCACTCTGGGGAATGGGCGTGCCTCTCGCGTTGATGATTATGACTATATACCTCCAGCGACTCCTTCTTCATAAACTCCCTCCGAAAGCTGTTGTCGTTAGTGTATTTCTCCCGCTGGGACCACTGGGACAGGGTGGATTCGGGTACTACCTCCTATCTCTCTATAAACCATGCACTAACATGTTCTGTAGAATCCAGAAACTCGGCGAATGCGCAAGAAAGATATTCCCCCAGACAGGATCCCTCCACTCAGCAAGTGGGATTCTATTTTACGAGGGCGGGTTTATTCTCGGTCTAATCATGTGGGCTTTCGGCTTAGTATGGCTTTTCTTCGCCATCGCGTCGCTGGTCAGAACGAGACGTTTCCCGTTTAATCTGAGCTGGTGGGGACTTACCTTCCCTCTGGGTGTTTATACAATGTGTACTTGTCAATTGGGTCGGGAGTTACCTTCGAGGTTTTTTGCTGTTCTTGGGACTGTAAGTTCTATCTATCCAGATGTGTGGTATATGCTAATGGGGTAGGTGTTTTCCGTGGTTGTGCTGCTCCTCTGGATTCTGGTGAGCTTTCATACCTACAGGGGTATCTTCAAGGGGGATATATTTATTGCGCCGTGTCTTCAGAATCTTAAAGAGAAGAAAAGTGATTCTGGCGTTTAGACTTTTTAGACCTGTGGCGTCTTGGCTTCTTATATTTAATATTTAATACTGGATGTCTTGAATCATAGCGCTGGATTACAAAACTATTTTGGACTGTTGAATCTAATATTAATATTGAACTTCATCTTAGGGGGCACAATAAAAGACAGAGAGAGAGAGAGAACGCTAAAAACGTAACAGAATAGCTGGCATATATATTACCAACTATAATACTACCATGGTGCGTAAATAGAGAACTTACCTGGGAAGAACGGTGTTGGTAGGCGTAGTAGGAACACGTCTGAATGTTAAAAGGCACTGATACCTTTTGAACACGAGCTTAATCATATTCCAATAAATCCATGTATTTCTTAAAGAGACAAATTGGTATTCTGTATTGGCTGCACTCAGTAGGTAGCAATATCAACCCCCTGATTGGTGCCTTAATATCAGTAAGACATGTTTCATCCTGCCGAAATAACTATATACAGAGGATGTGTCAGCAGGTGTTAGGCTGACAGGATTAAATTGAGACCTCGAGGAGGCGGTGCATTTACAAATATTGGAGTTAAACAGGCAATTTCAGAAGTGCTCTTGAACCTTAAATTTGTACAAATTATAACCTAACATATATATATGTGGCATTATACCGGATTGTCGTTAACCGTCAGTCTATTGTCTTGCAATATACCAAGCACATTGTTAGGCGCTTACTTCATTTCAATGACATTTGCATAGTCCGGGCGATACCTAGTGAATTATTAATAGAGAGTTGAAATGAGTTGCTTAAATGGCTTAGAGACTAAAGAATGCAAGTCGCTCAATCTTGTCGATTATACAGTAGCATGGATCTGCACTTTTGAGGTAGGGCTGATTGTCGCTGTTAAATGTTGGATGAAGAGCATCACCAGTTGCTGCAGCAAGTCGTAGACTCCAGCAAGTCACCCACCCTAACTTGTGCCACCTCGGCAATATTGCAGACCACAACGTTGCCATCGCATCGTCGTGGAAGGCGAGTAACAAGTCAGTTGTAGTTATCTTCGCCGAGACCGGGAACACCTTCCCAAACATTCGATATGGCGTCCTAGACGACATCCGAGGTGTCGTCCTACTAGCAACAGAAACCCGGATGATTCGCCTAGGACATGTGGTGATAAGCCAGGAGGAGTATATCCTGGTGTTATACAAAACGGTCGGGGGAAGGCAGAGAATGGCATCAATAGAATAAATGCCCTTGCTCCTCCACCATCTGTTCTTCTCTGGCTGCACAAACACTAGGGGCTCAATGGGCTGTCCAAGGAAAACCCACTACTATTGAGTATCAAGCGAATCAACACAGGCCACCTCTGCTGCGTCGATCCAAATTTTCTGGCGTTGACAGAGATTACCTATTCCCAGCAACGTATAAGCACCGCCAAGTCGGATCATCCTTCCAAGATTGCAACTGCGACTTATACTAACTGTTGAATTGAGACGAAGAGCAAATCCCTGTGTCGTCCATGGGGGCATCTTACCTTCCAGAGCGCTGGTCATAAAAGATGGAATCCGCCGCGACCACCTGGCACAAGGACACGAGTTTCTAGTTTTGAATTGGAGGCTGCCGGGGCATCGACAAGCATTCCATGCCTCGTCGTGCGTGGAATCTCAGACTACCGTGTCTCCTATAAGAACAACCAGTGTCATGGATTTGTTGCTGCAGCGGCGGTATCCTATGCTCGGCAGTTATTCTTCCATATTCCAATCTAGCGCATGAGCCGAGTAAAACGAAAAAGAAGTTGGAACGGGGACTAGGAATCGCAGAAGTTTGCCGATTGGCTCTCGTCAATGAACTACCGCAGCTATCATGCCGACTTCCTAAGCCAAAAATAGGGAGGTAATATATTGTCCTGGCATTCCTGGAGCAGGAAAAACAATTCTCTCTTCCATTACTCTTGATCGTATTCATCGGATATGTGAAGCTGCTAAAGGTATTGGTATTGCATATGTATCTTTGGATTATAAAAAGCAGCACGAACAGAAGCTAGACGGTATATGTGCATATATCATCAAGCAGCTCATACAGCCATCACATTTCATCCTTGAGGTTCTCAACATATTGTACAAACATTATAAACGTTTGTGGAACGCGGCCACAATACGAAGAAGTTCTAACGCTATTGGAAAAACTTTTAGGATATATTCGCGTGTTAGATTGTACTCGATGCTCGGGATGGATGTTCAGATTCGACTGCACGCTTGATCAAGTAATCTCACATACCATAGACCTTGCACCGGAGGGAAATATCAGTCTCTTTACAACTTCAAGGTCAGTCCCAGACATTTCCGCAAATTTCGAACAATTCCAGTGTATCAAGATCCGAGCTAGCGATGTAGATATCCAGCAATATGTAGAAGGCCATGTGGCTAAACTATCCAACCCGTGTGCGAGGAAGAAACGAGCTCCAGAGATTTATCCTGTCTGTAATTGTACGATCGGCAAATAGAATGTAGCATACGTTATCGTATACGGTCCTTCTTCGCTAGAGAAAGTTGTCAAAGCTGCAAGAGCCGAGGCTCAAGGCCAAATGTTACATTTTCTTGACGGAGAGTTCAACGAGCATCGCTATGCAATGTTGGGATGGGGACCTCAGGGTGCGGATCTTAACAATGAGGTACGGGATATATATGCCAAACTTAGTAAATATCTACAAATCTCATAAAAATAAACATCATGTTATATTGTTTGAATCAAATTCCTCATCCAAATATAACCAGCTAGATGAAATATTTTTAATATATTAATACAGCTTGTGATCTACCCTATGAATATTCATGTTTGCTTTGTGAGCCGATGCAAGGGCTAAACTGTAAACCCGTGAGACTAGAACTTCTCAACGCAGCTCATCACTTACTATCCTACAACTATCGTTGACGATGAATTAATCGGCAGGAGTAGATCCGACGGATGATGAGCCTGACTCCTATCCAAATATTCCAGAGAAGGGGGAACATCACGAGGAACCCTTCCCAGTCGACAATGACCCATTCGGTGGAACAGAATGGACGAGTCAAGTACCGCGTCATGACATGGTGTAAGACTGTCGACTTTGAAATCGCACTTGATTAACAATTGCAGGCAGTGTGGAATGTGTGAGTGCTTCCCAGGATTTAGAATCCCTTGTAAGCTTTCCAGTGATGATTGCACCAAACATCTCCCTTGGGATTCTTTCTCTCTCTTCCGCAATCACCGCGCTGGGAATTGGCCCGTAAGTATCAAAACATATATACTATGAATCCACAAAATACCTAATAATCCCCCAGAGCCGTCGTTCTCATTGTCTTCCTCTCCAGACTGTCCTGTTACACAGCTCTCGTCATCGGCAAGTTGAAACTCCGATACCCAGAAATCCACAGCATGAGCGATGCAGGGGTAACACCTTTCGGTCGACTAGGCGAGGAGCTGCTCAATGTCACACAATTGATTTTTCTGGTCTATCTCATGGCCAGCCATGTGCTTAGTTTCCCGGTGCTGATGAATGAGCCGACGGACGATGGGGCCTGCACCATTGTGTTGTCCGTCGTCGGAATGACGTCTAACCTTTTAGGGCCTTGCCACGGACAACGAAGAGGGTGTATTGGATATCGGTTACATGTTATTCATGAATTCTGTCATCTTATATGACCAGCCTTTGGTAGTATTCTCATTACAACCGTAGTCACGATGGCTGCTATCGGCATTCAAAACCCGTTTCCGCTCTGGAGATCACCTACGAGGAATGAGCTCTCAGAGGCTTTTCTAGCAGTCACTAATATAATATTTGCCTATAGTATACTCATTGCCATGTAGAATAGAATTCTTGATCCTGATGAACCAGCTGTCCACGGTTCCATCTTCGGGTTCCTCTCCGAGACGGAAAATCCTCGGAATTTTCCCAAATCATTTGCTGTGCTTCAAGTCGTCGATACATGTATGTACATTGTCACAGCGGTAGTCATATAATGCTACGCTGGAGCTATGGTTCTCTCTCCAGCTTTAAGCTCTGCAGGCCCATTAATGAATAAAGTCGCTTAGGGGCTTGCTATCCTCACTATTCGATTCCCTCGAATTCACCTAGAATATCGCTGATAGAGATAGGTGATTTTCTCCGGGGTGATCCACAGCCACGTCACGGCGAAGAACATTTACGTGCGGATCTTCCGTGGCCCTGATCAGATTCACAGCCATGATGTGGTTGCGATTCGGGCTTGGGTAGGAATTGGGTTCGGGTGAGTTCACTGCGTGGATTGTGGCGGAGTCGATCCCTGTTTTAATTACTTGTTGAGTTTGATTGTATGGATTGTATCTGCTATTTATACCATATGCTAACTGATTAGAGTGCATTGATTGGGACCTGGTTTAGTTGTATGTGGTCTGCGAAGTGAAGTGATACTTGCTGATCTGGATAGATGGGTTGCCGGCAATTTTTGGGTTGCATATGGGGAATGGTCTGTTGTTCACCTCATTTAGGAAAACTGGGTATACCATTCTACATGATGTTATTTTTGGGATTGCGTGTGGCATTGTATGTTCACTTTTCCTGAGACTTCGTATACTGAGAGTACCAGTTTGGACTCGGTCTTTATGTGCCTGAGAAGGCCATCCACCACAACTCCAAGACGGCGAGTTGGGCCTGTGCAAATAATGCAGGATAGAATTGGCGTGTTGGTGTACATTTTACATAGACATCTGTCGCTTAATCTTCGGACTATATACAGTTATCCGTGATGTTGTGGTTCTTGATGTGTGGGAGTTTATTTAGATAGAGCCAATAATGGGAGTGATTACTGTCCTTAACCAGCCCTATTGATGAGTCTTCCCATATTCGCTGACAGCGACAGAACTTTGATATATTGACTATCTATACACTCACAGGGTTAGATAGAATCTTCGGTCTAAATGTTAGTCTTGCAATATTAGCTACAGTGCTCTCGACATTACCTGGAAGGCGAAACAACGTCTTGGATCTTGGATGCAGCCCTTGCATTCTGAAGTATGTACATATCTAAACTACATATAGCTTGCCTTTGGGGGTCTGATTTACACATCTGGCTGTACAGTTCACGACCCTTTATTTTGATAAGTTAATAGTATGATTAAGCTTTGATATGGAGCATAAATAGCATGCATAATACCCTTCATCTCATCTGTTTAATGATCTACATAGATATTCTATTAATTAATGCAGTATGGAAGGTATTCGGCATTGCTGAGACATGTGCAGTTAATACAAAGTCGGTGTAGAGAGCAAAACTACTGGACCAGTAAAAAAGTATTTTAAATTTCTATCTACCACATTCTTCGTAGATTCGTACTGTAGTTCCTACACAAACTTTTATTTTGTAGGCGCTATTCGTCCTGAACTTTTTAAGAAGTCACTCAGACTCAGTCCTGTCATTGAGTATTGCACATTTCAGGTTCAATGCTCCACAATTTCATGTAATTGACTTAAAGCATACCATCAATATCTGACGCGGCACATCACCTTGTAGTTGCCTTCCTGTATTCATAGTTTATCCACAGTTAGTGGTGCGCTTCACTAGGTCTCCGGCTCGACACGGTTGTATATTCAAGTTGAACCAACCCTTGCTCCTTGCTGAACCTTCGCAGTTGGTTGCCCGAATAGACACGATACGGCAGAACCTGTTATCCTATACGCAAGGACCCTGTCTAGTTAATATCAAATTCGGCAAGACAGTTAAAATATGAGGCATTATAGCATGTTGGATCGATAAACGCCGGTACCAACTCAGGCACCAGAAGGCTTTGCCCCTCCGCAATTGTTGTAACAGCTGGTGCGCCTTGGGTTGGCCGATCTATATCATTCGATGTTGACTGCGAAGGAATAGACTTCTCCAGTGGTCCTTCATTCCACCGTTCGATGGAGTCCGATAAGATGTCTGATGCAGAGGACCGGAGACCGTGGTACGCTGCTTCCGCCGAGTTCCAGGTTCGTTTGGTGCTTTTCAAGCATCCGAGAATTAGTGTGACGCGATTGCAGTGGTGGTCGAAGCACTCTTCCGAGTGGCTGATAGACGTGGCGAGCTGGATCATTCCGCAAAGCGCCAGCGCGGGAACGATAAATGGCGTGTGTTTTTGAATGTTGGGACAGACTGAGATCATATCCGAGATTCGTCTCGAGGCCTCGGTGGCCTTGATGCTGTGGACCAGACGTGTGAACGTCGACGAGAGATGACATGTCGCAGAAGGCCAGAATCTATCGTCGGGCTGCGACAGGAGAGGCTGCAGATCGCTTCGGGGAAGATGTAGCAGCATCGCCGCGTAGGCGATGGTCAGATGAGCCTGGAACATCATCTCGTCGACGTTTCCATACGAATCCACTATGTCTAGTTTTCTAGGGGGCAGGTGATTGACCCAGCTCACGAGCGCGTTTTCGATAGCCTGGAGATGATCGCGATGATAGTCCCGTAATCGATTCAGCACCAAGACCCTGCACAGTATTGTCGCAGCCTCGATGCGATAACTGAATGATGAGAAAACCGTCTCATCAGGAGCGAATACCCTCCGTTTGAAATCAAGCATCTTGCGTGGCTCGGGAACATCACAACCACCGGCAAAGACTGAATCCTCGCAAGGAAGGCCCACGTCAGGCGCCACCGTACTACATCGGAAAGTGATTGTTTTGAGCTGAACTGCCATGAAAATATCCGTAACGTACAACTCCCACCACGTTCGTCTCATGCTCTCGGCCTCGATGGATCTTTCAGGCTGCGAAGCCGATGCAAAGTCCCAGCGATTCATACCCAGTTCAAAAGCAATCTCAGTGCTATGCGACAGCGCATCTTGGGCTTTTTCCTGCTCGCCCCGTGCATACAGAGCGATGGAGTAGATCAGCCACGCCTGTACCATGCACGGCGATCGGTCAGGATTTGACGCCAGTTCAGCATCGACCTTGTCTCTTAGCTGCTGGCTGAAGCTCGATGGCGCATAGTGGGAACCGACGAAGCTCACCACCAGCTGCAGAAACTGGGGATAGTTCCGGTCCTTATACGAACAGTAGGGCACCAGAATGGGGTGCGCCACATGGAAATGCTCGTAGAACAGTCGCGGGAAACGATCATCGCAATCCCAGGACCTACCTCCTTGATCTAGACGGATTCGACTAGCATGGTCCTGTGGCAGCGAGGTAGGCGTAGGCCATGTGAGGTTGGCGAAATCCGGATGCGAATTTCTCTGCGATGAGGGGATGTCGGGCGCATTAGTCGAGGCAGGGACATTCAGTTGCAAACTTGAAGCTGGAGACTACTAACAGTTGGTCTGTATGTCACTACAGTTGTCGCTTCCAGGAGGGTTAATACTGACATTGAGCTCATTTGTATGGTCTGTTGCTCGATACTGGGAAGTGACCGAGTCATGACGTGGTTTCCTTCGGCCACCACGTCGAGAAGGCAAGTAGTGGCAGAGGAAGCCCCCCTGCAAACAGCGCGAACATGTTGGTTTACTAGCGTCGCATTTCAGATGCTGCTTTCTGCACTCGGTACAGGCCAATGCAGCAAGCCCACTCTCCCTGGTTGATCTTACAGGCGCCATGTCTGTTTCAGTTGAGTTGAGGGAGAATCGGGGACTGAACTTCAATCCTCCTTGAGTTACGTAATACCCCGTCATGAGGACTCCGCAGGACATCGATGCTTTTTAAAAAATATAATAAATAAAAAAGAGAGAAAGTGAAAGAAAGAAAAAAGAAGAAAAAGTGTCTAGATATTATTGTTCATATTTTCTTCATCTCTTGCACCCTTCATCTTATATAGCTACATGCTGCCTGAAAGGCCAGTTCAAGTCCTGTTCCATATTCAGCACCCCGGTTTCACTCAACTCTCAACCATGTATGGAGTAGATCTCACTCGACAAGTATCCAATAAATTAGCAGGAATGTATTATCGCCAATCAATTGAAGTTATATCCTGGACCCTTGACAATCCTGATACCAAGATTGACCTCCTTGTACGCATACACGCCGTGGCCAACCGCATTTCAATCGCCGAGTCATATATTCCCGCGCCATTCGGCGATTGAAGCCCCTACGTATCATCACATAAATGAAATAGTCCCCAGGACTGGATTCTTATTTGCCATTGTTGCATATTCGCAGGTCTTACCATAACAATGTCGTCCATTGTCTCGCTACCCATCACAGTCGCCCAGTCGACTTCGGCACACTACGATCCTCTACCGAACGTATACAATCTCAAAGACCTCATAAAGGATATCAAGTCCCACCTGGGAGACTCCGCTGGGATCGATTCCTCCAGTATCAACGAGGAGTACCTCATCTCCATTGTCCGGAAATACGTATCCAATCTAGACGACTGGGTACGGTATTTCCACAACGACCCTAGCAAGAACTATACCCGCAATGCTATTGAAAATATCAACTCCAAGGCAAATATCGTAGGTTCACATCTACCTTCATGTCATTATGCAGCTAATTAATTGGGTGGATGTAGCTCCTCCTTGTTTGGAACCCGGGAAAGGGATCCCCCGTACACGACCACGCCAATGCGCATTGCATCATGAAGATTCTGGCAGGTCAACTAGCGGAAACGGTCTACGAGACCCCCAAAAACGCAGACGGGAAGGCTGGTCCTTTAAAAGTGAAATCTCACCGGGTACATCAGATGAATGAAGTGGCTTATATCTCTGATGAAATCGGGTTGCATCGTGTGCATAACCCGAATGCGGATCAAGTAGCGGTTTCTCTACACTGTAAGCCTTTCCGCCAGTGTGGTTATGTTTATTCTGACTTGTCAGTGTATACGCCGCCAAATGCCGCAGACTACGGCTATTATATCTTCGATGAAGCAACAGGAAAGGCCAGTTTTGTACCGCAGGCACGGTCATATTTGAAACCTAAAAATTCTGCATAATGCGGGATACGCAGCGAAAGATCACCTAATCTTCGCTCATACTTATGATACTGTAGCTGTCAGCGCATTTCGATTTTTATTCTTATTAGCGATATCCAGGTCGTCAGGTTGCATTGTTTATTTAATTAACTGTTTAATCCCTATCATATTGAGTCTCGTTGAGTTCGGTACAAGGCGATGTATCTGTAGTTACAAGTGGTAGAATCCATGAGCATTCCCACTGTAAAATCAGAATAATAACTGTCTAATGATTCAAACCATGTCATCTGATTTAATCTCAATCTTCAAAAAGGCACCTTGTATGTAGCTCAAATAAGGAAGGGACGATCTACTCAATCGCCGATTGAGCTTAATCACCGATGCGCCAAGAACGGACGATCACCGACGCTCACCGACCTTTCCAGCAATTATTCCGTCCCGTGTACTCTGTGGGATATGGCGAAGCTCATAGATTCTTGATTATTTCATGACTATCTTAACTATCTACATCTAGGTGCTTTCAGCTGCGTAGAAGGTCGCTTAGCAGGGCGCTAGTGCCTATTTGGTAAACAGTGACCTCGACAGGTTACATAAACTATGCAATTTAAGTATGATTTGTGTCGAGGCACGGGACCTCGCCTAATTGCTTACGCCTACTATCCCACACAGATGTCTTTATCATCAAGATTATCATCAAGTCAAGATGTCTCCTTATTCCCCTGGCTATCACCTTTGACATTTTATGCAGTAGGACTAATAGCGGCTTGAAATACACACAATTGGACTACTTCTTCCTAATTAAGTTTAGTTCAACCCAAATATCAGTGAGGGGGAAAATTGGCGGATACCCGCAAGAGTAATTCGTAGAAGTCGGCGATTGCTCTACATTTGTGGACTATATGTCACTTGGATCTGTACAGCTCAATTTCACATAGTTCTCAAAAGAATGCAAATTATAGAGTGAAATACACAGTCGGGTGACCTGACAATAGATACAAGTCTACGTATAATATTTTAGTTGACAACTGAAGGTCAATTAAGGTAGCATCCTACACGGGAAATCCTTCAGGGTTAACATATGCACATTCATTGCTATTATGTAAATATTCACAAGTCTATCTTCTATATACCACTAGCCTCGATATACATCCTTCCTTCGATCATATCGAAAAACAACAAAAGTCGGGTACGCCTGCAAGATCATCGCCCCGACCATCAAACACCCCGCGAAGACCTGCGCACGAATGAACTCGACTTTCTCGAGATCGACCAACGTGCCCGCAATCGGGGTACCCACCAGGGACCCGAACGAACTAATCCCCCACATCATGCCCATGCGCGTACCGAGATAACTCGAGTCTGGACAGAAAGCCGGATGCGCAACGATGGAAGTCGGCGCCGTGACGAACAACCCGCTGAGAAAACCCCAATAGCATGCCCACACGATAAACCCAGGGATATTCGACACGGCCATCCAGCAAAACATGGCGACTGCGCCGGCGATGCTCCCACAGAGGAGGACGGCGATGGGTTTCACACGCGACCCAGCTAGATAGGGAACTATGCGACCGAATGCAGAGGAGCCGTTGATAATGGAGACCATGTAGAATGAGAGGCTTTTGGTCGTGTGTAATGCGACGCGGGAATACGATGCCACGTAAAACACGGGGATGTAATATCCGAGCATGACGCAGGTCAGCGAGACAGATAGGAGTATAAATGGTGGTTCTTTGAATGCCGTCCAGTCAAGCATGCTTCTGACGCGGGTTTTTTGGCCGGGTCGTCGACATAGTACGATGCATGTGATGAGCGCAAGAAAGAGATTGATGAAGCCGATGCAGCGCACTGTCCATGGAAATCCGATCCTGGGTTGCAACTGTCGAAATATGATGGGGAAGACGACACTACCGACGCTGGACCCGATTGATGCGCAGCCGATGGCAATCGGGCGTTTGGTCGTGAAGTACGAGGAGATCACCACGAGCGCCGGGATATATGCGACTCCTCCACCTAGTCCGACGCAAAATCCCTGGGCCAAGATAACCTGGAGCAGTTAGCGCTGGTTTTTGCAGTGGAGAGAAGGTACCGTACCTGATAGTACTGCGTCGATAGACTGGTCATCATGATCCCGAATACCGTCAAGAAACTTCCGCAGACGACCAATACACGCAGATACCCTGAATCAACTAGCGGCCCGGTGACGATACCCACCATGACAATCAGGGTGGCCTGGATACTGCCAATCCATGAGAGTGATGAAGGGGGTTGGTCGCGAAGAAGGGCTGTCTGATAGTATTCTTGAAAAGCGCCATAGGTGGTGATCAAGCCCCTGAATAAGGTTAAAACTTAGAGCTATGGACGAGGACTGAATGCCTACCAGGAATTAGCGAAGACGCAGAACCCAGCTAGTACGCTTAGCCATCCTTCCAAACCACCATTAGGTAAGGGATGTTTAACAGGCTGGTCATGTTTATCTGAAGTTGGGTGTGGCTCTTCTAGCTCGCGGTTGGTATCTTCTCGACACGACACCGATTTCTCAACTGACATGCTCATATCGAATCTAAGCAGCTGCCATAGCAGAATCGAGTCAGAATATCCGGCCGATTCTTAATATTTATTCAAAGGAGACTAGTGATATCCCCGCAGCCCCATGGGGTTTCCATTAGTCATATTGGAGATGCTCGGTTGGATAACCGGCAATTCATGAATTCATGAATTTCCTTACCGAAACCAGATATTGGAGTTAAAGAAGTCCATATTGATCAATTATACAGCATTATTACGAACTCTATATCATCCAGTCCAATGTATATCCATGTTAGGATATTGTCGTGGTACAAGGGATATTGCATCATTGATTCGAAGATGGTGCAAAATATCGGGATGGCATGGCCCGAGGTCGGCTTGCACACGTGGCAGCCTTTGGAGTAATACTCCCATGCAATAGATTCACTATTATTTCTACCAAAATCAATATACAACAAAGAAAATAGTTTTCATTTTCAAAAGAGAATAATATACGCTAATATAGGAGGCGGATGATGATGCAGCCTGATAGAGAAACATTAGAATTTGGGATCCGATGACTCCTAGCGCCTTGGCGAGCGCTCAGCGTCATCCCCCTGAATCCCTTCCATTCCTTAAGATAGTAGCTAGGGAAAGATAGAGAGAGCATGTTGGTGAACTCGTTGATTGTGCAGTCAATACAATTGTTATTGTTATTCTCCCTAGTAGGCTACCAGCGTGTAGCTGGTATAGTGTTCTTCTGCCACCCATTCCTTCCCCTGAGCGAATGATCATAACATAACCGATATATAAATATAGCAGGCGTCTTGCACGACATCAACGCAGTCATAATAGGTTAAAGTTATACACAGTGACATGTTAATATGTTGGAGAACCAAAAATAGCCTATTACACACCAGATACAGGTTTAATGCCCTACATTGATAAAAGCATATTAGTACCTCAGGCATCAACTTAAGCAAGCTTGAAACAGACAAGTCATAAAGGAAGAGTAAACTCTAAGGCTACTGTAATCTAGGTATGCATCATATGAATGCCATAGACACATTAAATACACAGTAAATCCCTGACTGGACATAAAATGCATATATCAAGTTTGTCTATTTTGCTTTCGGAGATACCGGCGATCGGGCTGACTTTTAGGTTTGCTTCGGAGATAAGTCTCGACTTTCAGTATGAGTTTTGCGGAGTGGAATCAATGGTCCGCCGTACACAGGTAATAAAAGGAACAAACCACGAAGTACTAAAGCTAGATTAAACAGAACAGCACAACCATCTTAGCATCAGTATGACTCCCCGAATCGGCTTGATAATTTGTAGTCAGAGGAACCCGCGAGTGGGTCCACAGATCGGGGAGTTTATACGTCAGACGATCCAGGAAACGAATCCCACAACAGAAATCAAGCTGATTGATCTCGCCGTGTGGAACCTTCCCCTGTGCGACGAGCCCTGGATTCCCACGCATATTCAATCAGCCGATCAATACGTGCACCCGCATACGCAGGCCTGGTCGAGGGAAATCTCCTCCCACGATGGCTTCATCTTCATCACGCCGCAGTATAACTGGGGGTATCCGGCGAGTATCAAGAATGCTCTGGATTATCTCTACCATGAGTGGAAGGGGAAGCCCGCGTTGATTGTGAGTTATGGAGGAAGGGGTGGGGGGAAAGCCGCGGCACAGCTGGGACAGGTTCTACAGGGGTTGCGCATGACTCAGTTGGAGAGGATGGTTTCCCTGGCATTTCCTGAGGAGGAGATCTTACTTAGGGGGGCGAAGGGGGAGGATTTGGATTTGACGGGGGAGAGTTCCTTCTGGGGTGGTGAAAAGCAGGGTATCAAGGAGGCGTTTGTTGAGTTGCAGGAGTTGGTACTTCGTAAATAGAGCTTGACTCTTATTTTATATTGCACCTATGTTGATATTAGGAATGTAATAAGATGAGACATCCTATCATAATAAATTCTCCATGCAGTGGAACCTAAGATAAGCAACATATCTTGGGCCAATTATTCTACATAATGACTTACTGTTCAATAGACAATGGGATAATAACTGAAGGTTTTCTTGAAGAGAACTGGATTGCAGGCTTCCCCGCTCCAGAGTAGCTTGTAAAAGCACACTAAGGAAGAAGAGCTGAAATACGCAGCCAATAGGCCTAAGCCCTCGGTTGATCATCTCCAATATAGGATCATGGACAGGACTTACACGGTACAACTGCAGACTCAGTGGGCGATCTGATGACCAAATGTAACATAAGATGCAATGTTCTACACACCATCCAGGGGCTGAACCGTTTGTTGGCAGCTGATGATCACACAAATCCGTCTTCATGGCATGATGCGTTCCAACACCTACATTTCTTTGTATTCACCCAGAATCTAGATAATAGCAGGCTCAATGGTCTGGAAACTCATCAGTGTGCTTCTATTCGTAGCCGCTATTGCAAATGGCGCTTTCTTATCGGAGAGTGATTTCGCCCCTGAAGATACGATCGTCCGCGATGTCTGCATCATTGGAGGAGGCTCGACGGGAACCTACGCTGCCATTCGGTTGAAAGAGCAAGGGAAATCGGTCGCCGTGGTAGAACAACAGCATCTTCTAGGCGGCCACACTGAGACCTTCTATCTTGACAGTGGAGAATATTTCGATTACGGGGTCGAAGGTCTGATCAGCAACGAGCTATCTCGGAACTATTTCCGACGACTGGGCGTGGAATGGCGACTGCTTTTACCAGACACCTTGATCATGGAGAACGTCAATTTCGAAACCGGAAAGCGAGTCCCTCCTCCAGGTGGTGTTCTGGCAACGATCGCGGCGGCAATTCTGTACCGGGGCGTGATTGAGAAATATGACTATCTTCGAAACGGCACGATCAGTCTGCCAGACCCCGTTCCTGAAGAGCTCCTGCGTCCGTTCCGGGAGTTCGTGTCGGAGCATAGAATCGAAGGAGCCCTGAGCTTGATATTCACTTTCTGTCAGAACCTAGGCAATCTCATGGACGTCCCAACTATTTATATCATCCAAGCCTTTGGCATACAGCAAGTCGATGCCATCCTCAGCGGGTTTCTAGTGCCGACAAAAGGAGGATACGAGCTCTACCGCAAGGCAGCAGAAGTTCTCGGAGCCGATGTACTGTACAATAGCAGCGTTGTTCAAACCGAAAGGTCCAGGAGCAGCGTGAAAGTCGTCGTGCAGGATTCAACTGGTCAGTCGACGCTGATTCACGCACAAAAGCTGCTCATCACAATTCCTCCCACCTTGGAGAATCTAAAGGGCTTCGACCTCGACGAAACAGAAACTGGGATATTCCAGAAACTCGTCTATAACAACTACTACGTCGCTGTGCTAAACCACACAGGGATCCCCGACAAAATCAACGTCGTCAACACCAACCCTGACAATGGACCCGGCAGCTTACCGCACATGCCGTATGCATGGCGGCTCCGATACCCTGGAGTATCCGGGTACGTGACCAGCGAGATAATCGGCGATGTGAGCTTTACTGCAAACGATGCGACCGAGCTCATCTTGTCAGGTCTCAGTCGGATGAGAGATGCGGGCACCTACAATGTGACGACGCCTGAGCTGTTGCTGCTTGCAAGCCATTCTCCCGCCACGCCAATGGTGTCGCCTCAGGATATCCAGGATGGGTTCTATCGTCGAATGTATGGGTTGCAGGGGAGACAGAATACGTTCTATACTGGTCGGAGCTTTGCCTCTGATCATTCGCCCATTTTGTGGGCTTATACCGATGCTGTTATTCAATGGATGTCACTGGCTTGACTTACTTTGTTTTGATCATAATAGTATTTTTTTTGTCTCGTTTGGTTGGGTTATGGAGACGGTCGATGATTGGTGATGATTGTTTGTTTCTTTTCTTAAATCCAGGATTGAAAGTACAAATAAAATAAAATAAATTCACCCAGCTAGCACAGACGATATGAGATCTGACTCCAGATGCAAGATAAAGCAACTATTCCGCTGGTCGATCAGTAAATACCTGCAGGTGCCTCAGGCTCCCCCGACAAACCTATGTCCGCACATACCAAGCCTCGGACCCGATCGCAATATTCTCCTATTTGGGATATGTCCGAAGCATTATGGAGAATTTGGCAGAATATATTTGTGTTCGAGTATAGTTCTTGTCATTTCAATAATTTACAAATATATACGATAAATTCATCAACTACATTGAGAACATAAAACAAGATAAGTATAAGACAAGGGAAGAAAGACGAGGAAAAACGGAGTACTCCACCATGTCGAAAGAAAAACAAGTCAACACGGAGGAAAATTCCCCTCCAAAACCAACTTTCCCTGAGGGGGGCTTTAAAGCATGGATGGCAGTGTTGTCATGTTGGTGTGTTATGTTCAACACATTTGGATACATAAATGCCTTTGGGTACTTCTACCTCGTAAAATATTATGTGGCAGCACTGACGTTCCGTAGAGTCTACGAAGCATATTATGGACGCACGCTGCTGAAAAATGAAAGTGACTCCAACATTGCTTGGATCGGCTCGCTCCAAGTCTTCTTCATGTTCTCGGCAGGACTTATATCTGGTCCGATGATGGATCGATACGGACCCAGGGTACATTTGACTCCCTTTATTGTCAAAGCCATGCCTAACTAATCCAGATCATCCTCATTCCATGCTCGTTGCTCTTCGTCGCATCAGTCATGTTGACCAGTCTCTGCAAGGAATACTACCAATTTATCCTTGCTCATGGCGTCCTAGGAGGCCTCACCAACGGCCTCACATACACCCCGACGTTAACAGCCGTCAACCAATACTTCTTCCGTCGTCGACCACTCGCCATGGGAATCGCATCCAGCGGATCCTCCCTGGCGGGAGTGATATTTCCAGTCGCCCTGAACCGCATGTTAAATCGCAGCTCTCTTGGCTTCGGCTGGTCGGTACGCATTCTTGGATTCCTCATGCTCGGACTAAGCATTATCGCCTGCGCATCGATATCCACAAACGTATCGAAACGACGCACGGGGCCGCTCTTCCTTCTCGAAGCGTGGAAACACCCTGCGTACACGGCACAGATAATCGGCCTCTTCCTAGTCTTCTGGGCGGTTTTCGTCCCCTTCTACTTCATCCCGGGCTATGCGCAGTCCATCTCCATCACAGTGGACATGTCATATTATCTCATTTCCATCCTGAACGCAGGGTCCTTGGTTGGTCGACTCCTAAGCGGCGTGGTGGCAAACCGCATCGGGAGATTTAACACGCTATCTGGATCGTCGGTCATCTGCGGGATCTTGATTTTCTGCTGGCTGAGAATCACTTCTCTAGGGGGTATGATTGTGTTTTCTGTGCTGTTTGGGTTCTTCAGCGGGACGGTCATCTCCCTGTTCACCGCGACGATTGCTATGACCGCGCCCAAGCCGAATCAGATCGGTTCTTACATGGGCATGGCGCTGGGTGTTCTCAGTCTCTCCGGGTTGACGGGGACGCCCATCACTGGGGCTATGATTCATAACTATGGGAATTACGATGTGGCGATTATCTTTGCAGGGGTGGCGTCGTTGTTGGGTGCGGTGGTCATTTTTATGGCCAAGGTTCTTTTTGTTGGCGTCAGGGCTGTTGCTTAGCTTTGCTTGCTACCTTTGCTTAGACGTTGCTGACTGGTGGTTGCATGTGGTATATGCTAATAGATGATTCTCATCTTAATAGACATGGTTGTAACCTCTTATATAGATTAATTTCATTACATTCACTCCAAATATAATAACAAGAAATAGAGACCAAAAAGCTAGAAAATATTTAATAAATGCTCAAACACCGTCCAGTATACATCCTTCACAGCACTCTTCCCCACAACCGGATCAGTATGTCCATAACCCTCGACCAAGAACCTACGATAATGCCGCTCTTCAAAAGTCCGTCGCAGAAACTCGTAATCGCGCAGTGTGAACTTGGAATTAAACACCTGATTCTGGCTACTTGAGAGGAGGATCAGAATGCCCTCTAGTCTCTGGAGATTGTCCTTGGTAGCAGAGGCTGAAAACGTTTGGATAATTCCCATGCGGGTAATATGCATTAATATATTTGTATGTGTGCCTGCGAAGAAGGAGTAGATGTTTTCGTAGATACATGGTTCCATAGGAGACCGAAGGCGAAGGGTGTTCGACAACAAGTTGCCGAGGTGCAGATAGCTCGACGGTGTAGAGTAGAGTAGAAATCGCTGGATAGTATCGAGAAGCCGTTGGAATGTGCCATCCATCGTGTCCTGTCCTATTGAGAAGAAGTTTCTGGTGAGATACTTGTGTCCATGGATAAGAAGAGATGTGCGTGCCTTGATGGAATTCTAGTATCCGAATCTCTGATTCATGGAAGACTGAGTTGGCGGTGATGCCGAGAACCTGTCTGTGGTCGATAGTTCCGTTGAGTAGGCCCACTGCGGGGGCCACGGAGCTTGACAATGCGCTACAATGTATGTTAATCGTTCCTCGGTGGTGAGTGATGTATCTAAAGTGGCAGTACATTCTTCGGCTATGGAGGGATAGCTGCTCCAGCGCGTGTAGGAAATAGCATCGACAACCCCCCGATGACTTCTACGTATTTTATAATAGCGCATGCATAGTTCAATAGTAATTATTTAGAATTTCAAGGACACCAGCGAAGGTGTCCCCTTTTTATTTTATTATTATTATCTTTTTACCCCTCCCTTACGGGTATTCCTTGTTTTTTATGTTATTTTTGGGATATTTTGAAATTTTTTGCCTATTTTCCTTGTTAGTTCTGGGGTATGGTCAGCTTTTTTCTGGATTTGCACTTTTTACTTTTTATCATTTAGAAAAAGGAAAAAGCAGGCAAAAGAAAGAGAAAGGAAGGCCAGACTTACCACTGGCTCGAACAGCACGCTGCCGCGCCTAGCCATAGCCAAAGCCACATCCATCCTATCATGAAAAAACATCTTCAAGGCCTTGCGCTCATTCATGTACCGATGAATACGAAAGTGGAGCACCATTCCCCTAGTATTAACTGGATAGGGAAAGAGGAAGTAGATTTCCATCCTATGGTTCTTGAGATCGTTCAGAGCAGACCGGATGAGCTCAATCTCGTTGTCTCATTCATCTTGACAGTGGAGGTACACAAGCCGGCTGACCATGAAGATGCACATATTTTCATAAATGGGCATACGAGATGCCGAATTGAGTTAAGTGGAGGTTGTGATCTGCAGCCAAGGTTAGTAAATTACTTGAGGTCAAAGGGAGAAGAATTGTTGGGGATCGGGGCAAGAAGGATAGTGAAATAAAGGAAGGATATTGAGTGTGTGGTGGTGATGATGCTATTTATACCGTTGACTAGGGTTGGACCTGAAACATTATTCTTCTTTCTAAACGATTGCACTTGTATTTGGAGGAGTTGTTTATATACAAATTGGGATTTCCATCTATTTCATGCTCGGTTCTTTTATATACAGAAATTGTTAACTGTAGAATGTTTAATCCGCAATAAGCCGTATATGGACCGGATAAATCCTTTTTATTAATGAAATCCTAGCTGTTAATGGCTCGTAGCATCATTTGATATTTATGACATAATCCAATGTACCGGAATCACCACAAACCTGGATGAGAGAAAACCATTCTAGCTACATTATATAGAACGGCCACGCAAATTGAGATTCATTGGCTAAATAAATAGAATACCAAATAGTATTCTTCTCCAGCCAACAGTAATACAGAGTTCCTAGAAAGCCAGTATATCGCCATACTCAACCTTGTATCTTGACGAAATATCACACTGAAATCAACCCACAAGTATTCCTACGAATCTGCAATCAAACCCCTTTTCTCACGGCGTCTTAAAACTGAAGTACCATATCCGTTCACTATCAGTGACCTGATAATCTAGATCATACCGTCCCTATGATTCATTTTGGTTCCAATAGGCCTCGTCCGCGTCTTGACTTCTTCCCATAAAATCCAGGCATAGAGCATCGAAGTAGTCTCTTACTGTGCGGATTGCTCTGCTTACTATATTGTCCCAATCAATTTTGCAATGCAAGCAACTTGGGTTCGATGTACTGTCAGGTGAACCTGGACATATCATTGCCACGTCGAATTACTTCAGTCGTGCTAACATAGTGTTAATGCTAGCCTTAGACATATTATCTTCCTAGAGCCAGACTCGAATGCGTCTGAGTTCCTTGACAAAAACACCGTTTTCTCCTTGCAGTCACATCTTGCTTAGTCGACTATACTGCAGATCTCTGCGAATAGCTCGCGATGAAGTTTTGGAGATGGCCGCCCTTTGCGGCGTTGAGCTGTTCTATACCAGATATTGTTAGCATATTGTAGTTGTGTCCGGCAAAGATAGACATGAATTCTGTACTTACGGATGACATGTGGCGGCAAGTGCATTTGGCGCGTATCTGAGGGATTATTCTCGGTGATTTGCCGCGGCAAGTTGTACGCCATGGCCTTGATTACTTCTTGAAAACCCAGTGCACATCGGTAAGCAAAGCAGGGGAAAAGTATTTGATGGAAAAACATCAAGTAGCATTCCTCTGCGTCTACTCGTTTGTCGCTTCTATATCGCCTAGTAAACCATCCGCTGAGGGATGGAGCCGGTCGAACCGATATTTATCACTAGCCATTATGCCAAATTCCTTAGTTTGACACTGAAGTATAAGGGACCACATCCTAAGACAGAGTCGAGTGGACTGTTCGTTGTATGTCCACGCAAGGTAATCGTTTTCTTGTTGTATTCACTCCAGTTATTGCGAAACATTGCCTTGTAGTATGGACTGGACATTTGTAGAGGCTCTTTGTTGACTTCGAAAGCTGTGATCTTGATCAGGTGTCTCTCTTGCTCATCAACAGCCTGGCCTGGTCACCTGAACTGGCTGAGTGTTTGTCATATTCATGTACCACAATATGCAGGTCTATCTGGTCGCTCAGGGACGTGAATTTTATGATAGATGTTTTTGTTGTTGTTTCTTTTGCCATAGACAAGAGTTTATGTTATTTCTGCATCTAAAATCCGGCAGACCAGTTGGGGATATAGTACAAAGACATTCAGTGAAGTCTGATGGAATATTCTCATTAAATTAATACGCCCGGCCGGAAAGTAGCTTACAGAGAATATAAGATCTTGAAACGAAGTGAGCTGAATCATTGCTAGAAGGATCCCAAGGTAGCGGTAAAATGACGTCTTCATTGCAATGAAGGTGAATTTGAATATATATAAGAAATAATAGACAACGCAAGGCCTTAGAACTCTGGCCGCTCAGTGAAGTGGACTAAGTGAGCTAGTTGTCAGTGACTATTAATATTCAACAGCCAGCTGCAGGCTACCAATCAAATGTCTGCATCTTTTAGACATAATGTATTGTTGCTGGATCTATGATATCTAAAATACAGTAGAGATAGAATGAAGCCTAAACTTAACACGATCAATGACTAGAGACAAGCATTCTTGAGATAATCCTGCCAGTCTTTCCCAACGCAGCCTGTATAGAAATCGGGACGAATCACCACGACTCCTGGTTCGCTTTGTGCCCATAAGGCACTATACGTAGGGATGCTGTCTTCAGTCACTTCAGAGTCTGAACGAATCCTCCAGAACTCAGCAACGTCCTGATATTGTTTCATTGCCGCAAAATCTGCTGCGTCCACCTTGTCACCCAGGAAGAAAACGACAAACTTCCCGTATCCAAAGAGAGTGTATAATCTTCTTTCCTCTCCGACCTTACAGGCGCAATTAGCTGACAACGCAATGACCTTCAAATCCGGGCAACGGTATCCGGCAACGAAGTCCCCGTCTTGAGAGGCCCGAACCACCGTACTTGGAGGGTAGGATACTCCCATTCCTATTCAATTAGCTTCCATAAGCTCATGAAAAAATGATTCTTCTCACCTGTGATGTAACCGGCATTTCTCTCGATCGCCTCCACATACTCCAATGCCGGCTTCACGGTCGTGCGCACCAACGTTGCAGCTACCCCAATGACACCGGCTGCTACAGCACGTCGTTCAGCATCATATGTACGAAGAAGCTGTTCTCCTCCAAGGCCCTTCACGGCAAATGCAAGACGCCACGTCAGGGCAAATGCGTCTGCAATACCTGTGTTGAGCCCCTGACCACCGTTGACGGCATGTACATGTGCAGCGTCACCAGCGAGAATGACTCGGCCATGGTCGGACTGCGAAATAAATGACTCCGCAATGCGTTCCTTGACTTCAAGAGTGTTAGTATGGGCTTTATTGGGCTGGCGCATACATACTCTCAAAAGTACTGAACCATTCTGTCTTCACGAACCGCACCGTGTGAGGGGCCATGTGTTCTCGGATTGACGCTTCGGCGTTTTTCTGTGTGACTTCCCCGTCGAGAAGGATATAAAATCTGGACATGCCGCGCTCTCTAAACCCAATTGTCAGGGTATTGTATCTCACTGGCTTGATATAGATAATTACCTTGGAATCCATGCCACGCGCCCTTGTCCGTTCACCTGAAAGGTGATAATCTCCGGACAGACAGGAAAGTCGGTTTCAATGAATGTGTCCAGCACAGCCCACACCATCTCAGGTTTTGTCCCCGTAAAGGGGATATTGAGTGTTGAGCGAACGAAAGATCGCGCACCATCTGCAGCGACAAGGTATTTTCCTACAAAAGTTTCCCCTTTGTTCGTAGTGACGGACGCACCCGTAGCTAACTCGGTGATATCGACGACGGTGCTTCCGTAGTCTACTGCGACATCTAGTTGTTCCAGAAGAGCAGCTTCCACTCGTGGTTGACCGATCATGAGGAAGTTGGGTCTGTGTGTGTGTTTGAGGGATGTCCACCAGTGATTTTGACGGGAAGTAAACTGGCCCGCTTCGTAGGTCGAGCTTGCTAAAGAAACCATTAGAGCCGACTGAAACAAAGAACAATCCACGTACTATTGCAGGTTATTCCCTCTGGTAGGAGTTTGCCCAAGGTTTTTGAAACCTCCAGAAACTGTTGAGTACGCGCATTGAGGGCGTCGGCGCGACCCAGGTCCAGAGGCCCTTCTTTGGCATCTAACTAACATCAGTATTTATTCAATCCGGCTGATGATGGTCTTACCGATAATGCGCACTGTGAGGCCTAATGAGCGAGCGAGAACAGCAATTGCAAGACCGGTTGGTCCACCTAGCTTTGTTAGTACCGCCAATGTTGCTGTGTTTGGAGCTATTTACCTCCAACAATTACCAAGTCAACGTTGTTGTTGTCTGAGCCGATCGACATGGTGTGTTAACGTAATTAATCAAGTATGAATCTCGAGTGCAAAAATTCCAGTAAGTGAACAGGATGCTAGCAGTCGCAGTACGTCTACTTTAATAAAGCAGAATACAGTGCGGAATACTTCCTGGATCACTAATACCCTTACCCCTTGCAATTTAGGCGATCAGGCAACTACGATAACGCCACTGCAGCGGATCTGATACAAGGACTAGATGAAGTCATAGCTAGTGTGTTCATGGTATAGACTACCGGTCTCTTGGCAGCTCTGGACTGCGCCTCGTATACGGAGTACCAGCAGTCTAGACCATAAGTGAGTGGCCTGGAGCATAATCCTACCAGTGCAAATCCTTGGCATGTTTTTTCCTGGTTTGGTTTCAGACGCAAATTCCAATCTTTCTTCCGTGAATAAAGGGTCTTGAAATGACTCTGACTGGCCGTGAAAAAAGGGTTTTAAAGTGATACACTAACGGGCTGAAGACTGCATGACCCACACAATAGAATGTATGGTTCTGACCCTGAGTCCCTGACTAAACCTACGTTGACCCTCTGAGTCGTGTTTGATGAGCACGGCGAAATTCCGCACCCTTTAAGTATTGTTTTGCCACGTGGTAGGAGTCTAATTCATATCTCTGAGACTCAGGCATTCCAGGGTATAGCTAGGTATGGGATAAACTAGTTATATATTGGGATCTACCTATTATTTTCCTTATGCGTACTCTTAATTAAAGCTTGTACCGGGACCGGGGCTGACTTTCCTATTAAGGTTTTCATCGGGTTCGCTGATGTACCTTGCGGGTGAGAAAGGCAGCTAGGGTCCTTAGCTTTTAGCTAGATTTATGTGTCAGCCGATAGTAATCAGACTACACAGCCACGCTATGTCGAATGCGTCCGGACACGTGTCAGAGGCCTCGTTCTAGGTGTGGTTGAAAAGTCTTACCATAAATACCCAAAACCGTTTCAGGCACCCGTTGAGAACAAGATAAGATTAGGATAAGGCTCGGATGGACCCGCCAAGACCGCTGAACCTTCACTAGGAACCATATTAGAAATCCTTAACGTGCTTGCATGAGCAGGACGGTGGCATTCCGCACCCTTTACTCAGCGCATCTGAAGCGCATATGCAACTTTCGTAACTGCCCGCCCAACGTGTCAGTGGTTTCTAGTTTCTAGTACCAAATGCTATCGACTGGGAAGCTGGATAGCTCCACTATGGCACCACTGCAGGATGGTGAAAAGTCGATATGAGACGCAAATCAGGGGCAGGAATGACATGAAAGTGGACTATACCAAGGTCCTGGACGTGAAATGACCCTCTTGGCTGGGCAAGGATGATGTGGTGCTTCTGAGCCACGATGCAGTGTCTACGCCACCGTCGGGCTTCCGTTGGATATGCGTCGGAGTATATAACATGGACTTCGGCCGGGTTGCCGATTGGTGTACATCAGCGATCGAGTTTAAATCATCATAACTACTTAACTTACTACCTGTGATACTATACTGTGCCAAAATGGTCCGAAGATTGTCTAGCTCTCGTGCTTCGTCTTCTGGCATGTCTCTCATGCAAGACAACTTCAATGAGACTGCTTTACAGAAGGCTTGCGAGATCCTAGACGTGCTCAACCGTTACCGTACTGTGCTCCCGTCTGAGGTCGAGGATCGAACCGACGAAGGAAATCTACGATTCCTATCAATCATATACAGCCGGGTGCGCGCGCAAAAACCAATCCAGTTAGTGCTACCTGCCTTTCCTTTCAAGTCGCCAAACCGCAAGAGCAAAACCCTAGGATGTCTACCGGACAAGGGAGAGCAGGTGGCCATGGCCCATTTGAATGGGCTTTGCTCTGCAGTCTCTGATGTGTATACTCCTGGGGCCGAGCTTACAATCGCTTCTGATGGCCTGGTATACAACGGTAAGTGACTTGACTTGAGCCTACGTACACCAGATACTAACTAGATAGATCTCCTCGGAGTCTCTGACAGAGAAGTATGGGAATATGGCCAGGCGCTGCGCGTGATGGTCAAGGAAGAGGGCTTCGACCATATCCGATTCGTGCATCTGCGCGATATTCTCTACATGGTGGATGATGTTCCATTGGACGCGACGCGCTATGAGGAGAAAGCGCCAGAATTCCGCGATTCTCTGATCCGCAACCACACTCTTTCAGATAGCGATGTCAATGCCCGGATCGCTTCAGATGAAGACGTATGCACCACGTATCGTGGATATATCAAGTTTCTCACGAAAGATCTGGGCCACACAATGGAGGAATGCTCGAAGAGTCAACATAAGAAGAAATGCGAGCAGATTGCTAAGAAAATGATTGTCCGCGGAGCGGTATGCATACTCGTCCCCTCTACGCTGTTTCATGCTTGCTGACACGGTATAGGCGTTTGCGGCGGCGATCGCGAAATCATTCCCTGAGCATGTACGACTGTCGATACATCCATCGAATGGATCGAAGAAGATTTCCATCTCCGTTCTACCGCAGACGGTCCTCCCCATCACTCCTTGGCATTCGTCACCATCCTTCAGTGTGGATGGACGGATGAAGTTCCAGCAAAGAGAGGTGTTCGATAGCGACGAGACCATGGAACTGGTGTACCGGAACGGACAGCCTTGGTGCTATCGCGAAAAGAACGAACTTTTTTCCTGGTCGATGGATGTAATCTTCGAACCTAACTATCCCTGCGGAATGACCATTAAGCCTGTCAAAGGCACCAAGCCGTCCATCACAGAAGTCGATATGCAAAAGGCCCGGCGCCTGGCGCAGGAAAACTCTCCAATCATTCTGCGAGGATTTGCCGATACACTCGACCGGGACGTATTCGTCAAGAAGGCTGAGGAAATGGGTACTCCACTGGAATGGAAGTTCGGGCTTATCCTAGAGGTCAAAGACCACGGGTCCGACAGTCAGGGATTGAACAATGTTCTCTCTGCGGAATGGATGCCATACCACTATGATGGTCTATTCAAGGTGAAGAAGGAAAAGGATGCCGATGGTAAAGAGAAATTAATTTCACTGCCTCCAAAGTAAGCTCCTACATCTCTTACCAATTTATCTATTTTACTAAATCTCCAACCAGATTCCAAGTCTTCACCTCAACCACTCCATCTCCCAAAGACTCCGGGTTCACACTGTTCGCGCCATCTCATCTGATCTTCGACCATCTCCCAAGTGACCTATCCGTAGGTGACCTCCAAAAACTGACCTGGCGCGTCCAGACCGCTTCATTCGACGAAGCCGTGATTGAGAACCTCCCTCTCGTCATTCCTCATTTCGCAACAGGTCGACCCTGTCTGCGATATCACGAGCCCTGGCCACAGGAGAAAACTCGCTTCGATCCGACATACGTGACAATCGACGGGGTGGAGGATTCTGCAGCGCTGTGCGACATTATCGACTCACTTCTACATGATCGACGAGTGTGCTACTGGCATGCTTGGGAAGAGGGAGATTTCCTCATCAGTGATAATGTGAGTATGATGCATACGAGGAGTTCATTTGAGAGTCGTGCCGATCGGTGCTTGAGACGGATTCATGTGGATTAGTTGGTATGTTTGGATAGTGTATATTCGGATAGTGTACGTTTGTATGTGTTAATTGTTGGTGCTACAAGTACGATTTTGCCATTGTATTCTAGAGTAGAAAATGATAGACTTTGCATCATCATCTTAACATCGAGTACTCTAAACATCCTCCTCAGAAACAAATGGTCATATTCTATTCCAGACGTATGTACAATAGTATCCACAATAAATCCGAAGCTACAACATGAACAACCCATTAAATACCCCTGAAGCAGCTCTCTTGTATTAACCAATCAAAGAAGGTATATCAAACCCCGTAACAAGATAAGCCCGAGCGCGGAAAAATTCCGAAGTCGGACACTAGGAAATCTCCGACTCAAATGGCCCCTTGTCTTGTAAACTTTTAGCGTATTTAGTGCCTTGGCGGTCTAGGCAAATTTTATTGGTCTATGCAACCACCGCTTTAATAGTTTTGCAGACAGAATCCTTAAGATGTTTAATATGGGGCGGACAAACGAGGGATAGAGCCATTCTACTGGTTTGTCATTTCAATATTCCCCACACCTACAATAAACGGCACATCCCGGAACGAAAACTTTGCAAACCTGGGAGTTTCTCCATTATCCCCTCTCCGGTGAACTTGGTCAAAATAGCGCTTTTTTTGGCCTTAGCATTTACAATATTACCAAAATAGGAAAGGTCCGCGATATGATTAGCTGAAACAGTTCACCGCTTTGACCAGGGTTAAAACCACTCGCTAGCCACTGCTAAAATACAATATCTTTATACATATATAGTATATATTTGACGTTGAAAATATGCAGAATAACTTATATTTACTAGCCAATTATATCTCTGTATTCAATATAGAATTGATTATTCAGTGCCAGAATAAAATAATTCGCTGCAGGAGCACCTAGAGTAAGGATAGCAAAGATAAACATTACACGCAGAGCAAGTCCAACCACTGCAAGGAAGTTGCCTAAGTCTTTGCAAGTGCTCGCCTTTTACATGCTTATTAACTTGATAAGTACACCAGAGACATCTTGCATGTTTTTCTGCTTAAATTAGTGTATGTTTTACCGCTAAATTTAAACAGATTAGTAGTAGATCTGTGGTGGCCTTTTACTTGCGGGGATTGTCGGCATGTTGGAATAAGCTCTGGTATAACTTCCTACGGAATTAAAGCTGGGAAAAGGTCTGTTTTTAATGCTCCTGTCTACTTATATAGTGTATTCTGTATGCGTTAACGACAGCGGTATTAATAATCTAATAGAATAAAGGCCACCAGCTGTGGAAAGTTGGACGGTGGCTTGTATATTTTGCACGCAGTTAATTGGCAATATCAACCCCTCCCATAAAGTGATTATAATTATTAATAATAGCTGGAATAGGCAGTTCTTTTATTGCCTTACTGTTAAAAACAGGGCGTGTAATCTGTGCACTGGTAGAGATTTTTAATAAATGCTTTCTCTCCCGTTTTATAAGGTCTTCTGTCTTGTCAACTTTATGAACCGTTAACAAGCCAGTAACAAGATTATTATCTTGCCAGGCGAAGCAAAGAATATTATTAACAGTTATAGCACATATTGTATTCCATTGTAGGGCAATTTTAAGCTTTTTTAAAGTCTGTATAAGCAGGGGAAAATCCTTTTTTTTTGCACGTGTTATCCCACATGCACTAATTTCTTAATCTTGCAGGGTTTTAAAAGGCCGATGCTTGTAAAGTAGTTATCTAGATAAATAATATAGTGCCTTTCTTTTTTAGGAAGTTGTTTAAGCAAATAAAGAACCATTAAACCTGTAAGTGTCAGGTATTTATTTTTAACAACTTTGTAAAGGCTCTTGGCATGGCTTGCTGGGGTAAAAGTATATATATAGCCATGATCTGCGAGGGAGAAGAGTTTATATCCCTATATAAAAAAAGCACTTCTTATTAGAAAGTATTAATAAGATATTGCACTTTCTTACCTGCAGGATTGGCTTATTTAGCATCTTAAAAGTGTGTAACGATCTTCCAAAGCATTTTATTATAGTCTTCTTAATAAAGATTTTTAAAGAAGGTTCATAAATTTACATGCTTGCAATTCGGAAGCAAGATAATGTGGATTAAGTTTATACTACTAGATATCACCAACCCAGTTAATATTCATATTTATCTTATCTTGAATAGTCAATTCCCGATCCAATAGATCTCGAGGCCAAGGATATAGCTCAGGCGTAACAGAGGAGATATGGAGATAGCGCTTTAACTGCTTAAATCGGATAAGACTAAGATAAAAAGAAATTATATGGACTGGACCCTTTCTAATATCCTGCTGCTAATATAACTTAATTTAAGGTTCTTTATAGACTCCTATATACATAAGAGCCCCAATAAAAACATTTATTTTGTTTAATATTGTTGGATACCATGGTCTTGCTCGCTTAGATGGATCCTTACAGGATCGCTGTACCTCCGTACATTTATTAGTATTCTCCACAACAGTCTTCCATAGCGAATCAGGTAAAAATTGCTTGAATAGTGATACAGGGCTGTCTGTATCCACATTTGGTAGTATTTTAAGTACAGATGGCTTTATTTTCATAGCTTTAAAATAGACAGACTCGGGCGATGGGATGCTTTAATTATATCCTGTGCCGGCATGTTTTTATAGGGATTTTCAGCTTTCTTTCCTTTGCTCTAATTGGCCGATTCAATAATATATTGATTGACATTCCCCTGGCTATCTGGGACTGACTGCGAAGGGGGTGGTGTGGCAGGTAAAGGAGGCATTTTTTTATGGGATATTAGGTTGTTGTTTACCGCGACTGTACGCGTTCTACATGTTGGATGCAGTTACGGCAGAATAGTTGGGCGGTCATAGCTCTAGCCAATTATAATTTAATGCTCTGCCAAGGCGCTATTTTGACCAAGGTCACCAGACGAGGGGATAAAATATATGTCGGCCAGCTGAATACGCGTATGAGCTAGTATCACTGATCTATGGATAAGGATCCATCTATATTGAAGGTAAGGTCTCTGACTATCTGAATCTATCTGGGAGAACTGAATAAAAATGGTCACAAAGGAACAAAGTCGGACCGAGCGGATGCTGAATAATTGTAATATAGACCCATTTTGGTCGACAATATAGAACTCACTGACTGAATGAGCTATGCTGCATATTCGACTGCTGGCCGAGTTTCTGACACCATTAGTATAGCCTTGCATGCTCCATACATTTTTCTCCACATTTTTATTTATATGGATCTAAGATACCTATACTATACTAGGCAACAATGGTCTGTCCCTGTGGCATATAAAAGATAGACTGTAAAGGGCTGGAGCCCATTTGACCTCTCGGGCCAATGGCCCTATTATCCCTATTGTCCCTATTGTCCCTACTGTCCCTACTGTCCCTACTGTCCCTTTTGGCCCTGTTGGCACCTTTGGCCCATCGGCCCTCGATCCATATGTCACGTGACTTTTCAGGTTGTTTGTTTAACGCTCATTTCCTCTTCCTTTCTTCCCTTCTTCAACGATTCCTTCTTGTACATAACCTATCTCATAGGTTCTATGGGTTCAGCCCTTGACATAGACCCTCAGTTGTGGTCTTGGACAAATGGAGACATGCTATGCTCGATGTATTATTGAAGATGAATGGAACTTGGAGTAAATTGCTGGTTATGCTGTCACTTGCAGAGCATAACCTAATACAGTAGAACCCAGTTAAATGCAATCATTTTAGACCGCCTTTCTGGATGCATTTAGAAGATTATTCCATATATCAAATTTCCATACAAAAAAAAAGACCATATATCACTTCGATACCGCTTTTACACTTTTTCTTTAATAAAAACCCCTCATGGCGCCGCAAAAGCCGAATATAGTCCTTGTTTCCATTATTTGGTTGCTCTTCATAGAGAGGAAGCTTTTATAAAGTATCCAAGGCATGGGAAACAGCTACCTGCGATAGAACTTGGTGTTCTTTATTGTTTTCATTGCAATCAACCTCATTATATGCACCACATTGAGCATAATAAACTTATTATTCTCTTCTATCTGGTATTTGCAAGCTTTACCTATTTATAAAGCCCCTTTTCTTGCTCTAGCTAGTGTTCTATTCGAGTCCGTTTATTGTCAAGCTTGTAATCTTCGATTTCGCGGTCAAAAAAGGCAAATTTTGAGATCGTTCGAGAGATAGTGGAAGGATCAAACCGGCGATGATATGTCTCTTCAAACCGTGTTTGAAATGCTAAATTATTTAGATATCTCTTTAATTTATGTTAAGCTCGTAGAGCAGCGCGTTGTTGGTGGGTAATTGACAACTCTAAATAAGATTAAAATTAGCCTTTTCCGCACTCTTATAAAATGCAATTTTATATGCGAAAGATGATGCTGGATTGCATCTTGTAGACAATAGAGTATAATACGATTTGTATGGGAAATCAAATTGGCCACCGTAGCCACTTGCATTTAGTGGAGTATTGCAATTAAGGAGGTTGCATTTAACCTGGTTTATTGTAGAATGTATCTCAAGAGTGAAGAACATTGACTATTCATTATATCTTTAATTCATGCTAGAGGCCTACACCCAAAGATTACTTTCTATTAAACGGGCCTTTAAGGACTTATAGCCATTTCAACATTCCCTCAGAGATAAGATAAATATTGGTGTATGTACAACTTGGTATGCTTGGAATCTACAATCACTAGGCCACAATTTTAAAATCAAACTCGTCTATTTCCCCAAATCGAGACAAAGTGTTTTAACTGTCATAAAATCTACTACATGCAACATCTCCTGTATACATAAAAATCAAACGTAGTATCCACTGACTGCTTCAAGTGTAACAAATCTAGTGGTGTATACACATATTTAAAACATCCTTACAAACACAAATCAAGTACTGTACCACCACACAAATGCATCAAAACCAACGTCATTCCCAGTCCCATGGAAAACAGAACACAAGCATCCTAGCGTCGACTCGCCATGCATGTCATCACCATCTCATTGGCCGTGCCTCACCGGTACCCCGTTATCAATCAGTGTGATTGTAGTATAAACTGTGAAACATTGTAACTGGTTGTATATTGGTGCCCAATACTCGGTATGACATACTGGTCGGTGAGTAACTGATGGCTCTAGTATAGTACTCAATGCCTTTTCTTGTTGCATCTGATAGGCTTTATATATAATACACATACTTGCATACATATAGCATAGATAATATTCTAAAATAATTCATTACCAATATCAATAAAGTTATAAAAACGATAAGAATAATTGATCAGTAATCTCAAACTAGCTAATATCATGCCAACTCAAGCCAGAACCCATCAGATATCAAAACAACAGACTTGGCCTCGAAATGGACGCCATCCTCCGTCAATGCAATGCAACCGTTTCCCATGATGCTAAGGTCGTCGGTCGTATTATCGGGACGATCCGCTACCCGTGCTTTTGGAGCTCTGTTCTTTCTCTATCCGAGTTAGTTAATACTTGTATAGGAGGCTAAGGCTACCTTTCGCTTGTTTGATTTGTTTAATGGTGTCATTGTGGAGTTTTGTCCATTGGGCTTGGTATTCAGCTAGGCTGGGTTGGGTGTCTTTTCCTGAGGTGGTGGATTTATCCATTGTATTATGTAGATGGTTTGACGAGATACTGTGGATTCAATAGATTCACTTGAGGTTTAGGAGGAGATTCTGTTTAGCAAAATGTAGAGGAGATCGAAGGGGAAACGAAGCTATTTATCATCGCGAGGTGCAGGTCAACCAGATTGACTTTGACGAAGCCATGTGGCCGTGTTAAATTTTCTTTTTTCTTTTTTTTTTCTTTAAAACAAAGGATAAAAAAAATCTGTTAGCGTAACCAAAATCCTGTTAGTATAATCCATTTGTCTACGGAGTACCAAGTCTGGTCTATCGAAAGTTCCCTTGCATTCCGGCATCAATCAAGTGGAACAGGCCTGGCCAGCCGATTGGCCGGGGAAGACTGCAGTATACCTTGCTCCGTACCATGAAGACATCCAGGCCATTGGAAGCAGGCTGCCGAACGACAGATCTGCGGGACGAAACACGTAGTTCGCATGTTTAGGCTGTGTGACGGACTGTCGGGAGACAAGGTACTGAGGTGATTGGTGGTTTACTCTCCGATGTTAATGCATTCCGATAGTTGAGTGCCCAAGATATGGAATATAGATATAAGTAAATATATATACTTAATACATATATATATATACATATATATTCATATATTATTATACATACATAAATAGAGAGAAACAATGACAAGTCAATATGATATAAGTCCAATCGGATGATCACAGTCAGAGAGCAAAGTATACACCGCCATTACTGACATACAACGATCTCGATCGGGCAAAAGGTCGCCGGAACGACGGACGACTTCCCGCCGGATCAAAAATCCCGACTTTTGTTGTCCTTTCCATCATCTGACGCCACCATCCACCATCCCCGTCCCTACCGGTGGAAATCTCCCATCCCTACCATCCAGACAGCTGGCCTCCGTGGAACATGAAAGGATCAAGGAACAAAGATTCCGAATCACCGTCGCATGACCGACCGCACTGCAGTCCTGTGCCGGCTACGTCATAGAATCGTGCGTCGCGCTAAGGGCGGAAATGATTATTCCTCTTACTTTTCACTGGAGATGTTATGGATGGATGGCGTCAGATGAACGCTGAGGAATACCTGATCAATTGGTGGACCATCTAATGAGAATATAACACTAACTTGTCTTCCATCTATTGTTTGTCTCCCGCATGGATGAGGGGAGGGGCAGACAGGCCGACTGTCATATCGATGCCCAAGCACTAGGTAGGCACTGTAGCCCAGATGACCTGCAGCGAGAGCAAGTCAAGTGAATGAAGATCTCATCTTTCCTTCTCCTCTGGTTGGTCCTCCATACTGTACCCACTGTGTGGAATGAGTCTACAACTATTGATCCTAGAGGTATATTCCGAAGTAGATGCAATGTGGTGGGATTATACTTCCGTTGCATATTTGACCAGGGACAGAATTTGTGATACATGATATAGCGGTCAACCTTTTAGCCAACAGACACCACAAGGGCCAGACAAACTCCCCATCAACATCCAAACAAACAACTCAAGAATAATATGATCACGATCACTCGGAAGGAAACCAAGTTCCAGCAGATTCATACTCCTTCTGTCCGCGCTCGTATTCCTCGCGACCAGATTTCTTCCACTCCTTGGAACCGGTCATATTGCCAATCGACTCGGTCAGAGAGCCCTTGAGGGAATGGTACTGGCCGGCGATCTTGCTAGGATGGTCGCTGGTGCCTGGCATGGATTGTTGGAGGTTTTCGGCCTCTTCCGAGGCTTTGGTTTTGGCGGATTCGACTTGTTCTGATCGGGTAGGCATTCTTATCACTTGTATGGTGTGTAGTATTTATTTATGATTGTTAGTACTGTAGATCTAGTGGATAGGCGGGGTTTATATAGTCGATGACGTGGGTGGCCACATTGACATCATGAGTATGTCAACTCATGCATGAATAAGGTTCTGCAGATAAACTCTGTATTTTCTCATAGCTATACATCCATGGATAGCTCTATCGTTGTGTGATCAACAAAATATAATACAATTTGTATAGTAATAATATGACAGAAACTCACAAGACTATTCCTGAACTCTTTCGACTTTCTTAATCCTGGTCTTGACTCCAAAGATCATACCGGTCCGAGATACCCGTTTGTGCCTGAGGTATCACCTCACTCTACTTGCGGCAGTACAGCTAAGTTGCCTATAGGCAAAACTTAATACTATCATATACTATACTCCTCGCGGAATTCCCGCGATCTTCTACATTAGCAGTGCTAATATAATCTATTCAACTATTCATATCCAAAGCGCAGACTAATAGAAGGTTGCCATTAAGCTATGAAATCATAAATAAAGTATAGTCATATCAACGTAACTAATGTCTCAAGCTGACCTGAGTCCCGTTTTTCGAACACAAAGTCAAGGTTAAACTCTCTTCCCACGGTCCGGAGTCACGACTCTCCAGCACGGAAAACTGCTGCGCCAACCGCACCGTCACATATCCCGCCTCTGTGAGCGCATACTGTTGGCCCACACAGATACGAGGTCCGCCGTTGAACGGCAAATACTCCCATCCCGGTCGCAGACTGGCCCATCGCTCTGGTCGATATTCTTCCGCATCTGGTCCGTAGAAATCTTCCCGTCGATGCATCGAGAATGTGCTGTATGCGACGACTGTGTCTTTGGGGACAAATACGGGGGACTTGCCGTTAGGACCGCCTCCAACTGGGAGTACGGTGTCAGTTAGGGCCTGTCGACTGTTGGCTGGGACGACGGGGTGAAGACGTAACGCTTCAACTGTCAGTGATAGACATAAGTAGATGGAGCATGGAGACTCACATTCATTCATGCAGTATTTGAGATATGTCAGATTTCGCAATTGCTCATACGTCGGGGCACGTCCCTCCAGGGTCGCAACCTCTTCCTGCAGTTTCGCCCACACCTGCGGATGCTTAGCCAGCATGAAGAACATGTTACTGAGCAAGGAGGCGGTGGTGTCACGACCAGCCAGGAGCACGTTCATCAGCTCGTCGCGGATGCGCTTCCGATCGCCAGTCTGCTGAGCCAACCCTTGCAGGAACAGATATCGTTTCTTTTTTTTGCCGTCGTCGTCACTGGCTTTCTCCTCGTCGTAGTTGGCGCGATACTTCAGAGCCTTGTCGACATACTGTTCGACCAGCTCGTGGCAGACGCGGTTACATCTTGCCACTTTACGATCCGGAACGAGATCGCTCAGTCGGCCCAGACGGGCGTTGTAGGCGATGGCATCCTGGGCGTAGTTAAAAGCACTGGCGAAGTCCTTTTCCGGGTCTTCCTGCACATCGGACCGCTTCTTCTTCAGACTGTGCACGCTATGACCGAACAGGAACTCCGTGGCAGAGTCGATGGTGTAGCAGAAGAATAGCTCCTGAAGATCTACTGTGCGGCCGTCCGTAGGGATCAGCGGTAGCAAATCACTCATGAGCTCCTCGAAGATATCTAGATGGGCCACCTGGTCTTTGATGAAGTTGGGACGGATCATGGCGCGTGACTGGGCCCAGTGTTCACCGTCGGTGGTGAAGATGCCGTATCCCAGGAGAGGGCCAAATGAGTGGATGCGGTCACCTAGGGAGAAGTCCTTGAACTTGAGGGACAGTATGGTCTTGACGTTGAGTGGCTCGCGGGTGACGATGACTTTGGTGAAGAATCGCTTGCTGGTGAACGTATGGCCGTATGTGCGGAAGTTATTCAGGCTTCGATTGAGGAATCTATGGTTCTTGGCAGCCACGATGGTCCCATAGAGGTTGTCGATGCCAAAGAGACGGTCCACAGTGCGCATACGCACGGGAGCCTGGCAGTGGTTGTCACGGGCAAAGCGGTAGCGAGTCCATTTACGTTGGACGAAACTGAGAATGTAGAGGATCAGGACGATGGCGCCTCCAAGCACCACCACCGGGTAACGAGAGGCCATGATAGGCAGTAAGAGTCTCGAGGTTAGAGGAGAGGAGAGAGGAGAGGGTAGAATGTCTCCTTCTTATAGAAATCAAGAAATGTCGCCTACATTGTCAAGGGACGGATCGTCGGTTGCGGGGAATTCCATAGATTCACTGTCGGCCACCACTTACGACCGATATGTTGATGACTGTCTGGTTCTATCCTCGGAGATGCGATTTGTCCGAGGCTGTGGAGTGCCTACGATCTGCTGCGACTTGTGATACGTCATTCCCCATTCCTGCGGATGCCTATTCTTCCTGCGGATTCCGGAATTGTCAAATTCCGTCGGCTGGAAGATAAATCATCCGTAAATTTGGCCAATCAGCGTCCTAGCGGTGATCAATTGTTCCAATCTGGATGACTCATGCGTAGTAATCGCAAGCTTCGCTCTTTTTGGCAGTATCTGCCTGAGGCTAGGACAGGCGTATATTGATCTCACAGAAGAGGGTCTTGGTCGGTGAGTCGGCAATTCGAAAACATGGCTACCTTAGTCTAGAGCCTAAGCTCATCTAGGTCTACTGTGAAGAACAACCAGGCAGATCATCCAATGACGGAGTAACAAGGATTGAGTCATCTGGCATAAAAGCTAGACTGCACCTTTATTTCCGTGGGAAACGCAGCAACCTAACATAGCCTCATCTCACTTCTTTCCTGCAGGGGTGTAGGTCGATCCCCCCTTGCCATTGTTGTAGTAGCTGCTACCGTTGGAGTTGGAATAGTAGTACGATCCGTCACTGCAAGGGGTTGATTGATGAATTAGCACCTGTTAGACTGAGCGGTGGAAGGCACACACCTGTTAGAGTAATGGTAGGCATCACCACGGCCCGAACCATTGGAGTCAGAGCCAGTGCCATAATCACGCGAACAGTAATGATTACCCTGGAAAAACGCTGTCAGAATTGCATAAATTGCATAAAAGCATCATAGGGAGGACTCAGATTACCTGGCTGTTGGTACCGGAACCGGTGTAAGTGAATCCCTTGCCGGAGCTAGACATGATGGCTGTGTCGGGCGTGTTCAAGAGTTTGATAGATGGATGCAGAACTGGATGAGATTTGTAGAAGATGGAAATGGATGTAGGGGAAGGTAACTAGAAATAGGAAGTCTAGGCGGGGTAAATATGGCTAGAGCGGTAAGTGGCATTGAGTACCTGACCCAAGCGACCCATCACCCTCAATTGGAGAGTTTGATTCTTCTCTGGCTGTATTCTAAAATGCTGAAGCCATCGTTATTTTTATTTAGAAATAGATGTCCAGCCTGTCGAATTGTGAGAAAAATATGCTTATTGTTAGCTCATTCCTTGTACGTTACTCCGTACACATAAAGCTTATTGATACGTCTTGGAAGGTAAGCTATGCATGTTAATTCAATAGACTTAATTATGAACAAAAACGGTCTGAGCATATCATAATCATTGTACATGGTCCTCGTATTGTACTACCAGAAAAGGATGTGCTTATGGGCTTATTTACCATGTGTCTACGGTTATGCATCTGCGTATCTGCTATACAGTCTCCTAAAGATATAGGAAATAAACAACAACATCAATTCTCAAAAGTCCTAATACACCTTCCTATTCCAAATATTCACTCCCTAGTTCGCTTAGCTGACAGCATCAAACATACTTAACAGTCACCTCATCGCCCGACACAGACGACGAAGTGAAGACCTGATTATTCTGCTTGATATCCATTATAGTTGCGCCTGAGGGACCAACCGACGACCCCCCGGTTGATGCCTTCGCCCCAGTAAAAGTGACGGTCCCAAAGTCAGCAAACTGTACCAACGACCCGCTGGATTCGAAATCCTCGACAATCCACTCGGCATTAGTCTCGCACAGATTCCCTGCCACATTCCCATTGAACGTATGGCTGACCTTCTGTCCGGTCGACACGTTCTCCACGGTAGCAGTACCACTGGTCTTACTGCTCGCGTCCACAGTGACTCTGATGTTATCACCGACGGAAACACCAAAGTTGTCAAAATTGTACGAAGAGTCCGGGTACCATTCATACCAAGCCTCGAAGGACACGGAGCTCCCCTGCGCACAGAAGTCGATTCCAGTCTGCAGGATCGCACTGCTGCAGGTATCCCCGTCGATACCCACCCAGGCAGAGGCACAGTATTGTCCTCCAGACGAGCCGCCAGATGGCACAGACGGTTTCGGAACAACGAACTCGCCCGTCACGGAGGTGTATCCGGATCCGATGAGCACGGCGCCCGCCCAGTTGGAGCTGTACTGCTCGTGCGAGGTCTTGTTCAGCTGTAAGACCTCCTGCGTGTCCGGCTTGAAGGGTCGGTTGCTGCGGCGGTCGGACAGCAGTCGGGCTACATTGCGAGCGCGACGCTTCTCGGTGAGAGGAGCGGATATGGCGCTACTGGCCAATAAAGTGGAAATAAGAACAGGAGAGAACTTCATGATGACTATTCTAAAGGTAAGAGTTAATGGAAGAGAAATGATGAGCAGATCTGATCTGGATATTTAGGTCGAGGAATTGAGCCCATTTATACCTGCGCCGGACTCTGTCTAACGTCCTTCAGCGTGGACTATTGCGCTAGAGCATCCAAGCGATGATGCCATACTCCGACGAATACAAATCATCAATGGACCAACTACCATGATACTGAAATAGTCTTCCGGGTGATCCAGAATGATATAGTATAGTGACAATATTCATTTTTGAGTCGGCTGCTCCACAACCTACTAATCAACGACGCTATTGGTGTCCAACCCAACCCCGATAACAGAAGCTACACTTCGACAACATATCCGCTCCACGACAACCAATAGTCTCGCATCGATAATTCACAGTCAAGCATGGCCTCGCTAGGCAATGCAACAATGCAATCACTGGCACGTCGGGATATTACCATGGCCCATCCGGAGTCCGACGGCATAGTGTTAGCGTCTACAACCCCGCTATCCTGCGCTCTCATGTTGGTGCCGTGATGAAGGGCGGCATGGAGCAACAAGCTTTCGACAAGCCTTGTGGGCGAATAATAAGCATCGCGATCGATGGTGGGGATAATCAGTCCGCAGGGTACTTTGTGGCGATGTAGATGTGACCCTGATTAGATTAATTTGATATTAATCTAATAAATCCTGGTGCGGATGACTCGGATAAAATATTCCTTATCTGTCTACCGTGTACTATGAAGACATAATCTATTCAGGCTGAAGCTAGCTATCTGATGATCAGTTGACCTAAATAGTGCATACGGGGTCCTATCATCTAACTTCAGAACTCGCACTACATGTCTAATTCCATCAATCAAACCTAAGATAGCAATAGAACTATCAAGAAATATCTGTCCCTGTGGAAAACTCCTCCCACTCCTCCAACTTCCTCAACATATCCTGACATTTCTTCTTCACCGTTTCGACAGCATCCGACCCGAGCACCAGCTCATTCGGCCACTCCCTCCCCGCGGCGCCATTCTGGCCCTTGACGACGTCCAGAATCCGCGCCACGGCTTTGACGGGGTCACCGACCTGTTTCCCATGGGTGTTTTGAAAGGCGGAGAACGTCGTCTGCGTGAGCTCTTTATAATCAGGGATCGTTGTTTTGATATAGCTGCTATTTTGACCAAGGAGCTCTGTTCGGAAGTATCCCGGCTCCACGAGGAGGGTTTTTATTCCGAAGCCTGATATCTCCTGGTTTAGAGATTCGGTGATATCTAGATGGTCAGTATTATTTCCTTGGATGTAAGGAATAAAATTAATAATAATAATAAACGTACAGCGAATCGCCGCTTTCGATGCGGAATACGCTCCAACAGTGGGATAAGTCGTCCACGCCGCCATGGATCCAAAATTCACGATAATCCCATTCCTTCTCTGTCGAAAATGAGGCAAAAATGCCTTTGTGGTGTTGGTCGTCCCGATGACGTTTGTATTGAATTGCGTGGAATATTCATTACTGTACGGTCGGTTAACGAGCATTCAAATTTAACCTAGACAACCAATAAAAATACCCCAGGTCTTCAAGCGTGCCGAATTGTGTATACGCCGCATTATTCACTAATACATCGATGTGTCCGTAGGTACCAATAGCTTCGACGGCTTTCCGATCCAGATCTGACTGCGATGCAGTCACGTCTAAACTCATCACGGCTGCTCCGGAATCCTTCAGTGACGCGATCTTCGATACATCACGGGCGGTAGCTATCACTTTGTCGCCGCGCGAGAGGGCCTGTTTAACGAGTTCGTTTCCGAAACCGGAGGATGTTCCGGTTATAAACCAGACGAGGGACATGAAGAATAAAATTGAATAGAAGGTGGAAAGATACAGAGTATAAGAAAGGCTAACCCCTCTTATATTGGTTATATAGTCGTGCAATTTGTCAAACTGGGCGTATCCAATAATGTCTCTTAATCTGTATGAAAATGTTGTCATGCAACCAATAAGGGCAGTTACGGACCAAACGTTCAAGCAGACTAAACTGAAAATGACCAACGATGCATTAGACTATGCAGACGCAGGCAAAGTTCCACTTACATCGGTATACAATCTACTCTGTACATGAATCTACAGATTATACAGTATAATATAATAAAATGTAATGTAGATTCTAACTTTTCACGCGCTATAATCCAGAGTAACAGCCAACTTAACCTGGCCACCGCCTGCGATATTCCCACCAATACCTCCGATATCCGTCTCGGCCGAGGTATAAGCATTATCCACAGTGGCAGCATCCTTGGTGATAGATGAGCAAGTCCCACTGGCAGCATCACAGATCTTCATACCCTGAACAGGCAAGCCTGCATTCTGCGCCGCAATAGCAGAGACATCAAAGCCCGACCAGCCGGCATTACCCGCACTGCTGAAGTCGAACTCACCCCAGGTGGATGCATATCCGCCTGCATTGTCGGTGGGGATCCCACTGGAGCTCGGCGCGGCAGCGAACCCACCGTTGGAATCATCTGCTAACGCGACATATTTGGTCTCGCCGGAGTTGACGGTCAATGTCAGCGCACTGTTGCCGTACCAGCCCGTCATCTGACCGTCCGGACCGTATTTGTTCCAGAAGACAACAGTCCAGGGCTCCGTGTTCTGGCCGGAGATCTCCAGCACGTGCTGGTAGCTGTCGGCGGAGCCGGAGGAGACTTCAATGATGTTGCTGCCCCATGGGTTGCCGACGTTGCCCTTGTAGGTGATGTCCGCGCCGCTGTGGGCGGTGCTGGCGCCGAATCCAGCAGTTGAGTATCCGCCGCTAGAGGAGCTGGAGCTGGAGGATGCAGAGCTGGAGGATCCAGCAGATCCAGAGCTAGAGGAGGATGTAGAAGTGGAAGAGGAAGAAGGTGTGCTAGGCACAGCAGGATCAGTTGGCGCCTGACGCCGATGGTAGTGGCCCGCTGGATGGGACAGCGTGCCGGTGGTGAGGGCTGCCAGCAGCAAAAGAGACTTGGAGAATGCATTGTGCTTGATTGGTTGGTATTTAAGGAGTGTATTGCGTCAATCGCGACGACTGATGAATGAAGTAAGGAATGTCTGTAGTTGGAGCAACAACGCTGGAGCGAAAAATTAAGGATGAAAGAGGAGAACATCCTCCTCTATATACCTGCTAATCCTACAGACAGAATTCTCGGCACTGGAATGGGTCGATTGCCGACAGAACCACGGTCTCGAACGCCATGGTGACGAATGGGTCTGTCTACTGGTCGAGAACGTAGCCAGAATGCGTCAGCGCAGGTGGAGAGTGGATAATGGGGTACCTTATAGAGGTACCCGATGATTGAACTATCAAAAGCAATGAGATTGGCCATGGGAACCCACTGTTTATTGGATTCGTTGAGAAAACCGGCTGTTCCTGGATTTAGGCTTTCTGCATGTTTGGGATTGAATGCCAGTGGCTCATGGGAAGTGGGAGAACTTTAATGCTCTGAAATCCTTGTTTTCTCGCTTTTGCACTGGAAATACTTTATAAATACTTTATGGCTGAAACGTTCAGAGAATGTCCTGTTCTGGCTGGAAGGCTGGACTGACTGGCAATACAATTGTATCCAAAGCGGGTCAGTTGGAATGTAATGGAATCTGTTCAAATTCTGCGTCTTGTATGTGGATCTCTCCACTTGGCGTTTATACAGTGCGGAATAACTAGTGCTAACTCTAGAATAGCACGAAATGTTCAAATATCCAGTTACATGATGTGCTGTGTGTCTTCTATTCCGGAGTACATCCTCTCTTCCCGCATACTCTAGATAGGAGTAGACAACCATGACGACCACCACAGACAAAGACAAAATAAAGACAAAAACAAGAAAACATGAAACTGATTCAAAAAGAACTGCCTCCAACCCATGGAATGCCAAGTCTGGGCCAGGGACAAAACCACTTCCAGTTTTTGTGAGATGACTAAGCCAGGTCCGCCAATGGCCTTCCCATCCACTCTGTGCTGCTCTCTGGATGCATTCGTAAGAGGGAAGACCCCGGCTGATTCCATGGTTGAGATGATTAGGGGGTTGAACCCCTTATTACATGTCTTTGTGTTTGTGTGCCCTAGGTGGACTGTACGATAGATATTTCAACACTAACACATTTATCACTAAGTGACCCACAAATGGTTGCTTTCAATGAGAAGTGATTCGAGTCTCGTCATAGAGTATATCGTTTAGTGCTTGGCTCTCTGTAGCTTCGAGGACTGGCTTCGGGGAACCATGAGTCGGCATCCACGTTGGTCACATGCAATGCCCAATCTTCTAGGAATTCTGTACAACTAAGCCAGTCCCTGAGATACTGAAAATACCATATATTCGTCTAACCAGGGTTTGACATAATTATACATCAGTCATAATATTGGTTATATGCACTAGTTCAGCGATATCCTTAATAACTTCGACCAGTTCAGTCTAGAGGCAATTATAGTACTATCCCTTACTCGGACATTATTCCACACGAACGGTAATGACAAATTCCAATCAACACCCAACCCAACAGCCAGTCAGCACCCGATCCATACAGTTCAAGTTCTACGGGGCCAGATACTCTTCATCTCCAAGCCACTAGGGATATTTGTCCCTCAATCCCTAACCCACCCATATACGGTCTGAACACTTCAACAGCTTCCCACTGGACTACCTGATTCATTAGGTAATATGCCCATCCATACCCTGGATATCGTCGGCTCCCCGTCTGGTAATTCGCACAGCCAGCTGCAGTCCGGCTGTCCCGGCGTCAATGGAATCCACCAGTCACGCCTCTCAGATATTTACAATCAGTCTGGAGACTTCTACAATGGTATTCGCGGTGTCTACGCCCAATACGACTTGCTTCCAGGCACAGTGATTCCGTTTGATCTGTCGTAAGATCTATAGTTGTATATGGTGGCTGATGGTCATCTTCAGTAAATGTCTAGAAGAGCACCTTTGAAGAGTTAATATCTTTTTCCTTAACTCAGACTCCAGAAATAGTTTCTATGACTATATTTCTTATTAATAGATGCCTCCTCAGATACACTATACTACCGGATATCCCTCCCTCAGCTCAGCTATTCGCGTACCACACAATACAGAGACGATGCTCATTCGTCTGGATAGCATCGTATTCCTGAGCATTCTGCGTAGGCGTTCGAACTGGAAATCATATAAAAGCCAATTCTGAAGGATTAGTAACAGTTCCCTTTATCTGGCCCTATATGTCGTGAGCAATACTCTCCAAAGGCAGGTGCGTACACTAGCGATATTATTCAAGACCCCCTAGTAATCCTCATCCAAGTAATCCTAGAACTTATACAGCAATATATGTTCCTATTATCCTGAGCTGTAAACAGTGTCCAATATTAGTCTCAGGTATTTCGACAGTCTCCTGGTATTCTTCCCCAGGCTGGCAGTCTTAGAGAATTTCCAATGTACTACATCCTTTATCAATCATTATCAGTTTCCAGAATAATAATAGACAACTATTCAATTCATCCTACGGGTATTATACTAATATATCTACTATCATGAATACCATCATTAATCAACAGCCCTCTCCTATAACCAATCTAGGCACTCTTTCTTCCCTTTCTCCCCTTCTCCCCTTCTCCCCTTCTCCGATTACGGGAAATAAAACACCGGAATCACAAAGAAACTATTAATATCATCTGCAATACCAGCCAAAGCAACATACCAAGCCAGAAAAGCCGCCAACAGCGCAAGGAACGCACCCCCCTTGATGATCGGCATGTTCGGCATATCCGCCGCTTCGCGATGGATGTACCCGATTCCAAGCAGGAGGAATGCCAGATCGACGGACAAGAACAGCGAGAAGAAAGTCACAGTTAACTTCACGGTGCAGGTAAGAAGGAGGAAGGTGAAGATGAACCATCCCTGTTTTTATCAGTTCTTAAACTTTTACCAGAGAGGAAGTAGAGAATAGGAACGCAACATGAGGAACAACCCAAACGAGTCGTAAAACATCCCTAGGGAACCCCCAACGGCTTGCTCCAGTTGAGACTGAATTTTAAGCCCGCCGGGAGTGAATACAATCGCCAATGATATCCAGAACCGCCCGTACGATGCTCCGAAGTTGTTACCCGCGGTCATTTCCCTATTTCATCCGTTAGATACTCTCTCAGCTCCAGTTTCAGAAAGACATACCACATGCCCGCAAGCAAACGAATCAATCCCCTACGTATACGCCGATCCAACCACCATACTAGGCACGGTTAATGCAGCCAAGGACAAAAGTGCTAAGAGCAAATCCGCCCAGACCAAGCGGCGCCGGGTTGGCAATCGTGCGATCTTTCACAGGTCTATACAGACCCGGTTGCATTTCGCCGCCGAAGGCAGGGAGTTATGTCTCTGCCGTGTTGACATGAGTCAGAGGACCAAAGTCCAGACGGTAGGACTTGCGATGGCTATGCAGATGCTCCTCGTTAGAGACTCCGAGTCGCACCGTGTCTGCCGTCATGCTGTATCGATTGTCTTGTGCCGTGTTTGGACGACCATATTCGTGGCTGATACTGTCCTGCTTCTCATGGCTCTGCTGGGTGGTCCCAGTCCCCTGCGTGTCGCTGGACTCAGAAGACATGATAATGATAGGCATAGATGTCTAGAAATTGAATTCCATCTGAATGCTGAGCAAGGTGAAAAAAAATTTTATTTATGCCCATGATCTCCAGGTTTTAGCTCCAGACCCTTCATGGGGGGATCAGACAATGGATCTCCTGTACTGAAGAATGCATGGAGTAAGTATATCGGATGGTTGATCCATCCATAGTCTGCAGCTGGTCCCTCCATGTGCATCATTGGTTGAAGCTTGAAGATATCTCCAACTCACGACAGAGCTTTCCCCGGGGACGGAACGTGGAGATTTCCATCAGTACCGAGCAATTCGAGTAAGGGGGAATGGCTTAATTTTGCGAAGATGCAGTAGAGCGCAAATAAGTGGTTGATCCGGATCCACTTGAAGCTTATTTACGACCCGGATTCGATGACGTAGTATATGGCAAGTAAGGAGGGAATATTGAATATGTCGAAACTATTATTGATATGTTTATCGGAGAAAAGGATGAAACGATTGTATGCAGATGTAGTAGACCAAGTAAAGTATTACCGCGGGCTGAGTTTAAATGCTCCAAGTCGATATCAATTGGGTATATTATGGCCACCTGGCACGCAATAATGAATAACATGAGAATTAGTTCTATATCATTAGTCTATCTCAGTGAAATCCGGATTGCGTATTTCTGCAGACGATTGCCTCAATATCATCATGATGGACGGAGAGCAAAGACAAGGTTCGCAGCGGCTGAGAAAATTAGTCCTAGAGCTCCCTTGCTACTGCCATCACGAAACCAGCATTCCACAACTGTTGTACGTGTCTAATAGTGCAAATGGTGATGAGACTCTGTACTACACCAAACAATATAGAGAATTGTACTAGGTTCATGAATATAATGCCTCGCGTGCCTGCGCCATTCCTTCCTCGGACGGTAAATTCACAATCATCAGATGTAAACATCCTGAGATAGTCAGCCATGTTCGCTACATCATCAAACGTCAACTTACCGCTTGAAGCAACTTCTTAATCCCACCTAGTGGACCCTCACCCATTGATTCAAACAACTGCTGACGAGGATTCTGGCGTGGATGGATTCCTTGATACAACGGACCACCGCGCTACGGTGTCTGCACACAAGTATCTGGCTCTCCTCGATAGTATTCGTGGTCTGATAGATGCTGGTTTAGTATTCAGAAAAAAAGAATGTATTGCAGGGCATAAGATCGTAGAAAATTATTCTGAAGAAAAGCAAGACAACAATCCACTGCATTATAGTCAGCAAAAAATGAAAGAGAACATTGCTGCCTCAAGCTGGATGAATTGTGGCAGGAAGTTCACATCATCGCTCCCAAAGCCATCTCTGGGAAGGGTAAAAATTGGGGGCAAACCCCATGGTTGGTGCATACTGCTGACGGGTAAACAAGACAAGACATTTCTTAGTTTACTTGACAGGAGACTAGCGAAGCCCTATGTTTCACTAACAGATACTGAAGTGGAGCAGCGGAGGCGGTGCTGAGACTGAAGTAAACTTAGGAGCCTGCATTGCATGTAGTAATCAGAGTAATGCCCCTAGGACCAAGACATACAGCTTGCTTGCTAGATATCCGTCGCCACATACTGGCACGAGGATTAAATCGAGAAGGTACCCCTCGCCTCTAGTCTTCTCCTCATCCTCCTTCACGATCTTCTCCACTTCCCGTTTGACTTCGGAAAAGGGTTCGGAAAAGGGTTCAAACATATGGAATCTTGTTGCCGATGCAATATTCTTCCAGGAGCAGTCCTTTGCGAGCGAAAAGAACATCTGCCTCCCGCGCAGCTGGGAGGTCGGAAACGCCGTCGCCAATGAAAATAATAAGAGGAATCTCTCCTTCTGGGCAGTCTTCAACCTCTTGGGCACGGCGCTCGTTTACGGAGAGGGCCTTGTCATGTCCTAGGTCTGATTCGTGTCGCCAAATTGGCTTCCAGTTTGGTCCTCCAGGGCTAATTGCCACACAATTCGCGACAATTTCAAATTTGACGACTGCATAAGTAGGTTAATTTTTGTCCAATCTTCAGGTGGTAATTTAGACATACCTCCTCCGGACCCAAAAATGTGTCTAGAACTCTGCGTAAGACAGGCTACAGCCCAGTACCGATGATATTGAAGTCTATCTAACTTGTAATACAGAACTGATGAAATTCCTGAAATCCAGAGTCCATATCGAGCTGCTTCAGGACTTCGAATCCATCATCCAAAGAGATCCTGAGTGATCCCCACATATCCTCTGAGACTTCACAAAACGAACGCTCCCCGGATTTGATCTGTTCATCAAGCTTCTTTCGGGCCTCAACACCGCAGCCTAGATTATCAACCAGGACGTGGCGGTATCCTGCATGAAAATGGTGCCATCGAAATCTACATCGATTAGTGTGCCACAATCTGAAGGATTGACAGTGATCGGGTGTATACCTGAGAAGCGCACAATCTTTCTCATGCCATACATAGTGGCCGGATTTCCTGGGGAATCAGGCAGCAGCTATGCTGATATTGAAAGAACTCCGATAAAAAAGAGCGTGGCAGTATGCTTAAGAGCCTTTGCAAAACATGGCAAACCAGACACCAATCCCCCCCATGACGTATACACCTCGAAGGCCAGGGACATCAATGTAGGTTTCGTTCGGCGTTTGACTTGGCATGGCAGCCTATGATGTAGTGCACGAGGATGAATTTCTAAGGATGGTGAAGCGAACAGATTTCAGTCAACAGTCAGTATCGGCCACACGTGGCCCACACTGCTGTGCATTCAAATGACATCATCTCTCGGCTGAATTCCCTTGATTTCCCATTCGATGAGAAACTCGGCATTCTTTCTTTAGTTGGCCTATCCTTGCGGTTCCACGTGCTGCGTTGCTTGATTTCGCTTGCTTCAGTCCAGCAAACAATTCGAATCTGCCCTTATATCAAGCATCGAAATTTGTTGTTGAGTTGAGATTTCATCATCTCTTTCTGCATTTGGCCTTCCCTGTCTGTCATGATTCAACTTCTTCGAGTACAATCACAACGGTCATAGATTGAGGCGGTTATAATGGCTCACCACCTGGGGAAATGGGCGGAAACAAAACGCGGAATTTAATGATACGTCGCATAACTATCTCTTCACCTGGACCCTAATACCCTAGACATCGTGGAATGATATCCGCTATTTTCCTGGGGCTTCTTGTTTTGAGTAACTTTAGTCGCTAATACGATACGTCCAGCTTTATCATACCATCAAGGACCAGCCGGCTTGTAGATTTAGCACGAGGTCAACAGGCCGTTTGGTTCCAAAAATGGATTAAGATGTCAATGCTCAACATGGATTTAATACTACTTAGATTACCATTTGGTGAAGGTTCAGTCACATGGTGACGGTGCAAGTAAAGACCATTGAAGAGAACCTCAGTCAAAGATACTGATCATTTTTCCCCTATTCTAAAACTAACTCAACTCCTAGTTGATGAGCCGAGAAATATGGGGAACTCTATAGGGGAATTATTTCTCTACAGATAACAAGACGCATGAAAGCCAATGCTTAATTGGATAGAACAGACGAATTCAAAAAATACATGAAAGCGAAAGTCACTATAACTGACAGATAGAAGCACAACTCATACTGTTGCTAATCCTAGCACTTGGGGAAGGGAGGATCTCCCTCAGTTACACCAGCGCCATAGATAACCTGCTGTCCTGGTTCAGCAAACACAGTCTGCTTTCCCTCAACCGTCTGGCAGCCATTGTTGACATTCGCAACGAAAATCTCCGGGTATGCTGCATCGAATGAGGCGCTACTTCCGCTACCTCCGGTGATCTCGATATCGGCGCAATTCATGTACATTTCGCGGTTGCCGATCAAGTTGAACCATGTCCAAGCAAAGAGGGCCTTGCCACTGGCCACATCGCTGGGTAACTTAAAGTTGTATTCCGATGTAAGCGGGCACCCGCCCATCATGGACTGGATGACCTTGAATGTGCTGCCGTTGTCGTAGCTCAGGGACAGCTGGCATGAGCCACCGCCGTGGGTTGCGGAGCCAGCCAACGTGATGTTGTAAGTTTGACCGGCAGCCCATTCGGCAGTTGTACGCCACGGTGTGTTCTTATGGTACCCCTTGCATGGAAAGTTTGATCCTACAGAACAGTTAGGCTTGTGCGGCACGGACCGCAGTAAGTATGAATGGACGACACACCATCCTGGTTCAGAGGGTTAGTCATGGAATAGTCGATCATCGAAGGATCAGCATTGGGATCAAGTGGACTGCGAAGAGGATACGGCCAGCTAAGTTGCATGTGCGCTGCGGCAAAGCCGGAGGTGAGGAGAACGCCGAAGACTGAGTTGAGAATCATTTTGCTGGTTTGCAAGAGCAATGATATTATTTGAATGATAGTGATGAAGAATTGACTGAGAAGTTTACTTGTTTCCAGATGTTCTGGTCAGTCCAACAGGCTATTCTTATACTACTTCATCTGCATCCAGCTTCTCCGGTCTACTACCCCAGACAGCCGTTTGGGAGACATGGCATGGACATGTCATGTTGCATTTGCCCCTAAGTTACATGCCTCAGTTTCATTTCCGACGATAAAGGCTACTTCTGCACTTTGTGAACAGATCGGGTGAGTGGTGTTGAGACGCATCTCCAAGCAATTTAGCAGGGGATCTGATATGCCCCAGCGGGCGTATATTGCATGCAACCAAGTTATCTCCGCGTGTGTATTGGCGGGACATGTGGTCGTTGCAATCCCCAGACTACTCTTTGACGCCGTCGACCCCAACTCCCTACGTCCGAGCGATGATCGTAATTTATTGCTAATTGTTCCATCACGCGCATCAGGTCTAGTCTGAGGGGTATACATGGAGAAGGGAGTATCAAGACAGCCGATCCGTCACGTACATTGCAACTTCACCCCAAAACTGACAAGTATGGGTTGCAGTCACAATTATTATCTTGGGAGGACGATGAGTCTGCCGGTGACAAACATGCAGGCCTGCAGAAGCACCGGCTTATCAAGTACCGTGCAGGATCAACTCCCAATGATAACGCTGCCCATTTCTCTCAGATAGACCAACAGGGGCACAAGGCCAGATCATCAGAACTACCGATCATCTGCGGAGTTCGGCATTAACACGAGCCATCCATCAGAGATGATTAGTTAAGCGATAGGGCGCTAATTAGTTACTCTGCGTGAGGAGAGCTTGGCAGTTGCGAGTAATTTCTAAGATCAAGCTAAAAGAGCCTAGTGATTCACTTTATACCACAGTGTGATCCTACTGTTACAACAATCCCCTTGAGGATATTGTCGCGTGGAAAATCTTCAGGGGAAGTTTGCCGCTGCCTGTAATGCCGAGAGAATGGCAAATTACGTTGTAGGCCACTGTTGGACGATACAGATGGGTTGACATTTACCAGTATACGTCCCAACCCTGAGATGTCGAATATCTGCACCGAGTGTCATTGGTGCTTCGCAGTAGTATATCCCCGGAACGCCACCAGCGATAGGGTTATATCCTGCAGCCGTAGCGGCAATGCACACAATTAGATTGTCTGCGTGTGAAAGATCTCATCAATTCTGGTCTGGTATGTGACCGACAGTATATTCTGATTGTAGTTGTAGGGCTATAATTAGACAGTGAAGTTCCATGTTTTTGACAACAGATAATTAGTTGGATCCGCTCGGTCAACGATGTCATAGCCTTTTTATATCCATCAACCGGATATATACAGCCTATGGTGGTCAATTACACTTTATGAGCCACAAATCATGTCTGTCCTCTCACTGACCTTCATTTAATAGACTCCAGTAATATCACAATGGCTGCAACCGCCAATGTCACATCACTATCAGTCGCCGCAGGGGTAGAATACGAAGAAGCCGTCAAGAACATTCTCCAACACGAGTTCAAGTAAGCCATGGGCGTCTGGACTCTAAATGATAATCCATTCATCATGACATATAAGCTGCTTAGTTATCAAAATCTGTCAGTGTGGCCGAGTGGTTAAGGCGATGGTCTAGAAAACCATTTCGTTCGCGAGCAGAGGTTCGAATCCTCTCGCTGACGGCATGTTTTTCTTTTTTGCCTTTTTTCTTTTTAAATTATTTTCAGCAGTACTTGTTGCCCTGTTTTTTTTTCTGTTTTTTCTTTGGACCACGTCCATTGTATTAAAGTTTTTGGTTGGCTGTAAGCATCACCTCGCTGCTTGTCCGCAACGCCAAACTAACCCACTGGCTTGGGCCTCCATCTCTATGAACAAGGTGCCGGGGATCCGGGCGTAACGGTGCATGATTTATCCAGTGGTTCATGCTGAGCAATAATGTGCAAGTTCTGCAGCGAGCGATCGGCGTGGAGTTGGGAAGATAGCATTGGAATGGGTAGCAATTAGATTCGACAGCGCGAAAGCGCGAAGAAATCGAAGCGTTCATAAATGAAAAGAACCAACTTAAGAATGTCTTTTGATATTACTGATATACTAAATGTGCATGTTCCACGCGATCTGTAATACCATATTAAGGTGACACAAATAAGGAAGTCTAGAACAATATCTAGCCATTTCACACATCTCATGACGTCTTATTCTCCCTTGCTTTAAGTCTGGTTCTCCATCTATCACCACTTCTCTTCCCAAATTTATTTCTCCAAAGTGCCCAAGTATATAAATTATCAGGATTCCCCTTCGCATGGATTCAAGACCTTTCGAAGCGTAGATAAAATACAAGATATTACCGCCGAATCCTGAGGTTATATCCCCATGATTTCCAGGGTATACACGGTAAGAACCAGAGTTGAGGACATTGCACCCGGGAGAAGGGAGAGTCTGCGCTGTATATGCGTGGTATGTAATCTATTTGATGCGATCACGATCGGGTCAAGGAGTCTTGAGGTCGTTATAAGCGTGGATATTACATCATTAGTTATTCTAGATCCAGATATGTAATTAGTCTCTTTGAGTATTGGATAGATAAAGAAATAAAGATGTGAGAGGAATACTATATGATAATGAAAATTCACCTAGAACCAGGAAACGACTCGATTTCACCGGGTTAATCAACCTATCGAATCACGGACGACGTGATGAGAACAGCTTCAAGAAGAGAAATGAATGATTGTGGCTACTACATCTATCCTGCAACACAAAACATGTTGCCTAGAGCCATCCTGCTGTGTGGAATTCCATCGTGGTCGTGGAGTGCGATATGGCGTTTCTAGAGTAAGAGATCGAGGTAGGCATGAGGGCGTCTAGTTTCGATGGTCAAGGATTTCTGGAGATTGGGAGTGGAGGTGAATCATTCTGAAGACATTAGATAGTCTAGCGGAAGATGATGGATTGGTGGATAGTTTGTTGGTATGGTGTATTCAGTTAGTGTCAGTCAGCGCCAGAAAGTTAGTCAGGGGAGTAAATTTATCGACGGGAAGGTCAGTCTAAGTGTTTTACAAGAAATTTAAATAATATCAACTTTTAGCCCATTAGATATACTCCTACCTAAATTACCTTGATGGCCTGCACGCTGATTGAATGCTATATTACAGGATTTTAAGTGAACATAGACCAAAGATTGTGCAAAATCACTCAACCAACACCAATTAAACAATAAAGTAGACGTCGGACATCAGGCATCAGACATCAGTCTCGCTAAGTTGTAAGTCGCTTCACATGCACCAAACCCCAGCAGCAACAATACAATTAATAATAAATGGATTAGCCATAGTTAATCAAATCATCAAACCCATCATGACTAGCCAAAGAGCTAATACTGGTATCACTGATCACACTCAAATTCGAGTCTCGACGTACTTGTTCTGCAGTCATTATGTCAGAGCCCGAGAACTGCGGCGGGCTACCATCATCCACCAGTGTTGAGGTTGATGACAGGGCATCTATGGGTAATGTATGCATATTTCTCAGATCAGGGCTATCACTTGCGACCTCACGGGTTTTCAACTGATCCAGCATCTTGTCCAGATGGTTCTTGATTGAGACATCGTCACACTCCGAATGACGCAGGAGCTCATCCTTCAGCTGCAGCATCTGGCTCCGCAGCTGTTCTACCTCAATCAATAGCATTTGCTTCTGGAATGACACTTTCTCATACCGGCTTTGGAGCTGTCTGGTATGTTGCTTCTTCTTCTGACGACATTTACTGGCAGCCATGCGATTGCGAGCGAGGAATTGCTCTCGTTTTTCTCTTTCTTTCTCCCGTTCCTCGTTTGTGAACATGGACTCGGATTGATTGTGAGTCTTCTTGCGTGTGGATTCTTTGGGAGGTGATTGGTGCTGCTGCTGCTGCTGCTCGAGGTCAGGTCTGGTCCAGGCTGGCGTTGGAGGCTGTGGAAATTGATTGAAATTCAGCCAGGCATCGTCCGGTAAAAATGGAAATGAGAGATGCTCCGGAGGAAGGGTAGTCATGCCATAATACGGTAGCGAATCTGGAGGAGCATCCTCCCTGTAGCGGAAGATATCAGGGGCAGACGGGCAAAGACCAATTTCTGCGGACATTTTTAAACGACGCAGGGAGAGAACAGTGGGTTATTGACCATCGTATCCGACCGAATGGCAGGTCGGTATTGATGATGTAAAACTATGTATAGATCAGGATGGAAGAGGTTGAACGACGGGATTGTCCCTGTATTTAAAGCCCGATAAAGAAGTTGTCAGAACTCCCCTATTGAACCGGGATAGTACAGGGCAGACGGGCCATGATCAACCGTTGGGGAAGACAGGAATACAAGAACGTTGCTCCCGCCAACGTCGACGGCACGTTCTAGAGGCCTGGACAAAGAGAACGCGTGACTGGGTGATGTCAACCCCGGTCCCCCGGCCAATCAGCGATCACGACGGGACGACAGTCCTCGGAGGCATGGAGTGTCAACGGTGATTGGCGGAATCCCATCCAGAAGTCTATTCCCAATCGAGCATAGACTTCAAAGCGACATCATCAAGCCTCTGCTTTCGGCCAATTCGGATACACCGGATGTATTTCCCAAACTCAACTCTCATCCTGAGCCATATCTGTGTCGCATTGTTTTGGCAAGAGAACAACGAGTTTGGCAGTTGGAAGTTGGGCTTTGTTCTTTGGTTACGGAAATTCAATCCCCATTGGGGCTGATCAGATGATCGCAGCCCCATGGTTAAATCCCGAATTCTGCAAAGTCACGCAACGGCGAGAGTAGGTATTCAAGAATCAATCCTACAAATCACAATAGAGGGCTAAAGATTATTGTCAACGCTAAGGAGTTACCAGAAGTACAATCATGGTACTTTGGTTCCTACTTATTTCGTATCCTAGCTGCCTGTTATAGTAGGATTACAATTGCCATTATGTTAAACCAAGGAAATTTTTCAGCTAGGACTGGTATTCCTGAGATGAGAGGCAATAGGATATACAACGGTAAATACAAATAAATACACAATATTAAATGCATTGAATATCAGAAAACCTGCAAAAATGAGCGACCTAGTACATACTAACCAGCTAGCTAACTAACTCCCACCCAATCACATCCATCATCTTGACACATATGCAAGATTGCGCAATCATCACGCTTAAAACACACATAAAACAGGTACACATCCCTGCTCCTTGCTTTAGATCCTAGACATGCATACACTAGGATATCTCTGGTTCCAAGATTGACCCCTCTGCATCGGGAAACACGAGTTAGCTGTTTCTTGACAGAGTAGGATTAATATATCATTCAACTTTAAGTCCACTTCCGAAACTTAAAGACCTGCAATGCTGTTACCCGCTGGATAGAAAGGTACCATAAACTGGCCAGACCAATAGCCAGGCGGTTGTCTGCGATCCAGTTGAGATGTGCCCTTGTATCCTAGTAGATGAAAAGTTAATACCATTCCGCAGGGCTATAAAACGGAGTGGGTAATTCATTCCGCACGGTATGCTTTTCTGTCCAACCATACCTAGACGTAGGGTCTGGACTTACGTTTTGTCCCAGTTTTTTGAGTCGACAGACCATGGCACACATTAATCTGATTTGATTTGCTTCGCTCGGGGTGTAAAGCTAGTACGTCATCAATCGTGCAGATCTAACGATACCTTTTTTGCTTGTGATGCTGATTGCAATGACTATAGTCATTGACGAAGAATTATTGGAGATAATTATTTTGTTCCATTATCTTCTGCCGACATACTGATATACAGCAGCCGCTTACCACCCTTCCAGATCATGAACTCCAAGGGTATCCTACATCTATGTTTGCATACGTAGGCGAGAATTGGTAATTAGGAATTCTAATGTGAAATCCGGAAACATACCAGTACTCAGTGCGGATGGAACTCGATGCAGGCCATTGACATCGTTACTTCTGGGAAAGAATTGCTTGGTCTCTGATGAACTCCTAGTCTTCGGTTAGGACGAAATGTATTTCCCCTGAGCACACTCTGGACCACATTCAAAGTATTGACCCATTGCTCCCAATTGAGCCCTTGTAACATGAGTGAGAACATGATCATTCGACGTATTTATCTTCGGCCAATAATCTCTATTACTAGTGTGTCGGTGGCGTTCGTGCCAGAAGTACGCATTTTGTTCCTCCAGTATTGGAGCGTGCCTGATCAATAAGCATGTATCATTAACCTTTTCAAAAAAAAACAAAAAAAAAGGCTATACATTCCTTTTAGGCTGGATTCAAACGCCGACTGGAAAGGGATATTATATGCGCTACAACGATCATACGATCTACTACTCTCGCATGTATATGAACATTTCCGGTCCCGGATCTACCTACATTGATCTCCCTCACTCTGCAATTATCGCATACCGCCTGGACTCTTCGAGATAAACGGTTTTGAAATGGGCTTTGGTGGGACGGAGATCCTTGGATATTCTCTCATGATTCCATGGTTGAGATTACTCGTGACAGGATTTAGCTGCGATGCTATACCCTCTCACATGTCCGTACTGCTACCGGAATAGATTCGTAGGTGCCTCGAACAGCAACGCTCCGTATTTCACCGGTGTTTCAGACACTTCTAGCACCGTAAAAAAGGTTCACGCCCACTGTAGTATCCATGGTTCGGGGATGCTGTTTTTGTATGAATTGATAGCCGTCTATCTCTGTGCCCTCTGCTTCTTGGGTTTTTAAACATACTAAACCCCGTAGATTGATATTTATCTATATCAATAACAACCAGTAGTATGGACATAGATAATATCTAAACTGACGTTACACTTATTGCAGTGGTATGAGGCATATGATAGAAGACCAAGTCTAATTATGTAGCCGGAGATGATCTCACCCGATAGCCAATATCAAACAGACAAATACTAAATCATCGATCTGAATATCAATCGTCACTCAGGTTGTCATTTACAAATCGGTTTCCGATCGTCTCCTTGACCAGTTTGCGTCAAGGAGTTAGACCCTCCAAACGGTTATTCAAGGCAGTTGCCACCCGCGGCCTCCGCTAATCTTATCCCGACGACATCTCATGTGAATACTTTGCGATCAATGCGCGAATCTGCTCATTTTTGACGTAATCCATCCATGTCTTACGTCGGAGTATTGCTGGAATAAGAACAAGTCAGCTCCAATGCAACTTTGTTTGCTTCGTACTTGTATCCCCTGCCCTATAATATGCAGATCATCTATTCAGCTACGCAACATTTCTTCCCCTGCCAATAATATTAGATTGGTAATAATCAATTAACATCACATCACATCACATTGTGTCATACCTCGAGTAACAGCTAGGATAATGCTGGTATAAAACTACAGACCCTCTCATAGGTTGGGAGATATACAGTGGCTCCACATTGACGGACAGGGTAAAGAAATTGCCTATTTCTGCTGCTATACAAACCACAGTCTGCCATAATAATATAATATATACGGAGTATAAATATAATAATAAGGGTCGGTCTGTGGCGACATATCCCAGCCCAATCAGGACCTGCAGCTGTAGCTCTACGTCCTTCATGACAAAAGAGTGTATACCGGATTGTCGATCCGTTCAATGACGTCTCGAATATTTCTGTTAGTTTTTTAGTTTACAGGTTCTGCATGTAACCCCTGTCTCTCTGTTGCTCCAATTCGCCCTACCATCGTCAGCTCACGGGAGATGCCTGGGTTTCTTCTTTCATCCATGGAACTCCCTGACAGACTGACTTTCACAGAATCAGGTGTGCAAGATGTTCCAAAATAGGTACCTTGTTGTCCACCACCCTCAGCTGAGAGTACCAACACTGATATCTCGCTGAAGGAGAACCCAAAAACCAGACGACCGTCTAATCCAGGATTTCGAGACGAAATTTTGCGACCATGGAGCCAATCTTCCCTATATCCTTGAAACGGTCTTGAAACCCAACCAGACGGTCACACCGATGGCCAGATTGGGGCTCTTTCAGAAACCTGATCCCTTACTGCTACAGTGCCTAATCGACACCTTTTCTCCATTTACACTGAATTGTTCATGCAGTATGTTTGGAGCTCGAATGTGTGCTATTCTTCATAGCCTTGCTGGTTGTCTTCAATCCCGATCCTTAGTACAATTCGTCAACCATTCAGTGGACCTGGAACAGTATGTCCAATGTCGAAAATGCACTGCCGATGATCATCAACTGGGATGCCGGTATCCTAACCATCTTTTTCAAAATGTGACACCTTTTCTCAAGAACGGACCAATTCACCCAAATTATCCTTGCAACGCAATGCGGAGTGCGATCTAAATAATAATAAGGTGCCACATCAGGGTATGTCAACCCACCTCATCTCCATGATGCTTATCACAACACTAATCATGCAGACATTCAATCCATGATACAGACACAGTAATCTCCCCTCCTTTCATCAGTAAAACAATTCTTATGACCCCAGACACGTCAAGTCCTCTCTCCGCTACTGAGTCACACTGCAGAGACGATCAGGAAACTTAGGAGTTGGGTTAGGAGGTCTAACATTGTGAGGGCTCGAGGGTCTTAACTGTAAGACAGAGGGGCGGGCAGGTCGTGTCAATAGTATACTCATAATAGGAGTACCAAGATAGATCACATCAACCCAAGGTGCATACGGTAACCACTTTCGATGTCGACAGGTCAATAATATAATAAAGATGGCGAATCAACGGGCCAACCCAAGGACTAACATGCAACTCAAGTAGGCCAGTCACATTTATTGTATGTAACGGACCATATTCTATGGAAAGGGGGCTAAAGAGCTCTGCCAACTTTTGTTGGATATACAGAGTACCTAGAATTCTCTCAACGACATCAATTATATAATTAGATAGATGTGAGAGTCAATCATCTATCTTTCTATCAGGTCATAGTCTTATATCTAATGGTATGATCCAATCCATTCCCCCATAGTAAAGATGCAGAACACACATGTGTTTAACTGTTTTATGGATATTAAGAGCCAGCCTTACTGGTAGATATGGCTTGTGCATTTGATTCTCCCAAAAGGATATAGAGTACTCTGTACAGTCCTCGCAGTTAGTGTATTGACTTATATTTCTAACAAACAAGCAGATACAGAGAAAGAGATTTCATATATCTTATTCTAGGGCTGTCAACATCAAAAGGGAGAGTCGGAAATAGTAGAAGCTACAATACTACTTCTAGATTATACCTTTATACCCAGTATTTATTGCCCGTTCTTATAAGCCTTAATCGTTGCACGAAGTGCATACCTTTTTGCTGTACGGTGAGTCATTTAGCGTATAAAGGAGTGATCAGTGTTGGTATGTACAGGGTTTTCGACATGATTCATTATGATGCCTTGCTTTCAAAACTCCCAAACAAAGTCAGAAACCTCGAGCTCAGTAATCCAGTAATTCTTCTCTCCAGAGCATTGTCAGGTCGATGTATTTGGTGTTAGACAAAATAGCCTTTCAGTGGAAGCACTTCAATGTTATCATTTTATTCCATTTATCTTTAGTTCTTTAAACGTTATACATCAGGAAGTTACAAAATAGTGGTTAGCCAATTTCTTCATGCTAAAAAATACAATAACCTTCGTCCCCAACCAGTCTTGGTAACCGAAGAACTGTTCGCAAGAGGAGGATACACACACCGACACTACGGACTCTGGATAAACGGGTCAGCTATAAGAATAATGCATCGAATAGGTGTAGGGGATACAAGTAAGAAGCACACTAAGTTGCATCGGACTACGCGAATGACATTCCTTCACCAAAACACTAATTACAGAGTGACAACTGGGGGGGAAATACAACACCACCTACGACACTCCAAGAACTCAAAAACACGAGCCAAAAAACCGTTGCGAGTACTAGGGACAACATCCAATAGTTTGGGCCCAGGAGCGTATGTACCTTCTGGCTTACGTTAATTCTTTATACTAGCTAACTAGCCAACAAGTCACGTACCCGCTGTCAAGAAGAGGCAGCCCAGCGGTAGAGAACAGAAACTAATCAATTCTTATGCGTCGCTTTCACATTTGACATTACACTCTCCTTGATGGTACCGAGGAACACCTGGTTCCCTTCGTTCCAGGTAGTGAATCCGCTGTCTCCTGCAACAAATCCGAGGTACGCGTCCAATCCCTTCTGGGGATTGTACACTTTGATGGATGTCAGGCAGTGCATGCACCAGAGAATTTTCAGGTACAAAGTGGTCTCAAAGTCGAACGAGACTGAGTGGTAAACAGCCCGATATAATCAACTGCATATATCTGCATTGGTTCGAGTGCCACAATGAACTTTGACTAATCTGGAGGCACAAGTTGACACTCTGGACAGATATGGCAGAATTCTTTGATGGACTGATACCTCCCACGTCTGAAATACCGTCCGATGGCTCTACCCAAGGTAATGCGGGCGGCAAAATGGCCATGTAAGTCGTGTAGCTCCCAGAGCACTTGATCTAGCTCTTCTGATAAGACGTAGACTTTCTTCCCGCAACATTCCATATCGACAATCAACCTCCCAACAAAACGTTCCTCGTTAGCCCAACACCAGAAATGCCACCCTCTGCCCCTAAACTCGAGCTTGTCCAGTGTGGCGTTACGCTCGACTCTAGCAATACTGTCATCGAAACCAAAAGGGTCATCCCCATACTCCCCAGAAATGAGTTTGAACCAGCATTTCTGTCAACAAGAACAACCTCCCTTTCTATCACATTGATGGAAAGAGAATCATTTCCCTGTGTCTAAACGACGGCACGACTCTGATTGTTTCTAGACTCTTTACAACACTCCCTTCCTTCCTATAACCAAAAAACAGAGAAACCGAACCATTAATTTATAGATCCTCAAAGGTACTCAAGTACTCCCATCGTTTACCCGAAAGGGTGAGTCGGAGAAATTCGCGTGCATAAAAGAACAGCTGAACAATACATTTAGATCCTTGTGGTCGACACTTTTCTATCCATAGCAATTTTCTCTTTCACATTCCAGAATATTGCATTTGCTGACTCATTAGATTTTCTCTTGCCCTGTGGTCATCACAGCTAGATATCCTTTCATCACAACACGCTCCCGAGTACGGAAGATACCACCAATAACCGTGCAACCAAAAATTACCCAGGCAAACCGAACAAGTAGAGAGTGCGATGATACTGAATCGCTCACAATTATAGCGTGCGCTAAAGCTATCGAACTGCTGTGCCATCAGAACAATGTTATGGATCATGTTCCGTAATACCATAGTATGCTGGGCTTATTAGCATCCCCCATAACACTGATTATGACATATTCTTCCAAGTTGTTGGATTTGCCCAAGGAAATGGGCGACCCATTTCCCTGCTTTTTGACGATATCAAATATCCGGTTATCAAGTTCTAGTAAATATCAACACAAAGACAGAGCATAATCATATACCCGCCACCCAACCAGTCTATAGCAAGTCAAATTATAAAAATGCTTACCTTTGGGTTTGTTCTGACATGGTAAGGCAAATTAGTCTGATTCCTCATGAAAACTTCAACGTAAAAGGAGTATAGCCCTAAATTGTACAACTCTGTGAAACTTTAACAGCACCCTATTCATTTGACAATGTCGGTTGACTTCCCTCCCTGCTGACACGAGAGGGATGACTTAAAAATCCATTCTATCGTCCATATCGAATCTCGATGTTTTATAGTATGAGTTGAAGAAGGAAGAATGAGGAAGAATATAGTATTTATAGCTGGGTAAGGACACTAGAGTACCATGTTGAAGCTTTCTATATGACTATCAGTCATGACTTCACTAGAAGCCAGGATTTTTTAACAGAACATAAATAGTCACTAAAGGCAGGAAGTGAAGATAGAAATATTTACAAGCTAAGCAACTAATATCTAATGCTATATTAACTAATTATACTAACATAAATTATTAACTATGAGCTAAAAGCTATACTGCTTAATTAACTGTCCCATGGTTAATAGAGCATTGAAGAAATTTCTAGTGCTATAATTTAATCCATAAGATCGAGATCGATGGTCCCAATTAATACGAGTTGATCTCACCATCACGAGACTGTCCACGTCATGCAATATGCAGGGCACAACACACTGAAACAGTGATCATCTGCTGGATCATCCTTACTGGCTAGGTCTTACTGCGTACATACGGAGTAAATATTCCATGCTCGGTGGTAAGAAATTTTAGAACTATAGTAAGCCCTAGTCTATCTACTCCGGAGTATGGGCCATATTAGGAAATGGCCGTGATTTGCTATCACTAAATCCATATGAGAAATTTTTGCGATAAAAAAGAAGAGAGGAGAAAGGCTGCATTTATTTTCAATATTATATTCTATTCTCTACGTATATTCTTATTATAATTAGTCGTAGCAAGCCAACCAACTCCAAGGTAATATTTACAAGCATCAATCAATTCCAGATCACCTCGGCCACGCCCTCCCCACCGCCTCGGAACTCGTACTCAATGATCGACTCTCCACATCCTGCTCGATCGCCGTATGGACGGTGATTCCACGCAATTCGACATCTGAACTGCATCGCCCTGGCGCATTCGTGCTGACCACCACCTTCTTGTTCGCTGACAATCCGTGCGGGTCACTGATCTTGTGGAATCCGTCCGGGTTCTGACTGGCACTGTGCATGTAGCGAGGCGTGCGTGAGGACCGAGTTGTCTGGCCTTTGACTCTGCCGAGAAATCCAGAGATAAGCGGCTTTAACACGGGAAGGCAGCCACATATGATGGCGACGTCGAGTTCGAGGGCGGTCCAGATGGATTCTTTAGCACTAGATGCTGGACAAATATCACCATCAGTAGAGCACTAAGCCAATAGAAGGGGATCCTACCAGCTAGATCATTGGTGTGGAAATGGTTGAATTCAATCACTCGTAGTAAGCTGAAGATGCAGACCCTGGTGATTAATCAGTTTGATGTTTTGTGTCAAAGTCCTACATGGTCAACGTACAGTGCTCCAAGTGAGAAAACAAAGGTCAAGGTCAGTTTCTGCTGGACCGTCATGTTCAGTCTCCAGACCACTGGCATCGGTAACAGCAAAATAATAATATCCTCCACCAAAGACAAACACGCCGAGGTCTGGAACAGCTTGGTCTGTCCGGCCATGCAGTGTCCGTTCAATCGAGTATCATAGTAATACTGGACGGGGGAACATTGAAAGATATTGCCCATGAGTTCGGTAAATGCCCACATGACCGTAAAGATAATCAGACAGGTGATTGCAATCCGGACAGGCCTCAGAGTACCCAACAATCGTCGCAGTAAGACCAGGATGGAGACTTTCACGAACGCCATGGACGGTGGCCAGAACTTCTGGATCATCCACGAGCCCTAGTCGGGTTGGTACAACTTCATTCATCAAATGGACACGACACAGCACTTACGAATTGCAGACGGATCCGTTCGTCCTGAGGAAGCTTGTCACCCGGGACTCCGACGCCATTAAAGGCCGCTGGTGATCGTGAGTCTGAAATCACCCAGACAAATGGACTCGTACTTACTGTAGATGACAAACGTGGTGGCACCGTAGGAAAGCACCAGTCCAATACCCATCAACAATTCCTCTAATCGCCATCCGACCGTGGCCGTACGACATGCTACCAGTCGGAGAATATAGACGATCGTCGCGATGCCTGCCCCGATCGCGGGAACGATCGTTACCACATTTCCCCAATATTCGTTGCGGATGGCCATAGCGAACGAACATCTGGGGAAGATGGTTCACGGAGGACTCCAGGTCAGGGAGGATATACGATGCACGGTCATGCCCACCATGATTGACTTTGCATTCCCCTGGAAGGTATCAGCGATGGTTCACTTCAGGCTTCGAATAACTTGGACGGAATAAACAAATTAAGCCCGTTGGGGCAATGCAACATCAGACCAGGGGCTGAATCCCTCACGAAATCCACTAGACTGGTGCGGCAAGGATCTGCCGATGCTGCATCCTCTTAAGGTACAAGGATGTCCCAGAGCCCTTGTCTTCCCAGCACATTGGTGGTTCTTTTTTTTTTTCTTTTGCTTTTCTTTTTTCTTTTTTGTTTCCTTTTTTTTCTATGGTTGGAATATGCCGCTTTCCAAGACTTTGTTGGCCCTGTTGGTCGTTCATCTGCTCGGCGTATCCGCCTCCTACAACTGTACCCTGCATAGCTTCAATGCCACTCTCGGGGGTCGTGTACAGCCATTGAAGCCGTTCTCCTCGCCGTGCTTCTCCCACTACAATGGCGTCGAGGCCACTGTGGATGAAGCTGCCTGCAAGGTGATCCAGAGTAACTACTCGGATCCTTTCCATCGTTCCAACTCGGACAATGGCTTCATGTATAACCAGGTGGAAATCTGCGCCTCCGATCCGCAAAATCAGTGTCTCCTGGATAACACGGACCCCACTAATCCCCAGGCACTGAAGGGCCCCTGCAACCAGGGCAACACGCCTTCCTACTCTCTGGAGGTAAAAACCCCCAAAGACGTGGTGGAGGCGCTCAGGTTCTCCAGCTGCTCTGGGACCCGTTTATCCATCAAGAACAGCGGTCACGACTTCCTCGGCCGCAGCAGTGGTCGAGGAACTCTCTCTCTGTGGACACGCAACCTGCAATCCATGCACTACAGTGCAACCTTCACCCCGTCCGGCTGCAAGGCGTCTTCCACTTACAACGCCATCACTGTTGGAGCCGGTGTGAACTTCGACCAAGTCTACAACTTTGCCAATGAGCACAACGTCACCTTCATCGGCGGATACTCACCCACCGTCGGCGTCTCAGGTGGCTGGGTGCAGACCGGCGGCCATTCCATCCTGTCTCCGGTTTACGGTCTGGGAATCGACCACGTTGTCGAGTACAAGGTAGTCACACCGGACAGTCATTACCGCATCGCCAATGAGTGTCAGAACCAGGACCTCTTCTGGGCGCTTCGCGGCGGCGGAGGCGGAACCTTCGGTGTGGTCATAGAAAGCACGCATCGTGTGGAACCCCGCATGCCTCTGATCTCCGCTTCAATCAAATTCCCCCAGAAGTCCGATTCTAGCAACGTACTCCCATTCCTAGACATCCTGGTCAACAATACGATCAAGTGGGCTCACGAGGGCTGGGGCGGCCACATCAACAGCAACTCATTCATCAACGTGACACCACTCCTTTCACTGGCCGAGGCCAAGGAGTCCCTCGCCGAAGTGGTCGCCTACGCTAAATCCCAGGGTGGCACCGCCGTCATCGAGAAATTCTCCTCCTGGTACGGCTTCTACGAGAAATATGTCGTCCCCAACTCCGTCAAAGTTGGCAACACCCATTTCGCAGGGACTCGACTGATTCCACAATCCGTCTTCGAGACAGAGGCCGGTCGCGCTGGTCTCATGAAATTCTTCTCCGTGTTGCTCTCCAAAGGAGGAAACGTGTACATCCCCGTGGTGGGACCCCTTCTCTACAAGAATCCCAAATCCACATCCGCGACCCCCGCCTGGCGAAACGCTATCTGGTCCCTCGGGGCTGACGGGTTCTGGTCTTGGAACAGCACCCTCAACACCCGTGAGGAAACCGTGGCCGAACTGCAGCATATGACCCAGCTTCTCGAGGACCTAACCCCCGGCAGCGGCGCGTACAGTCCCGAGGCGAACCCATTCACCCCGGACTGGAAGGAGGCCTGGTGGGGAGAGGAGAATTACGGGAAGCTCTTGACGCTGAAGAAGAAGTACGATCCCAAGGGATTATTGCACTGCTGGAAGTGTGTTGGATGGGAGGAGTCTGATGCCAAGAGTTCCTGCTTTGCGGCATTTGATTAATTAAACAAGACTGTACACTACTTCGTATATTACTAGACTATTGATAACCTCGCTTGTGTAAACTGTAAAGGATCCAGATCCGACAATTCCGAAAGGACCATTAATACGGGGTAGACTACTTCGGAGTAATAACAATTCTCGTATCAGACCCTGTGGATTCGAACTAATAACCCTCGTATGTTAGTCTTCCCACAATGCTCAGCGAGCCAAGATTGGCTCCTCAGCCAGAAGCCGATCCAAATGGCATCTCCCGCCCACTTGGCGTGATCCTTCCACATTTCCATCGAGGGATTCTCCGTAGGCAGCCGACCGCTTGGGTAGTTAAGAGTATCTATAAGGAGCACTCCATAAGTAGTAAGTTGGATCCTGCTGCAAAAAAAAACTAATTAGTTAACTAACATAATCGGTAAGCGAGTGCTGCACCCTTATTTCTACGCTTCCATTTTTAATCAAGTCATTCAACCACCACCATGCCACCAAAAAGACCTCCGAAAATGCTTTAAAGGATCAAGAAGACAGGATTACTATAGCCATTTCTGCATTTAAAAAGTCACAAATTCAGTCTGTTCAACAAGCAGCACAGGTGTTTCAAATATCTGAAAGATTACTACAACAACAGCCTTGTAAAGTAACTCCACGGTCTAAAAAACGCGCCAATAGTTATAAATTAATATTAAATGAGGAATTACTTGCACGATAGATATTATTATTAGACTGACGTGGAACACCTCCCCGACTATCTTATGTGAAGAAATAGCTAATATTCTTCTTGCAACGTGGCACCCCCTATTTAAACTGCTTAATACTAGTTGCTTTGGGCCACTAAAACACGCGTATAAAAACCTGGTTAAGAACAAGGCATATCTTGGCTTTAACTATATTAATAAACTTAATTTTCTTAAGCCTATCCCGAAACCTGTACAAAGGCTTTAAGAAGGAGAATACTCAGTATGGCTTTTTAGGAATGGCTTGGTTTCATTTAACTCAGAAAGAGCTCTTAAAAAGCTTAATATTCAACTAAAAAGTCCTACACCTCCAGGCAGTCGTTCAACCAATTCAGCGCGTAAATCACCTTATAATTCTCGGCAATTAAAAAAGCAAGCATCTGCAATAAAAGGCGCTAAAAGCATGTACACAAAGCCCCAATCTTTTCAGAAATATAATTAAACAAGATTATTAAAGGGCATGAAATGGTTCTAAATAAAGCTATTCTTGCATATCAAAAAGTAGAGGATTTACGAGCTGCAAATAAAACAGACTGTAAAAAAAAGGGAATCTAAGTGATATATACCTGCTACAGAGGGATTTTTTCCAAAATAGGCCCAGAATTATATACAGCAGCAGAATAAGTTCCAAGAAAGCTCAAGATACTATACCAATCGATAGAGGGCCATTTACAGTTCAGCGACGTGTACGAGCGCCACCACAGTGTTCTGGCTGTGGTATTCAGGGTCATAAGATCAATAAATTTCCTAATCAAAGTAGTAATTAGGTTTTATATAGAAATGCAGATTTTTAGGTGTTTTGTATGGCTTTCTTTTCACCTATCGGGAGAAGTGCGGCGCTCGCTTACAGTCCCGGTGTATAAGCACAATGATAAACATGGTTAATCAACTATAGAAACCCTGCCTATTATTACTGTACATTAACTTATGCATGTAACAGTAAGCAGGTTAATGCACGCTTAAATTCTCATCCATTCAAGCATATATCCTTGTTGGTTTAGTTCACTGGGTTCCGGGCGTAAGATGCGGCGCACTAATCTCTAATGTAACCTAATCAATCCAAAACCCATGTATACACTGCCTATAACTTATAGCAAATGTAATTTTTAGCTCTTGGTTAGATATCAATCAGGATCTGACGACTATTAACTGACAATTATGCTGGGTGTTATATTCCGAAGCATATGTACTGTAGGCATTATAACCATATCACAACATATACTATTTACGAAATATATTCTAAGTAATCTTTCAATACTATAACTGGCGAGCTAACATATACACTCAGCTAACTAGCATCCTCTATGAGGAACATAACATAGGGCTTTATAGCTTTATAGGAGTTTATTTCCCTTTTTGTTCTGTTACCAACAGTTTACAGAGTCATATACTGAGTATACAGAAAGGTTAGTATTAACATTCATTGTTTTCTAGGTTTGGCCATCCAAAGGTTGTTCAGAACTCCTGCGTATCTTTAGCATTTTTCATCTGACCTGCCACTTATATACTGTATCAACCAGGTTTATTTCTGTCCTCATAAGTTATTAACTGTCTTCTAAATCTAGAACCCTCAGATCTAATAGTGTTTCTGAGTTCGCTAGATTCTTCTGTGTGCTTTTCTTGTCGATATTCACATCGCGAAACAACCAGTGAGCAGGAATGATCTGGTTGAGTCTAATTTAAACAAATATTATCCTTCTGGAAATTTCTTCTTACACTATAAGAAGTACAGGCGGTATTTCTGGCTCCTATAAAGGGTATAGAAATTCCCTTGATACTAGCACCTTCCAGTGATCAACTACTTATTTTTGACACCAGCACTTAATTTAAAATTTTCACAGATATTTTTACTGCCGCTATTTCGTTCCATGTGTATAGGGTAGCAAGTTAGTCCACTGGTTTCAATATATACCATACAGAGCAGCGCAGGGGAAATATCTCTTGAGCCAGAACTATTGGTGGCTGCGATAAAACAGCAGCCTATCGTATGCATTTATCATGCATTGACAAATCCACCAATTGGCAGACTGGTTACTCCAACGTAAGCGGCTAAGGGTTGCCAATACTGGCAGGAGATGGGAACATAATAGACCACTCTAGCCGCCAACTAGATAGTACCGCATTTTGCTCCAGATAGATAAGAATTGAATTCCTCTATACCAGACACAAGGGTAGATGTCCCGTCAGATCAAAGCATAGTATGCTTCAGATTACACTTCAAGATTCAAAATTGTTTACTATATTTATTCCTACTGCTATTAATACTTTACGAGAAATCAACATGTCCACCCGCCCTCTCTGCCTCGTCACCACTCGCAATTCCCCATCTCAACGGGCGCATTTCGCAGTTTTTGTCCCATCCACAACGAACTCCAAAATTGGTACCACAATCCAGGTCGTTGGCGCGCCTATGGTGGGGTATACTCTCGAATTCAAACGGAACGATGCGCCGATGAACACCACGGGATCCTATACACAGGTCACGATAGGACAGGTCCATTCGGACCATGTTCGAGATGCGCCAAACGCCAATCCATTAACTAAATCTACGCCGATAAATGATCTCGAGGTCGCAGCGAGTCAAGTGCCGCCTCCCCGGATCAGCCAGAACTTTATGGCGCCGGTGAATGATGTGAGTATGACCGAATTGATCTTTGTATTGTTCCATTCTATGTTCCACCCTGATTCTTTCTGCCTCAGACTACCAATAAGAGATGCCAAGAGTGGACCATGGAATATGTTCGTCATCTCGTTGCCAAAGGATTCATTGCGCCGGAGGCAATTGAAATTGTCCAGTCGAAACGGGACCCGCCAACCCATGGAATTGGCCTGCTACCTGTTACATATTGACTGACCTGGTGGGTCGAGGTTAAGTAGTAAAAAATAAAAAAACCTATTGCATATTCTATGATAGTATGGGTTTAAAGAAGACTCGAAATGGAAAGTTAATGTGTTCTAAATGCTAAATAATTGGACTTGTTTTAGTGGTTTGTCTGGGGGCCTCTCTGCACAGTCAGCCTGGAACTATTTCAATATCTTGAAGTGGAACAGCTTCTATCTATATGGTAAGTTGAGGTAAATTGGACCAGTCATTCAACTATTTTAATTGTCTATTACTGGTGAGCCGTAGAAACAGAAAGGAGTATGGGAATAATATATACATTTATACAAGCTGTGATATATGTATATTCTTTTGAAAACCTTGGGGGAAGAAGCTATGTTGTGAGGTGCTAGGATAGCGGTGACTAGATAGTATATTGAAACTATCGTGCGATCTAGTATCGCTTGGTGAGTATATTCATCTATCTACCAGAGAGCGTAGACAAACACTTCCTTATGTCTACGTGTCCCTTAGCCCCTGAGTGTGATATATCAGATCGCTGCGGGACTAGGATATCCGAAGGTGCCTTAGGCATCTTGATTTCCAACATATTCATACTATAAATGTGAAAGGATGCAAGTTCATTTCCTGTTCATTGGACTAGACATACCAGCTAGATAGAAATGGGTATAGATCTGTGTCTGCTGGATAGAGCAGATATATAATTAGTTAATGATTGATTCTTTGCCCCAGTAGAGCCGATCAGATAAGCCACTTATATCTGCAGCAACAGCAATCTATTAGCAGCCTCTATTTGTTCGGTTTACATCGACTCTTTCAGTTCAGGCGTGCAATCCCATTCAGTTCTGTTTCATGCCCAATTGTTGTTACACAAAAAGGTGCTAGAATTATCTAGGCAAAGTTTTTGCCTGGGCCTCAACCAGGTCTCCATGGTCTAGTTGGTTTTATGACGGCGGTCTCATATTTAATTATGACGGCCCTCTCAACGGCTGGTTATCCGCAGGTCACGAGTTCGATTCTCGTTGGAGGCATTTTTTTTGCTTTCTACTCTCGGCAGAGTTAATATATATTCCACCGGACGCTATTGTTTTTATCATTGCTATTATTATTCGTTTCTAAATACCTAATTTATGTCCCTTCTTGGGAATTGAGAGTAATCTTGCCGGTGATTGCATATGGTCAACAACAGTTACTCCAATTTCTATAAAGTCGATGCGGTTGTATTGTTCTGGTCTATATAATTGATGCTCGCTTAATGCTGTTCTGCGAGGATAAATTTAATAGATTGTCTGGTGGACGGATGAGCCTCACTCTTTGAAGTATCACTAGTTATTGAACAGGGCTGTGTGCATTTCTGACATGCCAGTGCTGCCCCTTTTTCTCCTGTCTTGTAATGCTTGCACATGTGTAGTTGCTACATATCCAAATCCAAATATGCAGCAGGAGAACACAGAGACCAACGCAAGCAGTCTTTTATTTTGGAGGATCAAGATAATTACTTTCAAGCTGTCTCCTCTTACTCCACAACGCATGCTCCTATACCTTTGATGTCACTGGTAGCTTAAACGTGCGGGTCAGATTGCTTTAATTCAAGCATTGTGGGCGGAGTCGCACAGATGGAAGGAGTAAGAAAAGGTCAATTCATAGGAATAGGTCTACGAAGTGCTCCATACAGCTCAGTGTGGTTCCTATTCTCCGAAAAGGAACCATAAAACAGAAGCAACAAAAAATGCCTCCAACGAGAATCGAACTCGTGACCTGCGGATAACCAGCCGTTGAGAGGGCCGTCATAATTAAATATGAGACCGCCGTCATAAAACCAACTAGACCATGGAGACAATTGGTTGGAAAATTTTTGCTCTAAAGTGCCACACAAAAGGAATGGATATTCACTATTTGAAAGGGATGGTATGCAGGCGGTGGAAAGAAATCATGGGCAGCCATTTCTCGGCACTAACGTTTGAGTACTTATACTAGCTACAAATCAAAGAGCTCTAGCAGCTAACTACTCCATACTATTAAGGGATTTCTCCAGGGAATCTGATTGGCATAGAGAACAGACAGGATGTTACGGTCATTGGAGTGACGGGCGGATTGCAACTCAGTAGAAATATCTTCATTCTCCGAGGAGACGAAGTATAGTGTTAGAAAAAGACTAAGCGTAGCCATCTGTCAAATAATATGGCCGTTGGTGGACTAGAATCATGTGACTAGATCGGGGTAAAACCCCCGCGGAGCACACAACAAAATAATCATAAAGAATAACCAAGAAGAGAATTTACCAATCGTACTCTATTTTCCTCTTCGGGACTAGCTGTATGTCTGACACTATCTGGTGGTAGGGAAGGCAGTTAGTTTGGGTAAGCAGAGAGCTATTGTGTAGGGGCATGAGTATAGAAAAATATCAATTTTACAGTTTAATTGCGGCACTACCAACAAGTTCTTCTCCTTTCCGTTTCCTTCCTTTTTTTTTTTTTTTTTTGAAATGACCCCAAACATAAATGTCGCGTTGAGCTAAATTGAGTTGAGCCGTTTCCACCAGAGTAGGTTGAAGATGTCTTCTGGATTATGGATCTGGGAAATAGTATTATTATAGCAATACAAAGTTTTGTTAGCTTCGTCTCCATGGTCTAGTTGGTTTTATGACGGCGGTCTCATATTAGTACATGACAGCTCAACAAAGAGTTGGTTATCCGCAGGTCACGAGTTCGATTCTCGTTGGAGGCATTTTTTTGCCCTTTATTTGACTTAGGATAAAGTACCCTACCAGTGTCAGGGCTTGCAATGCAATTTTGGATCATATTTATGTAGGATGCAAAGTTATAACTAGAGTAGGTCGCTTGACCAATGGCAAATAGCCGTAATACAAGGACGTAGTCCATAAAACGCTGTTTAATTTCAAATCCAGATCATAGTACTGGTATTGATCTTCACCAGAAGACGGAATCTATACTGGCCCAGAGCTATATTCATCTTATTTTTACCACCACTTTCTTTCTGGACGGCTGTAAGTCTGTACTCTCATTTTCATTTACCAGTCCCAATTTGGTTGCTTCGTGGAGTTTCTTCAACTTGGTTGGAATTTTTTTTTCTTTAAGTAGTAAATATCAGGTCGGAATATAAATCGGTCTTCCCGTCCAAATAACTATAGAATACTGAGAGGGGATAAGTAGGACATAGCCATCAGGATCCGAACACGGGTCAGGTAGGAGAAGGCGGGCGTGTTGTTGTTGCTATTCAATGATGAAGAATATCTGTAGTTGATTAAACTCCAGTGATGTTCATGGGGAAATCACCGCATATATATATATTGCAGAGCACTGTATCTGCTCATAGTCGCGTAGAGTTCTCTTCGAGAGCAACTATCTTATATCGTCCTTCCAGCCCTGTTCTTCTAGTGGAACAAAAGTTGTCCAGTTTAATTGTTCCTAAGGGAAATTAGGAACTGCGTTGCATCTGACGGCAGGCCTCCTCGCGCATTGGGAGATTGGAAGTTGTATGGTGTTTTCCTAGTGCAGCATGATTCAGCAGGATCCTACTGAGATTATCGGTCGTATCGAATCAGCATCCCAATCCAGTAGAACTTCAGCAATGCCAGCGAGTCCGTCTCCTGCAGCATGCGTTAATGACGTCTTTCCATTGGTCATCCTTTGCCTCGATTTGAGCCCCATTCTGTAGGAGAGGCTGCACCACTTCTGTGTGCCCACCCATTACTGCAGATATGAGCGGGGTCGTTTGGCAATGTCCTTCTGTCTCAAACTCCGCACCTTTTTCAATGAGAAACCAAACTATTTGGATATGACCAGCCTCTGAAGTAAGGGTTAATAAGGATTTCTGTGTAAAGTTTTCTTCCGGGTTTGGCCAACAGGCGTGAAAATCACAAGGGCTTCAATGTCCGTACCGAAAGTTATAGACAAATAGAGCATTTTAACACGACCGGCTGTTGCAGCCTGACGCAACAGGTTATCAAAAGCTGGTCGTCTACTTCAAGGAGGTAATCCCTCGAAGTTATTTCCCTTAACACCTAATAGCAGATTGTGCACAAAGACGTCCATGATGGGAGGAATAGCGAGCAACGAGATATCGGAGCCGAAACCAAGAATTGCATCGTCGAACTCTCGGCCCATAATACTCCCCATGACAATACTAACTGCCCCTTCTCCCGACATCATCTTTTCCACTCTAAAGAGGTCCTTCAATATTTGAGTCATAGCCGAATCTACGAGCTCTGGATATTTTGAAACTGGGTTTCTAGGGCTCAGTCTGCCTAAAAACAGTCGATGATCTGATAAAAGATTTTCGTTCCGCAATGCAACACCCTCCTCGCACCGCCCCATGAGACGGAGGATGTATGCCAAAAACTCAACCGACTAAACATACAAGGGGTGTCCTTGTCCCATTCACTCGATCACCTTTCTCGTGTTTAAGCCTGCCTGGCACTATTAGCCTCGCTGAACTCTTAAATCCCCAGTTAAGCCTTGGCAAGGAGATGTTGGATAGCGGAACCACGATGTATGTGGATCTCTGGAGTGCTTCTCAGGGAAAATTCAGTAGTTCGATTGCCTGATCAAACATGTGCCCTGAGAGATAATACTCTGCTAGGGTCAGCCTTGATTCAAGTTTGAGACTGGTAGAAGTGAGACACTATTTCAAAAAGGACCTTGCGGAGCCAAAATCTTTCTTGCAAACTAGTCTCCTGATATCACGAATAATATGACGTTCATCCGTAGTCGTTTCCGTTTCCCTGAGGTTCGAAGCGCTCTGCGTTCCCGGTCGAGGTCGTACCAGAATTGGGAGCATCTGAGCACTGCTTGTCTGATGGAATAGAATGCAGATTTCTTTCCTCATCCCTGGTCCTAGTATATATTTGAATAATAAGAGTTAATTTCTCTATGTTGTCGATAATATCATTCATGTTGAGGAGCTCTAGATGCGGGTCGTCATCTGCTATCTTTCCTTTCTCCAACTTTCTACCATATGCGGTTTCAACTCAGTTACATCGATTTTTTTGATAGCTGAACCACTAAATGACCTAAAATTTGAACGTAGATAGAGGGTAAATGGACTAGAATACTTACCCAGTCACTGCCTCCATAACAAGCGTTACAGCTCCATAATAAGTTTGAATTCCCTGAGTCCACCGAATCGATACCCGATAAACTACAGTCTGCAGTATTTCCGAAAACTGTGTGTAGTTGCTCCAAAGTGAGCCTGCAGTTGTTGAGAGTAGTATTTAACATTTGCATGACGTTTAATAGCTCATTCGAGTTCGGTTCTAGATGAGATGACCGAGTCTCCAGAATGATGCTGTCGTGTTCGATATGGAATTGAGTGCGCTGTCGACGTTAGTATGTGGGGAGGTTGGAGCTCCATTTACCGGACTCTATCCAACAGTTCTCGGAGGGCATTTTCGTCATCTTTCGTTGTGTCAGGTTAGGTATGCACGGATTGAATGACGGTTGTGCAGTTAGCCGATGCTGAAGTGGCAGTGGAGATAAGAAGCTCCATTGGGCGATAGCGATTATAGTGTTAGTATGTTCTGTAAAGATAGATAGAAGGATTAGATTTTAAAATCAAAGATTGTCTAAGTACAAGAATTCCAAGTAAATCTATCAGTGGCAACTCCATAAACCGAGATGTCCTGGACCCCGGGCAGTTTTCCCGCGTGGTGTAACATGGCTGTTGATATTAGTAAATCTTTTGTAATTGGGATAGATTTCAGGGCTTACCTATGTATGTTAGGGCTTGATATTCTCCGAATTCTCCCCGCTGCTTGGCCATGGAGACTAGAAAGTTGACCTCTAATAAACAAGGTCGCACAAAACTGTACCTGGTTCTGGGTACAATAATAGTAGACTTCGGTGCAATATACTGTGTCTATGTTGCACTTGGCCTTATGCTTTAACTCCAATTTCCAAGGGGCTGGTGTCCAAAAAAATTGGAGACAAATAACTATTATCAGTATCATAAATGGCGGAATCACCGCTTCCAGAAGCTGGCATCCTTGTTACTTTCCCTGGGTTTCCATACCAAAAGGAATAGTCCGTCTTCTCAGATACATAATGTAGGCCCCGCCGCGTGAGCCTATGGTAATTTTATTTCCCTGAATTAAAAGCGCGTGTAGAAGACCGAAGATGCGGGACGGCTGGAACTTTTGACCCTTTTCTGGGCGGCCAGTGTAGTTAGAAGAATCGCATCAATTCTGGACCCCATGTGAATTTCATTTTGGGGGAGACTCGAGACACGGTTGGTAGCAAAGCTAACATGATTTGTAGCCATTCTGATAGAGACTTTCACTCCCAACGCCTTCCTCGAGATTGACAATGACAGCTTCAATGTACCTAGGTGCCCGATTGAAAATAAACTTGAGATGAAAATCATCCCCGGGCTGGGGAGCCTTCGGGTCGGGATGTTGAATTCAAGAGATCGTTTCTGCACTCTGAGTGTACAGCGAGCAAGTTTCTCTTTACCCACCTCTCCCCCTTCGGGGTCCAGATTCGACCACAATACCAATTGGCACTCCGTCTGGCTCGGTATCCAATATCGTTCAGCAGTGTATACCACGGGTGAAATCTAAAATCGAAATTTTGATACCCTCTTCAGGAGTATGGCTTGCTCGTAGAAACAGCCAAATTTACACCCAGAGATGTCCTTGTACTTTACTACTTGACTTTGCAGAAACATCAGCGGAAGCAAAAATAAAAAGAAACACAAAATCTTCAGAATATTTGGTGTCAATTTACCAAGGATTTTACCCAACTCATCAATCTGCAGGCCATTGAGCAAGGTATTCCAAGGGGTATTTATATACCCTAACTAGATGAGTCTGTCAATTCTGAAGGTAGTTGATGTTGATTCTCCTATACTGCTTTTACTTTCTCGTCTCTGTTTTCAAGTAGCACCGGCAGTTGCTGATCAGAAATTTAGTGCCCACTAGGCCACCAGACTAGAAAATTTAATTCACTGTGAAGTAGTCTTCGAAAAATATTCCTTTCAGCGTAATAGGAAAGAATCCTGATCTCTTCAGTGGAACATCCTGCCTGTTTAGTTTCTTGGACTGAGGTCGTAGCCATACAATGTAGTAAGGGCAAACAGAGACGTCGCGCTCTTCTGACACCCAGCAATCCTAGCCATCTATTTTTTTTATAAATGACGAACCTCAATGGAACGAAATTTACTGAGGATATCTACAGCTGGGGTTCAAAGACTGTTCTAGATAAACCGGCGGCCAAAAAGGGTAAAATCTTTGTGCAAGTGGATCAATATAAGAGCGGTCTAAATAGATGGTTGTTGGACTGGGTAACTACTAGTATATAAATTAGGGTTTTAGAGATAGTAGGAGAATGGTTTGCGAGAGTGGGTGAATGTATGCGGACGGTGCTGATAAGAGAAGAGTAATAGCGGAAATGCTATGGAAACATGACATCAATGGATGGCATCACTCATTCAAATTTGTAGTGCTCATCACGAGATTAAGAGGGGCAAAGAGCCGCATACCTACCCATAATAGCACCACTTTCATTCTCGATAAATAGGCACTCCAAATCATGCAGAACTCCCAGGAAAGCGAACCTATGGAGAACAAGAAGAGAGAGATTGTCGGCCACTTTATGAATAGCCTCAAACTCTCTCCCAGCACGGAAGTGGAAGAAGAAAGGCTGTGGCATATAGAACAGGATGATGAAGCAACTCATCTTCCAGACAGTTTTGGTTCGTGCTCACTACCAACGAGAGATTCCAATTCTAATAAAATTCCAGAGCCCCTAATGGCAGACTATACCCAGGCACTTAATGCTGAAACCCACAAAGAGAGATTAATTCAACCTAGACTGGATTCTATTTTGCTTTTGCTATTAGCGGCAGTGAAGAAAATGGACCAGATCAGTGAGCATGAGATATCTGCCGGCGAATCAACACTTAGCTGGGATGAAGCTATTCAGATCTCTGGAGCACCCTACTGGGGCTTCCAAGAAACATTCACCATTCCCCACATTGTTGGTTGGAAATCTCATACCTTGGAGACTATAGTTAACTATGTTTTATGGTATGGGACTCGGAGAAACTTGGAAACAAATTTGGTCGTTGTCAGGTGTGACACCATCATGGACAGTGAGAGCTGGCGGGCTCTGGCAGCTATGTGTAAGTCTATCTATATATATATAAACTACGAGAGTAAACTGACGAACTAACAACAATGTTCAAACAGCAATCGTCCATCGTACCCGAAAAGATGCTGGCAAAAACGGAGAGATCTATGGAATCTGTACAGATAGCTACATGTGGACTTTCTTGCACTTCAGTGACCATAGTCAGGTACGTTTTCATCTCTGGGAGCATCAGCATGTAATTAAACTACTTCTTTCTGTGAAGGTCTCCAAATTAGTTTTGCGCTGGAGCGATGGCCAGCAGAAAATTATCAGTCAAATTTGCAAAATCATCAAACAAGCGACCATCCACAATGCAGAACGATTAAAATATCCAGCCCAGGAAGATGCTATTCTAGACAAAACAGGGGATGCAGAGGCTATTCAGCATGAAAAGGAGGAGCAATCAGATGATGATGTTGCAGATTTTTTGTGGGTATAGTGGCTGCATTACGATTAATTCTAGATTCTAGTAGTTGGGGTAATCTTTAATAATGCAATTCAGCCCTTTTTTGGCTCCCTTCCACAGTTCTTATAATCCAGAAGCATTGCATATTGAGATGGAAAGTAATTATTCTAACATCCGTCACCTTTTCGGATGTCAAGTACAGTGTAGCAGGCTAGATACAGAAGTCACTTGAAAATCATGCCTAAGTTCCCAGTGGTCTCTCAGCTACCTGGGAAAATGTCTTAATGGTTCCTTGGGTGTTGAGCCTTTCGATTTGACAATTACTTAACATGATGCAGGTGATTAAGAAGACGAGAACGGATCGTAGTTCTCTGGTGCCCTTGGGAGACAGATCAGTGGCTTCTCGATCGTTGGATTGCCCGTCGTAAACTGCCTTTGTTAAAATCCCATTAAACGCGGAGTGCTTCACCTCCCTCAGCAAAAGATACATTTTTATGGAACTGTGGCTCAAGGTCTCCATCATAGACTTGTAGTTGTCTGTAATTGTTGCCAAAAACAATATATAATAATGGGAACCGATACTTAAGTCATACACGTAGTGGAGATGTCGACTTGTATGTACGGAAGTCAAGTTAATAATATACTTATTTATCTCCGGGTTTGCCCTCCTTCACAGGACCTGTAGTCGATTTTTGAGTCGGCAGAGATGAGTTCCTCAAGAACCTGAAGGCCTTAATCATAGAGGAAGGTCTTGGTGTTCGGCAGTCTGAACTTCAGCGGGACGTGATGGGTGACTAGAGCGTTCATAAGTGAACAACCCCAAGCCCATCCATCATTCCTCCATTTCCTGCCTAATGAATGCGTGGCCCCTAACAATCTCCCCAATGGGGTCTTAGAATTTCTGCTTCCTGGAAACAAAAGATCTGAACGCGTTTCTGCAAACAAGGCTTCGATTGCCATGCCTCTTAGATTCTTGTCTTTTGGCCGTACTACTACTCGTATCTGCAAAGACGGTGTGCTGTTATTACATGGGCAGTTGGATAAAAAAAAAAAGAGAATTTTTTTAATGCATATCTGTAGTTATATAAAGACAACACATCGCCTACGTAAGACCCAACAAGTCTATTACATAATTAAAAACATCATCTACTCCGAAATCATGTGCCGAGTCCTTCAGAGCAACTAAAACTTCAAACACCTGCCTCACAGTGACATTGCTTCGCTGAACCTTTGTTGCGAACTGGTAAAGTTCTTCTCCAAACACTTTTTGCTGCTGCAAGCCGGCTAAAATGAAACTAAGAACCGGAACTTGGGCCAGACTTGCTGCACACCACTGTAATAAGCACTTAATATACTTGTTTCCTCCGAAAGCTCCGCAGGCCCATAGCCCGGTCACAGTGTAACTATAAGGGTTACCTCTACTATAGAAGCCGTTGTATTCCTTAACGATCATCTCCCGTGACAGTTAAGAGGGAAGGCGAATATCTGGAATCAGAGAACTGTCTTCCATACAAGAGACCCAGTCCTAAAGCGTCCATAAATATCATAGTTAGGTATTCCTTATGTGAGAATCTCCTGTTGGATGGTTTAAAGACGGCAAAACCTCGCTGAGTTCTGCCTCCCGGCTGTAGCCTTGGATTGACACAATTGCTTCCGCACCAAAACAAACCAGCACTTGATTATCAGTAAAGTGGCTGGGCTAGTAGCACGGTAGGATAAGCTTCCGGGGAAATGCCGACATGCAGCTCTTCTTGTGCGCCTGTTGGACCATAGCCGAAACATCTATTTGCTGAATGACATGCGCTCCATGTGGGAGGGCAAGATAGGGAGATACAGTCTGGGATCGTAGGAAAATTGGCTCAATTGAGGTCAAGGAAAGATTAACACTTTTGGGTTTCATTGTTGATTAGCTGATCAGCCATATTGTCAGTAATTGATCAAATTGTGAATGTGATAGGCCATTCATCAAGCAAAAATTAACCGGGGATTTCTGACGCTCTAGGCGTTGTTGAAGCCGGACAAAAAAGGTAAATAAAGCCGTCATATAATACGCACTCACGGCAACTGCATGGGCTGCATTTGACAGTGAATACCAGGGACGCAGGTCAACAAAAGTTTCCGTGTCCCAAGGCTGAAGGGGTAGAGAAATCGGTGAACCACAAGGCAAGCAATTTGTCTACGCGAGAAGGCAAATTCTAGCAAGCCATTTCCTTCTACCAAGGCGATTTGTGGCAGCGCTCCCTCGGGGAAGAGTGCCGCATTTCCAAAGCTACGTCAACTAGAAGTGGCCAGGTTCTGGTGAACAGCCGGACTCAATAGGCTTTTCATCATGTGGTGTGCGGCCAGAAATTCGCGAAACGCGATAGTCTGAAGTACTTCAAAAAAGGGACGTGATATCATGGATAGGAGTTTCCTCGCTATTTAGAATAGCGATGAGGTCCCAAAATGGTATTTCGTACTCGTCGGAGTCAACTAAATCAAATCGATCTGGGCGTTGGATAGTAGGAAAGTAGGGTACAACAAAGGCGCTGTACCATCCCTACTCATAAAACGGGAGGTTTGAGTCGTGATCAGAATGAATGAGTCGAATACTGACACGCTGCGTCAAACCATGTTACGGAAACACTATAATCCGCCCGACTTGGCGGTGCGGAGTATCTGACGATCGATTCAACCCCTGAATCCTTTAGATGAACACCTCAATGAGAATATAGGGAACCGCTTAGTGGGCTCAGTTGGTTGAGACACTGCGATTCCTGGTGTTTCCACTGAATGACATCTACTTCCTAATTGGGCTAGTTGGCCTGTAGCTGATAGAATAGCTCCCTACGCCCCATTTCCCCTGAGTTCACAACAAACCATAGAAGCAATAGTTGGGAAATGAATTATTAAGAAAGATACTGAAAGAGATTTTGATGAATTGGCTCAGTTCTCGCACATCTCGCGTATTCCTCCCCTTGAACTTGTTTTTTTTTTTGAACCTGTCACTCGTGAGCTTCATCTAATTCCAGTGTCCCTTTCATCTATTTACACCTTTCGAATTCAGGTTAGTATTATTTAATCCCGCCAGGGAGACGGGAGACGAAGACTTGTTGAATTCTGGAACTTACTATCATGTTTCTGCTCCCCAGAAAAGATTGAAACTTAGAAAAGAGTAGTCCTGGGCAAGAGACTTTGAAATATATCGACCAAAGTGGGCCAATATTACCCATTATTCAGCATCCGCTCGGTCCGACTTTATTCCTTTGTTTTCATCCTTTTTATCCAGCTCTCCGAGATAGATTCAGATAGCTAGAGACCTTAGAGACCTCATTCTTCAATGTAGATCCATATTATGATTATATGATTGGTGATACTAGCTCATACGCGTATTTAGCTGACCGACATATACCAATGTTGCCTATTTTGTAGGAAAATTTCCGGATTATTGTCAGAGTAAAGCTAGTCCATATTGGGGTGATCATGTAAAGTAATAAAAATGGCGTGGCTATAAGCCGTCCCTCCAGAAGACGAGGAGTACTGTCAACACATCATCTTTCTAAATACAATCAATTCAGACCTATAATCAGAATCCCATAGAATCTGACAATTATTGTCACGGCCTAGTAGCAAATTCAATCTATATAATAGATTTGGACTAAGAGAACTCGCTGAGGAGCTTCTGGCTAGGGCAGCGATGGCGAACAGGCGCGAGGTAAATGAGATCACATAATCGTGAGAGTTGTATTACACGACCTTGCAAGTGGTTGCAAGTGCCCATTATTATACGGCCTCGAGCACTTTGTGGGTAGTTAACAGCCCGCTACAATTATTAATGGTTGTTGGATAGTTTTTTTGTAGGCCTAGTTCATATTACTTTACAATTTTAAAAAAATTGTAAAGACCTGGCCTATTGGCTCAATGGTAGAGCGTCGGTCTCCTAAACCGAAGGTTGTGGGTTCGAGTCCCATGTAGGTCGTTTTTTTAGTTCCCTCGGAAACTGAACCATCAAAGCAAACCGAGATGAATATAAAAAGCTCCACTGGACTAAAAGGGGTATTGGGCTTAGCGAGCTCAGGTATATATCACCTGTATATATTAACATAAGAACGTGGTGGACTGTGCTGTAACCAGAAGCGGCCGTACCCAATAATAGAAAATCATTAGAGATCTCCGACAAATCCCAAATCAACTCAGAACACATTTAAAAGAGGGCTAGGAAGAAACGTAGATATATAAAAAAAGCGGAGAAGCAGGTGAAGAAATTGAAAAGCAAAAAACACCCTCGAGCTCGTAAAAATGACGCACCCTGTGTTCAAAGTCTCCGAGCCGTCTCGTGGCAAACTAAATTAAAATAGTTCTTGACTACTCGATGTTATATGACTTTGTAAAAGGCCGCTGGCTCTTAAATACTGTCGGGTTACTACGAAATGCCTTAGAAAACGAAGAGAACAACTTAGCATATGAAAAGAAGTGTTTGGGACAGAAACATTTGGGAAAGTCAGAGAAATGACAAAAGAGTGGGGAGCCGTCTTTAATAAATAGTATTAATGGGCAAGCTTCCCAGTTCGTCATCGATAATGTCGTAAGATATTATATAATTCTCAAATTGTAGATGGTCAAGCATATCCGTGGATATGCCGGCTGGCCAATGGACATTGTTTGCGTGGAGACGTGCAGTTTGCCAGCACCATTTAGATAACTCTTCCTTCGATCACAGGAGAGGAAACCAATATTTTGAGGCAATCCTTGGGACACTCTGTTCCAGAAGCATAGATAACAGGAACTCTACCCACCGTCTCAAGTCAGCCTAGTTACGTCTTCCTACCTGTGTAATCTGTTGACGGGGGATTGTGGGGAAGACGCTGAAATACTATTAGAATTTCATGTAGACTAGAGGCTAAGGAGTAGACTTACCAATCTTTTGTCTCTCTTTCTTACCTTCCCCGGCTCCGAGTCGTATGCATAAATCGCAACAAACCTAATTTAATATACGTTTGGTTTGCTCTTAGGTATTCTGATTTAATAAAAATAACTATACTAATATAGCCCTGCGAGCCTTAAATAAGAAAATTTGCGCCTTCCTTTAAGAAAATCGAATGATTCGGAGTACCCAATCTCAAGTGCGATTATAGGCCATATGTTATCATCAGGGATAATACAGCGTCCGGTGTCGATAATCCTGGCCTCCCTATCGGTATCACTGATATGGGCGGACAAGCCGTAAAATATCTTTATTCGTGTTGAAATGACAAATCGGCATAAGTGACCCTTGAGATAAGTTGGTGCTCGAGCAAGGATGGTATAAAGAGATACTATGAAAATGGTAATCACCTAGATAGACGCCAAGTGTGTGTGCTTTAGTATCTCAGGGACCGTGGAATAGTTAATTGGTGGTAATACATTTATATCTCTGGTCTATTCTCACTACATACTATCAGACAGTAACATCCTCGATTTCAAAACTAAGAATCAAGAATGCGATAGGATATTTCCATAACTAAATTAAAGTTAGCAGTTATTATAGTACTATTCTAGTAATATAAAAAGCAGTCCCTTGGACAATTCATTAGACCAGTTGAGGAGATGCCTAATACTCAAAGCCATTGTTTATACTTATTGTTCCCTGGCAACTAAGTGACAGTCGGACCTGAAATGAATGTTGCTTACCCTAATCCATTATTCCTTAGAAAGGACAACAACAGCGCTATGAATCAAAGTTTGATTGACGTATTAAAGTATTTAAGGGCTATCTTCTCCCCATTTCCCCTTCCACGGCTATTCTCTGTCAAAATATCGGAAGAATTATCTAGCCTATCTAGAGCCGGTACGATTTTTAGTACAGTGTAATTGCATACTCTCTGACTATCCTCCCTAGAGTGGTTAGAGCTCCAAGCATTCCATGCCAAAAATGTGAGGCTCATTCTCTGCACAGCATTAATTGCCTGTCGAAAGATGCTTAGGAACTTCGACCCGAAGGACGTCATGTTGAAGAGGATTCCCAAATGACAGAGACGGTTTTTGTCTAAGCTCTCTGATTGGTTTCTCGCGTCCTGTTGTCAAAATTATACTTAGCGCAGACGCTGCCCAGCTTCCACACACCATGATTCCCATTGAGCGTAACGAGGCTTACGAGTCCGAGATTCTGTCCCTATTTGAGAGGTTTCAAGGAACGGTCGTTCACATGTCCCCTAAATTATAATTCTTTTATATTATGCTGAGGAAAGGAATATTCTCCAAAGACTATTTTGCGACAAACAGAATTTCCAGGCATCGAGATTTTGAGTGTTGATGGCGCCCAAGGCAAGACAAAACAATCGTCAGCGCCTCCACTAGCCGTCCAGATGCTAGGCTTTGTGTAGCACTTAGCAGAGCCAAGGATGATTTTTGTCATCAGCCACCGAAATATGGGTGGGAGCAGTGGGGGTCGCACTGTGGAGAAAGATGCAAAGAAGGTCCGCATGGACCAGCACGATCTCCTCCCTGACAGAGAGACTGGGCTTACTGAAGTGACAACTATGGTATTAAAAAAAAAAGGGGCAATGCTCCGAAGAAGGCTGCGAAGAACGCAGCAAAAAGGGGAAGTTGATAGACCACTATCGCGCACAGAATAGGATAGTTTTCCTAGAGTTGACAAGCTAACTGTTGAGAAATCAGTGAACATCCCAGATGAAGGGAGCCGTAAGAGGCTATGAGGTATATTCTACCAGTGGATGCTTCTTTTATGACGCTCATGACCCCCAACCCGGGACTTCCAGTCCCAGGAGGCTATGCTTTCTCCTACACTAAATTAAAATTTAGAAAATAAAGAAAATTAGGCTGGATGGTACACTCAGAGGTCCTTCCCATCAGCAGCCTCCTTTTGCATTGTTGTTATCGGCCGTGTGGATGTCAAATGAACTTGGGCATATGCGAGATCTCCGTTTCTTGTCGTTGCGGAGCCCCTACTTGCAGACTCGTGTTGGTACGTACAAGTAAATAAATATAAATTCAATAAACAATATACAGATATTAACTATAGCCGCCGTGCGGGGCTTTGCTTTGCCCTATCAATTTTTAATTAAATGGAGCAAACTTGGCGGTAATCGCATTAAAGGGGAAATTCACATATACGGACGACTTCCAGCAGGTGCTATTAATCAGTTGGATAGGATTGATATATTCTAATACAGCCAGGGAGCAAACCTGCTGATGTATCGCAATTGTCTATGGCACGACTTCGAGCGGCGGCGGAATATCATTGAGCTTATTAGACTTGAGAGTTTCCACATGGACTTAAGACAACGGAATGAGCTTTGACCTAGAGCTTATTTAACTATTAATCACGTTAATGCAGATGGGTACGGCTGAGCGGAGGACGGGAAGCTCTATTTTCCACGCTCTGTACTCGTATATGCGGGACTGTCTAGTTCGTGGGAATAAAGCAAAGACTGAACAAACTCAGTAGGGCAGGAGTAAGAGACGGACGGCACTATGTTCTCCGTACAGAGGAACTAAAGGACAGAGTGAGTTAGTGAGAGTCAGATATCCACTTTTGGAATGAGTAATTTATGGTATGGTAACGTTGTATAAATGAGACATGGAGTTCCCTAGTCTATTTTTTAATACCTGCAGAGAATTTACCCCATACGATTCATTGCCCGAGGTGAGAGTCCATTTGAATAGCCTAGTTTAGCATCGGTACTTGTCAGAAATATATGGATAATTTTATGAGAGTTTGAATAGTCACTGTGTTCAGGATTGTGCTCTGTTTACCCTCTGGAGCCACGGCTTAAATAACTAGCCACTTCACTTTATTACTTCACATGATGTCCCAACATAGACTAGCTTTATTCTAACAGCACTCCGTACAGGACAGCCACCATGTAGTATACCATAGAACTACACTTTCTCCAAATTCTCTAAGAGGTTCCTCCAATGATTCGGTGGTATCAAGAACAAATGTACCATACTCTTACCTATCTAATATCATTCATTGTCCAAACTATTCAAAGAACAGCCCACATCTCCTCGCCTCGAGTCGATGATTCCTGTGCTCGTTACATAAAATGTGTTCAACCCGAAACCTCCGTTTCTGAATAGAGCAGATCCCGGTCGATTCCCGTACCGACCGAATCCCGTTCAGCCCACTAGTAGGGTTTGGTAGGGCTTAGCGTGTCTAGATTAGCCCTCTTGAACCTGCTGGTCTGGTCTTAATTAGAACCCTTCTCTGCTAATTATCTACTGGGTAGCGTTCACGCTGTTGCCTGTTCGGCATAGAATCCTTCGTAGAGAATTAGACTGGGACTAAGTGCTGTATGTCTCTGATTGCACTGGGATAATAAATATAGCCTCAAGACTAATCCTTAGAATGAAATCTGATTCGAAAGGTTCAGACCTCGGGGCTAAATATACCACAGAATGATGATATATACTGAGTGTTACCCCTGAAACGTTATACCATGGTAAACACTTAGTTCATATAATCATGAGATCGACCGGAACTAGTTGATAAACCCTACCAAGTGAAAGCTTAGGATAAGACACTGTGGAGTAGCAACGCCCCAGATACGAGATCAAGTGAATCATACTCCGTCATCCTTGGTTGGAGTAGTATGAGACATCACGGATTTTAGTCGTAGGACTTCGGATCGTTTAAGTGGACAAAATTCCGGGCTGGTATAAAATCCTCGTATGTTACGTGTTAATTATCCTTATATCTGAATCGCCACAATGTCTCAGTTCGAATGTCTAGGAATTCAAACTAAGGAGAAGAAATTTAAACGCCGATTGTCGCAATGGATCCGTCCTTCCGCAAGTATTGAGAACTTCCAGAACACCGAGGCGCAAATCAAGGAGTTCCTGGCTGCCAACGTCATGAATCAGACTCTGGGCCCTGAATCGGAACTGCCCCCAGCATACTCCCCCTCTGAGATGACGCTGCAGACTGCCGAGACCCTTCGCTTGCAACGTGAGTTCACTGCACTATTTATTCTTCATATTAATCAAACGCGCGTCGACTAACCTTTCGGTCGCTCTAGAACCTAGGACTGACACCCCTCCTGATAGTTGGCCTGAGCCTCTGCGGTCTATAGCCCCCTTCATGGAAGATCATCAACACACCCCTTCGCCAGGGGCCTACATTTCCTATAACCCCTTTCGGAATGAGCCGCACCCCGATATACGGTCCAGCATGAGACAGTTCAGCGGCGCTTCGGAGTCAGCTGACTCAGAGACAGTAAAGACTCTAAGAGCGTGTCTTGGCGATATGTTCCAGCCATTCGTGGATGCAATCAAGCCAGCTGCCGAGGTGGCTCTGGATGACTGGCTGAAGGCTGCCATCTGGTGGGCCCTCCGGGGAAAAGCTGCGTTGACGAATTGGCGGGATTCGGATGCTCTGCACACGCAGGCAGAAGGCCAGCCGTCTTCGGAGGAGATAGCTCAAGGGATGGTAGATCTTGCCAAAGCGTGGTGGATCTGTCACCAGATCCTCACCAGGGACGACTTCAAGATCATGACGTCTGATCTTCGTCTCGAAGGCACCCCCCGCGGTGCGCTGCTCGATCAATCTCGCTGCGTTGTTAAATACCTAAAGCGGTTCGAGAAGCACATCACGAACTTCCTATGCGGGGGATCCGACTTGGCTGGGACTCTTGGAGTGGATAAGAGTCTATGGGTTTTCTATCCCTCTTGCTCGGCCTACGACGCGGCTGTGCTGGACGGTGGTAGCTTGGCAGTGCAACGAAGTCCTTACCCCCCTATTGCCTTTGGTGACACGGACGTACTCTATTCCTATGGAAGCGAGTTCGTCGAGGTGACACTACTCAGCCAAGAAGGGTACGCACTTCCATCGTCCATGAAATGTGTCCTGTCTTTTGTTCGCGAAATGTGCAGCTGGGATATGGTCGGCGTCATTTCTAGCCAGACAGATCTGGTTAACATTAGGATACAATCAGATTCATCAAGAGGAGCAACATGGAAGGATATTGAGTGGGAGGTAGACAGATTATCGATGCTAGTCAAACTATCCCGCGGATACTTCCTGAAGGTCCGCTTGAGCGAAGAGAATTTTAAAATTGTCTGGGAGGTAGCGCACCAAGCCGTCTCAACAGATGCCAGCTTCGTTGCCGATAACCAGGAGCAGCTTCTCTTTGACGAGGAGATCAAATACTGTCAGTACATCAATCATGCCCGCCCCAGCGACTTTCCTGCCAAACCCACGAAGCAAGGCAGGGTTCGCCTGTTCAAAAAATGGGAAACGGTGGCTGAAGGAACCGGCAAACGCAGAGCGCATCGTGGGTTTCGCATATTCGTTTCGACGCCCCCGCATAGCAGAACTGTCAATCATGTGTCCAATATTCTGCACAATAGTTCACCCGTGTCATGTAGCTTGATTGAATCTGACGATGGATCTCCGGGAATATTCCTACAGCTTCTCGAGGAGGGTCAGAAGCGCTCCTTCTTCTTATACTTCTATGATCTTGAATCTCGCAGCCAGATACACTCCCTCCTGCTAGATTTAATCCCCGGTGCAGGGGAAACAAGTACACAGGCCTTTCATATACGTTCCTATGTGATCATGGAGAGCCAGGCGGACGGGTCGGGAGAAACTAAAGGAGGTCAACACCTCGACTTGAGAGAGAGCCTGGCGTCGGTCATTGAGCAAAAGAATGACCCGGTAAGAAGCGCATACGGAAAGACGATTCTATCAGAAAGCCTGAGAGTCGTTATCGCCAGCGACTGGAGCTCGATCACAGACCGGATCAATATAGGTGAGCCGATTCGTGTCCCGGATACACATGCATGCTGATGAAAGTGCAGGGCCTGGACAGTTGGCAATATCATTATCCGTGATCGATGACACCATGATAAATATTCATAGACTCCCCCAAAAGGATCTGACAATGACAGTAGCACACGACCTCGTCAGTGAGGAGATGCTCAGAAAGGCTACAGACCTGCTTCATAAGGTGCAAGACAAACCATCAATCAGAAGGATCCAATTTGCAAGCGTCGATGGTAGGTTCCTCTTTGTCCAAGTGATAAAACGACACGGCTAATGTAGTAGATCTTCACAAATTCCAAGAATCTATCACTGGATTTAAAGTCCTTTTTGACGGGTAGGTGCTCATGTCTCAAGTAGAGGATCAAGCTCATCCACGCAGCCTGGCAACTCAGTTCCTCATATCGCGACGACGGAAGATGATCCCAATACATAAACAATGGGAGGCCAACCTCACTCGCGTGCAAGTTGTGCAACAAGGCATCAAGATCCAAATAGTGGCCTTTTTCTATCAATTCCACCGGTGGAAGAGCATAAATTTTGCCGTAAAAAGCACTGATGAGTTTGAAAAAGTAGATCAAAAGGGAGAATGGGGAATCCGATTTAAAGATGCGAAATATGCTCTACCACGGCCGGATACTCAAACATCAGACTATGTGTGTCTGGATGAGTTGGCTTTTCCCACAGAGCATGATGATATTGGGATTCTGTTTCAAGATGCATCGGGTGAGTTTACTACTGTTCTACCACTCTCATTAGAAAGAAGTAACGCTAATACAATGTCAAGTGCGAGATAAGTTTGCTGAGTCTCTGCCTGGGGCGGTAGGGAATGCGCCCAGGAGGCTATTGTGTTAACGATCTTTATACCTTAGCTCCAAGGACAAGGCCAGTCTTTCGCTCTGCATGGCTGGTCATCAACTTCCTGGCCAAGGACATGAGAAGTACATTAAAGCATATCCGTTCTTCAGGCAATGACAATATACCAAACCCTAATATAGCTATATCTTAATCACAATACTATTGTTAACCATTGAGACGTATACCATGTAGAATAAACTTACTCCAAGGATTCATTATAAACCCAACACAGTCCTCTCTACTCCCCTGGACACACAGCTGAGCATCGCTGGCTACTCCAATTGCGTACGATCTTTATGATCAATTCTTCCACGGTGCACCCCTACGCGACACGTCCCACAATCTCCTGCTTTGCAGGAAGGGATATAAAATCCGGCATTCGCAGCGCATCGAGAACTCTCCGAGCCTCCAATGTGGAGCTCCTTCTTAGGGACTCTGCTAGTTCAGCAACGAAGGGATCTCCCGTGGAAGCGACGCTAAAGGCCTCGAAGTGCACGTTTCCATTAGGGAAGCCGATCTCGTTGGTTGTCTGCTGGACTGCGGTCATGAGACAACGGTCCGCCCGCAACAATAAACATGGGTATCTTCATTGGCTTGGCGCAGGGTTTTGGTGGTGTCGTATTACCTCGGGGATTTGTCTTAGATGGTGACATTGTTGCCGAGAGTCTTGAGGTATCGTGCAAAGGCCACATCACATCTTGAGGGGTACGCACCAGGTAATGATGATAGATCTTGCCCATCGATTGCAGCTAGAGGGCGGACCCAACCAGCGCAGCCACTCCTATCCCTCCGGCGATGAGGACATGATTATCTGTTTCTGTGGAGAGAGAGAACATCGCAGCAAACTTGGAGACGGACATCGTCACTCCCTGGAGATAATCGTGCAGGAAGACTGAACCGCCTCGACTTGCCTCTTCATCCAGCGCGACGCCCAGCTCAAAGCAATTCTGATTGCCTGAAACTACCGAGTATGCACGAATCAGACCATTACCTAACTTAATTCGCACATGCGTCCCGGGCTTGACATCTTCAGGGCTGTCCACCGGATTCACAGCCTGGACTCTAAACGAACAAATCCACACGGTCTCTGTCTGTTTCTGCGCCAATCGGTTCTCCGCCCAGAGATCCATGGTCGCCGAGCTATCACCTAGCAGACGAGCCTCTTGATTCTCAAAGACCTTCTTCACCCGGTTGGCGAAGATCGAGCGAGTCTCCGTACCTAGCAGCTCCAGTGTCGCCAACGCCCCCAGGGCCTCGTAGTTCCACATCTCGATATACAGATAGTGTTGCACGCGAGAAACCGTCCATGCAGAGTTCACGCGCTCCTCCAAGGCCATCTCGTCGCCCGGCTTGATGAACCCTTCCTGCAGAACCCGATAATACCATCCCGTGCGGGAGCGTTCCTGCGACAACCATGACATTTCTTGGACCTGGAATCGGTAACTGAGCTTGAAACAAGGTTGGCGTGGCCGAATAACCTGGGCCAGGGCATCGCGACCAATGTGTATGATATTGCCGATGCAGATGTTGCGCCCGTTGACGTGTCGAGATGCGCACTGTCGGGATACTCCTGGTCCAAGTGGTGTAGTGGTCGGCGCAGTATTGCAGCAGCACCTTGTCGGGTCCGCCGTAGAATTCGTAGGCATTGTCGTGCCCGCACAGCCCAGAATGTTTACGTGGATCGCCTCGTGACCGGGAGTCTTAAAGATAGCGGATCGCACGGAGAGGCGAAGACGGGTTTAATTTTGCCGGTACGGACGGTACGGACCTGCAGGAGGCTATCATGGTAGCACAGCATTTCGAGGGATTGAGGGACTGTCATGGTGAGATGGTGGGAAGAAAGGACGCACGCGTCTGTGAAATGCTTATAATATACTTTATAGTGTCTTGGGGAGAACTGGGCCATCTCTGGTCCCCGTTAGTGGCGGAATTCCCTGAATGATCCATAGTTCATCAAGCCAATACCCTGCATCCACAGGGACAGAGATGAATGTTCTAAGCTTAATGTCTACCCTGTCTATCAGTAAATTCCTGGTATTCAGCTGAGGCGGTGATGATGTGTAAGCACCATGTTTGATGGGATGAACGTGGTATTATATGTATCTATAGACTCAAGAGAAAACGCACTGATGGTGCTAGGATTGTAGATATTTCAGCTCCTTCTGAGAGTTCCAACTGTTACAGTTCTGTCTCTTGCTTGAGTTATGATGCCCTGAAAATGAAGGTTTCGTCATACTATTTATCCCATCCCAGGATATCAAGAGGACCACCTGTCCACAATTTTCTTACTGTAGCCCATGCTGGCAGAGAAACCTCCATATTTCAACACTCAAACTTATCTAGTCTTGAAGTATACTTGTTTTTCATTTTCATGGATTTGCTACCAAAATTGAGAATAAACAAAGATGTGAACAAACAAGAATGGACAGATTATTGAACTTCACCGACAGCGTGGGAAAATTCTTGGGCATCACACAACTTTAGCCAATTCACTTCTCACTCCGAGATTTACCGACGCTATCTCGGGGTACTGTGCCTTGGGATTGAACTGCAGCTTTTCCACCGCTTTTCTTTCAAAGACCAGGCAATGAGTAGAGCCACCACCATGGAAAGCACCCACGAGATCCCCCTTGTCGACAACCGTCCCCACCATAAGACTATCCTCCCACTTACAAGTCGATACCTCGGACATGCCAACTGGAATAAAGGCCACAAGTCCGATATTTGCACCATCTTGGACGTCCGTGTTGATGATAAGAACCCCCCGAGTGGCCACATGGGTGATATACCGCTGGGATAGATCCGGACCAGCTGGATCAGGGCCACTTGAACCTCCAAATCCCGCCGCTGCCGTTTCGGCATAGTACGTTCCCTTGAGAACGGTTCGATATACAACCTCACCTTTTACGGGGGCATGCCAGCAGTGGTAGGAATCCGCACTGAGGAAAGCTTGGTAGACGGCGCCACCAACAAACCGTTGAACATAGTTTGCAACCTCACCGTCTTCTTTGGCTCCGAGCATATCACGGAGCGAGTATGGGGTGCCCTTCAACCAAAAGGTGTTACGTCTCGAGACATCCGTGTCAAATGCCAGCGGGAAAGATTCACAGGCATTGACGACTGCCGACGGATCTAAGGGGCGAACATCAGTCTTGAATTTGCGGGTGAAGAAGTCATCCCAGCAGGCATAGTTGAAGAAGTTTTGCGGAGTGCCACCGGCAGGGAATTCGAACAACTGATCGAATTTCCTGGCAATCCCTGTGACCTCGTTTGCCTTATTCTCCAACTGCTTGATTGCCTCGGGCTTGCTCCACCCAGCTATAATCAGAGCTTGGTTTCCTCCGTTGCGATTTTTGAGGTATTCACCCCACTTGTTCAGGATACGCTCGAGACATTTGTTGACTCGAGGATCCAGGAAGAACTGGCGCCCACTTACCGTACCCATAGGCCAGTCCACGATGATATTGAACGGAAAGCCAATGAGACCACTCGGTACACCATTCTGCACAAACCACTCGGGAACCCTGGTCAGGAGAGTATTGAATAGATACAGCATGGTTTTGTAGTTTCGGACTTGTTTCTTGAGCGTGGTCGGGTCTTTGTCATAGGGGGCTTTGGTGGGGATTTCCTCGAACATAGCATTGGCAAGCATGTATAAAGTCGAATCGTTTTCAATTAGCTGTCGGAACTCATCAACTGGGTTTGGTTGTCTGTCCCCCAGAGTTGGAGGAATCAATCCATCAGTTTGGTCAAGAAGCGTTGATATCCAGGCTCGACGAAGCCCGAAGTCCTCTGGCATCCACCGGCCATAACCATGGAGGATGCTTCCTGTTGCCATTATTTGCTTGAATTCTTTCTTAAAGTAGTATACTAAGAAGAGGGTGGTCAGAAATAAAGAAAACCGTTGGTAAGAGGAAGACAGGAGCCAGAAATTCTCCTAGAACAGGATTCTTGAGCCTTTTTATATTCGCATCTGTCAACAACAGACGCAATGGAAATAAATCCTCGCAGCACGTTGCTTTTCGATGATGGCGAGTAAATTGCCACCACATTGCACTCCTGCAGTATTCCTGCATGCACACGTCTTCCGACATGTGAATTTCATTGATCATACAGCCAATTAATTGACCTTTTCGACATTGGCCTTGGATCCACCCCCACATTTTTCAGGTATCTGTCAAGGCTCTCTAGGAATATTCTTTCTGAGGGTGGTGGCGTTGCTGAAATGGCTCAGATCAAATATGTTGGTACGATCACTTGCTGTTTCCAGTACCTGTTTCTCTCAGCTTCCTACAAGCGTAGATGAGCGTTCTCTCGAGTGAGGGGTTTTCACCTCAGGATAATTAGCATGACGCTCTCCACTTTGGATCCTTGTCGCGCTCTCGACAAGATCCATATGACACAGGCTAATCGAAACGCGGGGCTTTGTAGATCAGGCGGACTGAGACATACGTACGGGTGTTTATCTGTCTGAATCCAGTTCATTATCTGCTGAACCTTTATGCTGGCCGTGCGGGATGTGATTCTTAGTTGGTATACAGCAGTTACCGGGCTCCATACATCCGAGAATTAGTTAATAGTACAGACACCTGCTTTGTTTATTCCCTTCAAACCCTCTAAGTTGCTTGACGTGTGTAGCGCAAAAGCACCGTGCTGCGAGCATGCAGGCTAGAAGCTGCAGTACTACCCGAGGCTGGGATACCTTCTGCGGGGTTCCTAACATGCGTATGAGGTGTCATTGCAAATTCAGCTGCTGGTGGTTCATGAGAGGGTCTGCCTACTGGTGGGGTTAGATGTACTCGTCATCGAAGGATGTAGAAGTCTTTGGTCGTCAAAGAAGGTATGATGGACGCTTCATAGTGGTAATGTCAATTAGTTGCGTGAAATGCTATTATCGCTGGAACAGAATCATAATTACTCAGTAAGAGATCTATTAGACTTCTCATATAAGCTTCAGACCATATATAACTGCCTTGCTACTCAGTAACTACTAAAAGGATGCCAGCCATCACGAATACTATGCCTGACATTTAGCAACAATCCTGCACGATTTACAAAAATGGGCCTAGACTAAAATCCAAGAGACGTAAGGTGTCGTCTTAGAAGTATGGTTCTAGGAGACTAGGGCAGATTCCCTCCGGAAACTTCGGATTCGTAACAACCCCGTTCGCGATCGTAGCTGTCCCATCCCTGTCTGCATCAATCTAGTTCTGTGCGCATGTAGCCGGCATAGCTTGCAAGTAGCACATCGAAGACGGAGTCGGCGCTGGATCGAGTGTAGTGGTTGAGATCCAGGTTCCATCAGTTGAGTACCCATCAGTTACTTTAATAGTTCCCGTAGCAACATCTTTGTTCTTCATCACTCGGTCAAAAATATGATATGCAACCTCTGGCTGCAATGCAGGAATTATGTGTCCGGACTGGTAGACACGCATGAACGAGAATCATCCATGTTGACGGATTTGGCCCACGGGCGAGCCAGTATCGATAGATACATCTGCATATCCAGCTTTCTGGAATTCATCCGACTTTGCATAGTTCACACTGAGGCTCGACCGTTCGCCCCCAACCCAGTTACATGCGAAATCCCGGTCTCCATACAGCATAGCGACGGTTATATTTGAGTCCAGCAGTCCCTGAAGTTTTGCCGCGTGAGACCTGGGATGCTGTACGCATTTCTACCATACACAAACTCAGGACGTGAGGATATCTGGGTCAAGAGATCAACACAACTATTGATAATTCCCAGTGTTGTCAGATTGACGGGAAGCAAACCCTCGTCAATATGCTTGTTCTGTTGCTCGACGTACGCTGCGAATCCAGGACCATATCGGCCACCATAAGATTCTGTCCAGTGCCTGGCGGCGTTGGGTGTCGTGTTCGCGGTTTGGCTCGCATCCTGGCTACCAAACACGCCAAGGATAACTGCTGGGCCCGAGGGCGTTGGATTCTCTGAGTCCAATAGCATGATTTCGCCGTGGTCAGATCCAATGTCCCGACAAACGGGACATTGTAGCTGAACCCCGTTTGCACTGGTTGGTCCAGATACAGAACGTTGTACTGCTGGTTCCAAGACCACGGGTTCTCGCTTGTTGTCAGATTAGGGTTGACATGACACGGTCCGTTCTCGGTGAACAAAGCAAACATAGGGGAGGCGCCTGGACTGCCGTTCATCCATATCACTAGTGGTGCAGTTTCTGGATTCTCTTTTGCCTTGAAGTACCAGAAGAATATAGTATGGATCGGATAGCTTTGGTCGGTTCCCACCATTGAGTTTAGTGGGAAGTTGACGTAGCCTGAGCATTAGTCTGTGCCTCCGCAAATTTCGCCCTGGTTGGAAGGTAGTCAGTTAGTCCTGTTGTTTAACACTTGGCTGCTGAGTGTCGTACCGGGACTTTGGTGTATGTGACATCGGCATCTTGTAAGAACCCGTCCGAAGAGCTGAGTGGATACTGAAGTTGCCCTATGGCTTGGCCTTGCCGGCCAGTAGTTTGATCAGCTCGACAACTGCATCCTTGATATTACAGAATACTCGATGTGTTTTGGCAAAGTGAGAACGAGGTTATGCTGAGACACTGGAGTGTAAATTATATCAGTTCTTAAGTATACTGCTCCTTGTGGAGTCGCGTTCACAGGAACAATGCCTTGTCTCAGTTGACATTGTTCAGTATAATTGTATCATATATGCTGCTACAGTGCATTGAATGTATCCGTTCTTTCTTTGGATACCTCGTCATTCCCCCGCACCTGGATGGCCTCTCACTGTTGAGGGCTGAATAGGAATACCGTCGGCACCTGGGTTAGACCGTTCGCCACCGATCGTCAACAAGCTGAATGCCTGATACCTGTTACATATATTTGCGCCACTTATCGGCAGCCATAATCTGAATTGATTAGCCAGAAGCCGAACAAGGGCCACTGTGCGGAGATGAAGGTGCATGACAAAAGTACCGTGCATATACATATTAGCGAATCAGCTCAAGAAGGGGTCGTTGCACTGCGCTTTTCCAGCTATTCTTGTATGTAAGTAGGAAGCTGAACTGTCCTCTTCCAGGTACATTCCGTATATCTAAGGTATTTCCCTGCATCCTGGCTACCTTATGCATCAACTAATTGATACTCCATACCCCGTAGACTAAGCTGAATAGATTATACTTTTCACATTCATCAAAACACCATCACCTGAGGTACAGAGTAGTGCAGGTCCTGGTTGGCAAGCATGCAGATACAGCTGTGGCTTGCAAGAGAGTCCTATTAGCGTCATATTAATAGGCAATCAATACATAGTACATTCCAAGGGAACAGAAAGGCTGTGGTCCAGCCACATTGGGCGTTGTTACTTTCCCTTCGCTATAAAGAGTATTTGGTGGGGGGTCTGATTGCTGATGATAGATGGGTCATGGACGATTTCTTGTCTTAGTTATTGGTTCACGGATGTATGGCTGGCCTGGAAAAGATGCACATATATGGTTATCGTAGAGTACAGTTGATTGGAACGTTTTTCCAAAGGACTGGGTGGCGACTAGGAGATCACTGGATCAGTAGTCGATCACTTCTCAAAAGATGCTCAACTCTTCATAAATTGTGTTTAGTTACCCCCAATCTGGAGGGTACCATGCAATTTAAAAAGAAAGGGTCGGAGTTACTCCATGCTCCCACGCACCTTCCTCGTGCCACCCTGGATGGACCATGCGTTACGGGAATAAAGTGCTGATGGTAATGTTTTTGATAGTGAATATGGGTTTCAAAGACCCCGAGAAGTCTTAACAAAATGGAGCAGAATAAACCTCATAAAGTCCTGAAAGATCGATATCTCAGTCTTATCATTATTGGTGGAGCCGTCAGCACTGGCCTGCTGGTTGGGTCGTAAGGGGCTACTTCGTCTTCTTGATAGACTTACATGCTAAATTCCTATAATACAGAGGGTCCGGACTAGCAAGCAGTGGTCCAGCTGGTATGCTCCTGAATTACAGCATTATTGGCATCGTTGCATTCATGGTTCTGTCAGCCCTCGGCGAGATGAGTTCATTTGCGCCCATGCCATGTTAGTGAGGATCTATGGCTGGTAGTTTATCCACTGCCAACATCAGCTTACCATTATCTCCTCAATACTAGGTGGCCTAGGAGGCTATGCATCCCGCTTTGTAGACCCTGCTCTAGGCTTTGCAACTGGGTATTGCTATGCGCTCCGGTACATGCTATCAACTCCGAACAACCTAGTTGCTGCTTCTCTACTTATGACGGTACGTTGCTTCTACCAAGCGTCCTTGCACAACCAGTGTAGCTAACACATGGGATTTAACGGACGGGGTGGATAGTTCTGGGTTAGAAACAACGTTGATCCTTCGGTTTTCATCACCGTAGCATTGCTTGTTGTGCTTTTCATCAACTTGATCAGTGTGAAAGGTTTCGGTGAATTCCAATTTTGGCTGTCATTGTTGAAAATGACTATTCTGTGTGGAAGCATAACTGTGCTACTTATTGTAGTCCTCGGTGGAGGCCCAAAGTATGTTCCCTGCTAAATTCTGTCAGTCATGCAATCTCACGGACAGCAGTCAAGATCGCCTTGGTTTTAGATACTGGAAGAGCCCTGGCGCATTCGCAGAAAGTCCAATTGAGGGAGCTGGAGGGGCATTTGCCCGTGCCTGGACCACCATGGTGCACGCGTGAGTTTAACTGTCTTGCTTCTTCTCCTGTCTGGAGTCTAAATGCATATCAGGATCTATGCCTACGGTGGAACAGAGCTAGTGAGAGCACCTTTGGCGGAATCCAAGAATCCAAGAACTGCAATGGCTGGGTCTCTGCGCTTTACCTTCTTTCGCATCTTCTCGATTTATATTCTGTCGATCTTCTTCCTGGGATTGGTCGTACCATACAACAGTCCAAAGCTGGCATTTTCATCGGACTCGAAAACCAGTGCCGCTGCGTCGCCTTTTGTTGCTGCTATGAAGCTGGCAAAGATCGGTGGTCTTGCCCATGTAATTAATGCCTGCATGCTCATCTTTGTTGTGGCCACTGCCACGACTGGTATATTCCTTCCTACTTCTCCTATTTGAAGCTGAGTGTGCTCGCTGTTGACTGAGACAGACTTCTACCTCGCAACGCGCACGATCTACGGCATTGCAGTGGACGGGAAAGCACCGGCCTTTCTAGCCAGAACCAATAAACGCGGAACCCCCATCCTCGCGGCAGTGGCGCCTTTTCTGTTTTGCATGCTGGCGTACATAAGCATCAGGACGGGATCCATGCCGGTTTTCAAGTATTTGACTCAAGTGGTAGTAGGCTTTAGTAACTGAGCAACATCTTTCCTCCGCGATTCAGTTTAGTTATCTAACATAGAAACAGATGTGCTCTCTTGGATTTCTATTCTGACAACACATATCGCCTTCTGTCGGGCTGTAAAATCTCAAAACATCCCGTCTGATCGCTTTCCATGTCGTGCCGCCTTCAGGGTATGGGGTTCCATTGCTGCCCTAGTGTTCCTATGCATCTTTATTCTTATTAAGGGAGCTGAGGTATTCATCCAAGATTTTGACTACGGGGTCTTGGTCGTCCTGTACATCGACATCCCAGTGTACCTCGTCTTCATCTTCGGCTACAAGATCTGCTATAAAACTCACCGTGTCCGGCCCACGGAAGCAGACTTGACAACTGGTGTTTCCCCCGTACCCTTTGAAGAGGAGAGGGCTCAGAAAGAGGCTGAGGATAAGGTCAAAATAGCGAATGCGGTCGGTATCAAACGAGTTTACCGACGATTTCTTGCGCTCTTTTACTAGTTGCCTGACCACCTCGGGGTCGTATCGATATGTATAGCAATAGATATTTTTTTCACATGACTTGGATATAGTAAGCGCCATATATGTAGTATGTGTTGAGAATCTCGGGGAAGAAGCTATGTCGTGAGGTGCTAGGATAGCGGTGACTAGATAGTATATTGAAACTATCATGCGATCTAGTATCGCGTGGTGAGTATGTTCAACTATCTAGGAGAGAGGGCGTAGACAAACGCTTCCTTATGTCTACGTGTCCCTTAGCCCCTTAGCCCCTTGCGTGTGATATGTCAGATGGCTTCAGGACTAGGATACCCAAAGGTGCCTTAGGCATCCTGGTTTTCAACAGCATGGAATATAGTCTAGTCTCCGTTTTTTTTTATATATATATATAAATAAATAAATAAACAGCGATTTGCTTTAATTGAGTGAGAGAAAAACAGAGAGACAGAGAGACAGAGACAGAGAGAGAGAGAGAGAGGGTGAGAAAAAAATTCCAAAAAAAGTCATGACAAGAGTGGGATTCGAACCCACGCCCCTTTCGAGACTAGGAATATTCCATGCTAGACGGATATTTGCGATCAGATAACCTGACCCTAGCGCCTTGGACCGCTCGGCCATCTTGCCCTTGTTGAGATAGGGTTTATTTTAAAAGCATAATGAATTAATTAGTTCATTCCCGTGATCTCATTTCAGATAGATGAGGTGAATAAGAGGTTTAACATCAATAGTACTTCCATTCATCTATTTTGCTGGTATAGGTGTTTAATATGATTTATAAATTATAGGGTTATTGGTTATGGGTTTTGTATGATCTAATTCCATGCTAGATATGGTTGATTTGTTCTATATATATTTAGGCAACCTGTAAAGGGCTAGAGCCCGTTTGACCTCTCGGGCCAATGTCCCTACTGTCCCCGTTGTCCCTATTGTCCCTACTGTCCCCGTTGTCCCTATTGTCCCTATTGTCCCCGTTGTCCCTATTGTCCCTATTGTCCCTATTGTCCCTATTGTCCCTACTGTCCCTACTGTCCCTACTGTCCCTACTGTCCCTACTGTCCCTACTGTCCCTACTGACCCTTTTGGCCCATTGGCCCTCGATCGATGTCACGTGACTCCCCACCTTGTTTGTTTACCGCTTGTTTCCTCTTCCTTTCTTCCTTTCTTCCTTTCTTCCCTTCTTCAACGATTCCTTCTTGTACATAACCTATCTTGTAGGTTCTATGGGTTCAGCCCTTGACATTAGGAATCGTTCGTCACTTATCTTATACTGAAACGGATGGAATAGAACAGAACGGAAAACAACTAATACCGAACAGAATGGAAGGAGAATATAACCCACCAAGTGGGAGTACAGAACTACCAACATGGCCGAACCCCTATTTCGTCAAATGATAGAACAACAGCAGATAGCTCTTGGTCTGCAACGGGATCACTTCCAGGGGCAAATCCAGACATTACGCGCGGAGCTCCAAGCAGCACTCCAAATGACTCCAACCCCGGCAACTTCGAACACCACACCGAGCGCAGCACCCGTACCTACCCCCTACCTCCTATACAACAGCGCCCTCGCCCGAAGCTAGCCGACCCCGAACGGTTCGACGGGACAGACCTTACGCTTTTCCCACAGTTTTAAAGCCAACTGAAAGCGAAGTTACTGATAGACGAGGCCTCTCTTGGAGGAGAGTTGGAACAAATATGGTACGGCTATAGCCGCCTGGGAGGCAAGGCAGCAGCAAGGATCCATGCATGGATCGCAGCCAATGAGTCCTCTCCAAGCTTCACGCTCCAAGGATTTTACAGCCAGCTGGAAAGCGCCTTTAGTGACCCAACCCGTCAAGAGAAGGCCCTAGTACGCCTAAATACTCTACGCCAAGGAAACCGCTCTGTACTAGAGTTGGTCGCAGAACTCAATGGGTTACTCCTCGAAGCGGGTGGCAGCGGTTGGGAAGATAGAGTTAAAAAGGGGTATTTGAAGAGCGCGTTAAACCGAACGATTGAGAACCGATTAATAAATATCGAGGAAAAAGAGACTTATGATGGATTTTGCCAACAAGTGCAGGAGATCTCTCATCGCCTTGAGAATTTTAAGCGGAAAGAGAAGGGACCATGGGCACCACCATATTACAAAAACTCCGGTGAAGCTGTTATCCCTTCTAGTGATACTATGGACTGGGAACCAGCAGTGAAAACTGCCAGCTCCCGACGTGCCAAATGGGTAACTCAGGAGGAGATTAACCGACGATGGAGTGAAAGGCTGTGCGTACGTTGCGGAGCCCCAGGCCATATAGTTAAAGACTGTCCCTTCCAACCTCCCAGGAGGCCCCAACCACCTCCGCCTAGGATCCCCATAGTCGCTAATATCACCGGTGCGGTGCTGGAGGACGAGGACAACCTGGAAGACAAAGACAAAGCGGGAAAAGTGTAGCTCCTGTTTTAAGTCGCGAACAGGAGCGGATAGAGGCGAAAAGAAGAATGGGAAAACTTTAAGGAAAATATGGAAGGTCCACCCTTTATAATTACAGCCCTGGTTAACAAGGAATACAATGCAAATGCTTTAGTTGATACAGGCTGTGACCCTTATGGGATGATCTCTTCCAAGTTTGCCCAAAAAGCTGTCTCCAGCGCATTACCATCCCGCCACGGTTTATTAAAGGAATTGGGGGTGCTAGAGAGTATGTCACCGAGGTAGCCTACATGTCATTAGATATTGGAGGTCACTACCAACGAAGGATATTCCTCTACGTGGCCCCGACTGATATAGGCCACGATATTATACTAGGACTCCCATGGCTAATCTCTCAAAGAGCCAATATATCCACTGATAGATTAAAGTTAATCTTCCAAGACACTGGAACTGAAGTCAGCAGCGAATACCACCAGACCGGAATCCCTAAAATTGCTCCCATTAACGCCAACTCCTTTAATATGTGGGCTAGGAAAAGAAGAAAGAACAAGGAGATACGAGTTTTGCCGCAAGCCTAAAAGATATTGAGAAAGCACTTACAGTAAAGAAATACACGGACCCTAAAGACAAACTACCAGCTCATTACCACCAATTTCTCCCGGTATTCAGCCGCGAAGAAGCCGACAAACTCCCACCGCTCCGTGGAGCTGGAGTCGACCATAAAATTGAGCTGGAAAAAGACGAAAACGGAAATACTCGTGAACCCCCACATGGACCGCTGTACAACATGTCTCGCGATGAATTACTAGTCCTCAGGAAGACCCTTTTAGAATTATTGGACAAACAGTTTATACGAGTCAGCAATTCGCCCGCTGCAGCCCCGGTTCTCTTAGTAAAGAAACCAGGAGGAGGACTACGTTTTGTTGTGATTATCGAGGCTTAAATGCAATCACAAAAAGGACCGATATCCACTTCCTTTAATTAATGAGACACTGGAAAGGATTGGGAAGGCATGCTGGTTTACCAAGCTTGATGTTATTGCTGCATTTCATAAAATCCGGATCTCGCCAGGAGACGAATGGATGACAGCCTTCCGGACTAGATTTGGCCTTTACGAATGGCTAGTAACACCTTTCGGCTTGGCGAACGCTCCAAGCACATTTCAGCGGTATATTAATTGGATCCTGCGTGACTTTCTAGACGAGTTCGCTTCGGCATACTTAGACGATATATTAATTTTCTCATCAGGGTCACTTGCTGAGCACCGAAGCCATGTTAACAAGGTATTGGAACGACTACAAAGGGCCGGATTACAATTGGATATTGACAAGTGCGAGTTTGAAGTCAAAAGCACCAAGTATTTGGGATTTATTATTGAAGCGGGTAAAGGCGTACGCATGGACCCTGCAAAGGTTAAAGCAATACTGGAATGGGCTGTCCCCACGACTGTTAAGGGTGTACGATCATTTTTAGGATTCGCAAACTTTTATCGCCGCTTTATAAGGAATTATGCGGATATCGCTGCGCCGTTAAATCAGTTAACGCGAAAGGACACGAGTTCAAATGGACCGAATCATGCGAGAAGGCCTTCCAGCAACTGAAGACAATGTTTACCACTGCCCCGATTCTTATACAGTTTAGCCCCGAGAGGGAGACTGTTGTTGAAGCAGATTCCTCAATGTGGGCTACAGGGGAACATTATCACAGTACGACGATAACGGACTATTAAGGCCTTGCGCCTATTTCTCTAAGAAAAACAGTCCGGCGGAATGCAATTATGAGATTCATGACAAGGAATTACTGGCTATTATCAACGCTTTAAGGGAATGGGAAGCAGAATTATGCAGTATCGAAGGTTTTCGTATACTAACAGACCATAAAACCTAAAATACTTCACAACACTACGACGGTTAAATGAACGACAAATGCGATGGGCTGCGTTGTTAAGCAGGTATAACTTTACACTGGACTACCGGCCGGGGAACTTGCAGGACGCCCTGATGCACTTTCCCGCAGAGAACAAGACCTCCCACAAGATGATTCAGACGAGCGGCTACAGAACCGTTATCGGTGTCTCTTAGACCCATCTAGATTTCAGAGGAAACCAAGTCTTACCCCTGCAACTGCCAGGATTAGTACAATAACTACTAAATCCACCGAACAGTTAATACCTGGAGAAGACCTTTTTAACCTTCCGATAGGTGAACACTGGTCAAGCGCAGAACAACAGGATGTTAAATATGGCGCTATTCGAGCTGCTGTATATGAGGGTGCGGTCCGTTTTCCAAAGGAACTCGGCCTAAAACCGGTATCTCTGACTGCAGTATATCACCCGAGGGCTATTTGCTATACCGAGACCGCCGCTGGGTCCCTGACATCGAATCCCTTCGGACCAGGATTATGCAGGAAACACACGATTCGGTGATCACCGGACACCCAGGCCGCAATACAATGTACGCGATCCTTGCTAGGCAGTTTTACTGGCCTAATATTGCCGCCGATGTCCGCCGCTTTGTGGAAAATTGCGACAAATGCAATGCCAATAAAATATGGAGAGATCGCCGCCATGGAGTACTAAAACCCTTGCCGATACCCGACAGAAAATGGAGAGAAATAGCTATTGATTTTATTGAGAAGCTGCCTGAGTCTAATGGCTGCCAGAATCTTATGGTTATTGTTGATCGCCTAGGGAAAGGTGTTATATTAATACCCTGCGAGCAGATAGATACGCCCACTGTTACTACTAAACTTATCCAACACTTTATTGGATACCATGGTATTCCAAGCGCTATTACGTCTGACCGCGGTGCCCAATTTGTCAGCGATATGTGGGAAAACTTTTGCAAACAACTAGGAATTCGACGACGTCTATCTACTGCTTACCACCCGGAGACCGATGGACAGACTGAACGCATGAATGCGACAATTGAAGCCTATCTCAGGTCCTTTTGTGACCGTACACAAACTAATTGGGCCTCCCTGTCCCCCATAGCTCAACTCGCAGTTAACGGGAGAAACGCTACAGCCACTGGAATTAGCCCTTTCTTCTTAGACCATGGGTACGACATGGAGACAATTCAGCTGGATAATACACAGGATACAAATCTAGTGCCCACAGAAACCCAACGGACCAAAGCTCAACAAGGACATGATATTGTGACTAAATTAGCTCACGCACTGGATATTGCTAAGGCCGAGCTCGCCGCTGCGCAGCAAAAATATGAAGCTTATACTAATCGCCACCGTACATCCGCACCGGCTTACCGTGTGGGTGATAAAGTATGGCTTGACCTACGTAATATACGCACGGAACGACCAAGCAAGAAACTAGATATCCGAAAATGCCAAGTATACAATTATTGAGAAAGTAGGCTCACACGCCTATCGGCTTAACACTCCTCCCGGAATTCATAATGTTTTCCATGTCATGTTACTACGACCTGCCAATTCTAACCCTTTCCCGAGCCAGCAAAATGACGACTACCAGCCCCTCCCCAGCTAGTCGACGGTGAAGAAGAATATCTGGTACAGGAAATCCTAGACGAACGGTTTGCACGTGTAGGACGAGGTTTTCGCCATGAGTTCCTAGTTAAATACACCGGTTACCAGCAACCTGAATGGAATCACGCTGATGCAATGGAGGACACCGAAGCACTTGACCGCTGGCGAAAGGATCACCCCCAACCGCCACAGAAGCCGAAGAAGAAGAAGCCAAAAAGAAACCGAAAAGGAAAGCCAAATATTAGGGCCCTACGCCCTAACATACGTCCAGCTCGGAAGTGCGTCACATGGGCAGACGGTGTCCCCACAGAAGTTGATCCATGGCGGAGCCATGGATCCAATTCCCCCCCACGCTTCGCACTCCAGTCAATGGGAACACTATTGTTGGATGAGCGGCCCAACACCAAAAGCCAAAGAACCGGTAGGGAGGGAGTAGTGTAAAGGGCTAGAGCCCGTTTGACCTCTCGGGCCAATGTCCCTACTGTCCCCGTTGTCCCTATTGTCCCTACTGTCCCCGTTGTCCCTATTGTCCCTATTGTCCCCGTTGTCCCTATTGTCCCTATTGTCCCTATTGTCCCTACTGTCCCTACTGTCCCTACTGTCCCTACTGTCCCTACTGTCCCTACTGTCCCTACTGACCCTTTTTTTTGCCCCATTGGCCCTCGATCGATGTCACGTGACTCCCCACCTTGTTTGTTTACCGCTTGTTCCTCTTCCTTTCTTCCTTTCTTCCTTTCTTCCCTTCTTCAACGATTCCTTCTTGTACATAACCTATCTTGTAGGTTCTATGGGTTCAGCCCTTGACACAACCCACAGTATTTATTTTCTGGATCTCAGTATGGTGGGTTTTTAATTAAAACACCTGGGAGAGGAGTACTACGCGATCACCTTACCCCCAGATACCCAATACATTTGCCAAAATCACACCATTAACTTGGGACGGATTTCTCAACGAAGCCCTAATTGGATTGCGTGCAGTCTGGAATGTCTACATATGGTATAGAAAGAGAACTGTCTAATCCTGTCAACCCACGGGTAAATATCTGATTCATTTGACAGAGGATCTGTCCGAGCAGAACTTGTCACCCAGAGCAAAGTTAAAAAATCTTGTTTGATTGATATAGCGAGACCATTCAAGAGTTTCTGACCTGGAGCCTTATCTCAATTATGGACTGACGACTTCCAAGCCTATCCCTGGCTAGGCGTCTAAGCAAATAGATAGCTTGCTAGCTCTGTATGATCTATATACAGCATGAATGATAATGACTGAACAAGGAACATACATAGTAAGTGCGGAGTACCTGATCTGTGATTTGGTTCGACTTAGTCGCTGCGCCACGCAGATAAATGACGACGAGACAAAGAACTATCTTCTCCGCTCCTCTTCTCCTGAACCGCTGGACGAGCCACTTCAGTGGCGTCTGCAACGCTGGATCTCTGGTACAGCAGGAACAAATTGGCTGAGTCCCTCTAACTGGAAGAAGTCTACACCCCGCCTAGCGGAGCTTACTTTCCTTGGTCTCATGGGCCCCTGAACTGTCCAGGAAAGAAGATCGCCCAGGTGGAGTTTGTCGCCGCACTTGCGTGCCTATTTCGAGAGCGTCGGTTTTGTATTCCCCTTCGTGATGGGGAGGAGTTCGAGGCTGCGCAAGCACGCATCCTGATGACGCGGGATAGTCTACAAACGATACTTTTTCGCATTTGTGATGCAGATACTTCGCGTCTGGTCTGGGAACGCGTGGAGTAAAGGATGTCTTGACATTTGACAAGGCGATTAATTTAATTTACAAGGCTGGAGTACCGACCGGGAGGTCTTTTCATTAGAAATTTGGTTAAGAACACTCCGTACAATATGCGTCCCAAGACCTGTCAATCATATCTATTAATATTACAGCTCTCGAATGATCTATCAAGCTGGAATCAGAGTATCATAGACACAAATTATCAGCGCATCAATCATATAAGAGTCTTCATTAGCTGTGAACATTTCTAAACAACAGTGACTCCAACTACAAGAATCCGAGAGCAGCGCCAGCAACGGCGGCCGCCGCCGCGCCACCCACCGCGGCATTATGAGCCGCGACGCCCGGCGTCTGTGTCGCCTGCGGAGCATTAAGCTTGTCGGCGCCCGCAGTAACCGTCAAAGGCATATAAAAGATATCATCTGAGCCTAAGGAAGTGATGGTGGATGAACCAGTGGAAGTTTCCATATCGCCCGCCTTGAACTTTGCACCCATGGAAACGGAGCAGGAGGCGCCCTGCGTGGAGGAAGTAATATCGCAGTCCTGGATGAAGGTGAATTTGATGTCTACGCCCTTCGTTATGGTCGCAAAGATGGCGCTTATGGTGTAGGTGGAAGTGCCCTCGGTTACTGTGACGGGCGTAGGCAGCGGACATTCTGTTAGCGGGGCGCCGGATTGACAGGCTAAGGCGTAGGTGGTGGCGTCTGCGTTGACGTTGACGATACTTGCTTGAGCGCTATGCAGGGTCAATGTTTCCCTGCCGGCATTGAAGCCCTGTATCGTTGTGGTTTCGGCTGAGATGGTGGTGGCCAGGGCTGCGACCAAGGAGGAGTAGAAAAGAGACAGCATGGCGCATTGGACAACCAATGAAAAAGATTGATTATAGGCCGGAGTACTCCGTAGAGCAGGAAGTAGAGGAACAGACTATTTTCAGGGAGTAAAAAAAAAAAAGGGTACGGGGCAAGGTCGATTTTATCATAAATAATGGGTTACATTGGGCAACGGTGTATATCCTCCAACCGAGAGATCTCCACCGGCATCTGAGCGGGTGACATAGGAAAAATAAGCCCTATATACCGATGAGATCTAGATAGGACTAGCGAGAAAAGAATCAATTGTGATCATTGGTGAGCATCGCCAGACACTTAGGAGACAGATGAAGTTAGTCAAGGAGCCTTGCCAAGTATTGCACGCAGGCTGTCGTGACTAAGAAAATCTGGTATCTTAAGCATATGGACTAATGAACACAGTCTGTGGGGCTTTTTGTTATGACCTTTCACTTAGGGGAAGGAATTGTGGGTAGAAGAACACTATGCCAGTTACACACCAGTAGCCAGCCTACTTAGGATCTTTATCATGGTAGTAACAACAATCAACTGATTTCACCAATGTAGCAAACATGCTCTTAACGATTCAGGGGGATAACGCCGAGCGCTCACCAAGGCGGTAGGAGTAATCGGATCCAGAATCCCGATATTTTTCTATCGCTTTTCAAGTGGGGGGAGCGGTGATAATATTGGCTCGTTGCCCCAAAATGGCTATGGTGGGTTGCCGGTTTACCTGTCCCTGGGCAACGGCAGCGCTCCATTATATGCAGCTTCAAATTTCGAAAGGTTTACAAGTGCTTACTGCAAGATGTGAGTAGTATATTGTACAGGTGACCTACCTCGCCTATTCAGCCTAATGGTATGCATACCTAGTGCCAGCGCCCCTAATAGGAATTTCAGCCTCAGTATCTGTCGCCGTTTTTCGTACCAGAACTGGGTACCAGTGATCTTTGGAAGATAATAATAGTTAAGTAGTTAACGGTTCTGTGCTTTATCATTTTATCCGGCATAGTGCCCAAGAAACTCGATATTGCAACAATATAGCTCTTGACAAATAATTTTAGGATCTGAAAGAACATGGGTTCTTCCTCGGACAAGTTCATATCTTTAGATTTGCTTTGTAGAACTATCCAACTGGAATTGTTGAGAAATGCTATATGCGGAAACTCCATATAACTTGATTCACTATATTGCTTCACTAGTAGCCCGAGTTTGTGGTTGGTAGAATGGTTCATTCTAAAAGGATTCTTAGGTATTAACTTACAGTACCGTTTTTAAACAGCATACCACACAAAGATCCTATATTATATTATATAACCGATACACCGCCTTGATAGGACTAACTCCTATGATAGATCCGGGTGAGGTCGCAGCATTCGTCTATGCCAAATGAAGATTTCTGGCACATTGGGGTGGATATAAGCAGCCATATAGACTTATAGAATATAGATATATATGAAATCAATGTCTTCGCAAGGAATACCAGGCCGTTATCAGTCCCTCCGATCCTCCTATATCCAGTTTCCTGGCCGAAGGGCTTGCCCACCATTAAGGAAATGTTCGTCGCTCTGCATCTGGGCTATATATAAAGCGCCTACAGCATCATTTTAAACTCGGGGTCTCTGTCATCGTTAAAGCCCGCATACCGCGCATATTTGCCTTTCCGCTTATCTCGGTTGATCTTGGCACAGTATACAACATTCAACAACACCCTTAAACGAAAGGTCAGCGGCCGTAGTGTATGCCTTGTCCTCAAAAACTTACATTAACCATGCAAATATAAGAAGCCCAAATACTACAGTATGGCCTCGGTGATATTGGGGCTTGTCGTGGTTAGGATAAATAAATGCTGGAGCCGGATTAGTCAGTTCGCCATCCTTTATGTCGGAGGCATCCGCGTAGCCACAGGGAAAATCTCACTGGCGACGAATCCACCACAGTTCGCGATCGTCAGCTGCATAGCAGAAGTGGTTGCTCGCTTATAATGCCCCGCAGAGTTGTTGGAGTTCCAGACTAAGATACAGGGAACGCTACTGTACATGCCGGTGGCCATGAGAAACGTCATCCCATACTTCGCTTTGGCTGATTCAATGTTGGCAATTGCGCCGTATCCAGCAATTGCAAGTGGTAGAGTAAAAAGCATGATGACACCCCGAAGCTTTAAGCGATCCGAGACAATAGCCACGACCACTAAGAACGGCATATACTGTGAGCTCGAGCATCTGTAAAAGATCCAACACGACAGGCACACAGCTCAGAAAACCTACCTGTTAAAATCGCCGCTACTGTATATGGAATCACAGTCCATAGCTGCACTTGGTTCGCATTTTGGGCAAATCCACTTTCATTAATGATTGTCGGCAACTAGGTGATACAAGCCCCGGTCAGCTATAAGTCAATGCATGATAAAGTATCAGAATACGTACAAAAAGTCCAAAAGAATACAATCCTGATATGATTGCAAAATAGGCAGTTCCGGAAAGCCACATCCGCAGGTCCAAAATCCCTCGTCGAACTTCAGACCATCTCATGGTTTCATGTTCTGGCGACGTTCTATCCCCATAAGTTAGCATGTCTCAGAACAGTAAAAAGATGGAGATATGTCCTATTAGAGTCAAGGCAAACTCAGCGAAGGTGAGCCTACCCCTCTGATACAGGTGCACTATCAAGCTTAATTCTCTGGCGGGCAAGCAGCCGCTCTTCGGGAGTCAGGAAGGGCGCCGTTTCCACGCTGTTCGGTAGAATAAAATAGCTCAATCCACCGCATGTAAATGTCTGAGTTATTAATGAGAAAGCACTTCAGACTACTTGGCCTGAAACACTTACCAGCAACCCTTCAATAATCATGATCCAACGCCAACCTTGAAGACCTCCTCGGGGACCAATTTCATTCAATCCACGGGCCAGAAGACCTAGTGCACATTAGTCGTCGCAATTTTACAGCGCAGTATATTAGGTATCCTAGAAAACTAAGAAGCGTCCGACTCTCGTTCAGAGAGACATACCTCCAAACGCTCCTGATAAAGACGCCGCGGTATAGAACAAGCCAATACGCAGGGCCAAGTCGCCGCGCTGATAAAATGATGATAGGTATAAAATCTACTAGAAGGTTAGAATACACCCAGTGAAGGAAGAGACCAACGGGAATCTAAGGTTATTTACACACCATTCCTGGAAGTAGCCCTCCCTCCGCAGCTCCGAGGAGAGCACGAACGGCGACAAAGTCCCCAAAATAGTGAACAAAGCCGAGACACATAGTGATTATGCCCCAGATCATTGTGAGAAATGGCAACCAGAGTTTTGGCGACGCTTTCTTGAGTATCAGATTGCTCGGAAGCTCGCTTGGTAGAGCAGAAGGGATCTTGTCAGCATCTAAAAGAAAGCCCCTCCAGGCATATTATGAATCCCTTACGCTCCCCTACTTACCTACAAACATAAGTGAGGTAGAACACCGTCAAGCCAATGTCATATTGATGGTTGGTGATGTTAATGTCCTTCTCAAACCCTAACACCTTGACGTTGCCTATTACGGTCCGGTCGAGAAAGGAACATAGAAAGAGAGCAGCTAGAGTCGGAAGGATCCTATACAAAAGTATGAAGGAAGCAGTGAGCGATCTATGGCCCAGAATCTAAAGATTTTGTGGTTGTGTCGTCACCTAGTATCTAATTTGAGTAGGAGGCTGCGAGTTAGCTTCTGGCTGGTCTCGTAGTCGACGGATATGCTCTCGGGGGGGTCTTGTGTTGCATATTCGGCTTTCTCTGTATCTGAATTGGCAGAATCCATTGTTGAAGATTTGAGAGGAGAGAGAAGGGACCAGAGCACAGAGCCTTTAAATTAAGGACGAGCGATAATCCGGGGGTGGGGTGAATGCAAATAGTACCCCCGGATTCCTTAATACATAAAAGACGGAATGAAAGGGGAGCTGTCGATAAGCATGCAGCTTACCGCGCTTCGGACACCATTTCTGCCTCCGACCGGTCCTTCCATCTCGAGTTGATTTGCTTCCCCGCGTTTGTTGTTTGTTTCCCAGACCCAAAGAAAAAATGTGACGGTTCTCTCCTACGATTGTGTATGAGTGGCTGTCTGGCACTACTAGTATCGATTTTAGTGCCTCAGCTGCTTACTCCTGTACGACTCAACAATCCAATCGTATGTTGCTTTGACACAGTATTAAGCTTCAAACTATAGCTCTGCTATGCCTAAGTAGCATAGGCCATCGTAAGGTCTTTTATCGTTCGTTTGTTATCTATCGATCGATCTATATAAATCATGAACACGCACCGAAACAAGACCAGGCTGCATGGCTAATCCAGAAAACAGATCAATGGAGATCGCAATAGATCACTGTTCCATAAGCTCCAACTGCTCGGCGACAGTAAACTTGGCTCCTGTCTTGCTCCGTACTTCTTCAACCTCGACCCCCGGTGCGAGTTCCGTCAACAGAAGTGCACCTTTGGTCCGATCCACCTGGAAGACACACTGTTTATCGTCAGTTCTCGAGTCCAGCTGCCTTTCCGAATACATCTATACACCCAGACACTTACCAAGTCTGTGATGATCGTGCTGACGCAATTTGCACCCGTTAAGGGCAAAGTACATTTAGCTACGATTTTTGGTGAACCGTCCTTGGCAGTGTGGCTAGTAGCCACCACGATCTTGGTCTTCTCCGGATTCGAAATCAGGTCCATGGCTCCTCCCATTCCTTTGAAGACTTTCCCTGGAATCATGTAGTTGGCCAGGTCACCGGTCGCACTAACTTGCATTGCCTGTTTGCTAATTAGCGGGGTCTCTTCTACAGTATGTATATGACGAAGAGAAAGAGATTGGTTCGACGAACCCCCAAAATGGAAACATCCACATGCCCACCTCGGATCATGCCAAATGACTCGGTGCTGTCAAAGGTTGCTGCGCCAGGAACCAGGGTAACAGTCTCTTTTCCAGCGTTAATGATGTCTCTGAACAACAGGAGTTAGAAAGCCAAACAGCATACAACAGTCCGCTGACGGAGCTCAACTTCCAGGAATACACTTACGGGTCGACTTCATCTTCTGTAGGATACGGTCCCTTGGTTTTTAATTAGCCATCTAGCCATGTCACCAATAAGACTCGTTGATTTTGTGCTTACCATCCCCAGGATACCATTCTCTGATTGTATCCAAACCGTATCTCCCTCAGGCAAGAATGAAGGGGCAAGTGTGGGTATTCCTATAGCATTCTAAGTGTCCATCTTTATGCTGTATGTCAACACACGTACCAACACCCAGGTTCACATAATACCCATGCTTTAGCTCCTTTGCAGCTCGTTTGGCAATCAGAATTCTCTGCGCCATCGCCGAATCTTTGGATGTTTCGAGTGTACCCTCATCGTCTTCCGAGCGTAGTTTTTTTATCTCAATGTGTTTCTCGTCGGTAGCAGGAACAATTCTATCCACAAATATTCCTGGTAGATCAACATCATTTGGGTCTATGGAGCCAACGGGGACAATGTTCTCTGCCTCGACTATGGTAACAGAGGCTGCCTTTGCCATAATTGGGCCAAATGATTTTGTGGTATAGCTGTATTCATCGATACTTAGTAGGCTTGGCTGTGAATTACGTTTTCTTCCACCTACCGAAAGACGCAGTTTCCAGTTTCATCTGCCTTCCACGCTCGAATAATGGCCACATCACCAGTCAGTGCTGTCTCCATCAAATAAGTTTTTCCATTAAACACCCTGGTCTCGCGGGGCTTGCCATGCTCCAACACCTTGCCAAATTCATCTAAACAGACCGGAATTTCACCCTCTTGGAGAAGGGTGTCTATTATGTTTACAGAAACGTAGATTAGAAACCCAAAGATCCAGGAAAGCAGGGCGGAAGGGGGAAGATAGATAGCTAGAGGGGAGAAGAGGAACAGTGGGAACTCACGCGCACCCGTAGGAGTAAAAAATGCAGGAATCCCTGCCCCTCCTGCACGTATCCTTTCTGCCAGCGTGCCTTGAGGACACAGCTCAATGGCAATATTGCCGGCGAGATATTTCTTCTCAAGAGCCTTGTTGTTTCCAAGGTACGAAAGAATTAACTGACTAACTTGTCCTGCATCTGTGAGTGTGGAAAGGCCGCCTTTTCCAGCAGCACCTGCATTATTCGAAACTGCGGTCAAAGAGTGCAGATTCTCGGCCCCTCTGCGGTGCATCGCCGATATAAGAGTCTCTGGCAAAGATAATGTTAGTTAAATCAAATTATTCACGTTGTACCACATGAAAGAGCCCATTATACCTGCAACACCGCAGAGACCGAACCCGGAACTGAGGATTGTGGATCCGCTCTTGAGATCAGCTACAGCTTCATCGGCATTCTTGAATAATTTCGAAGCACCACGATTGATCTTGGGTGCCAGCGAGGGCTGTTCAGTAACGGCAGTAGAGTATTTCAGGGACCCAATATCTCTTAGCCTAAACAGCGGTCGCACGTTTGTTTTCTGGTATGTCACCAGCTGTAAATGTTGGAGGGATACAGGAACGGCCCTCCGCGACAAGGCTAATGCCGAGATCCAGAGTATCGCCATTGTACCTGAAAATCTGTCGTGGTTGGAAAACGGGACAACCAGAATGATCGATCAATTTTCTCGCAATGTCACTACAAAGGGGCGCTGGGGAATAGCGAGGCAGCGTTAGATATTGATATCCATCCCCAACTAAAAGTTGAAATTAAATAGAAGCAGAGTCTCTATCGGCCTGGTAAGATTAACACGGAGTCGTAAAATGACGAAATCCTCTCCAGCATTCGGGGCTACTTTTGGATGCCGACAGTCGGCGGGGACCCACTTACGGTTCAGACAAGCGGAGAGTCTTAGAAGCCAAACTCTGAGGCATTGCCAGTATCTGGCCATTCCCAATTCATCATATCATCCAGTGGAACATTGGGAATGCTCGTTCCAAATGTTGTACCCGCTTGATTCACTGCATCAATGATCTCATCATCAGACATAGCAGAAAACTGCAGTGGTTCCGACCAGAATAAAGTCGGAGCAAACGGTGGCTGCGTCGCTGAACGTATAGAGCCATATTCATCTAGTATTGATGGAGGCTGAGGATTCTCTATAGATATAATTGTACTTGATTCGTTTTGAGCCGAATGGCCCGAACCCGAACCTCCAGGGACACGCCGGACTAGCTCTCGTAGAAACCGCCCATACAGGACGGACGCACCGCCTCTATGATGTGGACTTACTCCAATTCGCTCCAGGACGCCAGCGGTTTCTTCGACCAGGTTCTGCACACTTGGAGCCAGACTAGACCTACTATCAGCTGGCATCATACTGAGTCTGAGTGCAGAGCATGCAGCATATGAGATCATGATAACTGTATTGTTCGGCATTGATTTTAGTCGTGATTCCCCCTGAATAGCTGCTCTTAAAACATTCAGTGCAGAAGAAAGGCAAGCAGCGCAAAAATATCGCCTGACTTCAAGAGGCGCCGTCTGGTGATTGATCACACCTCCGTATGTTGACAACCGAGTATGGGTGACCAAAATTTCAACGTAAGGTGGTAAACAGCGTGCTTTCGTCGTGTTAATCTCTTTAGCTACATAGCCTATGCCAATTGCCTTCCTTGGGGTAATGTCGCAGTACTTACTAGGACCTTCTCCGATTGCTGGTGCCCAAGCATCATACCACCCGTCATAGAAGTCCTCTATCATCCTTTCGATCCTGGTGCTATTGTAAGCTGTCCTTGTCCTGATCTCCCATACCGGAAATAAACCTACGCCTGAGCAGCTTCCGTTCCAGTGCCAGCAATCCTGTGGCTGTCACAGTTCGATTTGACTTTTTGGAAGAGCTCATCCTAGGTGCACATATCAGCGGAAGATGTCCCTGCAAGGTAGATGGTAATCAATTTGGCTTACCAAATTTCTGCGGAGAACTGCCATTGAATTCAGGGCTCCATCATGAGAGTTAGCAATATTGGAAATATGCCACCAGTCACAGTTTTTAATTAGAAATGTTGGCGGAACGGTATAGCTTCTCCCGTGGGCTAGGCATACACTGAACATGATGTCAGTAGAGGCCATCTTTCACACACTTAGATTGACAAACATGCCCTCTTTCAAGAACAAACAAAGCAATCCAGGTTCTTTCTCTTCTTCGTAGTAGCCTCTGACCCCATTCAGAGCCCGGGTCGACGTCATCGAATCCATCCATGTTTAATGCTCTCCTGACATCAATACAATCTGCCTTGGCTAGTCTCCTAAGAACCTTATCATCAAAGCTTGTAGATGGCAGTATGGTCTTATTCAATGACAAGTCCAGAGCAACCGTGAGGGCCATTGCTATATAAAAACAGGTATCATCATCACCAAGACGGCTACCCGGAGCCATCCAAGGAATATTTACCATGAAAGCTAAAACAATTTCAACTGATCTAAGTCGCCGGGCTATGACTGTTTGAGCCAAGGACTTGCAGTGTCTAGACAGCCTTCTCGACAGGGCAGCCGCAGAAGGCAGAAAGAGGGCGGCCGCGGCCATGATCGATGTAAAAAGGAAAGCGGATTGGGAGCGCACAAACGATACCGTATGGACGAGAGGGTCAAGACCCCATCGAGTATGTGCTAGGTTTTGATAGAAACTAGAAACAAGTCAGCCATATCACCGCACGCCTTATTGTAATCCCAAGTCAAACACACAACGTGAAGAGCATTTTAGCCTCATTGAAAGTGACAAGTCCAATATCGATGGGGTCCATTTCCAGGCCAACGTCTAGACTCGCCCTTGCAGGAACAAAAAAGGACCTTGCCGTAGTTGCATTGCATTCGAGGCCACTTTGCCATGTAGATGTGGTTTCTAGCGAAGATAGTAAAGGCCGTTTATGTGTACCGGATACTTCATTTGGTGGTAGTTGGAGATCGGATGCACGTGCGAGTAGCTGGAGAGGATTCTCCGCATCATCCAAGGCCAGGCTGTCGTGGGTGTTGATGTCATGGGGAGAAGGACAAGAACGAGACGGATCAAGTTCCTGTAATTGATCATCGGCCTCACTGGGAGATTGTTGCCCTTGTGTCTTGTTGAGAAGATCCTGGAGATTTGATATAATATGTTGAGTAGAGTCGGACCCCGAGGCCTGGGTCTTGGGTCGCCTGATAGCTTGCTCTATTTGGTGCAATGCTTTTTCAAGACCTTTTCGTTTGCTGACGCCCCAGGGTAGTTAGCATATCTATTTAAAATAGATCCAAAGTAGTAGCAGTCTTTAGGATATCGCTTACTTTTTCACGCCTTTTTGTCTGCCCACGTGGTGACTGGGGACAATACATTCGAGATCGGCTTGCTTACATTTGTCACAGCGTACGTTATTAGCTGTGCTTCGATTGCATCGGATCTTGCTCCTTCTACAGTTAAGACATGCCGCCCGCCTAGTGTGAGATGACATGTCTAAATGGGGTGGTGCCGTCGGGCCATCCATGTCTTCGACACGAAACATGGGCTTCTCGCGGGGGTTGAACAGTTTCCATAGGATACAGTTGCCTCGACACGTCCCTCCTCATTAATTTATTTTGTGGCCAGCGAGCCAATCTGAAATTAATCGAGATACGGAGCAGCGAGGTATTAGTCGACGGTTAGGACATCATAAATTAGTTTTAGCTTCCAGGCTGATTGTTGAGGCCATGACGGAATAAAGCGGTGGACTTAATGCCGGTTGGCGGCACAGCCATCGTTCGTAGCTTTAAATGGCCTATTCACTATTCCGTACAAGTCTGCAACTAAAGTTTTAAAGGTTTAACTTTAACTGTCTGCCAAATTATGCGAAAAGGAAATGTGCAATAAGTTCAGTAGTGCAGTATACAGAAATGTACATTGCAATTAAAGCACGCCACAAACCAGTATTGAACACACCGTTTAAACAATAGTAAGTAGAGGACAACAGCAGAGAGTACATCTAGGGGGCATAACTTCGTAAAAATCTGTGGATAAGTATTGTAACCAAACATGCAAAAGTCGCTTAATTGTACGGCCGCAAGCCGTTGTGGTGAGTCGCAAAAAAAACCCTTAAATCTTCGTGTTACTAAAAGCGAGGTAACGGAGAGCGAGAGGTGTATATTAAAAGAAAAAGAGGGAAAAAAAAAAAAAAAAAAGGCCAGATGGAGATGAAGCGAGAAACCGGGATGACCATGGCCTTAGCTGGCAGCCCTCAGGGCTCGAAGCCGCGCTCCTAAGCCGTCCTCGAGTTCGCTATCGGCTTGTTTCTGCTCCTTGACATCCTCTTTTGGTGCCGTATCGGCTTCTAAGGCCATACGCATATCCACGCCCGCATCATCGGCAAGTTGCTCCATAAGACGATCAACTTCCGCCTCGCCTTCCGCACCGTACTCCTGCATGGAGACCCCTTGTGCAACGTCCTCAATCGCGCCGCTTGCGATCTTGAAATCTTCCGAGCGTGCCAAAAAGTTATTTGCGTGGGAGACCAAAGTTTCGAGATTCACACTTTTTGATGCAGCATCCAAGCCTCGTGATGCCAGCGCAAGAGTACGCGATGTGTCACGAGTACTCTGCGCTGCTTTGAGTTCGTTGATGATAACATCGGCGCGGGCTGCTTCTGCTCTAAGTGTCACTTGTCTTCGCTTCTCACGTACAGCTGAGGCAGCGTGGATACGAGCAATCTGAAATTCGCGATTTTTCATGGCCTTGTCGGCTTTTGCCTTCTCGGATTTGAATGTCGATTCGGCACGAGCGGCCTCCTTCTTAAGCCGATTAGAGTGTAGCTGTACTTGATAAAATCGTTCAGATTCAGTTCATTAGTCAAGGCACGCGAAGATGAATGTAGGGTAGACAAATGAATCAACAATAGAGCGGAGGCAGTAAGGGAGCCACCTACCTTCACATTCGTCCGAGCTTCAAAAATGGGATCCTTTCGAACCATGTTGACAATACTCCGGGTGTGGCAAAGAACTTAAGAAATGGTATTTTGGAGTATATTTATAAAAACTTCGCTAGAATATATGAACAATCCCGTATGACAAATAGAGGTGAGGGAGGGGACTTACAATAATTACAATTGGGGTTGAGATCCGAAATGAAAACCTGAAGGCAAGAGGCGGGGTCAGACGGACATTCTAGAATAGGAGGGAGGGCCTTACGAGGCAACGTCATCCAAGCCACCTCCGAAAGTGCTGTGCTCACCAATCACTGCGGGGTATACTTAGGCAAAAACACGCCCCAAGAAATCTACAGTAGAACTACCCTATTACATTCAAATCCAACTAGCCAATCAATTGCTAGTCATAATTCAACAAATAGCTAATCATTTCAAGTATTACTGTACATATACAGCACCAAAATCTCAGCATTCCTTTCCCATAAACAAAGACGTCAACGTCTCGCTCTTATTATTTGAACTCCTAGAACTCCGTGTACTCCTCCTTGTTGGCTTTACGATACTCAAGCGCTGACCATTTTGCACTGATTTCAAACCACTCAAAATTGGTTTGCGTCGTCCCGACTTCTCGAGGCGATCTATCGTCCATGCGAAGGTTAATAAATACTCCCAGGTGTAAAGGCACCCCTCAGTACCAGCTGCCGACACAGACACCTGGGACAAGCTATCGCTAACAGCTAGCTGCAATGCTCTGCCCGTCGCATCGCGAAGTGGACGCGCCAAGGCTGGATTGCATGCTAGAAGTCTGGCGAGAAGCCTCATCCGAAAGTGTGGACGGCTCGCTGCTTTCGAGACCGACAGGCTCGGAGTCGAAATTAACCATAGAATCAAATGGAAATGCCGATAGATCTCCTCCTTCGAGAATGTCAAAGGCGAACCCATCTTCAAGGACTGAAGAATCTGGCTCAGCGGAAGAATCACAGTGGAATAGGCGGTGGAAGTCATCGTCAGAAAGAGGAGCTGCAACATCATCTGCAGCGTGATTTCGAACGCTTGAGCCGAGGTCAAACAGCGGGAGAGCGCTTCCTTCTCCTTCGAGTCCACCGACGGACACTGCAGGTCACACAACACCACTGCAGGATGTTGTGCCACATCGGGGGACTCAGCCAGAGTAGAAGGCTTCAGGGTAGGGGAGTAGTCTGTTAAAGATGGAGTAGGGAATGGAATCCTCTCGAGAGGAAGTTCTTCATGTTCACGTTTGAACAATGTTGGAGTAAGAGTTGGAGACTCGGTAACAGGAGAGCCGGCCTTCGGTGTGGTACCGCGAGAGCTTCGGACTTCAGCAGCCAACTGGGCAACCTGTTGACTCAATAGGTTGTTTTCAGCCTCCATTTGAGATAAGCGCTGCATAAGAAATTGGTTCTGTTGTTCCATTTGGATCTTTTCATTTTCCAACTTCTCCATTTCGAGCCTCTTCCGCTCACGGGAAGTCTGGGCGGCAGCGCGGTTTCGAAGAACCCGTTCAATACGGCGCTGTTCTTTTTCGTCTTCCGTCTTTGCTCGTTTCCTGTAGGTTCATTAGAGGGAAAGTTCATCAAAGACGGTTCTGGATGTATGGCATACCTAGGAGGCAAGTTGGTTTTGGGAACTGGTAGCTCCTGACCCCATGACTTCCTCTTCTTAGCAGGTTTCTTATCCTCCGTCTTCACCTCCGCTGTCTTCTCACTCGGATCTTGCAACGACGTGTCCGCCGGAGAGACGGTAAGCACTGGGATATCTGATGCCGGAGTTCCGGGCAAGGAGTCGACTGAGAAGTCGTCTTCCATGGTGAAATGTATCAAGATTTGCTTTGCGCTGCCAAGTCAAGAGCAAATGATAAGTCGGAATAAATCTATTGCTGCGTAGAGGGGTAGTAGGCAAAAGGCACAGAGTGTTCGGGTAGTAACTTAAGACATCCACTAGCCGAGATCAGTATGACAGAAGCCAAGCTGTCATTATGATCAACGCCGCGAAGTAGACTGCGGTCAGGCAGTCTTTCGGGTAGCGGAGTAAAAAGAGGACAAGTGTTCAGAAGTTTGAGGAAGAAGCCAGAGTGTAGGAGGGAAATGGTTGTCCCTTTTAAAAGGCCAGCGTGGCCAGATCAGCCCGCCTGCAGTAAGGGGGCGGAGTTGCTGTCGTCAGCTATGGAACGGTAATATTACCTGGAATCCAGTAATTCTCATTCCGAATGATAGAATTGGAGGTAATTTTTCCTTTCCGGGTTGGTACGGTGGTGGTATCGTATTTGGCCCGGTGGTTCTCGTTTCTGGGCGGCCTCGATCCGCAGTCTCAGTGGGCTCTACCTGTGACACCGGGCCCACTGTATCAAGTTGGCAAGATTGAGAATGCTCCGTCGGGCTCCGGCAGGAAAGATCTTCGTGCCATTTTTATCCCTACCTATACGTACAGGCCCTAATATTATGGCCTAAATTCATCTGTGGAGCAATGGGCCTCAGTCCATTAGAGGCAGAAGATTGCTCTAATTGTGATGATGCCAAGGACAGAAAACCAAATAATAGAAACCATTCTGAGGGTCTAGACTCTATTTTTATTCTCTACTCGTACTTTAAGCCCGCACTTGTGGGTATCAAACATCCAGATATAAAATTCAAGCAAGCTTCAGCAGAGAACAAACAAAAATATGAAAGTAAAAAATAGAAGTGGAACACTGTTACAGAGTGCTCTGTGCACTGTTTCTAGGTAGTTTGGAACTACCGAAGTATGTATAGTTCTACCTATCTCACTGGGCTTCCCGTACATCGTTTCGAGATTTTACTTATTATATTGTAGAGAGGCGAATGGTCTCTCTCGGCCACCTGGATTCTAGCATAGACACCGATCACATTTGGCGTGCTCAGATGTCAAACTGCTCTAACCATGGTTAGTTATGTCTTGATCCCTAAACATTGGAATGTGTCCAGGCTGCTCGCTTTGAACAAGATGTACATCGTATTTAACAGGTACCTAGATACTCTTAAAAGTAATAAAAATATTGGAAGAATAGGAGTCCACTAAAGCGAGCTTTTTCCATCGAGGAATACGATCATCATTAGAGCGTGTGACTGCGTCTGGAAACTGGAAAGCAGATGCGATAAAAACAAGATGGAACATGAAGAGAAGGGGAAGAAAAGAAAAGAATAAAAAACCAACGCCTATCCCAATCACAGATCATGATAAGATCATATCCAATAGAGTTATGTGCAAAACTTTCTTGTCTCCATGGTCCCAGACGGAGAAAATGGGAGAGCTCTTTTTAAATGATTCTTAAAGCGTAACATCCATTGTGTCATCTCCAGCATCTAGAGCACCTTGCTTTTCAGGGTCTGGAACAACTATGCCTCGTCCACGGCCAGCCAACAACTCCCGCCTAACCTCGGGTCCAATGTCTTTATGACCACGCACCAAAAGCAAATCCAAAAGTGCCTCTCGTTGATCCTCAGTGATATCATTGCGGTAGCGCTGGGCAAAGACCAACAGTGACTGATGCCAGAGGACCGGAAGCTTATACGATTTTAGTGGCCCATCTGTCATCATTGAATCTTCGCCACCGTCGCCCGCACGAAAGCGCAGAAAATGGAAGACAAGAGCATCGATCACTTTGTAAGGGAGTGCGTACTTCTTCTCAAGAAAGACGCGAATGAACATATTAACGGCCCCAGTGCTTTCCAGGGACCTTAAGGATTGCTCTGCAGAGAGGTCGCACATGCGAAGTAGAGCAGCAGCGGAATGGAGAACCGGAATGGAGACCCGCGCAATGACCGAAGAGACAATATGAGCCTCACGCAAGGTACAGGTGCCACTAGAGACAAGAGGGAACAACAACCCCTTGAAAAAACAAGCGGGCTTGTACAGGGCCTTCTTCATCGAGTTGTAAGTATGCACATTGAGCTTCTTCGTCTCATGAATCTCCTCGCGAACACGGTCTAGCAGCACTGTAGAGATGAACTCTTGCGCAACTGCTGGCTTAGATGAAATAAAGATCCTCGTCCCAGCGTATACAGCATTAGCTGACCATGATTCTGGACGAGTGATAGAGAGGAGAGTCGGCCAATTGGGAACGGAAGGTAGAATTTTGAAGGGTTTTGGGAGAGGACCAGATTTATAGCGGGACAGGATCATGCCGACTCTGCTGTTTAGTCAGAATAATACTGAAGGAATCATCGGTGAGAATGATCTATCTGTCGACAACGCTTACTTTTCGTATACTTCAACGGCCTTTGCCGGTATCTGCACAGCATCTTCTGGCAACCCTCCACCCTGAATAAATGGACCACTATCTCCAGATTGCTTCGCTTCGTGTTCCGCGATCTTCTCTAGGATGAGGTCGGCCAAATTTGTAGTTTCTTGCTCGCGGGGATTAAAAATTGGGTCCTCGTCACCGCCGGGTATAAATTTATGAAACATATCGAGATCATTGGGATCAACTTCCTATTAGAAGATTAAGATGTGCAAGAAGATTGAATGGCCCGGACTTGTCGACATACCACTTCTTCAATTTCCTCCTCCTCATCCCACTGGTCATCTCGGAACTTCTCATCGTCATCTGATAAAACTCCATTCTCTTCAAACCGCGATTCGAAGTTGAAAGCCGAATTAACCATATCCCCCGTAGTGCCCATTGATTCCCTGCGCTCAGCCGCATCTTCCTCCGCTAACTCTTGTCCAATCTGCAAAATTTTGCGAGACAGCTTTGCATCCACAAAGCGCTCGCCATCTTCCTGGACCACATCTGACCGCGATTTTTGTTTGCCTTTCTTACTGGATTGGGTCCGTAAATGGCCTGCAGACATAATATCCTCCGCTAATGGATTATGCCTTCGGGCAGCGGCGGAGCGAGAAGGCGTAGCTTTCGGCATGTTTGATCGTCCTCTTCGCGTTTTGCGAGACAATATAAAAGTCGGACTTTGGACTATCGCATACAGTAAATTTTATTCTTTTTCTCTTTCTTTTTCTTTTTCTTTATTTTTTTGCGAGGTGATTTGAAAGAAAGATTAACACGTTTTGCCTTATTCAGTAAATCCAACCTCGACCTGTGTGTAAATTTCTGGGTCATGTAGTCCTCGACCTTTTTTTTTTTTTTTGGTACTAGCTTCACCGCTTTTTGAATTGATAATTAGGACTGGTAAATATTATTGACCGTCTTAATGCCCCGCTATGCCATTGTCTCAAGCCTAAATTTTCTGCCACCATTACCTTTTGTTGACCGCCTTTAAAGCCAACACAACAAAACTACCCCTACTCCTTTAAAAACCATAATCCATACCGAGGATTGAACTGCATTAATGGTTTCAGGTAAGGAATATTGTCATATTTAAATAGACTTCCTGGACTCTAAACTCGACTTTGACATAGCTGATTTAGCTTAAATCGATTCAATAAAAGCGAAAACCCCAGGCATACTTGATCTACTTTCTTTGGGCTTCAGACCATTTCACTTTCATTGCTCATTTCCGATACTGCAGTAATCCCATGATTGAAAATATCTAGCTTTAAAATTGGAGCGGAACTGTTTAATACTTTTTCTTAATATTTATTTTTCTCTCTGCACAGTACCACCATTTATGACATCAACACAGCCAAACGGGTCTTCGGCGCCCTCATCTAACATTAACTCACCAATATTGCCGACCGGTAATACAACGCTATTTAACGGCTCTTTACCTGATGCAAACGCAAGATCTTCGCCTGCACCCCCGAGTAATGCATCAGTACCAGCTGATACTGCAAGATCGAAGCGCAACAAACGTGATAGTCGGAAGAAACGTGAGGCCAAGGGATTGGACCAGGAAAATGCACCAAAGAAGAGAGCAGTTGCTGTCCACAATATTGCGCTTCCAAGCTCAGATCTTAGTATTCTTCGACCGCTACTGCTTGCCGAGCCCAGACCGTCGGATTTACTTCCCCCACAGCCTCGCCAGCTCAACCTTGTGAACCGGAGAACGTCAGATGTCATTGGACAAACGTGGAGCTTTTACGAAGTTGTTGACAAGCTCACTAATAAGAATGGCTTTCGCTATGGCTATGCTATAGCTGATCCAGCGTTTCCACATATTAAATACCGTCAGACCGACGTTTGTCCTTATCATGCACGATTCAGCTTCGAGGACTCGCCAGCAGCGATCTTTTTCAGTAAAGATGCGCTCGCAGTTACAACCAGCGAACCATGGCATACGGCACGCGCCAATGTATGCGCTAGGGAAGGAAACTTCTACTATGAAGCACGTATCATCAACGGCGTCACCAATGACTCGCAAACATGCACTACCAACGGCGTTTCCGGAGGTCCTTCCAAGGGTCATGTCCGTCTTGGATTCGCAAGAAGGGAAGCGGACCTTGACGTTAACGTTGGGGTTGATTGTTATGGGTACGGAATTCGGGACGTCAACGGTGAAGTAGTTAATCGAATGCGCTGCGAGTACTTTTTCCCAAAGGGCGAGTCAATCCGCGAAGGGGACGTTATCGGAATGCTCATTTCCCTTCCACCACTTTCACTCCATAGGAAAGTAGTCGAAGGCACCTATGATCCTGCAACCGACAAGAATACCAGCGTGTCAAACTCAGAGATGCCGTCAGCAGTGAACATTATCCGTGACCGAATTCCTTTCCACTATAAGTCTGATTTTTGCTGGCAGCAATCAAATGTGTTTCCCACAAAACATTTACGTGATTACGCATTCAATCTCAAAGAAACACCAACTTTTGGGCCTCCCTCGCCGCTGAATAGTGAAGACGCATCTTTGCGAACACTTCCAGGATCGAGTATCACAATTTTCAAGAATGGTACAAAAATGGGTACACCTTTTAAGGAGCTTTACGCATTTCTTCCACCAGCGAGTCGGCTTGCGAATGGCACTAACAATTTGGGTCTTGGGGAACGAGAGAATGCAGATGACGGAATGATTGGATACTTCCCTGCTGTGAGCTGCTACGGCGGTGGTGCGGTTGAATGCCGCTTTGAGGGCCCTTGGTGGATTGGCCCGCCGTCTCATACAGAGACTGGAGAGCCAATTCGAGCAATAGGAGAACGCTTTAACGAGCAGATTGTAGAGGACATCGTGGCTGATATTGTTGACGAGGTCGAAGCGATGCTGATCTGGAGTGGTGTGGATGGAGATGTTGTCGACAACTCCGAAATTGATGGCTCCAACTCTGGTCCTGTTGGAGGTTCTGAGGTGCTTAAAACGGGTGTTGGAGCAGCATATGAATCGGCCTTGTCTCCAGGTGCCAAAACCGAATGTACGACTACCGAGAACATCGTTGCTCATAGAACGACAGGGCTACCAGAGTTAGACCCTGGCAATACACTTGAGGATGCAATGGATGTGGATGCAGTAGACATGCCCCAGGCAGAAATATCTTCAGCGGTTCCTGAAAATACAGCCGTTGGTGATGATGTTGATAAACCTTCGTTGTAGCAAAGGGATCACGAGGGCATATAACACAGATCAGCAAATATATCTGTAGCCAGGAAATGGGAGGATCTTATTCGCAGTCCTGGCGTTAATCATCGCCAGCATATTGAAGTCCTCTTTAAGTGTTCATGTTTCCTCACTGCGCAAATGCACAGCGTCCTTGTGCATGCTCATCCTAGGTTACGAACTTTTAGCTCCACAGAAATCATGTAACAGAGCGCAAAAGCATGGATGGCACCGACTGAAGTATGTTTGTATAATAAGAGTAAGCAAGTGATTAAACAAGTTCATTCAAAAACATATAATCTCAATGCATGTAGGGTATTGACACGGGCCATGTTTAGAAACCCCTTCCCTCTAGGCACTTCCCTACTTTCAACACAAGCTCATCATCTCCATATTGACCAATTATCTGGATGCCTGCTGAATCTGCATCTTCAGAAGCTTGACAATCACTCGCTATGGTAACTGGAACAGAAACGGATGGGAGACCAGCTAAACTGGCAGGTACAGTAAAGACGTCATTCATATAAGCATCCAAGGGTGACACTACTGTATCAGAGCACATCAAGTCTGATATGCGAGGTGGTGATGACGGGGCAGTCGGGCAAATAAGAATATCCACACCATTATTTTTTGGCTCTATCCCAACGCCAGGTAGACAGAAAGTCAAGGGTTGCGCGGCGTTGAAAATGGCATTGAAATCATGCTGGACGAGACGTCGGATGCGCTGAGCCTGGATAAAATAATTGTCAATAGCATCAGCACTCAGGCTGAAAGTACCAAGCAGGATTCTTCTCTTGACTTCAGGGCCAAGTCCTCCACCTCTCGTATTGGCATACAAATAGCCATCTTGCTCTAGGTGATAATCGGGTTCCTCGAAACGCGTTCCATACCTGACGCCATCATACTTTGCCAAGTTTGAAGAGGCCTCAGCGGGTGCGAGCACGTAGTAAGCTGATAAAGCTAGCTTAGTTGCGGGAAGAGAAACCGGGCGAATGCTATGTCCCTGTTGTTGCATATAGCTCAAGGAGCGGGACCAGGCGAGGCGAATAGAAGGGGCAAGCTCGGATATGTTATACTCAAGTGGGACACCGATCTTAAGAGGCACGGTGTTCATCCGGGAAGAGAGAGAGGGTGCTTCTAGATGTGAAGCGATTCGGGAACGAGAAGACGGCGAGAGACTTGTTGGGTCGCGTGGGTCATATTTGTTCAAGATACCTGCATGCGAACAGCCATGAGCAACCTTTGCGCCTTAGAGAATAACAAGATATATAAGAAGACATACTGAAGATATCACGGACACTAGTCGTGCTCTTCCCTAGAATACCAACGGTGTCCAGCGAGTTGGCATATGCAACCACGCCCCATCGGGAAATTAGCCCATAGGAAGGCTTGAAGCCAACAGTCCCAGTATATGCGGCGGGGAGCCGGACGGAGCCCCCTGTGTCAGTGCCCAGCGCTCTACAGACAATTCAGGATTTGTTTAGTAAACAAATTTTTACCATCGGACTCAGAAAACGACATACGCATAGCATTGATCCGTAGCGACAGCCGCAGCACTTCCTCCTGAACTACCGCCGGCGGAAAGAATGTCCCCGTTGTGTAAAACTCCAACGGATCCAAAGTGCGAATGGGTTGAATACGAGCCCATACCAAATTCATCGAGATTCGTCTTTCCTGCTACAACAGCCCCTGCGCTCTCCAATTGTTCCACCACCGTTGCATTTGATGGGCTGCTGAATTGTTGTAGAATCCCAGAGGCACATGTCGTCGGTAGGTTGCGAGTGCATATGTTGTCTTTAATGGCGATTAGACGACCATCAACCTTCGATCGTGGCTTTCCTGGATAAGGGGAACACCTGTCAGCTGAAGTCAAAACACTCAGGTCAGGGCACATAATCGCATTCTCACCCTTCTCCCTGCGGATCTCCGCATCCCGCACCCGCTCCAGCCACTGGCCTGAGGGCCGCAAAGTGGTTATGAAAGCATTGAGGGCGACCTGGGATTTTTGCTTGGCTATACACCTCTCAGCTTCACGCAAGAGGGACATTTAGATGTCTAAAATACATGGAAAATGAGCCCACATAGCAAAACGGTGGATCCAAAATAGGCAGTTCGCCCATGCGGGCTCACAGTGGGTCTTTGCACATCCGTGATTGGTTCAACGGCTGTCGGTTACATATGATGGATGTCAGCACTCATAGTGAAATGCCTAGTTATAGCCAACATCTAAGGGAGGAAGAAACAAGAATTATATAAAAGGATACAGGCATCGGCATCAGTATCGATACACAAGCAAGAAATTACAGACACCCTTGGATAATTGATCGGAATACAAATTTATCGGCATCTTTGGTTTTCCGTTGGCCCGACGACGGTTTTAGAACATCATCCAGATTTTGCTAGGGAACACAACAGCTCCCCGTCCAGCTCCCTTACTAAAATCAGTTAGATCATATGTACCGACTCTCCTTTGGTCGGTACTTCTATAACACCAATAACTATGTTTTCACGAACCGCAGTTCAATCTGCAGTTACGACCTCTCGAAGCGATGCGATCTTCTCTCTGAAATCCCGAGTCGCCTGCCCCTTGCCCTCCGCAGCTACACATCGGGGTCGAGGCGGCATTTTTCCGAATTCTTTAGTGGGAGGTATAAGGTGCATCGCCGTTTACGGTTATACGCAAGCCCAGGCGCTTATATATTCGCGATACGGAGAGCCGAAGGATGTCTTACAGTATTTGCTCCCTTACTACCACCATGTATACCGCTTACTGAAACTTTATAGGCTTCATAGACACTCCATATCCCCTCCTCATGGTACTCAGGTCACACTTCGCCTTCTAGCTGCGCCTCTGAACCCGGCCGACGTGAACCAGATCCAGGGCGTGTACCCAAGCAAACCGCTTTTCCAAACAGCGCTCGGCACTTCGGAACCGTCTGCCGTTGCGGGAAATGAAGGCGCATTTGAGGTCATTGCAATTGGGTCTCGTGTCAAGAACCTTAATAAGGGGGATTGGGTGGTAATGAAACAAACAGGCCAGGGCACCTGGCGCACGCACGCTCAAATGGACGAGTCGCAATTGATTAAGATTGAGAACAAAGACGGGTTGTCTTCGCTCCAGATCAGTACAGTCAGTGTGAATCCGGTCACAGCATACCGAATGATCAAGGACTTTTGCAATTGGGACTGGATGCGTACTGGGGAAGAGTGGCTTATCCAGAATGGCGCAAACAGTGGTGTTGGGCGCGCTGTTATCCAGCTAGCGCGCGAATGGGGTATCAAAACCCTCAATATTATCAGAGAGAGGGAGAGCCCAGAAATGACTGCAGTGCTCAAGAAGGAGCTGTATGAACTGGGTGCGACTGCTGTGGTGACAGAAACTGAATTGCTTTCTGCTCAATTTAAGCATCTCGTGAATGAACTTACTCGTCAGGGAAAGGAGACAATTAGGCTTGGTCTCAACTGTGTTGGTGGTAAGAGCGCGACCGCATTAGCCAAAGTTCTTGCTCCAGGTTCGCACCTGGTCACTTATGGCGCAATGTCAAAGCAACCGGTCTCTTTGCCCTCCGGGCTTCTAATTTTCAAAAACCTCGTGTTTGATGGCTTCTGGGTTAGCAAATGGGGCGACAAGCACCCGCAGCTTAAAGAAAACACCATCAATGATGTGCTACAACTGACTCGAGCAGGCAAGTTCAAAGATATTCCTGTGGATGAGATCAAATGGAGCTGGGACACAGAAGGGCCTGTACTTGTGGCAGGCGTGCAAGAGACCCTTAGCGGCTACCGCAGCGGAAAGGGTCTATTCAAGTTCGAAGGCGGAGACTAGAGGTTTTGCTACATTGCCCGGCTGCACTACAAAATATTTGTCTTTATGGTCGCTAAAATTACTGCGCGAAATAGAATGGAAACTCCTCACCAAACCCAAAATATGTGAGGGTAACATGACGCGGTGTGGGAAAGAATGACGGTCGTGAAGCCAAGAACAATGTGAATAAACTTAGACATCACCACAGCTCCAGTTATTCTTCACCCAGTCCAAAATGAGTCTTGTGAATGTCATGGATGGCATGTACACATCACTATCCCTCGAAATATCAACATCAAGATTGGCGAATTTAGCTGCAAGAGCCACGTAAGACTCTATAAAGTCAATGTATACAAGGTCCACTATTTCAGGGATTGCAGATTCATTTAATGACATTCGGGCCTGAATGCAGTTTGGTATGCGATAAAAAGGGATGGGAGAGTGGATGGTGTCATCGCCGTCTCTGCCCCCATCGTCAGCTGTGGTATACCCAGGTAGAATAACAGGCTGAGGGTGGTTATCGCTCATCAGTGGGAATTGGTCTGTGTGCTGATCACGCTCCATGATGCCCTGGTAAATAATCGAATCATGGTGATATATTGACTGTTCAGGGGGGGCAAGTGGCCATATATAATGACTTTGACTGTCGGAACTGTCAAGAATCTGGGGTTGTTTATTCAATATCTCCAAAATCTGTTTTGCTTTTTGATAAGGAATATTTTTCAGATAACGAAATCCGCTTTCAAATGGAGATACTATAAAACTAGTGTCTTGGGTAAAGGGCCCCTTGAATATATCAAAGCGGATTGCACCAGTATTAACGATGGCAAGGGTGGGCTTCCCAACTCGAGATTTATCTTTCAAGAATTCAGGCAGTACCTGTGTCTCAAGCCAAGAGTAAATGCTACTCTCATTAGGATACGGAACTCGAGACATCCAAAGATCCCGAGGGGCGCAGCCATGTATTTTGTCCAATTGAAGGGCGCTTCTAGATTCTTGGATAAATCGGGACACATTCCGACCCAGTTCTGTTGTAAATGATTCAGAGTCAAGACCAGTATGGTGAAGGAAGGAGAAAATATTGTTATCAATATATCTCCTGTGGAAGGTGGGGGTTGTGAAAGAGGGGTTTCTCTGCCTCTTGTTCGTAGATAAACCGTCTATCGACATGAAACCTATAGTTTCCATAAAGCGCCCACTTGCCAACCCATATGCTTTAGAATCGAGTCTGGCAAAATCACGGATATGATAATGACCACCAAAGAACTGGATTGGTATATCCTGATGGACGGCCCTGATTTCTTTGAATACAGTATTATACTCTTTGGAGTGAACCGGCACATGGCCAATCACAAGAAAAAGGTCAACATCCTTGTCCCTAACTGCTTCTTGGAACCAAACCTCTTTGACAGTTTCTTCTACGGGGTATACCATAGTGTTATTGTAATTCATCCTGAAATCAAAAAGGAATCCAAAAGCAGTGATGCGGATGCCCTGATTTTCAGTAGTGAATTTTTTAAAGCGAGGAGCGAGCGGCACAAGTACTTTGGTGATGGGATGTACAATATCGATGTTCGATGCTAGGTAATTCCCTCGAAAGTTGGTCACGGTGGTGAATAGTTCAGCCTCGGATGTGTTTTGCTTGTACAGTTCGTGGTTTCCGGCCGAGATGAGGTCGATATGCTGTTCCCGCAAGATCTTGGAAATGTAGACGCCTTTCGGCTCAGATGAGTCATATAGTCCATTTCCTTCCACTCTATCGCCTGTATCTACCACCAGCAGATCGACACCCTGAGCGTCCGCCTTCTCTCGCATGCGTGATGTAAAGGAGATATAATCACCCCAGTCTGCGGAGTAAAAAGGCCTATAGCTCATTCAATTAGTACAGGATTAGAGAAGCGTTCGTGAAAGCTTCCTGGTCATACTCCTGTAAATGGCCAGCCAACCAGCCATGAGTATCAGTGGTATGAAGAAAATTGAGTTGTCCCCATTTTAAGTCGCGTAATGGTGCTGGGACTGGATCAGGTGCTGTGGGCTGAGCAGCGAGAATGGGAGAGCCAAAGAAAAGATTCAAGAAGAGCAGAGCAGGAGCATATTGGTTGCAAGTCATTCTTTTATGGAGAGGTATTTTGGTCAAGGTTATGTCCATAAAACAAGGCCAAAGTACGGAGTACTTAGGTACCTACTGTTATCATGTTTTGAGCTTCAGCTTTGTTATTATCAATAATCGGAGACCGGAGGTCGCACGACCGAAGAAGCCGCCGGTGAGATATTGGGTCTTAGTCAGCTTAACCCAACAGACTCGCGCGGGTTCTCACCAAAACCAAAAAAACTTGGGTATTGACGACAAAAGATCCAAATCGGAGTTGCGGTCTGGTGCCTTTTCTTATAATCACCTCAACTTCGAATTGCATTTACAGCAGAGGATCTGTGCGCATTATCTCGTCCCATCTGTTGGATTTTGTGACCTCGATCGGCTATGGCTGCTCCCCGTGTTTTCCGCCCAGCAGCTCGTCTGCTCTCTTCGCGCCATTCTACCTCATTACGCCCTTCCTTTTCGCAATCTGCATGCGCTCCTTCACTTCTACGTTTCCGGAGTTATGCTACGGCAGGCAATGTCAAGGAGGTCACTGTTCGAGATGCACTGAACGAAGCTCTCGCAGAAGAGCTGGAAAGCAATAAAAAGACTTTCATCCTTGGAGAGGAAGTCGCACAGTATAACGGAGCGTATGCATCCCTGCTTTAGCCATGCCCCCAACATCACTTTGCGTTGCTGATCTTCTCGCGATCTCCAGCTACAAAGTGACACGAGGTCTATTGGATCGTTTCGGACCTAGGCGGGTTATTGATACCCCCATCACAGAAGCAGGCTTTTGCGGTCTGGCAGTTGGTGCAGCCCTTGCTGGCTTGCACCCTATTGTAAGTCTATATCGAACCAATACTCTAGATATTCTTTTACTAGAAGTGGCCAGCAAGCTAATCGACAATTGGGTGGTTAGTGCGAGTTCATGACCTTTAATTTTGCCATGCAAGCCATTGATCAGATCATCAACTCGGCTGCGAAGACCCATTATATGTCTGGAGGTATCCAGCCTTGCAACATTACATTCCGTGGGCCAAATGGATTCGCCGCCGGTGTCGCCGCTCAGCACTCGCAGGATTACTCAGCTTGGTACGGAAGTATTCCTGGACTGAAGGTTGTTTCGCCCTGGAGTTCCGAGGATGCGAAGGGTTTGTTGAAAGCTGCTATCCGTGATCCCAACCCTGTCGTGGTTCTGGAAAATGAGTATGTTGATTTCTGACTAAGCAAAGAAAAGAATACAAAGGAGAAACTAATAATGTATAGGCTCATGTACGGCCAGGCCTTCCCCATGAGCGAGGCAGCCCAGAAAGATGATTTTGTCCTCCCTATCGGCAAAGCAAAGATAGAACGCCCTGGAAAAGACCTAACCATTGTTTCCCTGTCTCGTTGCGTTGGACAGTCCCTCAACGCTGCTGCCACCATCAAGCAGAAATACGGGGTCGAAGCCGAGGTGATCAATCTGCGCTCTATTAAGCCTCTCGATGTGGAGACGATAATTCAGTCACTCAAGAAGACGGGCCGCCTCATGGCCGTCGAATCTGGATTCCCAATGTTTGGCGTCTCTTCTGAAATTATGGCCTTGTCCATGGAATATGGTTTCGACTACCTGACTGCCCCTGCTGCCCGTGTAACTGGTGCCGAAGTGCCGACGCCTTACGCCGTTGGCCTTGAGCAGCTGAGCTTTCCCCAGGAGGACACGATTGTCGGTCAAGCTGCAAAGCTACTCCGTCTGTAATTTAATTTTGCTTGAGCAGCGAATGGGAAGAGCTCAATAAAACCCGCAATAGAATCATCAGCTTAGTACCCCTTTCTGCTGTGACCATCTACCCGAGGACTTCTTGGTCCAGTTCTTATTTTGAAATATGTACAACAAAAGATTCAGCTTCAATTTACATTTATAGATTTTATGTCCAAGGTATGGTCTTGGGTTGTTTCTGGAAGTTCGATGCAACAGTCTCAGTGAAATCGGGCTATAGTGGAGCCATATACCTATATTTCCCCGGAGGATAGCTTTAGTAACAACCCGTAGGCAAAACACCTTTCTTTTTCTAAACCATTGTTTGTATCTGAAAAACATCAAGGACTCAATTATTCAGAACTCCTGGCAGGGTAACACCTAGTGCGAACTCCACACCGAAATAACGCCAACCTGTACGAAGGCCAGGGCTGTTCCTACACCATAGTAGGGGTGGATTTCACTGTTCTAGCCCCAGTGCACGTTGAAGAACAATCTGTCGGTCTCCGAGGGTCATACCATTCACCGCCTCCCCCATTATTTTCGTACTCTTCATCGGTGTCGCTCTGTGTATTGTCATGTTGGAAGCCACTTGAGCCATTAAGCAGTCGATCTTGAACAAGTTCATTCGTTTCGGCTATTTCCAATTGATCATTGTCATCATCATAATCCCCAAGCACGTTTTTCTTTGTTGGTGCTGCAGGCCCTTTCACAGCTGTAAAGGAGCTCTTGAACCCTCCTTTCTTGAATCCTCCTCCACTACCTCCAGCTTTGGTCGCCCCTCCTATTCCTGTAGTTGTACCATTCTTATTGGTGTCGATTACTCTTAGCCCAGCTTCTGCATCGGCTTTTTTCTCTGCCCGTCTTGCTTTCTCAGCAGCATTAGGGTCCCGTGATAACTGTTTCAGATCCTGTAGGCGTTTGCGATGTTGATGGTCATAAGAAGAAATATGTGCTTCGTATTCTGGGTGTCGAGAATACGATTTATTGCAAAGGGTACACGTAAAAGAACTTAAGGCAGAACGCGCTGATTCAGTCTAAGAAATGTTGGCACATTAACGTGGTGTCCCGCGTTGTCCCGCGTAAAATGCGATTCGAAACCAGCGTACCTTTGGAGTTGGGTTTATAAACCCTCGCTATATATCAAAGCAAGCTGATTTAGCAACCTAATCAGGCATAGTACACTTGAGCCATAGGGATAGTAATATGCAGACATACAGGTGCCATCTTTATCCGCCAGTGAGTGATACGTCCACATGAGCAAATCCTTAAGAGTTCATATGAAGGTGCAGGACAAGCTGCCTCACCAAAGGCGCACCTGTTCTGCCGACTGAAAACCACTGCCAAGTTCTAATATGGCTATTGTGTAACTAACAATAACAAAGGGAATTTGGTTTATAAAAATGAACCTATAGAAGGATGGTTTAAGCCCACCAGTGGTGCTTCCAACTAGCAGAATTACAAGTCCACTTCCGGAAAATGGAGACTCCGCCAAGCCACCTTTTTGCAGGATTGTTGCCCACAGTTGTACATCCTCTTATCAGATTAACATTCTAAATTAAACAAAGCTTTTCAAACGTGCCATTCTAAAAGAAGACTACGTAACCTTGCTCTTCATATTTAAATTATATATCTTCCATTACCGAAGATACTGATCTATCTTACATTTATTTGATTCATGTTTTATACGGGTAAAACCCCGACCAGTTGAATGGGCCACCAACCCTTCAAAGGGTGGATTGGTCTGAGCTGACGGATGTCCTACTTAATTCTACAAAAATTCCAACCGCAACGTCAATTCTAAGCCTTAACAGATAGACGTTTATGATACTAGTCCCTTATGCTAGTGACTTCTCGTTTCCTATCCTTTACTCTTTTTGACTCCTTTTTGGGCCTCTTTTCTGAGACTGATCCCCCCTATGTCGTCTTCGAAGAAATGCAGTCCACAAAAGCCAAGCGAGGTCGACACTCGCTCAACAGCTTCCTTACAGGAGCTAGAACCGTCTCCTGTGCAGGATGAATTCCCAGACATTGAAAGTAGCGAATGTGCTACCACTCAAGACTCACAGTCTGTATCACAAAATTGGTCCCCAAGTTATTTCTCCTCCCCCAAACTTGGTCTCCGTGCGCATGGATGGCATTCCTGGCGTATGTTTAGGACTTTTTGTCACCTTCTACCCCAACTGTATTCGAGCTTTATACTTACGTACATCTTTCTAGTATCCGCGCTGCAGAAATTCTCCACGTACCCGCCTACACTGTTCCTCGTGTTACACTTTACCAATACTTCCCTAATTCCCCTGATAACTCGTTCAGTGCCCGCTAGTGAACGATATCTTCTCCTCACGAGACCTGTGTACCAGGCACCATTACTTGAGCATGTGGTCCTAACTGTCCCAGCTGTAGTTCATATGGCCACCGGGGTTGCTCTCCGCGGCATCCGTTGCTCTCGTCAGGCTCGGTTGTACGGCGCAGATACTAGGTCGCAGAGATACCTGTTGAGCTCTTGGCCGCGCATGAGCTTACAAGCATGTCTTGGATATGTGTTGATCCCATTATTGGGTATTCATGTCCTCGTTAACCGCATTACACCGTGGATAGTGGATGGTGGAAGCTCCGGCGTGGGGTTGGGCTATGTGTCGCAAGGATTCACCCGGGGTCCTTTTTTTTGGAGCGTATATTATCTATTGTTCGTTTCTGTCGGAGTGTGGCATATCGTTGGAGGGTGGGCCGCCTGGATGGGATGGAGAGTCACTACAATCCAGAAGACACGGAGGAACAAGAAAGGTTCTCTCGGGGGCTACCTTGGGCACAATGAAAGGGAACAACGGACCAGGAGATGGGAGAAGATATGGTGGATAGTCAATGGTATTGCAGCAGTGGGAACGTCCATCTGGCTGGCAGGAGCTCTAGGGGTTATCGGGCGTGCTGCAGGACAAGGAACTACTTGGGAGACTACAAGTTGGAATAAAATATACAGCCAAGTGCCTGTCCTAGGAACTTGGTTCTAACATGGATGCATGGAAACATTTCTGTCTGTCAACATCCTGACGTCTGGCATCGCTAGTGTAAAATATCTATTATATTTAGAATAGTATCTTTATTGATTGTAGGAAGATGATATAGCGATACCACCGTAGTTAAATATAGTACTGTTTTATATACAGAAACCTATATATATAATAAGAGGTTAAAGGTTTTACGACTCCTCCCCTCTTTTCTTTTTTTAAGCGCCTATATACCAACCTACCTAGATCGCGCAGAATATAGAGATAGAGTATACTAAATACATCTTATAAGGAGTAGGAGCATAATCTGTAGATACCTTGCTAGTCAGGTCACCCAAGATTCTTAGTTAATGTTACCTTTGTACTCCATAGTCCGTAAACTATGACTTGGTCCGTGCTTTATTTTTTTTAATTTTTTTTTTTTGGCCTAAATCCAAATATTCCATGGACATCGGCCAATTCTTGCATTCCTCATTGTGTCCACTTCCAACTTTACTCTGTCTAAACGGATGAGTTCGAATCCCTGGATTCTTTATCGCTTTACGAAATCCACGAGCACTCGTTTACTTTCTGGCTCTGTCAGCCCCATCCTGATACCCAAGAACATCCATGTCATTCCTCGATATCATTTCGACCAACCAGCCTTGCGGTATTTTCTATCTCCATATTCGACAATGGAAACACCACTGCCACCCCGTATGTCTGGTGGATACGTGCAACACGATGGCAAAGAATACAAGGCAGTAAAAGAAGGATTAGCCTATATCCTGAGCCCACCTACGCAGTCTGCAGCATCAGAGGAAACGAAGACAGATCCCACAACGTGCGAGGCAACTCAGTCTGTGTTTTATAATCCGATACAACAATTTAATCGTGACCTAAGTGTGCTTGCAATCAAGGCCTATGGCGAACATCTGCTGTCTTTAAAGAAGCAGAAAGCTGCCAATAGAGCGCGGAAGAGCGCGGAAGCCATATTAACAAAAGGTACAAAGCGAAAGAGGGACGAGTTATATGGAGAAGTGCAGGACAGTAAAAGTGAAAATGATGAGAGATTGGTGCCAAGTCCCAATCAGTTGGATTCGCGGGCGTATATGGAGCAGAACAATTCGCCATCATTCACTATTCTAGATGCGCTTTCAGCTACTGGTTTACGGGCGTTACGATATGCTTCAGAAATTCCATTTACGACTCGTATTGTTGCGAACGATTTATCGCCCTCTGCTGTTCAGTCGATGAAGATGAATATTGAGTACAACGGGCTTGGGAAATTAATTGAACCCAATATTGGCGACGCACGGGCTTATATGTACAGTCGCTCAAACATGCACAGAGCCCAGAGCATCGGAAATTCTTCTAGTAGGTTTGATGTCATTGATCTAGACCCTTATGGCTCCGCAGCGCCATTTATGGATGCTGCACTGCAAGGAGTGAAGGATGGAGGTCTGCTCTGCGTAACCTGTACTGATGCTGGTGTATGGGCATCAAATGGGTACCCCGAAAAGTCATTTGCGTTATACGGCGGTGTCCCAATCAAAGGCTCACATTCTCATGAGGGTGGATTGCGTCTGATTTTACACGGTCTTGCGATGTCTGCAACCAAATATGGACTTGCAATTGAGCCACTTTTGTCTTTATCAATTGACTTTTATGCTCGAGTGTTTGTTCGTGTTCATCGATCACCGGCTGAGGTCAAGTTTGTTTCGGGTAACACAATGATGGTTTATAACTGTGATTCAGGATGCGGGGCTTGGTCAACGCAGCCTCTAACTCAGACGAAGCAGAGGCTTGACAGGAAGGGGACACCCTTTTATCACTATGGGTTCGCTCAAGGTCCAGTTGCAGGGACGCAATGTGAGCAATGCGGATTCAGGACTCACATAGGTGGTCCAATGTGGGCAGGGCCTTTACATAATCCCCAATTTATCCAAAAAATTCTCGACATGCTCCCCGAAGTAAACAAGGATACCTATCAGACTGCTGACAGGATAGAAGGCATGTTGATCACAGCACTCGAGGAAGACCTATATATCAACGATTCTGCCACACTCCAGACTCCAGTGTCTGCCGACATAGAGGGCAGTAACTCTTCTCCAAGTAAATGTTCAGCTATTATTCCACGAATGAATCCGGCACAACGAGAACCACATCCTTTCTATTTCAGCCTCAGTTCTTTGTCCAAAGTTCTTCGCACGTCGACTGTTCCGTATGATACATTCTGCGGAGCTCTCCGACATATTGGCTATCGGACCGCCCGTAGCCATGCAAAGCCCAACACAGTGCGTACCAATGCTCCTTGGAGCGTGATCTGGGAAGTTATGAGAGAATGGGTGCGGCAAAAGTCCCCAATAAGAGAAGGTGCCTTAAAGGCGGGAACTGCTGGCGCCACCATCATGGCTAAGAGTCGAAAACAGTCGCGGGAATCCAATGGAGGAAACCAGCTGTTAGAGGTTCTGAGGAATGAAATTAAGTCTGCAGTCGAGAGTGGAGATAATGTTTCTGATGTGGTCACCAAAGTGGAAGCAGCATTATATCGCTCGAGGGCCCGGCCGTCACATGAGAGTTCTGAGACAAATCGAGATTTGGGCGTTCCAAACTCACAGGAAAGCACACTGGAGATTATTTTTGATGAGGCTTTAGGTAGAGAAGCATCCAGTAAAAGGCGACTTGTGAGGTACCAGACCAATCCTCGAGCGAATTGGGGCCCCCTGAACCGAGCATCTGGTGGAGGATGAGGGTGAAAAGTATCGTTTGAAGCTTTATCAACTGATCGTGCATTGTGTCTCGCCTATTGAGCACCTTTATAAACATCTTAATTGCTACCTTCCATTACTCGTGGTAACGTACGGCACATTCTAGAAATCTCCCCGCAGCGTAGTCCAATTTTGGTTCAAACCAGAGCGAAACAGCGACATATTAAGCATCAGCACACCATTTATCCCGTACTTCCACTTATCTCAATTAAATGCAAATAGTACATAGCTACAAATGGCTACAAGCGCGCACCTTGCTTAGAACTGTAGATCAATTGCCCTCGTACGACACTTCCTAGCCCCTATGACAAGCTAATTCAAGACAAAATAGCCAGGAAAGTGTGCAAAGTTGTATCATGAAATAGACGACTATCTATGCTAAACACAACAAAACCATAGAATTTACTCATAAATACATTAAAATTTTGAAATAGCAACTGCCACGGCCTGAGAATCGCTATGACTTATGCTGACAGTGACCTGCTTAACACCATTCTGCCGGGCAGCCTCAGCCGCAGCACCATAGAGCTACTCAAAACGTTAGCCGCACATTTCAAAACCCAAGTCGGGCAAATTAGAAACTTACATTCACGAACGGCGCTCCAGTTGCATCATTCACAATTTCGATGTCTTTCAGAGGAGCACCAGCTCCCTTGCTTGAAACACCCAGGGATTTGAAAACAGCCTCCTTCGCACTCCATCGTCCGGCAAATGATGCATGCGGAGAAGCCGCCTTGCGACAATATTGCTCCTCGCTGATTGTGAAATTTCTCTTGATAAACGTTTCGTTGTCAACGTTAACAGAATCAATACTTTCCACATCTACTCCGATCCTCGAGTTGTCAACCACATGGGCTTTCGCCAACGATTCAACCATTTGTCTCGTACTCTCAGCACCTTTGTCGTTGACCTTGGGAGGTACAGCAGGAAATTTCAGCTCAGAGGACTTTCTGTCCACTGTAACCCGATAATCAGGATTTAAGAAAACCTTGCTTTGGAGGTCATCTTCATACGGCGCCTTGTTCTTAGCCACAAAAATACTGTTGTTGATCAACCCGTTGTGGAAGAAACGGTACGCCTTCTTTTGTCTAGCCTCAACCTTGGCTTTGTAGGCAAAAAATTGTGCGCGGTCAAGGGTTGCGTACAAGTACTTGGGATGGATACCGATAGCTTGAGCACCCTTCTGGCCAAAACCAAAAGAGGTGACTGAAAAAGCCTTAATACCATCTGTTTGAATGCTACGACTCGGGTAGACAATGTAATCGAACTTCTCCATTGCCTTATCCACATTGTCGGCATTTCGGTTGCCAGGAACAAGGCCGCTATCAAGGACCTGCAAACAGCCGTTGAACATCCAAGCACCAGCTGCACCTTTCGGGTGTCCCGTCAGGTATTTCTGGAAGATCCCCAGAAGAGCGTTGCCTTTCTGGCGGCCTAGATGCTTCATCTGCTGGCAAATAACGTCGGATTCGTTTTTGTCATTTGCCACAGTGGAGGTACCATGGAAAGAGGCAACGCCGATATCATCAACAGTAAGACCCCATGAAGCAAGTGCGCCTCGAAGGGGAGCGATACGAGAATCTTGTTTCCAAAAGTTGTTTCCAAGGCTGAATTGCGCGTCCTTTTCTTGCCGAATAGCTTCACGTTCAATGTGCTGGGCTCGTTCTTGCATATATTCTGATTGGTTAAAGGATTCGTGACCCTGGGCTCTCATAGCCTCAGCCTCTTCCTGGAGATACAGCAGCTCAGACTCCTGCCATTCCTTGATTTGCTTTCTTCGCAATTCCAGCTGTCGACGGCGATATTTGATGTCTAGCAAAGGAGATGGGAATTTGCCTGGATTCTCCCGGGCAGTAGTTAAAACGCCCTGGCCTGGCGCAGGAACAGAGCGCCCAATCTTGTCTGTTGCTGTCGTCGTCAAAGCAATAACACCGTGAATGGGCACACCCATATCCAAAGCAAGCTGTGCACTCATCAGGAGTTGCATTCCGCAACCTTGAGATTCCATAAACCCAGCACGTGTTGTTGTTGTGGGTCGAGACATTTCTTGCGGAGTTCGACCATGAGCAAATTCATCTTCAGCATTACTGGTGGCCTTCATATTGGCAAACTCATACGACCCCTCTTCCTGGAAGTCATCGAACCCACCGACAAAGCAGACACGAGCTTTCCCTTCAACAATTGTCTCGTAACCAATATCAACCGACTCAACAGCTGTAGCACAAGCACCAACAGGGGTTTTTATTGGTCCTGTAGAAGATAGCAGTAGCATGTTAACCCACGCACTCATGGTATTAATGAAAGACTCTTGAAGAATATCTTTCTGGAGAGGCTTGTCCAGATAACGATCTTTGTACATTCCTCGCAGAGCGTGTGTCCCTCCAATACCAGAGCCAATGCAGTTGCCGACCTCAGACAGGTGAACGTACTTATAGAATTCATATGGATCGGTGATGCCAGCAGAGAGCATTGACTCAGCGGTACACACAAGAACGAACAATGTCACCGGGTCAACCTGTTCAATGATATCATCAGGAATACCATATCGCTTTGCGTCCCAGCCAGTCGGAACTTGGCCAGCGACAAGTCGATCAAACTGAAGAGCCTTGGGAATGAGAAGAGTGGCACCCTTTTTAAGACGGACGGTAAATTCTCCTGATTCTGGAACCTCAAAGGTCTCAACCTTATCTCCATGTTCCCTTTTGAAGTCTTCCGCAGTCTCCTTCGAAGCCTCAAACGGATCCAAATCTTCCTCTATCACAATTTCTTGGAGTAGCTGCTTCTTTTTTGGGTCATAGCCCTTAAAAAGTTCAGGCTCGATAAGTCGAATTCCGGAATGTTCAAGAATATACTTCTCATACTTTGCCTTAATGTCCTTATCATCCACTGGTTCGCCTGTCTTCACATCAACCCAGCCTGAATATGTTTTCCCCTTAAGTGGACCATTGTGATGCTTAATGATTCCCATGATCCAAGCCATTTCCACACAGCCTTCTAGAGAGAACTTGCCATATGCTTCCATCTCCCAACGAGTCCGCGAGTTACCCCAAGGACCAACTTCTGAGAATCCAGTGACAACGACGACTTTGTCCAGGTTGACCATACCTTTGAGGGTCTCGTTGAGGGGCTGGATATCATCGTCCCATTTTGGCAGGTTGGGGAACTGAAATTTGATATTGGCACGTGGCTCTGCAATTGCACGTTTGTAGAGCATCTCGCTGTCCTCTCCATTGACGATTTTGTTCTCTATGGCTGTCTCCTTGATCACCGCTTTACGAACATCACTTGTCGCCATAATGTCTGTGCGGAGCTTGGTCATAAGGTCCTTAAGATCAGGAATGAACTGCAGCCCACCGTTAAGGTCAGCCCATATAGGGTCAAGTTGACACAGGTTGACAATTGTAGGTGCCATCAGGCCGAGAAGATTCAACGCCATCTCTTGTTGCGAAAAGGTCCGCACACCTAGTTTCTCAACGCCTTCAGCAACCATGTTATTGCCACTCATTAATCCAGTACCACGAGTCCAACCAATTACAGCACCACAGATAGTTAGGTAGTTATGCCAGCTTTCAGAATACCAACGGTTGAATAACGTTTCCAAAGCAAGCTTAGACTCGGAATACAAACCGTCGTTTCCGAAAGTACCATGGTTAGGGGACAAGGGGAGAATGACCTGGGCTGGGCGAGTCTCAAAACCATTCGTCTGTTTTTGAGTCTTGATGCAGCCCAACAGCCGCAAGAGATTGGTCAACATAATGCGATGGGCGAGTTCTGATTTAGAGTCGATGTTGTCAATCTCACGACCATTCTCTGGAATTGCAGCAAACGGAATGATGAAGTCCAAGTCCCAGCCAAGGCCTTTCTTGGAGTCATAGATATAGTTAACAAGAGCCTCCACATCTTGCTTGCTACCCTGGTTGAAAGGGACCACGACCAACTGCGAGCCACGGCTACCATAGCGGGCATACATAGCTTGATAGTACTCCGTCACTTCCCGCGAATACCTGCTTGTAGTCACAATCACCTTGGCTCCACCACTGATCAAGCCTTGCAGGACCTCAGCACCAATTGAGCCAGCACCAGCGCCTGTCATCAACACGTTTTTCCCTTGGAATGTCAAGCCAGACCGGGCAGCTGACTCCAAAACATCGAGGTAGACACCAGTTAGCTTCTTATTGTATTCCCAGCCATGCTCCGTCTTCTTTTTGAGATGCAAGAAAGGTATGGTTTCGACCTTGCCCGTACTTCCATTACGCTTGTGTCCGTTCCGTCCGGATTTCTTGGTATGGCTGTTTTCTTGCGGCATGATCTGATTCTCATTCATACTCAAGGCGCGGATCACTTCCTTATAAAGAGTGCTGAATTGCAACTGCGACGACTTAGATAAGCGGTGTTGTCGTCTGATTAATTTATAAACGCTCCGAAGATCATCTTGCACCTTAGCTCGATTGCTGTATTCCGAAATAGGGCCACCCTCTGCCATTTGCTTGACGTAGTGCTCTAATTTGCGGGCACTGGATCGAGGAACCTCCTGATAACCAACGTTCCCTCGTGCATCTACAGTCGTCTGTGGACCGGTAGGGATAGCCACATCCTTGTAAACAGGCGCGACCCCAAGAACCTCCTTGCAGTTTTCTATAAGCTGCTGACCAAGTTCCTTGGCAAGTTGATACGTTTCTCCCCGGTCGGTGGGGCAGTTGTCAATATGATACTGCATAAATTCGAGCAAAAGCGGGTTCGAGCGGTTCATGATTCGGATACATTGACTCACGATCTCGCGATCAACGACTCTTAGTCTTCCAAAGATGATATCATAATACATGCTCAGAGCATCCTGTCGAGCCCAGTTCCAGGAGGAGTCGTATACACGGGCTTTCAAGGAGTCAAAGGCTGGCTCAATACCAGAAGCGTAGAAGTCACCATGTTCAGCCTGCCACAAATCCAGCTGAGCCTGCAGCGTTTTCTGGCTCTCTTGTGAGGTGATAAATGCTTTCTGACCGGCTCGTAGATCCATCTTCAAGTATCGCGCAATTATTTCCAGTTGTTGCTTAAAAAGGGCCCGCTGATCCTTAGTTAAGGCATCGATGGCAGCCGGGTCCATAATCATTCCTCCATTGCTTCCTCCATTATCACCACTGTTTGTCGGTACAGAAAGGCTGATACCTGCATTGACCGCATATTTATTGGCAACGTCATCTAGATATGCCTTCGCATCAGGCTCGGATCCAATGCGAGAGGCCGGCTCCATTGTAAGAGCAAGGAGAAGGACTCCGTCTTGCCTGCCAGTCCCTAAGCCCCAGCGCGTCTCCAAATACTTTCGTACAGCTGTGATATTAAAACCCCCAGGCATCTTGGATGACACCAAGCGAGCAATGAGAGAAGTAGATTGTTTACCTAGCTGTCCATTGAAAGTCGCCTGCATAGATGCACCTAATTCATCAAGAGGCGTGTCTTCGGGCTTTTCTGGTGTAGAGCCAAATTCTTTGCCCAGATCACCAAGAATTTCATTCTGCAATGTCGATTTACCTGCAATTAAATAATAATAATTAGCATACAGCGAAAGTGTCATCGCGCCTATCGCGTTACTTACCTCCTACCAGATCCTTGATCGCCTTGCTCAGGGGCACATCTGACAAGCTTTTTTTTAATTTCTGTGCCACCAGTGTCCTAAGGACGTCTACAGCTGTAACCGGGGCGTCTTCGACTGCTGCGGCAGGCCCGGTACTGGCAGGTGGCAGCGAAACTGGCGCTGTTGCGACTGCTGGTGCAGGCGCCGGAATGCTAGCTGCAGGTGCCGCCGCCATTTCGGGTTCCTCCTCCACAGGATCTACATCATAATAAATTTCCTTAGCATCTTTGTTGTAGCAGAGTATTTGGCGTTGTACAGAGGTCGCGGCATCGTATGCTTCGTATTTAGATGCGATTGTTCGTCTTGCCATCCCACCTAGTGTGTCTGCAGGGCCAATTTCAACAATTCTTTCGGTTCGCTGCTCCGCAAGAATAACATCCTGAGTCTCAATCCATCTCACCGGTGACGCAAACTGGTAAGCCAGAAGCTCTACCAATAAGGTATGAGCAAGCTCCTGCTCGATTTCCGGTCGCATAGCTGAAATATTTGGAGTTTATGTCAATTATGACAGAAACGCTGAAATTTCAAAGGTGGCAGGCAGGTATAACCCTCCAATTATGTTTATTATGTCTTCTTATCAAAAGGAAGAATCCACTCGATTCGTTTTGACTGTCCCTTTGTGAACTGCTCTTTAACAGTGGTAGCCGGTAAGACGTACTGTACAGAATCACACGGAAAAAAGGGGTGGGGGGGTAATTAAACAATAACCTATTTAACAATGTCGAACTATTTAGGTTTGCACAGGTCAGTATAGATACTAGGAATGTGTGATCTTGCATTGGTCTCTCTTGTTATCTGGACCAAGTCCGGTGATGTAGGGGTGGGAAAAAAAAAAAAAAAAATGCCTGGGGGGATGGGGCACAACATACACTGTAATGAAATCAATAAACCTTCTAAGTAAGAAATTGCCAAGTAGGATCACCCCAGTTTAAAATCATGGGCGGTGAGGATGGTTCACCAGTGTAATAGAAATAAAGCAGAGCAAAAGAAGGTAGGGAACGCCAAATGAAAGAAGAGATAAGAGATAGAACAGATTCTTGCTGAACTTTTGGTGGGTGTTGTTGGGGCGGAAGGGAGAGCTACTTGGGTACAGGCTTGGTTCCTACCTAGCAGACCAACTTCACCTCACGTCTTTAAGCAACCCAGCTAGTTAGCACAGTAATAAAGCTTGAGACTTAAGTGCAAGGAAGTAATTAATGACTCTGTAAAGGTTTAAATACTATATGTAGATTTTTAATACTTAAAAAAAAAGTAAATAAATAGTTAGTTATATACTGCTGTTATATTTCTACACCACAGACAGTACTTAACCAGCCCTTTCACTTAATTAGGTCCTACTACCTAATTTAGGTAGATGGTACTTGGGTTAGCTTTGATACAGATCTGATACACTTAAACGACAGGTATTGTCACAATACTCTAAATCCAGCCCAACCATTTTAGACCTTTGGGGTGACTCCAAAAACACTATACCTAATGTAGACAGTTCTTGTTCAACCAGCCCAAAACTGTCGGTTCTCTTGTCCGCCGATCAGTTCAACAGTGTATGGTTGTGAGTTATGCATACTACTTACTGTGCTCTTTTTTTTTTTTTCCCTTTTTTGCCATTCATAGGTCTTTGTCCCTCCACACACCTTACTTCATAACTGTTCTTGTTTCTTGCATACTTCTGTAATCTATTTGCTTTAATATCCTTTATTTCTTTCTTTTTTTTATTATTTATTTTTTGACTTACCTGGTCGAGGGGTGGGCCAGCTTACAATTTGCGTCTGGTTAAAAAGGTGGTTAAAGAAAACCATCCTTTCAACAATAGGTACATTATTAATACTCCCTCAAAATATGCTTTGCTATGATTCTTCAACTTTAATAAAGTGAGGAGCTAACTAAGATACAATTGAAAGTGCACACAGATACGAGACCACGAGAAGATGTACGGAACATCAACAGGCCCTCAGACGGGCATAAATACTCCACGTTCATCACAATCGCTGCGACCGCTGATATTGACTCATGGTTCACTTGAATTCTCTTTTCTAGTGCCAACCTCACTCCATTTTCATGCCTCGCAATTGAAAGATACCTTCACAGCTTCACTACCGCAGCCGACAGATGAGCTTGCTCAAGACGATGAACCTTCCTCAGTAGCAGAACTTGTGGCCAGGTATATTGGACACGTTGCGAATGAGGTTGAGGAGGGTGAGGATAGTGCACATGGGACGTATCTAGAGGTTCTGAAGCTTGCTCTTAATGAGTTTGAACGGGCATTTATGCGTGGAAATGACGTTCACGCAGTTGTCGCAGGACTCCCTGGGATAATAGCGAAGAAAATTTCAGTTGTACAGGCATACTATGCAGGTAGAGCAGCCGCTGGGCGTCCCACCAAGCCGTATGACTCGGCGTTGTTTCGAGCTGCCTCGGATGAGAAGGCAAGCATTTACACCGTCTTTGGAGGGCAGGGCAATATCGAGGAGTATTTCGATGAATTGAGGGAAATCAATACCACCTATTCGTCCTTCGTTGATGACTTGATCTCCTCTTCAGCGGAGTTGTTGCAATCTCTATCCCGTGAACCCGAAGCCAACAAGCTTTATCCCAAAGGCCTCGACATTATTCAATGGCTCCAAGATCGCGATTCCCAGCCTGACACAGACTATCTCGTATCGGCTCCTGTGAGTCTGCCATTGATTGGTCTGGTTCAGCTGGCACATTTTATGGTCACTTGCAAGGTCCTTGGCAGAGAGCCCGGTGAAATTCTGGAAAGATTTAGTGGAACAACAGGTCACTCGCAGGGAATTGTTACCGCTGCTGCTATTGCATCCACAAACACATGGGAAAGTTTTGAGAAGGCCGCTAAAATCGTATTGACAATGCTATTTTGGATCGGCCTTCGCAGTCAACAAGCGTATCCTCGCACATCCATCGCTCCCTCCGTGTTGCAAGATTCCATCGAGAATGGAGAAGGCACCCCTACTCCCATGCTTTCAATTCGTGACCTTCCAAGATCTGCTGTTCAAGAGCATATCGATACCACAAATCAGCATCTCCCGGAGGACCGCCATATCTCTATTTCTTTGGTCAATAGTGCTCGTAATTTTGTGGTCACTGGGCCACCACTCTCTCTCTACGGTCTTAATTTGCGTCTACGAAAAGTTAAAGCCCCTACTGGATTGGACCAAAACCGTGTTCCTTTCACACAACGGAAGGTCCGATTCGTCAACCGATTCCTTCCAATCACGGCCCCATTCCACAGCCAGTATCTCATTTCAGCATACGATCGCATTCTAGAAGATCTAGAAGATGTGGAGATCTTAGCCAAATCACTAAATATCCCTGTCTATGGTACCAAGAATGGGAATGATCTGAAGAAGCTTGGTGATGCAAATATAGTTCCCGAGCTGGTTCGCATGATAACACATGATGCGGTGAACTGGGAGCAGGCAACTGTATTTCCAGGAGCCTCCCACATCATTGATTTTGGACCGGGCGGGATCTCTGGTCTTGGAGTGCTCACGAACCGTAACAAGGATGGTACAGGTGTCCGTGTTGTACTTGCTGGAGCCATGGACGGTACCAATTCAGAAGTTGGCTATAAGCCAGAACTGTTTGATCGTGACGAACACTCCGTCAAGTTCGCCATAGATTGGGTTAAGGAGTATGGACCTCGCCTGGTGAAAAACATGACTAGCGAGATTTTCGTCGACACTAAGATGAGCCGTATCCTAGGAATTCCTCCCATAATGGTTGCTGGGATGACCCCAACTACCGTTCCATGGGATTTCGTGGCCGCAACTATGAATGGAGGTTACCACGTTGAACTCGCGGGTGGTGGTTATTATAGTGCCAAGACGTTGACTGATGCAATTACCAAGATAGAAAAGGCCATTCCACCTGGCCGAGGTATCACTGTCAACTTAATTTACGTTAATCCTCGTGCCATGGCATGGCAGATCCCATTAATTGGAAAATTACGGGCCGATGGTGTGCCAATTGAAGGTCTTACGATTGGTGCCGGAGTACCATCTATTGAAGTTGCCAACGAATATATCGAAACTCTCGGCATCAAACATATAGCATTCAAGCCAGGCTCAGTTGACGCAATCCAGCAGGTTATCAATATCGCGAAGGCAAACCCTAAATTTCCAATTATTCTACAATGGACTGGAGGCCGTGGTGGTGGTCACCATTCATTTGAAGACTTTCATCAGCCCATTTTGCAAATGTATAGCCGTATTAGACGTTGCGAAAACATTGTTCTTGTTGCTGGCAGTGGCTTTGGCGGCTCCGAAGATACGTACCCATATCTTTCGGGAACTTGGTCGTCCAAATTTGGGTATCCCCCCATGCCTTTTGACGGTTGCTTATTCGGTAGCCGCATGATGATTGCAAAAGAAGCACATACTTCGAAAAATGCGAAGAAGGCAATTGCAGATGCTCCTGGCTTGAATGATCAAGATTGGGAGAAAACATATAGCGGACAAGCAGGTGGTGTTGTCACGGTCCTCTCAGAAATGGGAGAGCCAATCCACAAGCTCGCTACCAGAGGTGTCATGTTCTGGCATGAAATGGATCAAAAGGTTTTCAAACTTGACAGATCAAAGCGTGTCCCTGAACTAAGGAAGCAACGGAACTACATTATCCAAAAGCTGAATGATGATTTTCAAAAAGTCTGGTTCGGCCGCAATGCTGCTGGGGAGACAGTTGACCTGGAAGACATGACATACACAGAGGTTGTTCACCGCATGGTGGATCTAATGTATGTCAAGCATGAATCACGATGGATTGATGATTCGCTAAAGAGGCTGACCGGTGACTTTATTCGACGGGTTGAGGAGCGGTTTACTGTTTCCGAGGGCCAGCCTTCTCTGCTCCAGAATTATTCAGAGCTTAATACCCCCTATCCAGCCATCGACAACATCTTGGCCACATACCCTGAAGCAGCTACCCAGCTGATTAATGCTCAAGATGCTCAACACTTTCTCCTACTATGCCAAAGACGTGGGCAAAAGCCAGTGCCTTTTGTTCCGGCGCTGGATGATAACTTTGAATATTGGTTCAAGAAGGACTCTCTATGGCAAAGCGAGGATTTAGAGGCTGTCGTAGGCCAGGATGTCGGGAGAACTTGCATTTTGCAAGGGCCAATGGCTGCCAAATTTTCCAATGTTATTGACGAACCCGTCAGAGATATCCTGGATAACATTCACCAGGGACACATCAAGAGTTTGATCAAAGATATTTATGCTGGTGACGAGACAAAAATACCCCAAGTTGAATACTTTGGAGGGCATGTCAACGAGACTGCTGACGAGCCGGAAATTGACGGCCTTACAATTTCCACAGACACACACAAGGTCACCTATAGGTTGTCTACCTCCCCTTCTGCAGACCTGCCTAGCCTTGAGCGCTGGCTATGTCTTCTTGCTGGCACATCCTACTCCTGGAGGCATGCCATCTTCTTGACAGACGTCTTCGTTCAAGGACATCGCTTTCAGACCAATCCAATGAGAAGAATCGTGGCACCAATCTCTGGTATGTATGTGGAAATAGCTCATCCCAATGACCCTTCGAAGACCTCCATTGTTGTGAGGGAGCCTTATCAATCTGGGAAGCTGGTCAAAACAGTGGAAGTGAAATTGAACGAAAGCAAGCAGATCAGCCTTACCTTGTTTGAGGGAAGAACAGCTGAACAGGGTGTTGTTCCTTTGAGTTTCTTATTTACTTATCACCCCGAGGCGGGATACGCACCAATTAGAGAAGTCATGGAAGACCGCAATGATCGGATAAAGGAATTCTACCACCGTGTATGGTTCGGTAACAAGAATGTTCCGTTTGATACCTCGACAACAGCAACTTTTTACGGTGGCCGTGAAACCATTACATCACAAGCTGTTGCTGACTTTGTGCACGCTGTTGGTAATACTGGTGAGGCTTTTGTTGACCGCCCTGGGAAAGAGGTTTTTGCTCCAATGGACTTTGCTATTGTTGCAGGCTGGAAAGCGATCATTCAGCCCATTTTCCCTCGCACAATAGATGGCGATTTATTGAAGCTTGTGCATCTGTCCAACGGATTCAGGATGATTCCCGGCGCCCAGCCCCTTAAGGTTGGTGATGTCTTGGACACCACCGCCCAGATAAATTCTGTGATCAATCAAAACTCTGGGAAGATGGTCGAAGTTTGCGGTACTATTCAAAGAGATGGCAAGCCAATCATGCAGGTCACAAGCCAGTTTCTGTATCGAGGTACCTACCTGGATTTTGAGAACACTTTTCAACGCAAGGATGAGGTTCCGATGCAACTGCACCTCGCTTCTAGCAGAGATGTGGCTGTCCTTCGGTCAAAAGAGTGGTTCCGTATGGATGAACCTGACATGGAGCTTCTTGGCCAGACTTTAACCTTTCGTCTTCAAAGTTTGATCAAGTTCAAGAATCAGTCCGTCTTCAGCCATGTTCAAACAGTTGGCCAGGTTCTTCTTGAACTCCCCACTAAAGAGATTATACAGGTCGCATCAGTTGACTACGAGGCTGGCGCTTCCCATGGTAACCCTGTTGTTGACTACCTACAAAGGAACGGAAACTCTATCGAACAGCCTGTCTATTTTGAAAACCCTATTCCCCTCAGTGGAAAGACCCCGTTGGTTCTTCGGGCTCCCACGTCCAACGAGACGTACGCTCGCGTATCCGGTGATTACAACCCTATACATGTTTCCAGGGTCTTTTCCAGCTATGCCAACCTACCGGGTACCATTACTCATGGCATGTACACCAGTGCCGCTGTGCGTAGCTATGTTGAGACCTGGGCAGCTGAAAATAACATTGGGCGAGTGCGTGGCTTCCATGTATCCCTGGTCGGTATGGTTTTACCAAACGATATGATAAACGTCAAATTGCAACATGTTGGTATGATTGCCGGTCGTAAAATCATAAAGGTGGAGGCGAACAACAGAGAGACAGAAGACAAAGTGCTTCTGGGTGAAGCTGAAGTGGAACAGCCGGCTACTTCCTATGTGTTCACAGGGCAAGGTTCGCAGGAGCAAGGCATGGGAATGGAGCTTTACAGCAGCAGTCCTGTTGCTCGAGAAGTTTGGGATCGGGCAGACCGCCATTTCATCGAGAATTATGGCCTCTCTATCATCGACATTGTGAAAAACAACCCCAAAGAGCTTACTGTCCATTTTGGTGGCCCACGTGGTAAGGCTATTCGCCAAAATTATATGTCTATGACATTCGAGACTGTGAATGCAGATGGATCAATCAAATCTGAGAAGATATTCAAAGAGGTTGATGAAACCACGTCATCTTACACCTATCGGTCTCCATCAGGGCTTCTATCTGCAACTCAGTTCACGCAACCAGCTCTTACTCTGATGGAGAAGGCTAGTTTTGAAGATATGCGCGCCAAGGGTCTTGTCCAGAGAGATAGCAGTTTTGCGGGCCACTCACTTGGTGAATATTCGGCGCTCGCTGCATTGGCTGATGTCATGCCTATAGAAAGCTTGGTCTCTGTGGTTTTCTATCGTGGCTTGACTATGCAAGTTGCTGTAGAAAGAGATGAGCAAGGTCGCTCCAACTACTCTATGTGCGCTGTCAATCCAAGCCGCATTTCAAAAAGCTTCAATGAGCAGGCTCTACAGTATGTGGTCGAGAATATCTCTGAACAAACAGGTTGGTTATTGGAAATCGTCAATTACAATGTTGCAAACATGCAGTATGTCGCTGCTGGTGATGTAAGTCTTTTTCTATCAAGAAAGAAGCCATGTTCTAATTTTCCTTATAGTTGCGTGCACTTGACTGTCTTACAAATCTGCTTAATTATTTGAAGGCTCAAAATATTGATATCCCTGCTCTTATGCAGAGCATGTCACTGGACGACGTCAAAGCCCACCTGGTCAAAATTATCCATGAATGTGTCAAGCAAACAGAGTCCAAAACTACACCAATTTCACTTGAACGGGGCTTTGCAACCATTCCTCTTAAAGGGATTGATGTTCCTTTCCATAGCACTTTCCTCCGTTCTGGTGTAAAGCCTTTCCGATCATTCTTGTTAAAGAAGATTAACAAGACTACCATTGACCCTAGCAAGCTGATTGGGAAGTATATTCCAAACGTCACTGCACGGCCATTTGAGATCACAAAGGAATACTTTGAGGATGTGTATAGGCTTACAAACTCACCTCGTATTGCTCATATATTGGCAAACTGGGAGAAGTTTGAATGAAAGGAGAAACCAAGTGGTTTTGCATCAAAATCAGATTCTACCCATACAATTTTTGGTTTCCATTTCTCTATCGAGCTCTTTCTACCCCTTCTCGCTTTTTTAGATGCTTCATCTTAGCGCCACGCATTTAGAAGTTGTTAATTTCAATTAAATTGATTCTCCTGTGTTAATATTATACCTCAGGGCACCTGTACCTAATCAGGTAAGAGTTAGAATAACAACCAGTCGCAAACAAGTAAATTAAACGCTTCCACTTTAAGATCAACATGTGCTTTTTTTTGCCCTTCATTCATTTCTCTCCTTCAGAGTCCCAGGCCGTAGGAGTCGATCTTCCTTCCCATAAACACCAACGTCTTTAACGATCGCTATAAACCTCCTATGGTTCTCTTTGGAATCTCCGATGCGAGGACGGAATATCTTCAGCAAGTCGCTGCTAAGAATGCCAGACTGTGGAATGGCGGCATGAATCTCTGCAGGTGTTGGGAAAGTTTGGTCACTGGAAGGCCCCGGGGTGGGAACACGGGTTTGGCCTGTGTACATAGTCAGTTCAAAGTACTATTCCACTAGTAGCACCAACGCCAGACCAGTTAAGCTTACCTTTGAATGGCTCTGGGCTGCTGGCCCGACTCCCAGAGAAACTCCTGCCAGCTAAAGGTGTAGGGCTTCCTGCTCGCGATCCTTGTGGTGTTCCACCTTGAGAGGCTAAAGGACTAAGCTTCAATTTTTTAGTCTTCCCCCTCTCACTCATCTCCCCGCCTGAGCCTGCACCAGGGTCAACGTCACTCGCAGATCCCGCGCCGCCAGCTGGTCCATTTCGAACACGTTTCTTTCCAATCTATGGACGGGGAAGAGAGATCAGATGACAAACTTTGGTGAAAGGATTGCTATGGTCAAAGACTCACTGGAACGGATGATGCAATTGGAGACATGGGGTGAGAAATTGGCTGAGGTGTAGGGTGAGAAGATGTGTGCTTGCTCTTTCCCTTTTTACGAGAACTATCCGTCCCACTTGCATCAGATACATTAGGTGACCCAAGACGCTTCTGTTGAGCAGTAGCTGTGCCTTTCTTGGAGGGATCAGTATGCTTTGGACGACCTGACGGGGTATTGCTACCCTTGGAAGACACTGCTGAATCTTTCTTGCTCCGCTCTTCTTCAACCTTTCGCTCTTCCTCCTTCAGTCGTTCGGCGTCACTATCGTCGGAGCTCTGCAAAGCAGATATTAGTAAAATGTCTCAGCATGTGAAAGTGAAAATCTACCTCCTCCTCATCGGAATATGGATTGACATCAGACCCACTGCTATAGTCGTAATTCTTTTCCCTCTTCTGAAGCGCTTTCCTTACTTTTTTCCCTAGCACTCGACGCGCCTCTCTTTCCTTCTTCTCTCTCAACTCCTCATCCTCATACTCTTTTTCCTCTTTGAGGTCAAACACATTGGCCTTCAATTGATCTTGCTTAATTCTTTTTTCAGCAGCCTTCGTTTCCTCATCCTCGTTAAATAAATCATCATGCTCCTCGTCATCCGCAAATCGATCTTCCTCGAAATCCATTTCACCAGCTTCAAGGCTTTCACCACCAGGGGTAGCCTGTTTGCCGGCATATACTTTCCGTTGTTTGGCATACTGTTCAAGCTCTTTTCGCTGAGCTAGCTCTTGCTGCTTTTCCATAAACCACCTAGGGTCTTTCACCTTCTTCGCCATAAACTTCTCTGCCTCTTCTATGGTCAGGGTCTTGAATTGATTTTTTGCATTGAACCTATACCATTTCTCCACTGGAATCATTCTCATCTTTCCTGTATTCTCGAGTACGAATATCGCATGCGTTTCAGACAGAGCAGCCTCATAATTACCGACCCAAATATTTCTATTATCAAAATCCTCCAGGTGCCACGGCAAAGCTTCTTCATATTTTATTCGAGTTCTGGCTATCTCTTCTGGCGTCATGTCAGTTTTTGAGACCTGTTGTGTTTTTTGTTTGGGTGCATTGGATCTCTTCGGCGCCGACCCAATAGACGGAGCTATTTGAGCCAAATTCTCCGCACGCTCCTTCTCACGGGCCGCCTTTCTAGTCTCTAATTCTTCACGTTCAGCATCTTCCAGATGGTTGCTAGATTCAGATGCCTCTTTCTGGATATCCTGGCCTTTTTCTGAACCCATCCCATGTGACCGGGCGCGCGGATCCCGACGTTGGAGACGGACAGGCCGAGTAAACTGAGATTCGTCGCGAGGATCAACCATTTTCTTTGATGAAAATCTAGCAATATGGTGCTTTAAGCCCTCTCTCAACGCTCGCTTCGTTGTCACGAGAGGGTAATCCACGTAATTGTCCGATAATAAAGGGCCACTAAATCCATTCGCCGAAAAGTCGTTCGCTGAGAATGCATGTTTACCTTTGTCCTGGAGAGAAGAGGATTGATTGCTAAAGCCAACTGATTGCGCCACAAAAGCTTTCGAGGCTGTGCCATTCCCTAATAATGTAGACACAGCTGGTTTAGTTGTAGGCTTTTTTCTCGGTCGTACTAAAGGATCTGCGACCCTAGGACGAATTCTCATGAGCGGGGCACCGTTTGATCCCGTTGGCGTCCGTGAGTTTGAATCATTTGTAGGGGTGGCCATCATGCCCAGGAGGCAGGTAGTCTAAGAGATCCCCAAAGATGTATATTGGAGTCTAGCCCCTGGGCTCTTATACGCTCCTTTGGGAGAAAAACTTAACTAAAGAGATGATTATTCAGAGAGGATATGGAGTATCCAGTGTATCGTATACGAACAAACTGAACCTGAAAAGGGTAGACAAATGGGATGGCAAAATGGCAATGCTGTTGAGTACACCTGCAGATCAGCTCAGCATTCCTCGTTGCTTATGTAATATCACATGATTAAGTAACTAGACGTAATCAGTAAGCGAGTGACGGATCTCGGTATTCCAGGTAAAATAACCAGGCTTGTCATCGATTGCCACTATCGACTTGATTACAAGCCTGAAAATAACAGTTTTTGATGTTCTAATATCTCCACAACAAAGCAGCTAGGGACTACTAAATTTAAGACATGATATTACAGTGCTCTATTTATATATATTAAGTAGACAGCCAATTATGTTGGATATTTCTCTGCATAATATAAATTACACTGTAATTTTTTGTACTTGAGCTATTGTAATTATTAAAATTAGAAAAGTTATGTAAATTTTTACAAATTAAAATTCACTATTACATAACCTATACATATAGTTATTATTTTCTAGTCTGAATTCTTTATATCTTCTTGTGGTTATAAAATTAAAGCATCAAAAAGTTGCATCGCTCGCTTGCTCTTATCACTTGCTTACCAACTACGTTTAGTTAGTTACTCTATAGTTGGCCACTTGTTCGAGTTTGGAATAATTCTCCGCACTAATCTACAGTACACAGTTTCTTTACTTTCTTTACCAAGAAATATATTACCTGCATATTTAAACCTTCTTAGGACTTCACATGTTTTATACCCGTAATTGATCCCTTAGTAAACCCTTGACGGAATGGACCGCTGCAAGATAAGGATATAATTTGACAGCCTTCGTGTTCTAATAGCAATTGAAGGGCCTTCTGAAAAATGTAACCGGAACACAAATGGGACATCAAAGCGAGTGAGCAGTCTTAATATCTCAGCCGATTTTATAGCTGCAGCGCTGAATTAAGTTCTATATATTGCATATGTATACTAAAGTACGTAAGTATTTTATTTAGATTTTTAGAAAAATTTTTTGGTTTATAATACAGGAAAATCCCTATCACATCTGTGTCAGGACCTAGGTCGAAACCTGCCTGAGGCACCAAGTCTGCTTTATTCACTGTTGATCCCACAATGTAGAGATTTCCCACATTTCCTGTACGATAGAATTCTTTCTTCCTTCCTTCTCTACGTTTGATGTTTCGTTAGATCGCCACCTCAGATAGAATCTACCCATTTTACCAAGGTGTACAGGATCATCACAATCTGTATTTAATACCACGCTTGGCAATGATTAGTCCGTCCCTATGTAATAAAAAGGAACTACTTGAGTTATGTTTCTAGGTTTAATAACTATTCACGAACAATAATACCAGTCCAGATTATGGATTCTTGGTCCTATTGATATGTTGTTGCTGAGATATTAAGACTGCAAATCGTGCCATTTTATGTGCAATACAGAGTTGTCTTTTCGTTTTCCAGTTACGTTATATTGGTATTATCCAAGTGAGTGAGCAATTAAATTGAATAAGAGAAAACTTGTCTCAGCCATCGCCGCAAGAGGCTGGAAACTCCCTGCACGAAATGCGTGGGAAGGTACTCTGTAAACCAAATTAATTTGAGCAACTAGCGAAGGAATACTTAACCACATAACTGTCTAGTGAACTTTTTCTCTACTTCTTCATATCCAAAGCATGTCACATGTAGCCACAAAAGGGACTACTCCATATATGCAAATATATTACATTCCCAATATCAGCAATGCTCGGCAAAATAACTTTACTAGAGTAGTTCTGGCACCCATCAGCGATAGAACTCCTCAGAATCACTTTTACCTGAAACTTACTATTTACTAAACATACCCAGTATACAAATTGAAAATACTCGGAGCCACTGCACGTACAAGTCCTGCCCTTCATGTCAATATCCCAAAGAGAGCTCGCAGTCGTGAATGTGAATTCCTAAGAAATAGTGGATGGCTCCGACGCATGTTCTTCATGTTCCCCGCAAACACCCAAAACAAAAGAAAGAAAAGGAGAGTTATTGGCTCAGAATAACTCTACAACCTTTTCATCTTCACCTTCTTGCTGAGTATTAATATTGGCATTGTTTCTTTGTGATGAGTCTACCCCTTCACCTTCCTCCCGCATCAGGACCTGGACCAACCTGTCACAGGCCTCTCGAACATCCTCATCATCAACATGAAGGTGACACTCTCGGATTATTGGATAGACTTTGATGGCCCTCATTTTGTCGCGCCCTTCTCTTGTCGTTGTTAGCAACAGCAATGTTTCAAGGTGCGTTACTATAATACTGTTATCACTATCTCTCTTCTTGTCTGCTGGGAGCAACTGGAGGTCCGGCAGCATATCCATTGACTCTTCTTCGGCAAATTCCTCCGGTCCAGCTATTGGCAACAGTATGTAGGGGAGAACGTTCGCATCCGCTTCAGAGAAAAGCATAGGGTGAGAAGGAATATCGAATGCAACGTTTTTGATAATTGATGCAACTCCCTTTCTCCTAATCATGCTGCTGTGTTCGGTAAAGACGATGAGCTTTGTAACAGGTACAACATTGTCATATTCCTGCCTCGTTGTAAAATAGGCGCGGCCTTCTTCGGATTTCGAAATATCGGCAAACAGATAAGATAGGTAGTCATAGGTAGCGTGTTTGTTAAGAGCACCTTCTGCGCCTTTCACAAAACAATCCATTAATTGATCAATGGCGTTAGCGGAGCTAGACACAGACTCTGGAATTTTTCGTTTCAATTTGAGGAGCATGTTTATCTTGTCAGACTTCGCAACATTGGCCATTAACATCGAGACATCGTCTGCATTTGGTTCGTTGATATTCTGCTCCACATGTATTAGGTCTAATTTCTCTCTCTCTTTTTTCCTTTTTTTGTCTGTTTTATGGGGGAGTAAGTAACTGTATGTTTAGAAACTCACCATCAGTTTTGCAAGGAGAGTATCTATAAAAGCTTCATCATTGACAAGATTAGCCAGCACTTCCTTATCGGCTGAGAGATTAATGAGTATTGTCAAGGCATTTTTTGCAATTGGCTATATGGCAAGGGGGCTTCAGTAAAACAAACTCTGGCCAACTAGGTCTTTATTTGGAAAAACTAACTGTGTAATCGCGAACCAACAGCTTCAGGTCACGCACTGGCAAGAGTTGCTGACGTTTAAAGAGGTTTGGCTGACAAGTTGAGAAGCCACAAAGGTTTTCACATGCTAGAGCTGGTTATCACACATAATTCACGCATTACCATGCTGGGAATAGATTTTATATGCGGCTTCTGGGTAGTACCAATTTGTCTTATTTGAGAGTTGCCATGGTGAAGAAATTCAACCAGCTGAAAAGGGAGTAAGTCTCTTTTCTTTATTTCCCCTCGTTCAGGGCAATTCATATTGAAACTATATTCGAAGAGAAGGGCCCTTAACTCACCTCTTCCAATTCAGTCGGCATTGTGTAATATTCCAACAGTAGTTGTTGGACTAAGCTGTAGAAAAAAATCTAGGAAGGGCAATTGTTGCAGTGCTTAAGTGTGAGGGAAAAACCCGCCCTTGAAAGTGGGGTTCCTCCACTGATGTCACATACACAGGAGGCAACAAGTTAGGTGCTCCGTATCTCTAAGGATTTTTGTTCACTGGACCGGGTTCTAAGCAATTTGGCTTTTTCTTGTGTGACTCCTTTAAAAACAAAAAATTAAAAAGAAATTTATTTAAAAAAAAATCAGGAAGACGTAAGGACATAACAGCAGCAATAAACAATAATAATCAATACAGGAACATAATACATGTAAAAAATTGTACATATAACTCTGTATATTAAAATACATTTAAATGAGTTTGGATTAAGCCTTATTAATTTGTTTGTCATCACGAATATATATTAATATTTTAATGTAACCAGAAAGCGAGCCACCTCTGTATTCCATATAAAATTGCACTTTTTGCAATTTAATATCGCAGCCAATCTTATTGCTGCAGCGCAGTATTACATTCTATATATTATATGCATGTATTAGAATACATTTAATTTATTTGGAATTTTTATAATTTTTCCTGGACTATAATACAGGAAAATCTCTATCACAACTGTATTTAATACCCTTTATATGTATTATAGAGAACTGTTTATATTATAAGCTTCTAAAGTCTAATAACTGTTTACACACTATTATGGTAGCCTAGATTCTATATTCCAGACTGTATTGATAAATTGTTGTTATTTAGATCGCAAAAAGCGCCATTTCGTATGCAATACGGTGTCTCGCTCGCTTTCCGGTTACGTTAGAGAATCATCATCACTAATAAGGGGCCATTGTATCTTTTAGTCCGATGTAATTTTATTTAAGATAGAAAGATAGATAAAAAATATGTGTCATGTAACATCATTCGTCTGGTGATCGGGGACAGTATATGCCCTAAGTACTAACTATAACTTGATATAGCTACTTATTCCGTATAACAATACTCTGCCACCGACCTGCATTTAGACTACTATATTATGTATACTCAATATAGCATATATAGTAGATTGTTTTTCAATGCCGTAAAAACAACTGCTTACAAGTATTCAAGTATATTTTTAGAAATGGCCTCAAACCATTGTGATTTAAGAGAATACAGGCCAGGGACTGTAATACTAATTGGGCCGATATCAGCCTTATCCAGGTACTTACGAAATGTAATATAAACAATATAGGAAAATGGTCATGGTTCAGTCCCATATATATTCCAGCCACACATATAGTAAAAGGATATGTGCCTGTACCCATACTTTAGAAAAGCCAAAAAGATGCTATAATAATAAGCATCACTGGGTGCGTCAACCCTATCATAATTCAAATTCTCCAAATCCTAATTAGCTCTACAAGGTCAGGCTCATGCATCATCAAAATCACGATCAGTCGATTTGGTTGAAGAACTAGTTCACATTGCAACATGGTGACGTATAAGTGAAACTCCCCACAGAACTACACAGCCCCGTCCTCATATGGATAATCTGTGCAAGTGGGCTTCCATATCCATACTCGGAGTCGGCAGAAAGTAGAGCTTGTTCCTGTCCAATGGCACCAGCATTGCTAAGCGCACCCCTGCACATGCCAGATGAGCCTCACTCTTTAGAAAAAACAATGCTCTGCTGGTCTTTCATTTCCTCCTCACAGATCACCTGTTGAATTCCAAGGTCTACTGCCTCTATGTCTTCCTCAGAAACGTCACCATGCACAGGGGTAGGATCACACCCAAAGTGGGTATCAACAAGATGTTTTACTACCGGCCAGCCATATGCATTCGTGAACATCCGCCTAACAATAATATTATTGTGCGCATCAGGTTCAAGGCGTACAAGTACCTTTCTCCATGAAAGGTTGCGATGATATGCTCTCGCGATCTTCTCCTCGACCTTGAGCCCGCGCTCAGGTCCATTCTCATTATTAATTGGAGCCTCGTCGGATGGAGATTGTGCTCTAGATAACTTATTCTGTGAAGAGCTAAATGTGAAATTTCGACGCTTAACAGCCGAAGGTGGAGGGATGTCTTCAGGATGATAAATTCGGTCATGGAAAATGGTTCGAGCTCTTGAATCAGGATCAACAATGAAGTCAGTAGGGGGGAGAGGTGGCATGAGAAGATCGCTTGCTGATTCGAAAAAAGTGGTCTTAGGGGGTGCATAAGGCATATATTCTTCATATGCGTTATCACAGGCGACTGTCCCCTGACTGAAAAGACCTGAGGACGATACCCGGTTAATGACACCATTAGGTGGAAGTGTTTGGCTGCGTTTATAGACCTTAGTTTGTTTATGCATAGAAGAAGCTTTCGTTACTTCCTTGGGGCGGAATATGGAAAATATATTGCTCAACGAGCTATTAGGGAATAGGTTGATTGATTCTTCCTTTGACTTAGTTTCTATGTCGGGAAGATTTGTTTGTCGTTGTTTGTTTAAATGCTGACTGCCACCAGAAGCTTCCCGGGTATTATAGGTCGTAGAGTGTTGCGCACGCATTGAGACTGCCGATGTCTTGCCCTTATGTGAGGAATTGTTTTGTCCCAGCTCCGTAAGGGAACGAATAGTCCGGGGTGGATTTGAATTGGCACCTGTCAATTCAGCCCATCCCCATTCGGCCATCGTTCCAACAATCCCGTTTCCCCGCCTCGCTTTCTCGACTTTATCTAGCCCCTTCCAGTCTAGAAAAAGTAAGCAGGAAGTCCGCAGGGGAACTATTCCATCATTAACGACGTTAGAATAGACGGTACGGTGCTGGAATTTGGCTAGGACTTCGTGAGCCGGTCCACAAGGGAGGATTCTAAGCAGAGGTTTAGATCCAGCACCCGTCTGCCCTTGCGAATTTGCAGAATCACCCTTGCCACCAATTATGGCTTCCCAGCCACTTCTCACTCTGGGGGCTGTCCAGCTTAGCCCTAAATCCTGGCCCGTTCGACCCACGAGCCCCAAGTCTAAGGCGAATTTGACATACATGGGATTTTCATTGCTGAGACCTAAGAAAGGTGTGGCCAAAGTTATAAAGTTTACTGGCATGATGATATCGAAAAACCCAGGATAATGTTTCTGGATATATGCAATAGCGTATGTTTGGATCAGACCACCGAGTGAGTGTCCGATGAAGCTGATACTGGTTATTTGGTAGGCATGATCTTTGCAATCAGACAGCTCTGCTAGATTATCGCAGCCCGAGTAATTTTGAAAATTAGAGAAGGATTTAAGGCATGCTTTTGCGTCCGCAGTTTTACTAGGTAAATATGGTTGGTCAGGGTATGTCATCAGCAAGACATACTTTGCAAGACGTTTGCCCAGATATTGGATTCCACGTTCGGTGCGAACAGCATTTCCAGAGAAACCTCTGACTATGACTTGCTCGCCGTCACCACAGTCGTCGTTCTCGATCTTACAGCTACCGTCAGTGAACGAGCTGTTGGTCCTAATTGCAGCTCATATCAGAAAAAGCGATAGGGAAATTTATAAAATGTAAGTTAAAAAATCTTCTTACCTATCTGTTGACGAATAGTCGCTTGAATTGCTCTTTCTATATCTTTGGTGAGTGCCATCTGTGCGACTTCCCTTTTCCCTTGCAGCCGCATCAATGCTCTCCTTCAGATAAAGCATGTCTGCTCCGAGATTGCTATGTAGCCCATGCGTCAGTATAACAAGGTGAATTTTCTTTTTTCGCCTACTGGATTGAGCTGGACTGAGAGAATTATTGACACTTGATGACGATTCGACATCTAATGCCGAATGATTTGGGCTCGGCCTTATCGCTTCTCCTATCCCCTGTCTAGATGGAAAAAGAGGGGAGTTCCAGAGACTAACAGTGTCATCGATCATCAATGTAATAGATCGGGAATATATGCCCTTGGAAGCAACCACCTGTTTGCCTTTTGTTTGCTGCGACCAGTGCTCGCATAGTTGAGCCGGCCGTGATCCAGCAGGCGACGCTCCGCGGATGGAAGACAACTCCACCGACCTTTTATCACGGCCTACTAGGAGCTCGAAACTGACAGATGCAGAGCTTGAAAATATCACCTGGGATATTATCTCAATAATCCATGTCACAGAATTGGCCACAGTAGCTATTGCGTTGCTTTGATGATACTGCGGAACGCTGATAACTGCATTCCAGCTCCCTCCTGCTTTCAGATAGGGTTCGAATTGCGGGATTTCCTCGGCACTTCGCTGTATGAATTTGGTGTTTGGATCAAATGTGGATGGGTAACAGGACGTATAGAGAGTATATGGGCCGTTAAGATAAGCAGCTCGCAGGGGAATTGCTGATGTGTTCTTGACCTTAACATACAACTCTTTAGGAGTTGGACAGATAGTATCGGCCGCTGGCGTGTACGTCAAAGTATATCTGAATAACTAACATCAACGATAGAGCCAAAACTAGGGAAAGCTTAGAATGGTATACAGACCTAACAACCTCACCCACGCGGACGCTACCAGCCTGATGAATTAGAAGCATTTCAATAGCTTGCTTTTCATTCACGTCATCCACACGCCACCCTGTAAGTGAATGGAACCTGAACCGATTATTGCCGGCAGATTGGGAAAGATCCCGGCCTGGTATCTGGGAAGCAGAATAGATTCGTGGATTGATAAGCATCTATTTCAGACTTCATATATTCCATTATAGAGGCAACTTTTATTGTTTTAGGCCTGTGGTCATAGCCGACATTTAGCAAGCCAATGCTAGAATTACGGAACGCAGCTCAGCGTGGTTCAGGATTAGCTTGTCCTGTGTCAGGGTCTTGGCAAAATGTAATTAATACTCCGTACAGCCAGCTAGTTTGCTGTGGGGCTCATGGGCGGTGTATGCATTTCAAAAAAAAAAAAAAAAAAAAGAATGAAGAACAACTGAGAACGCCAGGACGAATCATCAACAACCACATTAGACTATTGATTGAAGGCAAGCAGCTCCTGGTCTTACTGCCCTAGGCCAGAATTTTGGGCACTTTTATCACAACATTCGGTACCCTCTGTTCTAAAAGAATGCCGTCCCTCCACAATTCCGGTTTCGACCTGCCTCTTGCGAAAAGACAGAAAAGGAAAGCAGACGAGGGTCCGCAGCGAGTTGCAGAAACAGCTGGGTCCAAGATCTTTTCCCCATATAGAGTAAGCATAGATTTGAACGATAGTTATTGGGATTCTCTATTCCTGTTTTATCTGTATTGCTAATACTGTGGGCACAAGACTCTAGGACTGGTCTCACCAACAATAGTTCCTTTTACGTGCGTTCGGCTTGGGAAAGCTACTTTTCAGATTACAACCTGTGTTGGCCGTTCCCTGCAAACTTATGATTTGAGGAAAGGACTCAACTTGGTATTCGTCAGCAGACCTCAGACTCCGGAGATTATCACAGCTACTTTTGCATGGCAGGACAAAGTCTTCGCAGCATGGGGAGATGTTCGTCCTGGATCTTCCCGAGGCGTATGGGTCTTCAAACGTGGCAAGAAGATAGCGTCTTTAGGAGTTCCGCCAGTTGCATTTGAACCAATTGATCGGCTCCTTGTTTTTTGGTTCATGGATTGTCGGTTGCAGCAGAAAATGCATACAGGTATGGAAGAATACATCATATGAGTATTACACCACACTCATCCCATATCATGCCATGGACTCTTCCCTAGAGGAGATTTATACGAGGGAGATGTGCACTATGCCGACGTATCTAAACAAAATTTTTGTAGGAAGACATGACGGACTGGTTGATATTTGGAACGTGAAGACTGGAAAGTTGATCTACTCCATTGTCCCGGCATCAATGGAAGCAGGAGGCGTGACCTCACTTGAGCCGAGCACTGTGTTATCTCTCATTGCTGTTGCATACAAAAACGGAGGACTTTATATCTATAACATTGAAACAGGTCAAGTTTTTATGTCATTAAGAACAAATTCTTCGAAGATGCCACAAATCACCTCTATTGCATTCAGGAGTGATGGAATAGGTGCTGGTGATGATGGCCAAAAGCCAGGAGTTATGGCAACAACTTGCATTGACAGTGGTGATATTACAATGTGGGATTTCAACGGCGGTAGCAGAGTCACAGGCACTCTGCGCAGCGCTCACCTAGTGTCCCAGAACGAAGCAGGATCTGGGATCAACCACATAAAATTTTTGGCCGGCCAGCCTGTCCTTGTTTCATCTGGGAAAGACAATGCACTAAGGACTTGGGTTTTTGACCACAGCACATTCTCACCAATCCCTAGGCCTCTACATTCAAGGCGCGGTCACTCTGCTGCAATAACTACTCTTGATTTCCTTCCCTCACTATCTGACGGTTCAGAATTCCGTGGTAAATGGTTATTGAGCGCAAGCAAGGACCGCAGTCTCTGGGGCTTCAGTGTCCGGAAAGATAGCCAGAATACCGAAATTTCGCAAGGTTCCGTGGAGCGGAAAGCGAATAAGCGTGCTGGTGCTTCCCTTGTGACTAATAGAGCTCATATCATAGCGCAAGAGGACTTTAAAGCTTCGGAGGTTACCTGCATCGCGTGCTCGTTAAATCGCGACGGAGGGATCGGTGTTACGACCTCAGGATCAGTCTGGGCAAATCCAAAATCTAAAAACACAGAAGCTTCGAATCGAACGGGCTGGGAAAGTATAGTAACTGGTCATCGGGGAGATAGATATGCCCGAACTTGGTTTTGGGGTAAAAAGAAGGCAGGGCGTTGGATATTCGAGACAAGTGATGGGACAGATGTGAAGGTGAGTGGAGTCACTGAAAAATAGTGGTCTTTTTCTAACTGAAGTATATGTAGAGTGTTGCGATTACTCAGTGTGGAACTTTTGCTTTGGTCGGGTCAGCTGGAGGTAGCATTGATATGTTCAATATGCAATCCGGAGCATATCGACAGAGCTTCCCTACTGCTGAAATAAAAGGAAATAATTCTGTCAGGCCGGGCGCATTGGTCGCTTTGAAGGATTGTTCGAAGCATACCAAATCAGTCACCGGTTTATGGGTAGATGGCCTTAACCAGACCGTTATAAGCTGTAGTCTTGATGGAAAAGTTAAGGTAAGTTGACGGCACATTACCTTCCAACATTCCATTGAAAATTAAGTTTCTAAAAAAAATTCTTGCAGTTCTGGGACTTCCGGTCTGGGGTACTTCTTAATGAGCTCAACTGGCATCCGTTGACATCCATTACTGGGCTCCGGTACAGTAGTGCCAGTGACTTGGCTGCCTTCAGCTGCGACGACCTTTCGATCCGCGTCGTAGATATCCAAATGAAAAAGGTCGTGCGTGAGTTCTGGGGTTGTGCAGGACAAATAAATGACTTCACATTTTCTGCAGATGGGCGATGGATAATCGCCGCCTCCCTGGATTCTGTTATTCGTGTATGGGACATGCCAACAGGGCATCTTATCGACATTTTCCGTGTTCCTAATACGTGCACTTCGTTGGCAATGTCTCCAACAGGAGAATTTCTTGCTACCTCTCATGCAAATGGACTGGGAATAAACATATGGTCCAATAGATGCCTATTCATACCCGCTTCAACCCAAAATATGGGCGAAAATGATGTTACAGACATGGCCATCCCGACTGCTTCCGGTGAACATGGAACCGAGCCCATCGAAGCTGTATTCCGTGCAGAACACGAGCGAGCAGAATCAGCCGGCCCTATATTATGCACAGAACAACTCAGCCAGGAGATGATGACCCTCAGTGTCGTCCCCAGGAACAAGTGGCAAGCGTTAATTAATTTGGATCTAATTAAGGTAATCAATCTGATACCCTCATTTGCACCCAGCTTCTAACATGCCAGCAGGAACGCAATAAGCCCAATACTCCTCCCAAAGCTTCTCAAAAAGCGCCTTTTTTTCTTCCAACAATTAGTGCAACAAGCGATTCCAAAGCAGACGTTGATCTCGAATTATTAGTCGATATTACGGCTGCTGAACGCTCGCAAATTGCCAAAATGCAGCAATCCAAACGCGCAGATATTGCGAACTCTCGATTCACAGCTCTCTTGCAAAATGGCCACGCGTCTGGGGACTTCGAACCATTTGTGGATTATTTAAAGTCTTTGTCCCCAGCAAAGGCAGACCTCGAGATCAGATCGCTTGATCCGATGATATCAAACGGCCGCTCGGAACTATCGGATTTTATTCATGCACTGTCTAGTCGTCTTCACCAACGAAAAGACTTCGAGCTCGTCAACGCTTGGATGGCGGTAGTATTGAAAGTGCATGCAGACATTATTGCAAAATGCTCGATCTCATGTGATCTAGGTAAGAAAAATGTATTAAAAGAATCTCTTCTTGCATGGAGCAACATGCAACAACGAGAGGCACAACGTTTAGCTCAATTGGTTGGTTATTGCCGAGGTGTTGTGGGATTTCTGCGATCATCTCGTTAACACCGGCGACGTCCCTATATGTCAATCCTCGAGGGCAAATCAGAGCTACAAGATCATATATCGTTACTTGTCTCTTGTGAAGTGTAGATTGAAAGGGGTTTGGAGAATTATTAACAGTGATATATGCACATACATATATAGTATAACAATGAACCCAAGCTATTGGACGTCAAGCAAGTCATAAATGTTACACTTTATCTTCCTACCACCCATATGATTCACACTCTGACTTACTGAGACCGGTGCCACAGGTTGATTAGAAAAGGACCACTCTGTTTCCCTCGGTTCATGAGTCACGGAATAGGACGAGTCTCCCTTGATTCCAAAGAATCGTTCTATAAGCTCACCAGAAGAGTCCTCAGAGGGAAACCATTTTCTCACTTGACATACTGAATTCATCGTAATATATAACGCAGGAAGGCTAGCAAGTATGTCCTGCAATGACGCCACGACCTTTTTGGTGCCTTTAGCAACACCGAGTAATTGCTTTAAAATCCTCAAAGAGTATAGCACAGCCTGTATCTGTGCAGCAAGATGGACATCAGCCCATTCCAACTTATCACCCATGTATCCAAGAGTAAGGAATCGGCTTAATTGCCATGGCTTGGGAACAGTCCCCCCCCCCTCAGTCTCAAATATTTCGTGTAGAGCAAACATTATCCAGTACGCTGGTGAGGTTACGTCGCTTCCAAGCGTAGTCTGGACTAAATTTAGACATGTCTCAAGTTTATCCATTTGAGTCACAACCCAACCTTCATCGCCTAGATATATTTTGTCCGGTATCATCCTACCACCTCGTCGAACAAATTCATTGACATAGGTGAATCTTTCCGGTGCTGGGCGTGAGATGTTGAGAATTGAATATGCCAGAGCCCTATGCAAGCGGCCCGCTACCCACGCACATTTTCTTGCATGATCTTCAAGTAATATTGACAGATACATATGTGGAGCCTGCTGTAATCCATGCGGTTCTCGCAGCTCATATTGCCAGAATAACTCCGAGACTCTAGCATCAAGATGGAGAGTACCCATGTCTCCATCTGGAAAAAAATAGTCGGCTCCACTTTCATACTCTTTAAGAAAAATGTGAAGGCCAGACACCTCTGACAGATGTCCATGCATTTGCTTCGATCGCTGTACTAATTCTGCGAATCCCATGTGCGGGTGAGACTTAAGTTCATAGGCCAAAATCGTTAAATCTCTAATTCCCAGTCTCTTGGTAATCGAGGCAGGGCATAATCTCAAGGACTTGATTTGCGATGTTTCGGGGGACAGAGAGTCCCAAGTCACCATCATAAGTGAATCCAGTAGCAAAACAGAACCACGCGAACCTAAGTCGTAGAGCAAGAGGTCTGAATCATTCGTAAGTACAGCTGAATTTGTGCACCTTGCCGCATGGGCACAGTGAGCATCTGCTTCCCCAGTGACCATTACGGTTATTTCTGCCCACGGATACTCTGCCAGATTAACAGGAGGCATACACATGACATCTTTGGCTACCTCGAGTATATTTCTCCTACTCCACCTATATTTGAGATCTTCGAAGACCGCTGGGACAATGAAGGGGTTTTCAGGAAGGTCATGGTGCCTTGTAGGTAGAGTTGGACTGCAAAAAACCATTTCAGGACTTACCATGCGATCATTGCGCGGGATGCTAAAATTCGGGAAACCAGACTGCGTCCTAAAACGAAATGCTTCGAGCTTTTTTCTCGACTTTTCTAGTCGAGTGAGGCGCGTTTCGCGTTTATGATGAGGCAGGGCACCGTCGAAGCATATCTTGCTACTGGGAAGTATTAGTGGCAAGATACAGAAGATATAGGGCACCTCTTACATTTGAACCCCAACAATTGATAACTGTAGAAGATAAATCATAACACCACAACTTACTTCATTGCATGTGGGTTGCAGTTCTGGGTATTTGAGCATCCGATCCGACGAAGACAGCAATCGCCAGAACACGTGGTAAACCAGGCTAGGTCCATCAATTACAACAGACTGAATACGCTCAGGCCCATCCTGTTGGGCGTCACCTGTCCTCCCAAGTAAAACTGTCTCCGAAAAGGGAAGTAGGTGTTGTGTAAGGCGTGGTATACCCATATTTGCATACCTACAACAATAAATAGATATCAGTAAAACTAGGTTTTACGACGGTTGCTTCCGGTTCCTCATACACACTTTTTGAGGTTTGGATACCTGTAGCCTGACGTATGGCATGCCTGATCACTTACTGGTCAGTAACAGGTATCAAAGGGCACGACATCTCAAGATATCCCGCACCCCTTCGATTATCTGGCCCCACCTGGTCATATGACCTCCATATAATTGCAATTCTACGTACCAGGCGAGGCTGGGACTTATCCCTTCGTCCGCTGCCAAGATACTATCATTAGCGCGTTTTTCAACTTCCGGCCATGCCGCCCCGCTTTTGGCAGAATAATTGCACAGCCAACACGTCCCATTTAACCACCGCGTTCTAGACATCTATATATTAATATTCTTTACATCAAAACACTCTAAAGCTGCCTATATTGGTATTTAAATAGACCAGTCAGAGCTCTCACCAACTCCTGCATTTACAACCGTAAAGTCTACCAGCTAAAAGGCACAAGCAATGGACCTAATTCGGCAGATCCTCACTATTTAATCTGTTGTTTTTATGAACCCCTACAGATATAGCCACCAAAGCCACCGGTCCTCCACCTCCCACCAGATATCAATATAAGCAATACTGTTGCCCTTTTTAACCTTTTCTTTACCGATAATATATGGGATATAATTGCGTGAAATACAAATATATACACAAAAAGCGGTGGAATAACCCTACTAAGTGCAAGCGGCAATGGACCCCTACCTATGCCAACGAGATTAAGGTCTTATTCGTGCCAATGTATATGGGGGTATATCCAGAACCGCAAGTTAAATACTATTGGCGGAGGAACCGCAGCAAAGACCCTATGCATACAATTCCCCTGCATATAAACCTTAATCGATATAAAAATCTAAAGAGATATCTTTATATATCTCCTGTGTGAGTTAATCCAATTATTAGTGCCAGAGCATCTAGAAGTTAAAATAACCCCAGAGGACAAGTATACATATCCGGAGGAGCTGCTTGAGGATATAGTGGTGATCCTATAATTTCTAACTTTCGCGCAGCTTCCTAGCACTTATATTCACCTGCATCTAATATATCGATTAATAAGCTTATAATTTAATACTTTTGCCAATCCCAACACATATATATAATGCCAAATAAGCTAATTTCGCAAGAATATAAGCTATTTGCGCTTGCGGATTATAGATATATCTGGATCTTTACCCCCAGAAGCCGCATAAAGTATCTAGTTAAGGTTGTTATTTACAAGCATCTAACCATGACAGGGTATATGGTTAACTGGCTAATAAGCTGGCTAATAAAGTAATTAAATACATCACATCACTTAATGAATATACACTTTATCTGGACAATTACTTCACCAGTATATCACTTTTTAAGATACTTCGCAAACTGGCATCGGCGCATGTGGAACAAAACAAGCAAAGACAGCAAGGAACTTTTTTTTACTTATAAATAAGCTAAACGATTACATCCTTTATATCAGTTGGAATACAATCTATGCAATTAAGGTTTGCAAGGTGCTTTGCTTGGCATGGCAAGATAATAGTCTTATTTTATTTAGGCTATCTACAGTGCATACAGTCCACCAATCAAATAATTTAATTAAGCGTGAACGAAAGCGGCCTTTAAAGACAAGTACAAGTGCAAAAAATGTCTGACCAATTTTTGGTAATTCTTATACAAAAATGCTTAAGATTCCCACCTATATTAATAACTATAATCATTATATAGGTGGCATTAATATTGCCAACTAGTTACGAGAAAGTTATAAAACTTCTTAATATATAGTTCGCTTATGGTGGCCCCCTATTCTTGTAAAGGTCTGGGCCCTGTTTACCTTCTCGGGCCTATGGTCCCTACTGTCCCTTTTGAAACCCCATTGGCCCTCGATCTATATCACGTGACCCTCACTTTGTTTGTTCACCACTCATTTCCTCTTCCTTTCTTCCCTTCTTCAACGATTCCTTTTGTACATAACCTATGGTATAGGTTCTACGTGTTCAGCCCTGACAACTCTACTGATAATTAATACTGCAATAGTTAATGCATATCGGCTATATTACACATATTAACAGCAGCATAATCAAGCAAAGATATCCCAGCCACAGTTCCGGCAAGAGCTTTAACTTAGCTTACTTAAATTTTTTAAAGGACAGTAGCGGGCAGGGCCCGCAAAGTGCTCGAGCCCCGCCGCCCTAGCCTGAAACTCCTAACGAGTTCTCTTAGTCCAAATCTATTATAGATTGAATTGGCTACTAGCCCGTGACACAAGCAGGCATTTCTAACTTGGAACTGTGGGGGCTGTAAGGTGCCAATATACCCTCCATAGATAGGGCGAACATTTTTCCAGGATTTTTATAGAGTTATCAAAGAATAAATCAGTTGAATAGAGTCGCCTGCTTCCTAGAAGGGTAATATTAATTTCTAGGTGGTGAGCTATGAAAGCCAATCAGGAATTGGCGGGGCTAGTAGGCCAATTAGATCGATCCTCTAGGGAAAAAGCGCGCTAATGAAAATATCTTGGCAGCGGACGAAGGGATAATGTTTTAAAAAACAATTAACATTTCTCTCGCAGGCTACACACCTATATGTTGCTCCGCTTCACCTTCGCTGCAATTGGCGCATATGGTTGGTCAGCTTATTGCAGTCACATGACTACTCCCAAGTTTCTTCCGTCTTCCCCTTCTAATTTCTTCCTCCCAGCGATTCCTCTTTGTGTATATCTAGTCATTAGATAGCAAGGCATTTCGCCCCTTTACAATTTCATAAGCGAGCTTTCCGTCCCTCCCAAATCCCAATTTCAACAAGTCAAATTATTTGAAGCAATTTAACCACCCGCCATGCCATCAAGAGCGGGTATAAATGCAAACAATTCAGATAAGGAGGAAAGGGTCCAATGTTGAAATTGGAAGGGGTTGGAAGGCTCGTTTTGTATGGGATGCTCGCTTGTGAAATACGTTACATACTATTGTGCTGTATTATTTAATTCTACCTATCTATTTTTTTCTTTTCCCTTTTGCAGAAGTTAATAGAGTCCATACAGAAAGGGTCTTCCTTGTTTTTATACAGGCTCTAACTTTTTTAATTATACTATTTAACGGCGTCCCGCTGCAGTCACCGGCCTTAAATAGATTTTATTAATCACTTTCCGCAACCTAACCTAACTAAATATAATATATAAATTTTATAAATTTATAAAGTGCGCCAGGATGCACTGCATAATTTTTTTTAAAGACTAGACAAATAGGTTACTGCCAAGCCTATATATTTGCTTTTTCCATGGATCTGGCGCGGTCATAGTTATACAAGATAAAAGATAACTCAAAGCTGGTTGGAAGGGTAGAAGTGGCTAAGAAAGGGAAGAAGGATGTCACGGGTTAAACCCAGTATAGTGCTCAGACTAAGGCCTTCGCTACTATACAGGGCGCTGGATGCGTCGGTTAGTCGTCTTGTCCCTTTTTATATGGTTAAGTGGTTTTATCTCTACTAGCGCAGAGACAACCAAACCATACAAAGGAAGCTAAAATAAATAAAATATTAGGTCATTACTAGTTCTGTCTTTATCTGCAGCCAGTGGTGGGGTTTAATAAGGATTTGCAGATACTAGACCTGGTATATTTAATACCTATACAGTAAAAAAAGTGTTGGGTCGCTCATCCGATAATAGGTGTTCTCATTGATTAGAATGCGAAGCGTGGTGAGGAAGTTGGATACACAGCGGAGCCTTTGACAAAAAGCTATGCAGCTAGCTATAATATTATTAAAATAGTTACTTATCTCCTATAACTAGACCTCGCCTTAACACGCGCGCAACCCTCGGAGGGTGGCGGTTCTCGAGGGTCACGAGGGTTAACAAATAGGACAAACATACGGACCCAGTGAGTTGTATATTTTATGCAATTTCCGGGCCATATTTTTCCATATTTCTTTTACAGGATTAGTATATAAGTGGGTATTTTATTTAAATGACTTAGCAATTTATGTATCCTAATTAGGAAAGGTCACAAAAAAATTATGTAAATTCGGGCCGAGTGTTTAACACTCCAAACGATTATGCCGAGGTCTACCTGTAATTACCTCTGGATCTTGCTGCCCTATGTAGCCACAATCTAGCCAATAAGGTGTATTATCAATTATGTATTGTAGTGGAGGAACGAGAGGGATTGACACGTGACATTTTATGGATAACTATTAAGTCCTCGTTCAAAGAGGTAATAGACAATCAACAACCTTCTTACAGACCACGGAGCGCACCTGCGTAAAGGGAATGTTGTCTTCTCTCCTGCCAGGAACTTGTGGGCTCAGGGCCCACAACTTCTGAGCTGTCTAAAACTGTCTCCTTGATCTACTCCTTCAGAGTTCTACCATTTCCCTCTCATTCAATATCTACCCACTCGTTAGTTAAACACTATCACAAAGGGGTGGTAGGTTGAGCATGCATAGTCTCTGACTGAAAAGCTCAATAATATTGTAAAATAGTATATAAATAATGTGATGGTTTGGTTGTCTCTGCGCTAGTAGGGATAAAACCACTTTACGATATAAAAAGGTACAAGACGACTGATCTTCGATCAGTCGCATCTAGCGTCATATATAGGAGCGAAGGCTATGCCTAGGTAATACATTGGGTTCAACCCTTGACACTCTGCGTTTAAACCGTGACACTTCTGCTATACTGCCATCGCTGCTGGTGCCGACATCTAGAGTTGACGTTCACTCAAGCTTTTTATTTGTCTTGTTTGTTTAGCGCCATTCCTTTCTGGGTTCACACAGCTCCTCGGAGCCGACAGGGGCGACCTGCAGAGCGACATTCGTATGTAAGCCAGGATAGGTAAATGAATACTACTACTACTATTACTACTACTGGCCGCAGCCATATTTATGAATATAGGAACGGAGCTAGCTCCATTTATTTAATTTACAAGTTCGCTGTTGGAATCACCATTTAACCGCGATAAATAAACGGGGGACTGAAGGGGAACGTAAAGTAACAAAATTAGGCATTAAATAGAGATCCTAAAAAGATAACCTATAGCCATCAATGTCTAATATCATCAATACCTGGAGGGGCTAGAATGTTAACTGCATGTTTAACTTCTTTCCTTACTTCCATCCAGCCCCCATTTTCAACAACAACAATCTTCCCATCAATGCACACACGTCTCCATCTCTCATCTATTTCATTAAACTCAATTTTAAATCCTTCAATCTCCGAATAAAAAACACCCTCCTCACCAACATGCTGACCCCCACAATATGCATGGGTCATCAACTGCATAGCTTGTTCTGGAGGCATTGGACCAAAATGGACAAACCAAAGACTGCCGTCCAACGGCTTCGATTTAGGAGAAATCATAAAATCCTTTTCAAGTCTCGGTAACAAGGTTGCTAACACATACATGTGCTCCTTATTGCTCACAGTTTCCATATATCGACTATCTGTTTGTCTGTCCCACTTGGTAAGAGTGATTGTGCCAGCATACTTGTGTGTTTCGGTACCATTCGAGGGAAAGAGGAGCTCATTTGCAGCCATTTTAAACCTATCCGATCCGAACCTGCGATACTCTGTGGTATCACTATCGGCAACTAATGCCGCATGCATACCCCAACTCACAACAACCGCACCGCGGATTTTCGGGCAATCACCTTCTTGACGTGAGTTGCCAAGTATACTAGTTCGGGAATGACCTTCTTCAGTGATATGCTGCGCGCCCGGAGAAAATGCGGCAATAAAGGTTGGTACGAGCTTTGGTCTTCCTCGCAGCAATGTCACCAACCCAGAACTTATGTGTGAATTTAATTGCATGGAGCTTGCCATTGCATTTCCTGTGCCCGCCGGGATCAAAGCAATAGTAGGCGGGGCCAACAGTGCTGCTGTAGCGCTGTGAAAAGTGTCGACAATGTCACTGAGACCACCATCCCCGGAGAGAAGAATTAACAATTGCGGGACTCCAGACTGAGCAACAGGAATAAACTGTGACTTGCACAGCCTAATAATAGTTTGTGCAGACTTTGTTTCATGGACTTTATAATCTACCAATCCAATCTGAACCAGAAATGGTTGCAAAATATACTGGTAAAAATTTTTGGCCATTCCTGTGCCTGAGAGTGTGGATATGATAACATGGACATTCATACTCTCGCCGCTGCAAGGTTTAAGCCAATGGGGAATGTTTGGGCAAAGGTAAGATGTCAGCACCGTAGATGGCAAAGAAACAAGCTGGATACTTTCAAGGTGCGCGTGAACATCTTCAGGGCCACATTTAGCATTCTTGTGCCCTCCCCGAAGGAATAACATGTTGTATCCATTTGTGCTATCATCACATGTTGGTACAATGCAAACTATGTCTTTTATAGCGACAGTAAACTCTCTCTGGTGCTGTAAATCATGGCATAGAACATGGCTCCCTGTGATGTCACAGTAAGAGTAATTGGTCGTAGTAGACATAATTCTAAGTAATCCTATTAGCATAATAGTAAGGGAAATGGCAAGAATAGTATATGATACTTCCACTGTATGTACCTTGTTATAACTTGACTAGCTAGAGTAGTTCACTCTTCACAGGTTGCAACTGAGGTACTCTGTACAGACTGATATGTAACTATGTGGGGTAAGATGGTCAGATATCGGCACTTTAATTTAGTCTAGGCCTATGTTTTGTACCTCGTTCTTGGCGCCTTGAAAAAACAGTGAAACATTCACTGTTTTTTTTACGTGACAAATAAGACAGATCCAAAAAAAAAACAAAAAAAAAATCAGAGCTGGCTACTGGAATTACAGAACTGGGACAAATTGTACACGTGCAATTACTTATTAGGCAGCCATGTCCTCGAGGTATAGTACATATATTAGCTAATTGCTATTGAATCCATTTTGATCTTTTAGTACAAACTTAATCTGCCGAAATGTTACCGCCCAGCAATGCGCGATAGTGTGTATGTATTATAACATATAACATACCTTTTAATGGCTGGGTACATGCTTATCACTTAAGTTTACTGCAATGAATGTTTGTGGAAGTTTAACACTGGTAGTATCACTGTCAGCTCCTAGGCACTTTTAAATAAACCAAGTATGGGACCAGTCACACTCACGTATCAAATTTTGCCTTGAGAGTCTCAATAACTTCCTTCCAATCCTGATGGGCAGTTAAACTCCTCCTCGGCGCACAGCCAATTGCATGTCTGGAATCGAGCTGAACATCGAGAGGGTCAAAAGCATGACAACCTGGGCTGATTGAAATGCGGATGGAGTAAGAATTTGTCGATGATTCACAGTCCTTAGCCTCATAGAGCTCAAAACAAATCTGAGACAAGTAATCCAACTCAGGAATGGCCGTCCTTGCTATCTTGGTTTGTATTCCGCCCTCTAAAATGCAATTTAAAAGTGTGTAAATATGTGACTCCTTCGTAAAGTAAAAAAAGGACTTTGCATCCTGGGAGGCCTGGACTTCCTCTAAGTCTCTAACAACTTCTTGGAGAAGGGGTAGAGATGTTAGTAAGCCGATTTCTAATTTTTCGGTGTCTGTAATCCCATACTCCTGGGGGGTTATATAGTCAAAGAGAACTTTTGCTAGCTTGTATAACTCCCTGAGCTTTGAGAGCCTCCCATCCAATTTCGCCTTCGTTGAACTGGAGCCTGAGTATAGCTTGAAATAGTGGTCGTAAGAGTCATCAAGTGCCCTAAAATGCGGCATTGATTCAAATGCATGCATCCGCTTTCTCAGTCCAAACCGACGAGCAAAAGGTCCGTGTTCGGAATGTTCTTCATTTCTCTCATGACTTGCCCCTTCGCTGCTTGACTTATTATCCTCAGTAGCATCACTTTCATCACTATCTGGTGGCATGAATACCCATTCCAAAAACTGTCGGTTATGAAGAGCATCAAATTTCATGCTATCATAAAGTTCAGATAGTTTACTAGGATCCACTTTCTCCGTGTCACAAAACTCGGCGAAGAGCTTCTCCCATCTTTCCTTGAACAATGTCGGATCTTCACCAGTACACCATCTCCCTTGAATCGAAGATAAGGTAGGAATCTCATACAGGGGGTTAGATGTACACGAGGTAGTCAAGCTCTCGATATCACCCATGTCCATTAGACGATCTGGGGATGATTCAAGTCGCTGAAAATTGTGTCTCATAACATCACGATGGAACTTCATAAGTTCAACAACGGTAGCCAAGACAACTGACGGCTCGGGGATATTATCTTTGGGCCAGGTAAACTGTGATGGTGCCGAGCTCTCACGTAAAAGCAGTTTTAATTTCTTCTTTACCTTATCCATGAGGTCCTTTGCTGCGTTAGAGTCGTCCAAAAGATCTTTCCGTACTTGTATGAAATTTTCAGGAAGTTCCTTTTGGTCAAGAAATGAGCAAGCCCAGATTTGGGCTATGAAGATTGCTTAGCTGATGATATATGAAACAAGGCAAAGCAAACTCACCACTAGTGCTAACTCTTCTCTCTGAGCTAGTAAATATACGAACATTATTTAGCGCCTCTTTGTTCATTAATTTTAAGTCATCGCGCATATTAAGCCCCAAGTCCTGTGCTTGGTATCGTGCTGCATGTGTAGGCTCTCCTCCCCATTTGATTACAAGTTGAAGTTTGTCTAAAACAAGATGGTTCTCGGCAGCGGAGAATCGTGAAAATGTTGCACCGGATATCGAATCACTTCGCGTTTGAGGTCTACCCAGACTCTCATTTTCTGGAGATGTTTCCGTAGGATCAAGGGATACCAGTGTATCCTGAATAATCTCTGTAGAAACCATCGGGTTTGCTAGCGGTTCCTGGCTGCATGGCTGTTCTGGCTCCCTTTTGCGAAACATTGGCTTAATCTGAACTTTTGTTCCTGGCCAGCTTCCTTTCTTTTCAAGCGACGTACGAAGTAATCTCAGTTTATCCATATCCTCAAGCCCGTTCTCCATTGCAACTTTGACAGCATCAGAGACACTAGCCAATGCGGCCTCTCCCTTGATGACTACTTCTTCTTGATGCCCCTTTAATAGGTCAATGAAAGGTTGGCTGTGAAATGTGAACTTAAATTTTTGCTTTGGAGTGCGATCTGCATGTCTAATGACTGCGACCATGCCCTTTAGTTTCCAAGAGTGTTTGGAGGCCGGAGGAGGCGCTGGACCTCCTTCATTCGGGTTGATTGACATGGCAGGTGACTCTGTATTCTGAGACATGTAGGTACTGGAAGATGCGAACTTCTCATGCGTAGATGAGAGATTACAGCCATGTCCATTATCTTTGTTCTCAACAGTATAAGTTGGCACTGGCAAGCCCGATGAGTCTGACGTCTCAGAAATTTGGTTGGCAGGCATGTTTTCATGTAATTTTGGCACGCTTGGAGACTTAAGCAAAGACTTCAGCGCGTGCCTGTGAGATACAGAATACCTCCAGGGATGCGCAGGGTCTGAGGGAAAGACATCATGTGGTTCTGAGCTTCCTTGACATCTGCGTCTCTCATTTAGAAAGGTGTCTCTCAGTATACTGGCACATCGGTCGTAGTAGTCATTATTATCCTTGACAAAGCTCCAGCCGTTAACATCAATCACATAGCTTCTCTCTCCAACACGAAGCATATCAAAACCGCAGATTCTCTGGCCAAATCCATTTGATATTTTCGAGGCAATTGCTGCTTCTTCTTTGCTCAGTTTTGTTATGTATCTTAGCTCCTTGCCATGCGTATTCCGTCGAACAAGTCCATCAACCACTGGTGACTTCCGTGTTTCGGCATGGCAAAAGTCAGGCCCAACAGTGTACGCCTTGACATCTTCTGAATTGTCCACCCGCAGGAACTGTTCATATATGTAGCTTGTACCATTGTCAGTCACCGATCTGGGAACGACTAGCTCGGGATCGTATTCGGAGCTTTTATTCCCGATTTTTCGGAAAAGCCTCCTACCACCACCACCATACTGTTGGTCGTTAGGAAAATATATATGAATATTATGATCCTCCCCGTTAACAGGCTTTTCAACAAACGGTTTCCTGAAAAGCTTGCCGTCGACAATAAGAGAATCTCCGTCCTCTGATAATACAACACTCTTCGTCTTGGAAGCACCACCCCCAGTTCCATCTGCAGAGCCTTCAAGCTTAACTCCCGTTAACCTATATACGTGCTGGGCAAGCTCTGGGGACTCTAAAGTCGGCCCGCCATCTCTATTAACTTCCAACCTTTTCGGAGTGGGGACATTCATATGGTCTAATATCCTCAAACAAAGACGCCTATCCCATAGAACCTTCTGCATAGGCAAGTCATTAACACAAAACGGTTTCCGAAGCCTAGCGTAGGCAATAGCCTTATCCAAGGGAAATCCGTCAGAGAAGAACGCAATAAGAAAGTCGCATACAGGCCAATTCTCTACAGCCTCGTCGAGAATCACCTTGTCACCAAACACTATCACCTCGAATCCACCTTTAGACTGAAGGCGGGTCAGAATATTTTGACTTGGTTTGCTGCGGGCTTTTACATCCAGGGCACAGACACCAATTTTTCCAATACTCGGAAATGTGTACTCTGCTTCGCTGACAGAGCTCGTGGCTGTGCTTCCACTTAAACGTCGCCCTGCGCGGCTGGAAGAACGAGTAGAGGGGTGGGTGCCCCGATCCATATTCTGGTTCTCCATCCCAAGGTCAGGCCTGTGCATCCTGGATTGATTGGCTTGCAGACCGTACGAATTCTCCTTTGGCGAGATGGGAGCTGCTGAATCGTAGAGTAAGCTAAACGGTGGCTTGTCTGATTGATCAGAAACTGTATTTCCAGAAGTAGTGACATTATTTTCCATGCCTCCTGTTCCGCTACTATGAGCCGCATCAAGGCCATGGTCCCGGCCGTAATCCATAAGGCTATCAAGATAACCTAAAGAAAGTCGGTGGTGCTCCGTAGTCTAAATCGATGTTCGTAACGAAGTGTGGAGCGAAAGGAAGCAAATATTTATAAAGGACGCAAAATGGACGGGTACGGTCTGCAAGTCGTACAGTTCTAGCCAATCGTGGGAGTGGAACGGACTCCAACTTTGAATTGGAACATGGCTAAATTCTCCATATGAGGCCATATAATTTATGAGTACAGTAAATCCCTATATAAGCAATGAAAACAGAATAGCTCAAAATTTGCTTATACTGGATTTTGTTCAAAGTGAAGTTTTACTTTTTCTTAACCACCATCTTATTTTTCTCCTTTAAAAAAAGAAATAATAGTGTGACTACGCGCCGCTATTGGCTCCACTCCATACAGTCCCTGTCCTCATATTGGTAATTTTACGAAATGCCAGGGTAGTAAACCCCAATAATTTCAATGCCAGCAGGCTGTTTTCAATTTACCAATAAAAAATATAACTTACAGGTTTTCTAGGGTACAGTTCTTCACAGGGTAATATATAGAGATATAAATAATTTTAAATGTAGGGCCCTGCGCCTCAACATACTTCCAGCTCGGCTGAGTGTCACGTAACTAACCCACATAGATGCTGATCTGCCGTCGCGGATCCAACTTTTTCCTCTATTACGCTTCACATTTTAATCAATGAGAACACCATTATTCGGTGAGCATCCAACAGACCATAACTACAGCCCAATAAATAACTCCTTGTGGTTTAAAAACTACTTATTGTTGGAAATCAGGATGCCTAAGGCACCTTCGTATATCCTAGTCCCGCAGCGATGTGATATATCATATCCAGGGGCTAAGGGACACGTAGACACAAGGAAGCGTTTGTCTACACTCTCTCTACTAGATAGAAGAACATACTCACCACACGATACTAGATCGCACGATAGTTTCAATATACTATCTAGTCACCGCTATCCTAGCACCTCACAACATAGCTTCTTCCCCGAGATTCTCAACACTTATAACCTTTAATGGCCTTTTAAAAAAATTTAATTGTTATAAAAATTATATAAACCCATGGAATTCTATCTCCACTGATAAATCTTTCATAGTTTTAAATTAAATTAATATACATATAAAGTTAAAGCTAGAGGATGTTGAAGCACTATACTAACCATAATAGGAATAGCTAAAAGATATACCTTTTTAGAACTAGCTTAGAGGATATAGGGTTTGAATACTATTCTATAATAGTATAGAGAGATAAGTTATCAACCTATATTAAACAAGTATAAGTAAGATATAATAAATGTATAATATAATAACAGAAAATAACTAATATTTCCCATTCAGGAAGGTATATTGTTTAAGAATATTAAATAATAATTGTTCCCTTCTTTTGAGCAGAGATTTGAGCTGCTTTTACACCTTTAAAATCCTCGGGCTTCTTTCCGAATTAATTTGGGAATCGGGATTAGAGCCCATACCACATTTGGGTTTCTTTGGACCGAACTATAGAGATTTCCGTTTTCTGTTAGATAATTAGAATATCTTATATTCTGACAGTTAGTATTATTAGTATTTAATTAATTTGATAACTATGTCAAGGGTTGAACCCAGTGTATTTCTCAGGCATGGCCTTACGCTCCTAGACTGTCTTGTACCTTTTTATATGGGCAAGTGGTTTTATCTCTACTAGCGCAGAGACAACCAAACCATCACATGGCAATGATTAATCCGAACATTATCGATTTGATTACAGTGATTTGTGTAAGATTTGTAGTCTAACCTTACCCTATGCTTAAATACAATAAAAGTTTATATACTATAAATAACTATAAGAATCACGTATTGTCCAGTTTAATCCGGGATAATTATCCCAAGGTTCGCTCCCTTATTACTCAGCCAATTTTTAGTCTTTTTTTATAATACCTTTAAGATACGTGATTCTTATAGTTATTTATGTTAAGAATCTCGGGGAAGAAGCTATGTCGTGAGGTGCTAGGATAGCGGTGACTGGATAGTATATTAAACTATTAGTGCGATCTAGTATCGCATGGTAAGTATATTTATTTATCTAAGAGAAAGAGTATAGACAAACGCTTTCTTATATCTACACGTCCCTTAGCCCCTGAATATAATATATTATATCACTGCGGGACTAGGATATATAAAGATATCTTAGGCATCTTAATTTCCAACACTCTTACTTAGACTTGTCCTGTAAAATATAGCTTATATATTTTTATCCAGCACACTTATTTTCTCTACCTTTTTTTTAATTATCTCCCACTGTCTACCAATCCTATCTTGCTGCGATGTTGTTCTAGTAGCTTTTATAGTAGTAGCTTTGTTGTACTGTCTACAAGTATTTTACAAGTTTGGATATATTTAGTAGTAATAATATTACGCTCCTTTAAATCACATGTAAAGTGGTATATAATATTAATATATTTTAAATATTTATTTAATAATAGTTAATTAATAAGTATAATTATAGAAATATTATTTTTATATATTAAAATAGTACACTGGTTTTTATTAATATACTTTAAATAGCCTATATTTATTATAAATTATATAATCCACTTAGTTTATTTTATATATAAGGCTAATATAATATACTTTGCTTTGGTTGTTAATATTAATACTGCAGGTTATTTATAGCTTTGCTATAAAATTAGTCCTCCTTCTAGTATAAAAAGCATGCCAGATTTTAACTTTAAATTAAAATAATCTCTTGTATAATTAGTATTTAAATAGCTAATAACCTAATTTATATACCTAGAACCTGGTCCATAGTAAATCTTTAGGTTAATTGTTAATTACAGGTAATATAAAAGGGCTTTTATATCTTAAGCGTGCTTTTTAATTAGTTTATTTATAAACTAAGCAAGCACGCTTGTTATATATATATAATATTAGATTATAAATAAACTATTATAAATATTATACTACCAACTCTTTGCTAATAATCTTATTTAAATACAAGTTTATTATCTTATTATACTTTTAATAATATTTTACTACTTAATATTAGGGAACAGGTTAGTATAACTACTTTGTAATTTATATTATACTATTACAGTATTTGCTTGATATATACTAACTAGTCTAGGTAAATTATATAGTTTAAATAGTCACGGGTTATATAAATACTAAGGATTTTTAAAATCTCCCCTAGATCCTTAATATTAAAGTGTTCTGTGAATTTTACTTTAAATTTATTAATTTTGTGTATATTCTTTGTAATAATAAGCAGGTTATTTATATATAGTCTAATAAAAATATTTATAGTATAGTTACAGAATATATATAGTTTACTTAGGATAGCTTTAAATCCTATTTTTTTAAGTATTTTTAAATATAGGTTATACTAATTTTATATAGCTTATTTTAAACTATACAAGCTCTACTTTAAGTATATATTTATTAAATAGCTTAATACTAGCTAGTAAATATATATATATTTGCTCTTGTAGTATTACTTTAGTAAAAGTATTGTTAATATTAACCTAATATATTTTAAGGTTTTTAAATATAATAATAGCTAGCATAATTCGCAGGGAGTTAATATAAATTATTAGTATAAAGGTTTTTTTATAGTTAACTTTTTAAACTTTTAATAAAACCTTTTATAATTAATTATATTTTAAATTATTTAACTCCCCTATTTAGCGCATACTTAACTATAAAAACCTATTTTATAGTAATAATATTAGCGCTGTTAGGCACGTGGGTCTTATAAAAGGTGCTGTTAATAATAATTAAAATTTTAATTAAATAGCCTTTTTTTTTACTTGGGTTTATAAACTAGGTTATTAATAGCTTCTTTGTATATACAAGGGATTAGAATTAGGTTATTAATTTTAGGCACGGTTTTCGTGATAATTTTAACTAATAATATAAAATAAATTATTTTATTAATTTTATTTTACTACTTTTGTTTCTTTAGTTTTAATCTTTTTAATTAGTAGAGATTTATATTTTATACTAATTTATTATTAGTATATTTTTTTTTTTTTAGTATATAAACTTCTAGTATTTCTTGTATTTTTACAGGAATCAGCTTTTTGTTACTAGCTCCTACTAAGTTTTAATACTTTTAATAGTAATTATCCAAGTAATTATAGTTAAAACTCTTAGCTACTGTCTTGTATTATTTATTATTAGCTGGTTCTAGCAAGCTATCCTGCAAAGTTAGTAATCTTTTATCCTGCTTTTTTAGTTAACCTACAGGATCTATCTAGTAATATAATAAAGGTAGACTTAATTTACAGCTTTAGATTAATTATAATATATACATGTATTTTTACAGCTTTATTTTAAAACTTTATTAGTAATAAAGCCTGTTTAAATATAGCTTATATTTTTTTTTTAGTTATTTATATTATATATTTAGCTGGACTATTTTAGTACAAGGTGTATAAAACTATTAATTAAATTTTTAGTTTATTACTTTTTTTTTATACTTTGTATTTTTTTATAAGTTCTCCTGTGTTGTTAATAAGCCAGCTTTAGCTTTAATTAGATTTAATTGCTTCTTTTTATTTTTCTAGTACTGTGGGTGCTCTCTTTTAGAAATTAGTAGTACTAGTCTTGCAGGTATAGCTATTTAAATTTAATAAACTAGTAATTGCTATTAATTATTATTAGTAAAGGCTGCAGATATTTAAATATATTTATTTTAGTAGTTTAGACTTTTTATTACTTTACTCTTGGCTTTTATATTTAATTATTTTTATCCTCACGTAGATGTTGCATACTTTAGGTTCTGCTTAGCAAGGAATTAGTTTTTTAAAATTTATAATTTTATAAAGGTTTTACAGCTTGCTTTTATAAAAATAGCCTATTTATTAATACTATAAGTTATATATTTTTTCTTTTTATTATAATATATATGGGGTCCTAGTTCTAGTAAATTACTAATTTTTTATATTGTATAGGCGTATTTTATAATATTTAATAAAAACTATTTAATAATATACAGGTTATTTTTAATTATTACCT